CGCATCACATGTATAATACCTGTACCCGGATATAGATCAAGTGCTCGGAGTCTTTTCTGCGTAATTGTTCTTCTCTCTTCGTTTGCGACAATGATAGATCACGTTCTCGGACGGCCGTCGTCCAAATCACGGCGCCTGCAGGTCTTGGCCGTGCTATCATTTTGGACGTTTTATCTCTACAAGTACGTCTACAAACATGAACACGATGATGCAATGACAGAGGCATCTTCTAACGGGGACAGCAGAGGCCATAAGCATGGCCCATCCTTTGCGCAAAGCATCTCGAAATTACTTTCCCGACGGTTAACAGCATGGCAGACGGCCATCATCACCATGCTCTATCTCTACGCGGCTCGCAACTTCAGCGCCCTCGTCGGCCTTGCCAGTCCTGAGCCCATGGCCAACATGTACGATCCGACTTATTACCGGGCCACCTGGGTTTTGACCGCCCTCGATGCAGGATTCTGGACCGCCATGAAGATTCGGACCAAGTGGCTACGCGACATTGCCAGCATTGTCTTCTCGCTCTACTATCTGGTGGCTGCCGAAAAGGCAGATGAAAAGGTCCGCAAGGTCCGCGGAATGATTACCGTCGACCACCTGCGAGTTGCGTGGAACAAGGGAACGACTCCGTACTTGGGCTTTCTCCAGCGTCTCATGCGGCCACGATTCACGAGATGGCCGCCGAGGCAAGTCCGGATTCCGCGACCTGCCAATAGCGACTACAAGGAATATGTCTCTGCCTGGCTTTATTACGACGGGCCGCTTGCAGACTTGGAGCACCACGATAGACTTGTGTTGGACATACCGGGCGGTGGATTCGTGGCCATGGATCCTCGGTGCAACGACGACAAACTGTTTGCTTGGGCTGCGAAAACAGGCTTGCCCATACTCAGCATTGATTACAAAAAGGCGCCCGAGTATCCGTATCCATATGCGCTGAACGAATGCTTCGATGTCTATGTAACGCTAGTCAAGTCTCGGGGCAGATGTATCGGCATGTCAGGCAAAGAAATCCCCAAGATTATCGTGACCGGAGACAGCGCAGGCGGAAATCTGGCTGTTGCGACGACTTTGATGGTGCTCGAGACCGGAATCAGCCACTATCGACGCGCTTCTGGCGTGGGCAAACTGCCGCCGCCGGATGGACTCGTCTGCTTCTACCCCACGCTGGACATGAATATCGGAAACTGGATGTCGGACGAGCAGATGTCGCTGATTCGAGATCGGCGAATGAGAAAGACGAACAAATCCATTATACGGAGGAAGAGCATGCAGTACAACGACCTGGTCGGCACGCCGCACCACTCCGATAACGAAGACGAGTCTCCTCCCGCAGAGCCATCTCCCAACGCCGACACACGACCCGAGTACTGCCATGCCGGCCCGAGATCGCTCAGCTCTTCACGAGCTTCCGACGAGAAGAAGGAGGGCGCCGTATCCCACCGCGCAGAGCCCTTGAAGACTCGCTTGGCAACTGCATCGATGATATCTTACTTTAACGATCGGGTGCTCACCCCCGAGATGATGCGAGCCATGATCATTCTGTACATTGGCGCTCACAACCGCCCCGATTTCACGCAGGATTACTTTTTAAGCCCGGTCCTTGCGCCGGAAGAGCTACTAGAGAACTTCCCAAAGACATATTTCATGACTGGGGAGCGAGATCCCTTGGTGGACGATACAGTCATCTTTGCAGGGCGTTTGAGACGTGCAAAGGAGGCGGCAGCGCGACGGGAGCTTTCCCGCTCATCAATCCTAGATGAAAACTGGACGTTTGACGATAAAGAAGTCACAGAGGTGCTTCTCATCCCGGGCACTTCGCACGGCTTCATGCAATTCCCAGGCGTTTACCCACCCGCGTGGAAGCACTTTGACCGAAGCGCAGCCTGGTTTGACCAGCTCTTTACAGATGCCGAGACCCAGAGAGTCGAACAAGCCAGACAGGCATCCCGACTCAAGAACCAGAACCAGAACCAGATGACAAACGGCGCATTCCGTCGGCAGTCCATTGCAGAATCCAGCGGCGACGAAGATAGACCGTTGGAGATTAGCATGACCAAAATGTCACGCGGGAGAAGCACAACGCAGAATGGAGACGTGAATAATACTAGTAATGGCCATGATTCACCAGTGAATGGCTCGACCGACACTACGGAATCGAATTCGCCGCTGCCGGTCCATGGCGACAGGAATCACGGCCGGAGGGGCAAGAAGTCGATTCGGGGCAATAAGAGTTTGGTCAAGTTGGCGAGTTCGGAGGATTTGCTGGGACGGCGGATGCATGGGCTGGCGAGTGGGTTGACGAGCACGGGGGATGATGAATAAGATGATGCGAAGTTGATGTATATCGAGCTATTTCTTTTGGTTTTGTTTTGAGATTGTATGAAATACCTACCATAGAGCGCGCAAGCCATCTAGTACTGATCGTTTTATGTTTTGGGAGCTGTGGAGGCTGTATATAGAGAGCTCGCTTGCTGCCACACAGTAACGAAACTCGAAAAAGCTGCTGAGTTTACATGCTTGGTTATTCTTTTATGTATTTAGCCATCTTCTCATTTACTTTGCTGATGTTGTGTTTTTAACAGTCTGTTGTGTACAGACTGTCACCACGTGTTGCAGCGCCACTCCACGTTGCTGTTAGTGCCTCACGCCTCATGAGAGGAACAAGCTCATTAAGAGTACATGTCCGTTTCAACTCGCTTGACAGCAAGGCACAGCATCAAATAGCTGTCTCTCTATCCCGTACAATTCCGTGACTTGTCCATTGGCCACGGAACAGCGGCATGGCGGACCGGCAATCTCTGCCTCATCTCACGTCCCATCACTCTCCCGTCCCTCCCGCGCATAAAACTAGAACCGTTTCGCGATGCACTCCTGTCGTGATGTGCGCCAAATACGCGACAACTACCCATCCATCTGCATGCATCTGCTGTAGACAAAGAACACTCCCATCTACGGAAAAAAAGCGCAAAGGTCCACGGAAATAGTCCATGTGGAGATGCCGTAAAAAGACAGACAAAGGACAAAGAAGAGCTCGGGATGCCGGCACATCGAATGGGATCGGCCGTGACGAATAGGCCAAGCTTTTGAGAAGCGTCGACATCATTCATTTTCAGATGGGGGCTTCGCTAGCCGTCAGATCCGGCGAGCCTGGTGGGGGCAGCGACCTAGTGGGACAGGGATCGAGTTGCTAGGAATGATGTAGAGTCTAGAATAGAGGGGGAGGGGCAGAGCTGCAAGTACAAACCAAGGTTTTTGGAACAAAAGGAGGGGCAGAAGACGACGTGAGATTCGAAGCAGTGCTTTGTTACAATCAGAGGCAGGTCAGCAGTAGTGCATGTATGAGCAACAATTATCTGAAAACGGGCGTCCATCATGTAAATCGACATGTCACTCGGTATGTACTTGTAACAGGAGGCAGACCAGACAAAGAGAGGGGCGATCAAAGCAAGCATAGCATTGGACCATGTACGCGCCAATTAATCTGCTGCAAACAGAGCTCAAAACTAGGAGCATACAAGCAGCATCTAGCTTCAGCTTTCAGCTCTCCTGGCCCAGTCGTCTGTGGCTGCTCCACGACTCGGAGGCAGCCCGTCATTGGAGCTGGGCCTTTGAGATGCAGATGGAACTGGGCACAGTACATGCAGTACCCCTCATCATCAAGTTGAGTCTAGTTTGCTGCACGTTGCTATTCACGGCACGCATGTCACTCGAGTCTCGCTTGGACCTCGTGTTGCCCTAGAAATACCGGCAACGTCGTCACTGCTCCCTCCCATCCGTTTCCTTTTTTCTCCCCTCTATAATCCCCCCTCTCTTCTACATCTCACCACTGCTCAATCTTTTTTTTTTCTCCTCTTCTCTTTACTTTCCACTATCCAACTTCTTCACAATGGTCCATCTCAGCGCCGTCAACCGCTCCGCCTCGGTCAGTCCCGGCCCCCAAATGGCCCCGGCCGGAGGCTCCAGCTCTCTTCACCCCGACCAGGCCCTGCACAAGAGCCTCTCGCAGGTCAAGCTGTCCAGCTACCAGGACGAGTTCACCACCAGCGTCTACGGCTCGCAGTTCGCCGGCCAGGACCTGCCCAAGCACACCATCCCCAGCGGCGCAATGCCCAAGGACGTGGCCTACCACATGATCAAGGACCACCTCAGCCTGGACAACAACCCGAAGCTCAAGTAAGCTTTCTGAAACTGCAATTGAGTTTTGAGCTTATCTAATGACTCAAATCTGTAATAGCCTGGCTTCCTTTGTCACAACTTTCATGGTACGTTTTGTTATCAAGTCAAAATCACTTCAATGCTCTCACCTCTCACTAACACCTCTTCTCACAACAGGAAGACGAAGCCGAGAAGCTCATGACCGAGGCCTTTTCCAAGAACTTCATCGACTACGAGGAATACCCTCAGTCCGCCGACATCCAGAGCCGCTGCGTCAACATGATTGGCGAGCTCTTCCACGCGCCCCCCGGCGGCGACAGCGTCGGCACGTCCTGCATCGGCTCCTCCGAGGCCATCATGCTCGGCGTCCTGGCCATGAAGCGCCGCTGGAAGCTCAAGCGCCAGGCCGAGGGCAAGCCCACCGACAGGCCAAACATCATCATGTCTTCCGCCGTGCAGGTCTGCTGGGAAAAGGCCGCGCGCTACTTTGAGGTCGAGGAGAAGTACGTCTACTGCACTCCGGACCGGTACACGATTGATCCTCAGCAGGCTGTGGACCTGGTGGATGAAAACACCATTGGAATTGCCGTCATCCTGGGAACGACGTATACCGGCCACTACGAGGACGTCAAGGGCATCAACGACCTCTTGGAGGAAAAGGGGCTGGATGTCTCCATCCACGTCGATGCCGCCAGCGGAGGCTTCGTCGCGCCCTTTGTGCTGCCCGATCTCGAGTGGGATTTCAGACTGCCTCGAGTCGTCTCCATCAACGCCTCTGGCCACAAGGTGCGTATTCTCCACCTCTCTCTCTCAAATCATACAACTAACTCTTCAACAGTACGGCCTCGTCTACCCCGGCGTCGGCTGGGTCGTCTGGCGCTCGCACGAATACCTCCCCCAGGACCTCATCTTCAACATCAACTACCTCGGGGCCGAGCAGTCCTCCTTCACGCTCAACTTCTCCAAGGGCGCCTCCCAGGTCATCGGCCAATACTACCAGTTCATCCGCCTCGGCAAGAGGGGCTACGAGTCCATCATGAGCAACCTCACCCGCACTGCCGACTACCTCACCGAAGTCCTCGAGCACGACGGCTTCGTCATCATGTCCGAGCGCGGCGGTCAGGGCCTGCCCCTCGTGGCCTTTCGCTTCAAGAGCGCCGCCGAGGGCGGAAAGGACCGCCACTACGACGAGTTTGCGCTGGCGCACCACCTGCGCTCCAGGGGCTGGGTCGTGCCCGCGTACACGATGGCGCCGCATACCGAGGGCCTCAAGATGCTGCGTGTGGTTGTGCGCGAGGACTTTTCCAAGAGCAGATGCGACATGCTTATTCACGACATCAGACTGTGCTTGGGAATGCTGGAGAATGCGGATGAGGAGACGATTAAGAGACAGGAGGCCTTTATCCGTGACCACGTCGCGTCGCACGGCAAGAGCAAGCAGCAGGCTAAACACCATGCCACGAAGCACTACCAGGTAAGTTGGAAAGAATTCTCATCTCGATATAATCTCCTTGTCTAGATATCTTGAAGCTGACAGCATCATCTCTAGGGCGAGTCCCACTCGTTGCAGGGCAAGCATGGCAAGACACATGCCATTTGCTAAAAAGTGTATACTGGGAAAATAAGATTCAAAAAAAAAAAAAAAAGTAAACAAGTTCAATGGATACCGCATATAACAAAAGCACATTCTCATTTACTTGTATGATATGCCCTGGAATAGTAAATAAGTAATCATGCCTCTTTACATGTTTCTGTGAAAATAAAGTACTTTTTATACACTGTAGGATCCCATCTCCTATCAAACTAAACCATAATTCTAAGCCGCCAAACATTTTATACAATACAGAAAAACAAAAAAAAAGGGGGAGGGAGCATCTCCCCTTACGCCCTCGTAGCTCCAATCGCCTCCTCCAAAATATCCAACCCATGATTAATCTCCTCCTCCGTCATCACCAAGCTCGGCAAGAACCGCAGCGTATTCGTCCCCGCCGTAATCACCAGCAGGCCCCTCTCCCTCGCAGCCTTGACAATCGCACTCGGGTCCTCGGTGAGCTGCAGGCCGAGAATAAGACCGCGCCCACGAGCTTCAGTAATCAACTCTGGGAACTTGGCCTGCAGCTTGGCGAAGCGGTCCAGAAAGACGTTTGATTTGGCCTGCACGCCCTCGAGCAGCTCCGGCGCAGAAATCTTGGTCAGCACGTGGTGCGCCAGGCGGCACGCAAGCGGGTTGCCGCCAAACGTGGTGCCGTGATCGCCAAGCTGGATCTTCTCGCTCACGGCCTCCGTCACCAAGACCGCGCCAATGGGGAACCCGTTGCCGAGGGCCTTGGCCATGGTCAAGATGTCCGGGTGCGCCTCCTTGGGAAGATGTCCGTGGGCCCAGAGCTTGCCGGTGCGCGACATGCCGGACTGGATCTCGTCGTATATCAAGACGGCGCCCACCTCGCGGCATCGCCTGGCGAGCGCAACCATGAATTCCTCGCTGCCGGCAAAGATGCCGCCCTCGCCCTGGATCGGCTCAACAATGACGCCGCACGTCTTCTCATTGACAAGCTGGTTGATGCCCGCAACGTCGTTGTAAACCCCCTCCTTGAAGCCCGGCACCATTGGCGCAAACGGCTTCTGGTACTTTGGATTATGCGTCGCCGACAGCGCCCCCATGGTTCGTCCGTGGAACCCATGCTTGAACGAAACAATCTCCACCTTGTCCCCCGACGGATCGACAACCTTGCCCGCCTTGCGCGCAAACTTGATGGCAGCCTCATTCGCCTCCGTGCCCGAGTTGCAGATAAACACGCGCGCCGCCTCGTGCATGCACCCCGCCTCGAGCGTCTTCTCAACAAGCAGCTTCGACAGCGCGCCCGTCCAGGGATTGTAGTACAGGTTCGAAGCGTGGATCAGCGTGCCGGCCTGCTGCGCAATAATGTCCGTGATCTCGGGGTCGCTGTGGCCCAGCCCCGTGACGGCAATGCCCGCCGTGAAGTCGAGATACTTGCGGTTCTCAATGTCCCAGAGCCATGAGCCCTCGCCCTGGACGAATACCGGCGGCGGACGGGCGTACGTGGCGACCATGTAGGGCGCATAGTCGTTGACGAGGGCCGCGCTCGGAGAATCGGGTGCAGGGTCGGGATTCGAAAGAGCTGCGTCTCGCTGCCATTAAACAGCATAATTAGCTCATTGCAGCAATCAAAACACCAATTGATGTCCCTGTATTGTAACCGAATTGAATCGGCCAAAAGAAAGCAAAACAAAAGACTCACCTTGATAGCCTGCTTCACACTATCAGACAAGCTCGCAACCGCCCTCGTCGCCGAAAAGAACCGTCCTCCAGAACCCCTCGCGCTGGCAGCCAAAGCGGCCGTCTGGCGCCCAGCCAATACCCTAAAAGCCATTGGATCCGAAATAAACAACAAACAAAATTGCCAATCAATTTTCTAACAGAGAAAGTGACTGGGAATGGATAAGAAGAGGGCGAGCCAAGCTTTATGGCGGGGAGCGATATAATTTCAATCGCGCGCCCTTCAAATTGTTATCGATAAAAGCTCCGCTATCGCTGCTCCCGCCGCGGCCTCTTACAAAAAAAAAGTTATTTGTGATGACGGCACTTGGCATTTTTCTCCCATGCAATATCTGAGTCATTTGCTGCAGCTCTTCTCTTTTTCTGCAGGCGCTGATAACGATGGAGTCATTGCTCTGCATTCTTTAAAATGGGGCAATGAGCCGGAATATGGAGACATTGTGAGTCTAGCTTCCTGCGCAGTCACCGCTGGTCTATGTACCGGAGGCCTGCAGACATTACCACAATCCAGCATCAATATACAATCCATAGTAGAACCACATCCATGGCATCACCTACGGCTGGTTGGAAAGCAAAGGAGACGATAACCATATTTTCATGATATTATCAATAGTAGAACCCAACAAAAAATAATACAACCTCTACCAAGTCCGCCCAAAACAAAACGCAAACGGGTCTTAGTATGCAACCAGAACGCCGCCTTGCCAAAAAAATAAAATCATGACAAGAGAGGATCAGGGGAGGGTAAACCATAGGGTGAAAAAAAAAAAATACTACCAAGAGCCCCAAAACATTGCGCATTGTATAATCCTTTCTTTGTTCGCAACCATCGAATTTGATAACCTGCCTATTTCTCCATCCATTCGTCGAGCACTGTCATGGAGAAATTATATGCACATGTCCTCGTTCACTAGACGGCGCTATATCCTCCTCGACTGCCAGCGCCCTGGACAGTGTTCAACACCCGGCGTGTCCAGTCCTTGAGGAGGTAGGGAATGTCGCGGAGGGTATCGCCGTGAGGGAGCAAGTCCCAGCCCCGAGCGCCGTAGCGGTTGTAATTGAGCCAAGAGCCGAAAATGAGGTATGCCGCGATGCCAAGGAAAACGCTACAGAGGGCCATTAGTCACGGTTTCAATCGTCCTTGTCAATATCAAGCAGCACTTACATAATAACAAACCAGGTGAAGAAGCCCCAGCTGGCACTGGAGTCGCCGGGCTCGCGGTCGTCATCCTTGTCTCCGCCCTTGCCTCCATCACGCTTCTCGCACGCATACTTGGTGTGCCAGGTAAGTCGGAGGACGTCGAAATCCTTCTCCTTGGCATAGTCCTCCCAAATGAGGGCAGCATTGTCGTTCTTCAGCTGATGCTCAGTCGCCGAGTCGCCCTTTCCATCGTCGTCTTTGTTGTCTCCGTCTTTGTTATCTCCGTCTTTCTCGTCCTTGTCCTTTTTGTCGTCTTTGTCATCCGCTGCTCGTCGCTTTGTCTTGGGGGCCTTTTCGTATTCATCTTCAGATGTCCACTCGCCCTCGGTGCCCGTCTTGTCAGGATCGCAAATAAACTCAATGACGGCCTTTTGGGTTCGTCGCTCCGAGACTGGGCCGGTGAGAGGGTGTTTGCCGCCTTTGAGAACAAGTCGGAGGCCTTCCTTCTGGGCATCGGAGTTTGAGTCGCTGCTCTTGAGCCTCGTCGCCTCGTATTCGAACTGTGATCCGCCGGCGTTTTCGAGTCCTCCTGCGATGGCGACCACTTGTGTGACGGCGTCTTGATCGCCCTTTAGAAAATGGGAAATGGCACAGACTGAAATAGGGGTCAAGCAACGTTAGCCGAGCAGTCTGAGCAAACAGGCCATATCGTCATACCTCTTGTTCCATTGGGGCACTCGTCTTTCGTCTTCGCCTTTCCGCTCTTCTTCAGCGGCTGGCAAATGTCCACGGTCCAGGTGGTGTTGTAGTGAGCATTCGTGCTAGCCTCGAACCGCGACGTCACCACCGAATGCGGGCCCCCAAGCGGCGACAGATCAAAGTTGTGCTCATCCACTCGAATCTTGTTGCAGCTCAGCATGGCCGCCGCATTCAAGGGCGCCAGCAGAAACGACAGCAGCAGCGCTGATGGCCGAGGCGGATGCATCGTGGCTGGAGAGCAAACAAAAGGCCGGGCTTGAATAGAAACCAGGGGGCGACGCCCACTTTCGAGTAGATGGCGGGAGAGACAAAGAGAGGGATGCGGCGATTAAGGACAGGGGCAGACAAGATGCTAAAGCGCAACGCTCTTGCGAAAAGAAGAAGAAAAAAACCAGCGGCGATTCTAGGCTCTGGAAAAGAATGACTGCGAGATTCTGTTGGAAGGGATGCACGAGACCTGCGTCGACGCCTCTGCTTTGATCACGTCAAGCTTTCGCAAAAGCAAAACGGGGCTAAGGCTGGAGTTGATGTGACCGACTTCTGGTTCCGTCATGCATGCCGACGAGGCCGGGGCACGTGACCGCCACGCTCCGACAATCTTCAGCGGAAAAGCGTATTGCACAGGGTTCGACAATAAGCGAAACATACGGTGTGCGGCTTTTTCAGTGAAAAGGGGCATCTAGCAGGAACTTGTGAATCGTGTAAGCCAATGAGATGTTACTAAAGATGAAACTGATGCAAAAATCCAAATGAAAATAAGAGACTGGCAAAATAATACATGTGATACGGCATATCATAAGCTTAGGCATTATCAGATAATAGGTACTTGAATCACAATAACAGACGAAAGTCCGCAAAATCAAATTGCATCTTTAGCATAATCGTATTTTAAATGGTTATTTGTAGAACTATTCGTACTCAATCCTTTCGCCCCTATTACAACTACCTAAATACCTCCCCTCCACCAACGCCAATTGCTATTTTAACAAAACTCATTAATATCATACCCAGCGTAGCAGTCGATATATATATTTAACCCTTTCTTCGTGAGAAGAGAAACGAAGATGGAAAAAAGAAATGGAAAAAGAAACGGAAAAAGGATCAAGAAAGAAGAAGAGTAGAAAAAAGAACAAGAGTAAAACAAAATGGGAAGAAGAATAAAAAGAAAAAAATAAAGAAAAAGCAATAGTACACCAAAGCAAGTTTGTCGGGGTTTAACCTGCCTCTTCCCAAGAAAACATCATTCCGTTGAAAGGGGTATTAGAACAGACTTGCCCAAACGCAGAGTCCTTCGTGATGCCGAAATTATAAGCCTACCTCCCTCCGTAACTCCAAAATTTAGAGGAAAAAAAAAGACAAGCCAACAACCTCCCCTGCTCTCTTTGGCCTTACCCAGAATCCAAAGCTGGCCAAACTCAACTTTTCACATATCCCTAGATGGCATGCATTTCCTCTTGTACCTTCGTAACTTCTTAAGGCTCCTTCAGTCGTTGTATAGGGAGATTTTTTTTTCTCCACACATTGGTCCAAATCACATTCCCTGGTGTTGTCCCATCATCCCGCCCATGCCCTGCATTGCTGCTTGCTGCTGTTGTTGCTGAAGCATGATCTGCTGCTGATGCGCCCTGCGTTGATACATTTCCCGGACCATTTGCGAAGCTTGGTGAAACGATGACTGCTTAATCTTCTCTACCGTCTCTTGTGGAACATTTTCTGCTCCGCCAAACTTGACTGCTGCAGTGTTCATAAGGCGGGTGTATATGGTGCGTGCCTGGTTTTGCATCTGAACTTGGACGGCGGCCTGTTGCATTTGCTGAGGAGTTTGTCCTTGGTGCTGCTGCTGTTGGGCATGGGCTTGGGCCTGAGCCTGTGCCTGTGCCTGAGCCTGAGCTTGTGCTTGCGCCTGAGCTTGTGCCTGAGCCTGTGCCTGTGCCTGTTGTGCTTGTTGTGCTTGGGCTTGTGCCTGAGCTTGTGCCTGAGCCTGCGCTTGTGCCTGAGCCTGTGCTTGCTGTTGTTGCTGTTGCTGCTGTTGCTGCTGTTGCTGCTGCTGCTGCTGCTGTTGTTGTTGTTGCTGCTGCTGCTGCTGCTGTTGTTGTTGTTGCTGCTGCTGCTGCATCTGCATGGCCATCAAAGCTTGCATGTTGGCGGCATTGACGTTGTTATTATTCATCATCTGTCCATTAGATGGCATCATGTTGCCCATCTGCCCGCTTAACCTGCCCATCTGGGCCATCCGTTGTATCTGAGCCTGCATCCCAGGAGCCATCTGGCGCATCTGAACATTTTGCATGTTTTGCAACTGCTGGGCGTATTGCGCTGCCCACTGCTGCTGCTGTTGTGGGTTGGCCATGTTATTCGGTGGGGGATGCGGAGTTTGCTGCTGCTGTTGCTGCTGCTGAGGCCCTTGCTGGGACTGTTGTTGCTGCTGCTGCTGTTGTTGTTGTTGCTGCTGCTGTTGCTGCGCCACTATCATTTGACGTTGCATCAACTGCATCATCTGCGCTTGCTGTTGAGATATCGGCTGGCCTGGTCCAGGAATGTTCATGTTATTAAAATTGCCGTTCTGGAGAGCGGCCGCCATCTGCTGTTGCTGATGTTGCTGCTGTTGCTGCTGCAGCATGGCTCTTTGCTGAGCAGTGAGCTGGGCAATCATTTGAGGGTTGGCCTGAGCCATGCCTGGATTGTTCATCATCATCTGCTGGCCCATCTGAGAGTTCTGAGCTATCATATTAGGAGGAGGACTCGTTTGGGTCATGCGAGGAGTCGCAACCATTGCAGGTCGGTTAAGCGGAGTCGCATGAGACATGTTCGGCGTCGTCTGCGGAATGCGCGGTGTGCCGGACGGATGGCTCTGCTGGCTGTTTCTAGAAGACCTGTTATGTGTCATAGGGACTGACATCGGGTTTTGCACAACTGAGGCAGGTCGAGGAGGGCTTGCCGCCATGCTGGAGTTGGTTTGCTGCATAGGAACGCTTGTGACCATCGGTGACGACATATTTTGGGGTGTATTCTGCCGGACAATGGGAGAGGATACTGGAGCTTGAGACATCGTTGCTTGGAACCGTGCCTGAGCCGGTCCGGATATGCCATTTGGTATCGAATTCTGCGGGCCTGTCGACACGGCATTTGGCATCGCATTGGGGACCACTCCATTCTGAATAGGGTGGCCGTGCTGGGTCTGGTTCATTGGCTGCTGGCTGTTGTTGGCTTGAGCAACAGGGGTTGACGCCGCGGCTCGAGCGGCCATTGCTTGCCGCTGCGCTTCAGCTTGACGCATTTGGGTCTCTCTAGCTTGAGCCTGTTCACGCCTAGCCCTCTCCATATCTGCTTGTCTCTGAGCAGCTTCTGCCGCGGCTGCTTGCTGTCTCTGCAGCTGCAGCTTTCGGTCATTCTCTTGCTGCTTGAGCTTCTCCTGCTCTCTCTTCTCGGCATGCTCCCGCTTGATATCCTCAATCACGTTGAACCGCTCAAATCTAGGTTCAAAAGTAGCAGCACCAGTTGCAGCATCTCCATCTGCTCCACCGCCAACTTGAGCGCCCGTGACATTTGATGCCAACCGATCGTCCAAAACAAGCATGTAGCGCTCCAGCTTTGCTGCCGCTGCCTCGTCCGCGGCCATCTCCGCCACTGTTCGCTTGCGGGCCTTTGGCTGAGGCGGAGGTTTGCTGTGGCTGGGGTGCGACATTTTCTCTAATAACGCAATGGTATCCTCGAGGCTTTGGGTTGGTTCAAGGTAAAGAGGGCCGGCGGTCGCGAGCAATATCTGTCCTTCGACAGCATATATATTACTGCCGTCTATGTCGGTCTTTTCTCGCTTAGCCTTTTTCGCGGGTGGCTGCATGCTGGAAGCGGTTGGCGTGGGCGGCACCACTGTCGCTGGCGTTGATGGAGGAGCCATTGCAGAAGTGTCGCGTCCCTCTTCCGTCGTCGCCTTGAGCAAAAGGTCCATTCTTAGACTCTCAGGTGTCGGATGAAGAACAAGGGTGTATATTTTCGGCTTTGGGGCAGCCTTATTGGCCGAGGTATCCGCAAGCACGCTCGAGGACTCATTTTCAGCATCCTTCTCATCGCCGTCCGCCGTATCTTTGGTATCTTCTTCTTTCGGCTTTCCATTCGTTTCGTTTGGATTCTGTTCTTCTTTAGGATAAGGCACATAGGGGGAAGGCGTGAGCCATTGGTTATAGTTGTGAATAGATGATGGTACGACGGCATTGGAAGCCGACGAGGGTCGCTTGACATCCTTTGTCTGGGCTACTGATTTGTGATCGTGGATCTGCACGATGAGGCAGCCTTCGTAGAATGGCACATGGTCTTTGTTAAAGTACGGAAGGAGGTCGTGAGGTACTGTGCGATTCTTTGTATGCTCAAGAAACATCCGCATGGGTGACTTGTACTGGAACATGCCCTCTTGACCATCGAATCGGAAATGGTTCTGATGTAAATGGACAACCAAGGACGGGGGTCGCCCGGCAAACTTCTTCAAGATGTACTTGTCGGTAACAACTATGCACATGTTAGACCCCAGTTGCACTGATATCGCTGCGCCACGGGATATGAGAGATGCTGTACCTGCAGGTCGGGGCTCATTATGAGCCGCATCGTCCATGGCGAAAAATACTGACCGCAAGCCTGCGCTTCTTGAACTTCGCCCCGCCGACAAATTTAGAGTATCGCGACGGGCTCGGTGGTTAGGCCGCACAGTCGAGGCAGTGATGGCCCGGTCGCTGGCCGAGCTCGGCGCCTTTGCGCTGGGGGGCTTGATATTGGACATGGATGGTGAAGGTGATGATGTGGACGATGCGGCTCCGTTTGTCTGGATGCCGGGAGGCACCGGCCGCTTCATCTTGCCTGGGGCGTTCTGCACCGCAGTGGTGGTGGTGGTGGTGGTGACGTTGGACGGCGCCATCGTGACCCCGGATGCACCACGACGGCGCGCGTGGGCTTCAGGGAGAGTCCTGCCGCTTTGCTCCCACGGCGCCTGCTACGAGGATGGCCCGGCGTCCAGGGCAAGCGTCTACGCCTGCGTCGCAATTGCAGTCGGAGGTCCAGAGGGTGCGGATAACGTGAATGTTGGAGTCGCGGCGCGAGTTGGGTGGGCTGTGGAGACGATCGCTCAGCGTGGATCGGCTGGTGCAGGAGGCCCGGGGAGGGCGGCGCAAGAGAAGAATGGTCAGCAGCGATGCATGAGCAAGCGATGAAGCGTACGTCGGCAGAAACGAGAGGCGAGAGAGAGTTGGATTTTGCCAGCGACGTTGCCGTTGCGCTCAAAGGACGTTGCGAGATACAGCGGACGTTGAACCTGACTGACCAAGCTGAGAGGCTTTACGATCACGTGACTCCACCTTGCTGTCCTTGGCTGCGAAAGTGAGTTTATCTAATACGGCCGCATCTGCGATAGTTTATAGATGGGTCGAGCGAGTAACAGCAATTCGACTTTTCCCAGGCTACAAAGCAACTCTGCAAGGTATATTAAGCCATGATACCAGTCATGACTTGACTCCTATGCTACGTCCTAGCCATTACGGTCGCACTGAAAGAACATTATTGTTGACATGGGCGGCTTTACCATGCAATTGATGCCCAGTTGAGATGCATCTCAGCTTTCTCTTTATTTCTTCAAGTACATTTCAACATATTGGAGTAGTGGAGCCCTCTAGCAAACCGAAGTAATTGATGAGGCCGATGTCTGCGACTTGACGACATATCAAATGCCTCCATGCGCAGTATGATGTCTTTTGAACTGTGATGACTAAGTACATGCAGTAAATGGCGAGCACTACTAACCTGTATTAATGTGTACATATATTGCGCTTCTTCGTCTCTTCTCTCCAAACACAGTCATTAGATGACAGCGCGGTGATAAAGTATCTATTTAATAAATCGCACTGATAAATAAAGCAAATCAAATAGTAGCTAAAGGTAGGTATATACAAATCTACACAGCCAGCTTCCCGGTATATTCCATTTCATTAAATACTTTGATACGTACCTAGGTACCATCAAACAAAACTCGCTCGCCTGCTCTACTCCCGGCCCTGAACTCTGCGTGTCCAATCATCATTTACGCGCACGCTATCGACAACAACGATGCCTCGTCCACGACCGACGCGCTCGGGTCGCTGCCACCATTTCTCGGGCTTGTCAGCAGCCTTTTCAGCTTCAGATTCACTGTCGGCGAGTCCACCGGATCCGTCTTCGGCGCCCACAACCAAGATGATGTCGTGACGAAGCCATGTCTGAATGTTAGTAATGTAGCTGCCGTTGTCGCCAGAGAGAGACTCTTGGAGATAGATAACGTCAGGCTGCAGGTGGCGGAGGACGTGAGTGTGGCCATTGGGCGTGGTGAACGGAAGAATCATAGTCTCTTTATCAACAAGAGCCAGTGCTTCAGAGTAGACGGCGTTGAACAAGGTGTTCTCCGGGGTAGCGCCAAGGCTGATGGCAAAAAGTTATTAATACTATTCAACAGACTGAAACAGAGTTTAGACTTACACAGGGCTCTTCGCCTCGGGAGTTTGAGCTTGATCATATCCAACGTTAGAGAATGACGAGCTAACCGAAGGAGGCGGGCGATTACTCGTAGTGGTATCAACCGTGCTATCCTTCAAGCTTGGCGCGTAGATGAGCACAAAGAGCTTGATGGCAGACAGGTCATTATGGCGAGGAATGTGGTTAAGAATTGACTGCGATGCCCGAGTTAGTAGCCAAAACAACACAAGCTGCCATGCAGGTAAGCAAGCATCGGGCACTTACAGCATGTTCGTGGGTAATGTCGTCGTCGTCGTCTGTAAACTGGGAATCGGCAGAAATGACAATGGCAACCGTCTTGCGCTTCTTGTGGACAGACTGAGGAGGAGCAGGCCCCTTTTCTCTTCGGACTTCTCTCTCTTCGGGCCAGGGGGTCGAATCGTGCTCAGGCTTGTCTTCCTCACGGATCGAGGCCAGCGCCTTGCCAACGGCGGCGCCAGCAGCAGCGACGCCAGCAGCAACAGTCTTTCCGGGGTTTGATGTAAACGCGCTGCTCACTCGCGACCCCCATCCCTCTGCGTTGTCAGATCCAGTCGCATAGCTCTGGTCGCGTTGGCGGCCCTGATCCGGCGGCGGCGCCAGTCTGCGCCTCTCTGCTGAAGCACCATATGCCGGATTCTCTCCATAGTCCGCATTTTCATAGTCCAGGCCGGGATCCGGCTCAGTGGTGTGGTCTTCGGGACTCTCCTTGCGCTGGCTCCAGACCCAGGCGGCGAGGCCAGCCGTGGCGACGGTGAGGGTGACCGCAAGAGGCACCCAATGGCTCCAGACGCCTCGCCGCGAGCGGGAGGAGCCCCGATTGTCGTAGGGAGGCGACATTTAGACGGAGGAGCGTAGCATCGCTTGCCGGTGCGATATAGCAAGCTGCCCGGCTGAAGACGGCGGATCGTGATGATGCCCAATCCCTGGTCACGGTCGAGAGCTGCAAGATGCTGTGCTTTGCATACAGCAACAGACGAAGTGGTTCTTCAACAGCGGCTGAGTGGGGGAGGTCCTGAGGCCGGCGGCGAGTGTGTCGCAACAAGTCCGGTGGCTGGGGGTTCAGCTGGCTTGGGATGTCAACAATGTGGAGCGGTCCCCGATTGTTCCCAGCAACGCGCCAGCGCGGGTCCCGAGGTTGCAATCGCGGCGTGGAGCAATTTAAATCCCGCGCCACCGAGGCTGCACGCACGTGAACGCCACGCTCGGATTGGCGCACCAAGGCGGCTGCACCAGCCACATCTAGAAGCTGCGCCACAGCCAAATTCTAAATCTCAGCCTTGCGCTGCTATGACTCTTCAAACTTCAAGGTGGGGGAAGCTTGAAGATGTTCACAACCCCGGTCAAATCTCAACCGGCTGCATATAACTAGCAGCATCCCGATTCTCCTGTGGCCCCCTTGGACACACGACCGCAAAACCTCCACAGATTGGGAAACGGGACTACCTCGGCACTCACATTCTGCTTTTCTGTGCGCAGAGGGGCTCTGAGAAGCAGGATGCCTCACGCCTTGTCGATGGCCTCAACCGGGCTGCAGGCCCTTATTCTCTGCGGGCCCGGCTCTTCATTCCCTACGTTCACCTCGAACCCGGATGAGAACCCAAAAGCTCTGCTCCCCATTGCCAACCGCCCTATGGTGTGGTATCCCATCGACTTCTGTCTCCGCACTGGCATCACAAGTAGGTGGTTTTCTTTTCATTCATTTGACAGCTTCATTTCTTATGCCCGTCTCATCCAGACTTTTCACCCATGTCTTCATGTTTGTGGTGATGGAGAAAAATACATAACACATGTCATGGTGCGCAGGATAATGGCTGACAACTCTCAGACATAACCCTCATCTGCCCTCCATCGGCTGAAAAAGCATTGACAGCCGCTCTCAACACTAACCCCTATCTGACGGCACTGCCGCTGCCACGGCCAGACGTCTTGGCTCCTGCTGACCTTGACCAGAACACTGGCACAGCTGAAATCTTGCGGCTGCCAGAGATCAGGGAGCTAGTAACGGGGGATTTTGTTGTTCTACCATGCGATCTCGTTTGTGAGCTTGCTGGCGAACAGCTACTCCAGGCATGGATGGTTAAATCTGCCAGTCTTACGGGCCTCCTAGGGACACGACAGCTTTCAAACGGCCACCAGAGCAGATACAGCGGAGGTCTTGGCGTGTGGTACAACACAAAAGCCAGTGCCCCGGTCAAAGGCGAAGAGACAGACTTCATCTCTACGGCCCCTCTACCTTCTTCCCCGACTGCCACCCCGAAAGGATCCATCTTTCCAAACGTATCAAAACTGGTTTACTCAATGCCCACCGATTCGTTCAATGATCTCACCGAGGAGAGAAAGGCCATTCCAATCCGCCACGGATTGATGAAAGCCAACCCTCGAGTCCGCATGTACACTAACCACAGAGATGCGCACATCTACATCTTCCCTCGATGGGTATTGGACTTTATCAAAATGAATGAGCGCTTGGAGAGCATCGGCGAGGATGTGATTGGCTGGTGGGCCAAGGCCGGATGGCAGTCTGGCCTGGCAGACAAGCTCCAGTTCGGCGAGGTTTTGCGCAATGGCGATGATGACGGCGAGGAAGACAAATCCGTGGGCGGCCGCTCATCTCCCACTGAGTCTAGCCCTGACAACCAGGATAACTCAAAGGAGGCCACTTCAGCAAATCCCACTACGGATGACAAGAACGCATCTACGGCAACGACATCAGCATTTGAGCCGCCGTCTATCCTCGCCTATATCCACTCACACAAGGAGGGAGCAGCAGGTTCCATTGTTCGCCGCGTTGATACGGCACAGCTCCTTTTGGCTATTTCATTACAGCTAGCGAAGCTTCCATCTCTTGAGGAAGCAGACACCGAATCCCCCTCGCCCTTTGCGCACCCTAGAAAAGTCGCTTACCCTGAGGGCGTGAAGCCTCGCACTACCATCACTAAGCAGGACAGTCTCATCGGCGAAAACGTCACCGTGGAAGAAAAAACTTCCATCAAAGAGACTGTAATTGGTGCTGGCTGCCAAATTAATGAAGGAGCCAAGCTGTCTCAGTGTCTTCTCATGGAAGGTGTCGTTGTTGGAAAGGGATGCAAACTCACAAGATGTATCCTTGGTAAGAGGTGTATCATCGGCGCGGGTTCCGTTCTCACAGACTGCGAGGTACAGGAGAATCTTATTGTTGAGCCACGTAGTAAGTATCTTCCTTTTCTTCCCCCCTCTTCATTATCTTGACCGATAATCTTCTCGTTGCACATGCTAATACATCATTCCCACACAGCTGAGGACAAGGATAATAAGCTCATGAGCTCCGAGGGTCTCGAGGCCACAGAGGCGGAAATGGAAGAGGTTCTCCATGAGATGGACGAAGAGGTAGCCGCAACAGGCGAAGATGTGGGTTTGGAATAACGTATCAAAAGTTTGCTAGAGAAAAATAAACAGTGAAATTTGCCTACTTTGATGAATGCTAACCTGCACGTTGATGAAAGTGATGTCCAAGTCCTTAATCTTTGTCAACCTGCAACGAACAGACACGCACAATGCCCTATTTTAATGAATTTACAAAGTTTATCAGCAGCTGTGATAAAATATGAACAAAGCTCAATGACTGCTTTACCCGTCTTGTTCCATTCTGCTATAGCAGAGTTATGCACTACCCGCAACATAGAACAACACAGGCAACGTCGACATGAGCTCATGTTACCATCATCGCACATCAACATTTACAGCAAAACCCCAAATCGAGATACTCTACAATAACGAATAATATTCCGTGGAATAAATCGTGCTGCCTGGCGCCTCTTCCAGACGGTCACTTATCGGTATCACGCACTGAGACATGCATATGCCCGATGCTACACAAATCAGACCACTCTCAGACATACTAGATCAACTAGATCAACTAGATCGCAGCTAGAGCAAAGCAAAGGAACTAATGGCGAAATACGAGTGAATTCTCGCCACGGAGCTTTTTCCGCAGTCTCTTTGTTTCCCCCAAGATATTTTATTCCCTCCTCGCCACATTCGCTTACACTCACTGCTAACAATGTTCTCTCGCCCCCAAGTAGCTTATCAGGCCACTTTCAGGGCTATTACGGAACTAATTATTTCAGCTTTCTTTTCTTTTTTCTGTTCCTTGCTTTTTTTCTCACTTGCCACTTACAAAACATTTTTTTTTCTCTTTTGGCTTACGTGGCAATCGAGCTGTAAGGGAACCAGCTGCGCCATTCCGCTCTGGACAAACAATCCCACTTCGGGGAGCCTCATTTGTCGTTAGAACCCTTCAAATCTCGGCGGATTAGCCTGCGCTACATCACCTTGTGACTTGGACTTTCACAAATAATCTTTCTCCATCCGGATTACGGCCAAATGGACAAATCTCTAGAGACAAAGAGGGCTGCGATGACGTCCGCTCAAGGGATTCGTAAACACGCCTAAGCGAAGACCACCGGATAACATCATCATGGCCTTGGCGATAAATCCGGCCTGACCTGAGACAATACGTTTGTCTAGGTTTCTGCGTAGCATAATGATTGCCTGATTTTCTCTCCCCACTTCAAAGGACTCTTCTGCGCATCTCGATCGAAGAAAGGAGGGCCAGACCTGCAGATGCTATCGCCAGTAGCAGCGCGAACCAGTTTCCTGGTATGCGCCCCCGCGGAATCTTCCCTGGGGCTGATTCCTCCCTCTGCAGGCACCTGACAATGCGTCTGCCTCGTGCTAAGAGCCCTCCCCTGAATCAACCAATTACCGGCTGAGCTGGGCATGCAGATATCGCCGACCTCATCCTGCTAGCTGAGCTGAAGTGAACAGGCCCCCAGCTACCACAATTGAGCACTCAGTTCTTAAACTCTGTCATATATCATATAGCCAAACACATATAGTAATTTGGATATCAGAGGCGTGTGGTTGGGGCAGTCGTATTTCGTATAGCCTTTGGTGGTAATATTCCCACAGCTGTCACCCCAGTCGACATAGGGTATGGTATGGACATGCTACGGCCACGCCACGTCTCTGCTGTCAACACGAAAGGAAACGTACTTGACCATTTTACATGCCGAATACCGAGGAAATGGTACTCTGGCGAGCTGGTAATTCCAGTACCATGTTGTCGGCTCTGTTGGTCCCTATTGCCGTCGTCCCTGGATCAGATTTTCATTGCACTAGCTCCTTCAAGTGCGCTTTGACCCAATGTCTTGCACGTCTCTGTGTATCATCTCTGCCAATGATGCTGTTACTAGTAGTACTAGCAGCATTATCAAGAAGCATGCTCGGCCAACAGCACTCGGCTAGACCCCTAGTAGCATGGGCCGCTCGATGCCGAGATGGGGTAGCACTAACAGACGGCTACGATCATAGGGAGACGTCAAAACTGGTCGCGATCGGGACGTGCTTGGACACGCTTAAGCGCAATCGCGCAAATCCCCTAGACGAGGTCGCCGAACGTGTCCAAGTAGTGCGGCATGATGTACATCTGCTCCTGGCACACTGACGCATATACCTCGACTACCGCCCCGCCCGCTTCTTGGGAAGCGTCTCAATCACCACCCAACCAGTCGCAAGAATACGACTCTGCCAGTAGGAGAAGCTTCATCCCCCCACTTTCCAAGAACGCGCTGAAGCAGCTGAGACTTCTGGTTGATTCTGCACGAACGGAGAAACTGAGGCAAATAGTGTGAGCTGAGATTCCGAAAATGGGGAATGCCAAAGGTATGGCCAGCGAGCAAGACAATACTAGCTTGCCTTTCTTCAAGAATCTGAAACCGAGAGTCTGAGTAGCCCATACAGCGGATGATCATCAGGGTCCATCAAGGTGGTCATTGCCAGATACCTGTAAATGGCAGCCAAGTAGAGCAGTGCGAAGAGGGACGGACCGGACGGATGGCGCATTGGTGCACCACCAGATCCTGGGAATGTGCCTGGGTAGAATCGTGGTGGGTGGGATGGAGTGCGAAGTCATGGCGATGGTGAGCCAACTCGTTTCATGACTTGGTTATTTCCGTAGCATTGCCCTGAGAGAGACCCCCGGAAGTATGAGTGAGTCCCCGAGTTCTCAAGGTGATGGGAGCGGGCCGGAAGTGCGTAGCTAGCAACTCTAATCACAGACGCCAACCAACGAAGCAGCTCTGGCTTTTGATGGTGTTAACACCATCTTGGCGAGGCAGCCGAGAATAATTTCGCAGGTAAATCGATATACACCCAGACCTGTCAAGAACGCCTATACCCTCGTACTCAGTCCATCAGCATAGTTCATCCTGTTTCGGCCACTCATCGGCCGACACATTTTCAGCCAACAGACAACCAGAGACATGCATGCCTAGCAGTGTATACACACTAACAGCTGAAGGACCACGCAACCACTGTCCGGCTGTGATGTGATTTGCTATACTGACAGCCTGTTCTGATTAGTTATATCCGAATCGGGCGACGCGCACTAGCTCGATATGATGCATCATGTGTAGTATTTCGCTCTGAACTTGAGCAGAATCTTGGTTGCCTCGACTGATCCCCTGACGAGCTGAGCCAGAGACCAAGATCATCACCATGCAGTATGCAGCATGCCATGCCTTCTTACATGCAGCATGACCATCGTTTCTAAATCCGGTCCGGCGGAGAGGAAAATGTTTGACATACCTAAACAGGTAATGAAAGCGAGGAACAAACGAGCCAAGAATAAAAGATGGGATGATGGTCGCCGTCGCAATACGAGGCCTAGTTAGGAACAGAACAAGAAAGAAAAGCATAAGAAATGGAAAGCGTTTCGCCGGAACCAGAGCTATCCGGATATTGAGGCTGAAAATAAGCTGCAGGGTATGCAGCCACACTTTGAATGCGAAGTGAGAAAAGATAGTTGAATACGGCCTATTTGATGGCACGGGGCTTTTCCAAGCATCGCCGAGTCAGTGTCTCTAATTTTGAAATGAGGAGATTTGATTCGGGACCAATATTTCGCGCGGGAGAAGAGATATGGCTGCCGACACCAATAAGATGGCTGCCCACACGGGGCCACGTCCATGTCCCAGCCTAGTGTCGATCCACGCGTAAAGCTAGGAATATGACAAGTCGATTATTTTGCTACCCACTCGGCCGAGCTCCATCACTGATATGAGAGCCAGTCTTATATAGAGGCACATGTTACAGCTCATATTCTCTTCTCTCCTTTGTGGTTACTCAACTGGAAACACAACGCATAGCAGCCGCCACCTGGAGACGCGTGACTGATACGTGAATGCGGTCTTGGCTGTCACACTGATGCTGCATGAACTGAGACATGCTCGCGCCCAACATCACGATATGACGGCGGCTGTCGACTTTTTTTTTTAAATAGTAAAAAACCGACGGGTTGGTTCGCCAGTGATGCCGTGTTACCAGAGCGCATTACCCGACTGCAGCACACAGATCTGGGTTTGGGGTTGGGTGTAAAAATATCGGACTGTTATAAGTAGGTAGTAGCAAACGATGTGACGTGACACACCCTGTTTCCCGTGGTCGGTGCTTGATAGCTAGTTGTCGTTGGTCGAGCGATGGAGCGGGAATGGCGGGAATACGCCTTGGTAAGTCGCTCATTTTGATATGGGTGAAGGCTTGATAGAGATCTGACTCCAGGGCCTTAGTTACGCCATGTTGCGGTCATGTAATCGCGGTTTTCGGCGTAGAGTATACCGAAATCAACTGCCGCGCAAACAAACAACTTGGCTACAAAAGTATCCGCGGAAGATACCCGCATTAGCACTGCTGCTACTACTCAGTAGAGCCTAACACTGCTTCGGACCTGGCTCGAATCTAAGCCACTGATACGGGCTGGCGAGCGATGGCTTCTATTCGACGAAGTTGATAGAGGAGGCCGTACGAACACTATACTAGTGTTTGAGCCAGCCAAATAGGCACACGGCAGGGCGGACTGCTCCTAATTAAGAGTAAACAAAAGCTCTCGAGTGGCGCCGCAATTTGGCTAGTTTTGAACTTGGTGTGCTCTAAAATGGGCTGAAGTCGTTATCTGCCATCAATAGCTGTTAACAGCATCCAAGTCGCCAGAACACTACCAAAGCGGAGCCCTCAATGGCATTCGGCCCCAGATACACTTGCCGCGTATTGACTACTGCATCTGCTAGGCCTTGTCTAGCTAGAAAAACTTGACGGTTTGATGTTCCTTTGAAGTTTACGCTAATCAAGTCGACAAACGTTCAGACGGCGCGATGTAGGAGCGAGCATAGCGGGAGCGTACTAGACGCTAGGGAGCAGTAGATGTATTGCGAAGAGAACAGAGATAGCATTTGGCCAGCATCGAGCTACCGCTCAAGACCCTTGCCTCTAAAATCGTTGAACGGCAGGATTGCACGCTTGGTTGCTAGAGGGGGAAACAAGACTGACGCCAGTCGAAGAAAACGTGATAGCGCAAGTGCTGGAACCAAATTGGTGAGCGGCAGCCACGGTAAGTAGGGGCCATTTACTAACCTGGAGAAGCTATCGGTTCTGGGATTCTTTGGAGGGGAGACACGGTAACAACGATGGCCAAATGAATGCCCAGCACAATCGAGCTGACGGTGAAACTGGCGTTGCTGTGCTGCCCATATCGCTCCGCAAGAAAACACGTGGCGTGGCAGGATTTCCACGAGACGCTCAGCAACGACGAATTTTGTGTGCAAGGAACAACGGATGATTCCGAATCATTAGACTGAGTCTCTCTTCCCTTATTAGACAATGTTTTATGGCCAGAGCTGGAGAAAACGGCGTTATGCGCTGGTCATCCACTAAAAGGGACGGGGCGGGCTTCCCTGCGTCTGCCCCTGCGTGTTAGTAAAGTCGCATCTTTCATTGAATGGGGCACTCTGGCCTTGGTCTTCAGGCGGATGTCAAACATAAAGCATTGCGCTACTCACCATATTGGCCAGGGATACGCAGCACGGCGAATCAGCGTCAGCGAGGCTCTGATTCGTGTTCACCTCCCTTGGACGCTGGCTGGGGCAGGCGGTCGATCCTCTTTTGTGTCCGGCGTGTCTGCGAGACTTTATCTGCATTAGCCTGTGATGATGGGTCCTCGCCCGCGCGCAACGACGGCCTCTGCGCACTTGCTCCGTAATCAATAATGATGGATGGCAATTCACAGTCGAGATATGAGATGTAGGGCGGATGGAAGTGAACACTGCAGGTGTAGGTACAATGGCAAGTTACCTGCCCACTTATCGATTATGGACAAGTACCCACATATTCGATAAACACATATCCACAATAGTTGCCCCGCCCATAGTTTTGTCTGGGGAAGAAGCCATTCCGAACCATCTTCATGTGCCAATGGCTCGCAACAGCAACAGACGCCACACAGAGCAGACCACCGCGGAGCGTATACAGCAGGAATCCGGGGACCACTCCCGGTAGCGGTGGCTGAGCGGGAACAAGTGAGCTGTCCCTGACTGCCTCTATGTCGGCTCTTAGGACATGGTCCGTCGAAAACTAAGTGCAGCCAGCTTCAGGGACCCGTGAACTCTATCGCTAGTGGGCGCCCATCCTCATACTGGCCGGCGAATCGACCGTCCGAGTGGAGGGAGAGCTAGTGCTGGGACGGCTTGTAGTGCCTGGCAGAAGACGGCTCCTGCAGTGGGTTCTTGCCTGACTCTAGGTCGCCAATTCTGGCCTCTCTGGATTGCCCTCACGAGGAGGGCTGGGTATGTGAGACTTTGTATGAGCAAGCGTCAAATCGACTCCATATGCCATCCTTTACTGCTTTCCCTGATCTGACTCTGCCACACGCTTTCCAGCCGTTTGCTCACGACGGTGCGAAACAGCCCTGGACTGGATACGGCATGGCTGTTCAGCATTGCCTCGTTGACTTATTGCCTGCAGCTTCCAGCCTTGGGACTGCATTTTCCGGCACGGCTGTGTGGTCGTCTGTATGATGGCAGCCATTACTCTGAACCGTTGCCACTCGCCTGGCCGGTGGCAAAAGCAGATATTACCAAGTGGGAATCGCGCTGGAAGCCATCTTCCCCATCCGGCTTTGCTATTTCTCCGCGGCTGCCAGAAAGATACCGGTACTATTCCCTTTACTTACGCTATCTAGTCTACATCTTGCATGTCTCAACCACCAAGACTCTGACTCGAACTTTAACAGCGCTGTCGAACTAAACTGGGCCTATTTCTTCGTCTTGAACCGCTACCTTGGCGGTTCCACCTCCAGACGGTGTTTAAGCAGATGAAACTGTGGCCTGGTTGTGTCCACATTCCAACGTGCGTCTCCGTTCCACTTGAGGTTCAGAACATTGCAAAGCGGAGCCATGTCTATGTATGAGATGACTATCGAGAGATGATCGGGACTCTGGAGTTGACACAAGAACGAGACAAAGTCGACCTTATGCCCCGCGGCCTCAGCGGAGATAAACATCCTCTAACCATGTGGGTTTTACACGGTGTATCGCAGGCAAGGCCCTGGCTATCCACACACTGATGACCACTAATGCCTGATAAGGCTGCAATTCGATCTTGCCAGTATCCTTGTACGGGATCTAGTTGCATATTAATTGTCCAGAGATGTACGGAGCACCAAGTATACGCAGCACAGACGATGGAGCAATACAAGGCCGGACTAGCTGAGATCCGCCCGCTAAACAGGGCCAACGTACCAATGGCATCAGATCACGCGGAGAGACCCTGGCCAACCGGGCACATCCGATCGGGGTCCCACTCATGGCAAAGGTACGAAATGGCCTAATCAGGAAGGGATGTATGTATGTATGTACATACAGCTAGCAACGGACTGCTCGCCGCGAGCTGGCGTGGCGACACCGCCTCGAAAAGTGACAGCAGACTTGTATGGGCGTGCATTTTTTTTGCTTTTGCGCGAGTTGGCGTGTTAGTCTTGGGCCGAAGCCCAGGGTTTTTTTAGCCAAGCTGGCCGGCATAGTCGTGGTCTGTACAAAGTAGGTCCGCCGCGTCTATCCCTGTCTTCAGGTCGCATGCAAGTGCATGAAAGGCCGGTTGGCAAGTAGTACTTACTGGGGCCTTGATCGCTATTGTATTTGATAGCTGGACTCATGCTCTTACACCAATGGCGCATAAATGGATCTCATGTGCACATATGCATTTATTGCCCCCCTGTTCTGTTTGTTGCGCGGCACACTTGTCTGTGGCTCAGCATACAGTCTCTAACCAGCTTGATTTGCCCCCCAACACCCGTGCCAGGCACCCTGCCAAGCGGTAGATCCACGCAAGCAAGGCCACGATCGTTTAGGAGATGCGCTATCACACGGGCGTCTGCATGGCAGGCAGCGAGGGCAGGCAGTGAGAGCGGCCATCCACACAAGCTATGCTACGTACATGGAGACGTAATATTACTAGCACATATCGCTTACCATCCAAACGCCGCCTAGCACAAATAGGTGAGCGATTCGAAAGTGAGTTGACAGGGCGCAAATTGAACTCCCCCCTTCTCCATCTATCCCTTGACACGCCCCCCGGCCTAAACGGATAAGAGTTGAGATGCCCAAAACACGACAGACCATAATATACGCCGGCGATAAAAGTCCGTCCGTATTCACCCTCGCTTGCTATGGTCTTGGACACACACCCCTTCAGATCGGACTTTATCGAGATCTATCGAGGTCTCCTTGACTGTGGTGAACACCCATACCGCACCCACATTTCTTTTTTCTTCCATCTCGGTGTCACTATGTCACTGTCTGCTAAGGTCTCTTGCTCTCGGGGGACTGATCTGCAGGTCGGTCTGTCTCAGGCCGCTAATGGCATATCCAGGGACCATTCCAATCCAAGTTCTTGTATATCTTCACTCTGTCCGCCCTCGTAAATAACAAACATTCTTGCCAGATCCCCATTCAGCCCCCAGGTTTCTGCATGATCAGTCTTTCTTCCTGACTTGACCGTTCTGTTTGCTTGGAGTACCATCTCCATATTGAAGGGATCCTAACTTACACTCCTTCAATACTCAATACTCAATACTCTGCGATTATCATTATTCTTCACCATCATCATTATCATCATCACCATAATCATCATTACCAACACGACATCACCGAGCTGAAGCGTGTTTGTACATTATTTTCAAGCAGTCTTCCGCCACTCGTTCCCTCGTTTACTCATATCCCCCCTCTCAAAACAACATAATCCAAGATGCAACTCGCAGAGCCATACCGATTCGAGCTCGAGGAGCCCAGCCCTTATCTGACCATTCAATGCCCACCAAACGGCAGTTTTTCTTCAGTTTCTTCTAATTCATCTTCTCCGTACGAGGTCTTCACACCCATTTCTCGTCGTTCTACACCTAACGATATCAGAATGGACTTTGATGGCCCCTATCAGTTTGCAAGTACACCCACACCGCCTTCGGCGGTAGTGATGCATAAGTACATGTACCCCGTGAATCCCGTGAAAGCGGAGCACGAGCGTATGTCTTTCTCTTCCTCGGACGGAACTCTTTCTCCTTCCACACCTCACAGAAAAATGCACGGCGTTATGTCCCACGAATACATGCTCGACGTCAACAGCATCAACTCACACTCTATGGGTTCCATTTCCCCCTCAGGTCCAGTACATGCCTACACTGAAGCACCTTTGCCATCAACATCCTACAGCATCATGACACCTACCCACAGCGTCTCTCCCTCGGAGATTGTGGAGAGCAATGGAACTACATGGTGCAGCAGTGACAGTCCCATCTTCTTCAGACCAAAGCAACAGTCTCCGCAGCACGTTGAGCCCTTGAACCTTCATCAGCGATACTCAGAATCGCCGATGGGACAGAGGTACAACAACTACCACCCGCTTTCTCAGTCCTCGCATAGGCTGGCAAGTCAAAGAGGCCCGGCTTGGAATGCTGCCGTCATGACCAAGTCGGCTGATCTCCAGGAGACGATCCGGATGCAAAGCAAGGTAGTGCCTGAAAAGAATGACCCCGGCTCATACGACGTTGTGCGAAAGGCAATGTGCAAGTGTGACTACCCCAACTGTCACAAAGCTTTCCGAAGAAATGAGCATCTGAAGCGTCACAAGCAAACGTGAGTATAGTCTACGTGATGAGAGAGCATGGTGTAGAAAAGTACTAATCCATTCATTAGATTCCACGGAGAAGGCCCCAACCGGTTCTCTTGCGAGTTTTGTGGAAAAGACCAGTTCAATCGTCAAGACAACCTGAACAACCACCGCAAACTACATGCCCGTCCCAATAGCCGCAACCGCGGAGTTGAGTTCATCGCCGCTGCGGTACCCGTCATTGAGCAAGAGGAGCGAAGCCGTAAGAGGCGAGCACCTCCCAAGTCAAGACTGCCCACAACTGGCATGCCAGCTGAGAAGCGTTACTAGGGGACATGGCCCATCATCCCTGCCCGCTCTAGACATGGATTCAGGCAATACCTTGCTTTGAGCCTATCCCATGCAATCTCATCTATCCGTCTGCCTAGTGGGGCAAGCCACACCCGATAGACGCCGATGCGTCGGGAACGAGCTTGGATGATGACGGGCTGGCAAGGTGGCGGGCTTGTCATCGGGTAACAGCACATCAAAATTTCGTTTTCATATGTCTTTTTTCTCATGCAGTGGATATCATAGCCTCTGCCACCCGAAAGGCCAAGATAATTGGTCTCGTCTAATTGCAACACACCCTTCTGGCCGCTACGGCTCCAGCAGACAGCTTTTCTTTGTCTATCTCAACACCCGCCACACACACCCTTGGGCGGCAATTCACAACATAAAAAAAGGCAAAAACAAAAAAACCAAAAGCAATATCGTTTAACATGGCATCTATTGGGAAACTATTTTTCTCACTAATTTTCTTTATCATACTCGAACCAATGGTGGGAGAGGAGGACATACAGGGGAATAGGGAAGGACAACGGCGCCTTTTTCTGTGGATCTTTATAATCTTGATATCCCAGGTGGGAGTGAAAGGATACGTATATGGTTGACGCTTGGCTTTACTTTTTCTTTACTCTCATTTTCATTTCATTTCGTTCTCTACCACTACCCAAGTTAACACCCCCCCTGTGGAATTTGCCACTGGACCCCGACCATTTTCTTTTTCATTATATTGCCATTTCCCCCCTTTCCCAACAGCTGGTCGAAGGACCTAGCGGACTATTTTTCAGTTTCATTTTACTATGGTCGGGAGATACGCGTTTGATGGTTTTTTTTTTTTACTGATACCAAAGGATACACGAGACGGTATGGGCTTATTACGGAACTGTCAAGATAGATGACAACAGTATCCAGAATTATCAGTGTGTATGTAGCATATACACTGACAAATGTATAATATAGTACTATTGTGACGAATAACAACTTTGACTCTACATGACGACTTTCATTTTGCCCCGGTGCCTTGTTTCCCAAAAGTCAGGCTCACCGCTTCTCTCAAAGACCCTTTGGCCACTGTTTAGCAGCCAAGTGTATTAAGTGATGCATGCAAGTCTACGGATAGCTGCGTCTGGTTGGCTAGCCCTTTCGCACAAGAGGAGGACGAGGATAAAATGAGGGGGCCGGAAGTCGGACTCCCCAGCCTCCGGACAACGCTGGCGGCTGGAAGGCAAAATGGTAAAGAGGAATAGGAACAGGAATAGGAATAGTATAGGCGACTGAATCACCGAGAAGGATTACAAAAAAAGGGGGGGCGAAAAAATAAAAATAGAGACATTTTCAACGCGAAGCTAAAACAAGATTGGGAAATCACGGGGGCTCTCGGCGACCGGTGAGAAGAAGCGAGTAACCGCCGTCGAGAATTGTCTGGAACTTGCAGGAAAAGAAAAAGTCAATCGAAGAATACTTTGGGCTGGACGAAACGATGCTACGCTGCTAACGCATGCAACTAAGGCTTCACCGGTTGCTGTGCTGCGTTTTTTTCACATGAGATCGGGTTGCTTTGGCGAAAGTACATGTGCATTAGTGGCAGTATAGGTTGGCAGGGTTTTGTTCTGAAGCTATGCGCAGATCCTTGAATCCTTGATTTACCAGGGTCCTTTTTTTTTTTTTTTTTTTTTTATACTTGTTCCTGTGCGGTGAGGAGAAGAGCGGGGATGGTCTTGTCTTAGATCTGCCTAGCCATATGAAGTAGTAATAACTATTTACTTGGCATCTACTATCTTTTTGCTAGGGATATGATGAGAAGGGGCGGCTTCAGAGGAGAGATTGATCAAAGGGGGAGAAAAGAGGTGGGGAGGGGGAGTGTAAAAAAGTGTGAATTTGAGCGAATGAGAGAGTGCGCAGAGTGTGTTGGGCAGGCTTGAAGCTAATCAAGGTTGCTTGTGCGCACATGTGAATTGTCTTGGAGAAGAATTTTTAATGCGAGGAGGATTGGCGTTCTTTTATGATCTAGATGAAGGAGGAGGAAGAGGGACCTTGATTTTATACGGAGAGAACTGGGGGAAAAGGGAATATTCACCCATTGAGCGACGCGATATTTTCCCTTTGATGTGTGTAATTTCATGATGTTTTTTTTTTTCTATTATAAGTGTGAATGTATAAGCATGGGTATGCAAAAGCGTTGGTGATGTGGCTTTTATGATGACACTTTGCTTATACGTGCGTGTAAGGCCCCCCCTGGACCGCTCTTCCGTCTCCAAGAGTGTCAGCCAGAAGTACAAGTAAAGAGGCTTCAAAAAGGGCTTCAACTGCATCTCTCACGGCCGCTCAAAACTCCGATGGCTAGCGTGTTTATCTCAAGGGCTGGGATTGAGAAGCAGGCAAAGTGGTATTGGTAAGTCAGTTGGAACACTCCAACGTGGATAGTATGAGTTTTTTTAGTTTTCCAGACCTGCTTTAGTTCAAATGTCAGTCAAAAGTTAAAAGCAAGGCGCCAAGTAAAAAAGAGGATGATCATCAACGTAATAATACTGCAGAATTGTTCCCCCCCTTTTTTTGGTCTCAGAAACCAGAGTCAATGTTATGAAATACTAGTGCAAAGAATTGTGCAACGGCCAAGGGTTTTGTCTATGGGCATAACATGAAACATATTTTCATCCTGTTAAGAGTTGCGGTTTCTCGATGTGCAGGCGCACGCAATCATGGCCTGACTGAACACAAGTCTCAGACACTGCACAGGCTGCAGATAACGGGGTTTCTGTTTCTGCACGGCCGTTTCATGTGTATGTGTTCCTTATGCAAGTGTACACATGCATATGAGTTACCGGTAGTACAAGTAACAAGTATTTCAAGCCGTAATCTACTCCGTACGAGCCAACCAGCCAAGGTCCTAGTAATTAGAAGGAACCAACGAGTGACGAGTGTCTTGGACGTGTCGAAAGAGGTTAGAATATCGCAGCTCGAGCGTCAAAAGGCCGTGCGGATCATGGATCCGTGCGATGGCGGGAAAACAAGGTAGCGGCGCGCTCCCAAGCCAAGTTGTCGGGTCAATTTTCTTTTCTTTTTTCTCACCGTTTCTGGCACGTCTGTGTTACGTGAAACTGGTTAGTACCGTTAATGACATGTTGGCCAGGAGCGCCAAGGAGGTGGCTGTCCTGGTTGAGAGCTGGGCTGCTTAATTTCTCTTGTTAGCGCTCTCGACAACGCCACTTTCTCATGGGTGATGCGTCGTCGTAGTTGGTCGACTTGATGGCCGACTTCAACCTTGGCCAGTCGGGCACAGCAGCGGCCGGCGGCGTATGAGTTAGTTGTATGACATAGCTGTCTTAGCAGATTTAGCTTCAGAATGTGGAATGCCGGAACCGTTCCGTGCCGTCGGGCTGATGGGTGTTGGTATGACGCTTGGCCCATCCGAGTCCAGTCCGACCAACTGCCGTATGTGTTAGCAGGACGCATGTATGAACACGCAAATGCGCACGGAAGGAATATGGACAAGACGGGCTTGTATCGGAGGTGTCAGTATCCAAGTTGGAAGCTGAACAGTACGTAATTGACTAGAATCCGGCAGAAATGCCTTGCTCATGCGTGCGTCGGATGGGACCGGAGCTCGTCATAGGGTACGGAGGCAGGATGGACGTAACGATGGGCCAAGAGTCGAGGCTCCGATGACGCCGTAGCCGCAGGATCTGAGCGGTGAGGGCACATGGATTCTGTCAAGTGAGGCTGATGGCATGTCTCAGCTGCCAATTGGCGGTATATCGTCCATAGCATCGGACAGGTACATGGCACTAGGATGAGGAGGGTTTAAACGCTGCTTTACAGCTCATCGATGCGCTCTGCTGGCTAGTCCGTCTGGATACATGCATTGTACGCGTGCTGGCTGTCCATACATTGCAGGCCTCGGTAAGAAGAGAATAGGCAGCCTTTTCGGCCGTCGGTGATGGCGGTGCGGTGAGGTTGATGGTGATGCTACGTTGAAGCCTTTGCTTTGCCGGTTTAGCGCTCGCCAGGCGCTGCTGGCCGCTGTGGCGCCGGCGTGGCAACGATCTAGCCGCTATGGAGCGGCTCCAGTCACTGACATGGGTCTCGGGATACGGGGCAGCATCACCTGCATCCAGGAGGAGGAGTACATGATGGGCTGAGAGGTTGATAGGCCGAGAGGGCAGATTATACCTGTGGAGTATAGGCACTGAGCAGCCGCTGTTGGGTACCCATGCACAAGACACGGTGATGGGCATCGCTGCCATGTGTATTCGGCGGCTGTGCTCATTTGAAGCCTTGTACGTCGGGTAACACAGCACATGTAGGAACAGGGCAGATGGTGCGACCCCATGTAGCCGCATTAGCTCTTTATTAATGCATGCCATCTCAGGCCACCGCGGTATTGACCAATTTACAGCACATGCATTCATTAATCTTTCTCACACCGAGGGCCAGCGCATTCGACTTGGCGCTGGGCGCTGACTGCAGCTCGCACTAGCAGCCCTAATTGCTGCGAGTTGCAGGCTGCATGGATGCCAGTTTAGCATTGCCAGCACTTCTGGCATTCTTCTGCTGCATGTGTAAAGTCGATTAGCTTTCCAGATGCTGGCATTTTGTCTAATGCACGGGGCCAAAGTGAGTAAGAAACGGTGCAAGTGCTTCATAGACGAGATACGCGCGTCAGGTTCTGTTGTACGACATGAAGCGCGTCCCAATTGCAATCCTTGACCCGACTTTACATCCGAGACCGAATCGCCACTTCCCGATTTTAGACCCCACATCCCCGACCCTGGAACCGATGACGGCGTCCTGCCCTGGAGCAGAAATGGACATGGGAAATGAACGTACAAAATAGATGAAATGATACGAGAGTTGAGAGATGATGTTACTTTATACATCTCGGGTGTTAAAAGTGTAACATGGAGGAGGAAATCCGTCCAAGCACACAACTCTGATGGCATAATAAACTGCTTGCCAGGCACCTGTTAGATTCGGGTCCCGTGCCCAGCTCGCAAAGTGGCACATGTAGCTCCCGCAGTGGCTAGCTCTATCGGCGCAAGCCCACAGCCACAGAGCCGGCGCCACGTTCCGACTCCATCCTCGCGGCTCATCTGCTCCGTCAACCTCGAAGCTGAACCTGCTCTCGCAGCAATACCTGTGCATTACTTGTTCATTATCGCATGCCTAGTCTGGCAGGCTAACTAACGGCCGGGTGCGTCTCGTCGACTGCCGCCCGCCTGAAACATGCAAGTCGACGTCCTGCCATCGTATCAGCAGGCCACCTCTCGAGGCGACTGGCTGCGGCTGGCGGCTCCATACGTTGCCTTCACCGACTATCCAGCTCTGTGCTGTGTGAACCGCCGCTTCTGGTCCGTCTTTGCGCCGCGGATATGGAGAGACCCGTGTGCAGCGTCTGGGTGGCTGGGATGGAGAGGAGACAGTGGTGAGTCTATCCGGCACTGGCAGTACCCGCAGTATCAGACACAAGGGAGACTCTCCAAGTGAGAGGAAGAGTAAAGAAGGCAAAGAAATCGAGGTTGTAAAGAAAGGAGAGAAAGTGGAGAAGAGTAGAAAACGTATAGGAGTCAGATGGTAGAGGACAAGGAGAAAAATACTGGGCTAACTGTTGTCTTGACAGATGTCATATCCTGGTGGATCGACTTTATAGATCTCAAGTTACACAAGCTCTCAGCTCATACTCGCGCATTAGTCCGCGTGCTAGATGCACGAGCAGCAGCGGGAGACTTCAGCTTGTATCTCGGCCTCACAGAAAAGGCCGTTATTCGAGCCTTGGAGCTCTTGCCAAACCTGCAGAGCCTTCTCCTTGATAACAACCCTAATATGGAATTGCGCTTTCAGCGCAGCGGCGCCATCAATCGTCAGTTGGAACTGTCCATGTTGAGCGTCAAGAATTGTCCAAATGGAGTACCTAGAGGACTCATCAAGAATTACTCCCTCCGAGGGCTAGTTTTCTTGGACGTGTCTGGCATTGCCAGCGTGACTCCGCAGTTACTAGAGCCCGTATACTTGCCTGAATTACGTATCCTCAAGCTTTGCCGCCAAGGCATCAGTTCTACAGCATTTGCTGGCTTTTCAGCTGTCCTCGGCCGCCGTTTATGGAGTTTAGATCTAAGTAATAACAAGCTAACTGACGACGCTTTTCAACATAGCTTAAACGCCATGTTCCTAAACAAGGACCTGCGATCAGACGCCCGTGCTCAGACAGAGGGCACTCTGAAGAAACTTCCTGTTATTACAAGAGGCCATGGTCAGTTCTTCATGCTTCACGAGACAGCTCAAAGTATTTTGTTTGTTCCCGACGAGAGGTATCTGGCGGATACTCCACCATATACCACTCCCAACGCTCCCAACAACGTGATAACGCGGTCAGACGGCTCTGTCCCTGTGCGCTCAGACACAGCCGATGGTGTCTTACGTCTCCTGTCTCGACATGACGCCACTGACGCGGCACATCACATACAAAGCTCAGGCCTCACGCATCTGCACCTATCGGGCAATCATTTCTCTGCGTTTGCAATAGAAAGGATGCTGCGGGAGTCCCATGGCCAACTGGAGCACTTTGACTGCGATTCAATGCGTTTCTTTCCGCCAAGTGCAGTGAGAGGACATTTGTTGTGTCCATCCAATGCAATCCAGGTGGACGGCTTCTCGGGCCTATCACATATTTTTCGCCCAGTGTGGTCTTCCAATCTCCAGTCCCTCAGGATACATCATTCGCTCGTGACAAATATTCCTACCCTCCGATGTAGTAGGTACTCTTCCGTTGAAAGCACGTACTTGGCGGAAACGCAATTACATGCCCGTCTCAACCTTGCTTACCCACTGGCTTTTGTTCCGGATATGAATCCTCGGCTAGAGTCTTTGACATTAACTTGCGTTCCGCGCCATTCTTTCGGCTTGCTCGTTAAAATATTGATATCCTTTCTTCAACAGTTGGGCTTACAAGAGTCTTATGTGACGGAAACAAACAAAGCAGAGGCGTCTCGACCGGGAAAATCGCTGCGCTTGGTGCGCGGCCTTCGGAATCTGACATTAGAAATGGAGCCAGAATCTTTAAACAGAGACGACGCCGAACATCTCATGACCTTTGACGAGACCCAATACAGTTTCTTTGACAGCCCAATGGAGGAGACGCCATTGTCACCAAGACCCGCTTTGGACCTTTGGACTTGCCCCGACAAGAGTCAACTCAACTCTCCGTTGACAACTGTACAGCCATGGGATGCATATAATCCAATGCCAAGGACCTCAGATAGAGATACCATGAAAGACCAGTGGGTGCTCCATCAGCCAGAAGACGGCAGAAGTGATGCTATTGTGGTGTGGGCTGGCAATCCTGAAGCGCCAAATGACGTTGTCAAATTATACAACTATCTGGTTATCAACTGTGGCTTGAAAGAGGATGCAGGTCCCGTCAATCTCGCTCAGCAGAAAGCCGGTGCCCCTTGCGAATGCCTGATCTTCCACACTGTTTGGCTCTATGCTTCTTTGCCACAGCGGATACAACCGCCTCAGGCCGCAACACTTCAAGAGGAGATCAAGTCCAAGTCGAAGAATGTAGCTGCTGCATTGCGTCGGCTCCGGGTCCCGACACGTGAAGCCTTTGAGGCGGCACGAAAGATTGACCCCGACACTACAAATTGGTATTGGGGAGGAACCTTGAGAATCATAGACTCGCAATAGATACCCGACTCTGTTGGATGATTTGTTGTTGCAAGTTTTAATGACCAATAGAATATCTGAAACGTACAGAACATGCGTATTTTTTCCCATCTTTTTGCCTCCCGCTTGGCAGAGTCGCATGTATTACATGGAACGTACGTCGACATGATTTGAGACAACATACAAGGATTATCGAATACTGTGTTTCCAGCGACAACCGAGACATAGGCCGTCAAGCTTTCTTCATCATACTGCCACTACTGGCATGCCAATGAGGAACTTTCAGAGCCGCCTAGACAGCCGTTTGTGCCCACGGTTAGCACGGCTATGGTGACACTTGTACTACCGTGACTACCTGAGCTATGGGACGGCATGATTCCTTTACGAGGTGCCGCGGCAGTCATCCGGGGAAGAGGCCGGTGTGCGATGTCTCTTCGGATAGAGTCCCCCGTCATTAAGATGGCTGCACTTTGTAGAGCGTGCAAAATAGCATGTCTGGTTTGTTGGAGCTAGCAAGCGTACTCGTATTCTGCTCGGAGAGAGCAGATGCCGGATAGAGACACTTTCTGTGCTTTCTACGATGGCCGTCTCTTGTGCATGGCTTTCGGATCGGTGAAAGCAGATTGGTGCAAAGCTGGTGTTGGGACCACTGCTGCCTTAATCTGCGGCTGAAACATGCATGTGTGCCGAAGCGGTGGGAATAGTAGTGAATGCTACTCTGACGGAATCGAAGCCCAGTGTGAGGGTGCTTCCTTGTTTGATGCAATAAACCGCTATTCATGACGAATAGCGGCGTTTGTGGCGAGATGACCGATGGTTATGGCAGGGTGGGTGTTGGTGTATGAGAACGAACAAGTTGGGCCGTCTTGGCCTGTGGGCCTCGACTATGTCTCAGAATCGTTAATCTCTTGTCAAGCACGCAGTGGCATGTGATTCGTAGATGGACACGGACGTGATGCCGAGCGGCTGGGAGGGAAAAAGGAGTGCAAAAGGTGGCGGCTGCTTGGATACCCGAGTCCGCAAGGATGGCCCCCGTTCGTTTAGCTGTAATGATGGGACTAGCAAGCATTCGATATGCTACTATTTGCCTACGTGTTCAGCTTGGGAATGAGTTGCGTTTGATTCGACGGGAGCAAGTGCGGCTGGAGGCTTTGCCCGTTGGGTCCGTGTGCCGATGACTTGGTTTGAGATGATTGGGTCTTTGAGTTGCATTTCTATTAGCCAAGTGCATAGCGTTATACTACGACTACTACACAATAAATGCGTTGGAAGAAACAGCTCATAATAGAAAGCCTAAGCAAATACAGGTACTGTGGCCAACCGGTCCGTCACCCGACTCTTGTTTTCTCACATGCCTTGCAAGAGCCAATCATTTCGTTTCTTTTTTTCCTCAATAGGCAATTCATTGGGTAAGCCCAATAGCGCTTTTTTCATTTCTTTTTAAACAAATAGCGCTCATTATTAGGCTGAGTTATCTTTTTTTTTTCTGACATGGGTGGGTGACATTCCGTGTCTGGAGGTGCCGCCTGCCCCCCCTGAGTTCTGTGCCGGAGAATAACAGGGGTGGGCTAATGTGAAGGTATTGAGAGGCTCAAATGCGTCAGTGATAGGGGAGTTTTCTAATAAGAAATTGCTTTTGAAGGTTACTTTTTTTTAATAGTTGCTTTTCGGAACCCGGAGAGATATTCTGGCCTCCTTGCTGCTGAGAGGGGGGGTGTTCGGTGAGGTCGTTTTGATGCAGCTTGTCGGAAGGGGAATAGGATGACGAGTTAGGCGTCGTTTGGACTAGATTGGATTTAAATTGGATGGCTTGTGGATGGATGCGGAAGAGGGCTTTTGCTTTGCCTTTTGCTGCCTAGTTTTATATGCAGCTTGATGTGTGGAGGCGGTGAAGGGGAAGAGGCACGGTACGGGATGATTGAGGCGGGATGGGGTGTAGTATGCATTGGGTTGTTTGGTTGTTTGCTTCTTTGCTTATTGGAAGTAGGAGATGAGAGTTTGTGTATGCGTGCAGGGGGCAATTGTACTTGTATGAGCAAACTGTGTAGTAACTTTGTGTGAGCGGCTTATAGATAGGGCTGATATAAAGAGAGCTGGTCAAAATTTACTCATGACATTACTGGTATCGGGTAGAATAATATAGCCACTAGTCGTAGTAAAGACCTTTTGGATGAGGATGCGTCAAGTAACATCTGATTGTAACTGATTCAGAGCCGTAAACCTCAGTGACTTTGTATAGTTGAGATGTTTCGTATCTGAGTCTTTGTCGTCATAAAACTTATGAAACTGAAGAGAAGAGAAGTGCTGTGTAGGATGATTGTAGTATATCTGGTAGTCACATGTCTCGCCTAGTTGCTTTGAACTTGTGTGTTGGTAATGTTGGAAAGTCATCAAGATCAAAGACGAATTAGTCAATATAGATGATAGTAACATGGGATAAGCAGAAATTGCAAACAAGATTCATTACCAATGCCATTTTTTTTTTTGGATTGTTACTCCGTGGGAATGTGGAAAATGTGGGCAATATTGCTAATACCATTATGAGTGCAGTAGCAATACCAAGAGTGACGTAGATTCCTGAGAAACATGTATGCTGGGTGCTATTTTATAGAAGCAATAGGGTAGCAAAGGATATATAGAAACTATATGTAATGCTGATTGTAGTAAAACGTAGCGAGGGTATCATAACGATTCAGATTAAAAATGATCTCTGTCCTTTCTGCAAGTGCTATTAGACGGCCTGCTCAATGCCATCTCTCGAGTGGAATTGAGAAATACATTGTCTTTGGCTTTAAATTATAAAAAAAAGATATTATTTTGTCATACCAAAATCGCTGATTCATTTTCCCATCTGTTGAAGTTTTGGTAACAAACATACAATTTTAAAACTATAGAATGCTTTGAAAGAAGAAACTTTTCAGCATCATTACTACCTTTCTCTGATAGACCTTCCCTTTACCACATTGCTCAAGTCGCCTACAGGAATCTGAATTGGAAAATCGACAATAGCCAGCGAAATAGCCAAAAGGATATACCACCCAGCCAAACACGTCACGAAAGCCGAAGCGCCAGCGCCCTAAACGTCATTGCACACGGATCAGTTTCTCGAGGCTCTCTATTCATTAAGCACTTGGGAAGACTTCATGTATGAGGGTACATACCACGAGCAGTTTGTGAGCATAGTCAGCATTTCCCGCAAAATCCTCCGCCTGCGCCCAAAAGGCGCCTGTCAACAGTCCAAAAGCAATAGTCAGGCTGAGAAAGATGACAAAGAAGGCGACGTTTGTGCGTAGCGAGCAGATGAGGAAAATGATACAGAGTAGCCCCATGAAGAGAAACCAAAAGCCTATTATTGTTCACAGAACAGAGAGTCAAAATATTGTATCAAGATACAAGTAAGGAATGGATAGAGACTTACCTAGACTAGCATTGAAGCCAGTTGTCTTAAGACCCTCTGCACCAGCTTCGTCCTCGCCCGCAAAGGAAGAAAACGCTGCAAAGGAGGGATTCAAGACGCCTCCGTAAGAGAGCCAGAATGTACCAAATGTGCAAAACACGACGGCGGGAAAGCTATTGCCCAGGATCCATTCGAGGAGGCCGCCGAGGGTCATGAGGACTCCGCCCTGGAAGAAGTACACCGGGCTGACGGTAGAAGATTCAACTGTTAGTAGTTGTAAAGTATCAAGATGAATGTAAAGTGTTGTACGCACATTGTCGCCGCGCCGTCACCGCCTGCGCCGCGCCAACCCATGAGAGCGCATGACAACGGCGTCAAAGCCATGAGGAAACCGACAAGAGCACTAGACAGTTACATGGTCATAGTCAGTAATTGAACAGTCATTGTTGAGGTGATAAAGGCCAATGGATGTTTGCTTTACATCGGCGTCGGGTTTCCAAACGTATCTCTCAGCTGTCCCTTGACTTTGCTCTGCGGCGCCAGATACAGCTTCTCGAACAGCTCCGGCGTCATGCTAATGCTCGCTGCGGAGCGGAATCGATTGAGGGCATCTAAACGGTCCGAGTCGGAGTCGACATTGCTGCGGGTGCCTTTTTCTTCTGCCATGGTTGGGAAAAACCGGTTTGGTATCAAGGAAGAGTTGAAGGGATGAAGAAATGTGAGAGTGACAACTCAAACTTGCTTCTCGGTTCGAGCTTTAGAACTTATTGCTCAACTTACCATGTGTCTTCTTCCAGCCTGTCAGCGCCTTATCAACAACCTTGTTGGCCTCCTTTGTCCCGGACCCAGTAGCAGCCACGCAGAAACCTTACATTGCGTTGCCAAGCTGTTTAAACTCCGACTATTCAACTGCCTGGAGCTCCAATTGTCGGGAGCTGCCATCTCCCGGCCGCCCGATGTTAGCATGGATAGGTCTTACCTGCAGTACGCGTTACCCCAGACTTTGTGTCATGGCAGCAATCTCAGTTCCTCTTCCCCGTACTAATACGCCCCATTATCAGGCCACCAGGCCCTCGCCCGTCAACCATTCAGCTGCAATCCTTCCAACCCCCCACACCAGGAAACATCCTAGCAAAAGCAGCCCAAGCAAAAGCCAGGAAACGAGTCTCACCGCATATACGGAGACATGGCGTTCTCCGTCCGCCCATTCCTTCCAATGGCGTCTGTTGAATCTCGTCGTTCAAACTCGCCGTCTTTCCTAATATAGCAACGCATCTCTGTTTGGGCTGCCCCACAATTCCCAGCCAGATTCACTAGCCAATCCACTTCCCGCATTCTTCCCCGCCTTTCTCCACAGACCTACTTTATATCCGCTTGCCCGAGAGTACGTGAGGTTGGTATTTCAGAGGCCAACGTCTATTCCTTTGACTTTTACTGGCGTGTTGGCTGTGTAGAAATGACTATATTCTATCAGGAATATGGAGGGCAAGCGGTGTTGTGATTTTGAACGAGCCGCGTGTCCGTCGCGTAGTGGGAGTTGACATGAAGTCTACTTGGAAACGATGCGACGTCTGCTGGGAATTGTCACTTCAATGTAACCTGCAGCTGATTGTCGGTGAATAGCAGGCATTATTTGAGAGGAAAAATTGATACAACCCTGAAATCACAAGCATACCAAATCCACCCATCTTCAGAGTCGAAAACAGAGTCACTGTGAGAAAACGCCATTCACCCAATCATTCAATCGCCATTTTAGAATCCCTCTCTACACAACCGTCCCGTATCGTCCTACAGCTCCCCCGTAATATATGTATCAAAACAAGAATAGTTACAAAGTAGGGGATATATCCTACCCTCGAACCCCAATCCGACAATTTTTATTAGTCTCCAGCCCGGGCGGTTAAGGACGCCCAGCCCAATCTATGCCAAAAAAAAAAAGTAAAAAAAAAAAAAAAAAGAAACGAGTTTTCCGCTGAACACACAGAACAGACGCCCGCGAGCAAAATTGTGCATATGGCGAGATGCATTTGTCCCGTGATGGAATAGTGTTTTTGGTTTGTAATTCGCGGGTAACCAGCCGCTCTTCATGCGCCTATTTTCTTCTTTCTCTTGTCTCTTCTGTCTCTTCTCTTTCTCTCTTCTCTTTCTTCTCGTCTTTCGTCTTTCGTCTTTCATCTTTCGTCGTTTAATCTAGTATCTACTCTCGGGAGACGTCACGGCCGAAAGCCTTGGACTTGAGCCAGTCCAGGAGGACCAGGACACGGTTTCGTGCTGTTGATTGTTAGCTAGCGGAAACTGAAATAGAATCACGATTAGAAGGAATACATACGGCTGAAGCACATGGAGAGGTAGACACTTCTCCAGAAGAGGTAGGTGACGCTGCCACCGGTGGCAAGGTTGCCGTTCCACCAGCTGACGTCGGCGACGGCCTTGTCGCTGCCAATGTAGGCCAAGCTTCCCTGGTGACTGTACTTGAAAGGCTTGATGTCGCGAATCTTCTTGAGTTGCCTCTCCAGGAGCTCAATTTCCTGGGAAGCCTCGGCTGAGTTACCGCCGGCAATGTTCAGCTTGCCGCTCAGCTCCGAGATGCGATCCTCGTGGTTCTCGGTCTTGGCCATGTTGTTGAACAGCTTGCCAAGGAAGTAACCCTCCTGTGAGGCAACCTGAGCGGTAGGGGCGTAGCCAGCGACGGCGCAGTCGCCAATGGCCCAGATGTCGCGGGTGCCCTGCACGACGAGGTACTCGTTGACGGCGAGACCACGGCGCGAGTCCTTTTGAGCAGGAATCTTGCTGGCCAGGTCTTTGACGATGGGGCGGACGGCGTTTCCGGTGGCCCAGACAAGCAGACCGTAGGGGATCTCAACACGCTCCTTGGTTCCGTCGGGGCGGGAAACCTCGGCCTCGACAGTCTTGTCAGTGACACGCTTGACCATGGTCTTGGTCTTGATGTCAATCTTCTCCTCGCGGAGAGTGTTCTCGGTGTAGTCGATCAGAGTCTTGGAGAACATGGGGAGGACGTTGGGCAGGGCCTCGATGAGGGTCACCTTGAAGCGGGGGCTGATGTCAGGGACCAGCTTCTTGATGTCCTCCTCGAAAAAGTCCTGAAGCTCGCCGGCGAACTCGACACCAGTAGGGCCACCGCCAACAACGACCATGTGCATCAGGCGGTCAACCTCCTCGGGGGTCTGGTCCTTGAAGGCGGCCGTCTCAACGCAGTCCATGATCTTCTTGCGGATCTGCTGGGCGTCGCCAATCTCCTTGAGGAAGCAGCTGTTCTCGCGGACACCAGGGATGCCAAAAGTGGCGTTTTCCGCGCCAACGCCCACAACGAGCATGTCGTAGGGGATCTCAGTTTCCGAAGTGGCGCCCTTGATCTCGGAGTTGTCTGCAATACGCACGACCTTGCGCTCGGGGTCAACGGAGGTGGCCTCGGCTTCAAAGAACTTGGCGACGGCCTTTTTGCCACGGAGAATGCGGCGGACGGGCTCCATGATGGAGCGGTGCTCGATGGTGCCGGTGGTGCATGACGGCAGGAGAGGCGTGAAGAGGAAGTAGTTGCGGGGAGAGACTACGACGACGTTGTAGTTTTCGGTATCGAGCTTCTTGAGGAGGGCAACAGATCCCCAGCCAGTGCCTGTGGCCGGATGGCGGGTCAGTACACATTCACAGCCCACGTGAGCGCTTTGCAGCTTGGAGTTGACTCACCCAGAATCACCAGCGTCTTCTTGTTGGGATCGGGCTTGAACTGCTCGTCGGGATGGCGGTCCACGTAGATGTCGTAGGCAGTGTAGCCGACCAGGCCCAGGGCAGACAGGTACGTCAGTCGCCAGGCCCATCTGAAGGTCCGGCGCAGCTTGCCGGGCTTGGGCTTGGGCTTGGGAGCCTCGTCGGCGTAGGCCCTGCGGAAGGCAATGCGGCCCGAGTTGGCGAGCTTCATGGTCGCGGATGGCCTGGCCGCTGATCGCAGCATCATTGACCTCGTAGCGGTCGAAAAGGCTCGTGATGCGACCACGCCGTTGGGACCCAATGGGCCGGCCCGGGCGAGGGCTCTCATGGACTGGGATGAAGCCATTGCTTCACGCCGGAACCGGGGATGTGGGAGGAGCAATACCAGGAAAGGATGCTGCGAGTAGCAATGATGCTACGATAATACCGAACAATACTGAAGATGTTTCGAGGATGGTGTTGCAGATGCAGGAAACAATGCGACGGCGAGCGCTCGGACGGAGCTTGAGCTTCCTCGGTGGGCTACCAGGGCACGGAGGGCTAAGAAAAAAAAAGCTGGATGACGCTCGGAGTTCGTTTAGCGGATTTGAATTTTTTCCCTCCTGCTCTACTTATTCTTTCTTAACGCGATCCGCCTTCCCGCTGCAGAATTTAATAACGCAGAAATTGATTGGGTCGAGCACCCACTCAAAAGTTTCCCCCCTATCGAAGCGATAAGAAACGTGAGAGCGATAGCAACAGCTTCTTGTCATCGCCTTGAACGGCTGTTGCCGCCAGCATGTGCCAACGCCACGACTAATATCTACTGCTCGCTAACATCTCCTCCTGCTTGTGCTTTAGCGTCCGCCCACTGCCGGTCCAGCCTGTGACTTGATCAATGCTTTCCCGCCTCTCTTCCCGGAGGACCGAGTGCTGCGGCCTGCCATCAAAACCCATCGAGACTCTGGCTGGGCCTCCGGATTGATGCGCCCAAGGGGCCAATCGCTGGCTAGGACAAACGGGCTCTTCTGGCAGCTGCACTAGGAAATCTGAGCCCTTTGTCCTCTCCCTCTCCCTTTCATTCCCACTTAATCTGCTTGTTCTTCTTCCTGTCTTCTCCCCGTCTTCAACAGCCTCCCACTGCCGGTTTGATCCGGGCGGCAGGCTGGCAGAGCCGGGACCACATTTAATGCTTGACGGACCAGCCCCATCGAAGCCACCGGATGCCGAAGCTGTTCCGGCCAGCGGCGCTGACTGAGCGGTGTCGCGGAGAGTTTGAGGCGCTTTTCTCGGGATCTTTCGGAGGGTCCACGACAGGAAAAGGAGCGATGCCGTCTCTCGAGAGCTACTACTAGCCGCATGCGATGACGGGAGAGCTTCAATGTGATGAGTAACTGGATGTGCTAGACGCTTTACGACGCATGGCCTGGGGCACGCCATTGGGCCGGTATCGCTGGATGTTGTTATTTCACAAGATGGAGGGGTCCTGCAGTCTGGCCGTGGCCAAGAGGTTAGACGCCGGACTTTCACCACACGACATTGGTCTATTATCAGAAGCAGCCATCTGCAGAGTGGAGGTGCAAGTCGCGAGCCTGATACGCGGTAGATGCGTGCTCTCCTCCACCCTCCCCACGTCCTGTATTCTATATATATGCTGCTGTATGATCTTGGTAGATTGCCGTAGTACCGAGTTGAAACGATGGAGACCCCATGATAGGCCTGGGCTAGTATATTCGAAAAGTAGGTGTTGAAAAGATGCATTCAGTTCTCTGTATTAGCAATTGGAAACTGGAAGTTCCCGGTGCTGAGAAATAGAGCTGGAGTCATGACTCTCGGAAGTTGGGCTGTCCGGACGGCCTCGAACTGCTTCTTCCAGTCACATGCGTGTCAAATGCAGATCAGGTGTCTTGCAGTATGTCAGTTGCTCGGAAGTAGAAGCTGGAATTTTGTCCAAGGCATGTATCGTTGCTTGTGACAGCCGAGGCAGCTCGAATCCGCACATGATGCTCATCGTTGGTGTTGCTCTTGGTGCTCTGTTGATTGCTGCTTGTACTAGGTATTTTTGCGCCACAGTTGCATGCTTCACCAGCCACAATCACCCGCCACCAGCCACTGCAATCTCCCATCTTGAATCTTGATGCATCTTGATATCTGCCATCGCAAAATCGTGCACAATGGCTTGTTGTTTTACAACGTTGGGGTCTGCCCATGTAATTGCTGCCTGCGATATAAAGGAGCTATACTCCAGCTCTTCGACTGCCACTGCTCATATTGGCAGCTGAGGCCCTCGCCGGCCCTGTCCAGTTTCATGTCGCGGCGCTACTTTTCCACCTGAAACACTCGACGACGCACGCCAAGTTCCCACGAATGAGTGCGAGCGTTGCATTCGAGGCCTCCTTGTCGCACCTTTTGCGCTGCGTCCAGCTTTTGGTGCCCTCGGACGAATTGCACGGGGATGGCCGCCTTTTCGCGATTGCCTAGAACGGAAGCGATGCCTCGACGTCGCTGCCAGCTCGACTCTCGAGGCCGTCACGGCGACATTGTTGCGCCTTGCCCGGCTTTGTCGTGGAGATGCAAACATGATGCTCAGGCCTCGAGCAAATCGTCAAACCGCCGCGAGCTTGTCCGGCCTTCTCCGTGCGGTGCCAGAAGCCTGCCGTGGCCCCCTGTCTCGTTCATGAGATTGAGATGAAGTGGGTATTTTGCAGCTCCCACTGCCAGCATTACAGCACCCCGAGCTCGTCGCTTGCTGCAGATTCCCGCGACATGGGTGCTTTTCTGTATGCGTCTCTGCATTTAGTGAAGCCAGCAGCAGCATTGTAGTCCCTAGAGGGTCAGAAGGGGGAGGCGCAAGATGGATCTTCGCGGTGTAGCATGTAATGGAGCTCTGGCCATTGGAGTCAGGATGTTTGCCCGATATGGTAGCTCTGAGATGGCTGCTACGCGTGTCCCGTCCTTGCTCCATAATATCATTTGAAGATCCGGAAAGCCAAGCGACCATCTTAATAGCTCACCCCCACGATTTTTTTTTTCTCTTTCTTCACACTTCCTCTTTGAGAGAGGATGGGGAACAGTTTGATGCTTTCTTGACCCTCTTTTCACAAACTTCTTTTCTTTTCTTTTCGATGCTATGGGATATTGTTGGTTGTGCTAATTTTTTTTTTTCTTTGTTAAAGCCGGAACTGGATTTCGCACGGGTCGATGAATTTTCACGCCTCTTTACTTTCGAAACGATTTCTTTTAACTTGGGTCTTGTGATGAATTAGGCGCACGTTGATTGAAGCTGGTCTACACGAACGTTGCGTCAAAGTTGGAATTGAGAAAGAGCTTGGGCAGTGAATTATGGCGCCGACTTCAAGGATACAGAGACGGCAAACGGATGTTGGACGTTCCGATGGACTGGCAGAGAGGCCGAGGCAGACACGTGACGCATCGTGTGCGAAGAGATGGCTGAGATTCAGATGCAAGAAGAAGAGTTTGGGCGTGAATGTGTCTTTACAGGGACCTCGTACCGACCACGACGCAAGCACCTCCCGTAGGTCTTCTGGAAGCGACACCGAAGGGGGAATTGAAGATGGTTCTGCGGCAAGCTTAGAACCGGCGGGCGGATCATTCTCTGCCGGGGCGCATCTGAAGAGGAGCTTGGGGGACCTACTGGACACAGATGATGATGAGACTGAGGGCGAAAGTGAGGACGAGAACGACGGCCGAAACCACATCGATTTCGGCTTACCGATTCCCCATTCTAATCCTCTATCACAACTTCTCCCCCATCCACTTCCCTTACCATCGTTGCCGCCAAACCCAATTGCTGCTCTTCTACCACAACCGCCGCCGCCATCCTCTCCTCCGCCGGAATCCTCTCCTCCGACGGCCGGCTCTCCTGTTGCATCATCACCACAACCGCCTCCTGCAGCATCCCCCGCAGCATCTCCCGCAGCACCTCCTGCGATTGCTCCCTCTCAATCGCACGTACCGCCGTCCATCTCTATCCCTCCTGCAGCTTCACCCACAGACGGCATATCCGAAAATCTTGGAGCTCCCTCGCCTTCTACCACGAATCCTCCTAGATCGTCATTTAGCGCACCTCTACCCAAGAGCACGTCTACCGGTGATGACAGCGACGACAGCGATGACGACAGCGATGGCGACGGCGATGATGACGGTTCATCAACTGGCAAGCCTTCCTCAACGCGAACTCGAACTACCCTTACAGCTATTGCGCCGCCTTATGAGACGCAGACGACAGCGAGCTCGGGGGAAAAGTCCACCATTAGCCGTACGAAAGACGTACCTAGCTCTTTCACAACGTCCGTCATTGTGCCAGACCAAACTGCGAGGACAAAGACGGGAGCACAAATGACAACAGTGACGAGTACGGCGAGCCCAGGTGGAACAGCCGCAGCTGTTCTAGGGCACGAGGCACATAGGCTGAGTCCAACTAGCGAAAAAGCCGTCATTGCATCCACGTCCATTGGTGAGTGTGTATTTTTGACGGCATAATTCTTCTTTTCCTAGTCTTCATAAAACTTACTATTTTGGCGTTAGGTGGATGTATCATTCTCCTGATTCTCGCCTGGTTTCTTTGGCGTTTGGCCAAGCGTAAGTCTGCTGGCAGAAAGAGCGCTTGGCCAGCTAGCCGGGACATGCTTGACGGCCCTCGGCGTGTTTCTAATAGAGTTGCTGATCGATTTACATCCATCAAAGGCCATCTCTTGCCAGATACCTTTGGCTGGTGCAGCATTGATGATTCTAATGATGGAGACGGCCCCGTAACCGAGAAGCCGGCCCCAACGCGGGCTCCCACGAAGGCTGGCTTGTTAGAGAGGAGACTGGGAGCCAAGACACCACCCCAGAATGTGACGGTCAATTCCTACGGCATGGTCTTCCGTACACCGACTCTGGGCGACTCAGCGTCGGATATCCTGGAGCGACCCAGAATTACACCGCCGCCGGCCACTGGGGTGGCTCGGGAAAGATCCAAGCAGATGGCGGCGGCCCATTTGGAGAGCGCAAGAGCGAGTGTGAGTGCATACACCTCGAGATCGCAATCTTTGGCACCTTTGCGCAAAAACACTCGCATCAGCGATGTCTCCTCTTTATCGTCAGGGTTTGGCGACGGGGACATCGTCATCATTCAGCCTCCCGCTGCTGCTGCCACCTATGCTGCCACTCCAAACCGATCTAATACGTTTGACACAAATATTAACCTCAGTGCCGTCAGGACTAGCCCTGAGAGGAAGAGCTTCAGCAGCCGATTCTCCCGCAACAACAGCAGAGACCACAGCAGAGACACCTTCATGACAAACTCCTCGGAGGACCTGCGTCCCCGGTTCCGCACCGTCTCTTCCTGGGTTCATCAGCAGTCCCGTCGAACGAAGCAGCGATCCGCGGCGAACAGGAGTGAAGACCGTGGAATGGCCACACCTTTGCCGGAGCAGGGATTTGATATGATGATGCCTGATGGAGAGGTGCCGAGGAGAGTCGACTCTTCGATGTGGCAGGAGAAGTGAGATGTTGTATAGCGTGTGATTTGCTGTTTTGTTCTGGGAGAAGGAAGAGCGACGGAGTTTGTGCATACGAAATGGAAAGGGATTACTGCTCAGCTACTTCGACGTAATCTCTAGGGAGAATTCGGTTCTCACCGAAGCCTTATATAATTCACTTGGGCTATCTAAAAAGATCTATCTCATCATAGTCGCTTCTATGGTTTCTCATATCATTGTACAAATAAAAACGTACATATTTTTATCCATCATCTATTTGTACGGAAACATTTCCCAGAAACCAATCTCCATCTATCAGGTCCATTTCTGTTAGTAGAGCGTCCTTTTATATCTTGGGAGACTGCGTTTGTTCTTACCTTTGTGGCGTGTACAAAGATTTTGATAAGCTCTTCTATCCGACTAGGTGACTGCAATCGGATGCTCTTCTCAATGAGTTCTGTCATCATTGCAAAGAAGTCAATTTCTGTATTTTGGAGTTGGGAAAAAAAAAAAAGAAGGTGGGATTCACGCACCGCTTCCTAATCTCACTGCCTCAACATAGTCATCCGCTTTATAATTCTCAATCCACGCCCAGTACGTGTTCCCGTCGCGGACCGTGTCCGCATGGGCGTGGAGCATCTTTGCGACGGCGCCGTAGCCGAGGAGGCATGGCGCGAGGGCCATTTGGAGGGCGAGCCAGTCTTCGCTTTGGCCGATGTCGAGGACGTAGCGGGTGTATGCGGTACAGGCTGTGTGTTGCAGATGTGTTAATACTCGCCTTCTCAGGGGAGTGTATTCTTGAGGGAGCTTACCTTGGAGTTCTTGCGTTGCTTGGATTTCGGGCTCGGAAATGCCAAAGGAGTTGCAGTAGTTGATGTGGAGCTTCATTTCGTGGAGAATGTGGGAGACGATTTCGTTTGACTGGTGGATGATTGTCAGCTCTACTTGGATTCTGGGCTTTGAGTGTTGGACGTACTCTTGAGATGTCACCGATGCTCTTTGCTTTGTATGCTGCGAGTGCATTTGCCCTGGAAAAGTGAACCTGTTGACTGGATGTCAGCTTTGGCTGTATGAGCAAAAGCAAAGAGATCTTACAAGATAGAGGTAGTCCTGAATGATGTAACCTTTGAATGACTCAACCGGCAGCGTTCCGTTGCCCAGGGCCATGACGAAGGGATGATAGACGAATTCGTCCCATACGCTGCGTACGGCTGGGTGTTCTAGCAGATACTCGACAAAGTATCCTCTGTGTGAAGGACATTAGCTGAGTGAGAGAAGTAGTAGAGCTGGGATGCTTACGGAGAGAAAGGAAGAGTGTATGTCGAGTGGAAATGGTCGAGCGGTCCGTTTCCACTGCCGAGTTGAGGCGCCGTCTTGATGCCTGCTTCGATGTAGCGACAGGCGCCGCGGACTGCGGTGGGCATGTCGGCGCCTTGAGCGACACGAGCTGCAATGGCGGCTGTGGAAGCAGTAAGTATGATGCCCCTATTTAGCTTCATTGAGATGTAGGTACTTACAGGCCAGAGAGCAGCCAGTTCCATGAGTGCTCGTGCTCTTTTGGTACGGGCTCTGCACTCGCAATACGCTCCCCCCAGGCCCAACTAGGACGTCAACAACAATTTCCTTTTCTTCATCTGTCTTGGCGACTGTTAGATCCTTGCGGAAGGGCATGTGGCCGCCTTTGACGAGCACCCATTTCGGGCCTAGTTGTTGGATCTTGCGTCCCATGGCTTCGACGTCGCTGACGGACTGGATCTCGCCGACTTGGTGGCCGTTTTGCGTCAGGAGTAGCGTGGCTTCGGGGATGTTGGGCGTGAGGATGGTGGTGTGGGGGAGGAGGTGCTGGGATAGTTGGGAGATGGCTTCGTGGGGGAGGAGTTGGGCTCCTGATGTTGAGACCATGACCTGGGAACGGAAGTTGTCAGCTTTTTCGTCTTATGTGAAGCAATGTTGTGGCGGTTATCTACCGGATCGATTACTAGAGTTGGGACGCTGAACTTGGTTACTAGTTTTGCAATGACTTCGATTGTTTCTGCGGATGCCAGCATTCCTTTTTTTTACAGCTCTGTTAATAATTGTCTGTATAACGCAAAGGGAGTGTAAATCTTACCCGTTTTGATCACGTCGGCTCCTACGTCTTCAAGACACGCTTCAATCTGTCTCCCTACGAAATCAGAGGGTATGACATGCACGCCCGCGACGCCTTTGGTGTTTTGGACTGTGAGCGCCGTGGTGGAAGTCATTGCGTAGCAGCCATGGGCGGCGAGGACTTTTTGGTCTGCTTCTAGGCCGCTGTGATGAGACGCTCGTATTAGTAAACATTTACAGAAATACATCTTTTAAATGAAGACGCTCTGATGACATGGTGAAAGGAATAGGAGTGAGAGCCAAATGAGTAGCCATGCAAGCAAATAGTGGTGGCGGATATAGTGAGGGAATATGGCTAAATTGAGAAACAGGAACAGGTACACTCACGCTCCTCCAGAGGGGTCTGACCCGGCAATGATCAACACCCTGCCTTGAACCATCTTGGCTTCGTAAAGTTATGAGATGCAAATCTTGATTTGTCGAAAAGAGCTCAGATTTGTGAAAATAGGAAGGGCGCGGCATGATGTAGCGATTTGATACTTGCGGGTGGGGCTGAAAATCTATGGGTGTCGGATTTATGTGGGGTATGGGCCGAGTCTACGGATTGCGATCTTCGTATTACACAGCTTATTCTCTTCTTTGTGCTTTATAGAACTCTGTAAAATACACTGTCAATCTTATTCGTCAAAGAAGAGTTATAAATGAGAAAAATATCATTAGAAAATTTGTAAAAAAAAAAACGTTTCTTGTCATTGAGACTGATATTAACGCAATCTCTGGAATCGGCTTAATATTTTCGGTCTTGGCGAGTTGCTTGAAGCACTGAAACTTGGCGATGGTAATGTTTTGCCCCAGCAAATACCTTGCAACAGTGAAAACTGGTGATGGTACATCATATCCTCCTGATGAGCTATCAGAGGCTGTAGAAGCAACTAATTGCAAGCCACTAATATGGGATCAGCCCATTGATTTCCGTGGTCCCACTGGCCATGAGACTCTTCTGTCGAATACAGTAGCCGTCAGTGATATAGAGCCATACAGCGAGGGGTATCTGCGAGCGAGAGCGTTACTTACACGTCATGTAGATGATGTAATTGACCACGGAAGCAATATCAGCAATAGGAAACCCTTGAAGATACCAATATGAGGCTGTTGCTGCTATAGAGAGCGAGATTCCACTTAGGAGTGCTACTCTCAGTGACTGAAGGAAATTAAAGCAGTAAGCCCCGTCGCTTACGCTCCCCGAAGGAATACTCTGAATATCAGGCTCACCCTAATTTTTTTTGCCAGCTCTAGTTAACTTGTATTGGAGTAACAGATGATTGTCTGGGAACTTACGGAGTATTCTAAGTCGATATCAACGCCGTCGATGCCCTAAGTCACTACAAAATTGACAATGCTTGTAATGGATGTAGCACCGTACTGGGGTAGGTCGCGGAAGATATCGTACGTACTCGTATCGGCACTGAAGGCCCAGCCACCAAAGGATATAATTCGCTTGAACCCCTACAACAAGGAATGCAGTGATTCATAAAGTGTTAAAGTATACCTTCTGTCGGACAAAAGTCCCCACTCATCTTCCATGCCACTAATATCAACCTGATACGTTTGCGAAACTTTTGTAAAAGCAAAATTAACATGTGTGTACCCAGTTGGGATTTGATCGGCATTCATGTTCAGACAGGGGCGTTGAGTATTGAGGGCTTCGAAATAGCCAAGATTGTATACTTCGGACGGACCAACGGCCTTATAGCCGTCTTGGCCAGATACAGCATTACCGGGGGCACCTGCAGAGGGTCTGGACGGCGTACAGAACTCGTCTGTAATACCATACTGCCCCCATATATCGCAACAGGCACTTAGAGGACACGGGTTCAGCGATTCCCAGCTGATTCCATTTGCGGGCTTTTGTATACCGGGTGCCTGTGTTCCACAGACGGTACCATATACAGGAGCTGGAAATGGCGGTGCCCCAGAGCTGAGACGAATGGTTTGTTCAGCCTGGAGATGGTCGAATCCCAGCCATCTTCAAGTGTTGCTATTGTAAGACTCAATGTCGTTAACAGTGAGTGGTCTATAAGTGGTTGCAAGTTGAGAGCAAATATCATCTTTTTGCACCAGATAACCCGCGCAAGAACCGTCAGGGGTTGGCTGCGGTGCATAATTGGGATGTGACTCAGAGGAACAGCATATGCACTGCCCAGGAACAGCATATGCACTGCCCAGGAACAGCATATGCACTGCCCAGGAACAGCATATGCACTGCCCAGGAGTAAGTGTTGAGCAGAGATTGGCCTGAGAGCTGTACTGATAAAATTCAGCTGCAGTGATACCGCACTCTGCAGCTAGAGACGCGCATGAGTCTCCGGACTGTACCCGCACAGTTGAACAAGTACCTCCCATTCTGTGTTGTTTTGCTTAGGGAATTGCCCTGAATTGGCCGGCTATGAGGAGAAAAAGTATGGTCAGCTACATGAAAGGGAATTGATGACTTTTTTACAAGACGGTATTATTCGCTCTCCCAGTATTGCAATATATTGTAATCTACATTGGCAAATATTCGATGTGCATTCCTAGTTGAACAGCCGCAATAGACTATTCGCTATGTTAACTTGTATCTATAGGCTAGCCACTAGCCTTGGTAAACAATTGGTAATTGTCTTAGATATATTTTGTGTTGTATTCTCTATACCTCTTTTGTCATCCGTCTTGCTATTTTTACGTTTGGGGGATACATCAGGTTTGAACTATCGTAAATGATTCGAAAAATGAACCGAAAATATAAATTTTGGCTGATACTGGCTCACGAGAAGACCCACAAAGTGTGCGATCGTGCTACCTACTTATCTACTATCTAGAGAAAGAATTAGCAACAAGTTGCCGACTTCGGCCCTTGATTCAAGATGAGTAGTGATGGAATCCAGTCAATAGAAATAAATCGGTCGGAGAGAGTGCTGCCTCACTTACTGTTACACGATTTGTGGGAAGTTAAATCTTCCGGCACACTATCTAGCAGTGTAACTAGTATATAAGGTATCTCCTTCTTCTCCTAGCTGCATCATCTTCCCCTCATTCGGCCAGCCGCATTAGCTACCTAAACCCCGATAACTATAATGTGCTTCCCCTTTTGCGTGTTACGGACGCTTGCGATACTAATTTCTGTGGGACCAACTTTTGTGATACCATCTTTCGTGGCACCAATCACCCTCACGCAGGCGAGAGCTGGCCATTATCTCTACACCGAGTTGGTGCTGTCTACTTCCAGTAGCACGGAAGATACGAGGATATAACGTGAAAGGCGCGTAATAGGTTTATTTTTGGATCCTGTATATGCAGGTCGCCTGTATTTTGCCAATCCTATCCCAGTTGTTGTTGTTGGCATCACTTATACACGATGTTCTTCTATGTTTCGTCCTACCACCACATAAATTGAGCGTGTCACATTTTGTAATCTGAATATACTAAAAATACACAAATTCACTGAAGTCGTGGCAAAAGTCGGGTACCCATCGTTGTTGTGTTGTCAGAGGTGAATGAGTTGAAGACTCCGCCCTCCACACATAAATAGCCCTGCAATAGATACAATGGATGTTTGCGAGAGCCGCAACTGTCCCAACTCTCTATCTCAGTAGGGGCCTAGCATTTGGTACTAGTGAATACCCAATTCTTTACCTATTCTCAACAGGAGGCTAAAAATTTCATTGATATACAGATTTCCGGCGTCAACGACCGACTAAACGTCTTCAATTCCAAACTGGCATTCTTAAGACACATAATTACGCCCAATAATGCTTCCGAAGTGGGCAACTCACCCCGCTGGGGGGACGATGGTGATTATGCTGCTATCTGGCACTGCATTTATCATCGGTCACCACTTCTTTTATCAGAGCCTTTCGGGAAAACCGCCGCCAAATGTGGTCTATTTCAGTGGCTTTGCTGGCGGTTTATCGGGACAGCAAGTCAATCTGGCTGCTGGATTGGCGTTTGCTTTCTTTGCCAGCTCCGCTCTAGGCGTCTTGATAACGACTGCGGCAAACCAAGCGCTATGGGTTGCGGTTAGGACAAAACCTTCAAAGCTGGAGGTCATCGATAACCTGGCGACTGCAACAACTAATATCTGGAATATGTTTGACTTCCGACTATGGAAGAGCAGCCCGATCAGGATGACTTTGGTCACCATCTTCTGGTATGCACATCTCAAATATCATTTGTGAATATCAGTTTACTTATATTTTTTAGGCTTCTATCTGTCACATCCTTCATAACACCAGCTACCCTCATTATCAAGTGGTCAATAACAACGTCCGTCGTAATGACTAGGGTCCCTCAAGTTGACTTTACCAGTCTGAATTTTGCCGAATTACATTTTTGGCCTAGTCTCTCCCCTGTCTATGCCTATCGCAACCCTCAGTATCCTGTTCTCAAAGTTGTAGCAGAAAGCATGGTAGGAAGCCGTATCTTGCCAATATCGTCGCCATACCAAAATGCTACGTGGCTCTTAAAGTTTCCCGGGCCAGCACTGTCGTGCGAGAGCATTGATAATAGCTCGATTCTGTACAAGAATATTACGAACAATATTCTCGTGGCAGGCGAAAAATATCAGGATTATTCTTTCAATTATATTTCTTGGGTGCCGAAAGTACTGTCGGATTACTACTCACCACAAATCAGTTCCTTACCATTCCCCAACATATTATTGAATGACAACAACACCAAATATGAACCACCTTCTCAAACACTTGGGCCGATATTGCCCTGGGGAGCCTCTCTAACACTTTTAATTGCGGCCCTGCCAGGCATGCTAAATAGCTCTTCGAACGGTTACCGCCAAGATTTTGATCGAATCGCCAATATGACTGTAACAAGATGTATGATGTATAACACCTCATACGTGGCTAATTTCACATACATCGATAACATACAGAGCATTAATGTTACGACACAAGGTTCATTCAACAATATTACGGCCCAGGATGCTGTTGCAGGCGCAGTTATGCTCCATTACATGGACACTTTCGCCTATCAGGCCATTATGGACGCTTTTGGGCGCATGCTCGTGGGAAGTATCGTTTTTGACTACAGCTCTGAGGGGCAAATAATCGACACTCAAATAGCACTGACACCACTTCTGGACACAAAAGAGTTGAACTTTTTACGACCTCTTTCAAAGAGAAATACGCTGGAGGAGCTTACAGGTCAAGTCTCTGGGATCTGGAATGGGATTTCTGTCCAGCAAGTGTCGAATCCAACCGTTCTGCTGGCCGACATGATCGAGGAGATGTTCCGTAATGTCACATTATCCCTGATTAGCAATCCCTTGTTACAGTGAGTCAATTCATCTTACGAGTTCCTGTTGTTAAGCATTCTGTAAAGTATCGCTGATGTGCCTACAGGCCCAATTACTCCTCCCCTTACGCACCTCCAGATATAGACGTGGCAGTGACAACCTATGCTTTGGTTTACTCATACGCAGCCCAAACCCTCTGGCTTGCGTATGGAATTGCTCTCGGCATGACTCTTTTTAGCCTGCTACTCGGAGCTATCTCAATCTATCATAATGGTGGCGCCTCATATACGACTAAATTCTCTACGATACTACGTGCAGCCTACTGTATCGACTTTTCGGAGCCTATACGACCTGAAGATACGGACGGTAAAGACCCAACGCCGCGATATATCAAGAAACTCACGATTTATTTCCCGCCGGTCGGAAAGACTGTGCATTACGACAAGGCGGCGCAAATCTCGGAAGAGGAAGAGCCGTAGCAGATACGGGATAAGTGCTTGCTAGATGAACAGCTGGGGCGATAATCGTAGGGGGGCAATTCGATTTTTGGCATTGTATGTTGCAGATAGCAGAAGCATATAAGTAACGCATATTATGAAGTATTACCCTGATCTGTTCCTCAGCACCAATGCACAGTTAAACGTCATTTTCTATACCTCATTTTGTGCTACTATAAAGGCCATGATAGGTATAGGTGGCGGCGAAGAGACGAAAGTATATGGTTAACCCCGCATTTTATTAGGTTGTCTAGGTGATAAAATTTTATTAAGATGGTAGAAACGATAAAATATGGTTATTGATCTTGCGCTACATAGGTATATGATGGTGGAGCGAGTTGGGTCACTGAGCAGACTTGAACGCTGCCTTCATATTGTATTAGCATCTTTTTCAGCTCTCTAATTTAGGGAATTGACTTGAACTCAGGTCATGTCTTATAACCCACTTTCTATCGAATGCGTCAAAAGAGCTGCCAACAAATGCAAAGAGCGGCGTTTCAATATGTGTGCTTCGCTTTTTGTATTGCCCAACGCCACCTACGCATGGCCACTCACTGACTAATTACCAGTACGATGAAAGATTCCTAATTGTATGGCCTGCTTACTACGCATGCATCTACATATCCACTCGTAGGCCGATGGGAGTATCAGCTAGCCCGCTCGGTCCCAATGCGTTGCAACAAAACATCAATGCCGTTAGGAGAGCATTGCAGCTGCTAGCGATAATCCCAATTGCCTCAGGTCGCCTGATCACCTACGTATATATGCGAGTTATCGGCCTATGGTTAGCCTTGTTAAATTAGGCAGTGAAATTACACAAGCTACCCTATTAGTGGCTTTCATCTTCTTCCTACATCCAAGAGAATCGCCACCAAGAATAGTAAATGTAGCCCTAGGAAACGGAGAAATATTCTCATCTAGCTTTGAAGCATTTCCGCGAGGTTGCCACTCCTCTAATTAATGACACGATGCCAGTGTGTGCCGTATTGACTTGCCCCTGGACCTTTTCGGAAAACTCCGAACGGATACAGTGCACGGATGATCTTTGTAAGGATAAACACGGCCCCACAAATATGGTTCTAGAATAGGTAGGCCGATTATGTTGCGAAACGCTCGCTAAGCTCGCATGTTTCTCACTGATACTAGGTCCTTGGGTATGAGATTGCCAATTCCTACCTGACGTTTCGATATACTGAAGCTCGAAATTTATATGCCGCAGCACTATCAGATATAATGCCTCTATAAACAATAAACTCAGATAGGTTTGAAAGTTAATCTATGTTGCGGCAGATGTGATTTCCAATTTGAGGACTAGTGTCGATGACACCCCTAATGTCGCGCTTATAAACCATCCCACATGCTTCCCTTACACGCGCGGCACGTTATAAACGCACCTAATTTTCTCGGAGAACAATGTGGGCTCTACTATTTGCGCGAAGAATAGTTCGGAGAGGGCGTGGGTTGTGGAGCGATTGGGTAATTCAGTGATCAGTAATGGAACAGCGGTGTACCTTGATCATAAACCAACCGAATTGGGGTCTCTGACAAGGCATTTGCAACTGAATATAAAAGCATTGACTTGGAATCGCATCTATATTAGAATTAAATTATCTTCATATCATTCAACACTCTTTCGCACTATTCTTCAAACCCATCATGTCCAGACTCTTGACCACAGCCCTCCTTCTTGGGCAAACCTTTGCCTATGACACTGTTCTCGGGTTTAACTCACGCCCGACAGTGGAAACTCGGACAATTGATGAAATCTATAGTGCTGCTCTCAAAGAGGGTGGAACTGTTACAGTGTGGCATGGAGGCGATGAAAAAGATCAGCAAGACTCTTTGAAAAGCGCCTTCGAGAAGCGCTTTCCCGGGATGACTCTAAATATCACCGTGGACCTCTCCAAATATCTCGACAGCGAACTTGACCAACAGCTATATCATAACAATGTCTTTGTCGATAGCATCGTTCTTCAAACACTACAGGACTTCCCGCGTTGGCAACAGGAAGGTGCTTTGCTCAATTACGCTCCTGTCGGATTTGACAAAGTGTATCCAGCATTCAAGGACTCGATATCGGCTTCGTGGTATGGATATAGCGTCTTTTTCTGGAGTCTCTCCTGGAACACTGCCAAGCTGCCACACGTCAGCAACATATCCTCTTACAGCGACTTCTTGAAACCAGAGTTCAAAAACCAGATTGTCATTACATACCCCAATGACGATGACGCTGTTCTTTTTGCTTTCTATCAAATGTAAGTTGACTACGTCAAGAAAACATAAAAGGTTTAGCTAACAGTATATGCGTAGTATGCAACAGCTTGGGACCAAATGGTTTGACGATCTTCTGAAGCAAAACCCTCGATGGGTTCGTGGGACTGCTACTCCTTTTACTATCTTGAGCGGAGCCAACTACTCTCAATCGGCCACATTTACAAGCTTCAGTGGATTCAACCCAGGAAATAACATCAAAATTTCTTTCCCGACCGACGCAAACTTTGTCAGTTGGCCCCAGACTGCCGCAATTCTAAAAGATGCGCCGCATCCCGAAAGCGCCAAGCTCTTCCACAACTTTCTTCTCAGCTCTGAATTTCAGAAAACGCTCCCTTTGAGTGCTCGGCAAGATATCAACTCCTCCAGCTCACCATACCATGATATCATGCACACACCCCACACAAACCCGACAGCGTTTGCTAGATTTATGAGTGATCGCGTGACGGTTGAGCGGGTGAGATTTTTCTTCGAGAATCGCCTAGGTACAGCGCAAGGATTGAGCCCCTTGATCGATGATATTTAGGAATCACGTCGATGTCTAAATAACTTGTATTGTCGGAGCATGGTACGCTATCCGTGGGCAAGGAGTAATTAAAATTATTGTTGGATTGATGAAGCTAATTGGACGAGTTGGTACTAGATAGTAATTAAGTATACTGAACTAATAAATTGAAGAGAAAAGTTGTCCAACATCCCAGTTCCTTTATCAACCACTCCAGCTAAAACTTACTACTTTCAAGAGCATGCATATGGATGTAATTCTAAGTACATGTAGATTAACTGCGTTACTAAGCCATAGCCGGGGCGCTGGGTGTACAGAGACGGAAAATCCATTGATATAAAGTACGCATTTCGACCCATCTCTACTAAAAAAGAAACTCTAAGATAGCTTCCTCTCTGGACGTGTCTTTGAACTAGCCCCTTCCTTGATATATGCGCGAATAGCACCGGTTACCCGTTTCTGCCACGTCTACCATGTCTACCATGTCTACCATCTCTTCTACTAAAAGAATCAAAGCCTGCCGATGTCGCCGCCTCTCATAATCGTTGCTCGTCGCCGCAAAGTCGTCGCCATCGTCGTTATTGCTCTTGTTAACGTTGTTAGAAAGAGTCCATTCCGAGGCCGGGGAGAAGATGCTGTATTTATACCGCAATTCAAGAAGAACCCTCTTCCGCTCGACTTCTCGTACGCAAAGGTCCTTCTGAATCATTACTGGAGGCGGCGTGGGAATGAGTAATTTAGACCAGAACCGGTAGGTATAATAAACTACTCGACATAAGTCGCATTATAAATTGGTCGTGGCAACTAAGTACGGATCTATATGGGACGTAAGCCTAGCGTCCTTGGAGACTTAGATTTATGCTAGTTGGACTAACTCTAAGAAAAGAGAAAGATGCCACTGTACCCATGACCAAAACAAAGCAGTCCTAAGCGTTTGATATTCACAGACTTCAACACGATATGAGCATGGCACTGCGTTACATTAATACATACCATACATACCATACATACCAAATTTGAGTGATACGTAGAGCGAGGCCCCCTGACAGAGACGTATTACGAAACCTTAGAACCGATGAAGTTGTATTGAGAATAGTCTGCGTCTTTGTCTTGACTTCCCTTATACATCACAATGAACATCCATCATATCAAAAAGACGTTTGCTTTTCTCGCTGACATTATTACTAGTATTGAGGTTTACCACACAATCAAACGTCCCATGTAATACATGTCGCCCTCTTACCTAGCTATTTCCTCCGCTTTCCAAAAAATCCACGGTATAGTACAGCACGCTTACATCTTCAATCTGAAGGGCTCAAATAGATTGGGTGAGGTTTCCTGCTTCCTTCTCCAAATTCACAAAACTCTCCAGATCCCATGTCTTTTCTAATCCCAACCCTTATCATCACGCTGCACTACCATTGATGATTCTGGAGAAAATCGAGAGGAGCACCTTGCTGCGATGCATCACTCTCCTCATCCAACATCCAGCCGTAAGGCTCGTTCTCCAGGATTTTCTGCGTGATCGGGTCAAACATTAAATCTTTGAGCAGCAGATGTCGATATATGCAAGTCCCGCGAGACTTGAATATTTTCATGCTGCTCTCTCCGAAGGGGACGACGTCGTATGCGAGAGCTGAATGCGATTGTTTCTGAGCCACTTCACTCCACTCAGCGATGATCCGTTTTCGAGCTCCCATAGCCGCTCCAGAGCTTCTCCAGACAATCCTGGGTCGACCATCTTCATAACAGTATCGGAAGACGTATGCGCAGCTTTCCTCTTTGGCACGGCAGATACCCCAAAGCTCGATGATTTTCAGTTGAGGAAGTGACAAAGCCGCTTTGGCCGCGAGGATTATCAGCGTTTCAAACTCTTGTCTGCTTCTTTCTGGTGTCGATAGGGTACAGCGCAGACTAAGGCGTTTTAGGGAGCTTTCAACCATCATAGGCGAGACATTTAGTTCAACAATAGACCGAAGAAAGGAAGCTGTGTCCATCTGCCATGGTGGGCATAATGCTTCTAATCTCTGAGAAAGCTTCGCCATCTCTTGAGGCAAATAGGCCAGAGCATGTGGAGAGATCTCGGTTCCGAGGGTTTTTGCTACGTATCTGCGCTCATTTGCGGGGATTTCCCATTGTGTGAAGGAGAGCTGGCGTAGTGTTTTTGGCAAGGAGGGCAGTAAGTGCTGTCGGACGCCTGAGAAGAGGACATGTTAGCTTTCAGATACTCGCCATAGCTATTGGTCTGCGCTCCATACCTCGATCAAAGTAAAGTTGCACATGAGGCTCCAGCGAAATAGTTCGTTCGAAGCGGAACCACTCCAAGGCCACAAAGCTTCGGCCAATTAACCATGACAGCGTCCTGACGTTAATGTCCCTGGGAAACTGTCTGCGCATAACCAGACCTTTGATCATGGGGACGGCAGGAAGATCCTTGGATTGACTGGTAAAACGGCCTAGATTACCATTTTGTGGTTGCAAACAGAGCGGAGTTCCCTGAAACCGGTTGATATGCTTATTACTCGACGGCAGAAATCTGTTGAGATGAAGAAGGCCAATCGAGCCCCCCTTATTCGTCCGGTGGAAGTCCACAATACCACCCGCAAGGTCTAGGTCTTCGGCGTAGTGAAATGGATAATTATCCTTCATGTCGCATCGATTAAACCGATGCTTTGTATCGCTGGGCGAGGAAGCAGACAACATCAGTTCCACTCCTTGAGCCCCATGCCTCGCCGGATTCCAGAGTTGGAGGGTTCCGAGTAGGGTCTGAATACATGTTGAGAATATCATGTTGTTGCTGCGTGAATTCGTTAGCACGGAGTACTCTAGTATCAGAGTGGGAGATGTGTAAATGCCTCAACATACCCACGCTGTGTTACCAAGTCCTCTGATCTATCGCAATTGGGGCACTCGTAGTTTGAGAGATCGACTCGAAGCCAGAGCTTCTGGATATACCTCAAACGAACGCCATCTCGTCTGACGATTGCGTCAAAAGCGTCGACAGAGTCGGGATTAAGAACAAGGCGCCGGAATAGACGGGCCTCAAAGAAGGCTTGCCATTCCAAGCACACCGAAGCGAATCGGGCCACTTTTGGGAAGCCCAGGCCGTTGCATTGCTCCCATGGCTTAGGCAAGCACACAAAGCCAAGTATTAATTGGCGTACTTCAGCCGGCATCGAAGCCCACGAGGTGGTCCTCGTGATTGTAGATGGCGGCTCGACCTCGAAGGCGTCGGATTCTACATCCATAGCGACGAGAGACATGGTAAAAAGCAGTTGATGATATTTTATGGCGGAATAGTAGAATATAAGAGGCTTTTCTCCAGATACAATCTGCGAACTCAAATAGATGATGGTTGGTTGTGCTATAGTAGAGTGGAAGAGATGTTGCTGGGGATACAATTTGCGGGCTTGCTCGGGGGACGGTGTCTACTATTTAAACAACAACTACTTAGATACATATAAATATCTCAAAACAACAAAGTTTGATTGGCATTGCCAAATTAAGGTCATAAAAAAGCTAGATCGCATACGTGGCTCAACAATAAAGTTCAAGATGCAGTTCCACATCGTGATAAAGCTCCATATTTATGGCCCAGCCTATCAATATAAAAATAGCACAACAAAGGCGTATAATCCATTGATGATCCCTTATAAAATGCAAAAGAATCAACTCTCAATCGCGCAGATCAAATTCAACAATCGGACAAAGAGAAGCTGCTGAAGTTGGACACATGTTTCCTCAATGTATATTTTGTAAATTTTATAAATACTCATGCGCAGTATACTGGCTAATCATTTGCATATACATTGAACACCGAATAGCCCCAACCGATAAACTTTCCACGTTGGTTTATTCCAATGTATAATTCAAGCCACGTTGTATCCTTCGCAACCCTGTCCCCTAGGCCATAACATGCTGAACAGTCTCAGCGACACTTGCAGGCTTTAGTCCTAGGAGATTGTTGGCTAGAACTTCATCCTTGGCATAGTTGGACTTGAGGCCAGGTATGTCACCATAGACTGTTGCTCGAACCAGCGCAAAAGAGCCAAGGAAATCACCGGCGCCCAACTTTTGGAGGGCAGCATCGACCTGCTCTTTGGTAGTGGTTTTATTGACTGTCCATTTGGTGCCGGTGGTCTCCTCCAGCGCAGCGAGGATCTCGTTCTGAGTAGTCTCAACAGAGGAGATAAAGAGATACTTGTTGGCGGTTTCCTCAGGCTTCTTCAACACAGCCGCAGTAGCTGCGCCAAGTTCCTTTTCATTAGTGAGGGTAAACTTTTTGTTGCCGTCGTCCCAGATGGTGGCGGTTTTAGTGGCAATATCGTACTCAAGAAAGCCATTTGCAAGACCCTGTTACGCGCGTTGATTTAGCCTTTCGCTTTAGTTATGACTAAAACTTTGATAGACTTACCCAGTCGAATAAGAGGGACGTAGCGATACCTGTCCAGGAAAAGTCGGCTGATTGTTTAGTCTTTAGGTACTCAATTAATTCTGTTTTCTGGCCAAAGAGAGGCAGCAGCTGGAGAACACTAGCATTCTGGCTACTGGCGGAAAACTCAGAAGGTAAGAAGCGCTTAACCCCAGCACTGATGGCGGCGTCGATGAGCTTCTTCTGTTCGTCGAGGCCGTCTTTACCAAGGGCTGAGATGACGGCGTCTTGGCCTTTGAAAGCCGCCTCAAGATCTCTGTCAGAAAAGTCTGACTTGTACACAGTGACACGAGAAGGGAAAGTGGCAGAACTATCTTTGCGAGAAATGACGGTAATGTTGAAACTTCCGTCGGCGACTAATTCCTCGAGGATAATCTTGCCAACACTTCCACTAGCCTAGGAATATGCGAGTCAGCGATGAACCAATCTCATCAATGTATAGGGACATACACCAACGAGAGCTACGTTCCTGTAGGCCATTTTGGACTTTGGAAAAAGGATATGTGATAATTGAATCAGGTAGGAATCAGGGAAAGGGTATGGAAAGAGTTTATGTTTGAAGTTTTAGCAACTGAAGTTTTGCAGAGAAGTGAGGGTGGTTGATTAAATGCTTTGCTCTTCTTGAAGAGAAGACGGCGAAAGAAGGAGGGCATAGTCGTACTTTTATATCTGAAAGCGACCTTAAAAGAAAGACTAGCTGCCTATATAACAATGCCCAAAAGGAATTGTTGAGAAACTGGAGATACGACGACACTCGCAGGGAGTATCTCTAACAAAATGGTAACTTTGTGCATAAAGGGCTATTGACAATAACTACGTGTATCCACTCTCTCGTAGCTGAATTACCGCCATCAAGCAGAGAAAGCAATTACACCATCTATGCTTATGTCTCTTCAGGTGGAGCTATTCGATCAAATCTGGTTTTCAAACGAGGTCCTGGCGCGAGACGCTGGAGTTGTGAGACTCGGGCTGTACAATCGCCGCGTCGCTATTGGATCGCCTCTATTACATCCCCGGCGACAAAATGGCGCCGTTGCTTAGAAATGCGGAGGTCGCTCCGTCACCTCCGCTCTCGCCAATAGGAGCGACCTCCGCACCTCCGTTGCAGCTTTGAGGCAGAGGCTCTTGCAAGTCGCGGCGGTGACTTCCTGTCCACCTTTGCTTTCTACATCTCATTCAGGAGCACAATTTGGCGAACAATTAATCTTCTGGGCCGACTTCTAAACATTATTAATCCATTACATATCGACTATCGTTCCATTGCCGAGTAGCGATCACAACACTAACGCCTAATCTAGCCGACTCCAGTTTTCAACTCATGGCTCGAAGAGTGGTTGCTCCAGGACACTCATGCTTTGAATGCCGTCGTCGCAAGATCAAATGTGATAGATCATTGCCTTGCTCCTACTGTGCACGAATCAAGCTCAAATGCTCATACCCTTCATGGCGATCAAATACAGACACCCCTGGGGAGAGCGACCTGGCAGCCAAAGTACAGGCTCTGGAGAGCACTTTGCAGTCACTGGAACAAAAAATAACGCGTATCGGAGATTTATCACATGTAAACACAGAGTTACCCAACAGGCAGGATCAGGTTGAGCGAGAGCCTCAGTCTCCTATCGTAAGTATCCGATAGAAGAAGTTGCGTATACGATAGCTGACAATCTGTCTATAGGAGGCTGCACATGACTTACCAAATTCAGGCCAGTCTTCCACACCAATCAACTCTCAGCTAAACTCAACTCAACATGACACCGTTACGCGATCTACAAGTTCTCATCTCTTGCAATCTTTGCCATTTAACAGCTCAAGTGGCGCATCACAACCTCTCGAAACGATTCACCCTCCTCCTTCACACATAGCGTTCATCTGGCAGACATATCTCGATGCAGTCGATCCGCTTGTTAAGATTTTTCATGCGCCTTCTATCCAAAGACATGTCATGAGCATAAGTCAAGGCCGAAAGATGCCCGACGCAGCTACGGAATGTTTGATGTTTGCTATATACTATTCTACCGTGTTTTCTATGTCAATTGCAGAATGTCGTGAGGAATTTGGAGAAGAAAAAGTTCGTTTGTTGCAAAGGTGCGTGGGTTCATTTGCTATTTTGTGTCCTTTATCTCTTATACTATAGCCCGGTATCATTGACCGCTTTCAGATACCGGGAGGGAGTCGAGCGAACTCTTGTTCGAGCAAACTTCTTGAGCTCAAAAGACATCACAGTATTACAAGCGTTTGTCTTATATCTGGTAAACACTCTTCCTGTGCAGCAGAGCGGAAGATTTGAAGTGGCGTATCTGATGGTTTTAACGACAGATCTGTGGACGCCTCGATGAAGATGGCCCCGACGTCCCTACTCTTATCGGACTCGCAATCGGCAACGCTATGAAGCTGAGCCTCCACATCGATATCCTCGGACTGTCTACATTTGAGGTTGAAATGAGGCGTCGGCTTTGGTGGCAGATATGTACCTTGGATGTTCGTGTTGCCGAAGTTTCTAGCAGCGAACCATTCATTATCCAACCAAGTCTTCATACAGAGTTGCCACTCAATATCAACGATATAAGCCTGGACCCTCACATAGGTGAGCTAAGCCCGCAACCAGGACGAAGCGAGATGCTGCTCAGCTTGGTGCGGATCGAAATAAGCAATTTTGCGCGACGAATAGTATTCTCGGATCAATTTTGCCGAATTAACAACTATGGCATGATGAATGAAGCACAAAAGTGTCAAGCGATAGATGAGTTCAAGGAGCGCATTGAAAAACAGTATCTGTCGCATTGCCATGAAGCGATTCCGCTAGATTGCCTCATCATTATGAGCAGCAGGCTCATTCTTGCAAAACTGAAGCTGGCTGTTTATAAGACGCGCCCAAATCAACATCCCGAGATGCCTGTGAGAGCCAACTATAAGAAAGCTTGTGAGAAGTTTTTGGAGCAGGCATGCGAACTACGACAATACATTAGGGGGCGCCGGTGGCTGTGGTTGTTCCAATATATTGAATGGGATGCGCTTGCATATCTTCTGCTAGACCTTTGCATTACTCTGTCATTGCCAGGTCTATCGTCAAATGAGTTCATTACAACGCCGTGGAAAGTGGTTGATGGTATTTATAAATACTGGAAACAACAACCTGACGTCCATCGAGATCGTGGTTGGGTGAAGATTGAGAAACTTTACTCAAAGGCTCTATCTGTGAAGGAAAGAGCTCAAAATGCAACGCAGACATTCCAGGCAACTCCATCTTATTGTTCTCAGGAGGCACATGATCAACCTGAGGAGCCCTCTAATGGCACCGAGATGCAACAGCAGTGCGAATCAAGTCTGGATTCTGCTTCGGCTGAAGAAGCCCAAAGCTCTGCAAGCACCACTGAGCTGCCTGGAGCGGGGACTGCTTGTGAGTGGAACGCTTCTTTGATAGAGACATATTGGGAGGTCGCCGGGCATGGAAATGAGGGATTCTAGCGTTTTGAAATGAAGATAGTTTTATAGTTATTACAAACAGAAATTCTTCTCTTGGATATGAACTGTGGCCTGTAAAAGTATTATCGCTGTTGCGTTGTGAGTAAAGGACGTCTTCGCGAGTCTGCTAGTGGCATCGCGCTTCGGTATGCCTCTGCTGTCCGTTACTCGTACGGCGTGCGGTGCAAAGGTGCATAGTATCCATACGTAGTGAGATGAATTCCAGCGCTTTATAACAGCCAAGTCAGGTTATTGTAGAATCTTTGTTTGATCCACCCTTCACCCTCCGCCCTCTGCTACTGAAGCGAGTAATCTGTAAGTCGGGTAAGCTAGAACCTTGGCGGGGAAACTTGTGGTAGTAGACGATCGTCCTATACTAGGCAGTTCTAATGGCGTATGAGAGGCAGTGTAGTGTGTAGATGTGCTGGGAAGAGTGGATATCCGCAAGAGACTGAACTGAACGTTCTAGGATGAGTAAAATATTACTGAACATCTCACAACGCAGTGAGCACTAACATTGCATTGAGCTACGAGCCGCATGGGAAGTTTCTATTAAGCTTACTTCTTAATTCCCCAGTTTGTCAGTCATTCGCTCAGTTATAACTTTGCGCTGCCCACCGCTTCATTCCGTTTTGGCTGTGCGGCGCATGAGCGTCCATCATGAAACCGTCGATAACCCCGCAAAGTTTAAGGTCCATCAACCGATATAGATTGGCGACATGTCTACCAGTTATCTCACGCAACACCCCTCTCCCAGGAAAACTTACAGCACATAGCGCTCTTACGAGGCATTTTAGCCACTCAACTCGGCTTCAACGCATACCAGGCAGCGAAAAAGTTGACTCGGCATCTAATTCCACTTCACGGGAGCCATTATGGAGAAGAGGACCAATCTTCTGGAGTCTAATCGTACTCGTTTATGCGGTATCTGAGTTTGGGCAGGGCTATTATATCGGATATTGGAAAGAGAGAGGCTGGCAAGCGCAAAATAATTACTCTCAGATGCCTTGGAGTAATGAGGCAGTTGGAGAACCTTTAGAGGAAGACAATGGCACTGTATCTGTTGATAAAGATGGATACAAGCCACTGACCCGGCCCTTGGAGATTCGGGTATTAGTACTGCATCCTGGTGAGAAAGGTTCTCCGATCAAATGCAGCCTACAGCACGGTGGCCTCAGAAGCAAGAGGCCCGGTTTCGAGGCCCTTTCCTACGTGTGGGGAAACCCAGCTGTCACAAATGACATTACCTGCGACAACAGAAAAAGGGCTGTGGGCAAAAATCTTTACGATGCACTTGAGCGGCTCCGACTTCCCGACAAAGATAGGGTGCTATGGGTTGATGCACTTTGTATCAACCAGAGCGACAACAAAGAGAAGACGCAGCAAGTTCGTATCATGGGCGAGATCTATACAAGAGCACAAAGGGTACTCATTTGGCTGGGAAATGGTGACGATGTTCAAGCTGGGATAGGGAAACTGGCGTCAAGACCGGCCAACGAGAAACATGCCGATTGGTCACCACTCAAGCCTGTTTTTACAAATCCGCTGTTCATTCAGGCCCAATCTTTGCTCATCTGGCTAGGATTTGAAGGGGCAGTAAATATGGGAGTCGCAAAGCTTGAAAACCCGCAATCGTCTACTAAATTTGACTGGTCTTCGCTCATACCAGCCATCCAAAGCCCATGGTTCACTAGAGTCTGGTGCATTCAAGAGCTCATCTTGGCATCACGCCCTATGATAGTCACGCGCGACTCTATGATATCCTGGAATGAGTTTGCCAAAGCGGCTTTGGCGCTTAAAAGGAAGTTCAACGCTTATCGGATGGAGACACAGTATCAGAGCAATGAGTCAATCGAGAACTTCTACCTTCTACACGACATGCGTGAAAGGCACAAGATGAGGAGAAAGAAAAGGCATAGCCTTTTAGAGCTGATGTTCTTGACTCGAGGCTTCCAAGCTACCGACCCTCGAGACAAGCTGTTTGCGCTTATCGGTCTAGCTGGAGACGTGCTGTCATCTGATTGGGAGGTAATGCCAAACTACGATTTATCTGTAACAGAGGTTTACCATCGCTTTGCTCTCTGGAACGTCACTCGCAAACGACAATTTGAAATCTTCTCCTTTGGCCGTAACCAAGACCTTCCTTTGTCTCCGCAGCTAAGATCTTTGCCGTCCTGGGTACCTGATCTAACGAGGCCAGATTTTACCGCACCGTTGCCTAAATTAGAATATCTGTCCGCCAATTACATAGACTTGCGGTATGAGGTGCTAAAAGAATTCGAGTTGCGCAAGAAACATTTTCGCGAAGGTATCAAGATCTACCATGCGGATCTCAAATATCCTTGGTGGGCACTCGGTCGACAATCCGATTTCCGTCCTGCACGAATTGCATTTTCCGACGGTACGGCCGTGATACACGTTGTGGGAACTAAAATCGGATCTCTTAGGGCGTTGGGGACGCCTTTTACTCAAGACACTGCGATAAATGTATCAAAACTTGTACCAAAAACGGTTGAAGACGCTGACATTGGAGACTTGAGATTTTCTGCTAATGTATTGAACACATATCAGTGGCTCAATGGGACATGGGCATTGGTTGGAGAGAACACTTTAGGAGACAAATATGCTCGACTTGCTAGAAACACAATTGATGGAGTCTGGAGAACGGTGACTTGCTGTATGACAGCAAAGGGGGAAAACGCTCAATCTACCATTTATTCTCGTGCTGCGCAGTCCTTGTATGAGAATTTCCTCAACAAAGCGCAGCGAATTGAAGCTCGAACCGGGAGAAATGGCACCACGCCTGCAAAAGACGTCTCAGCCAACGCCGATACAAAAAAAACCGGCTTTAGCACCTTATCTTTCACGGAAGACGAGCTCCAAAAACTACTGCTTATACACATGAGCGTGATCAAATGGCACCAAGGACGCCGATTTGCAATCACGGACTCTGGCGATTTTGCTGCTGTGCCCAAAGCGGCGCGGAAGGGGGACGTTGTCTGCATCTTCAATGGAGGGAGAGTGCCTTATGTTCTTAGGCCGAGTAAAAATGGCCACTATACGCTTGTTGGAGAGTGCTACGTCGATGGGATGATGAGGGGAGAGGTTAGAGACCGATTTCCAAGGAGGGAACACGAGACTAGTTTTGCTATCGAGTAGCATAGATGTAAAGCGAACTACAAGTCATTTCAACAGGCCTGAATCATAGCCCGTAGAGACTGAGGTATGTCTTTGTATTAGATCATGGGTATGGGGAGAGTACGGCGAATCATATCAAGAAGTATACAACCAGTAGCAATGAGTAGCTCGAAATACTGGGCTACACAAAATGCACTGAAAAGTCTATATGAATACATGTACAAGAAAGAACTCCTCTCTTCCGGCACTGTACCAACAAGTTGCGAGAGCCGGTACCTGGATGTGGGCGTCTTTAGTGTCTCCCCCACAGCGATCGGATCACGATCAAACTTTCTTCATCGGAGCAGCCTCTCCTAACGGATTTACGACGCACACGCGTCCCTTTGTGAAAAACTAGTCGCAAGTGATCACGTCTCAGGATAATGGGCTCATACATGTATACATGTAGCTTAAGGTAGACAAGAGCAAGCAAGTGGCATTCGAAAGATGGAGACTCGTTTCTTGTCCTTTCCAACGTGTGTCGATATTTGTAATACTGTATATACACACTTTCAGTGTAGCTTCATCCACCAAACTCGCTCTGGAATAGCGTCTGAGATGGTGTTCATGTGTCCAAGAAAGTTTACCGCCCATTTTACTTGTCCCGCATTTTCTATCAGTTAGCCATACCCCATGCTCAATATGCGACTCTTCTTCGTTCGCAAGACTGCCCCTTTGCCTTGCTCTTCTAACTGCCTTTCTTCCTTATACAATGGTACTGAAGAGCAACCCCTGGACTGCATCAGATTGCGATGAGCGTAATACGGAGGGGTAATGGATTAAAGTGTACGAACGGCATTGAGTCGCCAGAACTACTTCTCGTGCCGTTCTAGTTAAGGAGGAGGTCTCCTTAGATTGGTACCTGAATGTGAGGTGTGCCACCCTCTTTATAGCGTCGATATGAAGCCTTGGGCAAGGAAAAAGAATGGGCCAGGAACAAGAACAAATGCCAGCTACATGGAGACTGCTAGCAGAGCATTGAGAACATGAGCCGACATGTGCTGCATGTACCGACACATTGATGGCAGGAGAGTCACTTGTCTTTTGGCGCTATGTGGAAGCCATATGGCCCACTCACTTAAGAGCAATTGGAGATGGATTCTTTGGTGGTGTGGTATGATTCGCCGTCCATCTCTTGTCTTCAGTCGTCAGTCAAGAGCACCAGGCCAGAGGTTAGGATATGGAGCGAGAGCCGAGAGCGCCCCTGGCTACATCTATTAGACTTGTGGGCGACCTAGCTCTCGTCGTCGAGTTCACCCTTCACTTCTAATTTGATCTCGCATCACTTCTTTTCTCCACTAGAATATCTTTATAGGGATAGAGTACAAACAACTTGAACTATTGTCTGACTTCAATATGGACGGCCACGGATGTCGTAATATCACTAATGTTCGTGCTACTCTCGCATCTGATAACGGGAACCCTGGCCACCCCCACAACCCCCATCGTGACCGCCAGGGGTACCTTGCCGCCAGGGATATCATCCCCCGCCCTGCAGCTCCAGGCCCCATTGACCTGGAGTCACAGGCGATCAATTCCCTCTACGAAGAGCCATTCTTTTCCTCCGACGAATACGCAGACTTTTCCAGCACCAGCACCAGCACCAGCTCTCAATCTTCCCCGGGAACCTCTTTTGAGCACCCGGACTGGCAATACGCAGATTGGGCACGCATCATCCCGGCGCGTTATGTGCACTATGAAGAGCCAGAGAAACCGGATCAAAAAGGATGTTGGCAATGGGGCTTGATCGTCTTGTTTGTGGTTGCTCTTGGGAGTATTGGAGGGGTGATTGTTGCTGTGCATCACTGATTGTCTATACATGTAACTATTAATGCGGGGCTTTTAATGCTTCTTCTTCTTCTTCTTCTCCTTCTTCTTCTTTTTCTTTTAGGGGATTATTTCCTACTATTTATTTGCATCATATTTGTATTACGTGGACAACACTTCCAATCATCAATTGCGCGCTTATGTGCCATTCAACACTGCCCACACCTTGCAGCATCCGAGTCAGTGCCGTTAACTAGCAGATTTTAGTATGCAGCTCATGATTAGGTAAATGTGGTTGTACCGAGTCCAGGAGGCTTGAAGACAAAGTGCAGCATCATTTGCGCTTGTATTCCTGAAGAGAATCCCATGTTCACAGTTGACAACTGAAGATGTTATATGCGTCATCTCATGGCAGTTACAATGAGCATGGCATGGATGGCAAAAACCCGACAGCTCTCTCCTGATGGCTGAAACAAGTGGCCGTTTTTGGCACATGCAATTCCTACTGGCGCCTCTGCGACGGTACCTGAAGTGAGCTCAGGTACAGATACACGTATTCCTGCAGGACCACGCCGATAGTGTCTATGTAGGTACAGCGTGCACCGAAAAATGAGTTCATCACATGTAAGGTCTTCCACCTCCCAGTTGTTCCACGTCATCCATGAGAATTGATAGAAAGATATTGGCAATGAAATGTATTGCAACACCCCAATGATCTAGAACATGCTGCTTCTGATGCTTGTACAAATGGCTCAAAGCTGAATACAAGGTGCCTAGTGTGGCGGTTCCCTCATCCAAACGTGGCTTAGTGCACGCTATTAAGCTCAGACCCAGTCATATAAATGCAGGCGGGCGAGCGATTTCGGCTGCGGCAAGAAAAGAAAAATCGCCGAAGTTTTCCCCCCACCTCATAAATTCCACCTCAACAAGAGTCACCGGCCTCACCACGACACCACTCCGTCAATTGGGCTGAGAAGCATCATCCACCATGCTCTCAGGCGTCTCCATGGCCTCGCGCGCCGGCGCTCGCCGTGTTGTTCGACAATCCGCCTCACTTCTCCCTTCCTTAAGCCCGATCCGATGCCTCGCCGGCCGACAGAACAGCCTCCCCACGGCTGCTATGGGCATGAGCCAGCGACGACTGTATGCCATCGCCACGAATCCCAACCCCAATCCTCCCCTCGGCAAGAAGAATGCCACAAACGAAACCCCGTCTCGAATTGGCCTGATTGGAGCCCGAGGTTACACTGGCCAAGCTCTGGTTGAGCTCCTCAACGAGCACCCTTACATGGACCTTCGACACGTGTCGTCTCGAGAGCTTGCTGGCCAAGAACTCAAGGAATATACCAAGCGCAAGGTCATCTACGAAACATTGTCGCCCGAGGATGTTGCTCAGCTGGACAAGGACGGCGCGGTGGACTGCTGGATTATGGCTCTTCCCAATGGCGTTTGCAAGCCCTACGTTGAGGCCCTGGACCGGGGAAACAGCAAAAGCGTCATCGTTGATCTCTCGGCTGACTTTCGATTCGATGACAAGTGTAAGTCTTTGACTTTTAAAAAGTCACGTCTTAGCGAGATTGACTGCATTTACTGACCCTACAACAGGGACGTATGGCCTCCCTGAACTTGTAAAACGTTCCGACATTGCACAGTCCAGGCGCATCGCGAATCCCGGATGCTACGCCACTGGTGCTCAGATAGGACTCAGCGGCGCTCTCGACTTGATCGAGGGGATGCCCGTCATCTTCGGCTGCTCAGGCTACTCTGGAGCAGGTTCCAAGCCAAATGCAAGGAACAATGTGGAAGTGCTTAAAAACGCCATCATACCTTACTCACTAACGTCGCATATCCACGAACGCGAGATTTCCCATCAACTAAACCATCAGGTTGCCTTTATGCCTCACGTGGCTGGGTAAGTGGAGGCTCTCAGCGGACCCGCACAGCGTGGATGACAACTAACGGATTGAAAAGATGGTTTAGGGGCATCACGTTGACTATAAACATACCTCTCCGTAAGGAAGTGACTTCACGAGAAATCACCCAGATGTACCAGGACCGCTACGCCGGCGAGAAACTCATCAAGGTAGTGGGAGAAGCACCATTGGTGAGCGCGATTACGGGACGCCATGGAGTAGAGATCGGAGGCTTCGCCGTCGACCCCTCTGGAAAGCGCCTGGTTGTCGTGGCTACGATCGACAATTTAGCCAAGGGCGCTTCGACTCAGTGTTTGCGTGAGTGATCCTTTTCGTTCAACAAGTGCACTGCATTGCTAATGGAATTACACAGAAAACATGAATCTCGCACTTGGCTATGCAGAGTATGAGGGAATTCCTCCCATGTGAGAGCATTAGCTAGAGCCAGATTAGATGATCTGTTCTTAATAGGAGTGGTTTGGATGTTAGGTTGAAATCGCTGGTATCAAAGGCCTCATACTGGATAGACCTCACAAATGTCTTTGGTTTCCGGCTTTCAGTATCATCCGGCGCAATGCTTCTTATATCCGAGCTGGAAATACGCTCAAACAGACTTCACTAAAGGGGCGGGAAAGGGGGCCCAGGGACTTGAGTGTGTCACCTTGGTCTCGCATCCTATGTTGGGCAGCTGCAAAGCCACATATGAAGCAGAAGACATATCAACAAATATTCAATCAAGACAGACCAGATAAGCAGACATAAACACAGTAGAAATAAGTTCAGATGATACAAGGTCCATTGAAGTCACGTCGATCTTTTGGTTCACCGGACTACCAGCTGTGGCAACATGCAACGTAATGTACGCAATTTCAACTCCTTTGGCGATGGCTGATATACTTCTTTTCTGTCGTAGATACAAGACACGTTGTATTTTGTAAAGAAAGGATCCGAATAAGGACCTGAGAAGTGCAGTCATTGTCTTTGAATGTAATAGGATATGAGGGGGTGTTGTGCCTCAGCACCACGCCCGATCATAAACGACTGTAGGTAGTAGATAAATAACGAGATCTAGTTTAAAAATAGTCGCATTTTTTTGACACCTAGGCTATCTAATCTTAGAGGATAGACCCCATTTCTGGAGCCCAGTGACCCTAATTCGATGTGGCCCTAAAAAGAGAGTCCAGTATCCTATCGGCAGCAAGATCAGCAGCTACTGGGAATAGCGACGGAATTCGCGTGAAGGCCGCCATTATTTCATAATATGCACTTCCCTACGCTTTATGACTCGTTTTAGAGCCCGGGAGTGAGCTGGCTAATAATAATTGCTATTCTACTATAGAAGAGGTAATCTTACTCAGCGCTAAAGAAACTGAATGGGGGTTGATTCATTTTGTCCTAGCCTCAGTGGCATGCGTATTGTTTTAGACGCTTTGCTATGTTTTTGAGAGCTAAATGCTATATAATGCCTCAATCGCCCTACTCAAGAAGACGAGAGGATAGCTAACTTTACTCTACTCCTCCTACAGCTAACTGACCATGTCAACATTGCCTCCGCCAACCACTGATCTGGTTTACCAGGTGGATCTATTGGAGAGCATTTGCCAGGGCCAACCAGTACGAACATCAGAGCTCACCACCTCGCCTGAGCAGAGGAAAGCAGATTACGAATATGTCCAGACTGGACCGCCGATGCTCACCTTTCTAGGCATTGCCAGGCCCAAAACAACATATCACATATACATACATCCCACTTTAATCGCGCGTTTTGATCAAATCCAATCGGCACTGGGTAAAGCTACAACCAACATTATTGAGAGATGGTTCTCGGACAAAGAGGCGGACTTTCCGTCAAGGATGCCATTAGAAAAACACGAGGAGGACGTACTCAGGGTATGAGGTCCAAAATGTACGTCGCTCTTGTTCTCTTGACTAAAAAGATGCTCAGTGGATCGCCTCGTCGGACATTGTGCCAAAATATGCTGGAAGAGAAGGATGTTCGCGCCCAGACTTTCTGTTCTCCGCCACCTCTCAAAACGCATGTCAACCCATTATCTGCGAGATCAATGCTCGTTTCCCGTATAACTCTTGGTTTTTTGTCGAGGCTGCGACAGAGCCATTCGAGAGGGCTGGTCTTCGAAATAGTGGGCTAAAAACAGGCCATGATTCCGCGGTAAGCATCGAGAGAGATCCAAAATGAGTTTTTCAACATTGTGTTAATGAGATTTCGAAACATAGGCTTTTGGCGATGCCGTCGTGAATCTCTTTGACTCATCTCATCCCGGCCACATCCTGCTAGGGAAGCAGTGGATAGGATTTGACGTCCATTTGCTTCCGGACAAGTTCCAACAGAGGACGGGGCATGAGATGCGTATAATCTCACCATCTGATTTAAGGCTTACAGAAGATTCGGAATCTCCAACAGGCTACCACCTTTCGTGCATCCTCAAGGATAGCGAGGAGCTGGAGCGAGTGTGGCAGATTAGCTTAGATATGGTCCAGGCCGAGATTCAAGAATTTTCTTCGGAGGTGTTGCGTGAGATTGCTCGCATCTGCACCAATGATCTACGGTCTGTCTTCCTGCTTCACGACAAGCGCTTCTTAGGGATTGTGCTTGAAGAAGTCGACAGTTTGGTGGAGCAAGGAGTAGTGGATTCCGTGGAAGCTCAGTTGCTAAGGGAAAGCATTGCGCCTACTTATGTTCCAGGTTCAGCTAGCTGGAAAGAAGCGATTTCTTCACCAAATGCCAAGGAAGGACTGGTGCTGAAAGATGCTCGTGGGGGAATTGGGAGGGGCCACGTCTTTGGACATAACGTGACCCAAGGGGAATGGGACGAATGTCTTCGGGCGGTTGGCAATGGCAAGCTTGTTGACGGTAAGGGACTCGTTCTTCAAAGAAAGGTTGATCAAGTCTCCTTTGACATTTTAAACCCGGCCGGAGACTCCTTCCAGAGCCGTTATCTTATTGGCGCATGGGCAGCCGTAAATGGAAAATATCTCGGCTTGACTTCTATGAGGCTCGGTAACGATTTGGGGTGCGTGCCACCACCAGACGGCGGCATGGCCATTCTTTCTGTTACATCTGCCTCATAGGCCACCATTTCAACACTGTTGAACCACATATAATGGCTCTATTAACAAAGCATTGGCCAACAGGCTGCAATATCTTCTGTGGTTCTTCTGGAGCGTGGGGGAGATAATCGCTGGATGTACGTATTTTTACTATTCAGAATCATCAGAGTACAAACTTAACATAATATATATAACTAGATAAGCAAAGAAACAGATTCTTGATAAATGACCTGGCCAGATATGAACTATGGTATATCAAAGTAGGTATCGGAATCTACTATTTCGTACGGGGTTCTCCAGATTTGCACCATCTTCCCTGTCCAATCTTTTGTTTTCTCTCCCAAGCGCAATGCGTAAAATCGTAGCAAAACAAAGCGACATAGCAAGCATGCCTATATTTATGCAAAAGGCTTTGGTATATCGCGGCGCGTCGGAGTCTAAATTTGCACATGTCAGCTCTGTGATAGCCCACCAAATGAGGGGAAATTTACCAGGATAGAAGTAAGATGTATATATAGAGCAGGCATTACTGATACAGTTGATCATGGCAATTGCGGCCGCACGTTTGTCCGCTGGTCTCGGGATTACTGTCGTCAAATGAGCCAAGACATTCTCAAGAACGCGAGAGGCTGGCCTTACCGTTTGAAATATATCCCAAACATACCACGTAACCAGAATAAACTGATCCAACTACAAAACACATCGCGCTTGGGAGTTGTTAATCTCTTTGCAAATGGCGGGTGTCTTCGATAGAGCAACCAAACTTACACATAGCGAGGTGCGAAAGATGTCGTCGACACACCTAAAATGAAGGATGCAATAGCGAGCACCGAGGGCAAGGTTATGTGCAAATATCGTTCGCCGGTTTTGTCGGCATGCCAGGCATTGATGAGCAGCATCACGGCCCCAATCAAATAAGGCGGCGTCGTTAAAAGTAGCGTCTCCACGGTGCCTTTACCTAGGCCTTTCATAACGCTGGAATCGCTTCTTAGTAAAAGGCGCGCAAGCATATTTGTGACTTCAGCCACCTAGACTTGGATGCGCTTACGCTGGAAAAAATGTGGTTATGGATCCGGCGGATGTCGAGCCATACACTGATCCAAGAAGCAGCCAGACCTTGTAATCGCTGCATGATGGAAAGATTAGCATTGATGCTGTCCAAATCTGATAATCAACTTACAAGAACGCTGCTTTTGCCCCGGTTACAAAGGACTGATGATTGCTGTCCACCCAATCATCCTCTCCTATATCTGCTTCCAACCTCCACACGGCTAGCTTCTTCTCCTGATCATTGAGCCAAGGGGTAGTGCGTGGCAGGTCCGGGATAATAAAACAGGCGATAATGGCCACCGTGATCTTGGGCGAATACAATAAGCATCACTCTAAACAAAAAAGTACACCTTCACACAACTATCTGGCCGATGGCGCGATACTACATCATTGGGTATCCTGCGCAAGAGCAGATATTGCCGAGATCGTGATTAATTAAGAGTTACTTACCGTCATGCAACCCTCAATGATGAAGAGCCATCTCCATGCAGAGAGGCCACGAGCTCCGTCGAGATTTTGAGTAATTCCCGCCGCAAAAAGTCCTGAAAAGGCACCGGATATGATGGAGCCAGAATAGAGCAGCGCCGTTCGCTTGACCAACTCCTTTCGAGTGTACCAGCATGACAACAGATACAAACAACCAGGCTAGATATTGTTAGTCTACCCTAAAACAGCACGATGCGCGCCTCAGCCGGAAGTCCTACAAAATAAGCTGCTTCTATAATACCAAGCAAAAGTCGACAGACTAACAAGCCACCAAAGGTTGTTGTCGCTGCTGTTGCGGTTGACACGATACCCCAAGCTACCATGCAGCTTGGAAGGTATATAGAAGGCTTTCCGAGTTTGTTCAAGAGAAGATTAGATGGAACTTGGAGGAAGTCAGCTCAATAATGCGGCTACAGAAAGAAAGGCGGGCTACGAAACCTTGCATCAGAATATAGCCAACGAAAAGGATGCTGACTGCTGTCTAAGGTGGAATCAGCACAACGAGTAGTTCAACGATATTGGCACATGCGTGCATGTTGTGGAGGTATCACCTCGTATTGGTTTCCGTGAAGTCTCAAGTCCGTCTGCATACCAGCCAGCTTGGCTGAAGCAATGTTGTTGCGGTCGAGATAATTGAGAATGTACATTAGAATTGTCATCGTCAATAGTCTAAAGTCCACCTTTCTGATCATTTTGCGTTCCATTAGACTCCTCTCACTATCGCTCATATTTCCAAAGGGTGAGGCCTCCGATGGTCCAGATAATTCTATCTGTGTAGTCTCGCTCTTTGGATCCTCCATTGCTTAATATTTTGAGTCGCGTATGTCTCTAAATTGGATAAAGTTGAATGGAAGAAAAGGCGAAGAATAACTATTGGATGAATGTACATGAACGGCATTGCAGACGAACTATATAAAGCATACTCCTCTCTGTATATATTTAAACCCGGGCAACACCCATGCGACTAAAAGTCTGGGGAAGCGCATCATATGTGGGAAAGTAAAAAGAAATACTACGTATCTAGGAGGTTGGAGTATTGGTCAAACATGGCAATGAATGTCTCTTTTCTTAAGCTTAATCATATGACGCTTCTGCTAGCGAGATATCAACGGCTAGTTTGCCAGTCCCATCAATCTTGTTACGAGTTGGCGCATCTCCTGGCCTTGGTCCATTGAAGATCGCCAAATCTCTTCCCGCTTTTTGATTTCCTGTTGCATTTCGTGAGGCATTTTCCTTGCGCTGGTTTGATCCGATTTGGGGTCGCTTAAGCACCCCGCATGGAGTTGGCCTTGGCGATCGACATCTTTGTCGAATGCATGTTTCTTTCGGGTGGCACTAACCCGACAGCTTTCAGTTATTGCAGTTGCTGAATATGCTAGCCATGGGCATTAAAGTACTTGATTAAAGGAGACGCGATACCCTGTAGATGATTACTGAGAAAAACACCAGGCGAAGTTCCAAGCGAGCATACCATACGTGCAAAGACTGCGCGCAAAAGATACACAATTGTACCCTAGGAGGTCCCGGCAACCCAAAGCTTCGAAGGGTGATCTATCATCTAATGTGACCTAGATGTAACATTAGACAACCTTTGGCGGTGGTAGTGTGTTCGAAGGGGGAGCGCACTATGCCAAGGTTTTTTTTCCATCTTCAAGGGAGTATAACACGACTGTTTATAGGCTGGTTATTCCCAGGTTGGCTTTTACGTCCGCTTAGTGCATCCAAATACACCGTTCATGTACAGAATAGATTGTATGGATTGCACGATAGATACCAACTTTATTGGAATGCCCACCCAACGTGGGCCACGACTCGGGTCCTGGCTGGGGGGATCGCATGAATTTTATGACTGTTGGCACTGTGTTCTCGACAATACCTTCAACGTCTTGAGTCACTCACTGTTGATCCACTCTAGTTGGGTTGTAGCCAAGTTGGGTTGCAGAGAAACAAAACTACCTCAACTAATAAAGACATCTTCTACCTGCTGCGCGAGCCTACTATTATCAAACCGTTTATCTCCCTTCGGTTGTCCAGCCATCGAGACGATATCCCTCTCGTCAAACCCCCCCCAAATCGTAGCTGTATTTGTTGGACTCGTTAGCAGAATCTTAATACTTGTTTGGACCCTGCTATCTCGCGTCAACGACAGCACCTCATACAGCACCCTTTCTACCCCCAGGTCCTGCATAAACTCCGGATCATCATATACATTGACACTATCGAGCACGCAAATAAGCGTAACGTTGCTCTTCATCAGCCGCACCAACCCGATGAAAAGCTGGCATAGCTGCTCCGTGTCGTCTTCTAGCATATCCAGATTTACCTCAGTGCCAAAGTTATACTGATTGAGAAGCTGAACGATGAGGCTCTTGACAATGCCAATCCCGCCCGCCAGCGGATCTTGGGCGTCTCTATGCTCGGCGCAGAAGAAGGCCAGGGTGCAGAACCGTTGATCTCGCCGCAGGCTCTGCACAATACCAGCGCTGAAGAGCGAGAGAGCCGATACGCTTGTCCGGCTGGGCTTCATGTGGCCGTGCACGAGAAGCTCGGTCGATTGTGTTTGCACCACCCACTTTTGAAACTGGGGATTGTTGATGAGCTGCTCGGCGCGGCCCTGGTCACGGCGGTTGACGAGAGCGACTGAGTTGGAGATGTTGGCGATGTCGGTCTCTTCGCCACTGTCGGCAAGGTTGAATATTTGCAAGAGCTGGTCCTGCGATATGGGCTCGGGTGGCAACAAAGGGTATCGCCCGCGACTGCGTGAGCGCTCTTCTCGCAACTCAGCCATGAGTTTGACGTTCAGATGCCGAGCTTTCTCTAGATCTGCAGTATACTATTGTTTAGTATTAAGTGCGGACGCGGAAATCTCCACTCACCGCTCTTAGCAGCGCAACATTCCTCGGATAGCTTCAGAAAGCCGTTCATAGCTGTGGCAGAGATGATGGCGTTTGATATGTTTGCGGCGGCATTTCTTTCGTTAGCAATGGCGTTTCGTTGGTTCGACGCTGCCTCTCGGCTCAAATCTGTGGCCAATTTCCCCTGCCTGTTGGCAATTTTGCGGCCAGATATGGTCATTTCTGACTGTTTGTCTGCTATTCTCTTCTGCTCTCTCAACATCTTGAGTTGGCCCAGTTGCAGCTTTTTTAATTTCTCTAGACCTGAGGGCGCTTGTCAGATGGTTTTTCGGCAAATTGCGGATGCTGTTGCTCACCTTTTGATGCTATTATATTCACTGACCGAGTTGCGCGGATGTGCGATAAGCTGGCCTCTTCGATTAGCCGCTTGCTGCTCGAATTAATCTCGGCAAGGCATTTTGAGAGATCTGCTCTGTATTCGTCATTCTTCCACAAGATAGTAGCCGTCATCTTCAACCCTTTTTAAGTTTCCATTTAGCACCATGGTTTGCTTTGTTAGACGAGCTTTGATCGGTAAAGAGCCATACCTCTCTTTGATGAGTAGTAGAGAACAATGTCCTCCAACGCTTGGAGCACTGAAACAAGCACGTTCATAGCCGCAGAAACAATATGGTCGTCATCATTGGCGCAAAGTGCAACGATGCGTTCCACATCTGACAGTTTCTCCCGCATTTGGCGTAGTGTTCCCTCAACTTCCTCTCGAATCTCGGCTGTCCTTTTGGCTGCCTATATTCTGTGAGACACGCAGGCTCGATGAGGCGAGTAAGAGAAGAAAAAAAATAGATGGGGAATGATTACATCAAAGATAACGTCAAACACGCAATGGACTACTGATGTATAGTCCGAGTCCGGCAGAAGCGAAAAGAGCATCTTCCCGTTGTTGGCGTGGTCGGCAAACTTATGGCTTGTCTTCTTCCAGAAGCCGATGAAGCCTGAGTAATTGTAGTATTTTGCCCTGGCTACCTCGAGCGTGTTGATAATCTCGGGCCATCCTGCTGCAGCGCGGATGCTATTAAGCGTGCCGACGAGCCCGGCTGGTTCATCGCGATTAGTGCTGAGCTGGGCCATGGCCGGGAGGAGCATTTCATCCCAGAACGGCCGCCGCGGTGGGTTGGATGAGGAGTTTTTTGACTGTTTGGGCAGCAGTTGAAACTTCTTTTGGTCATCTGTTGCCGCTTGACTCATATTGTCGTCTTTCGAGACTGGCGCGTATAGTCTGAGGGCGGGATTGAATTTCACTTGTGGGTTAGCAAAGGCTTCGTGATACTCGGGTAGGCGAGTTTCGTTGAAGTCTAAGCACGGTTGCCGTGTCCTGGACTCCCCAGCGGCCGAATTGCACGCCATGAGGTCTTGGTGGCAGGGGGATACAGAATTGATGAGATGAGATCAGTCGAGTTCGTAGGGGAAGATGTCCCTAGAATAATGTTTGAGGCTCTGAGACCAGGGCATGAAATTCTGGGGCTTTGATTGGGCCAGCTTGTAAGATGCGCTCAGCTGTAGGACGGCAACGCCAATCAAGACTTACCGTCTGATTTGTGGTAGCACTTTCATTTACCTGAAATTGATGGCTCCTTGCCTAAATTCTGCCAGCCCAACATCTTGCTCGCAGCCTCTAGGCAAACCTGATGGAGTTGTTTGGTACCTACCTACCTAGTACCTATCATAACTACCTATCAATACATAGGTACCTAGTATAACGCGAGACCAAATGTACCTAGTTTGGAACCTGGTATAGACAATATGACTTGGTTTGTCACCAAAGCACCTTGAGTATATTATTGTTACAATCGCAAACCAGCGGTAAGTAAACTCCACCCCTATCAACCTTCGAACATGACACCCATACCATCCAGGAGATCTGGGATCCACTGCCGACGCAGTCGAACGTAGCCTCGAAGAGAACTTTGCTCTCGCAAGTCGATGGGGCTGCATCCTCCTGATTGACGAAGCCGACGTCTTCCTTGAAGCCCGCCAGACCGAAAACTTTGACCGCAACAGTCTCGTCGCAGGTATTCCTCCTCCCCTTTCTCAGTCTCTACCTTCCTCCCCAACTTTCTCCTAACAATTTCTAGTCTTCCTTCGCACTCTAGAATACTACACCGGCATCCTCTTCCTCACCACCAACCGTGTCGGCACATTCGATGAAGCCTTTACCTCACGCATCCACATCTCCCTCTACTACCCCCCTCTCGACGCATCCTCGACTTTGGCTGTTTTCCACGTCAATCTAGACCGCATCAAGACGCGTTTTCGCAAAAAGAAGGAGCGCGGCACTGCCGAGCTCGAGCTCGACGAGCGCTCCATCGACAAGTTCATCCTCGATTACTACGGCCGCAACGAGGAGGCGCGGTGGAACGGTCGGCAGATCCGCAATGCGTGTCAGACGGCTCTTGCACTCGCCGAATTCGAGGCGCAAAAGGTGGCCAACCCGGGCGTTGCGGGTGGGCGCAGCGTCATGGAGATTGCTGCTGCGTCGAGCAAGATGATCAAGGTCAAAATGACGGCCAAGCACTTCCGTGACGTGGCGAAGGCGTATCTGGCCTTTATGAAGTATCTAAGAGAGGTGCATGGGATGAGTGCTGCACAGTAGGCGAAGAACTTTATGTTGAGGCAGGATCGGTATGGGCTGGGGAAGCCATCTGCTGGGCTGGGACTGTTGGCTTCGAGGCAAAGGGGGAGTGCCGGCAGCGGTAGTGGAAGACACTGGAAGCCGGTGCAGAAGCAGGGTTCGAGGGGGATGGGAATGCGGCGTCCAAATTTGGGGGTGCATGATGGGTATATGGAGGAGGATTTTGGGGAGTACGGGCGTGGTGAGGAATATGCGTATGGGGAAGAGCAGGAAGAGGAAGAATTGGAAGATGAAGAAGAAGAAGGGGAAGAGGAGGAGGAAGAAGAGGAAGTGGAAGAGGACCTTGAGGACGAGCAAGCTACCGAAGAGAACGAGGATGAGCACTGGGATGAGGAATTCCAGGAGGATGGCGAATATCTCTATGAAGAGCAACCAAAGGCCAGGCCTCAACCCGCCGGGAGTGGCCGTGGCGTGTATATGAGAAGCCGGGGGCAGCAACAAACTAAGCCTAAGGTGTCAGCAACAGCTCGTCCACGTACTGACGGCCTCCGCGGGAAAGGGGTTGCCGCCACCGCTGAGAGATCGCCGGGGCTACCGACGAAGGCAACGAGAGGAAATCATCTGCCTCTAGGATTGGGACGCGGCAGGGGAAGGGGTGCAGCGGGTCCAAGTAGGAAAGTTGGAATGGCATCCAGATATGAGTAGCTCAATGCTTCAAGACACCGAAGATTGTTTCCTTCCAGAGATTAAATAGTTTGCATACATGATTTGGCGAAAGTCCTTCAAAACTCAGTGTACTTGTGAACATCGAGGTTTATACATTATCTAGAACTGTTTCTTGTGGATTATATATTGACGCAGATGCGTATTAGAATCCTCCGAGTTCCCAGTAGGCCTTTGTAACTTTACTGCTTACTATCGGGATAATGCTATAGGTTCTTGTTTATATCACACCTGGAAGCAGACAGAACAATCCAATTAGAGGGGAGAGAGCTACATTCGGATGGCAATCATGTCTACTACGGGGATGCACCACAAATGATGAATCAATTGAATCAGACCACTGGTAATCACGCCATTGACATTTGACTAAAAAATGATGCTATTCATCAACGCCATGAGGGATAAGACTATTCGGTTCGGTACTGGTTCTCCAGCGGGCCAAATGGAAGCTACATGAGACGATATTGTCTCTCCAATCCTTGAACTAGGTACTCTACGCTGCTAAGTGAAAATTAAACCTTCTTTGACTTTTACTAGCAATAACAGCAATGTTCGCAGCTAGCAGGGGCAACCTCGTTAGCTGCCGGAACTACGTGCTTCCCCGAGATCCCGAAGTCTATAGAAAGGACGGCATTTAGAAGTAAATCATGAAGTTAATATTAGCCTAGACTTAATAGCTTCCTTTCAAAAGTTAAACATTAACGTAGGCCTGCTTGATGCACTACTATACTGTAAGTCGCTGGAATGCTAAAGAATCAACTTGTGGTGCTGACCACTCACTTCTAAACATTCTACCTGTATACTCACCGGCTGGAGCACTCCTCTAGTCCCTCGTTGGAAAAGCTTTTCATAGCTGGAGGGGAATTTAACTCGAAGACAGTTCGTCCATTATGGCCCTTCCTCCGCCTCGGATCCGACTTAACCGCTCCCTTAGCCTTCTCCTTCCACTGCTTAATTTCCTTCTGGCGCGCTTCTGCTTTATCCCACCGCTCAATTTCCCTTTCGCGAAGGGCATAATCGGGGAAATATTCTCGCCGAATAGCCAGTCCAATTTTTGGCAGCTCAGCTTCAATCTCAAAGAGAACATCCATCACCTTGGGCCTGTTCTTATTCATCTTTCTACGCCCAAAGGTTGGCATAGTCTGCCGCAGCGGGATGCCTATAGCATCTGGCTTTCGTGGTAACCCAGCGACGAGAATATTCTGGGCCATTCCGATAGCTCCGACTGCAAGGAGAAACCAGGTATCGGTTTTCAGTCCTCCCGCCGTGATGAGAAAGGCTAGCCAAAGAATTGCTAGTATTACGGAGCTGACTCGTGTTCTAAAATCAGCTTTTCGTGCTGCACCAGCAAGATCATCAAGATACAGTCCCGAATTAGGTCCCGGCCCAATGACAAAAACGTGAGAATGGCCGTTGCCTCGCGTAAGAATGTATGTATCTGATGTCTTTTTGCGGCAACTATACTTCTGTAGTCTCCACTCTCGCAAAGATCCCGTAACGATGGCTAGAACTGTCCCGACAACAGTCAGGAACAGGATTGACCAATTTCGTTTTGTGATGACTGGAACGGCAGCAATTACGAGCTGCGTCGGCAGCACAATGAAGAACAAGGCCCAGCACTTATCCCATTTTTGCACTCCTGTGTTCTCGCCAGCCTAGTGGTTGCTGTTAGACATTGACGTGATACCGCGTATCGCAGTTGCTACTTACTTCGAAAACGGTTATCAACATTCCCGAGTCATTCTCTGATATCAATTTATCAATTATCTTGCCATCCTCCTCAACCTGCTCTATCCAGGTTTTAAAATGCTTCGCGACCTCAAATTCTAGGTCCCTGATTAATCTTCCAAGGACCCAAGAATAATTTGTTTTCTTGATCCCACTGCTGGCAGTGATGACGACAGCTGGATAATCCGGGTCTGGCATGAGTTGGCCATCCCCAAACGCTGACATGAGCGCATTAAAAGCATACGCAACCCATCCGAAACTGAAGGACACCAGTGTGATTTTCCCGCCGGCCAACTGGGCAATTGCTTTTTGAATGATGTCGCCGCCAATGATCAATAGCACTGAGAAGACCTCCGACGGGTTCTCCATCTGGTCCAAGAATATCTCTGGGGTTGGATCTGTTCCATTTGATCGACGTTCAATGAACCGCTTGAGTGGCATCGGAGGAAGATACTGTACTTTCGTTGGTGCGCTTCTGGCTAGTCGTACTGTGTGTGATGCCGTCGTCAGATCCAGACTGGAGCGCAGAGACAGAATTTACACACAACTTACCGAAATAGAACAACATGGACCAGAGCTGCCTAGGAACGGCAGTAACTCTATTGCCCGAGGCCATGGTTGGATTTTGTTAAGGAAACTTGGCACAATCCACGATGCAGCTGAACTATCATAGGCACATTTTATATCTGCAGCCGCATGACCCGTAAAATAGGCGGATATGGGCGACAATATCGGTGCCCAATGAAAACTTGGCTCTTTGCCGAGAGGAATCAGGTCCAATCAGATACAGCAGAGGGGACGCGGAGTCGGTATAGCCTGCTGAGACTTGAGGTGACCGATTATCGGTATGCGTATGCCGCTCTTGGTGTGCTAAGTAATATCCGTTTACATCTTACACCTATGGTGAAATAGTTGCACAAAGTCTCAGGGACAATTTAAACTGGAATTGTATTTTAAATTTATTATTTAATCCCAAGTACTGCATAAGAGCTGAGGAACTATTTATGACGGATACTGGGATAAACGTAGCAATCCTGAGAATTCGAATTGCGACACATGCCAGCTAGGCAAGAATCACTCTAGCATCACCTGCTGCACTAATATGAGGGGTTTTGCTTACGACAAGGCTCGCAGGATCCTATCAGCATAGAGGCCTAATACAGTGGGAGGCTGTACACCCTTGCATGTGGTAACTAGCAGGGGTTTGTTTTTCCTGATCACCACTTCTGTCCCCGGCTGATCTTTTATAACAGTCTGTGCCTCGTTACTTACTTCTATAGAAGCACATTCGCCTCTTATATGGACTTTTATTTTATATTTTTGACGGACCTACAGCCACCAACGCTCAAACAATGAACCACATACCGTTGCCTATTGATGATTTTGCCCACGCTCCGTTGGAAGTGCCTCATCTCTGTAACGACAGGTTCCGCTATGATGACCATGGTTTCTTGACGTACCCGCATCGAGCTGGCCTGGATCTTGAGAATATCATAGAGAAAGGTCTTGTGGAGATCGATACTCTTGCACCGGCATTGCAAGCATGGCTCTGGTTTGGTCTTTTAGGAGAGATTCTCAGCATCGGCTCAAGGACACATGTCACACAGCGGATAGCGAACTACAATGCCTTTGTGACTGAGAATTCCGAAGGATCTAGTGTGGTTTCCACGACTAGTTTACTCCGATACATCAAAGAAGTCTGTCAGAGAAACGAGACGCTGCGCCAGGATGGCTTCTATAGCCAACGATATTACGCTAGTTTGCAGGTAGCAACGACATCGATTAACAGCCTTTTATCTACTGAGATGTGCCGCAAACACATCGAAAGCGGCTGTCAATTCTCTAAACTCCCAGTCCTGCTACATGTCATTCTATCCATCCAGATTCTGATAGAATCGCTTCAAGCGGCTGAATCCGTCCTCCTTCCCGGGAAGTGGGATTCGCTCTCCCAACCGACCATGGAATTCCTTGACTGCGAATTAGTGGACAAATTGCTGATCGAAGCCGGCTGGTGCAAGCATGAGGTTAACAAGCTCCCTCGTTCAATACGGTTACGGTATTATCTTAGCTTCCTGCGTCCCACCGATTCCGCAGAAGGAAAAGAGAATCACTTGTCTTGCAGTAAGGATGCTTGTGTCCATGCTCCTCAGATTATAGATGAGCAAAACATCAAGCCTAAGCATGTAACGAAAGACTGCAAGTGTTCTATAGAGACGATACAAGATCTGCCCGTGGCAAACCTTGCCGAAACAGGGGCATATCCACTGCTGAGATTTGCTCAGACAGATGGTGCATCGCGAAAGTTAGAGTTACTTGAGACGCGGTTCAACGCCAACGGAACGGATGAGATCCCTTTTGTTGCAATCAGCCATGTTCGCCACCGTGGGCTCGGCAATGCTAATGCTCACTCGCTGCCTTACTGCCAACTCGCGCACATTCAGGAACTCGTCGACAAGATTTGCTTCCCCTCTGGTGGTGCCACAAGCTCTATGCCGTTCTGGCTAGATACTATGTGTGTACCCTCGGAGCGTCGCGCCCATATAAATTCTCTTAAGCGCATTCGCAAAATCTTCAAGCACGCTTGGCGCGTTCTCGTTATTGACCAGTCCCTTTGTTCCCATGACATTGGTTCGCCAGAGGATGCTTTGATACGGATTCGATTCTCGCTTTGGAAACGCCGACTATGGACTTTGCAAGAAGGTTTCGTTGTGCCTGCCTCAAAACTGATATTCTGTTTTGCAAACGGTCTCTTTTCACTTCAGGATCTTCTCGATCGTTACGAAGACAAAACTTTGATGCCATTTCCACTATTGAAGTGCGCAAAGTTTGTTGGATTTCGTGTGCTTCCCCATCTAAAAAAGACGCTCGACGTATTGAGTGATGATATTAAGATACTAGCGGGCATGTCGCCTGCTGTTGTAGGTCACCTTGAGAAGACGAAGTTACGGCGCATATTGCGCTTGGGGTATCTGGCATCCGATAATTTCAGATATTTTCGAGAAGACTTAGAGATCCAGCAGATACAGAAGCTTCTTCCATTGCTTGGGAATTTGTACCTGGATAAACGCGATTCGCCCATTGTACCTAGCTCCCGACTTGCGGATCAAGTTATATCTTGTCTTGAAAGTCTTCATAGACTTGACATCTGACACACCTTCTATCATTGGCAGACTTGAAGTGTAATATCTGTGAGCGTTAGAGACCTGGATGTATTGAGTCATCTAATCTTAGATAAATAAACTATCTATGTCATCGACGAGGGTACTACAGAAAGATTATATATATTTCGAAAGACGTGCAAATACCAATGAAGCTAGATGAGGTACAATCCATCTATTCATGCCGACTACCTATATATTTAGTCACGCTAATAGAGGGCGAAAGTCATAACCCTTATAGAATCAATTCCTGAGACTCAATGCTGGCTTTTTTTCCAAGTCCAAGAGCCCCAATTTAATCACAATATTGTGTTTTCATTCCAATTGACCTCCTGGCTTCTCTTCCACAGGTGTTACGTTATAGCCGTCACATGTTTGCTATTTGTAGCCGTTATGGGTCCTATCCATTCCTCACTTTACTAACTATTTCCTTAGATTGAGCGTAACTGAAAATCACGCTGCGTCTCGAAGCTATGTACCATGAGCAAACATTACCTCTATCAGCATCGCTATTCACCCGCATATTCGGAGAGCTGCCGGTTCATAGGACGCGATAGCCCATATAGTTTTACTGATGGTTGTAAATCTGCAGTATCAACATGGTGCTTGTCCAATGACAAATTCGTGCCAATTCGCCGAAAATGTTCAAATGTAGGATTCAATCTACCTATAACCTGATGTATAATAATTGAGCTTCGGTATGAGTACCAGCTAATGTCATGACATTCTGGATTTTCGTGGAAATCGCGCCCATGAATGCTCCTGCTTTAGTGAGCCCAAGGCCCAAGACGGGTGCTTTGGTAACCCCAAGAGCTCTCCACTCAAGACCAAATGGATAGTAAGATATAAGTTGACTAGATAGATACAACACAAAAGAATGAATAGAGCAACAGCAAGGACCTTGAAAGCCGGCGAATTTGTTGCTTTGCCAAGTGTTGCCAGTGATGTTACCACGGTGCTGACGGGAAATATAGTAGACCACCAGAATAAGCTGGGATGAATCTTGCGTGCCCATAGACCTTCAATGATGGCGAAGTAGTCAATAAACATCCAAAAGACGGCAAACCCCAAAAATAGAAGCGCCATAAGCACGCAGACGACACGAACTGTTTCTGCAGACTCTTGAGTGAGAAAGAAACCTTCAGAATGACTCGATAGGCCTGATTGAGAAACAGCTGCAGTACTAAGCTGGAGCAAAGCGCTTGCAGACTGTCCACACGGTCCAATCTATGGTCTTTTTAGATAAAAGGTGATGCGAGTAGATGAAAGTTCATACCGTTAAGATCATGCTAGGAATCTTCGAAGCTGAAGGCCAGCCACTGACCATTAATCGGTGCATGTATATGGCATACATGACACAGGAAAGGCCAAGAGCGAAGCCAACACACATGAATCCGACAATAATCATTGGAATGGCAAGTTCTCGGTCGACTTGGGATGTGCCACTGCTGTCGTTGATCATAACACCGGCAACGTCACCGACACTCAACGTCCCAACGAGCGGAATAAATATCGCCGTCGGCAGCCATTTGTCTACAAACGCCCGATGAGGTTTTCGGATCAGATGCAAATAGAGAATGACGCTGATAAGGAGGACCCAGACCAAGCCTACCCACCACATCGCGTATGCTAAGATTGTAAATCCGAAGCCCCATCGTGCTGCACATATAATCTGGATCTGGGCAGCAAGAGTCAGCCAAGTGATGGCAGGACAGGCTTGAAGGGCGATCTCCTCTGAATCATTCTTTAGGTAGCGTAAAGTTGGTCTGAAGAAGAACAACCATCGGAGCAGAGATACAGCGCCAAAAACAAGAAACAGAACCAGTTCAAACACGAAGATGACGATACTACAAGTATGAGTCCACTGTGATGGGAACGGGAAGTTGTGAAGAAAAAGTCCCAGCACCCCCGTATCCATGCATATCGTAAACCTTGTCCTAGTCAGATTTTGTTTCTCTGGAGCGATTTACTATTTCTTACCATATCGTTGAGAAGTTGCTGATGACTCTGAGTGCGGGTGAAAGACCCCGATCTTCTTCAATTTGAGATTCAGCTGAGGAATCTGGGGACTCGGAATAAGAAGATCTGTCTTCCACTGGTGATGAATGATGCTGCTGATTCATGGTGATATATATAAGCTCATATCAACAACATATATGTGTGAATGCGTATGTTGATGTTCAATTACCAAGATCATTGAGAACGACAGCTTTCAGCCCAAGACAAGATATTTGTGACGATGACAGGAAGAAAGTAGCTTCAAAGACTAGAGCTACCAAAAGTTCAGCTTGCAAGCGCAGTCGCCATCAGTCGCCGCCAATCCTATACTCGGTAGGGTGTTCTGCGCCAACCTCAAGCTCGCGACTGCGACAGAGATATAGAAACTGCATTTTACAAGCGAACAGCATCACTTCCCTGAGCTAGAATTGCTGGACTGTCGATCACGCTGACGTGTAAGAACCCTGTCGAAATTGCCAAATTTCAACTTTCCACAGAAATCGCATCCTAAATTACGTAGGCAATCTGTATAATGACAAAGCCGCCTATGCTTTCTACAGCATCCTCTAACTCTACATGGAGAATAGGGCAATTTAGTATGTCCAAATCGTGAACTTACTGCTAGCTCAAGGCTAGAGGTAGCAGTCATTTGTACACTGCCTTCATGAGCAAGTCGAAGAAAGAAGTTCGAGTACGTCAGTGGCTGAGTCCTCGCAGCCAGTTATTAAGCCGAACTTGTCGGAATTATATTCATATACCCTTGAGTCTCATCAAAAAGACTGTCAGGTACGATTGACCGGTTGTCGGCAATGGCATTCTGGATACACAACCTGAAAGCATTCTCATAGCAGATCAGCGCTAATCTTGGCTTTGCCGGTTCAGCCGTTCGGGTGGCTTGACTTGTGGCAAAGGCGGCCCGATAATTGCCATTTTCTGCTCGTTGGTGGTTCTCAAGTGGTAGCGCGTACCGCCCTAAATTCTTGCTCGGAGCTACACTTACACGCCGAAGCATGATGAGCAGCTTAATCTACTTAGGTCGTGTACATTCAGTTCTGGATTCCGTCAATGTAGTCTCGTAAAACACCACGAAAGATCGACACAGCTAGTCAACATTTGCTCTTCGTTTCCTATGTCTTGCGGATAGAATGCTCGGTGTCAGCCGGAGCTCTTTTCGCCGTACGTGTGTATATGCTTCAACGTCACACCGGCCGCTTCTTCTGCAAACGGATCATGTTCGGGATCGGCTGCGATTGCCGGAGAGGCGGCAAGCAAGATCTCGATACAGGATATCCCTTTTCAGATCTTCGAAAGGTTTCCTGTCGCGTTAGAAGCTTGAATAGGTTGTGCCGGGATTGTTGTATCCTCTCCTTCTCCATCATTCGACGTCATACAATTACAGTCTTGTCTCTATACTTTGAGCACAAAGAATAAGTATTCGTGTTCCGTATTTAAAGATAACGAGTTCTCTGCCCAGTAGCTATCTCACCCATTCACACATCTTCTACGATTACAAGAGTCACGATAATTACATTTACATACCAACGCTGTCATTATGGCTTCGAACTCGCCCCATGTATACCACTTGAAAGACTCTATTCCCTTCCATGAGTCATCCCTTGGGTCCATTCAGCGATGCACAGCCGACCAACTTCCTGTTCTCAATGGCATGTCACTCAAACGCCTTGTTCTTGGACCGCGTGGCATTCGTGAACCCCATTGGCATGCAAATACGCCTGAATTGGCTTACAGTTTGAGCGGAGAAGCCCTTGTGTCTGTTCTCGATTCAGGCTCAGTCTTTTCGTCTTTCACCATCAAGGCTGGGGAGATGTTTCAGATTCTTTCTGGAAGCTTGCACCACATTGAAAATCTCTCTGATAGCGAGTCCTGCGAGTTTCTGGTCTGCTTTAGACACGAGCGCCCAAAGGACTTTTCCCTCTCTGCGGCTTTCGGTGCCATGACACCAGCGGTATTTGGCAACACCTATAATGTCCCTGCTTCGTCATTCGAGCATGCGAATTTCTCGACCGATGCAAAAGAAATCATTGCTCGCGAAGGAAAGCCAACCGTACCAGACACCGCGCACCTACCAAACCCACACAAGTTCAATGTGGAAGGCATGGAACCGCCTCTACGAGGAGAGGGCATTGGATCAGTGAAACCCGCACGATCGCAGTTTTGGCCAGCCCTTAGTGACGGAAACCTGGCCATGTATTCTCTTACCGTTGAAGACACCGGAATGCGAGAACCACATTGGCACCCAATCACCGCAGAGATGGGCTACGTCCACCGAGGGACTGCTCGCATGAGCATCCTAGATCCTGATGGAAAGGTAGATACTTATACATTAAAGGAGGGAGATATGTATTTCATCCCTCCAGCCTATCCGCACCAAATTGAGGCTCTTCCGGAGGGCGGGAAGGACATACACTTTTGCATCTTCTTTGACCAAGCCATGCCTCGGGATATTGGATACAAGACGAGCGCTGCCGCGATTCCTCATGAGGCCATGGCAGCTACGCTGGGCTTAACCCGGAGCGAGATGCCGTCCTTGGAGACTGCGGTGGTTGATCCCTTGATGGTGAAGAGAGTGAATGATGTGGATAAAGTTGAGTCATGGACACGATAAAAATCAAGATACGCTAGTTCGGGGCGACATGGCTCCCAAATATCGAAGAAACAAGTATAACAACGGTGCTGGAGTACTTGAGAGTAGTTTAGTTTTAATTCAGAAGCTTTATCCATAATAACAACGCTACACGGTCATTGTATCTGTCTGCGACATCACTATAGTCGATAGGGGCCAAAGTCCTTATATCCCGCATCTTTGACGAAAGTCTGCAGCCAAGGGCCTTGCGTCTTGGCCTCAGCGAGCTCGCAGAAGAGATTTGCATGTGCCTCTCCATTGATCTTAAAAGCGGCGGAGCCATCTGCTTTTCGTTCGTCAACATAGTAAAATCTACGCAACTGTCAGTCACATCCATTCAGGCTGTTAAGTGGTGGCGGTATGGCATACTTGAACCCCCTTTCTTTGTATTCAGCGGCAGCAGCCATCATCATGTGCGCAGATGCCGACTTGCCGGCGCCAGATTCCAGGAACTGCGGGAGCGGCCTGACGTTGAGGATGTTGCCCGTAAACGCAAACACTCTTGGAGCATCGTCAGGGAGCTCCGCGAAACCGAGGACGGCTTGCTGGGCAGCGACAAAAACACTAGTGTTGTTGATGGTCATGTCTCGCTTGAAAGCATCCAAAGAGATCGCAAACGGGTTGCTTGGGGGAGAGAATGTCGCGGCGCCGGCTACGAATGTTTAGCATGCATTCAGCTAGAGTCCTCTGGTGCTAATACATACCGTTGTAAATGACTACGCTTGGGATTCCCAGCTCCTTCTTCACTTTTATAAAGGCATTGACAACGTCATCGGGGTTGGCAAAGTCGCTTTTGATGTTAAGCTGGTTGTCTGTGCTGTCTGCCTCGTTCAGTGACCGGGCTGCGACTGCAACCTTGTAGCCTTTCGAAGCAAAGGCCTTTGCAGTTGGTAGGCCAACTTTAGGACCTGCACCGAGGATGAGAACGATAGGAGATATTCCGGGCATAGTTTAGAATGTAGGGAACAGGTTAGACCGTGTGTAATCGAACAAGAAAGTTGAAAGCCTTTATCTGTTTTATACATGCTTCCATATCTTGTCACTGAGGTAAAGAAGGGCACAGATATTAGCAATACCCAACTGGTCAAGTAATTCGCTAGTATTCTTTGTGATGGAAGCCATCGCAGAGCCGGACCAAGCCTGTGTATGCCTTTTGGGGCAATAAGTGGGTTATCGGTGGCCCGGACCCGGACCCTTCGGAAGGTCCGAATTCGAATATTACATTATGCCAATTCCGTTCGTTACAAGGCGGGGATATGCATTTGCTGCCTCAATTTCTGTCTTTCTATAGCAATTAATAATTATTCAGTTGTATGCCAATACGGTGATTGTTTTTAAAGCTACCCGAAGTTGCTCGTTTTTTACTCCGTGCAAGGAAAATTAGAGGCGGGGCGTGCTATCGCGGATTACCTATCAAGGGAGAAGAGGGCTTTAAGTCCTCCGCTCCGACAGGCTTTCTTGCCTTCTAGCGTAGGCTTGTATATTCGCTATCCATTTGTTCCTTTGGTGCATCATGATGATCTGGAATACTATCTAGTCTTGTCAACATTTGTCAGCTTGCTACTCCTTCAAAATTAGGGTTAAATCGTGTAGGCCTCTCAAGGCAGGAGAAGAAGCAATGTATTTAAAAGAGAGACCAGACGGAAGTGAAGTCAGGTCCATCTCGCGGTCTATCACCTGCTTCATGTTTCCACATCATCCAAAAGACAAGTCAATTCGCAATCTCTCCAGTCTACAGTCAATTCTCGGATAATCCGATACGCGTTCATCTAAACGGGGAAAATGGAGGCGATCAAAGTGCTGGGAATTCACGGACCTAATGCTGGTAAAGTTCTTCTCCTCTGTGAGGAGCTAGGGCTGCCTTATGAGACCGAATTGATCCCACTTACCGACGTCAAGAATCCCAAGTACGTCGCCATCAACCCAAACGGCCGGCTGCCGTCTATCCAGGATCCAAACACAGACCTCACGCTATGGGAATCAGGCGCTATTATCGAGTACTTGACAGAGAATTACGACAAAGACCACAAGCTAAGCTTCGTGCCGGGCACAGCCGAGGCCTACCACGCTCGTCAATGGCTCTTTTACCAGACCACTGGCCAGGGACCGTACTACGGGCAGGCGATGTGGTTTATTATATATCAGCCACTTCCCGAGGCCCGCGAGCGCTACGTTAAGGAGGTTAACCGCGTAACTGGAGTACTAGAGGGACACCTGGCAAAGCAGAAGCCTGACGCGGATGGCAACTCCTGGTTCGTAGGTGGCCGCCTCTCCTACGTGGACATCGCCTTCTTTACATGGCAGCACACGGCCGAGCCGCGAATTCCGAATGAGGAGTTCAACCAGGATGACTACCCGCATGTCCAGAAGTGGCTAAACAACATGCTCGCGCGCCCGAGTGTGAAAAAGCTCCTGAAGCTCCAAGAAGCCAAATAGGTTATGGCAAGGGGGAGGGCATCTCTACCTTACAGAGGCGAGCCACTGTTGTGAGGGTAGACGGAGATGAAGACAGATCATGTTAAAGCAGGATGTTTAATAAATTACTTCTGCCGTTTTAATCACCTTTACAAAAACCTGTGCCTTCGAGACCGGCCTAGCCAGATAATAAGCTTATCAGCCAATAGCCAGAAGAGTTAACCCTTGTTATCTTAATTTCCCACAAAAAATGCGAAGTAGTTTCTTTGTAGTCATAATAGCTATATTTACTACGGGCTTAGAGGGCTTAAGCGTTGTGTCTTCAAAAGCTGATGTTTGCTTATCAGCTCTGTGTCTCGTGAGAAGTTTAGCTACCCTGGCCGGATTCAAACCTGCCCTATGCGATGAGCGCACAAATGCACAGACACTGTTGCTAAACAAGTATTTTTAAAAACTGATCGTGCTCAAATAATCATGTAGAGGACGCTAGAGGCCTCAAACTGAAAAGTTGAACAGCCTCTTTTGCTTCAAGGTTTAGGCTGTTGCAAGTGCGACGCATTCGTACCAGTTCGTCGGACTGTGATAGTGTCCTTGGATCCCTGGCAAGTGTCTCCAACAGACGCAGAAATGGCTCAACGAGATCGAGATCTGAAATTGCGTCAGGCGACATAGGATTTTGTGTTAAATTATAGAGCATACTGCTGGCCGCAGCGAAGAAAGCGTGAAGGAGCATCCTAGAGTGCGTTAGAAACAGAATTCAAGAAGGTTTTGTTTGCCTAGAGATCACTTACCAGACACAGGCGCAGTCTCCTTGAGGGATGGATTCAACGAGACGGATCGCTTTGCGTGACTCAGCGACGCAAAGACTGCTTGGAAATGATGATGGTTCAGACCGACTGAGCTCTTGGTTGGAGGAAGATTGCGCCGCCGGGGGCAAGTGGTGATCAATCATTGCGAGGCAATGAATATATGTGAGTCTTAAGACCACCTTGTGGATCATCTCGCCTGATAGCTGGGCCCCTGAGAATGTCGTAGAGTCCTCTGGTAGTTCTAGCTGAGCGCTGGACTTCCAGTAAGATAATAAAGAGCTCAGTTCTTGTGCAGCAATCGCCCTCTGTGTCGCCGTTTGTCGTCCAGCCTGTACCGAGTACAGTTGTTTATATACCTGCCCCTGAACCAGCGCAAGCCCTATGCGACAGTTGAAGAGGTCCATATTACCTGGTTCAAGACTTGTGTTTGATGGCAGACGTACATCCATGTCATCGTCATCTTGACCAAAGGGTCGGCCCGTCCGTAGACTGATATCCTTGTCAAGAATGTACACCTTCCAGAACACCCGCCTCCGCTTCTCGGCTTGCGATTCCATGAGCCCTGGACCGGAGCATTCTCTATGCAGATTCATAGCTTGTGCCAAGCGGAGAGCAGCAGCAACGAGCATTGCAGCTGGCTCCGGATCCGGTGTGCCCTGAAGAATGCAAGCCATGCCCGCCAGAGCCTGGACGGCAGAGAGACTGCGGTCAGAGACGTTCAGCTCAGAGACGACACTGAGGGCGTTTTGCACATAACCAAAAGCTAGAATGTGATCCTGTGTCGGATCTTTTGCGCGTATGGAGCGGAGACGATGAGCTATCGACAGCACAACATTCAGGCATGCCCACCAACCAGCATCTCTAGGGTTGGACGTCGAGTACTTGAGTTGAAACTCTTTCAAGAAGTCCTCTTCGTCAAAAAGTGGAAGGAACCTATTATAGTTGTTGAAAGTTTCCTCGATCAACTCTATAGCGACTGCTTTTGTGGGAAGCTGCTGCCGCGCTGGCAGAGAAACTGTGTGTAATTCTGGAGCGGGATGAGGCCACATACGATCAGTTATATAACCTCCAAGCGTAGAAACATCAGATTCGTTGTGGTCGTGTACCCGAAATGCTGCTCCAAGGTTAAACCCCAGATTGCGCGTTTGTTTGGGCGAGGGAGTATGTGGCTTACTCTCTGGTGCCCATGGATTATTTCCATTGGGAGATTTGATCAATGCCGCTGTATTAAGAAATGCTGTGTGTGTCGTCTGCTCTTTACGCGAGTTCATGTCATGTACAATTGGCTTTCCCAGCGACCTCTCTCCTAGCAACGCCTCTACTCCTAAAAGTCTTTTCTCGAGCTGTGCGATGTATTTGAAGCTGCGCAACATTTAACAAAGGTAAACTCTATCGGGTTGGAGTGGCATACTGACCCAGCTGGTCTGCGAGTCTTTTTCTTCATTGCAATTGGCGTAAAATGACACCTTGTGCCATATTTGGTGCATGGACTGCATCCTTGTGGAGTAGGCTCGCAGCGGATCTTTTTCTTCCGACACATGTCGCAGGCCTTGTATTACACCGTCAACAGAGGCATAATAGCAATGAACTTCGGCTTAACTCACACCAACGATGACTGGCCGCTCTTCTGAACTAGAACTTGGCTGAGCCCTGAAACCCGTTTGTGACTCCATGGCCTGCTGTCTGTAGGTCGCCCCGATTGAAAGGGTGTAAGGCGAGGGTTCGAAGAAGCCTGGGATTAAGTGCTTCGCTGCTTGAGTGACCTACAGCAACCTGAGAAAATACCTTGCAAAAGGCCATTTGATCAGCTCCAACAGAGGTATTCATTAGCTCTCTCGTTATGATCAGACAGGAGTTGGCTTATAAATCAGACTCCTTCAGTAGACTCCAAGCCCCACACTTTCCCATGCGCTGATTTGTTCCACCTTGATAGGCATGCTCGAAAGCCAATTGCCCGTGCAACTGTTCAGCGTCCTATTCACAGCGGCTCAAGGCTGTTTATTGTTGGAATCTATGATTTCATGTAGGCTCACTAGTCTCAAGATCTCTGGTATCGGGCGAGTCTTCTCATTGCCATTGCAAATTTTATCACTACTTTCACCGCTCGCGAGTCCGGCTTCCAATTGCTGTCATCAGACCCACGCCTTTAAGACTTGTAGACTCTCGGGGTTATAATCTGGAGTTGCATGGTTCAGTGTTCAAAAGCAGCTGAACCAACAGTTTCAACACATACCTACTTCTTATAGTATCTCATAATTATATTATATTTTACAAAATCAATTTCACCCAATACCGTTTATTTCTATATTCACATTCTATTAAAACTTTCCTCTATTCTACACCAAAGTTTATGCTTAAGCTTTCTATCGTGGCATAACTAGGCTTTGCTAATTGATAATCGAGTTTTTAACCGATACCATTCCTTTTTCAAAATCCCCTTTTTCTTTGCCTCTAGTTCCAGCATCTCATTGTCTGGTGGGTCCATGTCAAGGCGCAAGATAATGGAATCACCATCAATCTTGCGCTTATACGTATATACCTCTGCCGATGCATTCGATGCGCACTTAGTTGGCCCACCAGGTGCTCTCGCCTGCTTGGGACATTTACTGCAACAAAACCTTAGGATAGAAAGCGGCCTGGAATTATTCGATGTTGCGACGCAGTTAAACCGCGCATGACGGCTTCTTTCATCCCGATATTCAGGGGGAAGCCATATAAGCCTCTCCCCATCAAGAGTCACCCAAGAACGCAGTGAATCGATATCGAATGATGGTTTCTCTGTGGTGAGAAGGGCTTCATCATCAATCTCGCTTCTTGGCGTATCGCTTGGACTTATTGTCAACACAATCTGTATAATGACATCGGAATGTTCCCTTTCGTCTGTATAATGTCTGTGTCTGAATACCAAATGGTGATTGTCCAAGAATGATAGTGGTTTATGGATGGATCGACTTTTGTAAGCTCCATTTTCAAGCTCTTCAATCTTTTTATGTAAGTGATCAGTTAGTTTGGCATTAGAGAGAACGACGAAACTCGTTCCTGAACTCGATGTAATGTCCCAAACCTCGATCCTAGTCGTTCGAACACCATCATCATCAAAGTCGAAGGAGATTGCTATTCGCTTGCTGTCTGGGGAGAATTTGAGATCAATTCCGATTATAGATTTGCTTTTTAAGAACATCAAAAGCTTACCCGAGACTGTGTCCCAAACCTTGATGTGTGTGTATCTGTATTTCTCAGACGGAGAGGATGCATTAGGTGATTGCGGCAGGGTCCTGGAAGAAGCCAAGAACTGACTATCGGGAGAGAAGATGGTTTTACCGAGTCCCGTGGAGAAAACATTAACTGATTGTTCACTCTCAATTACATCCAAAACTCGTTTTTCAGTCTTGGAAGAGATATCCCATAGTTTTAAGGACGAGAGGGACTTGGCAAATATCTTTGTCGAATCAGGAGAAAACTCAACGTGACTCTCGGCCCTAATAAGCAGTATACCGACTTGTGGAGCTTTAAGCTCATGCATAGGGGCCATTGAGTCTAGCTTCCATATCTTCAAGACATCTTCTTGCCATGACGCAAGGAGCTCACCTTGAGGGGAGATCAGAACTGTGCCCGGTCTGTTATCGCGCAAAGCTGGGTCCGGCGAGAACAGTTCTTGTCGACCCACTTCGATAACATCAATGGAAGCGCTAGACGCGGAAAATAGCCATTTGCCGTCATGGGAAAACTCAAGGTGATACGATTCCCCTCTGGTCTTCTGTACGCATTGGCCTGACCTGATATTCCAGAGCCCTACCACGCCATACATGCTCACTGCAAGTAGGTTTCCGTCAGCTGAAAATGCCATTATTCCATTTGCTTGGCTGGCTAGTTCGATTTTCCGGTAGATTTCGTTTGTTGTAGTGTCGAATAACATAATTATAGAGTCGGCCCCGCGAGAAGGTTCGAATAAGGCAGCGAGATAGTCACCCAAGGGTGGAAAGGCATATCCACGGAGCTCGCCAAATGTCGATGTATGAACAACATTAGCTTTATCAAGACCGCAGATGATGGTGTCCCCGCGGTGAGGACCAGAGATAGTGTAATCTCCACGTTGAATACTACGATTTTTCCCACGCTCCAGATAAGCATATGCCACTCTACCACCAATAGGTGAAAACATAAAGTGGTCTGAATCGCCTTTCATTAAATCATTGCTGATCCTATCACCCGTTGCGGTATCCCATACAGCAACAAAGCTGTTCAAGTCATCGTCTTCAAGACGAGCGCCAAGGATTCCAGGTTCGGAGCGAAAAAATGACATATCCCTCATTATCGTCTGTGGTGGAAGTTGAAGTTGTCGGATGAGTTTGCCAGAAGAGACATCCCAGATCATCAGTCTCTTCTCATCAATGTCCATGGCTGCTAACTCGTCGTCGTTCCATGGGGAAAAGACGTAATGATGTGCATAGGCTTTAATATTTCGCATGGATCTTCCCGTTTTAACATCCCAAATTTGGATATCATTGAGACCTTCGGATGCTATCCAGGTATCGCAACAAGAGACACTCAAATAATGGTATGATGCGAGAAATTTATCTTTATGAGGATCGTCAAACTTTTGTACACACGATGTCCAGTCTCTCAGGTCATTCGGTAGGATTCGAACCCAATGGGGAGATTCCGCCTGAAATGATTGTCGAATGATGCTTTTAGCCGGGCTGAAAAGTAAAGCCGACACATAAACTTGTAAAGGAGCATCTTCTATAACTTTGCCGAACATTTGAAGGAATCGATGGGCATCCCAGACTAATTCTGATTCAGGCTTTTTAATTCACGATATTGTTAGTCTATTCTTTACCTGATGATCGATTATATGTAACTCACTAATAATCTTTTCAGCTTCTGCAATCCTGCCTGACCGTAGTATACACTCCTTAGAAGGCTTAGAGCTTCTAGCCAGTAGATAAACCTTTTCAAGAGAAATTCATATATCATCTCATGGCCTTGGGTGCCACTGGCTCGTGATATTGAGTCTTCAAAATGGTCAATCCAATAGATACAACAGTATCCAACAGCAGCTAATGGATCGGGGCTCGGAGTGTCATCCAGGTCATTAAGTAAAAAGCCAGGCTTAGCTAGCTTATATATGTCTCTTTTTAAAGTAGCCGTTATCGCAGATATAGAAATGCTGAAAATATGCTTATGAACAAGCTCGATACCGCCATGAAATAGTCGATCGGAGGCCTTGTCCAGGATAAAGTTTTTCGCAGACTGATGGATGAAATAGATGATACCATTCCTTTTAGTTAGAAAAGAACCACAATAGCCCAACGCTTCCTCCCAGCGCTTTTCCAAGAGCTCGATGTTATCGACTTTTGATGGGAAAGGGCTCAGAGTCTCAAACTCTTGTAGGCTTAGAGGTCGGCGCGCGACAGTGCTAATGGCTAGAATTCGCCTACCCCAGTCTGATTCGTTGTTGAGAACTTTTTCTATCATGCGCTCGTAGAGGTTGTTGAGCCCTCGGGGATATTCGGCAGATTTTGGAAGAGGATCAAAGGAGGGAGCTTTTGCAAGTAGCTCGCAGACCAACGCAACCCAAAGAAAGGTACCATCGGCGTTCTGTGAAAGGTATTCTTGTATAGAAGCTTTTACAGCTGGTGTATACCTTTTTATCTTTGATAGACTGTTTGCCTTGAACTCAATGTAGAGACTAATTGCGCTCGATATGAAAGTTGTATTAAGCTCTAGACTTATAATGAGTTTAGTGTTATTGCGGACTAGTATATCCTGGATATTTGTCTCGTTACGGCTTGAAACAAGCCATTTGACTTGAAGATGTGAAGAGCTTTGTATGAGGCCAAGAAGTTGTGGTAGATCTGCTAGACACTCATCCAAAGCATCAACAATAATAGTTAAATCTTTGGTAATGGGGTCTTGAAGCATATTGAAGAAGATTCGCGATAGGATAGTCCACGAATTTGAATCTTCAAACAAAAGTTTCCCAGACTTGCTGTATTCAGTTTTTAGATAGGAAATTAACGATGGTTGCTTGGAAATAAGCATATGCATGAGCCCTCGTAAGATTGATGATGCATTATTAAGGCGAGAATCCGTCGCTTGACATAGGAAATAGCATAGATTTCTGGTAGTACTTTGTAGCTCATTAATAATGCCACACAGTAACATAGTCTTTCCTTTGCCGGGGTCGCCTTTAATCCATAAGAGACGCGTTTGATTGTCGTGATTGTGGTGCCATTGCATGTATGCGTCATTTTCGAGTACCCAGGCATATACATCGTGTAAAAGACCGCCTTTTGTCTGCTCAATACGGGCCTTATCATCCGGAGGGCTGGTGATATATAGATCTCTGAGACATGCTCGATCTGCTTCGTGCTTGAAATCCACCGAAGGCAACTTGTCCGACTGGGGGTAACGATCAATTAATCCTCTTGAGGCGGATGCAGCTGTTGCGGCAGCGAAGTTCTCCCAATCCACTGACATCTTATGGCCATCTCCATACGTCGATACACCTTTGACGATGATGCAAGGAAGTTCATCCCAGATCCCAGCTCCCTCTGTTTCAAAAGCTAAGATTTGATGTTTTTGAGCGATGCGGTCACGCTCAACTCCTGAATTCAAGACTGTATCGCCGGATCCAAACCTTCCTATGAAGATAGATGGTTGCTGGGAAGCTATATAGTTGCCATTGTCCTCTAACGCTTTTCTATAACTCAGGCGTTCTCGAGGAACAAGATAGCTATTATCGCACCCGGTTTGCACGCAAGGTATCTCTTTAGATTGCTCGCACGGAAGACTTTTGGTTCCGGTATAGATGTTGCATTGTATGCATGAAGAAATGTAATGCTTATGAACATAAGCCGGGTTAAAAAGCATATCATTCGTAGACCCGGGATACTGATAAGTCGCCTTATCCTTCTGTCTTCGCTGGTTTCCCTTCTTGGATGCCTGATCCTGAATCTTCCTTAAGTAGAACGACATTTTATCTTCGAGGCGATGTAAGCCCACTTCTGTTCTCATAATAGCGACTAGATTTCGTATATTTTTATCAGGGCGACTTAGACGATCTTCAAGCGTGTCCTTTTCAACATACTCGTTTGGATAACGACTACCCAAATCATATTGAATGACTGTTCCACTAATAACAACGTCGCCAAGTAGTAATTCTTTGTCTTCGGCATTTGGCACGCCAGCGCATACCCCAGTTAATAACAGAAGTTTGATACAAGGGTAGCTTGACCGAAGACTGGCCGCTGTACCTGCAGCTATTGCCTTGCCTGGATTGCATAAAAGAACAACAACAATATTGAATCCTCCCATGTAACCCGTTGTATATATATTCTTGTCTCCTATAGCTCGACCGAACGGGTCCTCTTCTTCGTCCCAGAAATCGTCCACTAGAAGACAGACGGCATTATATTCAGTGTCTTTGGCGCAAACAATCGCAATTTCAAATTCTTCACGATTGTAGGGGCGGGAAGGCTTGCGGGCTGCCATATTAGCGACTGCTGATTTAACACTAATGTATCGCTGGTTAAGCGACAGTGATGTTCGTGAGCTGTGTTCGATACAAGTTATTAACAAAAGTAACTTGAAAGTCCAGGCACAGTTTGTATTTAAAGAAGTTGGGCTTGGGCATCAGTGCGGGTTTTAGGTTGCGATAACCCGTGCGGCTAAAGTCACAATGATCCCTGTAGGCAGCCGTGATCTCACCATGGCTAATAGAGAACACTTAGGAAAAATAGCATTGTTAACTCTGAGATTTATGGGAAGCATCGGAATGAGACCTTAGTCGGCATATCGATTAGTCTACACTGAGCCTATAAATCTAACTTCACAGCTTTGAAGATACTACTTATTGATTGATAGAACCCGAAATACCCTGCTCATTTTTGTACCGTAGCACTCACCTGCTACGGTTCAATCTCAGCGTTTAGCGCTCTTGGCTATCACTACCGCCACCAGTTTCATCCGTCAATCGGCCAACAAACCCGTAGAGTCGCAGACGCCACAAGTACATGTGGTGCAGATCTGCGCGCCAGTCAGCCTCCGAAAGGTTGTGACCAGTAATGAGAATCATCATGAAGAACGACTCGATGATGCTTGGAGGAATGTTGCAGATCAATTGTCCGGTAAGAGTCCACCTCATTGCGCTAGCTCCAATAACAAGGCCTATGACAAGCAAGATACCCAGTATAACAGTGATTTCGTGAGCGCAAATGATGCCCATTTTGTTAGAAAGGCGATAATTGATAGAGCTGTGTTTGGCCTTGGTTTTCTCTGGCGCAGGCACTCTAATCTCATCTGACAGACCGGTATCCTCAAGTTTAGCTTCTCCTAGAGCAAGTCGTTCATACTGATGCAACCGCTGTTGAACGTTTCGGAGGACAAACCCGTCAATCAACCCGATCAAACCCGCGTAGGTGCCAATGAATAGCCACCAGTTGTTGTTCCACTGCATAACAGGGCCAATGCCGGCCCAAATGACCAAGACAATGAATAGCAGTGCGATGCCGACAAGAGTCCCAACAACATCTGCATAGTAAAAGATGATTCGTTGGAAAGTACCCAAAGGAGGCGCCGGAACAACGACTGTGGGGTTGGGTTCGGTGTCGCCGCTGAGCATGCGGAGCTTGAGTTCAACGTCCGAATCGACCTCGAATATAGCATTCATGCACTTCTCGACATATTCATCATGGCGTTCGCGAATATTGGCCAAAAAGGTAAAGATCAGGATCATGAGTGCCGAAGTTCCAGAATTGATATAGAGCTGCCAGCGATCACTCCAGCTGCAATATTGCCCGAAGCCGATCCAAATGAAGATGCAAATCCAGTATACGCAAATAGTGCCAAAGTGGCCTAGAACTGCTGCGGTACGATTGGAAGCTCGGTTAATCCAGCTCTCTTCAGGCAGATGGAGACCAAATTTGTCTGAATGAGAATTCTCAATCTCGTCAAAAGATGGCTTGTTGTAACGATTGCTGGCAAGAATCTGTCGCAACATGCGCTTCTGACTCTTGACACGGGACCTCAAGCTTGCGGAGATTCGGACCTGTCTTTCATAGCCATTGAGTTGTTGACGCATAAGAAGCGAGTCAAAGAAGTAGCTGATGATGGCTTGCACGTCGGAGATGACTGCAGCCCAGTTGTCGGATTGACCGTAGGGAATGCCAAGAAAAGCCCAAACGAGGAGACCTGCAATCATGATGAAGAAGACAGGCTGAGAGCCAGATGCCTTGACAACTCTATCAAGCCACCGGTTGAGCCTGCCTTTCTTCACACGATCAACATAGCCAGTGATGTTGTTTGCAGGTGTTTTTTGTTCTGTTTCACAGATAACACCCGACTTCTTTTCCTCAGAGGTAACAGGATCAGTGAAGATGTGCTGAGTTGGTGCAGCATCTTCAATGGCTCCTTTGGCTCCAGGAGAAGCAAAGAAACCGATTATTTGCTTGAACATCTTTGGAGTGTATTGGGTGAGGGTCGGGTACGAGTTTTCTAAATAATTGCAATATATGTTAGATCCATTCAATTAACACTTGACTTCTTGAACTCACTCTTTCTAATCTATTGTAGAGTCTATGATACCTCTTCGAGTGTCTTCGCCTTCGACGGCCTTGAGTTAGGCCTGAGTTATTCACGTCGCAACTTCCATCAAGTCACCCATCGACCTAAGGCGGCCAAAGCTCATCGGCAGCTTCGAAAAGAGCCGAGGCGGTAAGATGAAGCTTTTTGGTAATGATGAAGTCCGCCAGCGTTGTGGTTTCGTGGCACAGATTGGACCACGAAGCGTTGATGTTTTCGTATTGTGGACAATAAAGAACCTGGAAAGCCAGAGCTGGTTCTTAGAAATTGACTAAACGTTTGCAAGAAAGTATGAGCGTATGCTTGACCAGCTATGATACAAAAGAATATTTTTTGTAACGCTGTTTTGAATTGAAGAAAAAAAAACGCCAAGAATAATATTCTATATATAAAGCTTTGAGCCTTTTGAGCTTACACCGCTAACAGCGCCAGGCAGCGATAGGTGGCTCCATCATAATCGGCCCTCGGATCTCTAGCTTCCTAGAAAATTTCTCTTCTCTTTAATCTCAGCAATTACTACGTGAGGCATTTTGTGTTGAGAAAAAATTTCGGTAGGGAGCCGATGGGGGTGGCTATGCCGTGCTAGCTGCCCAGCTCGCGAATGTGGTTCCAACTACTTTGCGCGCTCCCTTGATCAACTAGCAACTTGCAGGTATTTTTGACAGCCATCTAGCTTTTCTTCTATACCATAGATTTGACAGGGGGTTTGTTGGCCGGTGAGTAAGATGTTGAAAACTAGGTATTCACGGGCATTGGCCCCATACATATTTCGCCGTCCATGAAGGTCGAGACCCAAATCACGGGCCAGATGAATGTGAGATCCTGTTATCCACCATGATATCAGCATTCGCAACTGTTATTGTGTCATTTCAATTTGTAGACTTTGAAAACCAGGCGAGAATATTGTAATTGGACGTTTGTCTGTATAATACGAGGGACATGCCGTTGAGGATTTCACATCTTTCAAATCTTTAATCAAGAACAAACGGGTTTATGCCTCTTAGTATATTTAAAGTCTAAACGAAATAAGCAAATAACAATAGCAAATTTAGTTTATGTATTTTGCTATGCCTCTATACCTCACATTCTGTTAATTATGAGCGCGCCCAGAGAATGCTATGCTCAACCAAGTCAAATCCAGCTCAGCACCTATTCGGTTCATCGGATTTATTGCCGAAGCTAGGCATCCTTATGACATGGTTTTCACTTATTGAATACGAAAATTCCAGCACAAAATTTCTTGGATGGGGAGGCTACAGGCGTCGTTACCTCTGAGATCAATGAGAGGCCTCGGATTTAGATCTTACAGCCGAGATAGTGATTGGTCTACATTGGGCTTGTAAATTTAGCTTCAAAGCTAGTAATACTGATCTCGGGAGCCAAGAATTATTCTTAAACTTGTCGGTGCATCTCGATCGCTATGTACACAAGCGAAAAGCGTGACAAGGCTTGATGGCGCATAGTCTTAGCGGGCACAGTGTTACGAATGACTCGATACCAGCACGTTATCTCCACGACTCTTTCTGACAATGCACATAGTTTTTACACGGGATAGCCTTTGAAGTGAGAATCTGCAGCAGACACCGTACATGTGGTGATTCAGAGCGGGTTGGTATGAGATACTAATTAATCACCATCAGTCTGGGTCTAGAACATTGAGCGTACACTCAGTTCAGCAAAGCGCATAACCATGAGGAATCTTTGGGACCGAGATCGTATTAGCATCAGCATTTTATCCTTGCATCAGGTGTTAGAATCATGCATCAACTTGAGCTACCCTCGAAGCTTCACCTGTCGAAGATCACGTGCATTGAATTTGTTTCAAAATGGATAGTAAACCGGAACTTTTCAAGGGACTTTTCACATGTTTACTATGGGGCACCTAAGACTTTGGACAGCTGCCTTGCTGATCCGAGCCCAATTCATCATGGCTCTGTTTACAATGCGACTTACCGCGGCCGCTCACCACTCAATCGAGAAGGTCAGCATTACTGCGCGTTGCAAAAGTCCACATGCCCCTGAACAAGTGCCGATGACGATTGTCGTCAGTGATGTGCGATGGAAGCGCCGGAGTTTTCATATATCTAGATGGATCTCGGGCAATTTTCTCCTCGTCAATCTTTGAATCTCTTGGCAGTCTATTTCTTCGTGAGAAATCTAGCCCCCCATGTCTCTGAAAACGGTTCTGTCGCTGTTGGCCGCCTTCCAGGCCGTCAAGGCCGACTTCTCGCATCCGCTGCACTTCAAGAAGGTCGATGCCGTAGCTGCGAAGAACATCGCTGCAGCAAAGGGACGGGTGACCGCTGCAACAGGCAATTTGGTTGCCGACCAGGTAATAGACATTGTTTTAGCCTGCAATTCTTAGACAAGATGCTAATCTGAATAGGGCTTCTGGTTCTCCAACTTCACCATCGGCGGCAGCTCCAACCTCGAGATCCTAATCGATACCGGCTCCTCTGATGCTATGCTGAACCCCGGCGTCTATAAGCCCGGCCCCAAGTCGGTCAACACCAACACGCCCTTTCGCATCTCCTACGCCACGACGAATCCCGATGGATCTGGATCACTTACTGTAGGCGGAAGCACATTCACAAAGTGGTAATTGTTACTGACCAGTCGCAGGCCGCGGGCAAAGTCTACCGAGATGTCATCACCCAACACGACGCCAACCTGACCGTCTCACAGCAGTATCTCGGATCTGTCGACAGCCCCTCCTCGCCGCCGACATTCCCCCACGACGGCCTCATTGGCTACGCAGGCATCGACAGCAGCGCTCTCAGCGAAACGCCCTTTTTCCAGAGCTTGTGCGATCAAGGCTCGCTGTCGTCCTGCCGCTTCGGGCTGGCACTCACCGCCGACGAGACTGGCACGCTCTACTACGGCACTGTTGCGACGGACCAGTTCAGCGGCGACCTGGTCTCAGTGTCCGCCAGCGACGAATGGATCGTCACCGGCGACGTCACGCTGAATGGCAAGACGGTCCGCAGCAGCGTCTCCATCATCACGGATTCCGGCACGACTGTCATCTTCGGGCCCTCGTCGCAGGTCAAGACATTGTTCCAGCAGGCCGGTATCCAGGCAGTGCAGAACAGCAACGGCATCACCGGCTACTACGCCTGCAATGCGCCCCCCACCATTGGGCTGTCATTCAACGGCCACAACTTCAACATCTTGCCCGAGGCCCTTGCCTTTACCCAGAACGGCAACAACTGCACGGCGAGCATCCACGGGACAACTGATTTTGGCAGCCAGTGGCTGGTTGGACAGGCATTCTTCCAGGGCAAATACATTGACCACAATGTGGATGATGGGACAATGGGTTTTGCCACCTTGCTGTAGACGTGGTCATTTATGAGAAACGAATAAGCTAGTCATCTTATGGAACGATCTACGTGCAACTGAGCAACTGGGTTTCATGAGAGTATGTATTCGATAAGAGATAGCTATGTACATAAATGCAAATAGATTTAAATGCAAGCTACAGAACATCGATAAGGGAAACTTTAACTTGGTATCGCGAGGATACGTCATATGTACTCGCACTCCTCAATTATTGTTTGCTAGTGATGGCTGTGCTCATGCACGAAGGATCTTAGAACGGTTTATACTGGCCAAGCATCAATATTCTCCACTATACCACATGCATCTTCATCTCCGATCCCACCAGGTAATTCACGTTTCCCCACAAAGCGTTTCGTAGTATAATCAGTGCCCGGTGCATGCCAAAGAGATAATGTAGAATAATGTGGATATATATAGAACTTAAATAGAAGTTTACTCCAGACAATTTGATAGCAAGTATCAACTTGTTCATTATTCTAAATATGAGCACATTCAGTCGTGGTCTATTATGGGAACTACTACACAGCATTTAAAGCTTTGATAGTACTTGGAGAAATAGGTTGACGTCACTTTCTAGAATATGATTCGAGGCTAAACACTGTTGGGAAAGTGAAAGTAGCAATCTCTATGGTAGCCTCACCTTTGGCACGGATATAATTGCCGGCGGATTCTTCTTCCTCATGGAACTAAACTAGAGCCACCGACTATAAAAGCGCCATCCCGGTGGCCTGGCAGAGCATCTCTTCGCAAGAGGATCAAGTAAAACCTGCTGCTTACCATTATTTTGAAAAGGGCCAATAATTGAGTGACCAATTGGGCGACAATGGAAATAATTCACGGCAAAGATTTGCCGTTTTCTGACCTTTCCCTTAAGCACCGTAACAATGGTCTAGCATTCAAAAACTTATTCATCGGTCAAGAGAATACACCCGAGAATCACCTCTTCGCCCTCGTCCGGTCAGTTGGGTTTTATTCCCCGCGCCACAAACATAACTTTGACCAGTTTCGCTACGCTTATAAGGGTGACATTTCCATTAACCCTGACAAAAATGCTGCTGAAGGGGAGCTTGTCTACCATCCCGAAGGTGTCTGCTACGGGCCCCAGAAAGATTCTGAAGGGGAGCGGGTGGTTCTCATTCTACAATTCGGTGGAACAAGTGGCCAAGGTTTCCTTTCATATCGCCAGTTGGAAGAAGGCCAGAAAGAGCTTGCCCAGCTCGGCCATTTTGAGGGAGGTAAATATTATCGAAACGGGAGCCATGAAGGTGATGAGCCGCAAGACGGATATGAAGCGCTGTGGGAAAAGTTCAACGGCCGACGCCTCGTCTACCCACCCGGTCGCTACAAAGACCCCATCTTTATGAGTCCGACCAATTATGCATGGCGCCCGGCAGACAATCTGGCGAAGACGGACGGGGTGGCTTTCAAGAAGTCACTTGGAGTGTTTACCGAACGCGAAACCCGAGCAGAGATGATCAAAATCAAGAAGCTGGGACAGTTTTCTATCGCTTCTACGAATGCAATACGACTGCTTTTTGTTGTCAACGGCGCAGGCGAAGTGGAAGGGCAGCCGTGGGAAGAAGAATCGGCGATACGGGTCTCGCCTGGCAAGGAAATTGTGCTCTCTGCAAATCAAGATGCGGAAATTCTGCTGTTCACCCTGCCATTGTTAAATTATTATGAGCTGCGCATCTAAAGATAGTAGCAGCGCTTTTAGTCTATCAGAATTGATAGCCATCGACTATGGTGGAAAGGTTGCACGCTATGCCCAAATGTGGACGGCCAGGAAGGTGTGTCCAGCTAGTCAATCAACGATAGGTAATACATGAGACTATTTACAAGATATGCCATCTATCTCTAACGTAAAGACGGTTAAGTAAGTTTGAACACCATCTCTGTGAACAAAAGGCACTATTAGAAGCCACCCGGTCGTGTAAAGAACAGCAGACTACAGTAGAGATTTCAGATTTCATGTAACGCAAAGCGATTGAACATCAAACAGGTGATGATTTCTTTGACTACCAATTCTTTAACTATAACACATACGGCCATCGATGGAGGATTCGGGGGTTTATCAAGCTCTTGTGGAGATCTACACCTTCTAATTTTAGTATAATAGAGTCTAGTTCCAGAGACATAGGCTTTCTTCTTCTTATAAAAATTAAGAACCAGTAATACCTAGATTCCAGTATAGATAGGCCACTTGCCCCACAGCGAATTACATCGAACTCAAGTAATACTGTTTCAAGTTGACTTTCAGGCTTGCGAAGCCGACGTTTGTGCATTTCGGCGTTCAATATCACGGCAGGATTCACTTGGTCACGACATCGAATTGTCAAAGTCAAATGGGTTGTACTCAGAGACAACAACTTGTCTTTGCATCCCATCATTAAGGTTCACACACTTGATCTCAAGATAGAAATTGCAGCTTAATGTTATTGCTTCTGAAAAGGCATATCTAGAGCCCATGCTCTTCCAATCCGTCTCCCCGACCAGCGTGCAATATTCCCCCTGCAAAAAATTGCCAAATTTAGCTTGGTCCTGACGTTTACTCGTAGTTGACGGTAACCGAGCCGCCAGAGATGGATGTTGATGTAATGATCTGGCCCCTTGAGTTTTCCAGGTCAATAATGGTCGAGGATCCGCTGCCTGGTGTAACAGTTTGTCCGTTAACAAGAGCGCTTGATCCCGTGAAGGTAACGGATCCAAAGTCTGCAAAAGGAACCAATGAGCTGCCAGAGGTAAAGTCCTCAACAATCCACTCAGCGCTGGTACCGGGCAGGGGCGAGTTTTGGTTGGAGAAGGTGTGAGACACAGTCTTTCCACCGCTTGTCAACGTCGTGGTTCCGCTGTTGTTGCCGGTCTTGGTGGCAGTAACGGTAACAACCGATCCGGCGGTCACAGTAATGCCCGAGTATGCGATCAACGAGGCGGGGAGGTACTCATACCAAGCCTCGTACAGGTATTCGCCGCTTTGGACACACCAGAGGACGCCAGTCTGGATGAGATCGGCATCAGAGTAACCGTCAATTCCAACCCAAGCAGCACCGCAGTATTCGGTGCTGGAACTGCCGCCAGATGGGACAGTGGGCTTGGGGACCGTGAAGGTACCGGTGACCTCAGTAATGCCTGATGTTGTGAGAGCGGCGCCAGCCCAGTTCGTAGACTCGACATCGGCAGTGCTGTTGACGTGGGTGGAGGAGCTGGCTTGGAACTTGTTGGAGCGACGAGCAGCATTCCTGGCGCGGAGAGCATCCATAGCAGCCTGCTTGCGAGCGGCAAGAGGAGTTGCCATGGCGGCACTGGCCACCAAAAGGAGGTTTGCGGCAAGAGTGAGGGACTTCATCTTGAATAGCTGTTGAACTGCGATGAAAATGTATTCGAGAGACTTTGAACCGAGATGAGATTAGACTCTGAGGTATTGTTTGAAGACTGCTGCTCGTGCAAAACTTTTGAGTTCAAGAGGCTGCAAGTAGGACTTTATATAGTTGTAATCTCCTCGGAATACATTACACCGATTCAGCCGTTGATATCCCTCAGCTCAGAATGAGTCCAAGATGCAATGATCGAAAAAGGAATGTATCATCTGCCATTCAAAGCGAGTTGTCTGAAGTTGAAGACGTCTTCTCCTGTAGTTACCCACCATTAGCTGCTAGGTCGAATCGGAGTATAATGCATACAATGCTTTTGCAAAAGGATCACTATCGCGAGATTTGAGCGCCTTATTCTACAACCTGCCTATTACAGAGAGCATCTCCGATAAGAGCTGGCTAATGGTGTGCCCAGCACATGAAGCATCGCATGAAATAGAGAGAATGGGCTCGAGATTGGATTAGTCTTGTTGTAGGCGGATATAAGAGTAGACTCTACTAATTAACTTCGCTTCCAACTTCCGGCTTGGCGTGGCAATTCCACCCGGTATATAAAGTGTAAGAAAACGGGCATTGGACTTAACAACTACCATATATGGTTGAATTAATAATTAATATTTTTTGTAAAAGAAAAAGCGTAACATTTCTTCTGTTTAGGTACTCTTTTTTGTAGGCTGGCGCCTGGTTTGTGTATGGCTGCGGGCTGACCCTTGCACTGTAGTATAAGTTCCTATGCATGGCCAGCTCATGTAGTTAGCGGTTGGATCAAGACATGCTCTTTTGCCATTATAACGCAATCGGTCGAAAGCTCAACCACCGCTGGACTTCTGCAGGGATCAAGTAGTTCTCTTTGCGCCTCATCAAGCAAAGCTGCTTTGCAAAGGTGGGTGGAGTATAGCCTCCTATCTTATTTCCTTAACAAGAGGAAAAGCCAGCGCTAACTCTAGTTCAGTGTCTTTAAGAACATGCATGGCCGCCGCACCCCCACGAAGCTATTTTGCTTGCTCAGCTAAGTGCTATAGATAGGTAACGATAGTCATGTTATTGTTATCTTATGGTTTGTTTTTCAGCTCCTTTGCTTTTCTCTCTTCCCCTTTTCCATTCTGGTTGCTAGCAGGAACATGTATTAGGATATCAAGCACAACCAATCTCTGTACATTTCAAGGCTGCTGGCAATTCCGTTTCGGTGAGGGTGAGCTAACGCCATTATACAGCCAGGCAACGCCATTAGAAGGCGGGGTAAGTAACGCATGAAACTGCGTGGCGGATACTGCAGTCACAAGGAAGCGGAGATAACATAGTACAATGCTACTCCATAATCAACTTTATCTCTTTCGACTAGCATGATTCGAAGCATAAAAGCCGTTTCCTATAATGGGCAGAAACTGGCTCCTTCCCGTTACACTCAAGGCCGATCCTTTTGAGATGGTTGCCCGCACTGGGGCTTGGATGGCTCAAATCTCGTCCACGCGTCGTTTACACTTGGCGACATATGGACTATTGGCGTGAATGAGTATCGCGTTGGAATTGGCTTCTTATGGGAATTGAAATTCGATCTTGGTTAGTTATATCTACGATAGTATGTGCATTTCTCTACTTCATTAATGTATCATATTTCAACTCTGCTTCCTCATATTGAAGAAGTCGGCTTTTATCCATGAATCCAGAATTTGTCCTCTTCCCACCAGAATTCTGAAGTTCCCTGTTCTTTGCTTAAAGTAAAGGGTCCTTTGCTTTGGTGTAATTTCCTGAGGGTTGTCTAATAGTCCTAATCTCCTTCCTTATCTAGATCATCGACCCCTGCACTCGACTGCCGCAGGCTGAAGGTCTTGCATGCGTCGGGCGGTCCACGGGCCGGTAGTCAGTCCACAAAGGACGCATCCAACGGATCAATCGGCACACTTTGAGGGTGTCGTGAATCTGAATTCTTTCCCTTTCCCCGCGATGAGGTCATTGAAGGAATTGGAATGAGTTGATGCCTGCTGAGGAGAGGTTTCAGAATATGCTGGTAGCTTTCTCTGTCCTTCAGAGAAGCTGCCTGAGGCGGCCATTGGTGTCCCTAATATCACCAACAGCAGGGTCAATTACACCGCATGTGTCTGCAGTGCAAATCCAAGCGCTCCAATAAGCTTGTGGAATTGTATTACTGGTTGATGTCGATGACAAGTACTTTATTATTATTCACCATACTCATATGTGAAGAGTGTGCAACTACATACACACAATATTGTCTCGCGCCTTTAAGATGCATGATTTGCAGACCCAATCGCTAATACAGAGATAAAAATATCACCACCTACTCGATCTTAGTTTAATTGGGCTGGGTCGGTATCAATATTATCCTATATTACTTTGGATAGTGTAACGGTGTAACGCGAGTAAGACTTGGTATTGTATTAAATCACTACAACAGATGACAAGAGTCAGCTATTTTCAGGTACATATCCCAGTATATAGTTACCCATCCTCAAAGTCTATCATCTCCAATAGCCGAAATGAGACTGAACCCACACAGCTGCTAGAGACAAAACCTTTTGTCACGGGTGATCATGACATCGAGTCAATCAAAGCTTTATTGACATATGATGATACTAACACGAGCAGTTGCGGCGCTGTCTTTGTGTATAATGGCGACTATGGCTGCGTATCCCCAGTAGTATATGCGTAATAGCTAATCGGATGGCAGACTTGCAATTCCGTTCACGAAGAGAAGAATAACCTCGGAGCACAGGGAAAATTCGTGTTAGAAAATTGGCCAGTACAAAGTATGAAGCCGTATGATATACATGCATCGCTAGTTTACTGATGATCTGGCGTCTCATGCGCTATACCACCACCAATGTATCATTAGGATCACAGGGATGAGAGTGATCTACATACAGGTACTCTGTACAAGCAAAACGACATGCACATATACAAACAAGATTTACATCTTTGCCCAATGCAGATCAGCTAAGCTTCAATTCATGCTTAATAGCCGGTCACCTTTTACGCCAAACGGATTATGAGGTATCATTGCGGCTAGGTTCTAGATCCTTTCTATCAATTTCTTCGATACGATTCTGCAACATCTTTACGGCTATGCTGTTCTATGTCTTGACGCAATCACTGCAATACGCGTAGCTCTAGAGTATGGTTACATTAGATATCGTACGACGAAATGGTCCCAGTATAGGATATCCGATTTGATGTGACAAATGGTGTATGAAGCTTATCACCAAATTCTTATGCTTCGATCTCTAGATTTGCGTCCAGTTTATCGCGTACTCCCCCACATGGACCAAGATTAACAATCATAGCATCATCTCCATCCATCATCACATATAAGATAGATCAACAACATTGTCTATCAGTCCTATATATACATAGTAGAACTCCGATTTCCTGTCAACGGCCGTTCCATCTTTCAACGTCTTTGAGAACGCTATTAAACTTTCCCAAAGTAGGGCCAAAGATCCCGTCGCCTGCTACAATACAACTAAGTTGCTTGGCACTGTTTGGATACGAGCGTAGTTGAAAACTTCGCACCCTTCAATTCCATCCAAGACACGGGTTTCATAACGGTGATGATAAGAGTGCTCGTAATTCAGGCGGTTTGATGTCCTTCTAGGTACCAGCAATAAGATTAGACTACTTGCCAACGAAGCCATTTGCGTTCATCAACGCCAAGATTTGATACACTAATTATAGTCAACATACATAAGCTCTCATGATCATTAATTAGATATTAGCTCTAAATTATCTAACGCAAAGAGCGGAGGCCATCAGCACTACGGATGTCTTCCGAATCGTATTTCTTTATTAGGAAAGGTCGGGGCAGACACCAGCAAACTAGCGCGACGCCTGAAAGAGAGATAGAAATTAAGATCTCACTGCCGCGAGAATAACAAGCCACATACACATACACGTGGAGAAAAATCGTCGATTTGACAAACTAAGGAAAAAGATAACCTTGGTCAGGAAGTAGCCTACTCCCCTACCCTACGTATGAATCTAGGTTTCGATTTTACTGTGCAAATATGTAGCATCTAGAAGATGTGGATTGCAGCTTTTCTATTTCTAGATTATTTATGTACAGAGCCTTGAAGTTACTTTCGAGGAATCTAGGGTAGGTTTACATGCTAGTACATAACAAAATTTGTCAGCTGCATCGCCAGTTCAATAGGTATATAATGGAATTAAAGTAATGCATTTCATAGTTTAGCAATTTTTGTTTCAATGAATAATGAAGTATATCACCTGGTGGTAATATCCATAGAGTCGTTTTATGTCACCCTCAAGATCAAAACTGGTGCTTCTGTCAACATGAGGCCCCGCGGATGCCTGACTCTTGTTGCCAGCTGCTTGACATGGAACCCAAAAAACAAAATGGATTTAAAGCTGGATTTCTTCTAAACAGTGAGTTTGAAATGACTGACATTACCTATTCCAGGCTATTGAAAGCGACCAGTAAATCCAAGGGCTAAATATCGTCGGCTATTGACATATACAGATATGCACAGGTATGTCCATTTACCTATGATACCTACCTAGGTTGGCTGATGAGGCACTTGTAGCCGTTCGAAGGCTGTTGACATTGATTCAGTTTATGAAGTTAATTCAAGTTTATAATCATTTGTAAGTGCACGGAACAGTGCTAGTAGTAACCGTCTCAACCCCTGATCCTCAATGTCAACTGCCACTAGTAGTATCTTTCAAACTGAGTTTAGTACAGTGGACTGAGATTAGTAGGGCGCTGAGCCGCGGCCGCGGCCGAACAGCCTTGAGAAACCTCGGACTCTCATGCTGTCTCAGATAGCACCAAACAACAATTGCCGGAACGTATGCTGAATTTTCATCTATAAGTAGAAAAGAGAACCGCCGTCCAGGAACCGCGGATGTCATAGCTTCAATCTCTGCGCAGATGAGATGTGGGGGCGACATCGAGCCCTGACAAACAGACTAATATTTAGCACCATCGAGGATCGTACCATACGCCCAGCGGGAAACAGAGCTAAAAGGCAGATCAAAGAGCGTGTCAAACGAATACGGCTAGCCAAAATCAAATCTCCGGCGAGCTGCCTCGTCTCCAACAGCACCTTAATTCCGAGGTCAAGTTGCTCTTGCTTGGATAAGCATCCATTAAAACACCGATGGCCGCACAGTGTGGGCGTATACGGACTTATGCGGACTTATAGACGCGAATACATGACGAAATCTACCGACCAAGAGCGGATGGGGCCACAATGGATAGATCTCGAGGGCTGTTCTATCATGGCATTTGTCAGCTGCAAGGATTCTCAATCGCACTCTCAGTCTCAGGAATAATACGCACACTATTGTATTTAACAACGCAAATAAGTATATATACTTTGTGATAATGGCGGCTTCAAGATTCCATTGGCAATCTCACTTTTACATCTTATTTATACCCACCTATAGACAGTAGCAGCAACCCAAAGAAATCCAACAAAAACTAGACATCAGAAACAAATATGGCGCCCGTCGAATACGCTATTCCCCGTGGAAGCTTGGTCTTAGTCACCGGAGCTAATGGGTATATTGGCTCACACGTTGTCGATCAGCTTCTTGCGCTGGGTTACAGAGTTCGAGGCACTGTTCGAGACAAGAAGCCATGGCTAGATGAATTCTTTGAAAAGAAGTATGGCAAGGACAAGTTTGAGAGTGTTGCTGTTCAAGCGATAGAAGCTCCTGGAGCTTTTTCCAATATTGCAGAGGGGGCTAGTGGAGTCGTTCACGTGGTATGATATGGCGAATACCACACCTTGTACTCTTTTTACTTATGTTTTCACGTATAGGCTTCGGATGTCTCTTTCGGACTCGATCCCAACGTCGTCATTCCCATTGCGGTACAGGGCACGATCAACGTGCTCGAGGCAGCTGCCAAACAACCTTCCATTACACGTTTTGTCATTACGTCGTCTTCTGCTGCATTACATATTCCCGAGCCAAACAAAAAGGGTGTTAAGGTTGATGAGAGTAAGTTGAGAAAAAGTTGCCATCCCTATCTGACTTCGCCTAACATACTTTTCCAGACACATGGAACGAAGCTGCGATCAAACTGGCATGGAGCGGCAACCTGACCGGCAACGTTCCTGCGGGCCTTGAAGGTGCTGTTGTGTATTCCGCCTCGAAGACCGAAGCAGAAAAGGCTGCATGGAAGTGGGTTCAAGAGAAGAAGCCTAACTTTGTTCTCAACACTGTCCTGCCCAACTTTAACGTGAGTAAACTCTTGAACATTTTTTGCTATGGAAATCGCTGATAAGATGTTTAAGTTTGGCCAAGTTTTGATACCAGAGCATCAGTCTGGTTCTACAATGGGCTTTGTTCGTAAATGGTTCAAAGGCGACTTTAGCATCCTTAGCTTCCCACCTCGTAAGTTCACCAAAGCCAAAAAGGCAAATGGTCACTTAAAGTGGTGTATCGTGAAATCTGACAGCGTTTAGAACACTTCATTGACGTGCAGGACTGCGCTCGTCTGCATGTGGCCGGCTTGCTTGATCCAAGTGTCAAAGACCAACGCATCTTTGGCCTTGTCCAAGAATACAACTGGACGGACGTTCTAGCAATCTTCCGCAGACTCCGCCCTGAACTAAAGCTGCCCGAAGCTCCTGTAAATGAGGGTCGTGACTTGACAGAAGTTGTGCCAAAGGATAAAGCCGAGAAGCTTCTGAAGGACTTTTTCGGCCAGGGCTGGACATCGCTGGAGGATAGCCTGAAAGCCGGAATTGCAGATCTTTAAGAGGAACACGCGTTAAGGCAATAGTAACGGGAAAGGAATAAACCTTTTTATGATATGTATGCGTGTTCTTCGCGCTAAGTCTTGCGAGGAGTGGAAAGGCAGCTTGAGTAACAAGTGGCGGAATGCACTTTACATCAACTGTTTTTCAACTACCGCTCAGATAGAGAAATTATGAAGTTACTTTGCTGAAAAATGAACATGAAAGACGCTGAAGAGTTTCAAGGCCACATTATATGCAAAGTCTTTCTTAGATAAAAACGTGCTCGCTGAGAAATGAGCTGAACCGAGGTCCACTCGCTGCGGGCTAGTGCGGAATGATGCGGACTGGAGCGCACGAGTGCGGATGCGGTTCCTGGATTATCATCTACTAATCAGAAATGCCGATTCCAAGTAAGTTCGCCCTTGACTGCTATAGTTTGAAGAGTGCACTTACATGAATTACTCTCTCAACAAAATGAATGTCAATTTTCTTATCTCCCTGGCCAATGGTCAACAGAGGGATTCTTACTCCGTCTAGTTGTTAGCCTACAAGATAAATAAGATGTCTTCTTGTTGCGTTTTACTCTTCAGAACAACGAAGTCAAGGCAGTTCTCCAAAGTTGTTTCTTTTTGCAATATCGAGAAAACATATACAAGAAATGTCTGAAACATCTGGTACCAAGGGTCCGTCGAACAATCTAGATGAAAATCCGATATTGGCTCCTGAGGCGGATATTTCTCACGTCGAACAAGGCAAGGCAAAGCAATCACAACCTAGTGTTCGTGACAATGTTCTGGCCTTTTGCATTGTGTTTTGCCAATTGGTTCAAGTAAGTCAATGGTACCTCATTCTAAACCTAGTCAAGGACTTTCGAGTTCAGAGCATGGCTAATCGAAGAGGCAGGCCATACCATACGGCGCAGGACTCATAGCAGCAATCGACATACCCAAAGCAATCGGAGCTCCTCAGGACAAGGCCGTATGGATTGCAGCATCGTACCCGTACGAAATTCTTCACTTGTTTCCAACGACAACAAAGTGCTGACGAAATAGATTGACTCAAGGGGCATTTGTTTTGATAGGAGGACGAATCGGCGCTGTTCATGGGCACAAGAACACCATGCTTTTCGGTGCATGCATATACGTCCTGTTCCATCTAATCACTGGATTTATGAGAACCGCCGATACTGTCATTGTTATGCGTGCTCTCAGCGGCGTCGGCGGAGGAATCATGGTTCCCAACCTCGTTGCTATGCTCACCATCGCTTTTCCTCCGGGCCTCATGCGTAATGTGTGGGTTGGCATGTTTGGCGCCATGGGCCCGGTAGGTGCAGCTGGCGGAACCGTGTTCCCCGGCTTTTTCGGCCAGTTGACGGAGTGGTGGTGGCTATTCTTCTTCTTGTGAGCTTCTATGAGGGACGCTTGGTATAGTAGAAGCTGACACTCGGACAACAGGGCCATATTTGGTGCCGTCGTTTTCGGCGCAACCTCGTTCATTCTACCTCCCGACGGTGTGCCCATGGACGCAACCGGTACAATTGATTACGTTGGAGCCTACTTTGGAGTTGCCGGCCTTGTCTTGTTTAATTTTGTATGGACGTAAGTTACAATGTTCGCATTCCATCAATTGGTTAGCTGCTGACAGGACGTATAGACAAGCTGCTGTCGTTGGCTGGGAAGAGCCCTATGTTTATGCTCTTCTTATTGTATCCATCTTACACTTCGCGCTCTTTGTGCTATGGGAGGGAAAATTCGCAAAAGAACCCATTCTTCCACTCGGAATTTGGGGCTCTCCGTCGTTTGGACCGATGGTATTGTCCGCATTCATGTCATTTATGGGGGTCGGCATCTTCCTCTATTACGTCCAGATTTGGAACATTGAGATCCGCCACTATTCCAACCTGCTTACCGCCGCGGCCAACTCAGCTTTTGCCATCGTTGGCACGTGTGGTTGCTTCGTCAGTGCTATTGCCGTGCGCTATCTACCTGCTCAGATAGTCATGGCCACTGGCGCAATAGCTGCTGTGGTTGCTGGGATCATTTTCGCTACTATGCCGGCACAGCAGACATACTGGGCTCAATGTTTTCCCGCATTCATTATCATGGGATTTAGCCCTGACTTCATCTTTACAGCGACGCAGATTATCACCAGTAATAGCGTCCAGCGGAAACACCAAGGGATTGCTGGGTCTTTAATGGGGACCATTCAGATGTATGGCCTCAGTACTGGACTGGGATTTGCTGGGACAGTCGAGCGATATACAAATGATGGTGGTCGCGATCAAGTGGGAGGCATTCGCCATGCACTATATCTTACAATCGGCATGGCAGGTGCCTCTGCATTGATATCTTTACTTCTAATTCGAATTCCCAAAGATCAACGTGAGGGCTGGGATACAGAAGACGGAGGAGCAGCGGAGGCGTAACTACTTGCACCTGCATTAGTTTCGCCTCACGAACATGAATGATTCGTGGCATGGTATTTGGCGATACCTCCGCCACATACACTTTGATTGGAGACAAGATGCTAAAGATTCTATGGTATAGAAGATAAAGAGATGGATAGATGGATGGATGTTAACAAGAAAATAACTCTTTAGATTCCAACTTCATTTCGTAGCAGATTTAGAGGGCTATAGACCGATTCATACACTCCAAACATTGCTTTTGCAGAAGGAATATTTAGTACATGTTACTTATACTCACAATCAATGAGAACATGGTACTTTGTGAAAACGAGATGCTGCGCCCAGGGAATTGTAAAACTGCTAAAAAAAGAGCCTGAATATTACCTTGCATCCTTCGGTTATCAGCAATTGACACTCGTATCGCGCGTGTAAGTAGCTCGCGGTCCGGAACTTTCCGTAAATATTTTCACTTACTCAAATACTGCATTGCCTAGCAAATATACATCTCAAAGCAATGAGATTATCTAGGCATTAGTAATTGCCAATGCTCCGCGGAACACGTCGTATTCGGTGTATAGGCGGTGCTGACAAACCCCAGCGGGGTTTCAAGAAGCCATCGCTCTTTGCGGACTTCCGAGGCCGGTTCTGAAGCTGGTATGGCAAGCTAATGAGAAAGAGCTATTCGTCTCATATGTTAGATCGCGGCGATAGGCGTGGAATTACGGGACATTGGATCCTTTTCGCGTCATTTATGTGATACCTCTACGTATGTGGACTCGCGTAGGATCATGTCCGCATGTCGTTATATTGATTCCACGTCCAGGCCAGTGCTTGTTATACTGTGGGAAAATAGGATGAATGAGCCTACGAGGCATGACGCACAACCACTAACATTACCAATGCCATATCAGAGGCAGAGAATTGCTATTCGTGGATCCTTTAGGCAAGGTGGCTTCCTCGCCAAATTATTAGTGGCTCGAACAGTTATGCTGAGACACCACCACCTTTGTGTAGAAAGAAGCCCACGCGTATGCCAATGTTGCTCGAGAGTCAACTTGTTTGTGATTTTATCATGAAACTGATCCTTTCTTCACTCCACAGGCCGGCTAAGGAATAATCTTTCATCGGTAGCTTTGAGCCAAGCGTAGAGTGAAAGAGTAATTAATAGGTTATAAGTTCTTTTTCACGGCACAGCGATACCGTGTGCCTCAAGCTATCGAAGTCGTGAAAGGCCTCCTTGGCATTCAAAATTTCCAAATAAATTTCTACTACAGTTAGCCAGGGTATCTAAATGAAATGGTTTGATGATACTTGCTGGCCACATTCCACCGCGTACAAAAGTACTGCAGCAGCCATCTAAAGGCGTTGATCTTCTCTTGGATATCCTCATCTGCTTTGACTTGTCTCATTTCCATAGCTATTGCCGTGGCTTGGTACAAAGTCTGCATGAAGAATATAGGCAGGCCTTCTTCTGGAGAAGTCCCACCTTCAAAGTCTTTTTGTAAGGCTGATGCCAAGCGCCCCATGACTTCTAAGGCTCGTTTAGTCTCTGGAAACATGCCAAGACCTGCGTCCCTCGTATTGAGACGAGCCTGCTGCCACTGCTGGTTTTGAAGTAAAAATATTCCGCTGTTAAGATTAGCGATGTATCATTAGCAGTATACCAAGGCTCTTCTCACCAATAGGAAAACATAGTCTGGCAGCAAAATGATAATCTGCGAGTTGCATGCTCTTGTTCCGCAGCATTAACTTGAGCTTCGAGCGTACGCCGCAATTGCTCCGTGTCTTCCACGAGACAGACAAAATTCTCTGTACTAGATGTCTCGATAGCCGCTGCAAGTCGAAGAGCTTGACTTGTCAAGTATGTTGCTTGAGCTAGGCGAGCAAAACTGCCAGTCTTGAGATGAAATGCCGCAGAGATGGGTATAGCATTAGGCGGCATTACGTCCTGAGAGATGACAAGTATTAGTGGCATTCTTACCTAGATTTTGCATGAAAAATAAGAATGAGAAGTATCTTACACCTTCGAAGAAGGATTGATCGTCTACGGGAAGATGATAATTGATCTCTGGATCGCCTGTAGCTAGACGCCTTGAGGGGTCACCGAAGTTTAAGAAGCTGCATCACAATTCAGTACAGAGTTCTCCCAGGATCAAATAAGAGGCGACAGAGTACGGCACAGCTAACTTACCGGTCTAGTGCCAACACTGCCCACCAACTTCTTCTTTTCTCCTCTATCTCCATCCACGATCTGTCGAAGTCGCTGTTGTCCGTCATGAGTTTATCCAAGCCCAAAGCAATGCCGTATCTGGCACAAGCTCCAACGGTCAGGTAAGCAGCCGGGTAGATCGCATTTCCAATCTCATATAGAGCAATAAAAATTGCTGCTTGGAGGACTTGCAGCGACATGAGGCCAGTTGCCTCTATCTCAGAAAGGTACCGCTTTGACGTCCTGTAAAGCGCTGTCTTTTGACTGCCACCATCATGGACCCCAGTTGTGCAATACAGCTTCATACACAAGGCCAACAGTGTACTTTCCGCTCGTCGGGGAGATAATGGGTTCAGTGAAGCATTGAAAAAGTGATTCCGGCACACTATTGGTAGCCACGAAGCATCGTGCGAGAACAACACTGCCGCTATGTCGCGGATTTGCTGAGTGTCTCCGACATGGACCGCAACGTCATTGGGGAGAGAAACACAAGTAGGAGGAATATCTAGCTTGATGTCGCGAAATAGCTTGGGCGCCAGAAACCGAACAGCCCTTGCTGTCTCAAAGGTAGACTCCAGATCCGGCAATTGGTCCCATTGCTGCGGGTGAGGGTCGTCCGCTACCGATGACGAGTCGTCCCAAACTATCTCCGGTGTATAAGAGCGCTTGGCTGGCAGCTTTGGATAGCTACAGCGAATTTCTTTGCGCAAACATAACTCGCATGTCGGAAGGACTCGATCGCATCGCCTTTTACCATGGCGACACGCATGACAAGAGATCCGCGAATGAGCCACGGCGATTTGCGACGATGCCATGGCTTACTGGCGATGAGAACTCGATAAATTCTGAGACCGCCAAGTTGTCTGATGTTATCGTGTAACCGTCAAGCAGGGCAGCAGCTACGGCGACGGCAAACTCTGCTGGTAGCGCTGACAATTATAGTTACCATAGGTTATAGGTTCTTCCAGGTAATAGGTTCCTTATTATTGAAGTATATGTATGAATACTAATCATTAATTTGCAGATTAATAAACAGAGGAATTACAGTCCAGTAGTGGAGGCTAAAACTGCCCCGTACTCAAGTGGCTGGTAGATGTGCGGCGCAACCAAGTGCACCGCGACAACCACCAAAAAGTCTGAACTTTGATCAAGATTGATAGTAGCGATTGAAGATTAACATATTTGAGTTAAAACTTGTTCTATTGAGGTATAATAAACTATATGAGATATATCGAGGAACCATGTTCGATGGCGAGCAACTCCGCACCTGGAACAGGCTAAGAAAAGTAAGAGAATGAGAACAAATCGAAGAGAGCTATAATAATACCCTTGGCCGCTGGTTAGAAATTATTGGTCGACTCCCTTTAATACTTCTTCTGAAATTTTCCAGAGTGACTGAGCCAGCTCTTTGTTGCGCGACCTTTCTGAACTCTGGGCAATCTTCCCAGGCCCATTCAAGAACTGCCCCCTATATCGAGCGGCTTCTCTTGCAACTTCGGGCGCAGTCGCACAAAAAAGTTGCGTCAATGCACCTTTGGCAGGGCTTTTCATTACCAGTTTCAAAACTGGCTTTAACAGACCTGGGAATACTCCCATACCGCCATCGGTTGCAACGGGCCCAGGGTCAAGCGTGATAGCTATGATCCTGGAATTTTGTTGCGTTAGTTGGTTCTGAAGTTCTTTTGTAAAGAGGATATTAGCCAATTTGCTGATGCCATAACGTTTAAAGACTGCTTTGCGAGACGTGTAGTCGTTAGGATTGGTAGCTCCAGGATCACTAAAATCCTTCACAGTGGTAAAGTTGTTGCTGCTGGACGCAAATTTCTCCGCCAAAGAGCTCACCTAGTAAATCAATTTAGTAAACTCATTCTCAAAGCTCATACTATCAAACGACATACATTGACTATCCGAACGTCGGAGCCTGGCACGTCTGCCGTAGCCTTGAGCAACGGCAAAAGTTTAACCGTGAGAGTAAAATGGCCGAGATGACTGAATAAAAACATTCTTTAGTAAGAAAAAAGAGAAGACCAAAGAAAAGCAAGATGAAAGCAGCACGTTTAATACTCACTTTACCCCAAGCGACTGTTCAAATCCTTCTTTTGTGGTGACGTATTCGTCCGATGAAATGCCTGCATTGTTGACTCAAATAAGAATATTAGCGTGCTGTAAAAAAAATGACTGATAGATGCAGCCTTACTTAAGATATCAAGTCTTGTTTCGGTAGTCGAGAATAGGTTTGCAGCTTTGATGACATTAGGTAGCGATGATAGATCCAGCGGCAGCCACTCCAGGAGCTCCTTTGGGATAGATGGATTCTCAGAAAGGATATCGCTAATCGCTTGTTTCGCTCGAGATTCAGATCTTGCGCCTATATATACTTTGGCGCCATGCAACACAAGCTGTTTAACTGTTTCGAAGCCAATTCCAGAGCTATTCCATCATCAACAGCCGATTGAAAGGAATTCAGGGTAGTTTTCAACAACTCACTTTCCTCCAGTTACTAGTATCACTTTGCCGGTGAGGTTGGGAATGGAGGTTTCATCCCACGCCATTGCTTGAAAATTTGGGTTTTGTACCTGAAATTAATACAAAAAGGTCGCAATATCGGATTGACTTGTTGAATCAAAATTTTATGCTTTGGTGTTCGAACCAGCTTTTGTATATGTCAAACTCAGCTATTGAGCGCTATGAACCCTCTATTTATATGGAAAAGGAAATCCTTTGAACATTTATACTATCGCTGTGGATTATCGACCTACAATAAACGATCCATCATTGTTTGAAGAGAAAATTAAGAGTAAAATTAACTGGAAAGAAGCCCAATAGGTACAAATACCCAAAGAGGACAAATTGGTCAGCGATTTAGCAGCCGAAGCGTACTAGCTTGACATCTATGACCAATACACGTACTTTTTAACCGCTAAAAGCTCCACAGTTCGGGAAAAGTTACCATGTTTTTGTCACAATAATGCTTCCTTATTAGCCTTTCTGGCTCATCTAAGACGGATGGCTAATAGGGTAGGGCTGCTAATTCATTTTGACTTCTCAAATAGGGAATTGTAGATCCACTGAAATAGGGAATATGTTCCTTGCCACCAGTAAACTAGCCGACTTGAGATAGTAAGGAGATAGGTCATGGGTACGGAAACGCAAGCGAGTAGTCTTCCTATAGGAAGCGAACTTCTTATATATTATTAGGTGTTCTGTTACCAGAATTTTTTCAACCGCATTCGTTCCTCATAATTTCTGCCAAATGTCCTTGATCTTTTGGAGAAAATTCTGGCAGTCCAAATTATCTTTATAAAGATTGTCGTCCACTTTTGTGAGGCATTGCACACAAATCTCTCGTGCCTCTGCATTTCTTTGCCGCGATGCAAGCTCTTGGATGAGATTATATGCTGTGATCAAAGTTCCTCTGTGAGTTAGCCCAAAGACCTCCGTTTCGTTTCTCAAATTGAGCCTCCAAAGGGAAACTGCTTCTTCCAATGGTTCATCACTCTCGCTTAGTATCAAAGCTAAATTTCCTTCGGCAATAAGCGTATCTGGGTGAAAATTGCCAAGGAGCCTTTTTGGCGTCATAGACATCCCGTCGTAACTTGACTGCTTCCTCAGTTTTACCTGGATCGCCGAGGACATTGGCAAGATGCGCCGTGCAGTTTAGCGTTTCATTCTGTGCCCTCCCGAGGACGCGCTCACTGCGAGCCAAAGCTTCACGTTGCATGGTCTCAGATTCCATGTATTCGCCAGCCAAAGCAATGGCTGTGGTGAGATCACTCAATCTGTTAATCGTCCTAGGACCATCCCCACCTAAGCTTTCACGGCTATTTTTTACAACGCGCTTCAGAATCTGCAGAGCTTTCACGTCGTCTTGCAGAACACCAATAACCCAGCCTAGTCCTAGTAGCCCTATACCCGACATTGTTTCCACATGTTTTTCGCCGAGATAGCTACTGTTTATCTCTATTGATCGCTCAAATCTCACTTGCGCTTCATCATGATCGCCGTCCCATACAATATATGCTCCAGAAGCCATAAGTAGCTTCGCTCTAGCTAATTCCGAATCTTTGGTGTCTTTCTTAAAGTGATGTTGAAGAATGAGCTCAGCATGAGGAAGCAATATTTCCGAGAATTTGAAGTATTCAGGCCCAGACTCAGATAAAGGCTCGATATTGAGAGGCAACAGACTTCGATGATTTGAAGGCCCGCCTATCCACATCTTCTGGAAACTCTTCTTCTAGCCACCACCTTGTGGCCAACTGTATAAGACGATGAATGTTAACCACAGATCATCTACTTGGTAAAGATAACATCGCCGTAATCTTTACCAAGTAGATGAGCAAGACCATATTACCAAGATAGGAAAAGAATGTTGGAGGTGAACACTGCGTATGTCGTAAATAAATGTATCTGAGGCCATGGCTGGCATTAACTAGTACTGGTGGCGTCTGGCTCTCGACCGCAAGCGAAACTATGTCCACCATTCTAGTTGCCAAGCTTCAATTAACTGATCTTACAAAGCCTTCATACTCTTGTTCAGTCTGTCTTTCAATGAGTTACGCTTTGCATCCCTTCAATTATTTGATCAAAGCATCCAACACCCTACTTGAATCCATGTACCGAGGTACATATGACCCCTGGCTGCGCTTAACCTTTTCAGGCTGCCGCTCTCCCATTGGCCAGCATCCAAGCTTGCGACGCTCGCCTTGCCCAATTGGGACGCTGCTCTCCTACTGGCTATAGCAATGTCTCCAATCTACGCTTTTGCAGTGCCTTGTTCAACGAATACCACATTTCCATAGCATCAACCTGAGAATTGGCGGATTTCGGAATGTTCAGAAGATCGGAGTTTACGCAAATTCCGGATGGCGATGCAATTATTCTTGGCGTTGGCTATTTCGAACAGCTATAAAAGAGAGTGAAAGTGCGCGGTGTTGATTCTAAAGTCCAGCATCAATACCAGCACTCTTATCACTTATACTCTGCTTCCAAGTTACATCCAAGATACTCCAGAAAGACAATTCTTACAAGTCATTGCCTATCACTCCATACAACAAACATGTCTGACCAAAAGAACATGAATGCCAACGAACGCGCGTTGGTCCAGAAGAGAGAGCTCCCGCTCTTGATCACCAAAGAGCTCTGCGCAGGCCGAACTTACATCGTCACTGGTTCCAACATTGGCCTTGGGCTGGAAGCTGCTCGCCATCTAGTGGGCATTGGAGCCGCAAAGGTCATCATGGCAGTGCGCAATCTGGAAGCCGGCGAGGAGGCTAAAAAGGACATTGAGGAGTCTACCGGAATCAAGGGCGTTGCTGAGGTCTGGCATCTGGATCTTTCCAGCTATGCCTCTGTTCGCGCATTTGCATCCAAGGCCATTGAGACACTTGAGCGCATCGAGGCTGTCATTGAAAACGCGGCTGTTGCCAGCGCGGTTGGGCAGGCAGAAGGCCGCCACATAGCATTGACGGTTAATGTCACCAGCACCTTGCTTTTGGCCATTCTCCTACTCCCAAAACTACGCTCGGATGCGGCCAAGTTTGGATACACTCCGCGCATAAGCATTGTTAGCAGTGGCACCGGCCTTGATCTAGGAGAATACTGGGCGAAGATCTCCGAAGATCCGATGGTAAACATGGACGCAGATGATGCTTTGGGAATGAGCAGGTAGGTCTAAGTACCCTTTTACCATTGATTCAGTATTTATGTCTTTGGGTCTTGCGATTAATAACAATCATTCTTCTAGCTATCCTGCATCGAAGATGATGGAGATATTGGCAGTCCGGGAGATTGCAAAGCTACTTCCGGTTGCTCGCGGCGGAGTCATCATCAACTCAATCAACCCCGGCCTGTGTGTGACTAACCTCTCACGAAATGCACCACAAGAATTGAAAGATCGCCTAAAGGACATGTGGGCACAGAGTGGTCGAACCGCCGAATGCGGTAGTCGGACCCTTCTAGCCGCAGCCGTTGGAGGCAAGGATAGCCACGGTTCCTATATGGATGACTGCGTACCGGCAGAGTAAGTGTTTTGAATGCGTTGAATGTTTATTGCTGTTTGCTTATATACTGATCCGGATTATAGCAACCTGTTGCCGGACTGGATGGATGCCAAAGCAGACAAGCAAGCCTGGGATAGCATTGCTAGAGAGCTTGAGAAAATTGTGCCAGGTTCTGTTTCAAAGGCTCTCGAGTAAGACTTCGAAGTCATTAGAATTGATATATAGTTGGGTGCAAGTTTTATAAAGCCAACTGAACCTCTCCGTAGTGAGAGACTCTGTAGTATAGTGCCAAGCCCTCCTTTTCATAAAAATCATTGATCCAAGGGAATCTTGAAAGAACTCCCATAACCTCGCTCCAAGTGTTTACTTGTAGTTTTTGCATTGTTTCCCAAGTCTTTGGGATGAGCCAGGCATCATGGCTGTGATCCTGTAGAATAACAGCCGCCCCCAAAAATAACAGCCATAAAAGAAGTTCTTGATCCTCATCATTTTGCTCTAGGCTAGCTTCTTTGCGGATCATTTGAGACAGGATAGAGTTTTCTGTCACGCGACGATCGAGGCCGCATAAAAAGGAGCTGATTATCGTCAAGAGACCTAAATGGGCCATGTTTTGGATACGATTCAGTGAACGCGACGAGCTCAACGGAGCATATTTGAGAAGTTTATGGCCGAGCCAGATGTGACTTCTTAAAAACTCTACCGTGGACAACTTTGAACGTTTCCCGGCGCTCGCCTCATTGACAAGCGAAGATAGAGCAACCACATTATCCCAAAGGCCACAAAGCTCGGTACCAAACTGTTGTCTAAATCTCTGGCTAGATATAGCAGAAGGTATATTTAGATCAGGAGTGGGAGATAAAGTCAATCTCTCCATAGTCTTTGTATTCTCAAAGAGTTCTATATCCAGTGTAGGAGACGATCCAAGTCGAAGCGCATAGTCAAGATCGGCCCTGGACAGTTTTAGCTATTGAACATAATTTTTACAAAAAGCTCTCAATGAATGACGTACCGATATATCTTTTGCATAATTTCAGGCTTTTCTAAGCCAACGCGGCCCATGCCGCCTTGCATCTCGATCATTCGATGAAGACCCGAGAGGTGGATTATGCCGCGGTCGTAGCGACCACGGGTGGACTCATATGTTGATAGGCTCATGACTACGACCATTGTGGGATAAGAAACTCGTTCGCCGCGAGATATTCGCTCATTAATTAGACGGAAGACCTGAGTGATGTGGTGAGTTGCAGAGATATTGGCTTGCGGCGAAGCTTTGGTACATTCAAGAACAAAAGCCAAAGCGCAATGGTAGTCTAGCAATTTTGATTCTACATAAGCTTGGCGGTGACAGCAAATAGAGAGATATGAGACTTACATGCTTGGTCTGTGAATATTAGTTGTAGAAATATTGATTGGTTAACACTGACGTGAGCAAGAGCTTTGCTCAAAGTCGGTGCGCATCGCGGAGATCTCATGAAAGCTACAGCTATTTATGCAACATGAGTAAGTAATCTGCATTTTAGCGAAATACATCTCGTGTCAACTAACCATCGTACAAGAGCACCCTGTCTTTCTGAGCTACGTCGATAGGTAGACTTAAGATAGATACGCTGTCACCTATCACAGGCTCAACCGGCGGGAGCACTCCCCTAGTTTCTCTGCGAGGAGGCGAGTCCTCTTTGCCGCTTTCAGGGAGCGTCTTTGCAGATGCAGCCTTAACCCCAGCAGCAGTAGGTGTCTCTTTCGGAACTCGGCGCTCAAGCGCTTTTACACGCGATGGCCGATTAATCTTGCGTCCAAGGTTCCACCCCTTTGCAGCGCGATGGCGGATCAAAGTCCGTGTGCCGCTGTCAATGCCTTGATTATTGTCAATAAACGTAAACTCCATGACTCTGCTTGCTTTTGCTTGGCTGATGTTGGCAGTGTTGAAGTTGTAGGAGGCTACATGTATTCAGGAAGAACATTATGTCAGTTGCTCTCGGAGATAACAGCCGGCGCTAAAAGAGCAAAGTCCAGGAATGAGAATAGGGCGCACAAATGTATGTACTTTTTAGGAGTCCTAGCTCGTACCCAGATACATTCTGCTTCTAGAATAATTTCTCTCGTGTGTAGATTAACTATTTAGCCCATTTATTTTTCTACATTCTTACTTTTAAGAAAAACCGAGTCGTGGATGACTCGATTAGACCAAGGCGCGCGCTCTCCAACCAGTAAAATTGCCCTACAGCAGCAAAAGCCACTAAGATCGCTGGCTTCACGTTGTTATAGGGGTCCTTCAAACCGTCAATCAACTGAGACATTCGAATCAAAGCGCCCAGGTAAATTATATCAATTCCAACTTTGGCAGGCATATGGGCTTTACTGAGTGGATATATTGCGATGACATTGTATCATTCTCAGATTTTCATTTGATAAAACTGACATTTGCACAAAGTTGAAATGCCTCATCGACAGCTGAAACAATATATGCCGCCGTAACCAGAACATGTTGTATTGGGTTGTTACTACATCAGTGGATGACATATGAACGCATGAAAACAAATACTTGACAAAGGTATAATTTGAAAGTGTTCTATTAATGATATAAGCGAAGTAGAAAGTCTTCATCATCCGAGGTCGTTCCTTTTATCGACTGATGTTCTCTGTAATACAATCGCTAACCCTCAGGTATAAGCGAAGTAGAAGGGGTCCGGAGCGAGGTTTTACTACAGAGCCTTGACATGTAACTGGGGCTATCAGCCTGATAAAATTTCCTCTAATACCGTAGTAGGAGAACGGGATAAAAGTATATCCCTGGCTTCAAATATGTTCTCGTTTCAGCTCAGTGTAAACAGAACAAAAAGTAAAACAAGACAACTGTTTCATACATGTTTCGCTGCTGCCCCAGTGCTGCCGCCGCCTAGCGTCGATTAAACCTTGCAACGGTTTATTGTTGTGAATATATATACCCACCTGCTACTTGTCTAACCGGCTGTCAGTTTGTCTTAATTATATTCATTCATTCTTCTTTCTTGTCTCCCGTCTAAATTGATTTTAGCTCTTAATTTATTTATCGTTTTAATCGCGAAAATGCATTATTCTTTTCCTCTTATTGCGCTAGCAACCATCATTGCCGCATCTCCTCTTCCCGCAAACACAAATGTCAACCCGGAAGCAATAACATCAACTACATGCACAGCCAAGAAAGTGTACGTTGACCTTTCATTTCTTCCTTAAAATTAAATTCTCAATCATAAGATTTATTAACAAAGTCATAGAGCTATCAATAGCCATGATATTAACGTCGCCCTCCTCTCTATTTGCGGAGGCATTGCAGGCACAATTGAGCAATGCCAGGGAAACCCTACAAACACAACCGGTGCATCAGGGAGCGCATTTTTATCGCTGGAAGCTGCAACTCCCGGGCAAACAATTGACATCACAAAGGGCCGATGGGAGGGATGCATGCGTGCGGCGAGAGCCGTATGTGGTGATAGCCCGTTTACAAGCACATGTATTGGCGGTGCAGATATAAACAAGGGAAATGTCAAGTTTTCTCTTACCGCACAATAAAAAATTAGGAAGCATAATTTATATAATAACACACCAGCTGGTCTGGAATTTTAACGGAAAGCATCTACACGATTATAATTTCGTCAGTAATTTCATCATCTTTAGTATATATATTCAAGCTCAATCCGAGCACTGGCTCTGGACTAGATTACTCGTATTATACGGACTTTCCATGATGCTCATTGTGGTGAAAAGATCTCGTGTTTTTATTGTAGCCTTACGCAATCTTGATGATGAGAGGAGCCGCTATTGCAATTCATGAATGCCACTCGCTACATCACTTGGTGCCCAAATGCGGGGTTAATGATGCGACCACAGCCAAAAATCACAGCCCGTACAAACTCACCAGAGACATCTTCACTTAATCATTGAAGGCGCTATCTAAGTGCACCTAGCAATTCAACGTGTTGTTTTTATCCAGAGCGAGCTTTACATTATAGTCTCTGCCTTGGCGTCTATTTTGTAAAGGGTTCCAAAGAGTCGACTATCAGCGCAACCCATCTCTGCTGTGTCCACTAAAGGTCTTGAAATTTACTGTCCTCTACACATTTTCTCATGGAAAAAACAACCTCCAAATCCTCCACTATGTATCTCAAAATTGATCCACACGGCGACACCTTAATCACCATTATGGGTACAGATACCCAATTTTCCTCTTCAAGTAGTACAGGTACTGTTCTCCCAATAGAGGTTACCCCCACCAAGAAGATTAAGGAAGCAGCTGTACCAAATTTTGTTTTCAACGCTTGAAAAGAACTACTCTCGATGGAACTGACCGTCATTCAAGTTCCTAGAGGCTAATTTTGACATAGTGATGAACCCCGCTCTCGGAAAGCAATTTCTCGTTTCGAAGAAACATCTCATGCTATCTTCTCGTCGTGCTGGCAAAGTGCTCGAAGGATCTTTCAAAGAATCTACTCGGGAAAAAGATGGCCTTTTCCACTGGAATTTTGAGCCAATGTTTGACTCAATGGCATTTGAGATTGTAATGCATATAATCCATGGACATACGCGGCAGATCCCTGAAAAGGCAAGCGTCGACTTGCTCGCTCAAATAGCCGCCATCGTTGATGATTTGGAGTGCCAAGACTCTATTTGGTTCTTTGCTAAACGCTGGCTGAGCCAAATGAAATGTCCAGATTTTCATGAAACGTCTGAGGACCTTATGCGATGGATCTTAATTTCATTTGTGTTTGAGGAATCCGAGATCTTCAAGCAAATAACAAATGACGCCATAAGATATAGCACAGATAAAACGCCTACCTTTGGTCTTCCTATACGGCCTAGAATTCTTGGTAGGTTTCGGGACCCCTACTAGGAACATTAGCTAATATATTTAGAGAATATCGGTGAGCGGCGGCAATTTATATTGGCTCATCTATTTGCACACTTGCAAAAACTGCAATCTCAGCTCCTTGAGCAATCATTGGGATGCAACCAGGGCTGCAGGGCCATGATGTATGGTACGCTCACCCAGGGAATGAAATCGAATTCGTGGCTGCCTCTACCCCTTTCGCCATATACCTCATTGAGCATCAGTTCAGCCCTTCAAAAATTAAAAGCAGTCCAGGGAGTGGACTATTATTGTCCTTTAAGATATTCTACCAACCTAAATGGCGATGGATCTTGGAGACTTGAGAGTAGACCCCCACCAAGGGAATATGCCAGTTATCCGTATTCTAGTCGCCCGACCGAGGAGCCGCATCTAAAATTAGTACGCCACAACTGTCGCATAGAAGACCATCTCAAAGGACTATTGACTACTACTGAAGACATGATTTCAGGGTTGGAACTATCGAATTACTTGAGCGAATGAGTTACAGGAAACGAAATCTTCATACTAAAAATATAATAAACTATGCGTCTGGTTTTCAAAAGAACTTGAATGCTTCTCATTCGATTGCGCTATACTTGCGAAATTATACTGTGAATCTTTCGAGAGACAGTACTACGTGTTGTATCGAGAGCTAGATTTGGGTGGTTCGCTCTTAACTAGGTAGGACATCAAACATTGAGATATTCGAGCTAAATGCGGCCGCAATCAGCTATTACAATTGGAACTGTGCACCTGTGAACATGTATCATACTTTGTGCGCTGAGTAGCTGCTTAAGCCGAGGTCCTTGGTGTCCTGATAGCCACAAGGATGCCCTGTAAGAGCTGTTGTACACAGGTAGCTCATACGCAATATGCCGCCGCAAGCAGTGCTGTGATGTTCGCATGTTGGCTCCGGTGGCGGTTGGTGATAGCTAGTGAGACAAAATAATGGCTCATTAAAAGGGATCTTAGACAAAAGTATTTTGGTAAAAGTAGCTCGTGAAACAATACGCTGACTGTACTGGAAGCATGAGGGGAAGCAAAATGATCAACTGGTCGCGATGTTTTCTTCGTCACGCTTCATCGTGAATCACTTTGCAGACTAAATGAGAGCTATTCTTATTCGAACATAAAGGTTCTCCTTAACATTCAGTTTGAGTACTACGTTTATAGTTTTAACATTTTCGTTTGTGCATATAAAAGGAATACATCTGACTAAATCTGGGGACATAGCAATGTCACAAACAGAAAGTATTACACTCGATATAAAACCTAAACGCAACCCAAGCTCTTCACTATCTACTTCATATACCCCTAACTAGTGAAAATTAGATTAGTTCCGCTGTCTATGCCAAATTAACTGATATGAAGATACATACAAACTGCAACTTCTAGAGTTTCCTCATTGAAAATACCAGATCAAACCGTATCAATTTCTATGAATTGTAGAATACGGGGACGGCTCTCAGCTCTCGTGGCTCTCCTATTAAGAGAAACCTAAAAAGGTTGACAATAGCACCGTTCACCTCCAGATTTGTCTCGTTTGGTCGTCTGAAAGCAAGAGCCCAAGTCTCCCCCGCTTGGTTGTGCTCCTCAGGTGTTTCCATTTTTGAATCTGCCTCGCTTGAGTTTCTGAGTACAAGAGCACATGACTCTTCAGCTTGGCTGCATTCTTCGTCACTATGAGGTGCTATATTTTCTTCGTTTGGCTGTTTGAGTCCGAGAGCTTTAGACCTCGCGTCATTGTCGAATTTCTCGTCATTGTTGACCTCCAAATTTGACTCGTTTGGATCTCTGCGTGCGAGAACCCAGGACTCCTTTGCTTGGATGTTTGTTTCTTCGTAACCCTGATCTTTGGACTGTAGCTGGTATTTGTCAGCTACTTCGAGGGCTTGGTCCAAAAATCTGCCAACCGCCATAGATTGAGGTGCTATTTGTGGCTCTGGCCTTTTAGAGATGGTGGTGGTAAAGCCTCCATCGTAGGATATGCAAAGTCCGTTGTCAGTAACGGGAGAAGATGAGCGAGGTATGTATATTTGCTCAACACCAGTTGCTGACTTTTCGGCACAACGGACATCCGATACATTATCTGATGTATCGTCGCTATGAGTATGCCGGCGCCATTCACTCATCGAAAACCGAGTCATCCTCTCATAGATAGCTCTCCCCTGTGGCGTTAGCTCATATTTTGGTTGAGTCAGAGCATATGCGGGCAGTCGGAGCCACGATTCTGCACCTTTGACTTTGGTAAGTGCCTGGTCTTCGGATGTAAGAAACCACTCTTTGTGTGTGCGTCTCCTGTTTCCGGGGCAAAGTCGACAGTTGTGAACATGAAAATTCTCAGCGGCCAACGCGGTATGAACAATCTTTTCGGCTTGTCGAGCTCCCACAAATGGTTTACTTTCATAGATGACCGTTGTATCGACGCCATAACAGTTACCCTTCTGCTTTTTCCTCTCTTCTGCGGACTTCGTGGAGAATCCGATCTTGAATATACCAGGTAAAATGTTATGTTTATATATGTATACAATCCCCTGTTGAGCCATGCTAGCATTGGGTAGGGGATTTTCCATTGTTTCGAATATCTTGGCATTGTCCTTTTTTTTCCTTACATTTGGAAATGACACTGCGCCAAGAGGCTTCAACCAGTCTACCAGCTTTTGGATTTCAAAAGGGTCGTTGATTATACGGCGCGTGGTGTTTGGTGCATCAACCTCAATGGCCAGATTCTTCATCTCTTTTTCAATGCCGAAGTCTGATGCTGATTTGTCTCCTGAAACGTCAGACATAGGGCTGGTGGGCGTCGGAGATGTCATAATGCTAGTTTCGCTCCAAGTCCCCAGCGAATCACTAGAGGTCGTTGCCGAGGACGTCGCCGAGGGCCTCACTGATGGCCTCACCGTGGATACCCCCTTTACCAAATTGGGAGCAGTTGCAATGTATTGGGCCTTCCATCTCGTGAAAGCCTTGTTTGCTTTTTGACGGTGACTAGAGCAGTGCGTAAGAGTGATATAACTTTCTATCTTATCATAAAATTTATCAGTATGCCCGCACTCTGTCATATGTCGGAACTCGAACAAAAGAACGTCAAGTTCGTCTCGCTTTGCAATGCTGCAAGCTGGCTTGCTGCACGGCTCCGTTGAATTTTGGACATATGACCGACATTGACCATAGTCGCTTAACTTTAGGCCCGGAGGAAGGCCTATATCTTTCTGGATTTTGGCAAGTTCCCTGAAAACTGGTGGATCGGCCATCGTGGCCATTGTGAAGCAAATCTGCCGTCGAATTTCTTGCTACCCGTGATCTTGTATCCGTAGAGAATTAAAGAGTCTATCGCACTTGACATGAAAGAAAGACGTCGAGGCTATGCCAGTATATTTATATATGCTGTTGGTTGTTAGCGTAACGCGCCCCATATTATTGTGTCCATGTGCTCTACAGCGGAGGATTTCTACGTCTTTGGCGATCGGCTACCTCGACATATTATACATGGGGCTTTCTAAGGCTAATCGAATTAGGAAGCTCAGTTCAAAGAACCATATGTGAGGTAAATCATTGCTATAATTACACAGGGCGGCAACTCCGTCCTGTCTGCCATGGCTAATCCATATTTGGATCACCGCAGCCTACTCATAAATCCAGGTTGGGGACTAACTGGAATAATGTGATCAGTTACTTTTAAGTTATGTTTCAGCCATGGTCCATTAATTGCTATATGATACCCCGGTAGTTTCTATGCCGCTTGTACAAGTTGATTGATATCGGCCAACTTCATGAGCAGAACAGGTTTGTTCAATTCGGCCAACTGATGACAAGATGTTCCATAGCAGATATCCTATGGATTAAATGCACTATAGCTATAAACAACCATGCAATATAAGAAACTACTACGTTTGTTAATATAGAGCTTCAAAAGTTCCCCGGCTCCAACATCTGGCAGAGTCCAAGCCAAGGCTAGACAAAGTACCATTGCACAATCTAGTAACACGACAGCTTCCAGTTATACCTCGCCTTCGCCAGTCTATGAAGAATAGATATCTACAGTACTCTCCTATAAGCAAGAAGTATTATCAGCACTTGAGGGTAATAGACAGCAAATGTTCTTAGCCTATTAAGGGGGTTTCGAGATCCAGGGACATTGTCCCATCTGAGTGGTAACTGCTCACTATTATGCACTGCAGCACGTAGGCAAGAAACGGCACAGAATACTACAATAGCTGGGTTCTGTTTAATTAAAAGGCTCCTATTATGGAGCGAAGACGGTAAAGGATCACATGAAGATTACTCTGGATTCTTCAATATAGAAGCTTCATGACGAAAAGACTTGCAGCATTCCCCCAGCACAGCCACACTGTGACAGGGGCCGACCAACAACATACATGTAGTCTCCCCCGCAGACACTAACTCGCAATCGCATAGAAGCTGGATGCCTGCGACATCACTTCTAAGCGACTAGAAACCTCTTCCCCGGGTCGATGTTCTACATGGGTCTCTTGTTCCCGCTCGACGGTCTGTTACCCAGCGGCCGGTCTTGTTTAGCGCCGGGCCGCTCAAAAGTGGCCTGAAACTAGTAACACAACGTGGGAGTGGACATGTTTTAGTAGCTGCGGGTAGAGCTGGTCGGTCCCGAGGTGTTGAAAATAGCGTCTGATAACGCCCGGTCTCTTTAAGATGCCCGGACAAATGGAGGTTGCGGAAAAGCCGCCCTGGTTATACTACTACACTTCTGAGACGAGGCTGACATGCAGTAGCGTGCTGCATTTTGCGTGGACGAAGGACCAACAACGTCTCAATAACCCCTGGGAAACCAGCTTCTGTAACAGAACATGGTCGTCGTTGTTGGTCGGCGTTGTGGCTTTCGAGGGCAGTATTGCGCCATCCTGGGAGCTGAATGCAAGTGGCGCCATCTCTGAGCCGCAAGCTACGGGAGCTCTTGGGTTCGCCAGAAGCAGTCTAAGATAAGAGATTCGGCACAGCCCTTTGAGATTTGGAGTTTTGCGAAACATTGGCGTTGGTTTAAGGCTTGAAACAATGCAATAGAATGGTATGTTAGTGGGTAACAGCGCTGAGCCGTACAGTATCCGAGTATGCGTGCTCCTAGCAAATGAAGCAATAGTGCGAGATCTGGGCTTTTGTTAACAGACGTCCCAAACACCATGTCCATGATCGACGCTAAACGAAGGGAACAACGGGGATAAGAGTTAGATCGCTTATGGCAGTATCCATGGTTCGGCCGACCTCCGCACCAGCTGAAAGAGGGCTGAGCTGCTTCTGGAAAAGATGACCCCAGGCACGAACTGGAGACACTGGTTTTGCAGCAGTATTGCTACAGGGGCGTCGGAATAGCTGTCTGAGAGGCAACCGGACTTGGATTCTTCCTCCAGCACTGAGATTGGAGATTGGGGGCCGTAACTTGCAATACGGGACCTCCGCATCGCTCGACAGGATCTATTCCGCTTTCAGCTCTTGGAAATAAGGAGCTGCAGAAAACAGCCTATCGAGCACAATTCTGCCCATGCAGGACAGGGCTCGTGATCCTGCTGCAGAACACCACAACCAACATGCATATTCGCTGTTTCGCTACGCGCCCCTCTGGCTTCACAGCCTCACCCTCCCTCCCATGCATAGTTCATGGCCTTTGCTCTTGTCCTTGTCTCTGTCTATATCTACTATCTGCAGCGGGAAATGAGTCCGAGTGACCAAGAAGAAGATTGCCAGGAAAACAGCAGAGTCGCAATCAATTAATTAAAAAAAAAAAAAAAAAACCCCCTCGGTTCAGAATGGCTTTCGGAAGCGAGCCCCAGAATCCCGTGTTCAAAGTATTGGCTGATATCCAGCGATACACCGACGTGTGCCCCAATCCAGAAGAGTCGGACTTTTCCACATGCCGAGCCATGAGGAAAGATGGAGGCCGTTGCCGGAATCCTCCCTGCACGCAATATGAGCGACATCACAGTCACGACTTGATGTTTGAGTTCCGGGGCATGACAGAGTGCCCTGACACGGACAGCTTCTATAATAAACTGGAGACCTTCATCACCTATTCGCATTGCAAGAGATGGCATCGCTGGCCGGCTCTGGCAGCTTTCGAGCGTTGGAAAAAGGAGCGGATCGCAGCCAGATCCAATGCTCGACAACGGTTCACGCCCGCTCGAGCTGTGGTACCACCAGCCCGCCCCTCAACTCCTCCACCGGCTATACAACCAACAACTACGACAGTTATACAGCCTCTCACAGCGGCAGCCCTCCAGCAACTGCCGACTATTCCTACAACATTTGTTCCTTCGGCAGCCAGCGCAACATCCGACGGTGGCGATTCTTTCGACAACAGCATTCTGGAGACTCGCTCTGTCGCCAGTAATGGATCGACGTTCCTAAGCTCCCTTCCCAATACTCCTCCACGCAATGGACTTGTTTCAGGCATGGAGATCGATGATATCGCGGAAGAAGATGGAGCTGACTGGACCGCTGATAATGTCGCAAGGGTTAGAGCCAATGCAGACAATTCGCCTTCACCAAGCAACAAGTCTATTGCAGACGTGGAAATGGATACCATTGAAGAAATCACTACACAAGAAGATGCAACCGACAGCATATCTGCCAGTGTTGAAAAATTGACCGCTATCGTCACAAGCTTGGCTGCCTTCCTTAAGAAGAAAGACATTGCCATCGAAAAAACGTTGGCCGCTTTCCTTGAGAATGCAGAGAAAGAAGTCGCATCCAAAGGCAAAGGAGTTGATAGAGACGATGTTGTTGAAGAAGCTGATATTAAAAAAGAAGTTGTCATTAGCAATGAGGCTGCTTCTGTGGATATCAAGAAAGAAACTATTACAAATCAGAAAGTCGAGGAAGAAGATGACCTTGAAGAAGCTCCTGAGAAAGAGGCCGTGAAATACAACATCACGAGAAAAGCCGTTCCCAAAGCGGATTCTGCCGGGCAGATGCCAGATTTGACTTTAACCTCGGGAGTCAATGATACAGCGGTAACGGAAAAGAATGATTCAGCCAGAGAAACCGCTGTTGATGAGCTTGGCATCATTAGACTACAGCGCAATGGCTCGCTAAGAGATCACTCGCGGGTATTCCAAGTCATCAGCAGTCATCCAACCGCCAATGAGATGAGTGAAGGTGTTGTGTACATCTTTGAAGATAACGACAACCCTTCTCTATTCAAAATTGGATGGTCAAGCGAAAGCGCAGAAGAGACGCTAAAACAACCTAACAACTGTTATGGAGTCAACACAAGAGTCGTTTACGAGACTCAAAGGTTCGCCGGTGCTCCCCACGCTGAAAAGCTTGCTCGAGTTATTCTTCAGCATGCCAATATTCGCGTTTTGTCATGCGAGAAGTGCAAGGGAGGGCATACAGAATGGTTTTCTGCCCAAGCAGAAACTATACGTCAAACAGTCATTCAGGTTGAACATTTTGTCCAGATGCCCGCATATACTCTACAAGATGGAGAATACAAACTATCACCAGAGGCATACAGCCGCGTGGTGAAACAGATGTGCGACTTTTCCATAGACAAGATGGGCGAGCTCATGCACAAGAACCCTGAAGGCAACAAAGCAACCAAGTCGACTCTTGTGTTATGTGAATCTATATCCGTGGCTCCGCTCACACCACCCGATACACCTCGTCCTAGTACCAAAGACATATTTTTCGAGACTCAGGATGCCAATGGGAGCCTTGTCTCATTATCAACGCAGACAAGCGGAAAGACTCGACTGTCGACAGGAACAAAAGTCGCAAGAAAGCTGAAACATTTCGTAACGGCCAAAAACACAGTCAAAGAGTACTTGACCCGATCTCGAGGATCAACGCCCGAGGTGGAGAGCAGTGAGAAGCGCGCATTTGGTGCAGTCTTTGTAGATTTGAAAGGCAAGGCGCGCGGACTTGGTACAAAAGCGCGAGAAGATGTGCGGGGATTTCGCAGGGACTTCAAGGAAGAACTGCGCCGCAACGGCGATGAGGCTGAATAAAGTTCACAAAGCAGATTGGGTTGGACAACGGGAGTGGAAGACAAATTGTCGTATTCTAAAACATGGCGGTTCGGCGTTGATACCCTGTAAATTTACATGTACACAACTTTTCTTAGTCGCAGCTCAGCCATACGAGGCTCTTCATACACTCTTTCGTCAATTGAACATATTTCACAGCACGTATATCAACGTTATCATATGCCTTTACTAAGGCATCATCAACAGAAAACCCAGAAACAAGGCAGCCTTCGGGCTTCTTCGATTAGGCTGACACGGCTCCATCACCACATTTGCCTTACAAGCATGTGGCTTATTAGATGCCACATCATGGGTGTAAATTCAGCCCCTTGCGATAAAAGGCGTCCTCACCTCGGCCGTCATGTTCATCCAATGAGAACCCGACACGCGTAAACTCAGCCTTGCGAAATATGCAGGCGCAGTCTCATGTGGATGCACAACTGACGCCCTATCCAATATATATTGAGTACAAGGCGGCTGAAGACGCCTTTTTGGTCGCCAAAATGGCCTCGGGCGCAAAGCATACCCGATTCTATGCACATGCGTGATTGCCCAATGATGGTGTATCCTTAGGCGCTTGTATGCATGAAAGCATCCATGTAAATGTGCCTGAAGCATGAGGCTTATAGCTTACAGCTAGATGGCAAACTCTTATAAATACCTCTACTGGCGCCAGTGTTGCATTTAACTTTCCATGCTCCTATAGAAGAGAAAGATATAAAAGAAGAGAGAAAGCATGTACAAGAAAATTTTTACGTCGAAGAATTCCAAATCCAGAGCAGTGAGCCAGTTGATGTCCATTACGAAGCTATAAATGCAGCATGCTAAGATCACTTACAGGGCTCTCGTGTCGAGACAATAACTATGAGCAAAAGCAGAACCCACGGATTAGTTGATCAGGCGCTCGAGAAAATTAATAAGATACAGAACATCGGACAAGATGTCAAGGAAAACAAAGATCTGGATGGAGTCAAGACGCAGCTCTCAACAGCTGAAAGCTATCTCAACGCGATTAAGCATATCGGCGGGTTGCAAGCCCATGATTTCAGCGCAGAGGTTGGAGCTACTATTGCCGTCCTTCAAGACTGTGAATCGCTTTTCGAGAAGCTTCCTGGCAGTTCAATGAAACAAACACAGATTACCCTCGAGCAGATTCGATACGAAAAGCAGCTGGAGCCCATGCAAGGCCAGCTCGATAAAGCGCTGCAGCAGATATCCTTACGGGTGCTAGAGACCCCGGTGGGCCTTCAAGGAGGCCATTTCGTTGACCTCAGTGTTCTTAACGAGACCAATGCAATGGTGGGGACAATCTTCAAGAAAAGTCTGGTGCTCGTGGACTTCTTAAAGAAGGAGGGTAAGATTGGTGGAAAAAGTAAGTCATTCAACATTGCTGCTCATGAAGTTGGAAGCCTGACATATTTTCACTAGATGTAAATGGAACCATTGCACTTGAACCAGCCAAGTTCGAAGCTTTCAAACTCTCTGCTTCACAGCAATCGGCATCACAGCAATCGGCATCACAGACGCCCGGCAGTGAGAACGTCACAGGAGAGTACACGAGAGCCATCATCCAGGATAATACTGCCGGAGATAATATGAGAACTTTCTTTGGCAATATTGGGTATGAGCCTGGCTACACAGCTGCATATACGGGCACTTCAAAGTTCGTCAGTAATAAGATGGGTAAAGACGCAGCTTTGTTCACTGGGGATATTGGAGGTCAGGCCGCTGTGGAAATGATGAAAGACATGTTCAAAAAGTAGTTCTCAGCGAGAATATAGCAAGGCATACGCTGGGGCGTGAAGTCTGATAGTATGGATTAGAAAGCTGCAATGGAAAATCGTGCGTTTCAAGGCTAAAGTAGTCCAGCACCCGTGTCAAGTATCCGTTTACACTAATTAAAACATTTGTTGAATACATAAATTCGCCAAGTCATCCTACTACCCATGTCTGACTCTTTTCTGTTTTCGGGTATCTATGTAAAAGAGCCTTCGCAGCAGCCGCCGCCGTCGCAGCCGCAAAGTCTTGCCACGTCTTATTCTTGTGAGAATCTGCGTAGTCACAGACGCCCTTAACAATGACACAAGGGATCTCTCCCCAGATGCCTGCTGCTTCCATCTCAAATGCAATAACGCCTTCATTTTGCGCAATCTCATCGCGGTCTCTTCCCGATTTCAAGACTGTATCGCCCGAAGCCACGGCGCCGAGATGGATCGATGGTGCTTGAGCATCCTCGGAACTGTTTCGTTCAAGCTCTTGCTTCTCTTGAAGCCGCTCTCTCTCAACAAAGTAATGCTCTTCACATCCCAACTCCTCGCAAGTGGCATTCAGAGCGTCCTCGCAAACGTCGCCAGAACTGTCGTCACAAATGTTGCAGCAGTGGCCATGAAAGCCGCGATGCATGTGGCGATAATCTGATCTGAATAATCTGTCTTTGGCTGTCCCGGGATATCGATACTTGTTGAGCAACCTGTTTTTCCTACCTGTTCGTTTATTCTGTAGCTGCATAAGGAATTGAGCTGTCTGGCTCTGAAGTAAGCTTAGGCCTCGGTCGGTCTCAAAGTTTTTAAGCAGGCTCTGAATATTCTTTGTCGCTTTGCCCAAGTTGTCTTCAAAGGTATTTTTGCGAATAAACTTTTCAGGATATTTCCTGCCAAAGTCATATTGGACAACGGCCCTGCTTATCACAACATCACCTAGGAGTATCTCGTCCTCTTCATATCCTCCAACTCGAGGCACGCCTCCGCAGACGCCTACAAGGAGCGCCAACTCCACGTGCGTGTAGCTCGACCTAAAACTAGCGGCGGCGGCAGCAGCATTGGATTTTCCAATGTGTGGAAGAAGAGCTAGGACAACATTGTGCTTGCCAATGCGACCAGTGGTATAAGTATTGAGATCTCCTTCTGCTCTCCCATATTGGTCTCCTTCTTCGTCCCAAAATTCATCAAATATTTGACAAACAGCGTTGTATTCTGTGACAATGGCGCATATAACGGCTACATTGAAGTCTTCACGTCTTGGCGGAGCTGTAGTTGCTGCGCTTGTGGTTGTAGTCATTGAACGCAAACTTAGTCCCAAGTTAGTATTTTTTTTATCATTTGTTAATAAGATATGAATTTTAGGAGAGTTCATGTTCAAAATGGAGAATACTCACGAGTTTTGTGAAGGTCTTTCTACGCCATCGTGGCCAAAGACGCCGTTTGCGCCAATATGGGTCATTCGAGAAGCAATCATCCCTCTCTGAGATGGTAAGATAGCGAGAGCACTTTTAGTAAATCTTTCGTTCTGGAGACCTTTGAACTGTCTATTCGTCGATTCCAAAGGCTCATCTGTATGCAATCTCTTCAGATTGGGGCGCTCAGAAAAGGATCCTCGCCGCTTCCGCTTAAGTCCATCGGGGTTCAGCTCTTTCTCGAGGTTTCGGACGATCTGCTCGTAAATGACCTCTCTCATGGCAGCGCCGGATGAATTGACATTTTGTAAGTTGTCGTCTTTTTGTAAATGCATATGAAGGTATAGACACCCCTGCACAGCTTGGAGGTAGAAACTGTTTCCGTCCTGTCGTGCCTCTTCCACGTAGCTACACATTTGAGCCCAGTTTCCAATGTTCTTGTTAATATTCTGTAAGTCAATGTCAAGAGGTATCTTTTCGCCATTGATAATCTCCAATAATAATTTTGCAAAGGATAATAAGACCGGATTTCCAGGAACAACTCTATGAAGGAAGCTGGGATAATTGAAGCTGGAAGGTTGTGACCCTACCAAAATATGCCAGCGTGGAAGCTCTCCATAAGGCTGAGAAGAGCGCATGAAAAAAATGTTTTCCGCCGACCAGTTACAAGAAGCTCGCTCAAGGCTCCTATCGAAAAATACCATTAAACACCTAGCCAGGGCCAGGGCCAAAGCCGTCTTTTCTCGATGGTCAAACCTTTCTATGACAATGCCTCTGAGATAGGCTCCAGGGCTAATAGGCCGAAATGCGTTTTTATCGAGTAATAAATTGAGCCCTTCTTCTGTATGGTCATACGTTGATATCGGCGGTCCTTCGTCGGTAACATCAAATAGCCCCCGCTGATCAACGAAAAGGCGAAGTTTCGTTCGCTGTTTCCAAGTTTTGTGGATGGCAACGCAAATATCATGCTTGTTTTCTGAGCTGATTGGGTGTCTATATTTTTGTCAAATTAGTACCCAGCTCTAGAACTCAGCATGCGCGGCGACACTCACTGGAATGAGTCGCATACAGCCTCCTGCCAATCACGCTCGGATTGGCAGCAAGATAGTAACATTTCGAGTTTTGGCTGATATGGGCTGGTATGTAGTTCCTCCAAGACCCTCAGCTTCACTTCGTGGCTTATACCACAGTGTGTCTGCTGAAACTCTTTTAAAATGGCGTCCATGACAACGCCCACTGGGTTGTGAACCATGTTGAGCTTTTGTTCTGTTGGCTCTACCACGCTCATTTGCATTGGGGACTGCAATGTAGAAGTTCCAAGCCAGCTTTGTGACTTATCCGATCGGGCTACTACTCGTTGTAGAAACATCTTCCAAGCCATTACCTGGCTCACCATCTGGTCTCCAATGCGGCCGTGAGGTAGTATAAATAGAGATGGCCCTGGATCACCTACTAAGCTAAACTGCTTGTAATCAGATGCATCGAGATAAAGCATCAGTGCCGACAATTTCGGGTATATGCTCATTATCTTCGTAATATCGTGAGAGCCATCGTGAGTAGACGCATTTGGAGAGTAAATTATATCCTCATTTACCATATCATTAAGCGACATCAAAATGTCTTGTGCTCTCTTCTCTAAATCCGCAAAATCTTCACTCAAGAGGTCAATATCCAAAGTAGCCGTCTTGAAGATATCGCGAAGGTCGCAGTCCAGGAGATCCACGTCGTTTTGGTATTTGGTAGGCCGACCCACGTCGGCTACACGCCTCGTAAGTCCCGCAAGTCGGCCTGTCAACCGGACTTTCAATGCCTGAAAGCCAATCCATCCGAGAGATTCGGTAGGCAGCATCGCGTATTTTAAGATGTTGCCGTGCTGTTTAGGCAGATGAGTCCTGTGTGGTTGTGATATCAATGCAACTGCGCCGAGATGCGGCTGAAGGATGAAAGCGGGGGTCTCAAGGCTCACAAACGAGACTGCAGCCGATTTATGTCAGCTATATGCAGCTGCCATAAATGATGCGCGGAAAGTGTACTGAAGCTCCTATGCTTCAATAATGCAATCGTTGTAAAATCGTGGTAAATTGGAAACGAAAATGGCCGACGACAAAGTGATAAGATGCCAGATGTCTATGCAGACACAGCTCAAAGAAGGCATCGAAGAATAGAATCCAGAAGATAGCTAGGTAGCTAGTAAGCCTGCTGAGTGCGTTTCTAGCGTTGGCCAGTGTGGCGATGATACATGTGCCTGGTTGACGAATACAGGGTTAATTCTAATCCCAGATTAGGCCACTTCGCCATTAATCTCATGTGATACAGCCCAGGTGTTGAATGTACCAGAGCGGGGTTAGGCACATCTCGAGCCTCTAAGGATGACTGTATGCAGAGTGCAAGCTGCCAACAGCATGTTTAAACTATTAACTGTATCCTGCAGTGAAACTCCTGGGCCTGCAATCGAAATCAGATCACGATTGTCTCCGCTATTAATCCTAGCAATCTTACATAGCTGCGCCATCTCCGCCAACCGGGATATGCCACTATTAAATGATCAAATACCTTCGAGTTGACATCTTGCTAGCTCGTTTTGTCAAGCTGCACAGAAGCCATGGATGTGGCAGATGTAGAGACGGCGGAGCCGATTTTCGAGCTTGCGACAGAATGTGAAACTCTTTTCTCGGAACACATCTTAAGGCTGAAGAATGAATCAGACTTCAATGGCGCGAAAGTCGTTGGAGAGTATCAGCAACGGTTCTCAGCTTGGGCGGCATTTTTAGGCGTCTTTGCCATGCCAGATATGTGCCTCGACCGCAGACTCCGCAGCCATGTCGAAGTCCAGGATCTGGCTCTTCGCTTGTTGGATATTATGAAAAGAAATCTGGTTCATCGTGCGTCCCCTATCCGTTAAATAGCATCAGATTCGATGCTGACGGCATTTAGTCTTTGAAGAAGATATCGACATCCCCGACTTAGACCAAGACTCTTCACCACAAACCCGCATCAACTTAGAAAGTCTAAGAGGAATTGAAGGAGCGGTTGACCGCCTCAACCATCTCGGGAGGACCATACAGCGATCGTCTGAAGCAGGACAGGCAACAAAGGTTGACAAATTCACGACGACCTTTGATTCCACTTCTTTTGAAGAGATTGCGCGCTTAGCAGTCAAGTCATTCTACCCCGATGCCAGCGCATCCCTTTTGAACCAACTTATTCAAGCAATGACCGACATGTACGAAAAGTTTCATTATCGGCGATCGAGACAAGCGCGACTCCAAGCTCGACCTAAAGCAGCGCTATTCACCATTGGCGAAGATCCGGCTTCCGACTCAACGGTAAATACAGGGAGACCATCCCTTCAGCCAACAGCCCCTCCTATATTAGATGCCAATAAACAATTACCCCGCTTGATCTCAATGACGCATCTAGAAGACAGGTCACAAAAGTCGAGAGAATCCAAGCCAACGTCCTTGGATAGCCGAGAGTTTAGTAGGCTGTTTCCGCGGCATGGGGCCGGATCTGTCGGTAGCAAGACAAGATCTATTCTTGTTAGTCAAGTTGCTTATCCTCAACCATCTGAAGAAAGCTTAGTATGCGAATGGTGCTTCGCAACTCTTTCAAAAGATGAACTCAAAGGAGAAAAGTGGAAGTATGATCCAACTACTCGCTTATTCCAACGCTGTAGATGCTTCTTACTAATTCAATCAATGTGTAGGAAACATTTAAATGAAGACTTCAAGCCCTTCATTTGCATATCTGAGAAGTGTAAAGGGCAATCAAACCGATTTGCAACTTCAAGAGCATGGTTTAGCCATATGCTCGAAACGCATGGCCAAAATTGGCATCGAGAAATACATTTGCCGCTATGGTGGATTTGCCCACTATGCAACAGCAAAGAAACGACATTTTCTAGAGCACAAGATCTCTCAGAACACATATCAAAGCTCCACGATGAAACTTTTACAAAACCTCAAATCCAAGTTATTGTACACCAAAGTCAGCTCCGATCCCCGCGGCCACAGGACATGTGCCCCTTGTGCTGCCTTTCAATGAGAGATGAAGATAGGCAAGAACGCACCTTCAAAGTCGCTCAACCAGACCTTTCATCAAAAGATCAAGTGCCTGAAGGAAGTCACAAACGTGCCAAAACGGAGACTGGCTCAATTCAGCCAGTTCAGCATAGCGTTGTCGGCTCTGAAGGAGAAATGAAAGAGACCACGGGAACTCAATCTGCCCAAAATTTAGAGCGAGTAAACATTGAAGCCATCGCAAGACACGTCGCTGCGCACCTTCAAGGGATTATGCTCTTCACACTACGTATGATGTCTCTAGACGTCCTAAATGCAACCGCAGACGAAAAGTCTTTATCTAGCAGTACTAATCACGACTCATCTCGCGCTGGCTCAGCGCAACAACGTTTTGAAGAAGAGACAGGCGCTATCGTTGACATGTTGGAAGAAGAGGCTGATAGCATGGAGGTTGATGACCCTTTGATAGGGGATACTATTCCTGACTGCGAACATATCGATGATTGGCAAGACGTAATTAACGAGACACAGCAATTTTCAGGGACGGATAGCTTTCTACAAGAGGTTATTCGCTCCGGTGCTTTCCTCAATAAGGAGTAAGTTGCAATCCATGACATTATCATGAATATGTATTAACGTACTTCAAGATCAACAGGTACAGCAAGCTACATACGACTTTAGCACGGCGAAATATTGAGACTAACATTTTTTAGAATCATTTCACATTCCAACAGCAGGCCGTTCACTTCTCCCTCCCCGAAATGAACATTTTGTTTGTCCTGAAGACCTTTTCGGTCGTATCACCAAGCAAGCTTCTGAAACAGCCAGCTGTGTTACACTTACAGGCTTAGGCGGCATTGGTAAATCCCAGCTGGCTCTCGAATTTGCGCATAGAACTGCAGCGGAATGGCCTGAGACCTGGGCATTCTGGGTTTATGCCGAAACTCTAGAAGATGTTGAAGAAGGCTTCAGAAGAATTGCAGAGTATATCAAATTACCCGCGCAGAACCTGCCATGGGGCGACTTGTATCAGCTCGTTTGCGACTGGCTTTATGATGAACAGAATGGCCCATGGATTCTAATCCTCGACGGCGCCGATGATCCGAGTGTATTGTACAAGATTTCAGAGATTACGAACGTGCTGAAATTTAAAAGGCGGCCACTTACAAGTTTATATTTACTAAAATCACTGAGGCCGAATAGCTCAATAATCGTCACGACACGCAACAAAGATTTGGCTATTGCCATAAACCGAGATCAAAAGAACATCATTGAAGTTGGACCAATGCCAGTAGTAGAAGCTACCAGTCTCTTCAGAAAGATAGCAGGGCCGAAATTTCGACCTGCTTTGGATATGAATGCGGCGATTCGCCTTGTAAAAGGACTCGGTCTCATTCCTCTTGCTATCACCCAAGCGGCTCTTTATATAGACAAGTATTTGCCAAAAAGTATTACTCTTGTCAAATATTTGGAAGAACTTGAAGAGAACACTATGGAAAAGTTCCGGCTTCTTCAATTCGACGCCAATAGCATTGGAGTTGGACGCAATTCAACGAGTATCCTCGACACACTGCAGACATCCTTTGACTTTGTCCGATCCCAAAGGCCCTCTGCAGCAAATCTTCTGTCGCTCATGAGCTTTTTTGATCGACGAGGTATTCCCAAGTGGCTCCTTGTATCTGATATACGAGGCAGTAATACACCGCGAGCAAACAGCCCAAGTATAATGGGACGATTGGAGTTGGATGATAATGACGGCGACACAAACAATGACTCAACCGATACATTTGATGGCGACATAGACATACTCATGAACCATTACCTTATTGGGGCGAATAGAACAAGAGATATATTCGAGATGCACGGACTCGTACAACTCGCAGCTCAGAAGAGTCTAAGCGATGCTGAGGAACGCGCATACTGCGATCAGTTCATTCATCGGTTAGCGGCAGAATTCCCAAGCAGCCCACTTGGTAATTGGTCCACCTGCCAAGAGCTTTTTGCTCACGTCCAAACAGCAGCCCAATATCCCCCTAGTGTTGATGCTTCAGAAGACTGGGCGACTCTTCTATATAATGGAGGGCGCTATGCGCGGCTGCTAGGAGACTATGAAACCGCAAAACAGATGAGCGATAGAGTATCAAACGTCAGACAGGTGATGGAGAAGGAAGGTGGACAAAGAGGAGGAGACATGAGAAGATTGGAAAATTCATCATTGACCGCGCTAATACTGATGGATCAGGGAGTATATGACGAGGCCGAAAGACTATTCGCCCAAGTAACAGATGCATTCAAGATAATGGAAGCGAAAGTGGAAAGAGCTCGCTCCAACACACTAACCAGTATGAATAACTTGGCGTCGCTATATAGAATCCAGGGGCGATGGAAAACAGCAGAAAAACTTCTCACCGAAGTCAGATATCAAAGAGCAGAAATCAACAAGGTTGGCCCCAGTGCTCTAGCGACTCTGGCCAATCTAGCATCCACATATAGGGCGCAAGGGCGATACGTTGAAGCTACAGCGCTTCAAGAAGTGGTACTAGAGAGCTGCAAAATAGAGCTTGGAGAAGGCCATCCACAAACGTTGACAAACATGAGTAACCTGGCGTCAATGTATAGGATCCGGGGCGCGCTGCAGAAAGCTGAAGAGCTTCAGGTCAAGGCAATGAATGTCCGCGACATCAAATTTGGGAGGGAACATCCGGACACACTAACAAGTATGAACGGCCTTGCATCAATATTCAGAGCCCAAAATCGACTGTGGGAGGCCGAAGAGCTGCAGGTGCAGGTAGTGGAACTTCGAGGGACGAAGTTGGGTCCGAACCATCCCAATACCCTGGCTAGCATGAACAACTTGGCCCTGATATTTTACGAACAAGGGAAAGGTGAAAAGGCTGTAGAGTTGCAAACATTGGTGGTGGATATGTGCAAAGTCAAGTTTGGGGACAGCCACCCTCACACTCTGACCAGCATTAATAACCTTGCTCTTATTCAGAAAAGCCAAGGCCAACACGAAAAGGCCATGGGGTTGATGAAGTTGTGTTCCGATGATCGCCAAAACATTCTTGGGCAAGAGCATCCTTATACTATTTCGTCCATGGCGGCGGTAAGGCGGTGGAGCGAATAGATTATTTGTGTCTCTTAAAAACTTCATCTTGGATGCTAGTTCATACTTCCGTTTTGGTTCTGTACTTCAAATAAGTTAAAGAAGTGTATATAACTGACAGATATCTTGTGGCGAGTAGAGTGTTAAGAGTACTACACTAACTCGCCTTTAGCGATTGGCGAGCAACAGCAGTCGACAATGCATATGTACTGACCGGACCGTTTACAGCAATCGTCTCCCGTGCATTGCAAAGCCGGATGCGCCAAAGCTTGCAGTGTCAGGCTATAAATTACAAGCTATGACATGTCTTGAAATTGCGGACAATTGGGAGTTTATAATTAAGCAGTAAGCATACTACTAGTCTAACTGTAAAGCACAAAATGTCTCCCTGTCGAAATCCCCGTCAAGACCCAGCCGATACTTGTGTGGCGATAACCTGCTGCTTATTCTTTGTGGATATTACTTGACAGGTGATTACCAGTTGTTAGGCATATTTCCCAATAAGACAACTACAAGTCTCAAGCATCGAGCTCCTTAAAAACTAGGCGCCCCGCAGGTAGGAAGGTAAGAGCAATCAGGCCGCCTCCGCGCGCCGAGGGAGCATGATGAGATCCAGGCTCCGGTGACGTCCATCCCGCGCCCTGCCAGCCCTGACTCGACCTCATCTCTGCAGAAGGATCGAGCGGAATGACGCAGTTGAGTTCACCGTACGGGTGAACATGCGCAATGTGCTCGTACCCGTTGTTCTCCAGGTAAACTGTTAGGATGCTGAAGAACTTGGAGTCTTCAGAGGGGAGTGAAATATCGCAAAGTCGGAAATCAGCGCCATCGATTGCTTCTTTTGAGACCCAGCCCTCATTGTTAGCCAAGCCTTGTCGGATTAAGCTGCTAAAGTCCTCGTAGTAGGGGGTTCCAGGTCCAAACTCGCTGTTTAGTCTAGCTTCGAGCTCGTCACCAGGAGTTCTGTTGGAGGTCGAGTTGTAAGCAAACTTATTACGCTCTAGCTTTGTGGAGATATGAAAGCAGATGAAATAAGCAAGGATAGGAGAAATTACACTTACTGGTTTTCAATCTCGGCAATGAACTCTCGAGCTCGGTCGATGAGCTTCTGGTGATTTGGGTGAAGAGCAGAGGGACTCATGTTGAATGAAACGAAGAGTTTGTGCAATTGCAAAAAGACGTTTAGGATTCCTTAACAAGTTAGGGACTAGTTATACAATACGTAAATGACTTTGTACTCTAAATAATTATTGTTTAGAGTTGAGATGGTACGAGAGGCTTAAGAAACCGATTGGCGAGAAGTAGTGGCTCCTTATATATAAAGGGTCAAGCTCCAGTCGATAAGGACGTAATTGTAATTCCAAGTAGCAGCGCTAATGACTAGCGGGCTGACCTACAGATACTGCCTGTAGATCGTCCAGGATTCCTTGCGGAGAACTACCAGAATTTCCAGGATTCCTTGCGGACAACTACTAGAATTGGACAGTGTATTCTAGATTATGCTGATTAGCTAACTAAATTTGGCCAGCAGATATAACAGTTTACATCCAATCACACCGCCAGTATAAGGTATTACAAGAATTTGAAGCATAATCTATAATGTCAAAGGTCGAAGGATTCCTTATCTCCGCCTAAATATTAGGCTGTGGAATTTAATAAAGCCTTGCCTTTTTATAATAACCAGATAAGAGACCACGTACAATACCTAACCAGTCAACCATTTAACACTTATAAATGCCTATAACTTAACAAGAATGGATTATAAGCTATTACTGCTTAGTATTTTAAAACTCTTAAATATTACATAGATTCATAAGTCCTAGTGTTAACAAATGTATAGAAAGGGTACTTTACACACCTTGCCAGGTATTAGCTTTGTATATATAAGTATAAGGAGTGTGGCCGGGTGGTCCAGCCATTAAGAGCATTGTACCATGGAGTTGTCGACCATGAGCTCTGCTGCATATCTAATTCTAGTGTAGATTCGATCTCCACATGCAAGCCACATCTTGTCGATCTACGCAATACGACACTGGCTGCTCCAAGTTCCCCATACAGCAGAAATTCAACGTTCCGGAGCACAAAGTCTTTGATGTACCTAAACATAGTTACAGAACAACATGAACAATCCTACTTGAACCAGTTTAGATAAGAATATCGAAGTAATAAAATATAATACACTCAACCATAGTATAATATTACTCGAGTCTAAATTAGCTATTGTAGCTATTTATTTCCATATTGCCTATACTAAAACCTTTCTTATACTTTATATATATAAAAGCGTCTTAACATTATACCTTGGACTTTTACACAAAGTATGAATCATCAATAATCCCACCGCAACTCTCGCTAAAATATCCCTATTATAGTTGGATATAATACTTTACTAAGCACAAGGCTTTCCTAATTGAGGTAGCTGCAGTCTTATATATTCGACCCTAGCAACACAAACTCCACATCTGACATACACAAAACTCAACCAACTACCAGAACCTCGCAAAGTGTGGCTAAAAAACATCAAACTTTCATCCGAACCTGATTCTTCAAAATCCTTCCGACTATCGGATATGCAAATCGGCCAACTACCCAGGCCCCTCTTTTATTTTTCTCTCAGAAAGTCTAGGCAACTCATCTCACATACCAAAAAATAAAAAATATAAAAAAATAAAAAAAGGCTGAGCTGATATGAAATGAAGCATGGGTAGAAGATATAAAAGTGAAATTGTCAAAAGAACCTCTCCCAAAAAAGAATGCTTCGTTGCCAAAGCCACCTCCTTTCCCCCCGTCCCCCCAGCGCCAACAAAGCAAAATGTCCCTCCTTTCACGCCTTAGAAAAAGAGCAAGAAAAAAAAAGTTAAATGTCTCTCGCCGTTACACAAGGCGTGTATGTATGTATGACGTGTGTTCGTGTGTTCGTGTGTTTGTATGCGTGTGTTCATCATCCTTCTCCGGTTCGTCGGTATTGCATCCTGTCAAATCCTTCGATTCCCAGATCCTTCAAGCCCTATCTCACATACTTTGGAGCGGTTAACCCTTTCCCCTCACTAATTCTTGTAAAAAAACCTTTTCCAAAGATTTATCCGCCGGTTTCTTGCCGTCGCACCCGCAGAGGTGCCGGGATCAAATCCTGCGGAGGTTCCATAGGCTCACTGATGCTCCTCTGCCTCTCCGTCCTATCATCCCTGTCATCGCCAGAGCTAGCGCTGTCATCTGCATCCACCGGGCTGCTCTCGTCTTCCTCGCTGCTATCGCTTTCATCCTCATCGAAAACGATTTGTCGCATCACAGCCTTTTCGAAAAGATCAATAACCATCCTCCGGACACCAAGTCGATAGTGATTCCACTCCATAAGACCCATGACCGTTTTGAAGAACTCGGCACTTCGGAAAGCTATCGGTTTGCGCGCTTTGATCTTCTGCAATTCAGTGACGGCTTTTCGATACAGCACAGTATTGCCGAGATCAACTATAAGCTCAAGGATCCGCTCGCTTATAGCCGTGTCATTGATCAGAGGAGGCATTTCGGATAATTCTAGCGGTGGGCGGGCGGGCCTAGGAGGCGGCTGCTCCCGGATAGTGCATTGTGACTCTGGTAACGTAATCGAAGCAGCCGTTTCGTGATGCCAAGGTGATAGTGAAAATAGCTTGGACAAATCAGAAGGAATGCAGAAGCCGAGAGAACTGCCCATCAATGTCGTATTGGCATCCCAGCCATGCTCAGATAAGATTTCAAGTCCATGAGTTGAACGGGAAATCAGGCCCAAAACGAAAAATGCTGTCCCCCGCAGACTCATCACTTCGTGGGTGGTTGCAATCTTTATAATCTGCTCCACCATGTCGGTGGATTCCAAGAAAGGCGCGCCTAGTTCCATAGATCCTACATTCCCCACGGCCCAAAGGCATCCCTTGACCTTTGTGATGAGCTCAGGGTCCTCAGACTGCATACCATGATCGCGAATTGTGGTAGCGAATTCCTCAAAGTGGCCCTTGTCACTGAGCAGCTTGCATCCCTCTTGGGTTCTTGTTAGCTCTCTGTAGAAGTGGGGTGGTATATGGCTGTCGTGATAGTCGGTTTCGGCTTCGTGCTCATCAAACATGCTAAGTCGATGGTTCTGTTCGTCCGTTTCCGAGAGAAAGGCCTTTGCCAAGCTAGCTTCAATGAGGCCAACGTAGGAATCATTCCTTCCCAAGAACCAGTCATCCATCTCATTACTGATGTAATCCAGACCATCCAAATAGTGGTAGCCAATAGACGTCGACAGGAATCGAAGCAACAGTGGAGCTCCAATTTCGCCAAGATGGTCCAAAGCCGGGCGACACTCCACAATGTATGCCAGATACGCTTTTCTGTTGCAGGCCTTTTCCAGTATCTTGACTGCGGTTGAGCACACCTCAATCTCTGGATCATACAGTTGCGTGACCAAAAGTTGAATAGCCCACTTCGAGTCGCTGACTTCGCCATGGCCGTTGATAGAAGGCAGCCTTCGCAGAGTGCATTTCCGAAGCGTATTCGTTGCATGTATCCGAATCTCTTTCGTCCCCGCTGTCAGTGCTTTCGAGAGTAAAATGCGATGATGGCCCTGGCGACTGTAATCAAAACTTGAAAGAAGGAGCTTGACAAGATCGGGTCTCGTTGTCAATTCGTAGATGTGATACATCATGTTGAACATCTTCCATCTCTCTAGCATAGCCAATCCTTTCAAATCACCCGTAAGCACTCCAAGCATGGGGAAATAGCCGGCACACAGGGTGTCCGTTAGCCTGTCCTTGGAGAACATGGGATACTGTGCGGTAAGTCCACTTGTCTGTCACTGAATGTTAGCTTACAAGGTTTTCCTAGACGCCGAAAAGCAATTTCTGTCTTACCGGATCGCACTGGGCCAAGCATTCCGCAATTTGTCTCAATAACTTGCTATCAGCTAAGAATCGCACCCCTTCGGGCGACTGAAGCAAGGAATGCATAAGTGCGCACCCAGCCCTGACGTATTTTTGGGTGTTTCGGGTATTTCGGACTTCCGCAAACTTGTATTTGAACGGCCGATAAAAACTCATGATTCTCTTCATAAATTTGGAGGCCTTGATGGCTTCCTCGAGCCGCTTGCCGACCTGAAGTGGGCCGTCAATCACCTTTATGATATTCTCCCAATTCCATTTGGAATAGTTGGAATGGTTGAGGACGCCCGTGTCGATGAGGAGCTGGCGAAAGGTAGCATCGTCAAAGGCCACTGCAGATCCTGCCTTGCGTTGGCCATCCAGTAGGGCCAGGTCGTTCATGCTATCGCTCGAGGGTAATAGACCGGCTAGGGAGTCTGCGGGTGCACTTCGGTATAGTGTGCGGTTGATGCTGCTCATCTGGTACACAATGCTTGATGCAATGTAGGATTGGTCATCGCTGAATTTCGCTGCTGCCGAAAACAACTCTGGCAAAAGCTGTATTTCTGCACTCCATGATGGAGGGAGCAGCCTAGCTGCCAGCTTGAGCGCCTCCCCAATCAATAGCGTTGTCTTGCGCTTAAGCATAGTATCGTTCTCAGAACGTGCAACTTGTAAAAGGGTTTGGATAAGTCCTGACTTGATGAAAACTGCCAGAATCAGCGCCGTATAGTGGTCCACAAAGTTCTGTTCGCCCATATCTTCTTCTAGATACCCTCGATCTTTCGCTTCAGTCTTCAAGCTGAGGTTGTTCACCCTTCCATAAGTAGTTAACCTCCGGCCTGCCAAGAAAGACACTGCCCAGGCGGGTGGTTTAATGCGAAGCAATGAAAAAAGCAAGTCCAAAATGGTTTCTCGTACGACAGGGCTCGGGAGTAGTATGCTCATAATGAGCGACCTGACGGACCGGAAATCGTACATGCAGAGCGTCATGAGGCCAGACCAAGACCGCATAGCGACAGATATGGCCTTGCAGTTTTGTTTCAGTACGGCTTCGTTTCCTGTCAGTTGGCTTGTGAAGACATTAAAAACCACATCCAAGCCGTAGCCCGGTTGGACGAATCTTCGCCTCTGTGGCGTATCCAAGAGAAAGAGGAAAGCGGATGCTAGACTCTCAGGGGCTTTATACGTTCCTTCGGCGAGAGCCTCGGAGAGGGGACCCAGGCCACCAGATGCGAGAAGCAAGCGAGGGTCTCGAACCATGATCTCTGCGAGAGTTTCGATGCAGATGGGCCGTAGGCGATCTGTGTTTTGCTCAGAAGGCTGTGCTGAGCCAGATCGATCATCACCATACTCGGCCACAGCTACAATGGTCCGTACAACAGCGCGCGAGACTTCCTTGGCTCCGTCTTTAACATCTAGAAAAGCTCGAACAAACTTGAGGGCCTGCTCTCGTTCAACGTCTGCCTTTCGATAGTTGTTCAGTGACCTAAGACACATGTTAGTCTACGCACACACAAAGCGGAGTCTCAGCCGCCACTGGGTCTCCAAAAACCTACCGTACAACCAAAAAGTCGGTATTCAAACTTCTAATCTTCCTAAGAGAGTTTCGGTCTGAAATTGCATATCTTGTCGCACGATAACCAGCAGCCACAACTTCTCTGCTTTCGCTGAGCAGCATCATCTGCATCCGCAGGCCAAACACGGACCACACCAAGTCGTATTTAAGAGTAGGGTATCTCTTGAACAGGTCGACTAGAAGGTTCGCACGGTTCACGTAGTAATCGGGGGTCATTCCTCCAACCTCCAGCGCTTGTAGAAGCTCGGCGAGTGTAAACGTAGGGCTCTCGGTAGACTCTTCGACCTCTGAGCCAGTGCCCGATCGAATACTGTGCGGTGAGCGATGTAGTGCTGTGGCATCCTGCTGGGCTCTGGTTCTGGGAGGTGTGCTGGGGGGTGCCACTTTGGTACGCTGAGCATCCGTAATCTGCTGCTTCAGGACCTTGATGCGCGAATGGCTGGCCGTCAGCTCGGCCTCGACTCTCTGTCGCTGCTCCTTTGTCTGCTTGGGCTTTTTGAGGTTGAGGGCCTCGAGCATGTTCTCGCTCCCTTCCTTGATCTTCATCTCCCTGTTCAGCCTGTCCCGCAGCATGGAAAGGTTCTGTTCTGCCATCTCGCCATCTTCCATCTTGTCCACAAAGCTGCTCGGGTAGACTGGCGCCACATCGGCTCGGCTCCCTGAGCGAACGGGCATCATCTGGCTGCGCAGCTCGGCGCTGAAGCTGCCGGGCCCGGCGCCGGGGATGAGGCTGTTCCCCCGAGGAGCAAACGCGGCCGAGGCTGACAGATTCCTCGAAGCCCCGCCATTGGGAATCTGCAGCCCAGTGCCGTCGCGGTCGATGCTTGTCCGTCCGATGGTCGGCGCATGGTCGGTCTGCTTGAGGCTCTGTGAGTGGGAGGACTGGCTGGAGGGGGCAAACCCCTTCTGGCTGGACGAGGAGCTGGCCAGCATGGCGATGGCGACGCCCACTGAAGGGGACTATGCCCTCCGGTGGCCGCTGAGCATTCGAGGATGTTCGTGTGGAGCGTGGAGGGGGTCTCAAGGTGGCGTATTGGGGCAGCTCGATTCGCGTGTCTGGGGGTCGGTGTCTCTGTATCTACCGAGTGATTTCGGGCAAGTGGTTCGAATATCAGGCTCGTCCGGCTCGAGGCACATCTACAGGCGAGGATCTGCGCGATACGACGGTCGTTGGTGGCTGCAGCAGCGGATGGGAGATCGCAGATCTGAGCGGTGGAACTTGGCACGGTGGAGGGACTTGGAGAGCTAAAGGCCCAAGTCCGGGCGGGATCCTAGGCCCAGGAAACTTGCATGCGGCGGTGCAGCTTTGACGGCCTGCGAGGCGCTACAAGCTGGATGAGCTTCTCACGACATGTGAAGAATGAAGTTGAGCGCGCGATGCAGGAAAAGATAAAGATGGGATTTCAATATTCGGCCGGCTGAATGCATTGGCTGGGTCCGAATGACGCCCAGAGAGCTGGTGGTTGGCAGGCTTGTCGCATCAGCTGTGGCACAGCTGTGGCCGTACACTGCAACGCCGCCATTTTAGTGATGTCAAGATTTACGGCTACCCTATTGCTGGGGCTGTAAGTTGGGTTTTATGGAAAAGAAGCTTTCAAAAAGAAAATTGGATTGAAATTAGACAAGGGCTTTTGAAAAAGAACACATAAAGAAGAGAATTGCCTTTCGCTTTCTTTCAAAATGGGCTTTGTAAGATGGTGTCTTGTCTTTTACGTCGGTGGTTGAGTATCGATGGCCGCTTCATGTCCCGATGAGATGGTAGCCGAAAAGGCCAATCAATCGGCCGTAGCTGGAGAATCTCAATCGATCAACGATACTACACAATTGGTAGTAGCGTGCTATTAGCGATTTGCGGAGTAATTAAGCGCATATGCCCGATACCAATCGCTCATGTTGATTGATAGCGGCAATAGCACAAGAGCCATCCCTAAGATCCAAGGATTCCTAATCTTGGGCTCATCTAACAAAGCCACCATCAGTCTCATCCCCAATCACCACCACAAACACATATTAGTCCCATCTGACTACTGTCTAGTCAAGTGCAGATGGCTGATATCTTAACCCCAAACCTCTGCGGATCGCCATCAATAAGTACCTACCTATGTACATGTAATCTTATTCGATCCATCGGCCGGCTCCCATCAGATCAGCTCATCACTATCTCCAGCATACACAACGCAGCTTCAACTCCCGAGCCACCGCATCCCAACACTACAAACTCTGGCTAGCCCCGGCACTTTCCAGCAAAACATCAGCTCATCTCCTGAACATATTCCCCCCAGGCTGACACGATACCGGTTCAACCCATCCGTCTCTCCAGACCCCGCCACAAAACTAGATCACAGCCCCGGAGCACCGCGGCGCTGGGAGTTCGGCGGGCTCCGGGCCTTTCTGGCGAACCCCACCCGCTGTAAACTGCACTGTCTCGTTCTTCCCCAAAGCAACGCCCGTGGCCCTTTATACGCTGCTCTCGGCTTGCCGCTGATGCCGCAGAACGGAGAGGGCTTGCCGGGAGCTGCCATGCACAGTCGATCGCCTTTTTAGCATTGCTTTTTCGGTCGGGCAAAGTTTGGTAGACCAGTATGAGGCGATGTCCGAGACGAGCCGTATCTGAAGTCCGGGTCAGATTCGCACGTGCGTGGCCCGTACTAAGTGGGATCATCAAGTTGTAGATACCTGACCAACGGCAAAGCATCAATTGCATATCCAGCAGTATATATATCAGGCCACACTCCAGTAGACTCAATTCTCACATCCGCTTCTTCCTATCCCACTGCAGCTTCGTTTCTCATTATATACTTCTACCCCTCCTCAACTCTGGGCAAGCTTCCTCTTGGCTGGTAATTGGGTCTCCAGATAGCTTCCATCTCGTGTGACCGCATCCCTTCCTCTTCACTCAACTTGTAAACTACCATCATCTCCATCACCACCACCTCAATCAAAGCAAAATCCATCATGGCTTCCGCTCACGTCTCCGCCGCCCGCTACGGCAAAGACAACGTCCGCGTCCTCAAGACGGACCGCGACGCCGCCACCGGCATCCACACCGTCACCGAAATGACCGTCAGCTGCCTCCTCGAGGGCGACATCGACATCTCCTACACAAAGGGCGACAACAGCGTCGTCGTTGCCACCGACTCCATCAAGAACACAATCTTCATCACCGCCAAGCTGAACCCCGTCAACCCGCCGGAGCTCTTCGCCGCCATCCTGGGCTCCCACTTCATTGAGAAATACAGCCACATCCACGCCGCCAACGTCAAGGTCGTCACGCACCGCTGGACGCGCATGGAGATCCGGGGCAAGCCGCATCCGCACAGCTTCATGCGCGACGGCGAGGAGACGCGCAACGTCGAGGCCCGCATCAGCCGCAAGGACGGCATCGCCATCAGCAGCGGCATTGAGGGCCTGACGGTGCTGAAGAGCACCGGCTCGGCCTTCCACGGCTTCGTGCGGGACGAGTTCACCACGTTGGGAGAGACCTGGGACCGCATCCTGTCCACGGACGTTGACGCTACCTGGACGTGGAAGACGTTTGCCGATGTCAAGGCCGTGCGGGAGTTGAGCTCAAAGTTCAATCCGGCGTGGGAGGAAGCTCGCAACATCACACTCACCAGATTCGCCGAGGATGAGAGCGCGAGCGTGCAAAACACAATGTACAAGATGTGCGAGCAGATTCTGGCTGCTGTGCCGGAGACGGAGCTGGTGACCTACTCGCTGCCCAACAAGCACTTTTTCGAGCTCGGTAAGTTCATATATCTACATAGATGTGACATGATATATGCTGGTCACTAACATCAAATTTCACAGACCTAAGCTGGCACAAGGGCATCAAAAACACCGGCAAGGACGCCGAAGTCTACGTCCCTCAGTCAAACCCCAACGGCCTCATCAAATGCGAAGTTGCTCGTGGCCCCGCCACCAACCGCGAGTCACATCTGTAAAAATTGAAGTAAGGAAGAGGCTTTGAAGAAGGTAAAATTAGATGGCGAATCAGTGCTTGGCCAAGTACACTAGGTAGATGGAAGATCATATTACGCCCTCATGTCATAACGGGCTTATTGCGTGATAGTACGCAAGCTGTTTTAGTAGTATAGCGTTTCTGTATGAATTGATTTTAGTCAAAGTGAAACAATTGCTCAGGTGTTGGTCATTTTATGTATTTGAACCACGCTCTTGATTCTATCAGAACAAGCTCCTAGTTTTCCTTTTCGTATTCAAAGTCATCAACACACGAAATATAGTACAAACAGTACAATAATCTTTTTCATCAGATTATCATCCCAAAAAAACATCAATCAATCGTCCCTCATAACCTATCCTTATCCGTATTCCGTATCGCCTCCACCGCCTTCTGCCACCCCTCCGACCCAACAACCTTCCCCCCAAACCGTATCACATTCTGCTTATACGGATGCGCCCCGCCCTCAAACGCCTTTAGTCTCGCCAGCCTCTTGTCCCGCAGCCTGTTCTTGGGCAACATCCCGCTAACTGCCTTGCGCAGCACCTCGCTGCCGCCATGCTTCTCCATCAGCACGTCCATCGTCACCGTCTTCAAGCTACCGGGCCTCGTCGTGTGTCGGTAGTATTTCTTGCGCCACATCTTGTTGCCCGTGGTGTGCAGCGCGGCGCAGTTTGTCACCACGACGTAGTCGCCGCAGTCGGTGGAGGGGTCGAACGTGGGCTTGTGCTTGCCCATGAGCAGGACGGCGATGCGGGATGCCAGGCGGCCCAGCGAGGGGGGAGTCACGTTGGGCTGGGTGGTGAGAGTTGGGTGAGGCGTTGAGGCGGAGACTTGGTGCCATACTCGGGAGTAGGCGAGCCTTGTCTGTTGAGGCAAAGATGTTAGAGCATATCGAACGATGGCGCCCATGTGAGATGGAAAATCTTACCAGGCCAATTGTCTGCGACATCTTGAGTGATGTGCAAAGACTTGATGTTTATGAAAGAAAAGAAGTGGTCAAGCGATTGAAAAAACCAGCACCAGCGCACCAGTTCTGGCGAGAGTGTCACCGTTCGTTGCAGAACTTGGCCAATTCTACTCCAAAGCGGGCAATATCCAATATCACGAACTCGAAAGTTTGCGTATAACCAATTGCAGCTATCGGAATGCTGACTCATCACGTCTTATCGATCTCCAAGTCACATGACTCTTATCGGCCATACAGAAGAAAATCGGAGCTTCGACGGAGAACGAAGCTGTTACACCAAAGCTTCTGGGGCTCCACAATCCGGAGGGGGACCGCTGTAATCCCGGCGTTATGGCATCACTCGCCAATGACTGGATTTCAAAGCACTGACTTGGCCGGTCTCCGTTAAATCTCACAGAATCATAAATGGCGCTTAAGAACGCTGCAGCTTCCAAGATTCTGGCAGCTTCATTTGGCGTCTTTGCTGGCTATTCTGCGTATCGATATAGAGCCTCTCATCACTCGCCCCCTTCCAAATCTCAACAAGATAGCCCTAGCGCTTCAGGCACAGGTACGTACTCACTCGCGCATACAAAATCTCACCTTAATGCGACATCCTCGATATATACAAGCAGCCCCGCGTTGCGTGGCTAACAAAGTCGTCAAAAAGGCACAATGGCTGTCAAGCACAGCTTCCAGGTATGCCTTTGCCATTCACGTCATCCATTCTTTCCTCTCGTCTCGTCTGTGAAACAGAAGAATGGAAGCCAAAGAAGAAAAAAACGTGCACAGTCCATGCAGCGCTTGAGAGACTGATGAAACACTGGGCAAACAGACCCTCTTCGCCGTCCCGCTCTCCTGCGACGGCTGCGTCAAGTCGGTTTCAGACTCCATCTACAAACTAGATGGCATCAGCAAAGTCGAAGGAAATCTCACGGACCAGCTGATATCGGTCGAGGGATCTGGTGAGTTATCACACGATGGCTGTTGCTCTCGAAGCCCATCTACACCACATGCTAACGCATCGGGCCATGCCGCAGTCGCACCATCTGCCATCGTCGAGGCTATCCAAGCCACGGGGAGAGATGCCATCCTCCGGGGTTCCGGCACTTCAAACAGTAAGTTTCATAGAGATAACCGCTGAGGCTTTCAGTCGGAGCTGCCCGTGCGTGCTTTGGCGGCGGCCCCCTTCCAATGGAGAGACTCGTTTAAACAGATGGGATGGGGGCGAATCATCCACGTTTCGCCAAGGAGGATCAATTGGGCATGAGAAACAGCGGCTAACAGACCTTGTTTACTCAGGTGCCGCCGTGAGCATCCTGGAGACGTTTACAGATATGCAGATTGAGGAGGTCGACCGCGAAGTGAGAGGCCTCGCCAGGATGGTGCAGGTCAACCCTGAGCGGACATTGATTGATCTGACCTTGAGGGGTGTTGCTCCCGGTACGTATCGGGCAAGCATTCGCGAGTTTGGAGACCTCAAAGATGGTGCTGCCTCTACCGGTCCAGTCTGGGTCGGGGGAAGCAAAGAGGCGCCAAAGGGATCCCTTGGCATCGTCGAGGTGTCCGAGGACGGCCACGGATCCGCCTTTGTAGACCACGGCTTCCAGATCTGGGAAGTCATTGGCCACGCCATGGTCCTGACGAGACAGGATGAGGGTTTGCCGCTCAAGAATGACGACAATACTGTGGTTGGCGTCATTGCGCGAAGCGCGGGTATGTGGGATAATGACAAGACCGTCTGTTCTTGCACAGGTAAGACACTGTGGGAAGAAAGAAAGGATGAAGTCAAGAAGGGGATGCTGTAGCCCGGCCAGCCTATTTTCGATGAATGAATTGAACGAATAACGCAACTGCCTTGCCCCCTTTGCCAAGCTGTCCAAGCTATTTCCCTTTCTGCTTACAGCTTCCGTTAAGCTTAACTCGTCATCTCCTACTAATCTCACCCGCTATCTCCTATAAATCTCATCAATCCAGAACACTAAACAGATAGTGTAAACCGGCAACTGAGAGTTGAAACTTTCCGAGTCATCTGCCCCACGATAGCGGAGCGATAGTATCAGGCCTCAATTGACCGTTTCATGCTCAGGGGTCTGAAAACGGCGTAGAGCCATCTCGTAACGCGAAAAGTACAGGGGACTCTACAACGTCAAGGTAAGGCGAAGAGAAAACGCCTGCCCATGCAAAAAAGCACGGTTCTATGTTCCTAATCTCACTGAAACGCCTCCAGTTCATGCGCCCTAGCTGGCGCTGTGCCTTTTGTGAGTGGTTGCCTTGAGATATCTCGTAGGATTGGTAGCAGATAGTGTCTATGCGCGGAGTACGGAGAACCACCGCCACTAGCATTCGTCAAAGCGCGAGGCTCACTAGTTGCAAACATTTGAAAATAACCCCAAATGGTAATCGCCAAATGGTAGGCCGAGCGGGTCTGTGTACGTTGAGAAACGTTGGAGACGCTCTGTCAACTCTTCATCGCATTGCAGCAGCTGGAGCCATGATGTTATCCGTGCGGTACGCGGGGTTGACAGCTGCCAATGATGCCAAAAGCAGCAGAAATGTGATAAACAGAAACGCCAAGATTACGACCACGGGGACCCCGTGTCTTGTTCTCAGCAGACAATCGGATGATCAGGCTTGGCCAGTGGCACCACTGGCCGGAGAAGCATTTGCGAATATTCCACGTCCACTTGCCTTAAACTCACCCCCCTCCGTCGGATCATCACTTTTATCAGTGCTGCAGTACATAGGACAACGTCTTTGAAAATCCAGGTCGTCGGGCTGGTCATCGTCTCACTCTTGGGAAAACAAACATTAGGATGGTTGAGGAAAGTGATATCAGTGCGCGAACCCCTCGTTTGGGAACCTATTGGCTCTGAGGCCCTGTCGGAGCATGAGTTGCAGCATCTTCGGCGCGTAGAGAGCTAATGAGAACGATTCAACTGGCCAAGTGTGTGAAAGAGCAGTGTGATATAATTCACTAGCCAGCATGAAGCATCAGCTCCCACATTAGGAGACTTGGATACCATGAGCTGTACCTATTACCGGCAGTGTATCTGAGTGAGCTCACCAAGAACAAGCATTAGCCATATATGCGGGGGCATTAGTGAGGTTATCTATAAGTAACTCATCGCCTAGTCCATTGTTGCCGCCCGCTGCACAGTGGGATGACTGACATGACGATGCCAAGTGGTTGTGATGTGCGCCATTAGCGGTGATGAAGACACTGAAAGCCTAGGGAACCCCAGTCTTTCTACCCAGAATGAGGCATCGGACCCAACTATCCACTCATGTGCTTGTGATGATCCGGCGGTGAAAGTTGATAGATCCTTCTTTGTATATTCCCGCCGTCGGATGCGTGGGATATGATGTAGCATCAGTAGTAGCTCGCTGTTAAAAATAGCTTGAGATATATCAACGATGACACCATCATCTCTTTCTGGTCCGGTTGAACGGCGCGAAGTAAGTATCCCGTCCAATCTGGTTGCCGCATTGGGTGATTAGCTGATGGGATTGGGGGAAACTAATTCGCTAGTTTGCAGATGAGATGTTCAGGGCGCTTAGTAGCTCTGGCATAGCTTGACCGCTAAGCTGGCTATCGGCGGTGCCCAAACAGCTGGGCCTTGTCTACTCGTAACAGCTGCATCTTGCTTATTCCTCGTGCTGGCACTGACCCAACGCAGAGTAGGAGTGGCTGGGGCAGAGGATCTTTGTCGATGCTTCATGGAGGTGGCTGAACAAGGGCTGCCCAACTGCAAGGGTCGCCGAAAAGGTACGCGCCGCTGCTGGCTTGCAAGGATTCGGCCCCTGGAGAGAGCCAATGAGCGGAGCTGTCAGGCACATCGACTCGGGAGCTGCAACGCCGTCTGCCCCAGAATAGGCACACCTTGTTAACCTTTTGAAATTGGACCTTATGCCGCTGCAGTGTGCTTGTCCACGTCTATGCGTGCAGCCGCATATGCGGGCTATCGATCGATTGCCCGGAGGAGGGGACTGCGAAGAGCAGGAGCGCCGAGATGCCCAGCGTTCTAGCACAGGATAGAAGTGCTATTTTGGAGTCGTGGAGGGCAAAAGATGGCATGATTGAGGAGCGAGGAATGGAAGCAGATGTGTGAAGAGATTACTAGACGTTTGTCAGTGCACGCATGCATGCTGTATCGTTGAGAGATAAGGTGCAAAGTAGTCGTAGATCGATAAGGCTGGTTTGGCAGGTCCCCGTCAGCCTATGGCGTGTGCCTGTTGCTCTTTCCTGCCAGATGCAATTTCAGTGCCTGAGCAGTGCTTCTGCTTTGGGCACGTGGCTGGAAGGATCAGGACAATTTACAACTCTAGCCTCGATCATCACCACATTTAATCAAAAGGAAGAAACAAATCAACTCAGCGCAATGCGGCCATCCGAAGCCCTTGGCACCTTGACGAGCACGCTACTGCTGCGGCTAGCGCTGCCACTGCTACCATACTTACCTGATCTACCTCACTGATGCCACCTCCCGGAGCTGAGTGGTTGGTATTCCACTGCTCTTCTATTCGTACAAAGCGCAAAAGAGGCCTGACGCTACGCTCCCGGTACTGCGACTGTGCCCCGTAGTCTGTTTTGGGATCAAGTCGACCGAGCGACTCAGGGCCAAGCTGCTAGAACTGGTAAGCTCCTCGCTTGAGGCTGGGCATTCAGTAACCTCTCGTCCAGTCTTCCCATGCTGCGAACAAGCGCCCCAAGCAAGATCAGCGTCCGACCCAAGAACAGCCGCCCGCATGAACTGCTCTGATAGGCGAAGAGCGCGACTCGTCTCTCATACGGAGAGCTCGGCTGAGAGCGAGTACCGCCCAGTTAGCAGCAGCATCTGAGCAAAACCGAGGCCTGGCCCAGCACCATGGCCACGCGACGGTGCAAGCCACCGGCCGTCCTGCGACACAGGGAGAGCTAGACCCGCCCCCTGGTTCCACGACGGCATCGACGCATCTCATGGTACGCCCGTACGAGCTTGCAGGGCCAAGGTCAACAATGGCGAGTGCCAGTGCCGAGACTGGGGGTATGGCATAGATACCGCCCGGTAGCTTCGAGCTCGACTGCGAAGCACTCGTGGCAACAGCAGGAGTCCAAGTACGTACTCCGCCCAGGCCGGCATGCGCACCCCCTTCTCTGAACCCTGGCTCGGCGTTTGGCGCCCCTCGTGAGATTTGGAACATAGGTGAGGCTTCACCAGCCCTTGTCCAAAACCACGACACGCCTCCAGAGAACGGCAGGTCAGTTCCCAGTTCCACCATCCCATGCTAAGCTCCGAGTCCCAATTTTCCTTTTTACTACTGCACGCCACGACCATTGCCCCTCGTCTTCTCTCCACTCGTCACTCACTCTTTTTTTGCTTGTCTTGCCAGCCCAAATGCACGCTACTCGACCCATCACATTGGCTTGTCGATAGCGCCGCAAACCTGTCGTCCATCTTTTAGAACACTACAATCTTTTTTCTGCTTTTTCATCATCAGCTCGGCTAATTCACTCGTTGCGTCGGAGTCACAACAGCTAAAAATAAAATTTAATATTCGGCCGGCCGGATTCTTCACGTTGGGAGTATACAGAAGATACTCGCAGGGAGCGCCAGAAATCGGGTGACATACAGATCAGCACTTGCATACCCCACGGAATTGTCCCCCCTTGTGCCGCCGCACAGAGTCGGATCAATTATACGCTCGCTCGATCTCGGGGTGTCTAAAGGACGAGCCAGGGAATAATAATTTCATTACGAGAAGCAGCATCCAAAGAAGGGAAAAAAACCGTGCTCGGTGGTCTGGGAGAAAAGTCTCTCCGCCTGTCGATTCTGGGATTCGGCAACTTCAAGCACTATCACGGGATCATTTTCCGCTCGCGCCACTTCCTGCCAAGGTGCACTTACCGCTCGCACAATCGTTTGAGCCAATACCAGTTCTTCCTCTACCTGGAGAGGAGCTGACAGACTGGGGCCGGGAAGCATTGAAAATTGATTAGACAGGCCACCTCGGCGGCCATCCGTTGTAATTAAAGCTGGTCTTTGCCTCTCACCCCCCTCGAGCTGCCGACGGTGCTACCTCTTTTGCTTAGCCTCGACGAGGCGCCAATTGCTCTGTTGGCTATTGCATATACTATATCATTCGACGCACACGTCGTTGCTCAGCCAGCCACGCCGTAATCGTCTTTGTGCCCTCGTGCATAGAAAGGCACAATGTCGCTGAAACAGGTCGGTCTTGAAAGCAGCGTCATATCTTCATGACGGTACGAGTGATGTGTATGCTAATGTGGTTTCATTACACAGGAAATCGAGACTTGGGTAGCCGCCCTGGCTCGTTATGACAACAATGAGTTCGACGATGCTCTTGGCGAATTCGACAAAATCGGCGATACGAGCAAGATTCTCTTCAACATGGGCGTTATCCACGCCACACTGGGCGAGCATGAGAAAGCTGTAGGTGTCTTGTGTTAGATACTGCCTTGATACCCCGTCGCTAATATGTTGCGTACATAGGTCGAGTGTTATCAGCGAGCCATCCGACTGGATCAATACCTAGCCGTCGCATACTTCCAGCAGGGCGTTTCAAATTTCCTGCTGGGCGACTTCGAAGAGGCTCTGGCCAACTTTAACGATACGTTGCTGTATCTGCGAGGTAACAGCGTGATCGACTATGCCCAGCTTGGCCTCCTCTTCAAGCTCTACTCGTGCGAAGTCCTGTTCAATCGAGGATTGTGCTACATCTATCTGCAGCAAAAAGAGGCTGGTATGCAGGATTTGGCGTATGCCGTCAAGGAAAAAGTCGTGGAAGACCACAACGTCATCGACGAAGCTATTCGAGAGGAAGCTGAGGTTGGTATTATCAGGAATATTTGCAATATAAAGGGTTGTCACTTACCATACATAGGGCTATACGGTATTTTCTATCCCTGTCGGAGTTGTGTATCGACCGAACGAAGCCAAAGTCCGCAATTTGAAAACCAAAGATTATCTCGGCAAGGCCAGATTGGTTGCGGCCTCGGACCGATCCAATGCGTTTACCGGATTTGCCGGCTCTGAGATGAAGAATGTAAGTGCTCGTTTCCCGACTCTCTATTTCATCTGCTTATTGTCTCCCAACAGGCCAAAGCAGAGGCTAAAGACGACCGACCAACCGAAAATCTATCTTTCGCTGCGACAAATCTGGTCAAGCCCGGTATTCAGTCCAGAAGACAGCAATCCGAGCCTCCAAACAACCGTAGCAACGCTTTCCCTCCAACTCCTCCTCCTGAAAACGATCGACCAAGCCGGGGTGCTTCTGTACGGAGCGCTGGACCGAGACCGAATGTCGGGAAGCTCAGCATTCAGACACAAGAGAGCAGCAGGAGGTATGAGAAGGCAGTGTCCCCACAAGAACGATCGAAACAACATTCGCGATCAGCATCCGCCAATCCTTCGAGGGGCTTCTCTACGAGAGAACCCCCACGAAGGCAAAGAGCTATTGAGGAAGAGTCCCCATATGGCGATGAGGGATACGATATGTATGATGGCGGGCGAGGAAGCAAGCAGTCTCGATCCAGACAACAGCGATACGATGATGAGGACGATGGTTCGGACTATGATTATGGATCCTTTGACGAAGGCGAATTCGAAATGGTATCGAGCGTGCGACGCGGTCCTGGGTCTGTTTCCCGACCTTCCCGTGCGGCGTCGCGACGACCTGATATTCGGAAGATCCGTGTCAAGGTTCACTCGGATGATGTGAGGTATATCATGGTTGGTACATCGATCGAGTTCTCGGACTTTGTGGATCGCATCAGAGACAAATTTGGCCTGCGAAGACGGTTCAAGATCAAGATGAAGGACGAAGACGTGCCAGACGACATGATTACGATGGGCGACCAAGATGACTTGGACGTGGCGATTCAGAGCGCAAAGAGCCAAGCAAAGAGACAGAGGCTGGATGTTGGAAAAATGGAGGTGAGTTTGAGTTTTCAGGGCTTATGAGTCGTCGGCTGCTGCCTCGGGCATCTTCCCCCGCTTCGGCATGCGGCAGCCGTGTCGTGCTATTTCTAAGTTGTCTAACAAACTTTGTTTCCAGATTTGGGTTATTGAAGTCTAGATCGCGTTATACCCTATTCGATGATTTCGAATATAAGCAGAGCGAACTTTTTCTTGGTCACGATATCGGCCATGACATCTTGGCGACATGGCTTATCGTTTCCCCTTCTTCGGTCCTTTCAACATCACTGCGCTTGCAACGATGCGTCCTCAGCTGTAGATGCTTAGACCGCTTGGTTTATCCGAAACGACCGCGACATTGCAAAGTGTCTTTTTTTTTTTTTCCCTCTTCTTGCCTTTTTTTTTTATCTGTGTTTTATTTTAGGACATGGCGATGGACTTTTTTCTTATTGTACCGTTGTTTGAACGGACAACATAATAGGCAACCAAAACAGGAGAGCAGTGCCGCGTGGGATGCTCAAGTGTAGGTGGAATAATATATCCTTCAGAGGATCTGTTCTGGTTACTGTCTTATTTTGTTTATATCTGCATGTTATTTTGTTTCTTTATGGTGGATGCCGGTGAGATAGAAAGGCAGTCCCATTATGAGTGCATGGAGAGCAGTGCTCTCACGCATTCGTCTCGGGACAGTCGAGTTGGTTGCTGAAAAGATGCTAGATAGAAAAGAGGTGGACCCTGCGGTCATACCTGGAGGGCACGATGGCCCATCTGGTTGGAAGAGTTTAGACAGCCTTGGCCTGAGGCTATTTATGTGCAATGACTACCCAATTACTACCCTTCAAGCTCTGTCTTTTCTTCTACGTGCAGCGAATACGAATAGCAGATGCCGGAGCAGAGCCGTTAGTTGCAGTCTCGGCTTTGCAGACCCCTGCCCTGAGGAGGGACCAATAGATTTGGGCGCAGGCTTTGGCCGATCAGAAAATGAAGCGGTGTTAGCGTCTTGTTCCCGGATTGAGCAGCAGTGGAGTGATAAGCCGCATCTGGCAGAGCAGACAGGGGACAAGACCGGATTTTGCAGATGCGCCTGAAGGCAGCCTTGCAGCTTTTATAAGGACGGAACAGTCGGTAAGAGGTTTTGTTGAGAGGCTAGGCATGGATATGGGACATGGGTGCTATGGAAGCTTCAAGAACGACCATTTGTATGAGATGGGTGCTCGAAGCTTCTGCTAGGTATCGTTGCTGCCTGAATGAAAGAGAGAAGACAGAAGAGGTGATGGATGATGAGCGTTTACGAGAGTGCTATAAGCCATTTCGGTTTATAGACACCCAGAGAATCTCTCTTCTGCCCTGCTTTCTCCGACTCCTTGTTCCTGCATGGAATCCTTCTCGGCTGCATATCCCACTGGCTGACTGGGTAGCACTGCGCGATACTCGCACACACTCACAGCGATCCGGCTGCTGTCAAAATTCGTGATGGACGCCGCCAGCTTCCTACTCCAAACTAGCATCTGGCTCGGCGCGCGGGTACCTGGAACCGGCGCCTCTGCGTCTGCGATCTGCGAGATTCTGGCGCCATGGCTGGGGGACTTGGTGTTGCAGTGGCGTGAACCTTTTGAGAAATTTTTCTCATCATTTTTTCCAAACAGCACAGTATGGTTACAAAATATGAGTTGGAAAGTGCACATCGATTCATTTTTTCTGGGGAAGATGTAATTATGGAGCGACGCGAGTCGTTTTTTCTTCCCTCTTCTACGACGGTCCGAAGAGAAATACTGGAGACTTTGCTTGCTATACGAACGTTATTGGCGCGGAGGACAACCAACTTTTTTTCAGCGTGGGTACAAGCCACTAAAACGGTTTTGTTTCACCGTTGCAAAGGTTAATGCCTTTGACGCCGTCTTTTCGCACACCATGGACACGTCAGTTGTAAGTGTAAATGTCTCACCAACTTGCAACATATTCTGCTGCTTGCTCAATTGAGCTCGCTTGCAGCATGATGCTTTGATATTACTCTTTTCTTATTTCTTATTTTTTTTTTTACAAGGGGGTTCCACTCAGCTGCGTAGAATCCTTGTCTCGTTACCGCCAAAAAGAAAAAAAAAAAGTCGTTGGTGATGGGGCTCTTTTTTAGCACTGCATGCAGGCTCGCAGATAACGACAGCTCGGAAAAGGGGGTTGGTTGATAACATCGGAGATTTTTCTTTCTTCTTCTTTTCCTTCTAAAGAAGATTCTACTACCGTGTGGCGTTTTCTGTCATTGAGGTCGCATTAAACTAAGACAATGCCATTGCTAGTATATCGCCACCGATGCCTTGGACTTACGCCTCTTCTTCTCTCTTCCATCAAAACGTCCAAGTTAGAATACAGGCCAAGCTTTTTCCTTCTTCCCTTCTTCCTTGCCCTTCCCACTTTTGTGCAAGGCTCCAGTTTATGTGATCCACTGCAAGGTTCCTCTTCACATGTCACCATCGCTAAGATACTCCAGTTCATAGAACAAGATGAAGAGAGAGAGAGAGAGAAAGCGGCGAGCGGTCCATATAACGCCGGTGGAACCCATGCCATGGCTCCATCAAACCACTCTCGACTTGTATATGTCGATCCTTCTGCCTTTTTGCACGGCCCTTGCCCTCCCTATCTCACACCGACCGTCCATCCAGGAGATATTACAACTGGGCATCTTGTGAGCTGTATATCGCCTAGTTTCTTCTTCTTCGTCTTCGGTTGGCTCCGTGCCAGGCCCCCCCAGTCATTCTATCATGGGTACTGATAGTCGATGGGCTCCGTAAAAAGAGGTGCGAGTACGCAGAGCGGGCTGAACAATGTACGAATAAACTCGCATCGCACGCGGTGGACGAGGCTGCCTTGACTCGAAAAGTTGGAATGGATCCCGATCCCCGATGTAGGTAGCACGTAGTATTTAGTAAAGGAGTGTTTCCCGCAGTCTTTCACTTTCGGTCCTCTTTCCCTCTCTTTTTTCTTCTTCTTCTTGCTGCGCTTGTCCGTTGTCTTTGAGCTGTGATAAAACAAACTTGTCTTGTATACGTATACACTCGTTTAAAGTAAAGAAGACAAAGCCCATACACGAAAGCAACAAGGATCACCCGTCACTACCACCCCTAAAAACCAGCCAAAATGAAGACCTCTGCCGTCATTGTTGCCGCCTACGCTGCCGCCGCCGCAGCCTTGCCGTCGTTTTCGTTCCACTGGGTCAACAGCACCAGCGTCAGCAGCGTCAACAGCACCAGCATCCCCGGCAACGTCACGGCCATTACCAACTCAACTGCCATTGCCAACTCAACATCCGGCGCCGGAGCCTCTTCTGGCGTCTCCAGCATCAGCGCAGTTGGCGGTGACAGCGCGACCGCTCCTTACTACACCAACGACACCAGCGCCAGCAACGTCACGTACCTTGGCGGCGGCAACGAGACTCACTTCTCGCCCAACCGCACTCACCTCCCCGTTCCTGTGCGCCGTTTCCGGGCTCAGCGAAAGGCTCTTGTCTAAAGTTGTCTTTGCTTATACAACAAATAAGTTGATAGTAAGTTGCGGTGATGTGTATGAGTTGAAAGATGAGAAGCTTATTCATTTATAGCCAACGATGACTGTGATATAAGATTACGAGGTTCAAGGTCTTAAAAAAAAACTTTCTTTTTTTTTCTTTCGCAATTTTTCGAAAAAAAGACCGACGATTTTTACAACATTATGATTTATAATTGGTTTGAAGAAGACACGCGCCAATGATGGAAAGATGGGCTGTTTGTATGCTTTGATGTTGAATTGATTCCCCGCCACTTTCGTTTATATATATAGAAAGGGAAATGCTTCATGGCTATTTGAATATGACTTTTACTATAGAAAAATAAACATTTTATATATTACATTTGATATACCGCGTAGTATACGGCAATGCTGCTCAGCGGGTGCTTGAACCTTTGTAGTAGTGTGGTAGGTATGGACAATATGTCATGTAGACTATATGCGCCACGTACATTCTTTCGCTAACAAAATTATATCTTAACAAGAAAAACACGACTCCATTTTGTGATGAATCCTCATCAAGTTCAACCAAAAACACATGAATTAACGCCCCCAAGATTCCCATGATACCTGCCCTCGGCCAATTCTCCTTTGTTCATCTCATGCTAGAGGACACTGTTTGCTTCAGCTTGTTAAAGACGAGGGGGGGGGGGGGGGGGGGGGGGGGGGGGAGGAAATCGACAGTAAAAGAAAGAAAAAGACACTGTAAATTTTTGCTTTACCCATTTCAAACTCACACACCCGGACTCAAGTCGCCCGTCTGAATCGATTTTCGGAGTTGAGTCAGTCGCAGTCCCAAGTCCCTCACGACTGAATCTTCCATCGCGTATGTTTCCAAATCCACTTCCTTCAAAGGCCATCAATTCCAAAGTCAGTTCTTGTAAACCACAAAAAATGAAAAGCAAAAAAAAACGCGGGCTATTACATACCCGTGGTACCTGAGTTTGAGCGTCATGCCATAAAAGGTAGAATTCATGGCACCTTCTTCGGACAGCCCCGTATTTGCATCCATACCGTATAAATTGCTGCTGGTGGGAAAAAACCCAAGTCTTCAGTATTGCAAGAATTCTCCAAGCTGCCCTAATGTCAACTGCCTTTTCATTCACGCGGCGCACGAGGTTACCATCATCGTAATGCTGCCGAATCAGGTCTGACACGATTAGACTGATGGCATGCTCGAGGGTTACAGCCAGTCGGAATTCTTGAGACACGCCCTCGATGTCTTCAATCCGGCCAGTGGGGTAGTTTCGAGCTCCTGGCCGTGGATTGACAAGCGGTGGATAGCCTCGCATGGTGACCTCGAGCGACCTGATTGGATGCGTATCGGCAACCGCGATTGCTGCGTTTGAAGTGAGGGCTCCATTGACTTTCTGAATCTGGTTTCTCACAAAAGTCTCGCACTCGTTCCAGCCCAAGGGCTCGTCCTCAAGATACGACATAGTACTGGTCGGTGTGTTGGACTATTCTGTGCAAGAATTGAGATGGTATCCCAAGCGATACTGCGGGTTGTATGCTGTGCTGCTGCGCTTCAGGTTAGAAAGTACAAGTTGGGGACGGAGAGGCGAAAGCTCGGAGAGGTGAAAGTCTGATGTTGCAGGATTCTTTTGCAAGTAATGGTTGAGAGTGCTGCCCATTATTTTTTTCGATGAGAAAAGCAGTCATTATATAGATACAGAAGAGACATCGTAGACTTGACCGAATCATATCTCCCTCGATCGATACACTTCATCACTCAATCCGTCTTCATTCACGGAAGCGATGAACAATTAGAAAACATGATTCCCAAAACAAGTGCGATTAGTTTTCTTTGAGGTCGTTTAAAAGCCGGATGACAACCTCAAGCCTATGCGCCCATTCCTTTCTTCCTAGTAACATGAACATCCTAGAACTGCTCTGAGAGACAACGTCTTGCCCGCCGGCAGCAACTACCCGTAACACATTATGAACAGTTAGCTGATCGACCCCTTGAGGCTGCACCTTTGACTGTATAGTTTGCATCACTTGAGTGCAATCGCCGTGCCAAAGGTCTTCTTGAGAGATTGCATCTCTGAGAGCATCAATGACTATTTGCTCTGGTCGCGCTTTTGTTAGGGAAGCCTTGTAGACGCTCAAAGGCACCCGCCAAAAGAGATATGGATGTTGAGATACAAGATGGCTGGGAGATTGAAAGCCTCCTTGTTTCGAGACAAGGGCATTGTACACGTAGGGAGCTTTCTTTTCGGCGTTGAACAGTGTTGGAACGAGTTCAAGGGGTAACCGCCACTCTCTTGCCGTGAGTTCTGCGTTTTCGATATCGCCGTTTGTAATCTTTTCGATTTCTTTGAGAACAGGCTGTGTCAAGTGCTCGTCAATGAGCTTCGCCTCTTGGTCGGCCAATGCTGGGATGGGCTTCCAGAGCATTGCATCTCGGTATCTGCTATTAAAATGTTCTAGCTTTGCCAGGTTCAATTTGATGCCACCGCGGGTAAATTTGAACGTCAGCTATTTTATGTTAGCCATTGTCCTGGAAAACTCGGTAGATATCAAAGCGCTCACAGAATTGGCTACATCTTCAACGGTACGAGGTGGCTGAACGTCGCGCTTGAACGAAGATCCAAGATTTGCAAGCCAGGCAAGCAGCGCCATTGGGAAGGTGCCCTCATTTTGATACTTGGATATGTTGACACTGTCGTTTCGTTTGCTGAGCTTGCTGCCGTCAATGTCGACGAGTAAGCCGAGATGGGCGAATGTCGGAGGCTGCCAGCCAAAAGCCTCATATAACGCAACGTGCTTTGGTGTCGAGATGAGCCATTCCTAGATCATGATGGTTAATCACATATTCTGTTGTAAATTGGAAAAGATAGGTGGCTGCATACCTCGCCGCGAATAACATGCGTAATCTTCATCAAGTGGTCATCGACAATATTGGCGAGGTGGTAAGTAGGGAATCCATCCGTCTTCATCAGGATAAAATCCTCCTCCATGTCCTTCTTCTGGAATGGCCCGTAGATGGCATCCCGAAGCTTGGGTCGGCCAAACTTGTCGCTCTTGAAGCGAACGACGTGGGATTCTCCGGCCTTTGCTCTGCGATCAGATTCGGCGGCATCTATAGAACGGCATGTTCCGGGGTAAATGGTGGGCTTGCCAGCCTCGTGCAGCTCGCGCTTTTGAGATTCCAGCTGCTCGGGAGTGCAGAAGCATCGATAGGCGTGGTCATGGTCCAGCAATTTGTGTACGTGTTCATGGTAAACCGGCAGCCTCTCAGACTATGCTCGTGTTAGGTGAAGCAGTGCCTGGTGGAAAATCTCATTGCCAACTTACTTGCCTGTAGGGGCCATATGGCCCACCGCAGTCTGGCCCTTCATCCCATGAAAGACCTGCCCACTTGAGATCTTTCATTAACCGCTCTTCGGCGTCCGTGACCAGACGGTTCTAACAAGCAGATTAGCTCCTTTGTTCCCTTTATTGCCAAAACTGAACCGTACCTGGTCTGTGTCCTCAATGCGAAGAATAAAAGAGCCGCCATTCGAGGCACTCACGGCCAATTTGTTGAACAGCGCCGTTCTCAGCGATCCCAGGTGTAAGTATCCCGTTGGAGAGGGCGCAAATCGAGCTCGGATGGGGAGGTTTGCGTTTTGGCCCAGGATCATGGGAGAATCTGATTCTTGCGAAGCTTCATCTCTGAGTTTCTTGGTTTTGTTTCGAAGTCCTTTCAGTCCAGAACTGTATGCCCGTCTCTGGCTTGAATCGGCCTTTTGGACAGGGTTGATGGTGATTTGCCTGTCATGCCAGAGGCCCGTAGACGCAGCAAAATTTCGGCTCATGCGGCCAGCAACGCATTTTCTTGATTCACATATTGAACGGCCGCTTATTCTCCGTAAACTCAGCCAAAGGGACGAGGACATGGTTGAAAGCTGCAGCCTCTGCTGGTCGCATTCATGGTCTAATTGGATATTTTCCAAGTATATTGGCCAAACGTCCCACAGTGCTGGATATGGCGTGAGGCGTAAATTTTTGACGCCCAGCGCCACATGTGGCGGTTGAGACACTGCGACAGGATAAGGTACCTGGAATTCCGCTGCTGATAAGACTGATAAGAAAGTCTTGGGCTCGGCTCAAGAGAGTGTGAAGCAATATCAAGTTCAGCACTTGTTCAGTAATTTGAGTTGTATAAAATTAAATAAAACAAAATTCCATCAAAATAAACAGACTGTGAACAATACCAAAAGCCTCTGTTACTTTTACCGGCGCCAATCGTGTGATACGTCACCTCGAATCCCTCCATGCAGGCGACTGTTTGCGACTGTCTGAGCCTCTGTTTTTTTTAGCGTGTGCTCCGGCAAATCCTGGGCCAGCAGTTGCTAATGCCTCCCGCCGGACCGTCTTTTCCTGTCAAAATCTCATCAGTCTGTATTACCGAGCTGACAAAGAGCCCATCTTTTTTTTCTTCATCTTTTCTTGTTCTCTCCTTCTCTCGTCACGTTGGTTAATTCTTTTGCCTTTTCGCTCTTCTTGAAGCCTGTCCCTTGCCTAGGCAGCAACTCGACGTTTGCGCTGCGGGCTCCAGGAATCGACCCCGCGCCACGCCAAAAGATTTTCTGCATTTCCGCTCCCGCAATCGCCTCTCGGTAGTTGGACAATCTGCCTACCCGAGAAACGCACAACGGAACGTGAAGTCCAGCCATCGCCATGGCTTCAGACGGGGAGATTGATCTCTACGGTACGTGTGAATTGTCGAACTCGTTTCTTTTCTCTAGCTATTCTTCTTTTCGAAGCGTCGTTGTCTGACTTGATTCCTCAGATATCCTTGAAATCGATAGAACAGCAACTCCCGACCAGGTCAAAAAGGCTTATCGCAAGGTACTGCACCACCGTCGCGCTGCGTCGTGTTTTCCCATCTTCTACACAGTAACTAACTATTCAGTAGGCTGCCCTGAGATACCACCCGGACAAGGTTCCCGAGGACCAGCGTGAAGAGTCCGAGGCCAAGTTCAAAGAGGCCAGCCGAGCCTACGAGATTCTCAGCGATGAGGACAAGCGCCATCTCTACGATACCCACGGCATGGCCGCCTTTGACGGCTCCAGAGGCGGTCCCGGCGGCCCTGAAGTCGACCTGAACGATATCCTGTCCCAGATGTTTGGATTTGGCATGGGCGGTCCTGGCGGCCCCGGCGGCGGTGGCCCTATGAGGCCGCGCAAGGGACCCGACGAGGAGCAGGAGTACAAGGTCACGCTCGAGGAGCTGTACAAGGGCAAGACGGTCAAGTTCTCGGCCAACAAGCAGGTCGTCTGCAGCGTCTGCAAGGGCTCTGGCGGCAAGGAAAAGGCCAAGCCCACGAGCTGTGATCGCTGCAAAGGCCACGGCATGGTCGAGGCTATCCGCCAGATCGGCCCTGGCATGATGCGGCGCGAGACTGTCTTGTGCGATCACTGCACAGGATCCGGCAAGGTCTACAAGGAGAAGGATAGGTGCAAGAAGTGCAAGGGCAAGCGGACGACACAGGAGAAGAAGGCGCTCGAGATTTACATTCCCCGAGGATCCATGCAGGGCGAGCGCATTGTCCTGGAAGGAGAGGCCGATCAATATCCTGACCAGATCCCCGGTGACATCATCTTCACCTTGGTCGAGGAGCCCCACGATGTCTTTTCTCGACTCGGAAACGATCTATCCGCAGAGCTGACGGTGTCTCTGAGCGAGGCGCTGACCGGATTCAACCGCGTGGTGCTGAAGCATCTGGATGGCCGTGGTATCCAGCTCAACCGACCTCGGGGCAAGATCCTGAGACCGGTAGACTGCATCAAGATCCCCGGCGAGGGTATGCCCCTGAAGAGGGGTGAGGCCAAGGGAGACTTGTATCTCTTGGTCAAGGTTGAGTTCCCCAAGGATGACTGGCTGAAGGACGACTCTGCGTATGAGACGTTGGCAACCATTCTGCCACCAGCTCTGCCCGCTGTGGAAGCTGAGGAGGTTGACGAAGTCGAGTACGAGGATGGTGCCGACATTGAAGAGGTGAGCAGACCAACAGCCCCTTTATATATTTTCCATGACGGAATGACTGACTTTTATATTTAGATGGGTGCTGACCAGGGCGATCCTCGATTCGCCCACGACTGGGAAGATGACGACGAGCCCGGCGACGGCCAGGCACAATGCGCCACTCAGTAAAGAGGGGAAAAGAATTTGAGGGAAAATGACCAATTACTTTTTGATTGTTTGAGGATATAGAAACTAGACTCCGTTTGCTGGAAGAATGGAAACGGGATAGCCGGAAAGGCAAAGGGGGACTTGTTTTTGACATTGGGACTACATGCTACTTTTTTTTTTACGAATGCCGCAAATAGAGAGAGCCAGAGAGAGAGCTAATGTGATGAATCTCCGCTGTTATGGGATCAAGACACAAAAAGCAAAGGGATAACGGGATGGGCATGGCACAGCTTTGGGACGAGTTCTTTTATCTTTTCTTTCCTAGGGGCGCTTAAGCTGAGTAGACTTGGAATGATTCAGTCTTTTGGCTTGCATTATCTTTTTCCTCGCTCTATGTGATCAAGATGTTGTATTTACTGTATTTAAAAATCGCTGCGGGCACGTATAGCTGCCTCCGTCAGTAAACTCGACATCTCCAGTGCTCCATACGCTACCAATCCACTATCCGACCCAGCGTTAGCAGCGACTTGCGCCTAAGCTCGCCCGCCTTACATGGCCCCGCCAAAAGCTAATCGGTCCCTCCCTATTGAACCCTCAACGTCAACTCTTGTTTCTCACCAACTTCTTTAAACTTCCTCAAACTCTCCTCCTCATCCTCCCAAACCCTCCACTCCTATTTTTGTCTCTACGCACACATCTTTTCTTTCTTTCTCTCCTCTCCTCTCCTCTCCTTCTCCCCCTATAATCCACATCTCTCTTCCTCTTCTTCAACTTCGACTTCGACCCCCCCGCAGCTGACACCCATCATCACCACCACCTAATCCACAACTTCAACACCATCATCCGTCACCATGTCCCGCAAAGGCGTCGGCATCGCCGCCTTCGACCGCTCCCGCATCACCTCTGCCCAATTCGCCTCGCACGGCTCCTCCCTCCGCGCCACAAACGCCCAGGCCCTCGAGACCCAGCTCGCCGTCTTCCGCTCGCTGCTGCAGCAATTCGCCGCCACGCACGCAAAGGACATACGCTCCGACCCGTCCTTCCGCGCCCAGTTTGCGCGCATGTGCTCCGCCATCGGCGTCGACCCTCTCGCGAGCTCAAACAGCCACAACAGCAACTCCTCTGGGTCTTCCGTCTGGGCGCAGCTGCTGGGCAAGACGGTCAACGACTTTTACTTTGAGCTGGCGGTGCGCATTGTCGAGGTCTGCGGCGCGACGAGGGCCGAGAACGGCGGCCTGATTGGGCTCAAGGAGCTGAGGGATCGGGTTTCCAAGGGACGCATGGAGGGCGCCGATTCGATTAGCGACGACGACGTGCGCCGCGCCGTGGAGACGCTCAAGCCGCTCGGTGGGAGCTATGCCGTCGTCACTGTCGGTAGGAAGGAGTACGTGCGGAGCGTGCCGCGCGAGCTGAGCACCGATCAGGCGGCTGTGGTGGAGGCGGCGCAGGTGCTGGGGTACGTGAGCGTGAGCATGCTGCGGGATAACCTGGGGTGGGAGGTGGCGAGGTGTAAGACGGTGATTGAGGATTTGATGGCGGGAGGCATGCTCTGGGTGGACAAGCAGACAAAGGGGGAGTGGGAGTACTGGAGTCCGGGTGTCATGGCTGATACGGACGGTGGCGATGCGGGACCTTGAAGGAGTGACAATTACGACACAAAAGGGTGACGGGTAGTGCTACCGAGTGCTGAAATATTTGACCAAGAGGAGCAAATGTCGAACCATACGTCATCTCATACTTCCCTCCAGGCACCAAATCATCGCTTTGAAAAGCAATGAATCCGATTCTCAAACATACCATCACCATATCCTTACGGTGATACTGCCAACTCACGAATTTACGACCAAATACCCCTAATATAACGATACACACGAACATATCAAGATACAACTACGGCATTACATAATTAATAGAAGGCAAAGTCTAGACGAAGACTCTATCTATCTACTTTTGAACACAAAGGAACACATAAACAACCAAATAGAAGAAGAAGAAGACAAATGAAGAGGAGGAGCAAGAATACATAACAAAAATAGAAAAAAAAACGTCAATCAAAACATTTATACAAGGGAGCATCTAACCAAGTCATTACTAACAAACATCGCGTTGCCCTCCCCCTCCAAACAAAGCCATCATTCTTTCCAGACGCACGCAAGCACCTTCTTTCCCCCCGTTTTCCCCATTTCAATGAAACCATCTCTCCTTGGAAGCAAAAAAGCACGAATGGGTCATCATCTTGACATATTGGAGCCCACCCTCGTTTCTTATCCCGTAACGTAATATATGGTTTTTTCGAACCTCCCACCCGCACTTCAGATTATGGATGTTTTTTCCCTGACTGGCTGCCTTAGAAGGGGAGAGTACTCCAGCGTATGTTCGCCGCCAGGGTATCATTTGTAGGCTTTAGGTCCCAGTAGTCTTTAGTAATTAGGGTTGTGGCCGCTCATGTTGGGGTTCGGTCCCATGTGGGGAGGGGGAGGATAGTCCTCAGGACCAGGGCGGCCCATCTGAGGAGGGCGATTGTCGCGGATATCGCGAGGGTCGCGAGGGTCACGAGGATCACGAGGATCACGGATATCGCGAGGGTCGCGAGGATCACGGGGATCACGGCTCTCGCGGACATCGCGGGTGTCACCGTAGTGCTTCTTACGCAGGGCTGCGAGACGCTTCTTCTTGGTGAGGGTGTTGATGTAGGTACCAATGACGAAGGAGACCAAGTTGAAGAAGGGGACCCAAAGCTCGTCAGGGAGGAACTGCTGGGCAAAGGCCAGGCAGATGGGGGAGGTGAGCCAGGAGATGCGCATGACTCTCCAGAAGCCGACCTTGACGGTGGCGCGAACCTGGTGGAATGTTCGAGCGCCGGCAATGAGAGCCATGGCGACCAGGTAGATGCTGTTCTGGATAGGTGCAATCTATCATGGTGTTAGTATCTCTTGCTCATTACAAATGATGTCATGATGGAACCAAGGTCAATTCGCTTATCAGATCTGAAGGGGAGGCGACTCCGTTTCAAGATGGGGATTGAAACAAGGTAGGCGAAGGGGGGGTTGAAGAAGCACATACCACCAGGTTGCTGACGACAATCTGCGTAATCTTGGCGCGCAGACTAACGCGACCCTTGAAGAGCTTCTGGAGGAGCCAGATGAGAAAGTGACCCAGAGGAGCGCTGACCAAAGCTCCGTAGGCGGCCATCTTGGGGACGCGAGAGGTAAAGTAGTTGCCATGCTTGTTGCGGTCCTTGGCCAGCCACGAGGCGAGAAGCTCCTGAGCTCCGGCGAGTGTACCAGCCGTGAGCATCTTGGTGCGCAGAGGGTTGGCCTCGAGCTCCTTGATGTAGGACTATAAATTGGAACAAGTCAGCCATTAGCCAAACCTAATTTCAACATTGTCCACCAAACGTCCACCATTCTCCTCCATCCTTTTCGCATTCATTTTGCGCGCGCAACAAGAGGGATTGGGCCAAAAACGTACCGCCAAGTAGCCCTTGGTGCCTGCCATGGACTTTCCTCCCGTCAGGGCGGTGCCAAGGGCCTCGGAAATCGGGTGCTTTCCACTGGTTCCGGGGAGAGGAGGAGCGCCTTCAAAGGCTCGTCGGATCGGGCCAGGTCCTTCGGCGAGAGCAGCGGCGCGCTCAGCAGCGCGGTCGGCGGCCTCGCTGGCCTGGTCGACGCTCTTCTCGGTGATGGTCTTGATGGTCCTCTGGACTACGCCGCCCTGTTCGGCAGCCATCTGCTGGAAGGGCTGAAGGGCGTTTGAGGTCGCAGCATCTTGAAAGGTCTGGACCGTGTCCCGCTCGAATTTGACCGACATGGTGCTCGTTTCGCGGCGGCAGCGTCGCTGGTGTCGTCGCTATGGATGGTTGGGGTCGTGGTCGTGATCGGGAATCGTGGCGGTGGCAGCGACGACGGGGAGCGGCGACGTGAATTGCGGTTGCAAGATCAATCGACGTGCAGCTATGCTCTCGTGGGGCGAGTCAGGGATAGACCGTCGTCATGAGACGGGCGGAGAGGGTCTGGCTGTCCAACGACGCGACGGCGGGATGATTAGCAGATGCAAACGCTTTGGGCGGCGGAGAGGTTGGGGAGCAATTGAGGCTGTCGTGGTGACAGGGCCCAGCCAATGGATTTGTTTACACGACGAGACACAAGGCCTTGATGCGCTGAGTGGGCCACCCAACCCCCCGGACAAGTCTGGAGCCCGCTGGCTGCTGCTGATCCGAGTCTCGAGCTGCGCACGTCCATGCAGGTGCATACACTTCAGGACCTGCTGCCTCGGCAAAGGGAATTGAGGACTCCCGTGTCCCCTTGCCCAGAGACTGTGTCGGGTCGCGTCAAGACTGGCTGCCGCAAGGATGGCGTGGGAAGACGAAGAGCGGCCCTGAACCTGAGGGGGGCTGACAGGGAAGACGAGAGGAACAGGCACAGCGACGGCACAGCAACAGGAACAACAGAACCCGTGATCCAACTTACCAAAACAAAGCTTCGTCGCGAGAGCTCGTGGTGTCCTGGGAGACGATCTTGTAGCAATTTCTTTTCTTTTCTTTTCGTTCTCCTCAGCTAGCCCCGAAAGGGAGAAGAAGAGAAGGGCGAGGAGGGAGAGGGCGAGAGCGAGAGAGAGCGGCAGCGCGCACGAGGGAGTGAGATTGAAAGAGTCAAGATTGCGAGAGGCTGGGCGGAATGGATGAAGCCGCCGGTACCTCGTAGGTGTCCGGCTGGTGGCAGCGATGCGGCAGCGAGGGCGGACGGTGGACAAGTACCTGCACTGCTGCTCTAGCCTCCGTACACGAGGTGCGACCGTCTGTTGACCTGAGATTTGTTTCGTACCTGATAATCCGTAGCCCCCCGTATTTTCTTGGATTACTGGTACAGCGGCTGGCAGGCAATAAACTTGTATCTGCTTTGGGCCTCGGGCGGTGCCTGAGCGCCGAATCAAGAGACGCGTCTGGCGTGGCCGCTCCATATTTCCCGCACCTGCAAGCAAGCTTCTTGGGCTGAGCTGGAGCTGCGTCGAGGTGCTGGGATCAGGCAAAGGCTGGGACTCTGGGAGGGCCCAGACGGGGTCGCACGATCGGGCAGCGCAGGCGTCGCGACGCTGTTGCTGGCTGAAAGTGGGCGAGCTGTGGGCGAAATGTGGGCGCCTCCGGGCCTTCGATTGGAGGCTGGAGCCGGGCTAGGACGCAGCGCATGCAGGGGTGGGAGATGATGAGAGCAGCAGAGCCAGGGTCGCGGCTTGTGCTTGTCTAGCTTACGGGTTACGAGCCCGTTTGTTGTTGCTCTGCTGAGAGCTGCGCTGAGCTGCCGCGTTTGTCATTGGCCGGATCGCCGACCCTTGCGAGGCTTTATTGACGGGGCCGTCGTGATTTTCTCTTCTCCACAGCAACCATATTGATCTTATTTTTTTTTCTTCTGCGGTGCCGGGGCAGTGAGATTGGATGGTCGTAAAGGCTGCCGGATGCTTGCTCTAATCAAGGCGCCAATCTGGGCTTCTGCTTAGCCACGCGCGTGTCGTGCATGGTGCAGATGAAGATGACTGCGCCGCCTAGTTTGCTGCGAGGAACGCCTCCGATCCGCCTTTGTGTAAACTCTGCACGTCGTCGACGCACAGGCCGCTGCTGTTACTGCCTCAGTCGTACGCGATGCTGCTGCCAGGGGGGTTGGCAGAGGCGGTGGTGGCATCTGCAGCAGCTTAATTGTTTGTTGTGCGTGTGTTTGGAGTTTTTAGATTCAGCTGCCATTGGACCTGATAAGTGACGTACCGATTGTGGAGGACCGATAGCAGAGACATCCCCGCGCGTTCATTGGCCAATATTCCGTCTGAGGCGAGCTAGTGACTGCTACAGGCGACAGTCATCAAGGAGACGTCGATTCAATATTAATCTTGTCAGTAAACAGATCTGGCGCAGTGTCTTGAATAGCGCAGATGATTCTCGCTGTTGAACTTGAAGAATTATTTAGATGTATTAGGGCTCCGTATTTGCCATTTTGAGCCCTAAAGTCGCATTCTTAGTCAAAGTACCTCACCCGCCAAGAGGATGTGACTACCAATGGCTGTATTCCGTATTTGATATGTTTGCCAATATCTGTAGCAAGCATTGATGGCTTCTTGTCCACGGTACAGTTTATACATCTACAGCTCTCTGTTGCACAATGTATGCACCTTTTCGACTATTCTTGTGCCACAATTATGAACTTGGACACGCACAGTTACACGCTTAGCATAAGCATACTACTACTAGTATGATGCAGCCTCCATATTCTCAATTCATTATTTTTCCCTCTATTTAGAAACACTGCTTGGGCCCTCGATGACGACGACGCAAATTTCAATTCATGGTTCTAGCTTTAGCATTGGCCTTGGTCAACTGAACTGAACCACTACAAACCTCGTCAGTGATGCTTTAGCGCTGCCATGGCGGCTGCTCGCCTCGAGGTTGCCACTGGCACTCAGTCACGCGCAGTGCCTGGCCGCCTGGAGGCTTCTGTCTTTCAGGTGCTCCATTCACCTCAAGCCCTGAGCACAATAGAGTATGAACGAGGCTCAAAAATCATCAGTTTTCATCTTTTTTCCATCAAGATTATAACCGGCTTCTCCATCGCCCTACATTCCACCCCATCAGTATTTCTTCGTCCAAGCATTGTTACGACATCAAGTGACTGGGATTATCTTCTCTCGAGCATCTTTTCCTTCTCTCTCTTTGAAGGTGCAAGCTCTCGAAATCGCAAAGTTGCTACTCGTCGAAGAAACCGAGGTCAAACCCGTCCAAATGTTCGTCATGCATAAAAACGCTCCTCCAGGCCTCCATAGGCATTCATCGTTCCAACCGCAGTGCACACACGCTACCATGACGAGGATCTACAGTCCGACGCTCCTCTGTTCCAGCTGCCGCTATCCTGGCCCGTCTGGATGGCTGTACCAGTGCACGCAAGATAGAGAAGACCTGATCGAGCACGCTGTGAAGCAGGGAGAGTTTGTATGTCAACCAAAATGCTGGGGAACCAGATATCCCTGTTAGGAATTTGTATTAAATGTTGACTATTAACCCCTATAGGTCAATATGGATCATATCGGCTGTCAACTTACCCCAATGATGGGCATTCGAAAAGGAAGTCCTGCTGCTCGCGAGGACCGACTCAGCTTCTTCAAGGAGATTAGCCAAAAACAACTTGCAAGTTACCAGCCCGATCAAATTGCAAAGATACTACGACAGCGTGAAAACGTATGTGAAACGGACGCTCAAAGCTCAACATGTCCATCGATCTACTGCTAAATCACCACAGGTCCAACTTGCTATCCAGCGAGACAAGATTCAAAAGAACAGTGCCGCGATCCTCAGCCGCCTCGCTCAGCCCTACGGATTAGATAGTGCGTCTTGTAGCATTGGGCTTCAAAAGCCGTGGCTGTGTAGCCCGCAGGAGGAATGCCAGTATCGCGTCTGCCAAAGCTGTCGGCCTGGCTGCGCAGACCGCGCATTTCTCAGCCTCAACGCCGTTGCTAATGGAGAGGTGCCCCCTACTGCCGCAGCTGGATATAGTTTCCACCTCCTGGGCCAGCGGCCTGTCATAGATGCGAGGAACCTCCTGGATATGGGCTGTCGTCCAGTGCCCTTGGTGAGTTTAATGAGTATTGGAGTACGTCAACGCTCGGAACTAATAACAATTCGATGACAGTCTCGCTCTTCTCCTGCTAGCACGGAACACGACTCTCCTGCATCGACGATGAGTGTCATGGACTTGCTCGACGCGCAGATCGCCCGTGGACGTATTCTGTGGACAAGAAGACAAGACGACGCCGAGATAGAAGAGTATGATGCCGACTTTGACTGGTCCCTTACGCCTACGATATCCAGCATCACTTCTGGCCATTTAAAGTACTCTCCTGGATGCGAGAATCTAGGAGTGCTTTCAGAAAATGCATCGGCCACGTTTGACCCACAGCAATGGACGCCTCCTCCTTCAGAGAACGATCTGCCTGGGAATGAGGCTACGGAAGATGATTACAGGTAAGGGGCTGCAGCTGCCTAAACATGCACCATTGAATTCATGTTTTATCTGCAGGGTTTATCAACTAATACATTAGTAGTGGCACTCCTTCGAGAGCCCAGAGTGCACCATCGCCCAAAGAAGATGTCTCTCAGTCAACTGAAGGTCTCATCATCGGCCATGTTCGCGAGCTGAGTCTTGACGAATCGTTAAACAAAGCAACACTGGGACCATCTCAGTCAACCAACGAAAACTTTACCCCGTCTCCCCTCAAAGTGCCCCATGGGGTAGCCATGCTGGAAGAGAGCGTCGAGCTAGGGGTTCCAGATGTCATTACGCAGGCTTGATTTGATACTTTTTCCTTTGCGGTCTTCCAACTTGCTTTTCTGTATTGTATCATACATGTTTCGGTTTCGAGGCTTGGCAGCGTTTGTTTGAGTCGATGTGGTACAATGAGCGAGATGATGTTCTTCAAAGAGCGGGTGCTAAACAAAAGGTGGCTTTTCTTCTTCTGCTTCTTACGCTGGGATAGAGTAATAGAATCCATACACTTGCTACTCATAAATGTTCGTTTCCATTGTATGTATAATGTTTCTATAGGAAGGATGTCATGAACCAAAAGAAACACAAAAGAAACACCCTCCTCTTACTTGCCAAAATTCAAGCTCTATCCATCGCTCCAGGGTAATCCAAAACAAATAAGTACAGTATCGTCATACTCATAACATAAACATTTCCGTCCCTTCATCATTCATCCAAAAACTCTTCTCACTTCTCATCCAACTTGAGATTCTCATCCATACTCGCCTGCACCTTCTTCATCATCTCATCACCAACCTTTTTCGCATCCGCAAACCGCGGCTGGAAAAACTCCTGCGTGCTCACGAACCGCTTCTCCCACGTCTCAAAGTGGCCCAGCGTGACGCACTCGGCCCAGCCCCGCGCGGCAAAGGTAAACTCGAGGTCGTCGCTGCGGTAGCGCTTGTCCTCGGTGGCCGTGCGCAGCGTCTCGTCGAGCATCTCGGTGTTGCGGAAGAGGTGCTCCGTCACGCCTAAACGCAGGCGGAACAGCGGCGTGCTGCACAGCATGTGGTCGTAGGGCACGATGCCCAGCTCGGCCCAGCAGTCAACCATGGCGAGCAGCGAGAGGTGGTTGTTGGGGCGGGCGGGCGTCTCGGCCGTGAGGGTGCCGAGCGAGAAGGACGTGAGGATGGAGGCCTCGAGGAGGGGGCGGTTGGCCCAGGTCTTGGAGGGCCCGAAGAAGACCTTGTCGCGGGCGGCGTAGATGCGGGCCTTGAGACCCTCGAGGTTGCCTTCCAGCATGAGCTTGTAGAGCTCGGTGACGGATTTGGCGTACTGGGCGACCTGGTCGCGGGCTTCCGGGTTGAGGATGGCCAGGCCGGCGTAGACGTGCCATTTCTGCGAGTAGATGCGCAGCATGATGTTCATCTTTACGTTTTCGAGCCCGCCAATGTAGCGGCTGAGCTCCCAGGGGTACTGCTCGTTGGCGTGCCACGCCTTTCCCATGGACAGGAAGGCGGCGTGCGTGACGGCCTGCGTGTCGGCGGTGATGCGGTCGTGCTCCTTGGCCGAGAGATAGACAAACTTGGACTGCAGACAGCTCAGGACGGCTTCGACCTTGTGCAGGGCCTCGTCCGGGGCGCGGTGCTGGATGAGCACCAGGGGCTGGCCTTTGGGATCGACGCCCGGGCCGTGGAGCGAGTGGCAGGAGAGGATGTAGACGTCTGAGGGGAGGTGGGCTTCAAAAGCGGCGATTTCGGGGGATTTGCACGATGTTTGGCCGCCGACGATGGCGCCCATTTTGGTTGCTGGATCATGTTAGTCAAGTTGAGATTGTACGCTTATAGATGGGACGTGAGATGCGCGTACAAGGTCCATATTGAGCAATCACACGATCAATAAAGGCGGCTTCAACACTGTAGATGATGTAGTCGCTCGCACGGGAGACGAGGTGGCCGTTGCGCAGAATCTCAATGTTCTTCTAGATGGGAGAGAGGCAGGCTTCAGCATCTGAGTTCGGTCACGGTGGATATAAAGGATGAGATATGAAAAAGTGGTGAAAGAAGAGATATCACGAGAACATTGTAGAAAACAGCGCGTTGCGTACTTTGCCATTGTATTTTTCTTTTAGGCTATCGTATTTATCTTCTCTGTCACAGGCCAGGATTCTGGAAAGAAACTTGTACGTTAATTACTCGGTCTACGTTGGGATGGGAACCATGATTGGTGAAATAAATCTAGAACTTTTTTGACTGTTAGCTTCTTTGCTTGTGAAGAAAAGAGAGAAATGAGTCAAAATAAAAAGGGTAGGGAAGAATTTTTTTCAGACACGAAAAGTTAGGTAGCTAGCTTTTTCATCACCGAAAGCACAAGTCCGGCCCTGGCCGACCGGAACGGCGACCAGGCGTCCTTGCACGATACTCGAGCCAAATGCGCTCTTGTCATCATGAAAAAATGGTGTGGGTTTGAGGGAGAAGAAACGAAGAGTCATGCTTACCTGAAGAAGAGACAGATTCTGTCGAGAGCAACATCCATTATTACATCAATGCGAGAAACTCACCTCCAGCCAGCTTCAGACAATTTCTCGGCGTACATCCTCCCCATGTCGCCCATGCCAATCAGCCCGACGGTGAAGTTTTCCATTCCCGCCGGAATGCTGGCGGCTTGAGTCGAAGCCATTGCGCGCTGCCCGACGCGGATCTTGAATGCAGAAATGTCCAATTGCTCGTCTTTTCCTCTTGTTTTTCTTCACCTGCTTGGTAGGGAGCGAGGGAAAAAAGACAAAAAAGGGTTGAGCTGAGTTTTAGGATTGGAAGAAGCTGAAAAAAAAAAAAAGTTCGCGAGATGTGGTTAAATATGGGCCGGTAGGTTTAGGTGGGGATCAAAAAGGATTGCTGAGTAAGCGCAGCGTAGCGACGTTGGCGGGGCATTTGGGCTTGATAGGCCGATATCGATATGGCGTAGGAATGCCGAAATAAAGACGGCCATGCAGCTGTCAAATAAGCTGCAAGGCACACACGCAAGAGCTTCATCCGATTTCGCTTTTCTCGTCACTTGATTAGCATTTGTTTCTCAAAAAATGGCTGTATACGCCATCGGCTCCAATGGATCCGGCCAGCTCGGCATCAGCCACAAGGAAGACGTCTCCGTGCCAAAGCCTGTGCTCTTCCACCCCGAGCAGCCCAGCTCTCGCATCGCCAAAGTCGCTGCTGGCGGCAACCACACGCTGCTCCTCACGGACTCGGGCAGCTTGTACTGGAGTGGAGACCCGGCCAGTGGAGCCTGCGGGCTGAGTCCCTTCCCCAACGTGCCGGTGTTTCTGGAAGCGCGGCTGTCAAAGGATGAGCCCGTCGGAGAGATTGCGCTGGCTGCGGCCACCTGGGAGGCGTCTGTCATTGTGACAAAGGATGAGCAGGGCCGGCGGACAAAGGTGTTTAGTCTCGGCATTGGGCAGAAGGGAGAGCTGGGATTGGGCGAGTTGATTGTGAGGACGCCGTCAGCTACAAGGGTTAAAGACTTTCCTCCCGCCGGGACGGAGGTTGTGGACCTGTCAGCATGTATGGGACACGCTGTTGCGGTTTTGGATAATGGCGACGTCTATGGCTGGGGAAATTGCCGCAAGTCTCAAGTTGGCGAGCCTGGTGCCGTCATTTATTCTCCGAGGAAGATCGAGGGTGTAGACTTCAAAGTTGTCAGGGCAGTGTGTGCCAAGGAGTCTACATGTCTTTTTGGAGAACCTGAGAGCGGCCATCTGCGTGTCTTGGGATCAGACAAATGGGGCTTGACTTCAGACGCTCCTTCAACAGCTATACCGTGGAAAGATGTCGGAGCGAGCTGGGGCAACTTTTACATTCTAGGAACAGATGGAAGCTTGATAGCTTGGGGACGAGACGATCATGGTCAACTGCCGCCGCCAAACCTCCCCCCTGTAGACAAGATTGCCATTGGCAGCGAACACGTCGTCGCACTCTCTGCAGAGGGCGATGTTGTGTCTTGGGGCTGGGGAGAACATGGCAACTGCGGACCGCGAGTGGAGAATAACGACGTCAAGGGAAGATGGAATGTCATTGCATCGTCAAAGCATATTCCCCCAGAGAGTAAAATAGATAACATAGGCGCCGGTTGTGCCACTAGCTGGATATCCATTACATCCAGCTAAAACCACCATCTTCCAATTCTAACCAAACCCAAACGTGAAAAATTATGATGGTTCTTGGCTCTAGCTCAGTCGGGAAACAGATTCAAGCCCTTGACATCGGATAGTCTCTGAGTCGGGTCCACGTATGTTGACTCTGCTGCTGCTCCTGTGGCATCGATATCGTTGGTCGGCTCATAGCTGCCAGTACGAATATCATCTGCGCGGCTCATGTGCGAAATAGAGGGATTCTGTCTCCAAGTTAGCCACGGGACACATTAGACGATTTACCAGGCCACTTACAGGGTCAGCACTATGATCCCATTCCAATCGTGCATCTTCATCTCCGTCTTCATCCTCGTCTCTTACTGGCTCCCACGCCTCATCTTCGACAAAAAGACTGTCAGATCGTAACGTGGGCGGTGGCGGTCTCTGTGAAGGTCGGAAATCGAAAGCGCCAATGCGGGAAGCACTCGCTCTAGCAGCACTCAAACGAGGAGTTGGATTCGGTGGCTGCCGCGATGATGCTGGCGGTGGCATTTCGGATTGTTGTCGCTGAATCTCAGCCGCGGTCTGTGACGGTGCTGCGCTTGTGCGACGAGATGTGGCTTCCAGATGTGGCGGCACATGGTTGTTGCTGCTTGGGGCGCCTTTGCGGACCTTTTTGGTCCTTTGCGCAGGATTGCCGCCTCGCTCGCCTACTGTCATGATGAGAAACTCGCAAGAAATGGCGTCGCTGGCGTATGACAACTGCATTGGTCGTGCGGGGAGGGAATATCGAGCTGCAATGGCGTTGCCAGTGATGGCTGCGTGCTGGGTGATTGCTCGAATGTCCTTGATGGAGACGACGATTTGGAGCTTGTCTTCCACGTCAATGTCATCAAACTCGTCTGTTTCAACAGAAATCGAGGTATGCAGAGGTTTCTTAAGGACCGCTGTTCCACGCGTTAGCTATTTCGCTCCATGAGACAGGCGTAGCAACATACCATCGTCGCTGATGGTCTTCTCGCTGAAGCAAGTGAAGTTGACGTGGTCGCCGTCAGTGTTGACCTCTAGGTACTCTGTTCCAGGCCCAAAGTGGTCCACCAGCTGCTTCAATGTTCTTGACGAGATACTCCAGTGATATAGGGCTTCCTGCCGGTTGAATTTGGCGTGCACCGGCATGCTGACTTCAAAGGGCAGCCGATGCGTGGCTGTGAGTCCGTTCCGAAAGATTATGCGGGCGATGAAGCGGCTTTTGACGCCTTCTCCATCTTCAATGGCAACGTCGCACCGGTCTATAATGGTTTGCTTGTCGACATCCCCCCGGGATTCGACTCCAGATCTGCTGCGGAAGAGAGAGATTAAGCCCTACAAGACAGAGACAATAGAGTCAGTTGTCACCGGCTTGGTACAATTGTATGACAGAGTCGGCCTCACTCGTATGTACATGGAGCAGTAGAATTTGTCTTGGAACTGTCCCGTGGCTTGGTACTGGTAGCGCCCAAAGAACCGGTTGGTCGCAAACCGGAAGCTCGCGTAAGCTGACTTTGATGTGTTCATGGTAGATAGGAAGAACTAATCGTCGAATTAGCAGCTGATGTTGAAGTGAATCATATGGTTTCTCACAGAATCTTTTCGCGCTTCAATAGAGACATCTTCGCTAAACTTGCTCAAGCAATTGAGGGCGTCGCGAAACGCCGTGACGCCCTCTTCGCTGAGGGTGAATGTCAGGATGGCCATGGTGGCATGAGGCTGAATATGAGTGGCTGTGGAAGACGGATGTGCGCAATTGGATTCAAGAAGGCGTGAGTTGGCTATGAGCAGCTTGGAGTTAAATTGATAGTCATTCTCTTTTCATCGCATGTGATGCAGTTAATGAGCAGTTGAAACATGAACTGAGCTGCCATTCAGCTCTTGTTCACGAATAGCAAAGGTCCGCCATGACGTATAGACGGCTATCTGTAGTTGGTAAATATTTATCGCTTTATCCAGGAATATGCATATTGCGAAGCTAAGCCAGACCCCGAGATTGCTTCACATTACGAACCGCAGAAGAAAGACCAGTTATTATTTGCTAAGAGAACAAGTTTTGATTTTGATTTTTAGTTTTAGTTTTTTTGCATAGGTTTATAATTTTTTTTTTTTGGTTTGTCCATTTTCATCTGCCGCTTCATTTTTACTTGAACATCCGGCTTAGTGAAAGTTGCAAGCTCCAACACACATCTGCATTTGTCTGCTACCTTTCCTGCTCATAGAAGAAAAGAAAAAAAAGGAAAAAAAAAAAAAAAAAAGACTGCAATTATTCCGGGGAGGGGGGTTCTGCTAGGTGTCCTTCATCTGTTCGATCTTTTCGCGGCATCTTTTAAACCGTTTCCAATGTTTATTTCGATTATCAGGTCTGGTGAAAGTTTTCCCACAGGCCACGCAAGAACAGCTCAAGTCGGAAAGGCCATTTGCACGAGCCCAACCTTTATGTGCAGTCCGATAATGCCTCTTTAATTCGGGATCGGTTGAGAACAGTTTGCTGCTACAAGGAACAGGTTTCGCCTCGCACGGCAATGTTGGGTTGCCCGTGTCTAAATGTTTCCTGTAGATCAATCACATGTTAGGTCTTTGTTACATTTCTGAAAGACAGTATTGAAAAGGACCGGCACATGTTAGGAGATGCATTTACTTACTGAAAACCTCCTTTGGTTGAGTACCACCGATCGCAGCACCACATCTTGCCAGGTTCGCGACGCCCTAAGAAGATACTCAGTAATCGGTACAGAAACGTACGGACGAAACTTGCTAACCGTCGTTATCCACCTCGGAGTAACGATGTTTGGTTACACTGGTAGCAGGAGAATCTTCTGTACCGGAATCTTCTGTACCGCCAGCAAATACCTCATTGTCCAAGGAAACTGAGCCAATGCCCATTTCTCCGTCATTCAAGTCATCAGCTAAGCCGATATCATTGGAAAGTGTCGGGTCAATGACCATCCCCCCAAAGTCAAAGACATAATTCGGGTTGATATGATCGAATGGAGCCAGGCCAGTGCCCACTCCCCCTCCATCAACGACATTGCTCATTTCGGTGTCATTGACGATGTTGTTTCTGTTGTTTTCTTCAGCATAAGTTGCTGGAAATGTATTTTGAGTATCCATGCTGTCTTGAATAAAGTATGTTGTATAGTTTTGTAAATAATTTTCTGTTTCGTTTTTCTGATAGTTGTTCAACGTCAAAGAACACGCCACTTCACGTCTCAAGAAATCGTCATCTTCCAACAATCCCGCATAAGGCTCAGCCGACCCAAGGGTATGGGGATAGAGGCCAGTCTCATATGGCTGACTCCCCACCTATACCACGGAGTTGAGATTGTTGAAAGACGACATGCCGCTGCTTTGTTCAAAAGCATTCTCTGACGGAGTGGCAGGCATGACAAAGTCCTGACCTATTGACGTAGGCGTCGGGAAATTGGCCCCTTGGAGACTGCTGTCTGGGCTTAAGCCGGGCTCAATTTCATATTCAGGTGAATAAGGCGCATCAATAGATTGATGGTCATTCGAGACTTGGAGCAGACGGCCTTCAGGATCCGACATCCAATCATAGCCATCATCATACCTTGGCAGCATGTTGAACAGCGAAGCATCCTCATCCGTTGTTCGAGCCTGTAATGCTCCGTCAGGCTCGTCCATGTTGGGCAGTTAAAACGCAGTGTTGAAGTTGATATTAGTATCTATGCTAAACGACATTTCATCAGTACTGTTGCTACGTTGATGGTACCGGGGTGCATCGGTAAATACGGCTGAATTTGGGATAGATTTGAAAGCATGCTTACCTTGTGATGATAGATCTTATAGAAAGTTGACGGTGTTGGAATCAGAGGATGATGCAAACAACAAGTCTCGAGTGCCCAAAATACGTCAAGGCAGCCTAGCCTGTCAGGCTGACTCTACATTGAAGAAAGGAGAAGAAAGAAAGTAACACAAGCTGGGTTATAGAGATATTTATAAACCTCCCAGACGCCCTCTGGTTCTATCTGATTCTATTTCGAGACAGAAGGGACGTTGGCCGGCCCCGTCACTCGCTTGCAGTACAGCGTCCATATTCCCACGCGATGAGTCAATTCCCTGCTTGTTCAAAAAAGCAAGGCTGAGCTACGTAGCCGACCTGAGACGTGCCACCTCAGCGCGTGTGATTGTGTGATGCAGCTCTGATTGGACCGGGCTTGGAGGGGTATTCAGGCCTCCCGCCGAAGTGTGGTCGCATTGGTGCCCTCTTTTTGTCGGGAGAACTCCCGCATGACACGTCTCATCCGGATTGGTTGATTTAGAGGCTCAATAGTGGTTCTCTTGTCTTGTTTGGAGAACTCCCGCATGACACGTCTCATCCCGATAGGCTGAGTCGGAGGCTCAATAGTGGCGCTTATTGCCCAACGCGCGCTTGTTACACCTGCTTGGGTTATGCGGGAGGGCCACGAGTTTGACGGAGAGGCATTCTTAGAAGGCTGAAATCGCAACTATTACAATATAAAGATATGAGAAATGTCTCAAATTTTCTACGTAGAATCAAAATAGTACTTGGCAACAAGAAGAAGAAGATTCAGAATCAAGCGCTTATTTTTCAATAATTCACTTGTGTTATACCAACAAGTCTTACACATCTACATACAACATGTCTCAGACCATGACAACTACTTCACTTTCCGTCCCATTGCCCCTGGATATAACCGCAGAGGATCCAGTTCCATCAACCAGCAGAGCCATTCATAAATTCTATGAACCAATCATACTCTACGAGGCTCTTATCGACGCAGTCAAACACACCGCCAAGCCGCCTTCCCCGGAGCCAATCATCAATATCGAAGACTCGAAGCAAGTCTTCTGCGCCTTTGTCAATAAACTCAGCCACGTCTGCGATAAGAAGAGAGGCGGCGATACAGTCACTTCGTTTGTTGTCCTCAAAGACCAGCGCAACCCCGCCAGAGCTCACTTCGTCTTCGCAGCCAACCGGCAGACTGTCAGCGAACTAGGAGTCACGGCTGCGTATGTCAAGGCTCTGCTCCAGAAGATAGACCAGGCACCCGACGGTGAAGTGAACCAGCATAATGCAAGGAGCTCGCTGCTTTATCATATTCTGCGGTTCAATCGCCCTCGGGTCTCTTTCTATTTGCGCAATCTTCGCTCTCAGGCGGCCAACTGCCTCGAAAGCTGCCAATCAACTAATCTGGAACATGGTATTATTCAATGATCCAGAAATTTTGTGAGCACTGAGATGGCTAATATTATGTAGACGGCCTAATTGCAGAGGAGCTGAAGAAGATTCTGGTTTGTCCTAGTAATGGCTCGCATGAGAATGATCTGGTAGTTGACTGTAAGCATTACTTCAAAAAAAAAAAAAAAAAAAACAGCGCAAGCAACCGCTAACAATTCCTACTTGACCAGACCTTCGACAATCAGAGACAGTGATCCAGCTTTTGGTCCGAATGGAGAAAACACCAGCCGGTGCAGCAATCAAGACTCGCGCCATGGAAGAGCGAATGCTCGGCGTCACGAGCATGGAGTGCTGGCCAAAGTTCTTCCACACCATGAGCCGCATCTTGGCTTACCTCCAGTCCGTCAAATTCCTGCTCCGCGCAAAGAGAGAGTGGCCAAGCCTCTTCCAAGATCCGACCGTAGACTTTCTGTCGTCAAGCCGTCCAATGGTGAAGCCAGCCCGGCAAAAGAGTCAGCGAGCCGACGAGATCATCGGACGCATGACCCGCAAAACCAAAAACATTGAAATTTTTAAAAGATTTGTAGAGGCTCTGCAGGTGTTTGACCTCGACGCTCGAATCCAACAAGGGTTTAAGAGAGATTCTTTTAAACCCACCGCGCATGCAGAAGTCATCTTGCTCAACTGGCTGTTAAAACCAGGAGAAGCTGCTCCGGAGAAGTTTTTCAACGACTGGGCGTACATTGGCAGCAGCAAGCCGACTTGTAAGCTATGTGTTCATTACTTCCGCGAACATCGATCAAATGTCGAGCACCGACCTTGTCACGGCAATTTCTATCCCAGCTGGCGCATTCCTGACGTGTTTCCGTATCAAGGCGAGGCAGCCAAAGAGCAGAAACAGCTAATGGTGGATCGAGTGCTGGAGCAAGTGAGAAAGGATACTTTTGATATTGTGAGGAAGAAGGCTTCGCCAAGTATGAAGGGAGATGACTCCAACACATTGACGGCCGGAATGACGCTTGACGACAGCTGGTCTGTACGAGGGTCACAAGATGATTACGACGATATTGCATCCATGATGGGAGATGTAAGCCTGAACTCTTAGTAGAATCATTTCTTATTGAGGAGAGCTAGCGTTTGTTTCTTGTATTCATTCTGCCTTTCAAAGGTTCCAACCCGATGTTCCACATTCCATCTTTACCCCTCAATCATAACACAGCAGTACTTTGACAAACATCTCAACTAGTGCCACATGGACCATCATCAACGTATTTCACTGGTTTTGGTGGTTCTTTCAACCACTTGTGGAACCTCCCAAACGTAGCCGCCCAAAACAGGTGACGAATCTTGCGTGCATTGATTCCAGGTCGATCAACGTCATTGACCGTGTTGCCGTCCGACGCTTCAACAGGCTTTGAGAAGAACATGCCCATGATTGCGAAATTGTGCGGCTTTGGCGCAGATTGTGCGAAAGACTTGTGGGATGTGAGTGGGAAAATCTGCTTGCTGAGGTGTATCGTCAGTGTCGCGGGTCTATCTAGCCTGATGATGCAACTTACAAAAAATAGCAATGCAGTGTAAGTCTATCAGGAGAAAATAAAGCTGTTGATATTCGATGAATGAGAATAAAACATGGATGGCGGTGTGGAAAATAAAAGCCAAGAGGAGAGTGTTTGTTGTCCAGGGAAATCCATTTTCTAGTTGCTACGGCAAAGCTAAAGCATAAACTTTGCTTCGCTCTAGAACATGGCAAGTGCTGCCATCTCAATGTTATTAACAGTGAACCACGCGGCGTATATAAAAGCTTGAATTTGCTCACTTCATTCGTCGAGCCCTCTTTTCCCAGCAGCCACCAAGCTCAGCCTTCCAGGCTTGTCACCAGTGCCCGTCCAGTAGAACAGCCCTCCGAGGTTCTTGTGAACCACATATTTGGCCTTCATATGGACAGTCTTCGGAACATCAAACGTAATGTAGCCTTTGCCACTATTTGCATCTACGTACCAGGCTGCCACAGATGTCTCTTCAACCACGGCGTTATCAACCCATTCATCCGGCATCTCGTAGTAGTCCATTTCCCCTGCGCCTTCGGTAGAGCAGCCAGGCCCCTCGGCGACGGGGAAATATCTCGCGTAAGCAGGAACGCCAAAGACAAGTTTCCTACTGGGGAAGCCCTTGGACAAGATATATTCGACGCCATCTGTGGCGCATACGCCGAGTTCTGGGTATGAAGACTGGAGGCCGCCTCGAGGGGAGTGGAGCTGTGCTTGGTTGCCGCAGACGCTTGTCCAGGAACCGGTGAAGTCGTATGCCATGAGATTGATGTAATCGACTAGACGAGACACTGCTCTGAGATCGATGTGCTTGAGGATATATTGGCCGACGGGAAGAGCGGTGGTGAGAAGGTATGTATTCTCAGGAAGGACATTGCGGCACTCTTGGAGAAGCTTCACATAGTCGTGACCCTCTGCTGTGTTTTTAGGATGTTCCCAGTCGACTACTTCGACGTTAGTAAAAGCTCTTCATAGCGGATTGATACAGCGTACTGTCAACGCCATCGAGTTTATAGCGGTCACAGAGATGGCGAACCTGCTTTGCAAGCGTCTGTCGCCCGTTGTGACTGGCAGCCAGCGTGCAAAACTGTTTGCTATCGGCACCTCCTCCAATAGATACAATCGTCTTGAGATGAGGGTTCTGGCGCTTGAGTTTGGCGAGGGCATGCAGAGCGCCTTTCTCGCCATCGACATCCTTGACTAAGTCGGCGTGCTCATCGATCCACTACCTGGATATTAGCTACTTGGCTCAGCAAAGGGTATGGACTATACCATACGCGAAGCGAACCGTCTTCATTGACACTGTACATGATATTAGCCGTCAATTCGAGCTATATATGAGGCTTCCAAGGCGGGCTTACCCAACAAAGGCATAGAAGATGTGCGTAATATTAGCAACGTCAAGAGTCGCAGGCGTCTTGTCTTTATACACCAGCCAGCTGGGATAATACACGCCGTTCATATAACCGCGAGAAACAGGATGAGGGCGCGTCTGGTAGCCATTGCTGGCGTCCACTGGAGGCCGCTCAGCAGTTGGTGGCTGTTGGTGATGCTCTTGTTCACCGTCTGACGAGCCGCCCATGCACGAGCACGGACAGAACCAGGCTCGAGACCGAGGGACCATTTTTGATGGAAGTGTCTCTTTTTTAATAAGAGAAAATTAATTGAGTTATACTGAGGAATCTGAGATGAGACTTTAGATGAACTGGTTGAAAAAAGCTGCTGGTTTAACTTTGGCCAACAGCTGAGGTGATGCTGCAGGACCCCACTGGTGCTCCGCCTCTTTGAGCTTGTCACACGTCAGCGACTTGTTGCAGCATCTAAACTATTGACTCCGTAAATTGAGAAATAAATACAAAAGACTGGTTTAATCTTGAATTTAAGCTTTAATTGTCAGATGAAAAGCAGGCTGTTGGTGTTGAGCAATCTAGTAGGTATCGGAAGCAGTCGTGCTGTAATACTTGACCGATAGCAATGGATAGGACGCGACAATGCAGGAAAAAAGTAAATGAAATACGCAATTAGCTCAAGTGAATGGAGCCTCGGCAGATTTGGAGATTTCTTATCGGGAGATTTAACCTTTGCAGGCGATTCTCTTCATTGCCAACAGCTATTGGCTATAATCGTCCGAGTGGCTTTCTTAGAGTTTAATGTCAGTGATGAACGCCGCTTAGCTATCACATATGGAGACTTGAAATCTGGTATCAGTCACAACGATTTTACTACTAGGTAGTATGATCATTGGCATCAAGTTCATTATTCGTAATGTCTATCCGATCATCATAAACCAGTATCCAACATGATACCGCTCATCATTCCGAGCAACAAAACCAATCGCTTACACCGCCGTCGCACACCATACTGCCCTTTTCATCAAGCACTATCGTACCCCATTGCCGGTCGCCATAATCCTCCATCGGTGACGGCCCCAGCCCGCTTCTAATGCGATCCAACTCACCTCTCAGCCAATACGCCATGATGTACCAGCCTCTACCTGTGGCAGCCGAAAAGTCGTCTTGATATACCCTCAGTGCTTCCACCACTCTCTGCTGAATCTCAATGTTATCAGTGGCCGTCCACGCTGGGATGAGACACAGCGGTGCAAAGCTGGCGCCGAGGGGCCGATACTGCGAGGCATCGTGAGCCAATTTGATGGCGTCGTTGGCCATGTTGTCAGCCTCTTCGACCATGTTCCCATCATCAGCCCCAAAGGCACGCAGATACGCGTTGAATATCAGGGCAGACGCCACTAAGAGGCCAAATGACGCCTGGTAGTGAATACGAGTCTTTATAGACTCGCTCGTGGGCGATTTGGAGACAAGAGCGTCAGTGAGCTCCAGAGAGCCTTTCAGCAGTGGAATTTCGATTCGTATCCGCTGATATGAAGTAAGAATGTCATCAATATGTTTGGCAGGTTCACGTAGCAAGTCTGGAATCCGAGCGAGACTCTGTATGTGCAGGCTCATAAATCTTCGAGCGCTGTGAGTAATGGGAGCTGGTGGACCAAAAGCGCGGTCCTTGAGTCGCGAGAACCAAGAGCTCAGCCGTATCCTCGGGTTGAATATGGCTTCCAAAATCTGGTTCAACATATATAGTAAGTAAAAGTTCGGATAAGTGTACTTTCCAAGGCCACTAGGACTTACAACAGGGACGTAGAGGGTGAGGCGTATGGTGTCTTGGAACTGGTCTGAAGATTGCCCAGACTCCTGCCCAGATTCCATCGCTTCAAGCAAGTATGCAAGCCCTTCCCCATGACTGACTTTTTGGTCATTATCTCTTCCTGTCCATCCCTGTATAATTGAAAGGGACATGATTAGCCAGCGCAGATGCAGGATATTGCCAGGTATAGTGCAGTTACTTACTTGGCAAATCAACAGAATATATACGGCACACAGCGTCTCTGGTCTACTTGCTTTCTGTGGATCGTTCAAGCAATTCCTAAGAGCCTGCAACGCATTTACATACTTGACCACAGAGCCCCGAGACAAGCATGTCTGCTCACGCCTTCGCAAGTGTGGGTAGAATCCTACCATGGCCTCTACCGCTGCATCCAGAGCCTCATTGGTGCCCATACGCCTGGGCAGATCCTTGAACCACGGGCCGTAGCAGCGAAGATCGTAGCTGGGATCGGTAATGTCCAACAGAGAAACAAAAGCGCCAGACCGAGCAGAGTCTCTGCTGGACGCAATGCTGACGATGGAGCCCGGACTGTCACTCTCCGTCTCCAACGAGAGCGATGCTCTGCTCCGGGCTTTCTTGGACGATCTCACTGCTTGCAGATCCGTCTGATCTTTGAACTTGTATCGCAGCTGGCCACAGCCCACACACGCAATCTTCAGGCGCGTGCACCGAGAGCAGGCGGGCGTGGCCATGTCGCACTGGACGTGTCATTTTTAGTGCCATTGATATAATTGATCTCATATCCAATCATGGTGGAGCTGCTGCATGGTGGACACGACAGAAACCTCGCATTTCCATTTTGGGAACAGCACTAGAAACGAACCTTTTTCTTCTGCTTCCTGCACGCATCGCATCCGCGATAAGTTGGCACTCCCGGCATGGCGGCCGATTGAGCGCTGCGTGTTGCCTAAACTGGCAATGGGGCTCCGTCTCTAGTTGGAGGATGACGCCGTTCCAGCGGTTGTGCGTGTGGTTTGTGTCCAATGGATTTAGGCTGCTATGATGGCCTGATTGGTTTACTTTCATTGGCTTCACCCTCCGATGTGATGGTTGGAAATAGACATGCCGCATACAGAATCGAGGCGAGGGGAAGAAGAAATGCCAGACCAGCTCGTCCAGGCTTCTTGCGAGGCTGAGTCGAAGGATTCGCGATGATGTCAGGGGGAGTCTCATATCAGTCTCCGCTCAATTGGCTCAATCCGAGGCATTCATTGGTCCAGACAGCCACAGCTTCATCGGCTGCGGCGCAGCGCTCAACCTGATTGGGACAAGGCGAGATCTCTGTGGCTGATGCAGTAGTTCCTCGTCTAACAGAGCTACAAGACTCCATATGAGATCACAGACAGATGGATTGTTCGATACCATCCTACATGTTGGCGGCCATTGTATATATCTTGAACTTGTTTATATTGTCATCTCTCACCAAGATCTGTCCTTTCAAACTCAGTCTCAGCACTTACCGTGCTAACGTTAGTATCTCACACCACGGTATTTGGAAGCCATCAACGGAATGGATATACACGTCCTCAAAACTGCCAAACAGCTCGATAAAACTTACAAACTATATCCATCTTCCAACAATCAACAAAGCTCATAAGCTGTGTCATTTTGATTGACGAGAGTTTACCCCGCTGAGCCTGGATTCTTCCTCTAAATGAAATCTACCTATTGCCTATGTTTACTAGTTGCCCACAGCCATATTACTGCTATAGCACTGTATCTCATGGTGTTGCACAAGATCTGTCGCAGCATGAAACAATATTTCTAAAGCTATGCACAATTACTTTTGCCGTAAAAGGTCCAAAATTAGATATCATCGCGTCGTACAAAAGTGTGCTAGCACTAGATATATAAAGAAGACTGGCCAAGAATAATCCTCTTCTTGTGAGAAATGGAATGATTCAGAACAAAACATATATATAACAAGGTAATAATTTCTCCAGATGTGCAATTGATCTGCTTGCAAAAATGACTTGACAAGCGTCATAGCTTGCGCTTTGCCATTCATCAAATCAGCGCTAACAGTCTTTCGTGAGAGTTGAAAGCGCATGAAACAAAACACCACGAATAATAAATTTTCCTCGTTAAAAATAGACCTGTAAGCAAACATGATTAAGGCGGATCATTTCTCAACTTCGTTATGATCGCTCCAGGGCCCCTCGATCGCTTGCGCTGATCAGTTATGAAATCAGCACTAATGATTCTTGTTACTTGAAAAGGAAGTAGCAGATCTGGAGATGTCGTTGTGTTCTTTTTTTGTTTACACCCATGAATACTGAAAGATGTCGATCGTGAGGTAGATTGCATATATATTAAATGAACTCACCAGTGCTCTCGAACCGATAATTGAGTACAACACCCCATAAAGACTACCCTGCCATTATTACTTCCAACTTCAGCAATCTACCATAATATTTCTCACATTCCTATCAAACACAATGCTTGCCAAAAGTTACGCAAAAATCTACATGGCTCTAAGCCAGCTTGCCATCCTTGCCGCTGCAGGGCCCCTCGAGAAGCGCCAACAAACAGCAACTCTTTCAATTTTCTCGCAGGGCGGTTGTCAAGGAACAGCCGATAACTTTATACAGATTGACCAGCAAGACTCCTGCGTAGAGTTCAGCGAGTCTGCGGGAAGTTTATCATTGGACGCGAATTCGCAAGTAGCAACTTTGCAGCTATTCACCGGTGGGGGCTGTGGACAGGCCGCACAGGCAATCACTGGTAGCTCAACCTGTATATCACCCGGATTCGAAGTCACAGGAGTCCAATGGCACCTGGGCTAGTAGCGGTTTAAGCGCTACAGTACTTGGACATTGGCAGAGCAAGTTTTCCACCATTGGCTTGTTGGGGGACTCTTGCCCTAACATCCCCAGGAAGGAAGGAAATACGGGACCTCCCTCCGTATATATAGCTAGATTAGATCCCGCATCATGAGAATAGACAAGCTTTTCCACTCCTCACATTGTGTACCTACGTTCCATGACGTCCAGGACACCACGTGAGAGGATTGCTCCAACCGCAATATGGTAGCAATTGCCGATTACTGATTCACGATCGACGACGACCAAGAAACCTCCAGCGTCTTCGTGACGCAAAAACGATCGAAACGACCTCCCACGAGCCCAATGCCAGCCAAGAAAAAACAAACCACACAACCCAGACAAGCAGACGGCAGATTTCTGCCACGAAAGATTACCGCCGCACTGCTGCAGGGGACAAGCCCAACGGCCGTCATAGCCGCAGCTGATACCAAGGAGCTGACACCACAGATCGAAGACCTGATTCCTCCTACGCAACGCTGGACCATCTCCAGCCCCGCGCAAACAACAACAAAGCCAAAGCTCCTACCTCAGCCCACAAATGACGCAAGCCGCTAATGTCATCTGTTGCCACTCGAAAGCCTCGGAGTGGTGGAGATGGAAAATTTCTTCGTTTTTCATCAGACAACGCTATGAAGTACATTTTGGGAAACGTGCGGCAGTTCTACCTAGACTTGGAGCTGAAAAGGATCAAAGTTGGTGGAGGGGGGGCACAGTGAGAAAAGCTGGTACATAGCTCATGGTTGGGCAGGGGGGGGAACAGCCTCATTACCATCAGCAATACTAGATTACTTATTGTTGAGTTGTAATGAGGATCCTAGAAATTACAATTGGTCTTGATTATGGCTGAATATATTGTATTGTCGCTCAGAAGAGAGCTAAGCTACCTCATGAAAAATGCCAAGCTCCGTATTCACTCCCCTATTTTCGTAGTTATTTCCCAACGCTGGGATTTAGTGTCAGTCCATCGCTCAGTCTATTGAAACAAATTGACTTACCGTGCTACAAGCTTCTTAACGCTGACCTTTCCATCAAACGCCAGAGAAACCAAGACTCCCAAATGACTCCAGTAGAAAAGATATAGCATCAGGCGTTTTTGTTTCTTGAATGAATTGACAATTAGTAGAGGCTGAGTTAGACAACAATGCAATAACCCTTGGGAGGAGGAAGAAGCCAGCGGATTTGGTCTGTCGCAAACCTTGATCAAGAGCCGACTTCGGTATTCATGATGTTAGGAAAGTACAACGCTTCGTATGCGAGCGAGCGATGAATCATATCGATACTAACTAAACATGGAAGTATTGAAACAGTGCAGTTTAAACATCAGAGACGCATTCGCAACGAACGGCTGAGTCACTTTCACTTCTACCGTCTGTGATGGACCAAAGCCCATCATATATGAAGGCCCTTTGAACATGGTTCCATGCAAGGATGCTTGTAGTATTGTTTCCATCTTTTCAAGTAATGAGTATGACTTATATAACAGATGATTGATCTTTTTTTCTTTGACGCTTGTCCTAGATGACTCCTGCGAGCTGAAATCTACTGTATGCCCACCCTATGTGCGGAAAGATAATCTTGATATCTTATTACATGACAATAACACGCTTGAACAAAGTCCACATCTCTTTCTGGTTGGTCAAAGATGTTGCCAACCGAGTTTCAGAAGTCATACAGTACCATCACCCCAGGTTGTGCAAGAGCCTGGAAAAGTCAGACGAGAAGCCAATCTCTGACAAGCAATCTAAAATACTGTGATTTGGGAGGAGCTTATGACAGCTAGACGGCATCCGCAGAGACTCGGTCTCCCATAATGATATCCAAAGGGACATTGCTTAAAGCACGCATGAATCAGTCATTATCTTTCATGGCCAGCTTCGATGAGTATAAAGTTTCTATCTGTACAGAATAAGTATAAATTCACGCAACCAATTCATGCTAATATTGACGTCAAATCATTGTACCATATCCATGCAGCAGACTATATGACCTTGATATACCTGGGTAGGTAAGTACGAAGTCTAAAGGTCACGGCATATAAGCTCCATTTATCATCCATGTACTATAAATGGCCAACGCGGGGTTCTACGCTGTCGTAATTTCACAGCCAACCACAGCCGGCCGCAGAACGGTCGCAGGCTTTCAAGTCTCATTGATGGCGCGTACATGTAGGCGCCCAAGCACTGTTGGCCCAAATGAAAGCCACTTTTCAAGCAAATATTCGTTTCATTAGGCGCTCGGCAAATACGATTCGCTAACAATAGATTTGCGTTATATAAAGTGCTGTATATGAATGCTGAAATGGTTATAGTTCAACTGAGTACCCAAGGCATCCATCAGTGAATGAGACCAATAGAAGCCATCCATTGAATTATAACATCATGTGGGGTGTAGTTGGTACAACGGTCCGTATCGAATAGACGTCACTCTATTGTAGGCCGCCCAGGATCCCGCTTGTTGAGTACATATATGTACTCCGCATCCAGACTTCAAACCTACAGGCATCCGCATCATCTCTCGCAGTCGTTCAGCATGGCTTCTATGCCTTACAAAGAGTAAGTTGCAGCACTTCTGATATCATGACATGCGCTGATCAGGGTTACATGTACTTAGTTTTATCTCATCGCCTCCCTTCACCTTTGTTGTCGGCCCAGATGAGAAAGAGCACACAATCCATTCTGCCCTTGTCGCAAGCCAATCCGCATCTTTGGATGCACTCATCAATGGAGGAATGAAAGAGTCCATAGAACGGCGCGTTGTATGGAAAGATGTCGATGACGAATCTTTTATCCGGTTTAGCCAATACGTATACACTGGAGATTACGAGGCAGCGAAGCCTAGCAAACGCGAGGCAGTAGTAATAGCTTCCCCTCTAATGACATCCACATCCCCGTCGAGCTTGTTTGGCAAAAAGGGGAGAGGATTCGGAGCGGCTGAACATGTCACCATGACTAAGAGAAGGCTGTTATATGACAAATTCCAGGCTCTTTACCCGTTACCGTCGCCAACCGCTGTTCCTAGCTCAGAAGCATCCGCCATGCATGACTATACGGATGTTTTTCTCGGTCACGCACAAATGTATGTCTTTGCGGATTACCACGGAATCGAGCCTTTGCAGGTCTTGGCGCTCGGAAAGTTGCGCCAGATCTTGACGTCGTTCACTGTTCGTGTCGAGAGCTACAATGATATAACTCAACTTGTACGATACACTTTTGAACACACTGTTGATAAAAAGGAACAAGGTGATAGATTGAGATCGCTCGTCTGTTTATACGCCGCATGCAGAGTGGAGGATTTATGGAAGGACACTGAGTTTAGAGATTTTGCGAGCACGTCGCCCGATTTGTCTGTACAGCTCATTACGGCCATGCTTGATCGGCTTGATTAAATGTCGGCTCTGATAGCTTCGGAATATCTCGATCAGGCAGAGTTGAATTTGGCAAGCCGTAATGGCGAACGAAGTATAGCAAAGCTGTAGAGGGATTAACAACAATCTTCTTCTAGCGATTATGACAGAAAATATGAATATCTCTTCGCTGGATTTTGTTTACTCCTTTTGATACCAAAAGCCACTCCTTATATCTCAACTCTTGCTACTTCATGTACCCAGGTAGGTACTGCATCTCAGCCACATTAATCACCAAACGTCGTTGGCCAACAACCTGCTCTAGTTCGAACTAGAGTTACGACAAGAAAGCACAGACTGGTGTAAAGGCTGCAGCACGGCCTCGCATACTTCTCGCACACATTTGCTTGAACATCATTGGACACAATCTCAGTAAAAAGGAGACACCAAATAAGAGAGGAGTCAAGCTCGAGACTACTGCAAAAGAGAACCATCCGACATGCTCCGTGCGCAAAATGGCAATAAGACTTGGTGTTTTGTATACCTCAGAGAGAAGACCCCCTATACAAAAAAGAAAGCATGTGCATAGCACTAAAATCCCTTTCATATTCCCCGTTTGGCCCCCAAATGGATTCCAAGTATACCAAAGCACTGCCGTGTCACGCAGTTTCTCCTGCTCCTCCGCATCTCAACTCAACTAGCGTGTAATCAAAAAAGAAAAAGAAAAGGCAAAAAGAAACGAAACGTGCTCACCAAGGTCCCCTGCGTTACTTGGGGGCCCTTTTTACAAAAAAAAAACGGTGAGAATCCTTTCAACTTAAGCGACGCAGCTGCATGCAGATGGACGGGCCAATCGTTGGTTAGCAAAGGATCAGCCATGGGACGACTTCATATACTCGAGACCAAGGCCAGTTCAGCCTCATATACGGATTGGGATCATAGAAAAAAAGCGAAAAGAATAGGGAACAAGGAAAAGGCAAAATCTGAGGGAAAAGATTGAGGGTTGAGCTTGAAATGGTTTTTTTTGGGTATCTTCACAGACTATCATAAGATATTACTCGTTCGTTAGAATTATGGAAACAATGGCAACATAAACGATGGAGCGAGGACACCACCGATCAAATCTTGCCATCAAAGAAAGAAGGAAGAAGAAAAACTGCAAGGATTCATATAGAATGAGATATTTCCCTAGGAAATCTGTTGTTTTCTTTGCGCACGTGCTGTTGTTTCCTTGCCTTTGCCTGCTGCATCTCTCTGCATTTGCGCACAAGTCTCTCTCTCCTCAATCCAGAGGAGGTGAGAAAACGTTAAAAACAAGCACAACCAAAGCGTCATCCGAACAACAAGTTAGAAAGAGAAAATATCTGATTTCCGCCTGACCTTTCCCCTCGTTGTCCCTTTCCCTTCCCTAGCAATTCCATTTGCGCGCCGCCCTGAGCGTAGCAACAATCTTTAAAAAAGAAAACCAGTACATAAAAAGGGGTTGGGGAGAAATACAGACAACATCGGGGGAAAAGAGAACCGATAGCAGCAGCGGAGAAGAAAAAAAACCAGGCACATCGTATATCACGAGAATATACGACAAAAGGTTCAGAGAGAAGAAATAGAAAAGAAACAGATCATAAGACTAAAGATCCGACCGGAACGCCGTTCGTTCATCACACCCATTGTGGACCACCGTAAACCCCGAAAATTTCCATCAAAAACCATCCAGTGATTTGTTTGTAGCGACCCGCACCCGTGAGGCAAACTCTGTCCCCTCTTTCTGTTTTTCCGTCATCATGGGGCTGTTCTCCTCGAAGAAGAATACCGAGACCGGGTCGTGAGAGGCGCTGTAATAAACCCATAGTCATGCGCGGTCGTTTTCCCGCGATTTTTCATTTTCAGTGCGCAAAGGATTAGGAGAATTGCACATGAACCCATTAAAAAAAAGGAAAAGGAAAAGACGAGGGTGATTTGGCTGAGTCGTGTTTTTTGTTGTTTTTGCTTTTTGTCTTTTTTTGGTTTCACTTCTTGTGATGAAAGCCACCTGTCGTGCTCCACGTCATAGCCATCACCTCGCCTCAGCGTCGGGGAGGTGATGGATAATCCGAGGACATCGCTTGCTACATGACCGTGGAAGCCAACAGGCGCGATTCGACATCGTCCATGCCCATGCCGTCCATGCGAGGGCCTTCCATACCTTGCAGCCGCTGTTCTATCGCCTGGAAGCGAGGCTCGTAGCTGCCGGCGCGGGCCTCGATGTTCTCCATGCGCTTCTCAATGTTGTCGAGGCGCTGCTCGATACGCATCAGGCCCTGGGCCATGTCGTGGCTCAGACGGTCCAGCTTGTTAGTGAAGGACCGGATCGAGGTTGCCAAGGGAGCATTCTCCTGGCCGGGGGTGCCGGAGGGGACGCGCGGCTCGTGGTTGTGTCTCGGTTCCTGCAGGGCGAAGCGCCATTGGTTTCCCAGCTGGACCTCGCAGACGGCCTTTGCGCGGAAGGGGCAGTCGATCTTGCGCGTGGACGGGTTGCGCTTCTTGGCAGTGCTGTTGTACTTGACGCCGCCGCGGTCGCAGACGAGGTCGTAGCGGGTGGGCTTGCCGTCGCGATAGTTGGAGGCGCGGAGCTTGACGATGCCGTAGCCCTGGTCCTTGGCCACGCGCTGCACCGACGCCATCAGGTCGTCAAAGGTCCGGAAGATGCCCTCTGGCGGGGGCAGCAGCGCCGGCGGGGGGGTATTCGGCATCGCGATGAGTTGAGCCACGGTGGCGAACGCGAAAGGCGCGGGCCTTTGAACGAGGGGAGCGGGTTTAGTTTAGTTGGGCGGGATTGCGCGCGGATGGAACTCAGTGAGCGGCGAGATGCTCCCTGAGGCTGGAATCGGTTGCAGAGACGAAGAGCGCTTGGCGGTGGGTGTCGCGTTGGGGCGGGCTGCGATGCTTGTTTGTATCGATGGCTTTGGTTTGCAGGAATGCAGAGCAGAGAGGGCTGTGAGGATTTTTCCAATCCGCACTGTCGGCAGCTTCGAGTTTCAAGGTTTGGCGTTGATCCGGTCCGAGCGACGCGGGCCAGTAAGATTCGGGCAGCGGCGGGAGATGGAGTACAGTGTAGGTGCGAGGAAAAGGGCAGCCCGTACAGGGCACTGCGCCGCAACTTATACCTGCTGTCAGCCCGCTGTTAGGGGATGCAGGCGCTAGCGCTGCTGCTAGAGAGTGCTACAACCGTCTAGCTGCAGGCGCTGCGAGGTCCGAACACCTTGTTGGCTGCTGCGAGTGCGAGCACAAAAAGCAACGACAGGTGAGAAACGGGCATGTCATCGGCATGTCGCCCTTTTCTCTTGCTCCGGACCTCGATGCCGCAGCTGGGCAAATTCGCTGCCACCCCCTCGCCTTTGCAGCCGGGAGAGGGCGCTGACAGGGCCTGGCGCCGTGCCGATTACGTATTCTCTGTCAGCTGTTGTTGCGGACTCCGGGACGGTTGATGATGACTGGCGTCTTCTTTTCTTCTTTTGGGTGACTACAGGTGAAAACAATCAAGACATGTCTCTCACGAATCAAGGTCTATGCTCGTGGTTCTCTTCTTAAGCATCCAGTCGCTGCTACTGCAGCAGCATCGCAGCGTGTGGCCCCATCCATCACACTTCTGGAGGTGCGTGCATATGCAGATGGGACAACTCGCTTTAGCAGCACCGCTGCCGGCTTACCGAGGTACTCCGTACCTGTCAATTCCCAAGCGGCCCCAACTCTATCTCGTACAGAGTACGGGACTGCGGGAGTAAGACACGGTCTTGGTGCTAACGCTTCATGTTCCGATTCCATCCATGTCCCTGCCGGGGCGGCATCTCAGGCACTATCACTGCAGGCTAGGCCAATGGAGCCTGGAGGAATAGCTTGCATCTGCTATTGACGCTGGGAAATGCAGGACCTCTTGAAATCTCCTTGCTGCAGTCTTGGATTGTGTGTGGCAGCCGAGATCAGCCACTCAGAATTCCTTCTCCCTTAATAGACGTCTCACTGCCTGCAACCTCTGCATCTTTCTGATGGCTAAACTTGGCAATGCTCGGGCATGGATCATCATTCATATCGTATTGCCTCTCATCCTTTTTTTGAGAGCAAAACATGGAACCAGCAGGGACAGGGATAAGCAGGGGCCGTTTCAAGCTTTCCGCAAGAAGCTCCATTGCACGTGAACAGGCCTGTGGTATAACGACCAGAATGCAGCCCTTCGGAAGTCGATGCAAGGAGGCCTCAACTCGGGGGTGACACAGCCAACGGTACGTAATTGGGTCAACCACAAGTATCAGTGTGATGTAGGAATATTTAGCAGGAACAATACAGCACTTTAGAAGAGTTGATAGCGATAATGTACCAGCAACAGTGTCATCTTCGTGCTAGGTATGCGCAGAGCTGCAATCTTACTGCACCCTCTGCCTGCTATTCCCCGTATTGAGCACGGCGTTCAGTAAACACCTGTCCGGCCCAGGATGCCGCGTTTCACGGTGGTGGCCGGTACGGAGCCCAAGTACCGCCCAAGTACCGCCAGCCTGTCGACGCCAGACACTTTGGCGCCAAGGCCAACTTGCGTGGCAACGGGGGTACGTACCAGATACGCCTCATCCCCTGTCGTTGCGTCAACCCACTAATCCACGCGCGGCTGCTCATCACCAAATTCCCAACCAACCCTTCTAGAATCGCCCTCGCTCGCTCAGATCAGCGCTCATATCAGCGTGGGGGAGCAGCTTTCTTTGAAACGATACGCTCGGATACGCCTCGCCAGATTCCAGGTCGTCCGGCCTTGACAGCCTCGGGGCGCTGCTCGCTGTTCGCTACACTCTAAACTCTCGCTCGCTTTGCCTTTATATCTCGACCGATGGAGAACAAGCCGGCTGCGGCTCCCGACGGGGATGTTGCCAGCCAGATTGCCGCCGAGGAAAAGGCCATCAATCTGGCCATGAAGCGGCTCAAGCTCTTGCACATCAAGGCAAGTTGCCCGGCCTAGAGAGATACTGACGTTGGGCGAGGCTAACCGCGCATCTCAACATAGGAGCGCCTGCTGAGGAACACCATCCCCAAGATGCTGGAGCCTCTGGTGCAGAAGCACCCATCGCGTAAGACATGATCCTTTCGCCGTGCATGTAATTTAGTTACAAATACTAAAGCCCAATCTAGCAGACATCATGTACGCAGCCTTCATGAAGTCAGTCAATGATGCGCAGGCATCCGTCAAGGAGTTTGCCGAGTTGATGAAGGATGACACAAGCAAAGCTGTGTTTGACCGTGCTGATAAAAGCAAGGAGGCCAACCCTCTGGGCATCGTGCCTTGGAAACACAAGGATTATCCAGACTGGTTCGTCATGGATAAGGATTGAACGCTTTCTTGATTCACAGTTTGTTTTCCACGTTTCTTGCGAAAGGGGTGTTTTTATGTTCGACAATGGTGTTTTGGAGTAGAGGCGCCGAGGCGAAACCTGTACTTTCTTTCGTTTTTGGGAGCCAGCTCACGCACTTGAGTTATGGCCAGGCCCTGGGAAATGCAAGAATGATGATGGATTTCTCTTTTGGTATTAGTTGGATGGTCCCATGCCCAAATATCACAGCAAATTACTAGCTATAATGATGCTTCAACCAACATACACGTTCTTTCATGATGCACAACGTAGCTTCATTGAAATCCTCGAATAACTTGTAGAATAAAAAACCTAACGAGATTCATTAGCATGGGAAAGTCATTACATCATTCTATTCTTTGTTCGGGTGAGAGTTTTGTTGGACAGCAAGCAATTCAGTATTGACCTGATCCTCCATAGGGTAGCTCTGGGAGGCAATAGTGACGAATAGTGTGTTGTTACTCCATATAATTGGTGCACTGTTGCAAGAAACCGCAATTCTCTCCGAGTATTTGCGAAACTATTATAGAGCTGAATGCCAATTCATTTCAATCATCTTCTAAATGGTTACAAAGGCTATCTGGACAAATTTCACAAGGCATGGCTCGAGTCAAATCTGCACTGGCCAAAACACCACGAACCATGAGATTCTCGATATCAAACCCAGTCCGCGCTAAGCTCATAGTCCACATGTTGGATGCTCCAGAATACCATGCATCAAGCAATTAAAACTCAAGACTGCCAGACAACATATGGGCGTTGGCGCCGCCAGAATTCCAAGCTAAAGTTGCAAAAACTCGAAGCCCGCGATCACGTGCCTTCCAAGCGGGGTCGTCCCAGCCTGCTAGCGGCATTCTGATTCGCCAGCTTAGCGGGCACAATCTTGCCGTTCCGCCCACACAAAATTTGCCCAAATCTCGAAATTCCTCTTCCCTTGGTGAGATACTCAGAACAACCACCGAGCACCACCAGCAACAATGGCGTCCCACCGAGTCACCTACCGCCGCCGTAACGGGTGAGTTTTTGCGATCATGTCCATCAGCCATCTGCGAATTACCGCTCGAATTATTGTCGGCGCGCTGTCGTGCGGAACAAAGTGACTGACTGGCGAAATCTTTTGCAGCTACAACACCCGCTCCAACCGGACCCGAGTCATCAAGACTCCCGGTGGTGACCTCCGAGTTCTGCACATCAAGAAGCGCGGAACCGTCCCCAAGTGCGGTGACTGCGGCTCCAAGCTCTCTGGTGTAAGTAGTGGCCTTGAACGAATTTTGTAACCGAGAGAGATGGCGATGGAGGGGGGAAGGGATGAGCATGGGCGACAAGTGATACGACGACAAGATTCGAGGCTACGACTATGAGAAAAACTTTTCACGTCGACGAAACAAACGCCCAAACGCCGACGAAATAACGAATGACGGCCCCGAATCTTCTCCATCGCTTTCGCCTCACGCTCGCTCTGACGCTCACCCTCTCGCCTCTCGACCGGAACATCTCAACCACAACCACGAAAGAGACCAGTAGCTGACATGTCACCATATAGATTCCCGCTCTCCGCCCCCGCGAGTACTCCCAGATCTCCAAGCCCCAGAAGACCGTCCAGCGAGCCTACGGCGGTTCCCGATGCGGTAACTGCGTCCGCGACAGAATCGTCCGCGCTTTCCTGATCGAGGAGCAGAAGATTGTCAAGAAGGTCATGAAGGAGCAGGAGGCTAGCCAGAAGAAGAAATAAACAAAGTCCTTTTTTTTTAGAATCTTGGGAAGAAAAGAGATAAAACAAGCCCATTTCGACTTGCTGGAATTTGTCTTTCTGTGTGCGCGGGAATGGCAAGGAACTCTTTTGGGGGGTTTGGTTCATTGCTATGGTGTTCATTAGGGCAAAAATATCGGACTGCATGATACATTACGGCCGAGCCGAACCCATGGCCGGTCTGCTGCTGTCTTTAGGACTGCTTGCCCGCTTGGTGATCTGAATGGAAACGAACATCAAGTTGGTACTTTTGAATTGCCCCGTGAATTTATGTGGCCAAAGAGAAGACTCGATTTTTCCGAGAAATCGCCCAAGTTGCCAACTGGATTCGATACAGAAATCCAGACAAATTCAACAATGACTGAAATTGCCCAAATTAGTAAAAATAACAGTCTATCTAAGTTGCATTACTTCAGCGCAAAAATCTCGTAGTAAACACGGCAAGTCACCATGACGTTCACGCAAGCCAAATCAATATCAATCCGCCCCGCGATAGCTAGGGAAAAAAAAAACCTGAGCTTCACAACCACCACATTTCACAAGCCAAGCTTCTCTCCACAACACCAATGGCTACCGCACCCTGAAACGAGATATCGCAATTTCCTACACACCCAATAGCAACAATGCGCGCATCATTACGACTCCAGAATGGCCTCCGCGCCAGCCGCATATGCGCACGCAGCTCCAATACCCAAATAGCTACACACTTTTCTCCACGACCAGCAGCCAGCTCCAGCCTCGCATCGCATACAACAACCCAATACCTCCAACCCTTTCGAAAATCCCTCCACACATCCTCCAGCCTCTCCAAGAGCCGCAGCCGCAGCGACGGCCCGCCCGAGTCGCCGCCGCCCACCAGCTTCAACGAGCTCGATGTGCTGGGCAGCGTGCCCGTGCCGTCGACGTCGGTGGACGTGTGCATGCACGACGGCTTCGGGCTCAACAGCGGCATCACGATCGAGGGGGGCGACGGCGCGCTGCTGGTCAGCGGGGAGGCGTTTGCGTGGCGGCCGTGGGAGGTGATTGGGGAGAAGAGGCTGGTGAATGCCAAGGGGCAGTTTGAGCTGCCGCGGGAGGCGTTTGGGTTGTTTGATATGCTGTGGCCTCGACCTGGTATGTTTCCCTTTTGCTTGAGGATTGTATACATCCATCAGAGCTATCCATCTATATCGAGTACGGACAGAGGGGCTAACGGTTTAAATACATAGATCTCCTGATTATCGGCGTGGGCAAACACAACTTGCCTCTGAGTCCGCAGACTCGGCAGCACATCTCGGAGCTGGGCATGAGGGTTGAGATGCTGGATACTAGGAACGCAGCGGCGCAGTTTAATCTGCTGGCGACGGAGCGAGGCGTGTCGGAGGTGGCGGCGGCTTTGATACCCATTGGGTGGGAGGAGGGCATGGGTGTTCCTCCTTGATGCTTTATTTTGTCAAGTTTGGACTGGTGGTTGTATGATATGAAGGCTGTATATATATGATGGACTGGCTTTGATGGTCTTTGGCTTGTGTATTACTAGCAGCTATAAGTAATGAGGTTATGTTTGTAACTCCTTGAGTGTCTGATGGAATACATTTCTTTTCCATGGCTGCGGCCCTTGTGCTCTTGTATTTCATTCTAGATGAATGCGAAGGCTCTCTTTTCAATGAGAGGTTTATAGGTTGGGACAAGCGTACAACAAGTAAGACTCTTTATGCGTTTCTGCGACTATTAGCTTGTATTGTCTTCAAGTACACATTTGGCAATGCCACTATACTAATGTTCTGCACATCCAGCTCTCAGTATAATCTTTTAAAATATCCAAGTATCTAACAAGATCAATTCATTCCCACAATACGTAAACCAATTGCAATCTCCGACGCAATTCGCAATCACATGCGAGTATTTTGCCATAGTTTCAGGGTAAGCCACCAGCCCAAACAAGGCCAATCCTCTTAGCGTCGCCTCACTGAAAATCGATGCTCCGCGCAATGGCAAGCTCCCTCCAGAGCCCGTGACAATTGGTTGGCCACTAACGCAAATCCCCCAAATCCGCCTTGCTTTTATTTTTCCTTCTAATTCCAAACCCGTCCTTGGCAAATAGGCGAAGCAGAGTTAGGAAAATCCTCCAACAGCGTGGGCATTTCTTTCTTTGTTTCCCTTCTTCTACGGCAATGCGTTATCTCCGCCAGTCAATTGCTTGGCGACTTGGGACTGCCCTTTTCTCTTCATTCTTGTCGTGTAAATCTTTGCCTTAAAGCGGATTTTGCGTGACTCACCCTGTTTTTTCTCTTCGAGAAGAAAGCCTATCAAGGTTCTTTTTCTTTTTTTTGTTTAACTTCTCAATTCGAATTAAACCACTCTACAATACCCGAGGATTTATCCAGACCTGCAGCTGCGTCATCCGATTTCTTTACTGAGCGGGAGCATTTTCTGTTTCACACGGCCCTTTTTGTTCCGTTGGTTTGCCCGTTATAGGCGAGCTTCTCGTCCCGATTTGTTTGGCAGCGACTTTTGCGGTCCGCGCTCGGATTCTTTGTTTTTGTTTTTTTCTTCTTCTTTGTTTGAGCGGTTTGCGCATCGCGGTATAAACAGGTGGAGCGCTGTTCCTGGCATTGAATTTGCCTTTGTTCTAGAACAAATCGTGTCCTGTTTCATTTCTGGCTTGTGGAGGGCGAATAATCATTAGCAGCGACACACGACGTCACCATCGCGAATATCCCGACCAAACTCAAGAAGAAGCAAAAAAAACACCAATTGGAACGCGAGCACCCAATCGCGCCAATGGCAAAGACCGCGCAAGGCAGCTCAGCTTCGGCGCCGGAGTCGTCTCTCGCCACAGACGCCCACGCCACCGATCCAGCGCTGCTTCGCGATCATTCCCAGCTCAAGTCTTACAAGACCAGCCGCTTCGAGTACCCCGAGATCCGCGTCTTCTTCCGCCAGCACGTCAAGGCCGACCAGCTGCCCAAGAAGCCCGCGCCGCTGCCGCTGCTGGTGTGCGTCCCGGGGCTGGGCGGCTCGGTTGCGCAATTCCACCCGCTGCTGAGGAGCCTGGTTGACCTGGCGCCGTGCCTGGCCATTGACTGGCCTGGTGGCGGGCGGTCCAGGTTTGCGCCGACGCAATGGGAGGCGTATACTTCGGCGGCGCTGATGGAGCTGCTGGAGGTGGTGATTGAGGACCATCGCGACAAGGAGCACGGCCAGGGCGTGGTCTTGATTGCGCATAGCATGGGCACCATTTTGTCGGCGGGCCTGGCGAACCCCAAGCTGCCGCACAAGACGTCTCTCGCCAAGCACGTTGTCGGCCTGGTTGCCATCTGCCCCGTGTCTGGCCCGATGGAGGAATCCAAAGCAAAGCTGGTCAAGCGGCTGTTTTGGATCCCCGGCTGGGTCTTCAACCTGTGGCGCATGTGGGATGGCAGAGGAGGGCCAAACAGCGCCAGCGTTGCGCGCTTCGTGGGAGAGGGCGCGCCGGCCGAGCTCAAGCTCATGCAGCACCGATACAATCGCCAGAGTCTAACGCCGGTATGGAGGCGCATGGCATACGGCGCCTTGCCGGCTCGATTCGAGGACGGGAAGCCCGTTGGCGGCATTCCTGGTCCCGAGGCTTGGGCGGGCTTGAATATTCCCGTCTTTCTGATTGGCGGCGAAAAGGATAACGTCACGCCGCCAAAGGAGGTGGACAAGATTGTCAAGGCCTTCCACTCACTGGACGATTCCATGGCTCATGACGAGGCTCAGATCCCAATCGTGTCGGAGCTAGACTCGCCCGCGTCGGTCAACGGCTCAACACAGCTTGATGCTGATGCCAATGACAATATCAACGGCCTGTCCGCCGAAGACGCCGAAGACAGCGATGCCAACGGCCCTTCCACTCCCGTCGAGTATCCGCCAGACCTGCCTCCTCAGTCACAACACCCCCTACGAGCCGTACGATCCATCATCCTCACCGGCGCAGCAGCAAACCACACGCTGCTCTACTCCCCACGCACGGTCCGCGCCCTCGCCGGCCTCGTGTCCGACTTCCTCACCGACCACATCACCCAGCGCCTCTCGCTCGCCTGGCAGCTGCAGCACCTCTCGCGCGAGGGCAAATGGGACGTCAAGAACCTCCTCAAGTGGCAGGGCGTCAAGCCCGTCTCCGAGCCCATCGGGCCCAGCAACAACCCCGTCTTCCGCGTCACCAAGACGCTCCGCGAGGCCGACGACGTGCACTGTCCGGCCGTCTTCGCCGACAACTGGGGCCACGCCATCAAAGACGTGATTGACATTTCCAAGGACCAGCCCGTCTACGACCCGCGCGGCCTGGAGCGCCGCGGCATCCACTACCACAAGTTCCCTACCGTGTCCAAGATCCCCCCCGAGGCCGAAACCGTCGACCAGTTCATCAAGCTGGTCGATTCCATCCGCGAGGCTCAGCGCGAGCGCGCCGCAGCAGAAGGCTGGTCCGGGCCCGAGCAATGCGTCGTGGGCGTGCACTGCCATTACGGGTACAATCGCTCAGGATACTTTGTCGTCTGCTATCTTGTTGAAAAGTGCGGCTTTGCGCTGGCAGATGCCATTGAGGCGTTTAAGACGGCGAGGCCAAACGGGATACGGCACTCGCATTTCTTGGATAAGTTGTATATGCGATATGATCTTGAGGAGAGGCCTGTTGAGAATTAAACCTCACTCTCTCTTCTTTTTTTTCCCCAATTTTCTTTTTGCACTGGGTTTAACCCCTTTATCGGGCTAGCTATGGATACCGGAGGAATATAGGATGGGTTTTAGATGGGACACTGGTATGGGCACTTTACGGGCAAAAAAGACGACATGACATGGCATTGATGGAATTCTACTTTCAACAAGAAAGGGCAAAAACTGGCTTTTAATGATATTTTTTTTTTCTAGGCGTTGAGCGGATTATGGTGGAGAGATATGATATCCTTTGGTGTGTTTGTATTCATAGCCATATATATTAAGAAAAGTAAAACAAATCGCACTCTTTCTTTCTCTGATATTCTATCTAAAAGATACTTGAAAGCAGCGAAAATAACAAAACTCTGTCTGTGTCTGTGTAATAATACCGATTGCTATGCCAGTTGCGAAATCGCAATCTAAATGAACAAATATGATATGCCCGTCTCTAAATAATCAACATCGTCTCAACATGTAAAAACAAAACCGAAAAAAACATCTACTCTAAGGAATCGCATTCTTACGCTTCCACCACCTCCAATGCATGGTATGGTACGTCAATGCTCATCTCCCCAGCCTGCATATCTACTGCCAGCTTCGCCGTCTTCTCCCTCAGCTCCTTGGTGATACCCTCGACGTCAACGTCCAAGTAATGGCGCAAGTAGCGACCCACGTCCGTGTTCTCGACGTTGCCACGGATCTTATCCGCGCCAGGGCCACCAGAAGAATAAATGTTGACGTCCACAGCGGTATGGCCGTGTGTGCTCCAGCCGATGTGAGCGCGGAGAGAAATCATGGCGGAGAAGATCTCGAGCGAGGCTTCGGCGTGGTCTGCCAGGGCTGAGAGTTCGTCATCAGAGGCGTTGGAGATGCCGAGGCCAGGGACGACAAGCTCCGTGTTGATCCACTTCTTGAGGTCAGCTTTGGAGGATGACGAGGCTGCTGCGTGGACACGAAGCTTGGCGGCGAGGAATTCGGTTGATGAAGAAGCGCTGGCAAGAGCGCGGGGGTACCAGTTGTACACTGGCAAATGGCCGGGTTCCTGGATGGCCGTGGCGAGACCGCCGGTTTCGTGGTCACTGGTAGACACGAGGACGGTCTCGGTCTCGCTGTTGGCGATGAAGTCAATGACAGCCTTGAAGGTCTTGTCATATTCGAGCACCTCGCGGACCTGGGCAGCAGGGTCGTTGTTGTGGCCGGCGTGGTCGACACGGCTTCCCTCAATCATGAGGAAGAAGCCCTTGTCGGAGTGCTTGGTTGCCTTTTCGAGGGCCCGCAGGGCGGCAGTGGCCATCTCGCTCAGGCTGGGGTACACGTCGTTTTGCTTCTGTCTGTCGATTTCAAAGGGCACGTCTCTCTCAGCAAAGAGGCCGAGGAAGGGAAGGTTGACCTTGTTGCCGCCGTCGAGGGCATCGAAGCCTTGGCGATCGTTGGCGTAGTTCCAGCCGTGCTTCTCCTGAGCCAAGCGTGTGACATCAATGTCGTCTGCACGACATCCGCCCTCTGTGGTGTTGGGAAGGAAATGGCAGCGACCACCACCGAGCATAAGATCGACAGAGCGGCCTAGAACACCCTCTCCCACCTCTTGAAGCGCGATGGAGTCTTGCATTTCTCGCCTCAGGACGTGGCTGGCGAAGCAGGCGGGCGTGGCATCTGTGATGTCGGTCGTGACGACGAGTCCGGTTGTGTATCCCGCCCTCTTTGCCGCCTCCATGACGGATCCGCATGGCTGGGAGTCGGGGAGGACCGAGATGGCGCCGTTGTAGCTCTTGAGGCCGCAGGAGAAGGCGGTTGCGCCGGCAGCGCTGTCGGTCACCAAGGAGTTGGTGGAGCGCGTGCGGCTGGTACCCCAAAAGTGCTTGTCCAAGGTGAGGGTGTCGTTTGCGGGGAGGTTGTGGATGTACTGTCGGTAGCCTCGAGTCAAGGCGAGAGAGGCTGGTCCCATGCCGTCCGAGACCATGAAGACCAGGTTGCGCTTGGCAGCGACCTGGTTGTCGTTGTGATGGGTTTGCGAGGCATGTTGGATCCAGACGGCAGCGACGATGAAGGCGGCCGTGGCAACGAGGCCCCAGACGAAGAAGATGATCTCGCGGACGCGTGAGGAGCGAACGCCCGTCTTTTGCGGGGGAGTCTCGCTGGACTCGCCGCCGTTGGATAGGAGAGGACTGCGCTCGGACGACTTTTTGCTCATGTTAGCTCCTGAGATTGAAGATGGGGTTGAAGAGTAGAGTTGAGTCTTTGACGCCTACCATTCTGTCCGGCTCTACTGCACTGATCTGAGCTGCTCTGCTCTGGTTGCTGGGCCTGAGCAGAAGCGGTGATGCGATCAAGTTTAGAGTCACAAGGCTGCCAAGATGAGAGCGTGCTGCCTCCTGCGTCACAGGCCACCGCTGTAGCGGGTAGCTAGCGGCCGTAAGCCCTATAAAGTTGCATCTAGGCCCTAGATCGGTGCGGTGGGGCGCTGCCGCTGACCCAAGACAGTCGGTGGTCGCGTGCCTGTTGCGTCGGGAGTTGCATCATAGAGCCAGTTATATCAGGGAGGCTGTCGAGGAATATTCTCCGCAGCGGTCTAAGACAGGAGTAGGTCGTCCCGTGATGCGGTTGTTGGCGGCGGTGCCGCAGGTAACTGAAGAGGAGGCATCAACGAAGGGAATTGAAATGACGATGACGGCAAATCTTGAGCCCAAATCTGCGAGACATTGACGCTGAGAGGATCGACGACATCGATACGCTGAGAACAAAGCAGCATAGAGTAAAGTTCGTCTCTCTTGGTTGGCTGGTGAGCGACGGTCCGATCAGATCTCACAGTGCTTAGAATGGCAGGCATGTCGACGGCGCATATTGCGGGGAGGCCGGAATCCGGAGCTGGTGGAGATTGTCGATGCTACGCCGACATGCTGGGTGGAGGCAAGCTGGACGCAGATGATGCGAGAGAGACGCCTTTTGCAGAATCGTGAGCATGTTGGTGAACTTGCATGGGAAGATTGGATATCGGACAGAGTTATGTGATGGAGCAGCGTTGTGGTCACATGTATCGATAAGATTGAAGCCTCCATCACCTACTCGCTTTAGTCATCTCCCATTTCCTGTCTGCCGCTTCCAGGGCCGCATTGATCATGCATACACGACATCAAGCATCGTCTCTGATTCACTGCCAGCGTTTCTTTATCTATATCGGCTCCCCCAATGACATCTTCCCTGATGGCGTACAGGTGTTACCTGCCACTCTGGCTCTGCTTATTTCCCGCGCCTTCAGAGCAACCGAGTAGTGCAAACATGCCATATCAGAGGCCTGTACAAGATGCCAAGGCGCCCTGTGTGGCGTCCTGCGGGAAGAAGGAGACAAAAACAAGCCGCGTGCGACAGCCTGTGAGAAGAGAGACGCATTTGTTCAATAGCCTTCTCTGGCCTGGCATCGACTTTTTACGAGCAAATGCCACGCCTTGGCCTGGTTGAAGGGCGCCTTCACCATCTGACAGCTGTATCTGTGCTCACAAATGGATGCCACAAACGATGGTCAAACTATAGAGCCTATATATCGTTTTCCATCTTGGCCGTGTTTGGAGCATTCGACTGCAGCATGATAGGCAAACCCGCGGTGGTATTCACCGTTTTTGCGGTTACATCGAGAATAAGCCCGACTGTCGGGTGTTTTATGTGCTGGCTGATGTCGAGTTTGCAGGCAATAGTACGGTTCGTGGTGCAATCGTCCGGCTCATGCCCTACGTGAAGCATTATATAAATGCCATGGACAGAGACGGAGACAGAGACTGAGAGCTTGAAGCCACCAGCAGCCATATTAAAGACAACAGACTACGAACAAGGCACCGATTTGACCTCAAAAGCTCCCAGCGTTGACAATGTGCACTTACATCATGATCTTATACCACTGCGGCTGCTACGGGTCCATCACCTGTCACACCTCCTGTTCCCAGATCATGGCCGAGATCCACCGCATCAACGACCCAGAGGCTTGGCAGGGCGAAGGGCTAAGCCAGCTGCCGTTTTATATGCCCGACGAGTGCGATCCGTGGTGGCATAACACCATCCTGGTGCCGAGGGCGGCCTTTTGCGACCGATTCTGGGTCAATGACTGTCCGTCTGAGCAGAGGATGGACGAGTGGCCAGAGTACTATTGACAGCCACAGGATCGAGAACAACAAGCTTACTACGGATGCACTATACGTGCATGCTGTCCACGAGCTACAAAATATGAAGCTTGCTAGAGCAAAGAAAAAGGCAGAGATGACTTGTCTGGGGTTAGTTTGCGGCTCCATCCCGCCATGGCGCGTTTTACAGAGCAAAATCGCTGCTTGGAAGTGGTGTTTGGTAATACGCCTTCAACTTACTAATATGAGCCCATGTAAGTGCTTTTGCTAGCCAAGACTCTTGAGACGTCAAGCGACTGACTTGTTTCAGTTCCGCGTTCATCTATCTGCGACGGCCAGGGGGCTAATTTCACGACGCCATGCGGGAATCCAGATCTGAACGTCTTCCAATGACATTCCATAGGAGAAATTTCGTTTCCATGTGCCGCGGCTATGCAGTGCCCACGGTTTTTAGCTACGAAATAAGCATGGTTGAGAGTTTGAAACTGATGGACGGAGTTGAGTCGCCAGACATTTGCATAGACGGACTCCGGCGCATACCCACCCACTATGCAAGACATCGGGAACTCGGCACACTGCTGTAATGGTCTTACGGCGGCTGTCAAGCCACATCGACTCCTTTTGTCTTTATCAAGAACAACGAATGGCCATCGAAGCACTGACGTCTGGGGACCCCTCGGCGGCTAATCGCGAGGTGGCTTTTGAGGGCGTTTTAAACAATGGGCGCTAAAAGCCTCGGCGACTAAGCAGGGCCCATCTCCAGCGGGGGTTTAGTGGCGTTTGTGCTCCCCTATAATCGCTACCACGGCTGGCTCCGGATTTACTGATGTGCTCGGTCTAAACCACCTGCACCCATGCGCTTCCAAAACACCTAAAACAGCAACCCCCTGTGTTCGTCTCGAATTGGTTCCGCCATGACTGGCTAGAAGGCCGTGCTGAAACCGCTCGCGTAGGACGTCCCTGGTCGACGGCCTGCTTAGTCGCTGTGCAGGCGTGCGGGGACGGGGCTGTTTGCTGCTTGTTTTGACAAAACGAAACGTGCTGCTCTGCGCCATCAGGAGACAAAAGACCGAGGCGGGAAATGAAGGGGACGAGATAGAACGAGCAGCTGGTCCCTGGCTCGGATCTAGCCGACAGGGGGGAAATGGACGATTGCTTGCATTGCTCGCGGTTCGCGCTCTTTTGCCAGGGGGAGCTTATATATAAACTGACGGCGGGATGCCACGGTCTCGTGGAGGGGATTCTTCAAGTTTCTGGTAGTTGCTCTGAATAGCTTCACTTTTTGCGTGCTGTGCTCGCTCCTTTCTTTCCTTTTTTTCCTTACTTTCGCTCTTTTCGATTCGTGCCTTTGACGAGGTCATCTGCTGTGCAGATTTCATTTCCATTCCCTTTTCTGAAGACGTCTTGTTTCTGTTTCCCTCTTTTTCGCCGTGTTTAATCCACTTGGAACCCATTCTTTATTATACAACTACTCGTTATTAGGCAAGAAAGATGTATTCCAAAGCCACTCTCACTCTTCTTTTTGCGGCCCTCGCAGCTGCCGGCCCCATCAGCCGCCGAGAGGTTGCGTCCCTGGACCCGGCCGCCACCGCCGAGGCCCATCAGCGAGATGCCACGGCCACCCGTGCCTTTTCCAACGTCCAGATCAAGACCTCGGACGGCAAATGCCTGAGCGTCGACCCCCTCTCCGGCGACTTCCGGGCCAACCTGACGCCCATCCAGATCACCGACTGCGGCAGCGCTCAGGGCCAGGGCTGGGACGTCATCACCTCGGGCGTCCACAACGACCAAAAGGGCCAGGCTCTGATTGTGAGCACGCTTACACAGGCCTGCTTCAACTTTGACCCGCGACGGGCGGCCGGAAACCAGGTCCTGCTCTTCTCGTGCGGTGGACGGGCTGATGGCGGCGGATCCGTCACCAACTCGCAGCTGTTTGCCTTTACTGGCGGCAATGGCCCGCTGAGCCTGACGCCTGAGAACGACGCCACCAAGTGCCTTGTCCCCAAGGGCAACTTGGTTGACATTGCCGACTGCAGTGCCGGCGATGCTACGCAAAAGTTCACCATTGGTGGCTCTGCCGGAGGTTCTGATAGCAGCAGCAGCAACAACACCAGCTCTGCCGTTGCCAGCTCTGCTGCTGCTGCTGCCACCTCTGCCGCTGCCAGCTCAGCTGCGGCCGGCTCCACGGCTGTTGAGACTCAAGCTTCTGCCACTTCAGCAGCCGTGACGAGCGTCGCTGCTGTGACCGATGCTGCTGATGCCGCCGCTGCCACGACGCTGACCGTCCTCGCGACCTCGGTCCACACCGTCATCAGCTGTGCTCCCACCGTGACCAACTGCCCGGCTCGCTCCAACCAGACGGCCATCGCCAGCCTGCCCGAGTCGGCCAAGACCACCGTCGTTGTCACCGACACCGTCGTCCTGGCCACCACCGTCTGCCCCATCGAGCAGGCCTCCAGCATCTCCTCGTCCCTCCAGGCTGCCCACTCCTCCGGCCTCATCACCGGATCGACCATTACCGCCACCACCCCGGCCCAGGCTGCTGCCACCGCCACTGCTGCTGCCACAACCACCGCCGCTTCTAGTGCTGCTACCGGCGCTGCTCCCGGAGGTGACGAGAATGCTCAGTGCTCGGCCCCCAAGATCGTCACCGTCTCTGAGGTTGTTACTGTTACCGCAGGCCAGGAGGCAGCCTCTGTCTCCGCTGCGGCTGTTACCAGTGCTGCCGTTGCCAACAACGCTGGTACAGGCAGCTCTCAGACGACTGCTGCCGCCGTCTCTCAGCCCGCCATCACCGGAAACCCTACGACTCCCGTGCCTGTCTCTGGCGCTGGAGGCACTCTGAACCCCACGGCCGCCGCCGAGGCCAACCCCTTTGACGCGACTGCTGTGCGACCCGTCCAGAGCGTCAACGTCCGAGCCGCTGATGGCCGATGCCTGTCTGTCAACCCCACGGCCGGTGACTTCCGCGAGAACCTCATCCCTATCCAGATGGTCGCCTGCAACCAGGAGGACCAGAGTCAGAAGTTCGACATTGTCACCAAGGGTGCTCACAACGACGGCACTGCTGGCGAGGCGCTGCTTGTCAGCGTCTTGACCAACGGCTGCGTCAACTTTGATGGTCGCCGAGCGGCAAACGACCAGGTGATTATGTTTTCTTGCGGCGGACGCGCTGACGGAAGTAAGTTTTGACAATGGATTCATTCATTTCTCTGAGTAAGAAGCTAATCATTTTTCAACAATAGGCGGCAAGACTACAACCTCGCAGCTGTTCCCCTTCAAGAACGGCGACACCAACATCATTCTCACTCCTGCCTCCGCCACCAACCAGACCTGCCTCATCGCTGGTGCTGACAGAGTGGAGGCCGCAAACTGCGACAACCAAAAGGACCAAGTCTTCCAACTGGCGGAGATTGTCTAAGAGCAAGCATACTGAAGATAGTAGCATGGCGCTGAAGCAAGTTGTTTCATGAAACGCAGGGGAATGGAATTTAAATTTTTGATGAAACGCTAAAAGGGGGTTTATTCATTGTACTACTAGAGCTTGTATCCTTCTTATATATCTTGCCGTTGTTGATCATGACGAGATACATACCTATTCAACGATAACGATGTAAATACATTATCAAACAAAAAAAAGGGCAGAATTGTGCCGAGCCATCACCAGCAAATTGTAAAGATGAAGTCATGATTTTCGAGCCGCTATTGATCCACGCAGCTGGGATCGTCGCCCTTAATAACGTCATGCATGCCCTAAGACAGATTGGCTTAGAACCCGGCTTGGCCTTAGTCTAGGGGCTATCGCTTCAGAGCCACCAAAGTCCAACCGACATACGATGCTAATAATACCTGGGGTTGGTCATCTTTTTGCTGATAAGATGGTGACACGGCACTAAATTCGCCAGAATGTTGTGATTTTTACAATCTCATTTCCATCTCTGATTCTTTTTTTTGTTTCTGTGCTTGCGATTAGCGACTGCTGCTTTGGCCTTGAGCGCGCATAGACTGGATGGAACGGGACTCGTTTTGCAGGCCGAAGCGACGCAGTGACATTTCGATGCCACCATCCTTTGCGCTCCCCTGAACGGCGCCAGCATCACCAACATCATAGACGGCATCGCCAGAGATATAGAATAGAACGCGAGATAGAGCGCGATTCGTTGTTGCGACAAGTCTCCAGCCATCATGGTATCTTCATCCTCTATCCACTCGCCCATGGATTCCATCCAGGAAACCGGCCCCCCTCTCGTCAATCCCTCAGAGAGCCCGCCAACCTTCAACCGCGTCCACTACGGCCTCAACATCGACACCGAGAACACGTCGCCGTCGCCGTCGCCCGCCATCCGCCGCCTCTCGCGCTCAGACACGGCCGTCCACCGCGAGCCCTTTTCGCCGCTGCGCCGCCGACGAAGCACCCGCGCCGCGACCTTTAGGGCCATTGACGACACGGACGACTTTGACTTTGATGCCACCTACACGGAGAGGCCGGGCTGGGAACCGGGCTCTGAGCCGGGGTTTGATCCCAATCTGCCGGATGGAGGACATGCCTCGATGCCGCAGCTGAGCGCCGACTGCGAGATTACGGTGGTGGACTTTTCAAAGGATAACATGGTCAAGAGACATTTTGATAACGAGTCGTTTATCACGTTTTTGACGCAGCCAAAGGCGAAGTGGGCCAAGTGTCGGTGGATCAACGTCAATGGCTTGAGTTGGGATGTGATTCAGGCCGTGGGAGCGCACAAGGGACTGCATAAGCTTGCGCTGGAGGATATCATGAATATCAGGAACAGGACCAAGGCTGATTGGTGAGTCTCAGCGGAAGCCAGGAGAAGGAGGGAAAGAAATGCTGACAGAGAATTCTCGCCAGGTATCCAAACCACGCCTTCATCATCATGACGCTCCAGAAGCTGGTCCATCTGGTGGACGACGACGACAGCTCCTCAGACACGAGCAGTCTACGGTCAAGAAAGTCGGCCACCAAGGTCAGGAACTTCTTCCGCGGGTTCGGCAGCCGCAACGACGACAAGCTCGACAAGCTCAAGAACCCCAGCCCTCCTGTTGATCCGGAGAAGCGCATCACCACAAAGTGCCTGACGGAACTCTCAGAGAGCCTCGAGCTGCAGGAAACGTCCATGGTTCGCACCCTGCAGCGGTACCATGCCTCTGGCAACGAGACGCGCACCGACTACATGGAAGCAAACTCCATCCTTACGCCGCTCAACCTCGCCGTTTCTGCCGAGCAAGTCTCCATCTTCCTCACGGCGGACAACACCGTCATCTCCTTCTTCGAGGTCTCCGCCGGCGACGTCGAGCGCCCCATTGTCACGCGCCTAAGCAACCCGGGCACTATCCTCCGCGAGTCGTGCGATGCCTCGCTCGTTGTGCAGGCCATCATCGACGCCATCATTGACCTGGCCATTCCCCTGACGGCCGTGTACAATGATGTCTTGGGTGATTTGGAGCTCGACGTCTTGACCTCCCCCAGCATCAAGCAGTGCAAGAGCCTGTATATTTGCATCAGCGAGATTAACAAGATGCTGCGATTCCTCAATCCCATTGATAACCTTGTCAACGTCCTGCGCGACCACAAGACGAACTTCTCCCATGAAGAGGCCATTAAAGAGCTTGAGAACCCAGCTAGTGGCGTCATCGTCACGCCCATGACGCATACGTACCTGGGCGACGTGTTGGATCACTGCATCATCATCACCGAGGCCCTGCAGCAGTGCAAGCAGTCGAGCGAGAACCTGATTAACCTCATCTTCAACACCATCTCGGCGAACCAGAACGAGAGCATGAAGCAGCTGACCACGGTCACCATTATTTTCCTGCCGCTGACGTTTATTACTGGATATTTTGGGCAGAATTTCCCAGAGGAGGGATTTCCGGATATTAGGCATGGGATATGGTACTTGTAAGTTTTCATTGACTTCTTCCCTTTTTGTCAACAGCATGGAAAGCTAATTGAAGCATTGATTCAGCTGGGCTTGCGCTGTCCCGACGGCTTTTGCTACGATTCTCATTCTGATGCGGGAAATGATTTCTTCCTGGTTTGTGCGTGTTGTGCAGCGGCAGCGGGTGAAGAGTAATCGCCGGAAGAGCAAGGCGAAGGCGAAGAGGAGGGTGAGGGGATGAGAGTGTTGTTTCGAAATAGACTGCCCGTGTTTTTTTTTTTTTTTTTTTTTTTTTGGGTCTGAGAGTTGGAAAAGAAAGGTAGAAATCTATCTTGATGTAGTGGTGGGGAGTAGAAGGAGATGGTTGATGTTGAGATACCCTTTGTATTCTTTGCATCAGTGTACAGCGTGATGCTTAATTATTTAGAAAAGGCTTATATTATGGCTGTTGTTAATATCCTCTCTTGCTTTGTGCTACTGTTTTGCATCCATTTTATACTTAAAGATCTGAGAAAGCAATTAACGTGTAAGATGAACTCTGAATAGGGAAATGGAAAAGAGTTGGCCTTACATAAGCTAGAATGTGGCTGATGCAGGCAGCAGCCGCGGGACCCACAATTGTCTGCAGCTCTAATTGCTTCACTGTAGCTGAGGCTTGTATTCCATGTTATTTAAGCCTTGCCGAGTCGCGACCTGTTTGCATCTTTGCCTTTGCTTCTTGGAACCTCTGAGCTGATAATTCGATTCTTGCAGCTGATATACATACAATTGGCCCTCTAAAACATAGCGCGACAATGAGCAAATGGAAAGCCGAAGAGCCAAAGACTCCAGATGAGGACGCTCTGAGAGAAGAAGACCTGCAGTATGGAACCAGTGGCTTGACAGAGGAGGAATTGGCTGCAAAGTAGGCTGTCCATCACATCATTTCAAGAAACATGATTAACTCTCGTTCAGGTATCCCCATAAGCCCAAGAACCATTCCAAGACGCTGAGATTCTCAGAGCTCTTCAAGGACCTGTTCAATCCGCTAAATGACAACAAGAAGCAGCCGAGCGCATCAGGCCCAGCCAGCAAAAAGGGCCCCCACGGACTGACCAAACTATCGCCACAGGAACAGAGGCGACATATTGTTGAGAGGTTCATCACGAGATGGAGGAAAGAAGTCGGCGACGACTTTTATCCTGCTCTGCGTCTCATCCTGCCGGACAAGGATCGCGATCGCGGCGTCTACGGGCTGAAGGAGAATGCCATAGGCAAGCTCCTGGTGAAGCTGATGAAGATTGACAAAAACTCGGAAGATGGCTACAATCTCCTGCACTGGAAGCTGCCTGGCCAAACGACGGGAGCTCGTCTCGCTGGCGACTTTGCCGGCCGATGCTTCGAAGTCATCTCAAAACGCCCAATGCGCACCCAGGTGGGCAACATGACCGTTGCAGAAGTCAACCACGAGCTGGATAAACTAGCTGCGTCAGCCGGAGAAGCTGAGAATCTGCGCATCTTTGAGACTTTCTACAATCGCATGAATGCCGAGGAGCTTATGTGGCTCATTCGCATCATCCTGAAACAAATGAAAGTCGGTGCTACAGAAAAGACCTTTCTGTATCTATGGCACCCTGATGGCGAAACCCTTTTCAGTGTGTCTTCAAGTCTGAGGCGCGTATGCTGGGAACTCTACGATCCAGAATTCAGGCTTGAGCAGGATGAAGCCGGCATCGCGCCGATGCAGTGCCTTCAACCGCAGCTTGCTCAGTTCCAAATGCCAGCGTCGTTTCAAAAGATGATTGAACTCCTTCGACCCACGGAAGACGATCCTGAATTCTGGATAGAAGAAAAATTAGATGGCGAACGCATGCAGATGCACATGGTAGAGGATGCCGACCACCCTGGGGGACGAAGATTCTGCTTCTGGTCGAGAAAGGCCAAGGATTACACGTACCTATACGGCAATGGCCTGCTGGATGAAAACTCTAGCTTGACGAGGCATCTTAAAAATGCATTTGCACCTGGAGTACGGAACCTGATTCTAGACGGCGAGATGATTACTTGGGACATGGCAGTCGACAAGATTGTCCCCTTTGGTACTCTAAAGACGGCCGCCCTTGCAGAGCAGAGCAACAAGTCCGAATCGAACGCAGCTGGCCACCGTCCCTTATTTCGGGTCTTTGATATTCTGTACCTAAACGACAAGCAGCTTACACAGTACACTTTGCGCGATCGACGGAATGCTTTGAGCAAGGCAGTCAAATCGGTACATCGACGGCTAGAAATCCACGAGTATACACGCGCAATCTCGGCCGATGCTATTGAGCCGCTTCTACGAGAAGTGGTTGCGAACGCATCAGAGGGCCTCGTTTTGAAGAATCCTCGATCCATGTATCGCCTCAACAGCCGCAACGACGACTGGCTAAAGGTGAAGCCAGAATACATGTCCGAATTCGGCGAATCTCTCGATTGTGTCATTATCGGTGGCTACTATGGTTCCGGAAAGCGAGGAGGAATCTTATCAAGCTTCTTGTGTGGTCTTCGTGTGACGCAGAACCACATCCAGGCTGGCGCACACCCGGAAAAATGCTTCAGCTTCTTCAAAGTCGGCGGTGGCTTTCGAACCGAGGATTATGCAGAGATACGACATCGCACTGACGGCAAATGGATGGAGTGGGATCCTAAAAACCCGCCGTCAGAGTACATTGAGTTGGGTGGTGGCGATGCCAAGCAGTATGAACGACCCGATATGTGGATTCGGCCGAAAGACTCTGTTGTTGTCTCTGTGAAAGCGGCCAGCGTTGGCCCTTCGGACCAATTCGCTCGAGGGTTTACGCTGCGATTCCCTCGATTTCGAAGACTACGGCTCGATCGCAGCTGGGACACGGCGTTGTCTTTGGAAGAGTTTCAAGAGCTTAAGCAGAGAGTGGAGACTGAGTTGAAGCAAATGGAGATGACTGTGGAGGACCGTAGGAGGAAGAATCCAAAACGGATAAAGAAGGAGCTTGTCATTGCGGGCGATGATGCAGCACCCCCCGAATTCGAAGGAGAAAAGTCGAAGCTGTTTGAACGACTAGAGTTTTGCGTGCTGTCCGAGTCGTTGAAGCCGTCCAAGAAGACCAAGGCGCAGCTGGAGTCCATCATTAAAGAAAACGGGGGCTCCATCTCGCAAAGAGCTGCTGCGGGGACGAAAATGGTTCTTATAGGGGATAAGAAAGTGGTCAAGGTTGCTAGTCTCATGAAAGAGGGGGACGTTGACATTATTCGGCCTATATGGATCAAAGACTGCTTGGATCAACCCAATGGAGGATTTCTACTGCCGTACGAAGAAAGGCACTTGTTTCATGCGACGGATGGCTTGATCGACAGTGCTTCTCTGAATACAGATCCTTTGGGCGAGAGCTATGCCTGCGATACGTCTGTGGACGAGCTAAGAGAGGTGCTCCAAAACATGCCCAAGCTCGAGGACGCAGAATCATTTGACAAGATGCTGTTTCTGGATCAACTGGAGCAGCATGGGAAAGATTTCACGACTTTGCGCAGTTTCATGTTTTCGCAGTGCAGAGTGCTGTTTTACCTCGCGGACGGGGCAATGGAGAGCGTAAAAGACAAGTGGGAGCGGTTCATCCGGTATGGGGGCGGTTCGTGCAGCCAGGATCTGGAGGACCAGAGTGTTACGCATATTGTTGTGCTGGGGGATGATCCGATGGAGGTTGGGGATGTGGGGGATAAGTTGAGGCCGAGGCTGAGCTCGAGGGGGAGGATGCCGCGGTTGGTGAGGTTGCGGTGGGTGGAGGAGAGTTGGAGGGAGAGGACGGTGTTGGATGAGGAGAGGTATGTTGTATGATGGGTTTGTTTTGGATATGAGAAGCGTCTTGGGATTGTATTTTTAGAAGAATAACGAGTTTATGGCATTTAATGAGAAATGCCCACGGGCTAAAAGGACGATACAATTTATCATTTTGGATATGCTGACAAAACTGTGATGTGTAATCTGCCTCTTGTAGCTGTTTTCTCTATAGTTTGTAATCAGAAGGCACCATTTAATTTTTCTTTTCCTTTATAGAGACGTCTATTGGTCTCTATGAATGAGACATGGATGCACTTGCGTGACTGCGCCTTTGTGTATCTACTCTCCTTGGAGAGCCCGAGATGTTGTATTTCTGCGCTGTCCGTCTCTCAAAAGGCCGATTGTGAAGACAATCATATTAATTTCCTATAATCAATGTGATGTATAAATATATATCATTATTTATCTCTCTTTATCCCTTTTCTAGGTAGGTTAGCTTCTTTGGAACATGCGTTGAATTTGTGCTCAAAGTTTCTCATTCTGGTTTTCACAACCGGACCTTATAGAACTGCTGTAATTTTCGCAATGACGAGAATCCTCAAGGATGGAAGGAATTGTGGCTATAGATGCCTTAGATATAAGGGGCTTTTCGTTTTCTTGCAACTCATAAATTCTCATTTGCTTCCAAATACTTTGATTCCAAACCTTCTTTCTCGCATAACCAATCACATGCTTCCATATAATTTCAGAACCGCATCCACATTCATCAACTCATTACACCCTGACAACATGCCTCGTTCTCAAATGAACTCTAGTGTTGAGGAGACAAAATATAACTTCGCCGAGGTTGAACATGAAGCTCATACGAACGGTTCCAAAAAGTCCAAGGTAGAATATGATCGTTTTGCATTTTTGTCATGCCTGTTTGACGCTTACAATCGCTACAAGGTTCAAGATGATATCGCTCGCCTGGAACGCGCTGTGAATGCTCTTCAAGCACAAGTTGGCAAGCTATCCGACGAACGACGGCTGCTCAAAGACAACTATGACAGACTCAAGAGAGATAACCAGCGAAGGATGTGGGAAATAACCAAACTTCAAGGAGAGAATCGGGATGTCAAGGAGAAATGCGACAAAATCCAACAAGAGAATCTTACGCTCAAGACAAAGAGCACCGAGTTCCGAGTGGCAATCAAGAAACTTGAAGCGAAGAACCGGGATGTCAAGGACAAATGCGAACAGATTGAACGGGAGAATCTCATGCTCAAAACAAAGGGCACGCAGTTCCAAGTGGCGATCAACAAGCTTCAAGCGCATGTCAGGGATCATTGCTCATTAATTACTGGCGTACAGGATTCACTCAATTTGATAAGGGGCGGCAAGAAGTGAGCTTTCAAATGGAGAAGGTAGGAGAGACGGTTGATGGATATCGAGCAGCAACTGTTTTGGAGGTTATAAGGACTATACTATATTCTCGTCTGAGCGCGGAATCAAAATCTTAAGAATAATACACGAGGCTGGTTAATGAGAGTTAATCTTACAAAGGCTTTAAGAAAGAGCCTCAACTTGCTAACATGGATACAACTTGGAGATCGAGGTTGAATAAATAAATTTAGCTATACATGAGCCATTGCGATGGTTACAATACAAAGCTCGCTTTGATACAGCCTCATTCCTGTTCTTGTTTTATGTGCCGTCTTTGCGCTGCACATTCTTCGAGGCCAAGCAAGCAGAGCTATTCAAATTGAATTCTTTACGCCCGTCCCTATTTATCGCTATATTCCAAGCACAAATATTCTATTCTCCTCCACATGTCTTATTTGGTGACTGCTCGTTTGCAACACTGAGCTATTTGCCAATCGTCAAAAACAGACGGTCTCCAACATCGCCCAAACCAGGCTTAATCATGCCGCCATCCGTCAGCTCCTTGTCCACGCCTGCGATCCAAATCTCCGTACTCTCGGGCCACTCGGCAGCGGCTTTCTGAACACCGTCCTGAGCACCCAAGACTGACAAGACAATGACCTTTTTGGCGCCCCATTCACGCAGCGTTTGGATGGCGGCGGCGCATGTACCGCCTGTAGCGATGACGGGGTCGACGATGATAGCGACTCTGCCGCTGTCAGGGCCGGAGGGATGTTGGGGGAGGTTGTTGTAGTATTCGACGGGATCGAGGGTTGAGGGCTCGCGGTACATGCCGAGGTGGTGGACCGGTACTGAAGCAGGAAGCATGGTTTGTACGGCTGGGATTGTTTGTTAGCTGAGAGTAGATGTGGCGGAGTATTTGGCGGGAACTGACCTTCGACCATGCCCAGACCGGATCGCAGGATCGGAACGATGCAGATATTGCTCGGTTCAGAGACGACGGTTGTGTATTCGAAGCCCAAGGGAGTTTGGTCCTGTGCTATGTGTTAGAGTGCCACTCGGGATAGTCGAGAAGACTTCAACGCTACCTTTGGACCGCTGGCTGGTTTTATGACCGAGCTGACGGCCTCGCAGGAGAGGATCAATGCGATCTCGTGGACCAGAGACTTGACATCGCGCGGGCTGGCGCTTTTGGAGCGCAGTTGGCTGAGCTTGGCCAGCAAGCTGGGATGCTGCGAGACGTGGACGTTTGAAGGGAGTTCGGGCATGGCGGACGGTGAGGCGTGTTAGAGGTGAGAAGCTATAGGAAGCTGTTGGCGAGGTCGAGATATAAGAGGCTTGAGCGCCGGAGGATGTTGGGAAGGAGCCAAAGGGAAGAAGAGAGGGAAAAGAGGAATAACAGGAAGCAAGAGGAGGAAAAGAAGCGGCCTTGATCGCTTATAAGAGGTTGTCTTGGGCTGGGCACAGATTACGTACCGAGTGAGATACGGCTATGGGCATCTATCCGTATCAGTGACATTCGGGACTTGCAGGCGGGGGAGGGGTCGGCTAGCGGCCTGGTGTAGCGCACGTTAGCGGATGGGGCGCTGTAATGGCAGCGGTGGAGTGCCCGTGCCTTGGGGCAGTCGGGAATCGGAGAGGGCCGCCAGTGGGGGCTTTTGGGCTGCGATAAGACGAGGCAGAAATGGTGTAAGTTGGATGCTCGAAGAGAGATTTTTATGCAATTTGGATAAGAGATGGCAATTTCAGGGTATTGCAGATTTACAGATGGCAGTTTATCCAGATGCTTTTACTTACGCAAGAACTGGAGATGTATATTCAGGCATGTCGTATTCTTCATGTTTGTACCGACACTCACCAATCAGCGGCGGCTGAATCTCGGCAAGGTGTCAATTCTCCATAGTGACTCTTGACGAGCTGCATTCCAGCATCAAACCTCTTCTCCAGCATAACTTCCATACATGATGAAGTGTGACTCCAACACCGTCTACCTCCCAGGCTGAGGATACAGAGAGAGAGATTATGTCTTCTCACAGCACAGAAGCCGCGCCTCGGCGGCAACCGAGCTCCGCGAGCTACAATGCGCCAGACGCGTATCAAAATCTAGACGACGGCGCCGCCGGGCTTCCCATTGGCGTTGAAAAGGGCCATTTAGCGACTGCAGCTTCACCCAGGACGTCGCAGACGAAAGATGGCGACGATCGACGAGCTTCTATGGCGGAGGCGAAAGACTACGACATTCCGGACGAATGGGCGAATCTCGACGAAGTAGCGGCCACGAGCCCCGTGGAAAACGTCACAGAGGCCTCTGTATACCACCACCGCAGCTTAGAACACATACGAAGCCGTGACATTGAGGAGCGCCAAGTGCGACGGGCCAGTGACGCCCAACGGGAACGCGATGGCTCGGCGCAATTGGCTGATGTTGAAGTGGTCGATGAGAAGAGCGAACAGCACGTGTCGAGGCTGGCTACGCAGATCTATACGATATCATATCTCGTCCTGTTTGCCATTTGGGGCACTCTTGCGCGCGTTGGGCTCAGCGCATTGACCACGTATCCTGGAGAACCGGTTCTCTTCGTTGTTCTCTGGGCCAATTTCGGCGGCAGCCTCATCATGGGCTTTCTGTCCGAAGATCGGATACTGTTCCGCGACGAATGGGGAACGCCTACCTACCATAAACTGCTTGCGCGCGCAAAAGAGACTGGAAATGGCGAGGGAAGTTCGGACCAGGAAGAGCAGGCCATTGACTTGATGGCGGCCAAGAAGGCGCATTTGGCAACGAAAAAGACTATACCGCTGTATATTGGCCTGGCTACTGGATTCTGCGGAAGCTTCACCAGCTTTTCGAGCTTCATCAAGGACACTTTCCTTGCTTTGTCAAACCAGATGGTGACGCCCGAGCTGGGAATTCCAGGCAGAAATGGAGGATACTCGTTCATGGCCCTCTTGGCGGTGGTGATTGTGACGGTGTCGCTCTCGCTCTCGGGATTGATACTCGGAGCTCATCTAGCCATTGCTCTAGAGAGATTGACGCCATCCATTCCTTATCCGGTGACTCGCAAGATTCTTGACCCCCTCGCTGTTCTGCTGGGCTGGGGATGCTGGCTCGGCGCGATTCTCATGGCAATCTTCCCACCGCACAACAAGTGGCGCGGCGAAATCTTGTTTGCGCTGGTCTTTGCGCCCTTGGGATGCCTCGGCCGATTTTACCTTTCCATCTACCTCAATGGCAAGATTGCGTCGTTTCCCCTAGGAACTTTTACGGCAAACGTTTTTGGAACTGCGGTTCTGGGCATGTCGTGGGATATCGCGCACGCGCGCATTGGAGGGCTTGCTGGATGCCAGGTGCTTCAGGGCGTTGAGGATGGATTTTGTGGATGTCTGACTACCATTTCGACGTGGGTTGCTGAGCTGAATAGTCTTGGGCGTCGTCACTCGTATATATATGGCTTTGGCAGCGTGGGGACTGCGTTGGCGGTGATGATTGCCATTATGGGAGGGCTGCGATGGAGTGATGGCTTCAGTGCTTTGATATGCGTCTCGTGAAGGGTTGTTGCTATGACGGAAGGATTGTGAAGAGGATTGATACCATATTTTCTGCTGATTGATGATATAAATTAGATATAGACGATTCTCACTCTGGACTAGTTTGGCTTGTATATATGGCACTATGCCGACTGGAGTTGTAGGATCTGGAGACTTTTAATCTTAATTGCTATATACTGAAAGTTGTGCTTTTTAACGCACACTGAAATCCCAGACAGCCAAGTATTTAATCATGATATTTTCTGCTCCTGGATGTTTCGCATATTCGATCTTATTTGTAGATGCCATGTATATGGCCGTGAGACCGGATCTGCTTGACAGAAGTACCTGTATTTGACAAGTCTTTGAGAAAGCTTAAACCCCGTCGGTATCAAGTTGCTGTTTTCTGTTATTGGGCGCTTCAAAATACTACCGCCGTCAGTAGCCATGGAAGCTGCGTTCCTGGCCCCCGTTGGCACTTTCTATTGGTAGCACTATGCCATTGTTTACTCTCTAGTGCTTGGCACTTGAAACTCTGCAACTTCTCACCGCCTGACAGCTTTTTGTTTCCTTGACCTTTAATCCCATCACAAAGACTGTCAATGACTGTCTGAACACATTAAACGCTGGATCTCACCTCATCATGACTGGCCACATCGCAGAAGAAGAAGAAGGTGGCAGCAGTGCAGCAGCAACGGTCGAATCTCCACAAAGGGCGCAAGAAGAAGAACACACGGAACAGCAATATGTGCCAGAAATTCCAATCGAAGCACAGCGAGCAAACTTTGGCTTGCTATGTGCCGCTCATAATCCGGAGGGACAGTGCGTGAATCCAGCGGTTATCCCGTGCCAGATATGCCAGCTTGTTGCAGTAAGTGAACCGCAGTGATCTTGGCGATGCTATTCTGCGTTGATTTTCACCTTTTCCTCTCTGCTACTCGCTGCATTTGGCCGCACTGACGTTTCAAATACAGTACTGCACCGAAGAATGCATGAGGAAAGACGCAGAACGTCACTCTGGCGAGTGTCCTCCACCAACGGAGCCCCCGTCACGTTCCGAGCCGACAAGCGAAATCCCAGATGACCCTGTGCAAGATGAGGGGTTCTTCTGGGCCAACTATGCTGCGACTGACGTTTTGAACTTGGCGGCGAACGAGGGGATAGAGTTCGACGGCTTTTTGCGTATTCTCCTCAGTGGCAGTGAGTGACTCGCGATGAGATTGGGGAGTGCTACAAGAGGAGAGTCATTTAACGCGTGTGGGTAGCTTTTGGCCTCCGGCATCTCATTTACTCTATTGTCGCCATGCCAGAAACTGCTTGTCCATATCTCGAGGTAGCAATATCCGAGCTGGAGGTGCCGCATCTCTATCGGACTTTTCTCTCGCTACTGATTCTGCGCAAGGGCGAAGAGATCAACATGGATCCGTACGAGGTCGCAGACTTGGTGACGCACGTGTGGTATTCGTTCAAATGGCCCCATCATGTCGTGGCCTTTTTCAAGAATCATTTAGCCGCAGATTTTGAACCATTCACCGGCGGCAGAGAAAGTCATGTTTCACTTGGAATAGATCCAATCATCAAATTTTTGTACCCTTCTGACACACTGGCCTTGTGCGTTGGCTTCAGTTTGTTAGCTTGGCGTGCCATGAAAATCTTCTTGGATGACACCATCAATCAGAAGCCCATGAACCTGGAGTCCATGAATCAGGAGTCCACGAATCAGGAGTCCATCCTTCGAGATAGAGAAAAGGATGTCGAGGCATATGGCGAGCCTTTGGAAAACGCCTTTGCACGAATGTCGCCATCTCGAGTGGCAGGGCTGGTGAAATGGCGGCAAACTGGCTTGATGCTGGCTTACGGCGACTCTGGGCTGCCCCATGCCCAGCTGAATCCGTAAGTCAAAAGTCCAACCTTGACAAAAACAAGGGCGAAACATGATAACAGTTTGTCCCCACCTCTATAGGATGTTTTACTGCAGTAGACCGGAAAGCTTCACCTGTGAGCCACTTTCCGAATGGCCAATGAATGAAATCCTGGACTACACCCCGTATGCTGCCGAAGCAGATGTATACGGAAAAATGGTGGCCTATGTCCGCGAAATGCTGGTGAAATTTCAACTGCGGCTGAAGAGGAGAGGAATCTTTGTAAAACTCACAAACGCCGGCACAGTGAAGTTGAGTGGGCATTTGACAAAGTGTTTTGATAGAGAGCAAAAATTCGATCGGATAGAGGTAATGTTTAAAGGACACGGAAGAACTACTGCAATATTATATTAACCCCAACTTTTCCAGGCTGGACACCTCTTCGATACAAACGCCCCGTTGTGTTTCTTGACGTTCTCCCCTCTGCTTCGGCACCACGAAGAGAATCCGTTTGCTACCTTGTTAATCATGACACGGGGAACCTTTACTCGGTCAGATAATCCGCGCACCAGAGAAATAATAGCTGATGAAAAGGTCAAGTTATTTCAGCCCGTCTCTCAGTCTCTAGACTCAATAGCACCGCCGGTGCAGACTACTGATAACAAGTACAGTGCCGCCTGTGTACATCGGCATTTTGCTCTTCAAGTATTTGACCGAGAGTGGGACATGTTTTCCGATCGGTAAGTAGCTCACCCAAACGTTGAATCTTGTTCGTCTTCACTAACCACATACATGTATACTTGTAAGCAAAGCTGGTTGGCTGATCCAAACTATTTCAATTACGAAGTCATGCAAACAGAGGATACGAAACGCGGCATTTTTCAAACCGGTTGGCTGGGCCTGCAGTTCAAAAGAAAAAATACAGTCAAGCCGCGGTGGCAGAACCGATTGATGCCGAGGACCGGCAAGATCTTAACGGAAGAAGACGCCAGTAATTTGAGGCGCTGGATGAGCTGGTCTACCACAAGGCCAGAACGTTGGCTGGAATGGAAAAAGGTGAAAGATATCTCTTGGGATATGTGGTCAGAGTACTGTGATTATCTTCCAATTATAGGAACGAGAGACTATACGGTTATGGAGTTGGAAAACATGTATGGTTTCCTCGCAAGGGAAACTGAATTTCTCGACATTGAAGAGGAGTATGAAAATTGTGCCTGTGGAAGCAAAAAGCGCCGCAACAAGTGTGAACATGAGCATAAACAGGAACCTGCCACATCGACCGAACAGGAGCCTGCCATGACGAATGAAGAGGAGGCTGAGAGTGATGGCTGGATGCAGATGGATTCTGCGGAGGATTCTGCGGCTGGCGGCGCGAATGGGAAGTCGAAGCAGAAGAAGAAGAAGAAGAAGAAGCAGAAGAAGAAGGCTGGCAAGAAATAGAGGTCAAGGTGAAGATACAGTGGCTGACGGTGAGACAGAGACATTTATTATTTTGGTATTGAGATGGAGTGCTGTGAACGGGTGAACAAAGGCACTTTCGTGGTCAAAGATAAGCTAGGATGTTGGGAAACGGCGTGAATTATTGTTTGGAAACATTGATAGACTTGTGGCTGATTAACACTATTTTCATAATACTAAATGTCGGAGTTGTTAGCTTAGCTGAGAAGGATTTGCTACCTGGTCTATCTAGTTGTCGTGAATTGCGTGGAGCGAACGTGAATGTGAATGTGAAGGTGAATGTTGGCGGCTCGGCGTTTGGTGGGATGACTCAAATCGAGCGCGGCGATAGATTGTAGGATGACTAAGACTAGGGAGATGTTTAATAATGCGGAATAGGAACTCATTTGGTTGTGGGTCATGGATTGGATGATTCCAGTTCCTGGACCTGTAGTCTCGGCCTGATGGTAGGTTGCGATGCAGCAGTGGTCGCTTAAATGATGCGTGTGTAGCAAATACATGTAAGCTCTAGTCTAGTGTTCACGACGGCCTTTTCAAGCGTTCAGCCCTCTTAGCTCGCTCAATTGGATTGTTTTGTTTATTCAGCTTGAGTTGCTATCTCCGAAGATGATGCTTGCAAAAAATGTGGAGAGATGTTTTCCCTCGTGCATTGCATCGAAATGGATGGGTAGCGTAGGATTCAGGATGGCCAAGGTAGGTTTTCTGTTTTCGTCTGACGTCAAATACGACCGTGTTGTGCTGTGTTGGAAAATTGTATATATCTGACGTTGGCTGCCCCGCTCGAATAAGACTGGGCGGATTAGAGTTGACAACTCTGCCAGTCGAAGTTTACAACACTCTACAAGGACAACTTTTACATCATTCGACAAAGACGGGTTTCTGAAAACATCAAAAATGGGTGAACCGGAGGCTAAGCGCGTCAAGACAGAGTATGAGCTCATCTACTGGCCTGGCATTCCCGGCCGCGGCGAGGTTGTCCGGCTGCTGTTTGAAGAGACGGGCACGCCCTACATTGACGTGGCAAAGGGCAAAAAGGCAGTCGACGCAGTGTGCGCGTACTCTGACCTGAAGAATGTCGGGGACGACAAGAACCCGCCCAAGTTTGCGGCGCCGGTGCTGAAGCACGGAGAGCTGGTGATTAACCAGCTGCCCAACATTCTGCTGTACCTGGCGCCGAGGCTGGGGCTGGGGCCCGCCAGCGGGGACGGCGTGTACCACCTCAATGAGATTGCGCTGACGATTCTGGATGGGTTTTTGAATGAGGTGCATGAGACGCATCATCCGGTGGGGACGGCGGCGTATTATGAGGATCAGAAGGACGAGGCCAAGACGAGGAGCAAGGCGTTTCGGGAGGAGAGGCTGCCAAAGTATATGAAGTATGTGCAGAGGGTGTTGGATGGGGAGAGGAGTGGGGAGGGGGGATGGCTGTATGGGGGGGAGTTGACGTATGTTGACTTGGTGCTTTTTCAGGTGAGTCTTGCTGTGATCTGCAGTTATTACGGGATAAGTAAACTAATACTGGGGAATTTCAGTGCCTTGATGGAACAAAGTATGCGTTCCCGAAGACGGTGGAGAAGTTGAAGGAAGGAGGAAAGTATGCTGGTGTGTTTAAATTGTATGATGCGGTCAAGGAGAGGCCGAATGTCAAGGCGTATCTGGAGAGTGATAGGAGGGTGGCTTATGCGGATGGCATTTGGCGGCATTATCCTGAGTTGGAGGAGGATGAGGAGTAATGCGTTTTGCCGTCTGATGGAGAGAAGTGGAAGCGGATGGAAGAGATTCTTGAAGGCTCATTGGGAGATGACTTTTGTTGTCGGCTCGATGCATTGAGTTGTGGGCTGACTGAGTTACATCGGGAGTGAGGCGGTGATGGACGATAAGAAGCGCCGAGTGAGTGCTTTTGAAGCAAATTAGTATGATAGTTGGATGGAGAATGACTTTTACGTCGGCTTTGTGTCTCCTATAAACGTTGTCTGCTTGGGCCTAGACTTGACGGATGCTTGAGTGGTTGACCGGTGTTGATGTTGGTGTTGCACAAGGTGAGGCCTCCGGCGGATAGTTGCTTCAAGTCTGTAGCTATCCCACTGAGGCGGTCAGATAGTACGGTGAGAAACGGAAAGAGGTATCGTATTTTGTTAACATTAAAGATAACAGATGTAAGCTCGAGAATTGCGAGTGCCGAATGCGAATATTTAAAGGAGATAGCTGTCCCATGAATAAAACTATTTACTTTGCTTCTTCGATATCTTACAGTATTATGGATTCTTACAGGATTATGGATTATCATTACAGATTACGACGTATCACAACGCACGACTCGTGAATCGCCCACTTTCTTTACCAAGAAGAGAAACTGGGTGATCGGAACGTCATACATGAAGAAAGACGCAGTGGGCAAGGTAAGTCGCTGCGAAACTATTCCTTCTCCAACGGGCTTTTACAACAGAGAGTAAGCCTACCCATTTCTGTCTCGTGCTGACGCTTCAATCTGGCTATTGAAGATAATTATAGATATTGACACGGCCAAGTCAGGGCTATTACGGAACTGAGCATCTTTGCTTTCCATGCAGGACCATCGGCGCCGATGAGTGGGTGCGGCGATCACTTAACATTCGATATGATTCCAGGGTCCAATACACAAATGCCGAAATTGCAACGCAATGTTTGCGACCTATGGTGGATGGGATTATCCCCAGACTGATAAAGACCACTGAGCGTCTCACGCTTGCGAGGTATGTGGCGCTTTTCTTTGCTTGGTTTGAATCGCGAGCCAAGTGCTGACTACCATCATACAGAGAGATAGAGACCACAGCTCGTGACGAAACATATAGAGATAGGCGAGCTAGTAAGTAAGCTTCACTCTTTTTTTTACATGGAGTGATAAAAGTTGGATGTTGGGAATGACAAGATGATCACTAATATCGACTGTTGTCGTTCTTTTAGATCCAATCAAACCCACAGCTCCAGCGCAGAGGCAGGTGTCTCAGCCGATGCTGGAATCGATGTCTGGGGAGACGATGCACCCACCGATCCCGCCAATGACTCTTACGAATACATGCACAATTACAAGGAAATAAACGGGCACACCGTTACCTTGCAAACGCCGGGCACGAGGACAATATATCGATTGGTTGAATAATGGTTGAAGGACCGAAGGATACTGATTCCATGTTCAGATATTTATGGTCAGCGATCTCGACCATTCTGAGCGCTGACATCGTTCTATTCCTAGGTCAATTTAGGAGATATCGAAAGGTAGCCACCGCTTCACAGTTTGACGTTGGCGTGCCACATTTATTGCTTCAGCTTTCTGCCCCAGAGAGGCACACAGTCCTCAAAACTCCAGTCGAGAATGCGCAGATCAAGCTCTCATCTGGCCAACTGGAAAGACTTCACCATCTCATGGAGTCCAAGTGTGGTAAAGATAGGACACCTTGCGGAACAAGCATCTGCAATGGCGCAAACAATATACCCACGGCTCTGACTCTGAATTCGTGAAGAGCATACGTTTTCAAAAGGTCAAACAGTTGACAACATACAACAAATTGAATAAGTCACTTGAACTTTACAGACACAGTTTGTGAGTGAACCTAAGGCGCCATTTCACTCAACGTCTGGCCGCTGCTTTCAGCAAAACGTCTAGGCTATATTGTACTTTTGACTGACTTATGAGTAGTTTATGATCCTTTTTCCAGGACGTTGGCATTTTCAGGTTATGATGCAGTCGTATGCGCTCGCTTAAGTCTCCAAGGCGCAAAAGCCCCCAGAAGACACAGATATAAACGTTGTCTGCACATGATTCAAGACCTCGCCTTTTCCAGAACTGAAATTATAATCGAAACATTTAAGCTCGGTCCTTAAGGCCTACCAAGCTGCAAGTAAGTGGTATCGAGCGCTTCATTTCACTGCGCCTTGTGATCCCTCTTCGCAAGAGGTGCAGTGAAATGCGGCCTTGTGACCCCCTCTTTGTGCTTGGACCACTATCGAGAAGAGGCAAATGCTAACTCGACTACATAGACCCGGGCTTCATTGGAGAAGCTGAAATAACATGAGGCAACAGCGCAGGAAACACGATGACCAACGTCTTGTACAGGGATTTCTCGGAAGAACAATTCGACATGGCATACCGGCACCGGCTGGGATATCTGATGTTCCACGCCAAGTACGGCGACGACGGCATGCATAGACCAAGTTGGGCATTGCGTGTTTTGCAATGAGACGGTGCGAAGCTTATGAACATTACAGCAGCAGACCTTACAGATGCTTTCAGTTGGTTTACCAAGCACTAGAGAGACACAAAAGGCGACATGCAAGCATTCAACGCAAAGGCAACAGTCCGCTGCTTTGTCTTTTGCCCCCAGCTCTTACATCGGTAATATTGAAGCAGATGGCCAAGCTGGCGTGTACTGACCCTGCCATATCGCCCCAAGCTAAACTGGACATCGAGACGGAAGCTCTAGCAGAGCGGACCAGCAGGATCCTGGAAAATTGTGGGAGCTAAACCCGAAGACGAGGACCATATTTTCGACAGTCTCAATCAAGAGTAGAGATGCATGGCTTTGCAAGAACTGGAACTCATGTCTGAGAAGTGGCATACGTCCTCCACCTAGTACCCATCACTGGGTCAGGACCGGGAGAAAGAATCGAGCAGCGAAAAATGAGGAGGAATCGACACCAGCATGTCCAAGCACGTCTTGCCGCGCGCTTTATCTGTGAGGACGAAAGCTGGGGGTTAGCAACCGGAGCAATTCGAAGCCTCGACTGGTGTGTCTTTTATTCTCCCTACAGTCTTGAAGGCTGCTTGGTGCTAACGCGTCTTGATCCAGGCCAACCTCCCGAGTCGATCAAGGTCATATATTACAACTACGAGCTTGACTTTGCCGAAATCGAGACGCTTCGTCCTGTGAATCACTATGCCCTGATGAGCAGTTCGTGTGCGACTCGGCTGCAGCTTTGCCGGTCATTGAACATTGAGCATTCTCACGCAACCTTTTGCTCTCGATAGAGTTATGAGCGAACATCTGCATTAACTCTCTTCAGGCGGTTCAGTTATTCTTCACTCATCTATCCACTCGCCTTCTCGCCCATCCTATCATCTGCGCCCATCCTATCTTCCATCCTCTCATATAGTATCCCATTCATCTACACAAAATGGACAGGAGACTGGCATGGATGTCGTTCCCGCCTATCGGTCTCGCGAAAAAGCTAAGAACATCCGGATAGGAGCGATCATAGTCAATACTTTTGCCTGGACCAAGTGCTTACTACCGTTAACAATTTGATACTGGATGTCTTTTATTCCCCGATAAAAGAGAAACTGCAACTTAATCGCCTCGTCGTGTGGTTTGCAGATATAGCTGCTCCTTCCTTTTGGAGAAGTTGCTAGCAGAATACTGGAGTTTCCAACGATTGTCTCACGTGGATACGACACGTCAGACAAATGAAGAGCTGAATACAGATATACCGAACGTTGACAAAAAGAAAATATGGAATAGAGGGGCTTCAACGGCAAGAGACCGATCATGCATCACCATATTGACCACATGGCTGCAAAAGGACATAAGGCTTCGCAAAGAACTTGACAGCGCGGTACATGTGCTACGGTCAAACATCAGATTGGACGATTGGAGGAATAATGAGATGGAGATTTACAGACCTGTCACCAGTAACCACAGCACTACAACAAGAACGCAAACTCGAGAAGAAGGCTCATGGAGTCTCGAACGCCGCCTGGCTGAGCGAGAAAAATGACACCAAATAGTTCCGACATCGGCAAACGCAAACTCGCCCAAATCACGATAATCAACAACTTGACCGCATGAGCCAACTTACAAGACCAAATAATGCAAATTTTCGCCCATCGTCACAAACCTCCAATGATCCAACAAGACAAGCAAACATCCCTATAAGAACTATACGACAAAAATGCCAAGTACCGCCGCATAGGAATGGATAATTGAAATGGGCGAGGACGGAACAAAGCAATGGAAATAGGCAACAATGGAAATACTGAGGTTCTTTCTTATCCTTAATAGGCATCTGTACACGTAGCTATCTTGTATACCTATGTAATACTATTTTACTAACAGAGACAAAGTGCCAATCACAACTAGAACTACTAGCAGTTAAATGTACCTTCATGTTACATATGGCCTCGCCCCCGCTAGGCAGCCCCTCGCTCAAGCAAATAGCCCGTTAGAATCCTTTGGACATGATAGCTCAGCCCTTGGCCAAGCGTATGGTAACCTATTTGACCAACTATTTAAATGCTTGGCGTGAGGCGGTCTGTTGATTGCCACCAAGCTACAGCGATTTAACAAGGCAGACTTTGATGCAACTCAGCCCAGCCCAACACGAATCAGATCGGCGGCATTCGACGGCTGATCAATGGCGCCCACTGCAATCTGCCTCGCTATAGCGCAGCCAGCCAGTAGGGAATATATAAGATGCTGAGTAGGATCCACGTTGGGCAGCTTACATGTATTTTATGCTTTCGTAACCACCGTCATTGCCATGCCCAGGAACCTTCGCAATGGCGACTCCAACATCTGCAGCAGCGGATCGGTTTCGCCTCTTGGTAGAATCATTGCCAGACGAAGAGCGAGAACTCTTCGGATCATGTAGCAATGCAGATAAACTGCTTAACAATATTGAAACCCTGGAAAGCAAAAACCGCAACAAAGGCAAGGACTGGCGGCGCTACATGGAGCTCACTGAGACATTTATCGAAGCCGTACAGCCCATGTTCAAAGTCTTGGACACATTTAATTTGGTCGATCCCACGCAGGTTGCATCACTATGGGGAGGAGTGCGGATTGTACTCCAGGTGATTAATGAGATGGCCTTTCTGACGATGCGCAGATGCTGACGCTGTTCTAGGTTACGATGAATTTTGTCAGCTTCTACGGCAAAATAGCCACGTCGCTGCGTGAAATATCCCACATGGTCCTGTTTTTCAAAGAAGTAAAGGTGAATAACCTAGTATTGGAGTCAGAAACCCTCAAATGCCTTCTAGAGAGCACCTTTGCCGAGATTATCGACTTCCTGGCCGGTATAGTTGGGCTATTTTACACAGGCCAGGGCAGTGCGTCTCCACCCCAACCTCTTTGGTTCCTTTATTCTCTATGGACTGACAAATTAATAGAAGCGAAAAGCCGACTTTGCATTTATAGCGGCGCAGCTCTCAAGCCCTTTCGCTACGACCAGGTTTTGACCCAGCTGAAGGAGTACAGATCTGCAGTAACTTCGGAGCTCATCCGCATCCAAGCGCTCGAGATACATAGTTTTAGTCTCTCTGGAACGCAAATGCAGCGAAAATTTGAGAATGAAAGCAATGGTACGTATGTTAGTTGTGTGCATTCATTTTACTGTCTGACATAATATGCAGAAGCCATGTTGCAGAGGTTCAAGCGGTGGCTTGCTCCAACCACTTACACTTCTCGTTATGAGGATGCACAAAGTCTGCGCACGCCCAGCACTTCCCAGTGGATCTTTGACGATCCAGCTTACAAAAAGTGGCTATCTGTACAAGATGAATCAGCTTTGCTTTGGATTCATGGTGAGCTGATTTACTGCATCTCTTACGACTAACCATACTCTAACTCACCGTGCCATTGCTAGGAAAACCTGGTGCTGGGAAAACAATATTAGCTGCCACTCTTGTCGAGCATCTCAAAGACGTGGATGCAAATACATTCTACTTCTTCTTCGACTCTCTTCAATCATCGTCCAAGGCAAGTTTGGATGCATACGCTGCGATCCTGTCGCAAATTCTTCACAAGAATCCATCGAATTCGCAAATTTTGGATCTCATCAACTTCGCAATACACTTTGCCACGGATGGCCAGCCAAGGGCAACGGTCAAAGAAGCGGCCGATCTTCTTGAGCTCTGTCTTCAGCTCACTGAGTTTGAGGGTATGACGCTAGTTTTGGATGGTCTCGATGAATGTGCAGACGCGCCAAAGGAATTGATACCATTAATAAGAAGGATTAGCTCACAGAACAAAACCCGTCTAATACTACTGGGCCGCTCAACTGTACGTGGCTACCTCAAAGGCATATCTTCCGTTGAAGATTTACCAATTGGCGACTCTAATTTCCACGACATACGAGCCTATATAAAAGATGAACTTGAGGCTTGTATCAACGATGATTTACTGCCCAAGGAACTTGACATCGAAGCAACGGCAGAAAAGTTGAGCCGCCGAGCAGATGCCATGTTTCTCTGGGCGCGCTTGATGATGGCATATTTGGCCTTGCCTAGTTTATTAATGTCTGAGAGGATGGAGGCAATCCGAGAGGTAGATATGCCAGAAGGCCTTGAGATTATGTATGAGCGGATTCTGGTACAGATATACAAGGCAAGCAAAACATCTTTTAAGCTTGCCGCTCACGTATTCACATATCTACTCTACGGTAATCGTGAGCTAAAGGAAAGAGAACTGGAAGATTCCGTCGTTTCGCGCAAACGAGGCGGTATTGATGAGCCATCTAGAAGTTTTCCCAATTTTGTCGATACCATATTGTTAGTTTGCGGTGGTTTCGTGGAGAAATCAAAGCGAGGCAGCTTCCGCTTCGTTCACGCTTCCGTCTACGACTACTTCGAGGCAGAGCCTCAGAGAAGAACAAGAGGGTGCAGTCAGTTCCAGGATCCGATTCTCGTCTCGACTCGTGTGGCGGCGAATCTACGTATAGCGACACAGTGCCTCGAGTATGTCAACTATGCTCTACCTGAGAAAAGACTCGTTCCGCTCGAAACAGCAAGATCTCAGCTTGAGAAACAATTCCCACTTGGTGAATACGCTACCTCTAACTGGTGCACACACATGATTGCGACGAATGGTACCATGATCGAAGTACAGAACGCTTATAAAGAAGCGCCTGATGCTTACGGTGACTTTATCTTGGCGCTATGCCAGCTTCTGTCTCGGCCTCCAACTGTATCTGCATGGATCCAGAGCTGCTATTCGTTCCACCAGGAGCCACCATATCTGTGTTTGATGGAATGGGTAGCACAATCCTCTTTACCTGGTTTCCCATGGCGCCAGTATTCGCCTCGAATCGATGATATTATTCCCGACACTCGAAACTTGGCTCAATATCTCAACCGGGTTATTATAGATTGGAGCGTCCACTTACATGAAGATCCAAGTTGCATATTTGACGAGGTTGCGGCCTTTATAAATTCTGAGTATACGACTAGGCCGTCGGATATCATTGTGAAGAAGCTTACCTCAGCTACTACTCCAGCACCCAATGTTTCTAGTGAACCGCTTCACAGAATTTCCAAGATGATGCCCGATGGAAAGAAAGACTATGTGCTAAGCATCTATCCATCAATGTAAGTATCACAAGCCCTAGAGATCTAACTCTTGGATGCTCTTTATTAAACAATCCTTTGTAGTGCATATCTGAAGTGGAGCCGGCATCTTGATTGGGATTCTGATTTTTCTGAAATCGAGCTGTATTCGCAGGGCTGGATCGCACAACTCGAAATTTTCGACATCGACAAAAGCTACGACGAGGCCATTGCATGCTTAGAGATGAACATTGATGCGAAGGAGGTGTTTTTGCAGTTTACCCAGTCACTAATGTGTTCCCCATCCGGGGCCGTCATACAGTTTCCCATTTCTCTGAGTGGTGACGGTCGGGCATTTACCATATTGAGAACAGTCTATAGTCTCAAAGAGACCCCAGACGGACTAGGCGTTGCTTCACATGCACTGGCTTTGAACGCATCCCATAAATTTTGGCAGCCAAAGATATTATCGACGTGGAAGCCTCATGCCAAAATTTTATACCTTTACTGGATCTATTTTGACAATCAGGGGCAGTACCTCTGTTTTGTGGAGCAGTTTCTCGACAGTGATTTGACTGTCAGCGCATTCAGGCACAATCGTATACAAAGTGTCGATACAGCCCCCAAGTTCATAGCCAAGGTCTCGATTCCATTAGGGAGAGGCCTCGTCGAAGGCTACCCGGGTAGGAACCGCAAAGAATTCAAGTTGGCGTTTCATCCATTTGTGGGCGCAATAGTCGTGGCCGGCTGCAAATACTCGGCTTTCCTCTGGAACTTTGACAACCGTCGACCACTTCATCCGCTAAACAGTGACTCGGGCGGAGAGTTGGAGATGTTATCTTTTACTTCCGATGGCAAGTCTGTTGTATGGAAAAGGAGCGGCAACTTGCCATTCGCCATTAGCGTGGAATCGAAGCTACTGCCAAAGCCCCATCAACCGGGGAACCTGTTTGGTCTATCATCCAAATCATCTACCTCGTCTCTGGTGATATCGCGAAAAGCTACGAATAGGGTAAATTTGACCCCAAGAAGGACACCAAATGAGAAAAAGAATGGCGGCCATAAGTCTAGACTGTTGCAACCTCCCTCGCCAGGCTCTTCACACGCTGCTACGTTTCGTGCTGGCGCCGGTGGTGCCATCCGTCCGTACGGCAGTGGGACTCTCACGAATGAGGCCGGCAAAGACGAGAAAGATGTGTTTTTAATGGTATCTGGCAAAAAGGTCATTACTTCACGAGTCCCTTCATCTAAAAGCAATGAAAACGCTGGCACAACCAATGAAAACAACCACGAGAAGCAGCTCGAGCTGCGGAACAACCAGAACTTGATACTAACACGCATTCCAAATTTAACCTTCAAAGCCGCCACTCCTACTATTGTATTCCCCAGAGAAGAGGGCGATCCAGTCCGCATTGTGTTGGATAAAGATTCTACGATTGCTAATCGGGTAAATCCAAGTCAAGGCTCCAGCAGTGCTAGTGGCAATCTACTGTCGCATCAAAACAGCCCTGTGATTGTTGAAAGACAGTTCAGGTCAATCCAGAGACAAAATCAGTATGGCACACAGAAACCTTTGCTTCTATCCTTACCAGAGCAACCAGAGAACGACGTCGCGCAACTTGATGAAGATGCCGAAGCAAACACAGTGGAGACTACAGAAAGGGATAAAAATACATTAGCCACATATGATACAGCCGTAATAACCGGATCGCCGCCCGCGGAAGTTAATGAATGCACGGTTTTAAGCGTACCGTTAGCCCCTAATCCTACAACATCGACTACGGAGAGCTCACACGACAATGCCGGCCCTACGAAAGAGAAGAGTCTTCGAAAGAAGCTTTTTGGAACCTTGCCGAGTTTGCTCAGAAGAAAGAAAAAGAAATAACATTATAATGCTGGTCTTCTAAAGCAATATTCCACAATTCAATTGCCTTCTTCTAATTGATCCAGAGACATGATTATTGTCATTTAGTAGAACAGTGGCCATATCAAAAGCCCATATGACAATCGGCATGTCTAACACTTCAATATCTTCCTGCAGTATACGCCAGTGTCAAGACTTCGTTGGCCAGGAGGGCTGCTTGCAATTTGCCTTGCTGGCACATATTTTAATAACTAGTAGAAAGAGGGGTTGCAATTATTTATACAAATCGAATACATTTTGATAGATGATATTACGATGCTGCAAGCGCTTCAGTAATATCCATTGCCACATATTTTGTGACACATAAAAGTGCATTATTTGACACTGGCTAACATACATAAATCGATAAAGAGTACTATAAATCCTTGTATACAAGTTAGAAGCTCGATGATATGTCATCTCATAAAGTCAAATATCTCAAGCGCCTTGAAATATGGCGTGACAAAGTAAAATCCACCGAGGGTAGCATACAATTGACGCCCGCACTATTAGTCAAACAAACAAATATGGGCTCAGAAGTGATTGTCTATGGGACATTTCTTGCAGAATTACTATAAACCCCTCAGATATATCTCGAATCAACAAAGATGCACATACTATTGACACAACCTGAGCAACAAAGTTCAACACTTTGATCAAATTCCAGTACGCTTATGATTTGAGAGGAATGGCGAAGATTATGCTGACTTCGCTTTTGGCAATTGATTGCTTTACAGCAACAAGTTTCGGCGGGTTGGGATTGGGACGTCTTCCCTCAAAACAATGACTGTGGCGGCAGCCCAACTCTAGTCCTTGATGGCAATGGACCCAGGGCTGCCAAGACGTAGGCTTTGTAGCTCTATTATTTTTTGTTCTCTTACTGAAATGGCGAGGAACTTGAGATTTTTTCTTCCTACCAGACTGCAATCCTGCCGAGAGCAGACAAGTATTCCCTAGCAACGGAGCATGTTTTTCTTTGCTGGAGGGTGGCAGCCCTGCTCAATCTTCGATATTATAGTGCCATCTGGCGCTAGGGCGACTTATAACGTCAATGAGAACAACGAGATTATTCCTGGTGTATTCAAGGATCAGACCGCTTAGGCCTGCTACAACTTGACATCTCGTGGCCGAGGGAATGCACGGAAACACTCAACAAACAGAATAGGGGAAAATTCGCTCTTTACAATAAGTACTGGGCCTAGTGAATTTGCTGTATTTTCACCCACTATACTCGTTGAAATAAGTTGTATCTAGCTGTGAACAGATTGTTAACAATTATGTATTGTCGCTGAGTTACTAACGCTGTGCGCAGGATGAATAGACTGGCTTTATAGGCAGCAACAAAAGCACACAAGCCCATGATTGGTATACTCCCATTTGCAAAATGGTAAGCAGTAGAGGTTGACATTTCTGCAAGAGAAGCTATGGCGTCGCATAAGATTTTTGATCCACAATCTCTATTCAAATCGTACGTAGCAGGATTCGCCTTATTATATTTGCATGGTATCTGGACCTGCTGTAAACGCGATTCTGCGCTCTTTTGCGCGCCATTAGCACAACTTGGCGAGGAGCGCTCTAAAGTCAAATTGAATATTACCAAGTTTCTAATAACTTAGGGTGTGAGTACAAATACCTACCTACGACGTTCGAACAACTGAGTACAATGGCCAACTCCAACTCCATATACTTGTATGTAGACATGATTTGCCTCCGTCTATAGCGGGCGTTAGCGTAGACTAATCACACAATCCACACCAACTTTGACAACATCTCACTGGCGCTCTACATAGCGCTCCACTAATCGCTCACTTCAGTGAAGTTTGCATCAAGTTCATTCCTCACTCATTGCAGATTCTCAAACTCTTGACAAAAAGCAAATACAAACATGTCAAAACACGCTCCTCCTCCCGGCGCCAAAAGTATCAACGAAATCCTTGACGAAGCCCGTTCTCATCTCATCCGCATTGACCCCGCTCAACTTCTCACAGAGTTGCAAACTCCCGCCTCCCACGGCCCAACACATGTTATAGACATTCGGCCTGCTGCTCAACGCGAGCGAGAAGGTGCTTTTGCATTCCCCAGCACACTTGATACATCTGCTGCGAAACACACAGTCAGCATCATCGAGCGCAACGTGCTGGAGTGGCGACTAGACCCGCAAAACGACTCCCGGATCAAGGAGCTTGTGGATGAGTTTGGCTACGATACGCGGGTAGTCATTACATGCTCAGAGGGTTACACCAGTTCTCTGGCAGCTAGAGAGCTACAGAAGCTGGGCTTATCCAGAGCGACGGATTTAAATGGGGGCTATTGGGCGTGGAAGCGGCATTTGGAGGGTCAAGCAAGCAGCTAAGCTTTCTACACAGGGATGTGTTGTAGCGGGCGAAAAGATGGACGCATTGCTTTTCTGAAGAATTGGAAGTTTGTAACAATCGGTCACTATCGCGAGTTTTATTATAAAGAACAATACTAAGACTTGGCTGACCAGTGTTGGAATGAAAGAGCTTTATTATGCTTCTGAAAATTTACTTCATGGGAATTGTTGGAAGCTTCCACAAGAGGGGTTCAAGAAGTCATCAAAGCATATTTTTACAATATATTTAAACATATATTGTGCCGATTCCGTCGTTTGCTAGAATGCAGCATATCGAGATCTACAACTAATACAGCCACTAGATCGCTAGCTATCCACACTGACACTAGGGCTCAAAAGGATATTCAATATGTATGACAAAACCATGTGTCTCTTTTTGGTATTCTATCTCCTCTAACGGACAAGTCTTATCTTCGTGAAAGACCTACGCGTAGTCTTTCAAGGATTTGTTTGCCTCTTGCTCTCTTTTAACCCTGATCGGAAGCTATTTGCACTGACTTGAGGATGTACGATGCACGATGCGGTCACAATCATGACTGAGTCTCATTAGCTTTATGATGAAAGGAAACAGGAATTCCTGTACAATATTTGATACAGCTTCATTAACGGTTGCGCGTGTAGATGCATTGTCACTTGCTATGGCCTCCCTGCTGACTGTCGTAGGAAATATTAGTTACTAAGAACTACAACTTCGAATACTAGCGTTCAATTTGTCGTTTTTGAGAGGCAGTTTTGGACCGACACGAAAGCTATCGCAATGGAAGCAGTCTTTTATAAGTTGCTTGGTTAGACGTTTCAACTGGCACACTTTGGCACATTACCAATGAGGTTTATCTACCCCTACCTGATTGTGTCATGTAGATATCCGTCACTAGAAGAGGCAAAGGGCATCGAATTATATGAGAAGCCATACAAGGCATGTTTTCCTATGTTTGGGGCTCAACCGTTGTCGCCCACTTTTAAAGAGTTGGCCGCTCATGAGAAAGCCAATCACAGCAATGGAGACTTGATAACAAAAATAAACAATTTGCAATGGACCCCATTGTTTCTGATTTAAACAGATGCAATATTAACCTTGAGAATACTCTCAAAAAACTCGTCGCTTAGATGCGTGTTTGACACATCACGATATTCGTGGCAGGATTCACATCTCGCACTGGTTTGGCTGAGCCCATATCTCTCCAGTTTCTGTTACGTACAAAACCCCAATCCCGCCGCGGCTGGGCTAGATCCACGGACCCCAGCCCCACTTACTCGGCTACGCTCCCGAATATCCTATCGTAGACTAAATCCGTGGTAGAGCATCAGGATATCAGAATTATATGCCCATTTCTCCGTATGTCCGCACTCAAGATTCAGCGTAGCAGTAGCCTTATCCTACCGTACACACAGGAAGGTTGACTCAGCACGCGAGCAAATAGCCCAGAGGATATTGTCGGGTCACGCGTAATCCTTGATGTCGTATCCCACGGATATCTCGCGTAAGAAGGGCTGCCACTCATACGGATGCAGCATGATTGTGGCTACTGTTGCTAAGATACTTGATAATATTCAGATTTGATGATTTGTTTTGCAAAGGGCGCAAGCTCTCCGCTGTCGGCCCCGTCAGAGTGTAACCGCCACGTTGTCCATGTGCCGTGTCTTTGATACAAGCACAACTAGTGTAATCACGGCGTATCACAACAAACTTGCAGGCATATTTGAGGATTACATTTGAGCAGAACGAAAAGTGTTTGATTACAATTACTTCTTGATATAATAAAGTTTATTTTTCGAGTCAAGTTGATGTGTTGTTTGGTGTGTTGCATTGTCATATATAAGAAAGGCAAATGCATGTGTGAAGGATGGGGGCATAGCTATTGGAATCCTCCAGGATCGGCACTTAATGCATGTGATTTTATATATACACCTTTTGCGAATAAACATACCCCCTCTTTCCATTCAACTGGATCAGTCTTTTTCGAGTGGACCTGCACTACGTCGTCCTCTCTTACACCGACGTTTCCCGGGGACACAGGGATGATGGTCAATACAGCCTCCGCAGAAACACGGCAAAGCTCTGACTTGGGCTTGTTGAGATGATGGATATGGCCTCCTCTCATCCGAAGCTAATGCTAGTGTTGGCTGGATACCCCAGATTACCCCAGATGAAGCTGGGGAAAGTTGCAAGAACAAGAAAACTCCTTTTGGGACATCTCCTGCCTCCGTCGTCGATATTTAAGAACCGATAATATTCAGTATCACGTTCAATCTGGATCTACTCAATCGTTATTTCGATTCATGTCAAGGAAATGACGTTTACAATTACTGAATCCCAAGGCGTGGACATGACTACTGCCAAAAAAGACAAAACAAATCACGACGATGCCATCTCACGCCATGTATCCAACAACCGAGAATTCAAAGGCGAAAGTAAGGCCTACGACGAAGAAACACAACGTGCCATCGAAGGAGATGCACACTTCCATCGTCTCAGCTGGGGCCGCCTGACTGTGGTTCTCATTGTAGAGGCCATTGCTCTCGGGAGCCTCAGCTTACCAGCTGCCTTTGCAACACTGGGCATGGTGGCAGGTGTAATATTGTGCATTGGTGTCGGTCTAGTGGCCATGTATGCGAGCTACGTTCTTGGAGAGGTCAAACTGCGATATCCTGAAGTTGCTCATTATGCAGACATTGGGCGGCTGATGATGGGAGGCTTTGGATCGAAGCTTTTCAGCATCATTTTTGCTTCGCAGCTGATTCTTATCACGGGATCGCATTGTCTGACTGGCACGATTGCTTTTGAAACCATTACTGAAAGCGGAATCTGCTCTCTTGCCTTTGGGGTCGTGTCTGCGATTATACTCTTCTTGCTGGCGATCCCGCCGTCGTTTACCGAGGCAGCCATCTTGGGATATATAGATTTCGCTTCCATCATCATAGCAATTGGCATTACTATGATTGCCACCGGAATTCAAAGCTCGAACCAGCCAGGTGGCTTGGGAGCGTCTACTTGGTCAGCTTGGCCTCGAGAAGGTCTAACGTTCTCGGAGGCAATTGTTGCTGTCAATAGCATTGTTTTTGCGTATGCCTTTGCCGGAGCTCAGCCATCTTTCATGGACGAAATGCACACGCCAAAAGATTACATAAAGTCCATTTGGAGCCTAGGAATCATCGAAGTCGTCATCTACACTATTACAGGCGCACTCATCTATGCTTTCGTGGGCCAAGACGTCCAGTCGCCTGCCTTATTATCAGGCGGATCAGTCATTTCTCGAATCACTTTTGGCGTTGCACTTCCCGTTATTTTCATCTCCGGCTCCATCAACACTACTGTCGTGGCTCGCTTCATTCACGGGAGAATATACAAAAACTCTGTTGCCCGCTATGTGAACACCGCCAAAGGCTGGATATCATGGCTGGCAGTGGTTGGAACCGTCACGGTGATTGCGTGGATCATTGCTGAGGCCATCCCCTTCTTCTCTGAGCTTCTGTCTATCAGTTCATCTCTTTTTGTGTCTGGGCTTTCGTTCTATCTACCGCCGGTCATGTGGTTTGTATTACTGAAAGAGGGCAAATGGCACGAGAGACATAATTGGAAAAGCGCCTTTTTCAATGGTAGCGTCTTTATAATCGGAATGATTATCCTCGTTTGTGGCACTTATGCAAGCATTGTGGAGCTGGTAAGCTTCTTATTTCCTTCTCCTAACATCGGACTGCTAACACCTGCTGCTTTCAGATTCAGAAATTCCAGAAACACGCAGTCAACAGACCTTTTACATGCCAGTCACTTGTTTAATATTGAAGTATTATTTGGTCGACGAGCTCGCCTTCCGGGCTAGTTGAATTGCTACTTTTATACTTTTAAATTGTAAAGCAATATATCTGGACGGCTGGGTGTATAAGAGTAGACAGCTAATCTCCTAATTCGTTTTGATAATGGGCTCTGTTTCGCGCTAGCTTTAGTAGTTTGTGTTCCGTTCAATTACATTGAGATGTGTGCTGATAAATATTGCATGAGTGTGTCACTTATTACTCTATCTCATACCAGCACTACATTCTTGTCACCATCACAAGCAATAATCAAATGCTATAAATGAGGTTTGTTTATAAACGAATCAATCTTTTTACCCTTTTTGTACACACCCTTAAACACTTTTAGCTGCATCATACACTTTCTTGCCTTTGTACCAAGTTTCCTGGACTCGAGCATGGAGCAGCGATTCTGGCGTCCATTCCATCTCCGTCACTGCAAAGTTTGCCTGTAACCCCTTTGCTAGACTGCCCGTCCAGCCCTCGGCAAAACAAGCGTATGCGCTTCCACGGGTAGCCCCTTGCATTGCCTGGCATAGAGAAAGAGCAAACTCCGGGTTCACCACCACCGTATAATCCTGGTCACGGACAGACCGTCGAGTCGTCGCCGTGTAGAGGTTGCGGAGCACATCCCACGGCGCAGTAGGAGAGTCCGATCCAATGGAAATGTTGGCTCCAGAGGCAGCAAAGTCTCCGTACGCAAACGCTCGTCCGCAGCGTTTTGTGCCCAGGAGTTCCGGCCAGGCCTTGAGCAGCACCGGATCGGCGTGGGCAGGCTGGATAGACGCCGTAATGCCGGCGGCAGCAAGACGAGCTCCGTCGCCAGGGCTGGTTAGCTCGAGATGCTCGATGCGATGGCGGCGACCCGGGGTGCCGTTATCTGACAGGGCATCAATGGCCAGCTTGGCGGCGGCATCGCCAATGGCATGCAGGGCACACTGCAGGCCGGCTCGATCTGCTTTGCGCACGACTGCCCCGAGAGCCTCGCCGGTCCAGATGGGAGCTGTCGATAGGCCGGTGGTGGAGTACGGCTCGACTAGAGCTGCGGTGCACGAGTCAACAACCCCGTCGCACATGATCTTGATGCCCACGATGCGCAAGTCTGGCGATGTTTCGGAGTTGAACTGTCGACTCAGCTCAATGGCCCGATTGAGCTCCTCCGAATCGCCATTTGTCGAATCCGTTGGGCGGACCAGCCAGTGAGCCGCAATGTGCAGGGGAAGCTGGCCGCCCATCTCGGTGCGGAGAGTCTGCAACGCCTCCCAGCCGATTTCGTCCATGGCCATTTCCACAAAGCCGGTGCAGCCAACGGCATGAAGAGCCTCAATTGCGCCCCGGATTGCCCCAACTCGCTCTGCCGGTGTTGCAATTTGTGCCAGATGCGGCCATGCCAGAAGCGTGCAAGCAGTCTCGCTGAGGAGACCAGTTGTTCTGCCTTGGTTGTCGCGATGTATCGTCCCTCCAACTGGGTTGGGTGCAGACTCTAGCCCCATGTCTTTGATTGCCGCCATACTACACCAACATGCATGGAGATCTCTCGACATGATATAGATGGGTCGCGGATCCAAGTCGTCCAACATGGACACATCGGCCTTGCCGTCAGTCTGGAACTCCATCCAGCCACCGCACATAATGCGAGATGCATCGGGGTGAGTGGCTGCATAGACGCTGATGACATCTCGAATCTCCTGTAAACTTGTGCAGTTTTCCAAGTTTAGCCTCTGTAGAGACTGACCGAGGAGAAGAGCGTGTACGTGACCGTCTATGAAACTGGGAAGAACATGACGGCCCTTGAGATCTTGCACCTCAGCCCCCTTTGTAGAAGCCAGAGCATGGATGTTGGCATCAGCGCTGCCAACGTATTCAATGATGCCATTTTCAACGAGCATGCACTCATGGAACTTGGCTTGGTGGTTTTTTTCGTCGTCTTGGGCGGCAAAGAACTTGCCGTTTATAAACAGTGTGGCCGCCATAGGTGTGGTTGTTTGAAACTTTGAGTCGCCGAAACTAGTGCAATGGCTTGACAACAACTCGAGTATCTCAACTCATTTTATACTTTAGCCCTGTATTATATAATTCATTTAAACTATTTGAGTTTGTTTCCAGATTTCCAGAAACCAACACTGACCCGGTTATCCACGGGGGCTCTCCTGGCGTGGAGTTTGTTCCCTTCGACCTGACTCTTGCTCGTTCCCCCATCTACCACCATTAGCCCATCTCGTTGCAGTAGTTCGCGATGCCACGCTCGGGTGAGGTGGGGCCGGGGCATTTCGCGATTAGCTGCTGGCTCTATTGGGAGTAGGAGGCGGCGTTTGGCGTGATCCGGCCTGGCTGCTGTGGCTAGACGAGACAAGCAACGCCAAACGAGGCGATCTAGCCCAAGGGCGAGCCCATGTCTTGATGACTCAGGCGGCTGACGGCTGGGCTCGCAGCTCTTTACTCTTATCTACCGTCGCACCCATCGTTCCCCATGGAGCGCTGGGCTGACACATTTTCCCCAACTTTGCCCACATGCCACTCGCCAAACTTCAATCACACACTTTGCGCGTCTCCTGATTGAAAGAAGCAGTGCCCCCCCTTTTTATTGCACTCACGCCTCTCTCGCAATGCAGGCGCAGGCGGCAAAAGTGCCGCTGAGGAGCCGGTCCAAGAGAGGCTGCTGGACGTGTCGCATCCGGCACCGCAAATGCGACGAGGGCCACCCCTTCTGCAAGGAGTGCGACAACCGCAACATCCACTGCCACGGCTACGGCCCTCGGCCCTCATGGCTGGACAACGAGGAGCAGGTCCGCGCCGAGCTGTCGCTGGTCAAGAGAGCCGTCAAGCACAACGCCAGGCAGCTGAGCAAGGGTGCCAACAGCAGGACGGGCCCTCAACAGCGGAACATTTCATCTAAACCGCAGCAGGACGCGGTCGCTGTAGCTGGCCCCGAGCAGGCCCTGTGGGCCTCGTGCCCGAGTCAGGAAATGCGGTACCGCGAGGCCGAGCTCATAATGCTCTACTTGGACTACATCTTCCCCATCCAGTATCCCTACTACACTGACAACCCCGAGCTGGGCGGCCGCGGCTGGCTCTTCTGGCTGCTGCTCAACAACCGCCCGCTGCGGCAGGCCTCGATGACGCTGGCCGCCCTCTACCAGCGGACCAAGTTTGCGCGAGGCACCGAGTACATGGAGGCCGAGCTGATAGAATACCACACCACGGCCCTGAGTGCCATGCGCCATGCCCTTTCGGCCAACGAAGGCAACCTTGCCCTGGACGAGGGCGGACGGCTCATCACCTTTATATCCAGCGGCTGTTGTCTCATTAGCTTTGAGGTTCGTATACCTGCCTGAACATGTTCTGAGCAGTTGAAGCAACGTGCATATATGTTAGAAGCGTGTATGTATGAGTATGTTTATAAGCGGTTCACCCTCCTCCTAACCTGAGCACATGATTTCTAGATTTTACAAGGAGGCTCACTGAGCTGGCAGACACATCTTGATGCCCTTACCACAGTTGTAAGCAAGCTGGGGCCAATGTTCATCGGCTTGGATCCCACGCCTCGAGAGCAGAGCGGCTCCCCAACTGAGCAGACGACGCCGCCCCATGGCACCACCCTGTCGCCTATATGGCGTGGCATGATGTATGCAAAGCGCTTCGAGTTTACGAAACTCCTCTGGTTTGAGATTCTCTCTACAGCATCCACGGGAGTGCCACCACGCCTTCCATACCGGCAGTGGCTGGATTCAGAGGAGATTCTGATGGCAGACTTTGTCGGCTGTGAGAATTGGGTGATGCGAGTCATTGGGGACTTGTCGATGATCCAGGTGGGAGGCGAGTGCAACACTCCAGGAGAAAGGCGCGAGTCGCTGCTACGGCTTGAAAAGGTGCTGCAGAATGGCATCGAACGACTGCGGAGAAAAGTTGAGGATGTATGTTGCTTGTGATTTCCTTTCCCTCCTCTCTCTCGTCGTCAGTTTTGGATTTTTCTAATATGTATTCGCCACAGCCACCTGTCTCACACTACATCTCGCGAGTGTTTGCTACCGGAGCCCTAGTTCTGCTCTACGTTATCCTGTCCAGCACTCGTCCTTCTGAAGCCAGCATCTACGCCGCCGTTGCATCCGTCATAAGCGAGCTCCAGCAGGCGCCTAGTGATGTTTCGCTTCGTGGAGTCGTTTGGTCGATCTGCATAGCGGGGGCCATGGCGCAGCCGGACCAACAGGCGTTTTTCGAGCATCTCATGACTCGCATCTTGAACAAGACGACGAATAAGACGACAAAGGACTTTGGCAACTGTGCGAGCGTGCAGCGGATCTTGCGACAGTGCTGGACCAAGAGACACGAAGATCCGAGATCTGACTTTACGTGGCGGGATGCAATGGAGGACATTGGAGACTTTCCGCTGCTGGTGTGAGAGCCGTGAAGAGTTGTGGTAATTTGCATGAGTAAAGAGGTGGAAGGAGTAATATCATATACCTAGACTAGCGATGCGATTTGTTTTTATGGGAGCGTTTGGGAGTTGTGTTTGAGACTGAAGCCTTCATACATGTAGATTGCATGATACCTGTACCTAGCATAAATAGAGCCGAGATACAGCACCACAAGCACCAACGTGGGCAAAACAAGGCCGGGACAACAGCTTATATAGAGGCCGCAGCATCCCAAGCCACACGTGCATTGGCGAGTTGCCCTCTTTACTCCTAGTATTCTCGCGTTGAAGATATTCGCAGCAACGTCCAAGTTTATGTACTTTCGACGCCCCGATCTAAGCCGCAATTGGAGCCCGGTCCATGACCCGCTTTAACCATCACGATGCGAAGCTGCCGCTAGAGCCGGGCGCACGACGTCATACATCACGCACGCAGTTCGTGTTGCTTGCATTGTGCCAAATTCCGGATCTCGGTGCAGAAAAACCAGGAAGTGACCAAAAAGAAAAAATTCGTCACGTACATATATGAAAAGCCCGACAATTGGCCAAAGCCTGAACCTGCCAAGACACGCCTAAGCCTTTCACATCTCGCCTGTTCCCTCACACGCGTATTGGATTCTGGTTAAATACTGTTTATTCCAGATCCAGATCTTGGATTCGGTGACCTCTGCCGAAACTTTGGTGCTACTTTTATTCGCCACTTCTCCAGCTGATGATAACGGTTGCATCTCTTGGCACGATAGAGGCAGTCTTGGCATTGACTGACGACGGCTGGGGTATTTATATGAATGCTTTGATGTCGAGATAGCTGATACTTGGTTTGTTTTGCTGTGCGAAATACAGGGAGGATCGTCTCACTTCACCGCCATCAACGCGTTGACGCGTATCCAATCTCGTCGACAATGTGCGACAGAGACCTGGAAGAGAATGGCGTGGCAGCGATAGACGAAGAAAAGGGTGACCGGTCCGATGCCTATCTTCGCAGAACCAAGATAGAAAACGACAATGCTCATCTCGAGCCCAGGTAAGCCAATATCGAGTAGAGGCGACCTTCGCTTGCTGACACTCAATGACTCAGTCGCTGGTGGTTTCTCGCCTCGGTGTTTCCCATGATTGCGGGAACCATCGGCCCTGTGGCTTCAGCATTCAGTATCTGCGCTCTGGTTTCACCGTGGAGGCAGCATCTCTTATCCGGACAACAACCTGATCAGGCGCAACATATTCCAGATCCAGTATGGTATGTCTGCCGCTCAGCACATAGTTACGATAGTGACTGGCTACTAACGAGGCGTATCACAGGCTCACAGCAATAAATGCCGTCCAACTGGGCATTGCCGTCACTTCCAATCTTTTCCTACTCTTCAACATGGCAAGGCGGGTTCGCTTCAGCATAGCACAGCCCATCACTATAGTGGGATGGTAATGCCAAGATGATCCAGTATAACAAGAAAATGCATCGCTAATAATGGATCAACAGGTACTTCTCGGCAATTTGCCTGATATGCTTGACGTGCACTGGTGCTGGACCTCTGACTGAGGGGCTTGGCTTTCCTAGCGATGAGATGATCTGGTCACAGTCATTCTACTACGCCATATGGTCGGCCATACTATACTTCATCGTCGCATCACTCATGTCAATCACGTTCTGGGGGGCCTTGGCAGGCCACTACCCCAAGGATTTTATTCTGTCCCTCAGTCAGCGCACTTTGATGCTGCAAACCATTCTCGTCCTGCTATATCTCCACGTTGGAGCCACTGTCTTTTCCGCTATTGAGGGCTGGGGATATCTGGACTCTGTATACTGGGCTGATGTCACGCTGTTCACGATTGGCTTTGGCGACTTTGAACCTGATACAAATCTTGGAAAAGCACTTACAATCCCGTATGCCATTGTCGGAATCATCAGCTTGGGTCTGGTCATCGAGGCTGTTCGCGGCCTCACTCTCGACGGCGGAAAGCGCCGAGTCCTGGCTCGAATGGAGGAAAAGAAGAGACGAAGATTGGTACGCAAGATTTCGAAGCGAGGGGGTGATGACATTCTGGAGCCCATCCAGGACGAAATTCTGGGGCCTATCCAAGAAGAACCCGACTCTCCTCGTTCGCAAGCAGAATTCGACTTTCCTCGGGCGCAAACAGACAAAACTGATAAGACTGATAAAACTGATAAAACAGACAAATCCATTTCCAACGAGTTTGAACGACGCAAAGCTGAATTCGCTCTCATGCGCAAGATCCAAGCCAAGACATCTACACGCAGAAAGTGGATGGCTTTGGGCATTTCCAGCTTGGTTTGGCTCGTGTTCTGGGTGGTCGGAGCCGTGGTCTTCATGCAAGCTGAGAAACCCTACCAGGACTGGACGTACTTTCAAGCTTTTTACTTTTGTTTCATTGCGTACACGACAATTGGATATGGCGATCTAGTGCCCGTATCCAACGCTGGGAGGTCCTTCTTCGTCTTTTGGTCTCTCATGGCTTTGCCGACCATAACGGTGCTTATTTCGCATGCCGGCAGCACTGTTATCAAAATCGTTCGAGATGGCACCATCCGCTTGGGAAACGTCACTATTCTGCCCGGAGAAGATGCCTTTTCCTCCAGCTTCAAGCACATGATTAGCAGAATGACACTTGGAAGGGCGTACAAGACTTTCTACGAATCCGCCAACCCCACAATGATGGTCGATGCGCCAAAGAACAACATCAAAAGAATAGCCGAATTTATGGAACAGCTGGAGGATGACGACCTTTCTGACATTGAGAGAGAACGTGATAATGCGAATGATAGCGGGGAGGATTTTGGAGGAGATAATGGAAAAGAAACAAGAAAGAGAGGCCGTCCCGACCGCCTTGACTCGACGGCATCAAACTTCACAACCAGAGTGCGCCGGTCGCTTTCGCGGATTCGCAATCATGAACGCAAGCTGCCCACCGGACCGGATTTCCACTTTCTTCTCATTTCCGAGATTCAAGCCGTCGCCAAGCACAGAAAAGAAAACAAGTTGTACAACTACTCGTTTGACGAATGGGCGTGGTACCTCAAACTCATTGGCGAGGACGAACACAACCCGCTTACTCACGGAAAGGCAAAGATTAAAGGGAAGAAACCAACGGGGGACTCTGGAGAAGAGGAAATTGTAAAGTGGTCGTGGGTTGGACATCGCAGCCCTTTGATGGGGAGCCAGAGCGAGAGCGACTGGATACTGGAAAAATTGGTGGACAGGCTGCAACAGTCGCTGTCGGCTGAGAGTCAGAGGCTGAGGGCTGAGAATAAGAGGCAGCGACGGAAACATCGGGGTGCCTTTGATGATTATGCCATGTAAGATATACGGACTGGTGTAAATAATGTGCATTATGGTTTAGGATATACGGGCTGGGTGTAAATTATGTGTATTATAGTTTTATAGGTTTAATCCGAGGAAATGCATGGGACAAGCGATGCGTTTCGAATTCTTTGAAACTATCTAAAGTTTGACAGTTGAATTGAATCTCGATAGAAGAACAACCAAAATTCCCGAATCAACAGACAGTAGCAGACCGAGCGATTGCGAATACCTATTGTAAGACAGATTCAAAAGTTCCAACATCCCCGCTTCCGCGCCCAAATGCAGATAGCGCTGTGACAAATGGCGTGCTTAGTGCTACAACTCAGCTAAGAGACACCTCGGTTTCATTTCTCACGCATGCGACAACATATCATCAATTCGAATACCTTCGAAACCATCAAGCTTAGCACAGGACTAGAGCGCAGCGTACCTAATAACTCGCAATGACCCAAGTCCCCGTGCCGAAGCCCCAAGATGATCTGCAGACCGTCGTAGAGTCTCGGACAAGGGAATGGCACTTCCACATCTACTTCCTGCTGCAATCGCCCACTGAAACAGCCGCGGCTCTTGCGCTTCGTGATGCGGTATTGAGACTTCGTCGCGAGGGTAAAGAAAATTCCAGACAGTCTCAAGATGCTCTGAACTAATTGGCCGTATAGGCGCCTTTGTGGCCGTTCCGCTGCACAGGGTCAACAAATATCCTATTGGACCTCATCCTGCTGGATCGTATGAGAGTGAGTGTCAATGGCCCGTGAGATATGTAGGGTACCAAATGAGCCTCGTCTAATTTTTGAGTAAAGTCTGGGTTCCCGACTCTTCATTCTCCGACGTCTTCTTCTACTTGGCATCAAACCGAGGAAACTTGAGGTGAGTTCTAATCTAACCGGCGCCTAAACCTAAACCTATGACATTCACACAAACTTTGCTCCCTTGCTGATACATCATGTAGTGTACTTGTACATCCTCTAACCTCTGAACAACGTCGAGACCACGAGACTCGCAATGGCTGGTTGGGTACGCCGTGGCCCATCTACCTGGATGCGCTGCCCCGCGAAAGTGACGAGGTGCCTCTTCAGTATCCTGAGCTGGGCCTCGGCTGGTCCACCGTGCCGGAAGACGAAATATCGCTTGATGAGAGGAGAAAGAGGGGAGCAAAGGTTGAGGCACTGTTGGCTAATGACCCTGAGGCGGCCCCTGCTCCTCAGGATTGATGCCTGGGTGTGGGTTACCAGAATCTCGGGCTCTTCTATAGAATACCGGTGTTCTAGAAGGACGGGGTACCATGATCTTGATACGCCCCCTAGATAATTACATGGTAGTATCGACTAAGCGCTAAAGAGAATTGTTCTTGATGATGGAAACTTTGGAGATCCTTGTATGCATCAGCTCGCCTTGCGTATGACTCGCTCAATGTTGTATAACACGTATCGTAAGCCTCGACGTTTGCTTATGGCTAGAGAAATGTTGGCATTATGTTTTGTGCGGGCTATACTTTTAGTTAGTAAATGACATTCTTTATGGAGATGTTTCTAGAGTCTGCCGAATTACATTGCCGGGCCCAGCTGTAAAACATGGTGGAGAACATATAGTCTAGGTAGAGCAAAGCCGCACATCATAGACTCGCGAATTAAATTGTTAGAGTTAATATTTAAGCTAAACTTTTTACAGCTCTGATTCCCCAAGGTTTGAATGGATTTTTCGGCCTCTCAATCCCAGTATGTCATACCCTTCCGTGGTGGCAAATGTTTAATTTTAGCCGTCGCCAACATGGATGATCTGCCTTGCCGCGTCACACAGCGAGAGCTGTTTGGTGTCATGTCTCCGATCCTGGTCGTGCGATGGGAAAATCTCCGTTCTATGCACATCTATTTTTAAGAATAATATACGCATATACGAAATGCAAGTTGCTTTCCTATTGAAGTTAGCTAGAAAATTCAGGCAGTTGTAGACTTGTAGTCAAGGTTCAGCTAATTTGGGTTTGTATGTATTATGGTTCTTTTATCTTTACGCATCGGCATTCTAGCATCCTTATCTCATTCATTTCGTATCGAAATTGCAACTAGAATCTACATTTTTATCCTGAATATACCGTGATTTAAATAACAATGTATGAGCAAAAGTCATACGTTAGAGTGTTTCTTCATCATTTTGTCATGCCCTTTCCATTCTGCTTGGCATTCATCCTTCGGGCGGGGGATCGATCACAGCATTAGCCTCACCTACGGTGTACTCCACACGTTGGGTAACTCCAAAGAATGAGGCTGTGTTGTTGATCTGACAATGATAACGCGTATTGCAAGGCGGAGCTCCTCGAATCATAGCAGAAGAGAAATCCGTAATTCGGTCAGGAGCATATGAAAAGTTACACAACTTGGAGGCGCAAGCTACACTACAATCCATTGAACATAGATCGTCATAAGATCTTTTGGATTTGGGTATACCTACTTCCAGTACTCTGAGCTGTCATGGAATATCTTGACAGTGCTGAAGACTAGACGTAAACATAGTCATTTAATGCTGGGATACTTCACATGATATACTGGCCCCAGCTGAATTAACTTTAAATGTAGCTTTTCAGATCAGCTAACTTGAGATGAGTTTAGTAAACACAGAGACTGCATTTGCGAGATGGACTAGGTTCAAGCGGGCTACATTGCCGCGAATCGTCAGACTCTTGGCCCTCTAGATCAGAATCGGGAAGATTGATTCAGCCGCGAGATTGCTAGAATCGTTCCCGATGCGTGGCATCGTCCGATAATTCAGCCCAATGTACCCCACCTCAGTAGTCATGAACCAAGATTTAGCCCATTGTGGCATGTCATGAAGCCAGACGGCATGTGTAATCTTATTGGGGAGTCTATCGCTTTTGAGTTGCAAGGGTTGGTACAACATTGCTCCATCAGCGCCATGTTTCTAAACATAGCTTATTTATAGCTGTCAGCTCCTGTCTCTTGGTAAGCTATGTCATAATCATAGTCCCCGACCCCTGTTCAAGTAGCCAAAGTCCTTAGCAACTCATCAACCAATGCGATAAACCAAAACAAGTGCGCCTGGCTCAAAAAATTTCTTTTTTCCTCGGAAGCGGTGGAGAGCCGGAAGTCGCACACAATCACCAAGCGGCAGAGCCGAAATTACAAGTTCTGGGGAACCATCCTTTTCAGATCATCTCCCGTTAGAGCAAGCCTCTTGTGTTGTGTGACACCCTCAGGCAGCTTTGATCAACAGCTGTTGGAAAGGCAGTTGCCACGTCCAGCAGTAGACAAGTAGTACTACTATGTACTACTTCGTATATGCACCATGTATGTGGGTATGCGTGAATGCTGTATGAGTTGAGCAGAACCGTAGAGCTACTAACAAACACAAAATGCGCCGCATCCTAGAAGAAAAACAAGAATTTCCTGAATCCTTGCATTAGCAGAGCCACTAAATCCAGAGCTGTGTATCGTCCAGGCGTTGAGTAGCCTAGCTCAAGGCCCACAGTCCACCAACAGTTGTCAACTGTATGCGAGTTGACGGATATCAATAACCAAATAGGCAAGGCGGCACTCCTTCTCGCTAATAGCCAATGGTAGAGTGTATAAATAAAATAGGAGTCGGCGAGGTCTGTCATCACCAGGACTTGATTGATAAATCACAAAAGTTACAAAAAGAGCAATAGCTAATTACTACGATTAGTATGCCTAAGCTGGGTAACTCAATAAGATGCTTGGCTCTCGACTCACTTCTATCATACTGTACTCAATTAACTGCAAAGTTAAGGAGCAGCCGCATATTGGTGGAGAGTTGAAAACAACCATGGAGGCGCTCATGCGGCTCTGTCTCTCTTAGGTCCACAAACGGCCCCCAACCCGCGAGGCAAACCCAAGGACATTTTGACCGCTCCACCCTCCATCCTTCGGGAGCTTGTTACACGGAATACCGTTTACTCGTTTCTGCTAGTCTCGATGCTTTCTCAAGCCTTGCGGACGCTTGTCAGCAGGGCAGGTGTGCTGTTGGCTGGTACCTCAGCCACAGATTCCACCTGGTCAGCACTAATATGGCAAAAAGGAGCCAGGATGTACTACGTGAGCCCAAGTCTTATATAGTATAAGAGAGGCAAGCGAGCTCTTCAACTCTAGTTGGGCTGTCTTAAGGTTTTTTTCTCCTTCACCAGTGAAAAGCTAGCCAGATTGTAGCAAATCGGTATTCGTGAGCATTCTTTTCTCATCAAAATGGCGGTTTCTCTACCTCTTGCTATCGCCCTGGGCGCGCTGATGATTGATGGCATTCTCGAGCTGTCATTCATTACCAGCATGGTGGCATGGCTTCACCAAACCGCCAGTGGTACTTTCACGGTCAACTTTGACGGCTCAACTTTCGAACTCTATGGCGAACCGAAACACTTCTTAGTCGACCAAGGCCACACCAGCAACGGCGCCGCGGGAACAGCAATCATCCTGATCGGTTTCGGAGGCATCGTCACTCTTTTCCTCAGAAGCCGACCTCACATCCTCGGCCAGAAATTCACGTCTTTCATCTACGGTCTATGGCTTACTATTCTTGTTCTGGGCCTCATGCTCACTCTCTCCGCCCTCGCTTACGTCTTCGCCGTTACAAACTCGCACAAGGGGCAGATGATTGATGTCAAAGTCGCCTCGACAACTGGCAACCACAAATATGCCCTCGATACATGGACACCCCAGAACTGGTTCCCTGCGGTGCTGAAGCTGGACCTGGCAAACGAAAGCCAGAAGAATGACATCGCAAATCACCTGCGAGTCATGCGAGGATGGCAGTACAATTTGATCCCGATGTTCTTGATTCAGCTTACGACTACTGTTTTGGCCTTCTTGGAGTTCCTGCAGAGGCGACGAGCAGGACCTTCTCTTGTTGCATATGGAGCCGTGGAACGAAACAGCGCAGAGCAAAAGATGGTTGCGACTCCTTGAGTGAGAGCTCGCTTTTGGCATCCGAGGTGTTGGGTATTCTGAATTCTTGCATATACTTTTAGATAAGAGAAGCATTCACGGCATGGGTTATTAACTTGCATTATTTCTTTGGACGGGTATTTATCTCGATTTGGGGCGCGGGTTTTTTGTGAGGCTTTCACATTTTAAACTTCTATTTATCACTCCTTTAATGAAACTATTTCCTTTACCTAATCTTGGTGCACTATTCTGCTGATTTTATTCTAACATGACAACGTGGATTTGTGAGAACAATAACAATGAAGCAGCCCCAAATTATATGGCTACTCAGTAACTACTTGACAGTAGTATCGCAACAGCTACTACATACGAAAATAATGTGACCCTGCCAGTTACTGCTGGCAAATATTTGCTGGTTCATTCATCTGCTAACATCTGGTATTGTAAGTTGAATCGCTGTGCTTGGACAACACTGTATACCCGACTACCTGGTTCTCTTGAATGAGGCCCAGCACCTACATCGAGCTGAAATGTAATAGAACGGGCGTAATCTAACACTAAAGGCACCGATTAATAAAGGAAAAAGGAGCCTTGTAGCTACTATGTAGGCTGTTCAGTACAGGTTGGGGTTGAATCGTGATACCAAATTGATAGGGCCTAGCTCCAAGACGTTATCGTACATAGATGCAACGGCCCGTATGTGGCGAGAATACAGCCAACAGCGGCTGCTTGGTGTATTTACATCTAGAAGTGACTTTACAGGGACTCGGAGATTGTCTGAGTTGCCCAATATAACGATGCATAGCTTTAGAAATAGCAGCTAGTAGTGGCATCATCCTTCAAGCGCCGGACGCGTTCATGATGGTCGATCTATAAGCGTAGACCGTCTCTCAGTGGAGCTGCAAATGGCGGAGAAATTGACAGGCATAGCGACCCACTCCGCAACTCGCTCCGCATGAGCTGAAGGTCAAGAGTGCTATCTTGGGAAGTGCAGTATTATTAGCCAACTCAGCTGACAGCCGCATATGGCTTCGAAACGTTACGTCTTTTGAGCTCGCCCATCAAAGGCTCACAATACAATAGAGCAAAGAACATCTTCAATACCATGCCATACCCATATCCATGATTGTGTGGCTCGCATGCTACTGACTATAAGCGCTACGTGCTGCATTGACTACCTGGAACGGCTCACCTCACAATAAACAATCGCCATAGAAAAGAGGCTATAAATTACTCCCAAGGCATTTTCTCATGAAGATGCCTTCTAGTACCGCATTCATCATATCAAAAGAGTGTCCCATTATGCCGATTCTAAGTGCGAGGAGTTTTGCTTTGTATCCAGACTCTAATACTTCTTCATTAGTCTCTTCGCAGTCTTCTAATCCATAATCATGCCTTTACCATCATCGATCCACGGACTTGTTCGGAATACCGAACCTGCAGAAAATAGGCGTGTAATTCTATTTGCATGTAGAAGATAGTTATCTAAAATAAAGCTTAAAATGAATAAGCCATGACCAATGCCTCCTTATAGCTTGTCGCTACGTTTTGTAAGCGGCACAAAGACAAGCGGAAGAGAGCCTCGAAATAGGGAAGGCGTAAAGCATAGGGCTGCAATTGACACTAATGAATGAATGAAAGAGGAGAAGACAAGAAAACTGACGTTTGTACAGCCCGCAATGAAGTCGCTGACGCATGATTATTGGGAATTGCATAAGCTTGGTAAAACTTCTCGGAGATAAGAATTGAATATCCGTGGCAGCAAAGTCGTCAGCTCAGCCTATTCCAGGCTTCACCTCGGTATACATGCGTGATGTTGGTAGAAAATTTTATTTGTATATATATAGTTTGATAGGTATATAAGAGTAGAATCTTGCAATGCATCAATCACTTGCATCATTATTAATTGATCCCTTGGCGATAAACATCAGCTTTTAGGTTGGTATACTTAAACGATACTTCATCATGTATACATCACGTTTATGCCCCTTCATCTGGGCATATCTTGTGAGTACAGTTTTGGGCTCATGCCCTTCTTTCCAGGGTTCCTTCAATGCATCCGTTTTGGATCTCTATCCTGAGAGCGCAGATTGGGATCCAGTACACTGCAAAATATACTTTGGGTACGCTATGCTTTTGTCCCTTTTATTTCGTCTCTACATTTGGTTCTGACGAATGAAAGCCTCTACTACAATTCTTCGGTTGCTGTTTATGATCCATATCGTGATGAATATGAGTCAATCGTCTTCCCTGGAATCACTGGCAATGACGATTACACCATTACTGGTATTGACTACGACGGAATGGGATCAATGTACTTTGCAGCAACTTCATATACAGCCTTTGAGGCAACGACCTCTGGAAATCCGGCGCTGGCAAATTTCACCGGCCCCAATAGTATTATTCGATATGATACTGGGACCCGTACAATTCTGTGGATAACAGATCTGGTGCCGCTACAGAAGCAAGTGTTCCAGCAAACGGGAAAATTGATTACAGGATTCCAAGATATGGCAGAAGATGACCAAGGGAACACCTACGTGATAGGATCGTTTGGCTCTATTATTATCAAAATCACCAGCACTGGTACGCCAAAAATCTGGTACCAACCAAGAAACATCAACGACACACTTGTTTCAGGCGGCATTGTTCGATCAGGGGACAGGATTGTCATCAACGATCGAGTTGCTCCAGGGTTATTGACCTTTAATATCAACGAACCTAAGGGGCTTCCGGTCTTTGTGCACCCGGAGGGATTCCCGACTAATTATACCGGTGGAGGGGACGGACTGCTTTTGCCAGCAAGATACGGCGGTAAAGTTATCCTCTGGTCTGACGACTTTTATGGGACTCGTGTTGTTGGAAGTAGAAATAACTGGAAGACGGCTGAGTACCTCGGCTTAGTCCTCATGGATGATAATCTCAGCAAACAAGGTGGATACACAACTGGCAGCTTCGAGGTTGGTCAAACGATCTATTCTTTGACTGAATTCTTTCAGCCCACGAGATCTGTCAAGCCAAAGCAAGAGTTTTTGATGGTGGATATGACGGAGCAGATTGATGAACTTGTGAAGGCCTGGAAGGGCGAGATTTTGTAATTGATCAAAGTCCCGAACGCTTGTGTAAGCTTTTCACTTGTGGAGATTTTTAGTCTAGAACTACAATACTGATTGATATACATATTGATGTATACATGCATTGTCTACTTGTTCTGAAATGTATAAAAAATGGTGTTATTTTTCTGCTCTAAATTAAAGGGCACATATCGCTGCTTAGTTATTATAGAACCAGAAGTCTACTTTTTAAACACAAGCTGCTTACTGCCGTGCAAAATTCTCCAGATGCTTCATCACAACATCTCCTGCTTTGGATATAACCCAGTGGCCGGATTCAACAGCATGCTGTGTATAACCCTTTGTGGTCCAAGGCTCAGTCTCAAACTTCAGCTGGTCAAAGCTTTGTTTGTGATTTCTGCACTGCTTTCACTCTTATATCTCATTTGTTGTGTTAAATTATAATATCCTGCAACTAAGGTTGGTTTATAGCAAGTAGCCAATGGAGACTTCCTAAATAATGTAGTGGCCTTCGATTCTAATGTAATCACACAAAATTGTTTTGAGACAGAAGTCGTTACAGACGACTGATTGCGGTTGACTATAACTGCTTCTGTCTCAAAACACAGTGCGCAAGAATTTGCTACCAGCCTTTGGGTTCTTCATGGCGTAAATGTAGATGAACTATTATCTCAATTGGCACTGCTATGTACTCCTCTCTTTAGAAGTGCATTATACTTTAACATTAGCGAGGTTGTCAATTGCACATGTACGCAGAATTAGGCATCATTCAGCTCGAAAATTTTCAGATCACGACGTAATACAATTGAGATTTGATAGTAGTAATTTAGGCTCAAGTTATCCGAATTACCGTTTCGCTTATGCGGCCTTATTACGCACATCAATCATGTTGACCGCTGCATCAACAATAGACTCCTCAAACGAGCGATACTTTAAGCCAAGAATCTTCTTTGACTTTGAGTTATCCACCTCGTATATATCTGGCCCTGGGTAATTTTGCCCCGGTTTCCCAACGGGCACCAACTTCTTGTCGGCCTCGGCAATAAGGGGAGACGCACGCAAAACGTCGGCCGTTTTCTGGTAGCTGTAGCGTCCACTAACAATAAAGAAACGCTCATTTCCAGCTTCGGGAACTTCCAGCGCACGAACATGAGCAGTGGCAAGATCTCGCACGTCAACGAACCCCCAAAAGCCTGTATCAGGCACATCCTCGAGCTCGCCAGACAGGAAACGATGAATATCCCAAGCGCTGGTATTCATTGCTGACAAGGATACGACGTGAGCGGCGGGACCAAAGACCATGGGTGGATTTAAGACGGTCAGATCAAAGTGAGGCTTTTGTTCGTTCATGAACTTCCAAGCAGCCTTCTCAGCCAACGCCTTGGAAGCGCAGTAACACACCACCCCGTCAGCAGTCTTGGCGTAATCGTAGGTCGTTTCGTTCCAATCAGCTTCGTTGTACGTGTGGCCTGGCCAAAAGCCCTTGGAGAAGTCGACCATGGCGGCAAAAGACGAAGTGATGACAACGCGCTTGGCCTGGGGGGCATGTGCAGCAACGGATGCCAACAAGTTCTTGGTTCCCTCAATAGCCGGAATCAACATCTCTGCCTCATTGTCTTTGATGGTGAGTGTAAATGGACTGGCAATATGCAGAGCCTGATCCAACGTCGTCAGTATTTGCCATGTCTAGTACGTGCATAGAAACACCTACTCCATGAATATCTTTGACAGCCTCGTCAAAGGCATTTTTAACGCTCATATCAGGAACAACCACCACAGAAAACTTATCCGAGTAGGCAGAGTAAGTTTTCCGAACTGCCTCGGCTGACTTCTCGGATCGGACAGTTCCTCGGACCTGGTAACCGCCGTCCAGCAGCGCAATGACAGCATGTGCGGCAACGAAGCCACTCGCACCGGTGACTAAGATAAGTTTTCCTGTTGAGCTCATGTTTATCTTAGCTAGTGATGTGATTTCAGGATGATGGAAGCGACTTTAGGGGTGGTTGACAATTTTCTGGTTGTAGTTGCGGCTACGGATGTGATGTGAAAGGTGGTGATGTCGACCTTTTATGTTCTTCAATTCGTCTCTGAACGTTGAATGACAAATCGAAATTTATCTCCGAACGGACTTGTCGTGACTTGATGTCGAAAAGAGTAGTTGATTCGTGAACCATCTCTGGAGTTTTGACGTCTGGTGCTATCTCCGACGGCAGACCGGGGCTCAGAATGGATAGTGCGGGCATGCGGCCGCATCCGCCATTGAGGTCCAACAACTCATGCCTAGTATCTTCAGGGCAGTATATATCCGTCAACGTTGCTTCTCTATTAATATTAAATATTCATCTGGAACAAATTAGCACATGAGACCACGACTCTGATTTCAGGAGATGCTCACTCGCAATGTTCCACCTTGTTTGCATAGAGCGCAGATAAGATTCCAAAGTCTCTAGATATCCAGTCATTTCTTCACTTCCACTTTCCTTGAAATACCACAGAGAAGTGACTGCTGCTTGATATAGGCAATCGCATATGAGAGGGCTCAAATTATCGGTGTTAATTGGTTCTGTGAGTTGCAGCATGTCGCCAAAGCGGGTTATTTCGGCTGGGAATTTGCGAAATTCACCAAGCGCCAAAGCCTGCATCTCGGTTTCTTCCACACAATTCACGTGTTGATTCGTTTCGGTGCATGAATACATGTTTAACAAGGCGACCTTTGCGCTAAATGCTATAGCATAGGCAAGGCTGAAGGCGACGCTATTTAAACGGAATTCCGTGTCCAAGAGGTGTAGTAGACTATTCAGCGTTTTGAGTAACTGTGCGGCTGTTGTGTATCGGAGAGGCCCAACCAGTCTCGAATCGTCTCGATGATCGATAATACGCCCAAGCAGGTGAGCTACTTGGCAAGCCCGTGAAAATGGGTCGCCCGACAATGTGGTTACACCTTGAACAAAAAGAGGCTGACTGGGAGCTGGTTCGCCCTGACCCCAGCTCTTTGTATCGCAAGGAAGCATCTCGTCGTCGGCAAACTCTCCCGAGGAAAGGGGCCGGCCTTCGAAGCCAATGTTGATATACCTGTCCCAGATTTTTAAGCATTGATGTCGTAGCATGGAGACGAATTTCTTCGTCAGGTTCAAGCCAGAAACACGTTACCTGTCGAGAATAAGTACCGCAAACCAAGTCCTCCTGATTTCTTCCGTCTCCCCCCAGGATGTGGGCTGTTTAAATGATTTGGATGTGGAACTATTACCATGCAAGCCCATCATTTGGCCTAATCTTGCACAACGTCCAATCGACATGTAAGCAGCGGGATAAATGCCATGGCCGATTTCGTAGAGAGTGATTAAAATGGCCGCCTGTAGCACACCCAGGGTCAGAAACCCACAGTCTTCCAATACCGTCATGTATCCTTTGACAATTCGGTACAACCGATTTCCGAACGGGCTGCCAGTAGCACTCGTAATCATCTTCATAGCCGCCAAAAGTGTGGCCATTCCAGGGTCTGGGTGCATGTCAACGGAGGCGGTGAGTTGACTGATCTTTCTTTTCCAAACAAATGGTAGCCATGAGTGGACTGTGTCAAAGTAGCTGTCGGCGATTTCACGCGTTGCTGCTGGAGATGCTATCTGAGAAAGCAGCTCCTGCGGGATGGTCATGAAAGGGAATGTGCGGACATCCCATGGTCTGCAGTCCACAGCAGTATCGAGGAAATAGGAAATAGGGAGCAGAGCTGAAGGTACTGGCTCGGAGAACGAAAGTGCTCGATCCTCCTGCGTAAAGGCGAGAATATCCGAAGGTTGCATGGCAGGCCTCGACGTGTCCAGGGACCCAGGAGTGTTGGGAGAGCCGCTTGTGTGGGAGGATGCGCCTCTTCTCAGCGTCGTTTCAAGATGGGCCACGCGGGCCCGCAGGCGAACCAGCTCTTCGTTTCTATCGACGGTGTATTCACATTCTCGCTTTGCCCGGCGGCAGGTTCCGCAGCGCGGTACTTGCTTGTCACATCTCCGCTTTTGCTTGCGGCAATACAGGCAGGTCTGGAGAGGCCGTGGAGAACTAGCCATGAAGTATAAGTGCGGGATGTTGATATAGTATTGTGACAAAAAGGGACTTGGCGGTGTTTAGCATTTTCTATTTGATTCATGTATCCTCTAAATTGGTGGCTATACTTGCGGTGATGCGGCCGCACTGCCGTAGCTCCATGGTGGAGCAAACGTTATTAGCCGTGAGTGATTACTTGTTGAAAATTCCAAGAAATTCCACACATTAACCAGACCAAGTTGATCTAACTACATGTACAGTCCTGTAGCTCCTTTCGGCACAAATTGTGGCCCCCAGATTTGATCTCCAATGTCCCGCCATTACTTTTCGCATTTTCGGCTCCCCTTCAGCAACACATTCCACTTGGCTGTACATTTTGGAGCCCATATGTGTAACATATTACCACGCTCTTCACGCTTAATCAGGAAACTCTTGCATTGGCGTGGTTTCTTTATTCTCAATTTGTGCGCTGCAGCGTCAATGTCTAAATCTAGCAAAGGCGAGGATTGGAAATAAAAGCTTCTTATATAAATAAGAGGGTTCAAGAAGTTATTTTGAAAGTAATTTATCTAGTTGCTATGTCTCAGTAGCATCAATTCCTTCCGAAGAGATTATGCCCTCAAAATTTGGACAACAGGAGTCCTCTATGTCACCAACAACCCAAGCTCAGCTGGTTGTTCTAAAAGTATGACCGGTCCAGCTTTAACGCTCGCCAAAGTTGGAGCACCAACTATATCGGCGATTACCGCAAGAATGATGCCTCGTGCTTCAAACTGAGATGGAATCTCAACTTTAATATCTTCGCGAGGCCAATGTGTTGTGTCAACTGGCACACTAATGTTGGAGGGGCCGTGGAAAAAGGTTGCATAGTATTGCACACCCTTATGGAAGCTAGGTTGGTTGGTCGGGTCGGTAAAGTTCAGCACGATATTGCTACCCGGACTTATCGACTTTGTCGAACTAGCTGGGGCAAAAGGAGGCAAGTTCTGTCTCGGTGACGGATAAACCGGGTTCTCTGACGGGCAGCTCTTGGGAACAATAAACGCATTGGTCACGTCGAGAATCTGGTTGGCGTAAGGAAAAACGGTGTCTGAAGGGCCTCCAAAAGGGTTTGTTTTCCAGATGTCGAGAAGAGCCCATGTCTCGTGCCGCGTTTCCGTAGCAGCAATGGCCGTCATGGCACCCTGGGATGCAGGCAGCTTGGCCATTTGCACAAGTCCCGTTAGGAATGTCATGCTCGAAATCTCAATCAGCGTTGCGAGCGCTAGAAAGGACGTCGGATTGTCGAACGGAAACGCATACTTGCAAGCTCCAGGCTTGACAGAAGTAGGCGTAATTTCATTTTGGAATATGCGCAGATGGCCAGCTTCATTGTCGCGAATCTCTTGGATGCGATCATACGTCGTGTTGGGATAGCCTGCCTCGACAAAGGCCGTCTCGTTAAACATCTCTACCGCCTGCTGGTAGAACGAGAAGATAACCCATTCAGCAGAGAGTAAGTTTTGCCAAACGAGATCGTCGGTTCCAGGAGAACCTTTGGCAGTGGGTGCGATGGGATCCGTGATATTGCCCGGGAACGGAGGAGCCTTGCCCCTATACGAGCTGTATAGCGAGCTTTGCCCAGGTATTGGGCCATAATTTGGATCTGCCAGTTTTTGAGCACTGGACTTGTCATGAGAAGATACAGCTGCTGTATAAGCTGTTGAGTGCAGAAACGCACTTATAAAGAGTGCACTGAGCAAAATCATAGTTTCCACAAAGAACGATGTAGTCAAAGAGCAGTTTTGAATGGATGGACGGAAAATGTGTAAGAGAATAGCCAGATGTTTGAAGTTGAATGTGATCGAGATACAACACATGGACGCCTTTATATATCTGGATTTCAGTTGCTTTATTGACAGCCCTGGCAACACTATGATTTAGCTTGCTCTCTTGTGATGATTTGATTCGTTAGTAGCTAAGCCTCAGTCTGACGCATTGGCCATCTGGTCGCAAAATCTGCTCTTTTGGGGTTTTACGGGCTGTGCTGTTGGAGGCGAAGGATTGTTGCTCCACACGTTCTCTCAGACTATGCCAATGCCAAGGATAGCAAAGTTCAATAATTGGCAAATATTGGGAGTACAGTTGAAAAGAATGAATGACCCATTTCTGTAAGAACTCAAAGAAATAAAAGGGAAATGATTTACTACCAATTCTCCAGCTTTGATTGCTTTTTTTTAAAGAATACTTAACTTTTAAAAGAATATTTAAAGCAAGCAAAGTAGAGTATTTGGATGAAAGGAAACAAGCTTACACAAATATATTGGCCTTTTGTGCAAAATAATTATGATAGAACTATAGAAATATGAAGGTGAAGAGATTGATAAAAATTAGCAACAGTTGAACAAGCAAAGTAACTATCTATAATCTTATTATTACTGAAAACAACCCCATTATGTCAATTTGCATTGACCGCCACACGCTGATCAAAGGCGGTGTCAATATAAATCCACAGTAATTTCTCAGCCATCTTCTCATCAACCCCCTTATCTTTTCCATGCTTTGTTGGTGATGATTTCCGCTTCTGCTTAGCTTCTTTCTCCAAAAGCCTTTCCCTCTTGCTTTCCAAGCTCAGTAATGCGTCTTGTCTTTTATCTTCCACTCGGTCAGAAGAATGCCGTTTGTCCATCTTTCTAGAGGCTTTCTTGTTGACCTTTTCAATGTCATGCTCAAGTTTCCTCATTTTGCGGTCCAGACTCCTGCTGCGGACAGGCGGCTTTGAGACAGTGCTGCCTGAAACTTCGTCTTCCGAAGATGACTCCCACGGTTCGTGATTCTTTTGCAGTTTCTTCATTTGCTTCTCTGTATCCTTGTACATCTTTTTGTCGATTTTCTCTATGTCTCGAACAACTTGCTTCGCACTCATCTGGTCAATTATACCGATGTCTTCTTTTTTAGATGGAAGACGAGTAACTTCGGTCTCGCTCACATAACCTTTCAGTCCTTGCAACAGACGGTTATGAAAACTGGGTTGGCTCTCCAAGGGGATATCAAGCGCCAAGGGTAGCGTAATAGCCTTTTGGGCTGGAAACTTGATAGAAGGGATTAACGCAGCCGTGGTGATCAAACAGACTCTCAATCCCTTTGGTCCAAAAATCCGCTGGTTTGCCTCTTGTAAAAAGGCGTCCGTGCGACTTTTACTAACAATTGCAGTTCCACCCATGGCAGTTAGTTTAAGAAGATTGGAAGTGAGTTGAGCCCAGTGATGTGGCACCATTCCAATTATGCCTCCGGCAAGATCCAAAATCTTGAATGGTGGGGAAGCAGCCGACACAATATTGAGCGTGTCTATGAATTCAATAAACTCTGGTTCTGATATTCCGTGTTCTTGCAATACTGGCGCATTGAGTCTCATGAAAGGCATGCCTCTTCCTTTAGTCATTTGGGGTATTGCAATGGGTAAGACTTTCTGATGACTTGTTGCGGGGAGGGCAGGATTTGCCTGCTGCCATTGAAGTGGCTGATTGCGAGTAGGCGCATCATCGGGATGAAAGTAGAAATTTGGCTGAAGGTATGGTTCATGATTTGGTTGAAGTCGTTGGAATTGAAGAGAAGCATCGGCAGACTGATATCGAAACGAATTTGGAGGTGTATGAGCGCTTGCCATGGCTGCTTCCTGATATGGTGCGGCATGATAGCGTGAGCTTATAGATGGCGGAGCTGAGTACCGTTGATGAAAATCGGAGTGATGGACATCAAGTTGAGAATGGGGATTATAATTGTCGTCGTATCCGTCATATGGACGATATATCGGCGGCGGCTGATTTGAAACATCTCCGTATCCATGTGAATGGTCGGGTTGATAAGCACTTTGCTGATGCTTCGAATCACCCATCTTTAGAGTGGTAACAATATTTTAAAAGAGACTTTAGTTTACAGGAATAAGTTGAACAAACTCAAGGAATATTGCTGGTTCTCTGATACAGCGCAATGGTATTTAAGTTGTAAGCATGCATCGAAGTCTACGGCATTTGCACATTAAATATATTGAGCATGATCCGATTAAATAAGATCCATCTAACTGAAAAGGGGGCATTCTGCGACTGCAATCTTTGGCCCTGGGTCTATCTGTGATATATGATAGACATGTATGGAATGCGCCTAGTTGGCCATCGAGACAAGGCACACTCCGCTAGTTGACAACTTGAATCATGATCAGCCACTTGAGTCAACGTCAGCATCAGGCACTAGTCCCAATCAGGCTCATTGCGCGACGGGTGAAATCCTTCGAGTCGCTTTTACTGGCTCTGACGTGCGCTAGATATAAACGCCCAGTAACGGTGGGTATTTCCGAATTTCTTGCAAGACAGAACAGCATCTCATTCAGGGGCTGGAGCAGCCTTTTTATATCACTCTAAGCCGAAAACTGTCCTCTGCATCATTTACTGAGTTAATATCCTCTCCTTTGCCGCAGGCAAGCTGCTACATAATGGTCGGCATCGGTGGGAGGAGCCGCGGCTGTAAAACGTGCCGCCGTGCTCGAGTGAAATGCGGTAAGCGCCGATGAATCCAGACCAGGGGCTTGTTATCAATCCGTATTGCTTCCTTGCTAATTGAAGCAGATCAAAATCAACCCATTTGTTTCCGCTGTGCACGTCTTAAACTTCAGTGCCAAGGGTTCAACCCCTTCCCCGTCTTTATTGATGGTCTTTCCCTTAACGAGATCAAGGCGGACAACGCTACAGAAGGGGATGGGAAGAAGGAAACATCTCTGGTGCCGGCGCCTAGTCTCGATGAAGACAATATCTTTACAACTCACCTCATTATGACCCTCTTTATACCCTTTAAAGGGAGCAATACGGTCCCTAACCCCAGCCTATCTCTCTGGCTAATGAGCTCTATTCTGCCAAGTGACCATCCCCAGGCCCCACAACTTGCAGTTCGAGCTTGTGCTGCCGCATATTTTGGAAAAATACATCGTCAATTTTCTGCAGCTGAAAGAGGTACAGTCTTGTACACGAAAGCGCTGCGTCAGCTTCAGAAGCAACTCTTTGATTCAGAACAGGTTTTAAAAACAGATACCCTTTCCGCTACCCTGTTACTGGCCCTGTTCGAGATGATCACTTCCAAAGACATGAATGGGTGGCTAAGTCATTTACTTGGAGTGGGACACCTTGTAAGCTGTTGCTTCTTCGTCAAACATGCCTTACAAACATGGAACTAATTCTTTTTTACCGAAGATCAAATTTCGAGGACCTCAGGCTCATCGAGATGGCACAGGCAAAGAGCTTTTCCTGACAACACGTCCGTCCATTGTAGGTAGAAAGTACACTTTATGAAGTCTTCATTTTAACTGACACATATGAGATTCTTGCCTATCTAATTCGGAGGCAACGCTGTTTCTTGGAAGAAGATGCATGGAAAACAGTGCCGTGGGCTGATGAACCAGACTCCAAGACCTCCATGGATTGCCTAAACGACATATTTTGCCACTTACCTGGAGTTATGGAAGACCTAAAAATACCTCTAAAACGCATAGATGCCGTCGACGAGCCTAAAATATCCGACATCATACTTTGCTTTCAAATTAAGGCGCTTTTCGAAAAGCTCTACAATTGGCGCGTGAAATGGGAGCAAGATTTCTCACACACATATTTCAACGTTGGATTGGATAGTCTCAAGGACTTGAACGTTTTCGAACTTGACTCCTATCCTTTTCCTACCGCAATCTTCTTCACTGAGCACATTCGAGTCGCCGAAATCTGCATATACAACGCAATGCTACTGCTTCTACATCAAGCTTGCCGGCAACTTCCAGCTTCAATAAGGCCAACGGTGACATCCTATGAGAATACATATTCCTGGCCACGACCGTCAGTTCTTTTGGCACCTGGAGACGGGTCAGTGGAGGATATCATTGGGGAATTTTGCAAGCTGGTATATTTTCAGCTTCTGAGTTACCCAGGGAACACCGGTGCTATTCAAATTATGTTTCCCTTGCAAGTCTCGTATCGCAACGTAAACCCCGAGTCCATAGAAGCTCGATGGTTGTATAAAATTATATCTCACATTGCAGACTGTTGTGGATTTGATGCTGTAAGATTCAACGAAGGACTTGAATATAGCTGAGAGAATATGGCTATCTGGGGATATTCAGTACGCTAAACGATGATCAACTGCTACAAATAGTTTGTGAGCTTATTCATTATGAAAACAAAACAGAGGAGCTCTTTGCTGGAACTGTAGCAAGAGGCCGCCACTTTTTGATTCATCTGTGAGTAGTTTCCTCGCATGGTTATACTCCTTTTTGATTAGTGTATTCGTCCCAAAAGGCCCGATTTTAAGCCAAAGGGGGCTTTGTTTTGAGCTTCTTTCCAGAAGAAGAGTATTCAGCGATGTAGCCTGGCATTAATAAAACAGTAAGACTCCACTAGAATGTTTGGTCCTTTTCGTATCGAGCCTTAGCTACATTGGGTAGATCAAGCGATATTGATGTTCGATCGATTCTACTTTACAATAATATATATATATATATCTTACAATCAAGCACATTCTCCTGATCATTCAGACACGCACCGTACATCTCTATTTAACTGTCAGTAACAATTTGAAAAATCACTTCATTTTCGCCAACATGACCCTCGACAGTCATGGCAAACTTGCAGTTGTTGAAGTTATTATTTACGTTCCGATCGGCCTCTTCTGTGTATATAACAATATCCGACATGGTTTCAGAAGAGACGTTGGCTGGATCTATCTGACAATCTTTAGCATCAGTATGTCCTACTTTGCAGACTTTTGGCCTCGCGTCCCGCTAATTATGAGACTCCGTACAGTCAAGATCGCTGGTTCAGTCATGACAATCCAGATCGAAAACGGGACGAATACAAGCATGGCTACAACAGCTACCATTCTGAATACAGTCGCATTATCCCCTCTACTAAATGCTTCGCTGTGCTTTTTGAATGTTGGGTATGTTCATTTCAGCAGCAGAACCGAGTCTATGGAAACTAACTAGAAGGCAGGCTGGATAAGGCCCATTCGTTTGCACGTCATGTTACTAAGGCTTTAAAACTCGTCCATATACTCATCATCGCCGGTCTCATTCTCAGTATTACCGGCGGCATTAGCCGGACAAAAACTGCACAAGACAGTTTAGATGCCGGCGCACGAGAGCTTCAATTAGCATCAATTGTTTTTACTGTTGTGTGGGTTCTCGTGGCTATTGCGTGTCTGATGTACATAAAGAACCTTCATTATGTGCAAAGTGCTGCAAAGAGGGTAATTTTGAATCCCCAAATCGTATTGTTACATGGAGACTAACTCGCGGGTGGTGCTAGCTTGTTCTATCAGTAGCGATGGCTTTGCCATTTTTACTGGTACGAATTGTCTACTCGGCGTTGAATGCGATTAATCTGGATACAAGCTCCTCCCACGGACACACTATGAAATTTAACCCTGTCCTCGGTAGCTGGCGTTTATACCTTGTGCTTGGGTTGGCTACCGAATTCGCGGTGGTGGCGCTGTATACAGTGACTGGAATTGTCAACTCCTTTGCTAAATCTCGAGATAATGTATCTGGCTACCAAGGAATCGAAGCTGCTTTATAAGATTAGGGTATGCATACCTTGTCTAGGTTACTCTTTATGTCTTCCATCTATTATAGGTTGAAATTTATTTTTACTTGATAAGCTTCTCCATACCCTTCCTTGTTGTAACATGGAGGACCCCATCAGCATCTCCTAGAGTAAAACTCCAACCTTTTAGTCCCTGACAAGCAAAGCCTTTGTCGGTATAGTTCGGAATCTAGGCGGTCTGACTCGAATCCGTGCTATTTGTCTCCAGATTAATGTCGAGTTGGCCGAGGTGGGGCTGACGTACCAGTTTCCTATTTTGGGAGTCATTTTGGGTGGGGCACAAAAAAAGGTGGAAGATCATACGACATGAGGCCGATACTTACTCTTACTCGCTCATTGAAGCCAAGCCACCCGAATTGGTATCCCAGAAAAGTCCAACATTCGTTACCAGATCTTCCAATTTCAGGTGAAGATAGCCATTTGAAGAATACCACTTGGTCATAGGTAGTATTGCTATTATTTTTGAGGCCGCACTCTTGTTTTCTATTTAAACCGAGCGTCCCATTGTACAATCATGTCATGCAGGATCCAGCCTTTTTACGTATTTTAAATTCTAAAGTTGCGATGTTCTAAATATCATACATATATCAGCCTCATTAATTACTATGCTCGCTCGATTTAACAACACTAGCGAGACGAGATGTGTTGTACACTGGAAAACGAAAAGGCAAAACGTCTCGACATAGCTCATGACCAAGCATATAAAAGCCCGCCAGAGACGAGACAAAACCGAACGCGCCCCCTACTTTCATGAGCTTCATACTGGTTAAAATGTTACCATCTGCCCGAACAAAGTGGCCTATACAGTTGAAGATATACGATAGCTCCAAGGCGCCATATACAACAATATTAGGCGCGCCACTATATCCATTTAGCAGTATTCTGTCCGTGTTTCTTGGGTGTCCTTACGTTGGCAAAGAAGCAATGAAGAAAAACAGATTCAGTATGCTCCAGACTGCGTGGGAAGCACATTGTCAACTAATGCGCTTCTAGGGCAAGAAGTATCACTTACCGAGTAGGTAAATCCCAAATGCATTGTGATAGTCGGCTGTCTGCCCTTGGTAAGACTCGAGAACGCCTGATGAAGGCAGTAGTAACACCCCATAGCCGCCATAGTACAGCGCTTCCGAAGATGTTAGACCAGGCAAACCACACAGACTTTGAGAGAAATGACTTACCAAAAGCTCCTAGAACTGTGTAATCGAATGTATTGCCCCTGACCATTTCCCATTGCGCGGAGACCAAGAGCCCAACTCCAGCGAGAAAACAGAGGTTTGCTACAAAGACGGATTGGTTTGATATGCTGCGAAAGCCCATCCCAGACAATGACAAAGTCATCAACGTCGCTGCAAACCCGCCATATCCCAATGCACTCTAGAAATACATCCATTAGTATTCCGGCACAAACTTGCATAATGGATTGTAATCAATTGAAGGTCAGTAGCTTATACCGGATTGGCTAGGCTCCTCCGCCTAGCGATAGACGACTCAGGCGCCTTGATTTCATTCTCTGCAACTAAATTCATTGTGAAGGCTGCTGCTCAAACATGCCATCAAAACAAATGCAGTGCAAGTTTCCGTAATTTGGGAACACCGATGATTTGATATAAGCGAATCTGACAACGAACTAGCCGTACCGGAGACGACTCAAAGGAAAAAGTCGGGAGTGAAAACGTGCTCACTAATGGAGGCATAGCTTACCCGGAATGCAGGTGGGACTGAGGTGATCTATGACTTTGTGGGTTTCTTATTATGAGTCGGGCGTAGAGATCGTGCTGGTTTGCGTCGGCAATTGAGCACAATTGAGCACAAACCAATTTTTACATAATGCTTTTCGCGTTGCCACCTATTTTTGCCTTGATGCGAAAAACAACATTTCTCATGCATCGGATGTCGGTAACTCCGGGTCATCTGTATTTCCCTCATCTCCATCATTTTCTTTGTTTGTTTAAAGGTGCTCCATTAATCACAATTACGAGCCATGGATACTTGTTGCTATAAAGTTTGCCGTAGACGAGTAGAATTTGGCATGGCTCTGCCACATGACATACAAAATTTGCACCCATGCTGAACCAGAATGTACCGGAAACCCAGATCGTTACGATGGTCAACGGATGCTACATTCGGAGCCGGGGAGATGGGAAAGCCAATCGCAGATACATCCTCTTTATTCAAAAGAAAATGGCCATTGTCGGACCAACCTTACCTACAAAAGATGTTTCACTCGCATAAAGAGCTACGTGTCCAGGATATATACTACCCACCGGCATAGGAGACAGGGGTGAGATATCCCAAGCTACAATTGAACCTCTTTTTTTTATGGATTATAGACATGCTTCATTACACCATCTCTATTTCTGATATACGTGCAGCATAAATACCTAGTTTAAAGTACCAGATGTCTCGATCTCCTTGATTTTGACGAGAATGGGATGAGTGTCTGGAAGAATTAGCAAATTAATCAATAAGTTTGCAGTCCCCAGCAAGCCAAAAGAAAGTTTCAAAGAGAAATTCGGTTCCTATGCTATCCAATGTATACGGGACTCCGCCTAGAGCCAAGCTTACCTGTACGTTTTCCAGTATAGCCTGTTGTGCTACATTCATACCACTAATGGCTTCCCGACGGGACCGATAACATAGGAGTAGCATATATGAGTCCCGAAATATTTTCAAATATGCCTATTATCTTTGGTCCTCCTTAAACCTTTATTCTTCTATATTGTTCAATCTTCCATATTGTTCACTCTTCTATAATCACTCTTCTATATTCTTCACTCTTCCATATTCTTCTATATTCCATAGTCTTCCACATTCTCCCATTGCGCAATCGATTGCTATCATGAAGCACGTCTGGATGAGCCCAAAGCTTCAATGCCCTCTTCCATTCTTCCACAGGGCACTCCTGGACGCTGCTGACGTGGACTATCGCCTCTGCAATACTGGTTGCCACTGTCCGGAAGCCTCCTCATAATGGTTTGGGCGCAGCTAAATAGGCGTCAAGACGCACTCAACCTGTTGCTGTCGTTCAACCGTCTACGCTCGAGTTGTCTGTGGGCGTAGTCGCGCCGTCGGAGTCATCGACAGAGAGCTCCCTGATAGCGTGGAGCAAGTGGTCGAGCCGGCGATCTTCAGTGTCATTAGGCTTCAATGCCACGCTCACTGGCCAGGACGATTGAGCGTAGCGCGATATGAAAGCCATCTTTGTCTCGTTCGCGTCGCTGATATGGAAAAGGCGGACTAGCTGGGCGGCCACGGCGGCCGGAAGGCTCCGCTGCAGGAGGCGGAAGACAATGTCGGACAGGTGGGTGTTGGTGCTCTGGTCGTGAAGGACGCCCGCGCATAGGAGAACTGTTGACTCGTAACCTTCGCGAATGGTGGAGGCTGACTCGTCTAACAGGGATATGGCATGAAGCGCGCCGAAGCCGACGTACGAGCACATGGCAACGTGAAACAGGTTGTGTGCGTCGCCGCCGTGGCAGGAGTAGTAGAGCCGGATGAGTGTTTGAAGATTTGCCAGCGCATGTGTGACTATCTCACCAACGCTCTCTTCCATTAGCGGAGAGTCTGCGGCTTCACCTTCCTCTACAACGTTGACTTGTTCAAATAGCCGAGCCGTGATGAACCAATAGTGCAGACTATGTGGGATAAGCTTATGTTTTCCCCCTTTCCAAAAAAGATTTTCAACGAGCCTAGGTATGGGGGACTTACTGGATATCGAAATGTATTGGAAGGATCAGGTTCTGTGGGCTGAGATAATTTGGTAATTGCTCGTACCACTTCCGGAGCCTCGAACGGTACTCTGCTGCTTGGGCTACCGTAGGTAGTTTCTTCTTCCCTTCTGATGCTGAGGATGAAGGAAATGCGCTACATATGATGTCGCTCGCGATGGTGCGAAACTCGGTTGTGGTCTTGAAGATCTGGCCAAAGTGGAGAGGCACCGGCATGGAGGTTGTGGGATACTTGACCCAGACCTCTCCATATGCCTCTGGATTTTCAGGGAGTGCCAACGTAGGGGGTGCTGTAACGAGCGGTGGCCTATCAAAATGGAAGCACACAATACTATTTGAGCAACGTCAGCCTGACAGCCCACGACGTGTCTGGCTTGCCGTGGAACACTTACCCTTGGCGTGTAAACACGATCCATGCTGTCATTGCCTGCACGACCCTCCACTTTCGACTCTTGGGACGGAGATAGGTGGTGAAGAGGCCCATTTCCTCGGACGCGGCTACCGCTTGGACGCAGTAAGACCAACCTATCTTGTCCAGCCCGTTTTTGTTGTACTGGCTTTGGAGGACCATGGCAGTCTGTATTCTAGTAATCGACTTTTCGTCGGTCTCCAGCTCCCAGAGGCGCCGCGTCTCAGCCATGAAGCGGTAAGTTAAAGACGTGGGATTCCAGAACTCGGACCGGTCCGGGAGTTTGCTGTAGCCATGCTAACGGTTGGTGGTTACTTGGGTTAGCAGGGGCCGAACGAAAATAAAAGCAAGGTTAGAGAGGTTCACACAGCTGGCCGCGAGTACGGCGTTTACGAGAAGTGGCGAGCAGAAACGGCGTCGGCCGGAGATCATGTCTTGGAGAAAGGAGTCTTTGTGGAAGAGAGGAAAGAAGAGATATTCGTTTGTGAAGTAGGACTTGAGAAGAGCTCGCATCAGCTCGTCATCAGACGAGACCAGCGTCCAGGTCGACGGCTTGGCCGCATCGATGTCGGCATCAACCATCTGCGCAGCGTGGAAGGGCGCATCGTACAGGGCGCGATAGTTGCGGACGCTGGGCGGGAGGTCAGGCGGCGACGACCAGTGCCATTTGGGATCGAAGCTCTTGCGGTAGACGAGCGACATCGTGTACGGGTTGCCGGCGGACCTGAGGAAGTCGGGGATGTCGAGCACGCGGCCCAGGCCGTACTGATGGCGCCTCTCGGGGCTGACAGCCAGTTGGAGGAGCAGGCTGCCCGAGCGGACTTGGCTCACCACGGCCTCGACACTGGCGCCGGCGCGGACGCGGCGCAGGATCTCGGCCACCTCAGGCTCTGGGCGGTAGCGAAGCAGTTGGTGGAACTCCTCGTGCACGCTGCGCGCCTCTTCCTGCGCGTCCAGCTTGCGCTTCAGCGCCTGGCCGCGTGTCTCGGTTGGATCCGCATCGTAGACACACTCAGTCCCGCGCAGCTCGCAGGCCTTGCAGGTTGGCCGCTGGGCATTGCACTACAAACACAAGCAGCTCGCTCAGCGATGGTGACCCTTTGTCGGGTGCAGGATTGGCTGACCTTTGACTTTTTCTTGCGGCATGCCTCACAGGCGACCCTAGTCTCTGTCCTGCGCTGTTTCTTCGGTGACGCAGCTGCATCCGAGGCGGAACTGGAGCCCTGTGGTGCTGGAAGCAACGGACGAAGAGGACGCGGCATCTCTTGGATCTGAATCTCGCGTTACAAGTAATGAGGAGGGATGCCTACGCCTGGCTGTGTTGATATCTCCCTTGACATGGTGAAAGTTTGGGGGCGGCAAAAGCTCCGAGCCAATCAAATCCCCTGAAAGGCCTGTCCGGGGGCAAGGGGAGTTTGTAACACTGCCCTCTATTTCCTCCAGCTGAATGATTTTGGCTTCATCCAAGCTTCCATCTCGCCCGGAAAGCACGGTAGAGCGCCTTTGGCTTGCCGAGGATATCGGCGGACGGCATCTGGAAGCTAGTCAAGATGGAAAGCCGGGCTGTAATGCGCAGAGCTGCTCAAGAAGAGGCTTGACGCAGGATAGCTTTCAACAAACACTGATGGCAATCACATAGATAGGCACCTACTATATATAGCTAGGTAAGTAGTGCCTGTATTTACCTACTTGTACGTCATTTGCTTGGAGCTGAACTCGAACTAAACCTCTTAAAGAGACGAGGGCAGCCATCTGATGTTGGGAGCTTCCAACAGAAGAGATTCCAAGTCATTCGTCAACCTTGCAACCATTCCATCTACATTGTGCCTACAACTACTGATGGCATTCACAGCCTGTATTGACCGCACCAGCAGCGTAATTCTCTTGCAGTTCTGGTCTCGAGTTCAAGCGATAACATGTCAGATGTTAGACTAGCATGTGCCAGCCGGGACTAGCCTTCACTCCATCGAAATTGAGCGCCTGTCGATGCACTACTGTATATTTGGAGCCGCATTTCCCCAAGCTCAAGAGTGGGCTCTTCACCTTAGCGGTTCCACTACACAAAATGGCCGCCTCAGTACCGGTCACTACGGCCGAAACTCCTGTCTAGCGATGAAGGAGATCAATCGAGCATGAACAGTAGACTCTCTAATACGTCGCGGGCTTGCGATGCTTGCCGGCAACGGAAAACCAAGGTTGAACTCTCTCTCTCTCTCCATACGTGGCCATCTTTTTGACGCTGCCCGTCTTGACCCAGAAGCTTCTGCTGACCTCTACCGTGATACTTGCAGTGCAATGGCCGACGTCCGACTTGCTCAACAACTATTGAATCGGGCGCGACTTGTACATTCTCAATTCGAACGAAGACCATTCCTGGGTCAGAGATAGACCGTGACGCGTTCATGTTTCAAAGCTGCGTTCATTGCCCCCGCGTGAAGCATCCCGACTCTTCTACAGGCTCTGCTTGAATGATGGAGCAGAGTTAAATCCATACTACGCTGTATCTGAAGGCGCTCTGTAGAAGACTTATCTAGCTCCAAGTCGAAATAGTGTCGAGTTTGAATTCATGGTCCGATACCCCATCTAATATCCACCCCTATTCCTAATAGATACAACATCAATTGCATTGGAGCCGCTCCTCTGGCCTTCTAGGATTTCTGTGATCAAAGTGATCAAAGCTGAGACTCCAACACAGCGCGATAGGTTATTCTCCCCGTTTTCTTGCACTTAAAGCAAGACAAATTTTGATCCAGGTAGCATGTACAGCGATCCAGGAGGTTACCATCGCCATTGATGCGTATTGCGGACCAACCACTAGCACCTCACGAAGTGATTACTCGATACTTGCCTTCTAGACCACTCGTTGACGAACGGCTTCGAAGTGTTGAAATGAGTTACTGGAGTGCTCATCTCTAATAGTCTCCCCGCCAATATCCTCTCGCTTCACATCAAACTGATCATCAGACGCTGCCCCTATTCCACCTTGATCTCTTTCTCGATGATCTGATCCATAATCGACCGTATTTCTGCTCTAAACTGCTAGTAAATGCCCTTTGCAGTTGGATATGTGTAAGTTCAACGTGGTGTCATTTCCAAAGTAACTCGATCTCATACAAATCGACAGCAAACATATACAGCCATCGACCCCGTGGCTCAAAACCTCAGTGAAGCGTTCTTCAATGAGGAGCAGTCTCTTATAGTCGATAAACCCTAGTTTATCACGCTAACCACTGTATTTGCCCTTCAATGCCTGGGCATAGCGGCTTTTAGCTACGGTCCAGATGGCCTCGAAATACAGTTCCTTTGCAAGGGTTCAGACATCGGTACAACCATGGGATTCTTTGGCATTGGCTTCGAAGTGGAATCAGCAATTTCCTAGCTTTGCGACGAGGACGACTGGAAGATGAGTGCTTCCTACACCGCATGGAGTGTTCATAACTGTATTTCGTAAGCCACGCAAAAGCAAGACCATCTCTCGAGCATGGATGGCTAGCATAGAGAACAACTGGATTATGGGGCCTTCGATATCACTCCATGGAGATTCTGACACCACCAAAGATTCCAATGCCGGGAACGCTCAATACTGGTCCTGAAACACAAAGATTCGATACTCATGCAGAATCGATCAACGTCAAAGTCTTCAAAGCCTGTTGCGAGCTATGGGTCATTTACAATCAAGTACGCCGGATGCATCGTCTACGTTGACCATGGGGTAGTCCAAGATGCGCAGAGCAGCGAACACTTAGAGCGGCGCTTATATATCAGGCTCCACCTAGCTGCCTTGGAGGACTTATATGGGAGCTATCGTGAGTCATGGTCTGTGACCTGAGGACGTCTTAGCATGGCGTTGAAGCGTGGCATCATTGCTCTTGAGGAGGCAGGGCGAATAAGGCAAGAGATGATAGAGCTGGGCCAACACCACAGTACACCCGATGATGTGGACACGAGGTTAATACTTGATTTGGATCTAGCCACTGTCAACACATCTGCCGCACAAGTAAATACTATAGCTACTCAATTTGAGGACCTTTTGCTGGAGGCGAAAGTGGAGAAGTAGAGTCGGAGGATGGAATGTATCGTAATGGTAGAAAGCCACAGGTAAAACGAATTGTCATTAGTAATTGGCTGGCAGGAAGATGACGAATGCATAGTCCAATATGTAAAGGATGACATCTTTACTGCTATCAACTTCTAAAAGCCAAAACTATACGAATTTTGCGACATCAGTCAAATCGGAAATAAGGACTTTCCCCCTACCATCATAAACGTCACCTCAACTCATTTCAGCAGCTCCATCAGAGACTTATCATTTTCAAGGAAGAAAATTTACAAAAGAGACCGCAAACTCTATACCTGATCAGCTGCGAATATTTATACTGACAGTTTTGACATACCTGTAGCGTAGACAAACTGGTCCCTGCTCCTGAATCCTGTGGCTGTAAGAGAACAGCTGCCATCTCTCTTTTTGACTTTTGAACATCCATTACACGCTAAATATTATAATAATTGGTAATTTATTAGACAACTTCCTGGTATTCGTGCACGTGTGACTTGCCTGTTCGAAAGAATCCCGCACGTAGAAGCGAACGGTGGTAACTTCGTTTCTTTGGCCAAGTCGATAAATACGAGCCAGAGCCTGATCTTCTAATGTTGGATTCCTGGATACGTGAGCACTAAATTCAGCGTGCTTACTGAGAATAACAAGCAATGCTGCGTCGCTATAACTCACCAGTGGGGCTCCATAAGGAAAGCATGTGAAGCCACAGTGAGTGTCAACCTGTTGAAATTAGCGAAATAATGAACTTCTTGCTTGCAAGTATTGTCTCAATTACGAGGCAAAATGTGTATCTTACCCAACTGCGCCACATGACAGAGTCAATAAAAGCACACTCGGCATCGAGTCTTGACGAAATCGGTCAATTACTGCCTGTCTCTCCCTCAATGGAATCCCTCCGTCGAAACGAAGACATTGTATAGATGCTTGATTCAGTCCGGCTTCGACAATATCCAATGTAGTTCGCCAAGTAGAAAAGACGACACTTGAAATGAGTTAAACTAACCCAACAAGGATGTAGAAGGAATAAAGCATACCTTTTAACACCCGGTGGAAGGGTTTTTAGCTGAGCTACAAGAGCCGTTACTTTCGGTGGAAACTTCAGGGTCTGGGGCAAGGATGCTGCGTGTTCAAAGTGATTCGTAGGCAAAGATGTCTCTTCCAAGTTATTAGCATTTAAATAGACCCGTGCAAAATCGCATGGAGGGCTATGTCCGCAATCAATAGGCTGTTTCATGTTGATGCAGTCGAAACAAATAAGCTGCAGACATTTTGATAATTGAAATGGCTGTTGGCTTTGAGTGTCGTTCAACAAGCTAGCAGACGTATCGGCAACAGTAAAGCAGTATCGGCACTGCATGCCGCCCATTTCACCCTGGAGGTTAAAGGTTTGTTGAGCAGCAGTCGCCCAGTTATCCAGCTTGTTTTGCGCTATTGCTCCAAGATTCCGACGGCCATGGTAGTGTAGTCCCAGGTTGCATACCATGCGCATGGCCTCGATCTGCTGAAGAACATTGATGTATTCGAGAGGGCGTGCGTCATCGTTGCTCTCATATAACATATCGTCAATACGGGCGATTGTTGTGTTTCGAATTTCCTCATAAACCTCCCTTTCTGCATCTGTGAACTCGACGGCGCATTGTAGATCACGTCGTAAGGGAAGCTGTATTGTGTTCTGCGTCCGCCGTAAAATGAGATAAGCCGCGAGCCTCTTCAGTCTCTTCAACGCCTCGTCAGCATTTCCCTCCTTCCATAAATTGGTGATGTCGGCGTCGAAATGCTTCCGATATGAGTATGGATACACTCTGAGGAAACTTAAAAGCGTTGTTAGATCTGACAACCGATTTTGGATCGGTGTACCCGTTACTGCCCATCGAGCAGCGGCATTGATAGCGCATGTTGCACGGGTCAATTGAGAGGAGCTGTTACGAATAAAATGCGCTGCCCCCAAAAAGTAAGCCAAAGATCTTCAAAATTGCAAAAGGTGTATCACCTTCATCAAGTATCACACGTCTCCAGCGAGTGGAGAACAGAATTGATGGCGAATGTTCACCATGAGACTTCCACTCCGCTGACACTGTATGATATGTTGTCAAGACTATGTTGATGCCATTATAGAGCATGTTTCCCGAGAGTTTTGTTTTCCCATGGTGACGACACCAATTCAGGGTTCCAGAACTAACATGCCTCGACCAAAGTTAGGACTCTTGTAGCTCTCTCGGGGACTGTGCAGCAGTCTACTCACTCTGATAACTGTTCTTCCCAGGTACCGAGTACTGTGTCAATCAGCAATTGTGAGATGTCCTTGGGCGCTCTCAATCAACGACTTACATGGTGGTGGAACAATGATTAGAGTCGTAGCTGAAGTTACAACGTCATCAATATCCATGACGGGCTCGTGAGGCTGAACATCGGTTGCTACCAAGGATATCATGGTAAGTGTCTTCCCAAGTCCCATTGGATCTGCAATGATTCCACCAGAAAATTCTTCTGGCTCTTCATCTTGATATGCATTTGACACGTGGTTGACAAACCTTTTGTCAAGTTAGATATACAGTCCTTTTATAAGATAGACAAGTGGCCCTTACCAGTGTCTCTGACCGCTTTCCATATACTCCCATAGATCCGGCCGACTACCATCAAGAGCCCATCCACGCTCCCGCCGAAGCATGAATGTCAATGCTTGTCTTTGGTGTCTATACAACAAGTTAAAACGACCTTGCATTTTGAACATCTTTATCTTACCTTTCTAAGCGAGTTTGAATAGCATCCGGCTGCATCGCCTCTGGAAGCTTCTCTGACGACTCTAGGACATCTAATAGCTCCGGCATTGAAGAGAGTGGCTTCATCTCAATGAGGTTGTTTAGATGAGTCTCAAGATCTGATGTCCAAGGACATGAGCTAAAGTCGATCGATGAAAGACGATGAGGGTTGCAATATCTAACATTTCTATCGCAATCGCTGGGATCTTGCAAATACATCTCGCAGGTTTGGAAGAAGTTGCCAATGTCAGTGAGCATCTCAAAGGGACCATAGATAATGATCGAAATGGTGCATGGAATTGCATATTTGGGTAACCGAGATGAAGTTCTCTTTCCGGCGCCCGGCGACCGAGAGTAATCGAATGTGCATTTGAGCTGCAAGTCGAGCTCAGCCTCATTTTGCAGCAAGTCGGTCAAATGCGTATAGTCTGGGTCAATTATTCCATTAATGGAATCATTATCGATGGATACAAACTTTTCACACGATTCTAGTCTTGCTCGAAAACCGGTGATACTGGCATCTGGTACCATGGTACCACTCCCACATTTGCCGATGATGCCAATGATCTGCGTTCAAACATTTGAAGCATCAGCTAGTTATAAATTTCACTATTACAATGTAGCATTACCTCTCCAAAGCATACTATCTGCTTGAGACTTCCACATAGGCTCTCCTGGGTAGAGTTATCGCCAACTTGAGCTTCGGAATCGATTGTATGGCCAGCATTGTAGTCAAATGAAGTAGACATTCCTTTGCTTGAGTATCATCAATATCAGTAGATAATTTTAAGTTTGGTAGATTCTGTATGGAAGAGAGCAAGACTGACACCCTCTCCAATTATGATCTCTAGCACTCAATTAGGCACCAACGCGTCTCGAAAATGCCTTGTCACGCCGGCAGCCTTGGTTTAATGCAGCTTCATTTTGACGCCCAATCAATCAACTCAGTTCGCCCCACTCAAAGGTACATGCAATACGCGGATTCACGTGTCTCACATGCGGAAGGATTGCAGTGTGACAAATGCGCATCTTAGGATGCTAAGCATCCGGTGTGATATAGCACTGCCTCATTGCGGGTATCTATGGCTAGTCTCGATCGTTTCGAACCTTATTATATGTGCTTTTATCTTACCCATAGTAAATTTTTATACTCATACAATCAACAATATGTCTCTAAGGACTGGCCCCATATCTATGCCCGGTCGGCGTATCATTCGCGAGGCCTTCGACGGGCTTCAGCAGACCGTGTCGCCGGTAGAGGCAAAAGATTTCCAGAATACCACTTTGGAAGACGTCCAAAAAGCAGCACTTGCTATCGAGAACCAGCTGGCAGCCAGGAAAACGCTCAGAAACATGCGCCGCTTGATGCCTTTGTTCCAAGGGTTGGAACATTACTCACAGTCAATCGAGGTGTTGTGCAATGGCACGCCATATCTGCCTTGGATCTGGGCTCCTATAAAATTAATCCTGACGGTACTATTTGGCAATTGAACCAACACCATACACGTCCAATCGCTAATATAAAATTTGTGAGGTATAGGTCGCATCAGACTTTGTTGAAGCTTTTGAACGAATTGTTACCGCGTATTCACAAATTGCAGAATCTTTACCCAGAATGGATATGCTTAACGAAGCTTTCAGAAAGAATATTCAGTTTCAAGAGACTTTGGCCGTTTTCTATTCAGACATATTGAATTTCCACCGCCACGCGTACCTCTTTGTTCGGAGAAGTAGTAAGTCAATACCCAAGGCATCAAGCTATTGAGAAATGAAGCAGCCTACTGACAAAGTAAAAACTTCCAAGGCTGGAAGATCTTCTTTCTCACATCATGGGGTCGCTTTCAACGGCGTTTCGACACGATTCTCGCTGATATGAAAGCTCATGAAGAACTCATTGACAAGACGGCCAACGCTGTCAATATCTTGGAAGCCTCCAAGATGAGAGAAAGCCTACGTGATCAGAGAAACGAAAATCTTAACGACGTTGCAAAGCAAGAAGATGAGGTCTCTGCTAGGCAGTACCAGGCCATCGTTGGATGGCTGCAAATAGATGATACAGACCAGCAAATCATCTTTGACTCAATCGCGTCAGAAGCAGAAAAGAATGAAGGGACTTGCAATTGGATATTGAAGCAACCGATTCTCGTATCGTGGATGAGAACTCAGTCGGAAACACCATTCGTGTGGCTTCAAGGTCATCCAGGAGCGGGTAAAAGTGTATTGGCAACACAAATTGACGCTTTTCTTCGGAGCAGCCATCAGTCTCTCGTCGTTCGCCATTTTTGCACCTACTCTTATGGTTCATCAATCCAATTTGATCAAATTCTCCGATCATTACTTATTCAGCTGATTCGACCAAATAGTGACCTAATAAGCTATGTTTATGAGGAATTTGTCTTGGCGAAACAAGCCGCTTCGATCAAATCGCTATCTCAGTTGATCCGGACCATTTGCGAAGCTATCTCACCCATCCCTTCCAAGAAGAAATATGTCCATATCATTCTGGATGGGCTAGATGAATGCGATATTGAGAAACAAGGAAGAATAACGAACTTACTGGAGACACTGGTTTCTTTAGGGAGCCCAGCGAATTCTGGGGTGGTCAAAATACTGATTTCCAGTCGGCCAACATCATTCTTATTGAAGAGATTTCGAAAGCGATCCACTGTTTCACTTGCCGACGAAAAAGGTAGAATTGGAGAGGCCATCGAAAATTACGCTTATCAGAAGTTAAGCCTCTTGGATAATCGATTCTCAGACCTTGGCATACGTGACGCAGATATTAAAGACCTCTCTCATCGCGTATCCTTGAAATCTGACGGTACCAAGCCTATCACAACTAACGTCAACGCATACGTCGCTAACAATTCGCAGGTATGTTTCTGTGGGCTCGACTGGTCTTGGAATATATATCATCAAATGTCTTTTACGATCGCGAAGAGGTGCTTCGTTCAGTCGATATGCTTCCTAGAGAGCTGAGCGAATTGTGAGAGTTCTTGAAACGCTTTGGCAATCATTTACTAACGCTGAGTAAAGCTATGAACGAATTTTGTCACAGATGATTGCCAGGTTGGACACCAGATCACTTGGGCGCATCAAATCTCTTTTAGGATGGGTGGCTTTCGCCAGGCGGCCGCTAACACAAGTTGAATGTCGCTCAGCTATGGCATTTGGTCAAGGGGTTATAGAGACTCCTATGATGCCACCCCAGTACATTTTTGAAATGTGTATGCCGCTTATTCAAGAGAATAAAGATGGTACTTTCTCATTCATTCATGTTTCAGTCAAAGAGTGAGTGAAAGAAACTGCCCCGCTTCGATGGAATCACTACTGAGTCTGTTTCTACGTGCAGCCATCTCAAATCGCCTGAGAGTACGATTGGTTTGATCGAGGCTGACGCCAGATGCGAACATGGAGTGGCATCCATCACCTGTCTACTAGCCGGTTTTCGAGTTTTCGATACAGCGTATGACTCAAATGATCGAAATTTGAGAATCTTGAGAGGCATTCATGGTTTTCACATATATGCAACAGAGTATTGGCTCGAAGACTTGCTATGTAGCAATGCTGCTTTCGGTGGCAGCGAGATTGCGGCTCTTCTGTGCTCGACAGCTAGAATATTGGCAGACCGCCTAAATGCGGCGAGCCATCTAGCGGGAACTTCAACAGAGCAAGAACTGCGTACATTAGACGATCGTCTAGGCAACTTCGCAGACCAAGGAGCCGTATATGACATGCTACGGTATGCCTTGATGGAGAGGTCCGCGAAAACTAACTCTGACCAAGCCAAGCACGAAAGCTGTAAGTGCCACATTAGAAATCATGGACTCGTCATTTATCTGACATTTCGTCGTTTATAGTTTCTGCTAGTCATACCCGGCCTGAACCCCAGAGTCTCAAGGACTTGTTGGCTTGCTATCAAGCTAGCATCCGGTACCTATTGTCGATCTCCTCGTTCCCAGGAATGACATTAGGGGAATTGGAGAAATTTAAACGAGAGTTTCGAACAGCCGCATTTACTTGCCGTGTTCGAAATTGTCCCTGCGCAACCAAAGGCTTCTCTGACGAAAAGAAATTATCGGAGCATGAACAAAGACACGTACAACGAATCAGTTGTACAGTCCCTGGCTGCCCATACCCACCGCTACCTTCGTCTCGCGCGCTCAAGGCTCACATGTCCAAATGTCACGGTATAACACAGAGAATTGCGGAAGTGACTAGAATAAGCACCCAGAAAAGCGGGACGACAGAGAGTCGTCAACGTGCTATCAATAGCACGGACGCTGCAGCACAGAGTAGAGACTACGGGGTTGGCGGAATGGCGCAGCAGCAGCAGCAGCAGAAGCAACAACAGCAAGCTCTAAACCACGCATTACAGGATTACGAAATGCAAAAGCTTTTATTGAAAATCCAAAATAGAAAACGTCTGCAGGTGGCTCCGGCCGAAGAACAACAAACTGCAGAGTCAGTTCAGTCCTCTTTTGATGGGCAGCATACAGGCGGACCCGAGCACCTAAGCGCTACACAGAAAATGCAACAACAAAAAGAACGCCTCATGATGGCTCGGCACGAGTCACCATATAACACAAGTCTGAATCAGCCTTCACCAGATGAGCAGCATACAGATGCGCCGGAGCAAATACCCGCTGCATTAACGCAAACATTTAAGCAGCAGCCGCCTCATGATGAGCTCGAGCAACAGCAACAATGTAAGTACATGTATCTTCTTAGTGAACATGACGTCCACCATGGACAGAGCAGACTAACACGGCGACGATCTAGTTGGTAACCACATCATTGCTGCCAATCCTCAAATTATTGCCCAGCTCACTACTGCCCAGCAACGAGCTATGCGGCAATATCAGCAGCATCGGCAGCATCAGATAGCGGTCCCTCTCCAGAGTAGCAATTTCAATAACATGAACATTTCTGGACAAGGCCAGTCCACGCCTGAACAGCAAGCGCAGATGATGCAAATGATGCAACGTCAACGTCAAATTATAGCGGCGCAGCAACAGCAGCAACATCCATATGAACTGAGCCCTGCACAAGAACAGCAAATGTTTCAGCCCCAGTTTCAGCAAGGTAAGAGTATCAGTATAGATATCCGTCATAGAGTGGGCAGACTAACGCAGCGGCAATTCAGTTGGCATAAACAATCCGAGCGCAACGACGGTCAATCGCCAGCAGCAGCAGCAGCAGCAGCAGCAGCAGCAGCAAGCCCAGGCTCAGGCACAAGCTCAAGCGGAGGCTCAAGCTCAGGTTCAGGCTCAGGCTCAGGGCGGTGTACAGGCTCCGGTTGATCAGTACCGGCCTCCCATGTATCAGCCCGGCCAGATCAAAAAACTGCCTTTTCTCAGCGATGATGAGATGACCAAATACGAACAAGGATTGCGTGGTCTCTGGACTAAGATGAATGGCTCACCAACCAACAGCCCAGACCAGATGGCAGCTCGACAAAAGATTATTGAGTTCTCCCGAATGCTGACTTGGAAGATCCAGCAGAGACGGGCACGTGCCGCCCAGCAGCAGGATCAGCAACAGCCTTAAGCTAGGCCGCATGTAGAGCAGCACCAATGACAAACTCCTCAACAAATACAAGCAGCTGCCGTCCAAGTAGGCGCGCATCATATACAGCCGCCTCACAAACGGCATCCGCTAAGTTTGGCTGAGAGAAAATTGTTCTAGGAAATGTATTAACGAAGAGCGTAGGAAGAGCAGATAATGCTTCCGCAACAACAGCAGCAGCAAGCAGTAATACAAGATATAGGCGGGATAATGAGACGCCAGGGAATATAACTATAATAAAGACAAAGCCATGTATAATGAGAGAAGAACTTTAATAAATAAAAAAGCATGAAAGGCATGTTATTTTGGGATATTTAAAAGACCAAGTTTTAATCAGATAGCTCTAGAATCCGAGTAAGCAATTGTTATTGGATTGACTATTTCTATGCAGCTCATGCTATAGCAGCTTCACTAGCTAATATAGACGCAGAATACTGCTTGCAAGCATCAAAAGCACTTCATTTTAACTAGTACTATGATTGGAACCAGCGGTCATAATTTACTGTATCTACAATTGTCGCAGCGCCATGCGTGGCACATGGGGCAACTGGCATTAGCATCGTAGCTGTACCAGCCTCCAAAGCATTTGCACTACATAATGGCGTTAATATTATCTTAACACAGGTAAAGAGGTTGTTTAACGTACGCATTGCCATAGCTCAGCACGACTTCCTGAAGGCACTGATAAGAAGTTATTAATGCTGTTATTCTTGCTTTTTTTCAAAATAAGATCTGCATCAGCGTTTGTTGTCAAGCCATTTTCCATTTTCGTGCTTTCAATGACATATGACCAATCCACTGTGCCCTCAATGGTACTTGACTCATCTCTCTGTATGTATCCATCAAACTGCGGATCAAGATAGCTTGGATGATCTTCGGTGAAAAGGATATTGCCGTGTTCATCTGTAGGAATAGAATTTCTTTTACTTCCTATTCGCTCTTCCTCTGCTTCATCTTCAAGGTACGCAACTGACATCAGTCCAAGTTGTTTTAGATGAGTGCCGATGTGAAGTAGCAATCTATTTTGAGCAATTTCTTCTTTCTCATGCAACATTGTGTCGATATTCGTGGCCTCTGGCTTGGAAAGCTTTCCATCCTCGAGCCATGGATATATAGTGGCGAGCTCTCTCGGCACCCGGTTGCAAATTGGGCATGTATATTGAGGTCTTTCTCTCTGTAATTCTCCCCATTCCTTCAATTCAGATTTTTCGGCCTCGAATTGAGGATGAATCTCTTGGACATGTTGGTCATATTCCACTTCATCCTCGAAGTATAGATCATCATGATCCACATCACAACACCAGCCATGGGGTTTGTGGATTTCCCTTATCCAATTGGTGGTGTGCTTTTCATCCATGTGTTGTTTCCACTCTTGAAAACGGATAAAGAATTGTGGTGGCTCCGTGCATCTTTCTGAGAGACAAGTATAAAGCTTGAGATCCTGGTTGAGGTGGCGACTGGCTTCATTAGAATATTTCTCCGACGCGTTTATGATGTACTTACTGCCACCAGTCTTTTTTTTTTAATTCCATTTCCAAGATCGGCCTCGAGCAGAATGGACATCTGGCTTCTCGGGTGCGAGGATCGACTTTTGGTGCATCAGGATACTTGGTGTCTTCCATATGACTAGACAGCACAGATTTGGGTTGCGCAAAAGATTTCTCAGTAGCAGCGTATTTTGCCAGGATATTTTTCGAATGAATAGTTGTTGGTGGCTCTTCTTTCTCAGGCTTTTGTTGTATCCTGGCATTGGCTATAGCCAACTTCTTCAGCTCATTTTGACTACCCTTGTCCTTTTCTTTGGGCGCATCCGTCATTTCGGATGTGTGACGCCACACTGGCAAGTCTTCTCGTCTCTTTTCAACTGTATCTTGGCGCTCTTGCCGGTAGCAAATTCCGTAATAGCGGAATGATATAGACGTAGCTAGTTGTTTGTATAGCGATAACGGACTTCTAGAGTTGTTCCCATTCTCGCTGCTGTCAAAGAACTTATGCTTAAGACGAAGAAAAACGAGGTTTTCAATGGCAAGGTCATCATTCTCTTCAATAAACCTGCCTATCCTCTGAGTAAGAGCTGAGGAAGATGACTGCCGTATTGCAGCACCAAGGCGATACAGGCCGTCGATAGCCAATTTTATAGCACGTAGTGATTCTGCTAAAGGAGCTGAAGCGCCCGATTCTGGTGCCTGTTCGACCTCTTCTGCAATACTTTGCTGCAAATCATCCCCCATCAAGCTGGTCTGCCCCAGAGCCACACAGAGTATGTCAACTGCCAAATATCAGTTCCTGTTTGAGATGAAGAGAATATTAGGTGCATTAAGATTGCTAACCGTGTTCTAGATTCCGAGAAACTATCTTTAAAAATTGAAGAACAAGTTGACTTATGGATTGACTATACTGCAAACGGGTGTCTAGGGACATGTTCTCTTGAGCAAAAACTCCAAGATATGAAGTCCACTGATTGAACCTTAGATGCAATACCTCGGCCACGCAAGCGCAAGCAATACCTGGCTTGTTGAGAATTTTGGCGAAAAGATGATTGCAGGCTTGAGACAGATTGTATATTGGCGCGTCATTATCCATCTTTGCCCTTGTCTATGGCAGAGCGATAAACAGCTGTAGATGCAATTCAAGATGTTCCGGCACATGAAAATAGAACCAAGATGACTGGGGAAGATTAGGCATATAAAGCCAGCACAGATCAGCTTCAGTGTCTCTCCGCGGCTTTGCGTATACTCGCAGGTTATTGCATGGGTGATTATGAATGCTTCAGATTATGATAGGAATACAAATGGCGCATTGCTGAGACCCAATCCAATCTATTTTGAGCCCTAGGATGAATCATGTGATCTGGCTTTTGTACCATATCGTATCTCAAAATTGCAAATATTTACCAAATGAAATGTATGGCTACATAGGTAGGTACATGTGGCTGCGTGTAGACATATGCCTGAGTAAGCGTTGTGCTCCCTTATACCCCTCTCGGGCTGAAAGAGGGGAAATTCATGTCTCCAGCGTTTGAAAATCATCCATTTAGCAACAAATCTAAATATTGCCCGCTCGCCTCGGAAATGCAATCATACGAATCGGAATACTGGAAGATATTCAAATCTGTGAGGCCTTTATTTGCTTCCAATATCCCATGGGAAGTACATGATGGCAGTCAAGAGCACGTGTCGGCAAAGATTGCCATTGAGAACATTGGCGATCTGATACAGGCTTGCATGATGGAGATCCCAATCCATTGCCAGATTGAACGTTTTGAGACCTTGAATGGATTCCTTTTCTTTGCTGATGATCTACGACCGCTCTTATTAGTATTACAAGAATTAATTTGCAACAAGGTCATGGAAATTATAGACATCACTGCAGTGAGTAGAACCTTTTTATACGCTTACTTGATGTATTAAAACTTTGTCCTAACATGACGCAACAGATGAAGTATACTGATCTAAAACTATTGAAGCTTAGCACTTTGGCTTATATAATGGAGGAAGACTCGACCGCCGATGATTCCAATATTGCAAACTACTTCGAATATCTTTATTTAAAGCAGACCCCGGGCCAACTAAGGAAATTATTGAGTGGGGTTGAGAATTTGAACAAGAAATTGGCCACGGAAACAAACAAAAAAGAACCGGATAGATTTGCTATTCCAAGATCAAGCCCAGGTCCTAAAACTCCTTTCAGTTCCGCACCATGGCTTCAAACAACGTTCAGTCCGTCCTTCTGGAGTTCTTCGAAAAACCTATTTAACGCGTTGGTGCGCAATGTGCGGCTCTGTCAAGCATCTACACATTCGGCAATGTTACATCTACAAGGCTTAAAGCCGCCTCAGCCACAAGATAACCACACTGAAATCAATATTCTTCTACCTTCTTGTCTGGAACAGGACACTTGGCAGGAGACTTTCTGCCATATTCTCTATAACAGGTACCACCATGTTAAAAGGCGAGAACCTACTTCTTTATGCAATCGCTCACCAACTCAGTCCTTCCAAGCTCGACGCTTCCGAATCAGACAACGGAGAAGAACTATCAAGCGAAAACATCTGCCAAGCGGTACAAATTGCCAATGATTGCAGTGCTATGCTCCATATTCGCCTTCATAGCGAAGATTTCCGATACTTTTGCGATGACGACTCGCCTATATACCGAGAAGCACGTCCCACAATAACTATGGCGGAGCTTATCGAGAGCGGGTTTCTAAAAGATTTGCGTGTATTTCATCTCAAAGATAGATGGACACTAGCGGTAAATCTTGCCCAGTGCCTACTACAATTGCATGACGGACCTTGGCTTCAGACATTATGGACTGCCGATAATATCTTTCTCTTATGTGAAAATCCTAAGGAGGGTCGCAAATTGCGGAATGTCCACAGTCCGTTTATTTCCTCTGTCATATCCGAAAATCCACCGAACCTTCCGAAGCCTACACATTTCGATAGGTATCCATTACTCCTGTCCTTTGGGCAATTCTTGCTAGAACTTGCGAATGGAGAGAAACTTCCGATTGCGAAAACGAAAACAGGAGAATATAGTCCATACAAGACGTTAAAGAATAACTTCATCGAAATGAATACGGGCAGTCTTAGTGATGACTATAAAGAGGCAATTGAGGGATGTCTGAAGTTTCAAAAGTTTATCAAGGACGAAAAGGAGGCAAACGAAGAAGTTCGAATCCGTACAACTATCTTTAAGAAGATTGTTCAGCCATTGGAACGCAATCTTCGGTTGTTCAGCAAAGACATAATATTGAATAACACTGGCATTGTAAAGGTTGGAGATCGGAAAGACATATTACTTACAACCCCGCAAACTTCTCATCCCCAACCTCTAAAAGATACTCGTCCCGCTAACAGAGGAAAAACTGAGAACAGCCAAATTACCAGTTCAGAACATAGTAACTACCAGCTACTTATTCTCAATCCGTTGAGTTCTCATACTGGATATAAGTCGCACCATCAAGCGGAATTACATCAGGTCATGAACATCCCTGGGAAAGATCACACGCTTGTCCAGTTTCCGAGAACAGAGATAAAAGCGCAGCTCTATCAAGAAGTCACAGCCGTGGCGACACAGCTATCACATTCCAATTGCAGGCAACTGGTTAATCTTGATACCAGATCAACTTCTGAATCGGAGTCTGAATCAGATGAAGACGAAGGTAGACTCTTTGGGACTTTCGACACAAGAGATTCAGCAGCGCAAGAATTCACGTTAGTCTTGAGTCGCCCTAAATCTGTTTTCCTACAATATGCTAAGTTCAGTAGATCTTTACAATGGGGTCGCACCTTTAAAACATTATCGCGAACTTATAACGATTATTTTCAATACACGCACTCCGATGGGTGTGTTAAAGTCGCCATCTTCGACACTGGCATCGACCAGGATCATCCGGATTTCTTATACCCACGCTCAAAGCCTCGAAGAAGTAGCGGGAAAATTGGCTCAGTTACAGGAGAAGAACTACAGATTGATCGCATCAAAGCGTGCCAAAATTTCTGTGACGATCGAAGAAGCATCAACGATGTTACGGATATCGACGGTCACGGTACTCATGTTGCCGGAATCATATTACAGCTCGCACCAACAACAGAGCTTTATATAGCGCGGATTTGCCAAGGTGATGCGAAATATGGGGATAGTTCGAAACAAAAGGATCCAACGGCCCAGCTGAAGCAGTCAGTGGTTTATCCCGATAGAGTTGAAAGAGTAAGTTTATCCATATGCAGTGTCCTCATACACAGATCTAAGCACATCCATAGGCAATTGAGTGGGCTATTGAACACAAAGTTGACATTATCAACATGTCCTTTGGTTACAAACACTGGGATCAACAGCTTGACCAAGCTTTAAAGAAAGCACGGGACCATGGAATAGTTATCTTTGCGGCAGCGTCGAATTTTGGAAACCATGAGCAAGTATCGTGGCCAGCAAGAGATTCAGATAGAACAATTTGCGTTCATTCTTCCATTGAGTTTGGGACTAACCCTTCGAATTTCACGCCAAAAGCACACCCTGATACTACAAACTTCATGGTAGTCGGAGAAGAGATATGTTCACACTGGCCAGAATCTAAAGGTGGGGGGTTTCGAACTATGACTGGCACTTCTACAGCAACGCCCGTGGCCACTGCAATTGGTGCGCTCTTGATAGCATTTACGCGACAGGGTGTTCTTGATAGAAGGAAGAAGAGGGAGGTAGAAGACGATATTGGTCCGGTCAAACTTGATGATCTTAGTAACATGAGAGCTCTGCTGAGGCATATCTCTATGGAAACTAATGGTTATCATTGGATTAATCCTCGGCTGCTTTGGGACCAATTTGCGCCAACAAAAAGGCAAGAGGGCCCCGGTGCAGCATCAAAGTATGCGTGGGAAGAGATACGAAGGGCTTTACGTAGATGAATGAGTAGAGACCGATTGGTATGTTACACAAGTTACAAGTAACACATGTATAAACTCAATGCTTAAATCAGTCGCAAATGATTCATGAGATAGAGCTTATATGACATTTCGTGGGATGAGAGGCCATACCCTTGATAATTTATTTTCGCAAAGAGAATTTGGTGGCCATACTGTACCATCCAATGGCGACAAAGCACCGTAAAGCTCTCACATGATAGGAAGATACATGTAGGAAGGCCCTTGTGCAGCTTGCGGGGTAGCGCGGTTTAGAAACTCCATCTTAGAGAAAGGTGTTTTATGAAGAGATTCTTCACAATTATTACTGAGTCTTCCACCTAGCCTCCACAAACAAGGGCCCAAAATGCCACAATCTGGAAAGTTGGCAGGGAAGATGAAATGGATTGTTACCCGCTACCCAAAACCATCCGGCCAACTCATCGCGCTAGGCGCCATTCTGTCCGATCCGGAAGATCCAGAAACTCGTCTGAATTGGCACAGTACAACAGACATTGACCCAAAATATTTAATCGACGAATCTACAGCTGTTCAACGCGTGATACACGCAGGAATATCCAATGATGACCATATTATGCTCAAATTGACTCAGCTTCTGGGTGGTGGGCTAAATGCCAGCGGAGGGGCCAAAGATGATAGGAAGACGACCATTGACGCAGTGGATGTTGAAGCGAAAACATTTTTGCCGGATAAAAAATACATGAATGCCTGTATGGAGACCCCCGAAGTGCAGGAATATGTCAAAAAATGCAATTTTTCGAAGACACTATACATGATAATTGGCGTTGCATCAGCAAACAAGCTTCGCATAAGAGAAGAATCGTCAAAACAGCGCTCTGCAGGGGTGGGCGTAACTGCTTCATACCCGGGAGGACTTGACTTGGGGACTGTAGGAGGGTGCCATAAGAACACGCAGACAACTGTTTCGGAGATGGGTACGGAACAGAAATGTGATTTCGCTTATCGGATTCGAGAATTTACATATTGGAAGTATAGGAGGGAAAAGGTCAAAATGAAGGCTGATCGGAATGCAGGAGCACTGTTTAGAACTGGAAACACGGAAAATGACGAGGGCTATGACGATAGCGACGACAGTGACAACGATGCTTACGAGAATGTTGCTCTATTCAATGAGTTGAAAGAGGTGGATGTTTCTCGAAGCAATGAGACGGTTTTTTATTTTGAAACCTAAGGTAAATGATAAAAGACCATAAAAGCAAGAGTCTATTATTACAGTATATAAGAATTCGTAACATTTCATATTATATTATAGTTTGAAAGCATCTGCAAATAAATGTGAGCTACATGAATGTTCATTTTCGAAATTCATACTATCGTGCCTCAATTACCGCCTATCTCATTATCTTCATAATTACAATCGTGTATATCAGATTCTATATAAATTCTAGGAAAGTCAGTACCCATCTCTCATTATCACCCATCGCTTGAATCGTGTTAAACTGAAGAGCAGAACCAAATAATAGTACAAGTACCAAACGCCTAGTGCCAACAATCATCCTTCTTCTTAGGCACTCTCATTCTGCGCCTTTGCGATTGCCGCTTGGCTAAGCCGACCTAGCTCCTCAACAAAGGCGTCCATTTTGCGTAAATATTCGACCTCGTGAGTCGTAACTCTGAGAATAGGCATACTTCTGATAACCTTTGTTGCCAAGGTAAGTAGCTCCATATCGTGAGCTGCATATTCGTGCCGAGGATTTCGTAGGATATTAAAAAAGAGACTGAGAAGTGCAGAAACAGGGTAAAAGATGAAGACCCTAGTGCATAGAATATTAGTATTGGGATACTCGGCAGATGTAAGTGGTTGTTCTCACCAGAATGCTTCACCAGCTAGCCGAGGTGCAGCTTCACTGAGATAAATGAGAGTCGATCGACTAGCTTCAACAGAGATATCAAGGCTGGATTCTAGCCCAAAGATCATTTCCTGGCCAGATTCATTCCAGTCTGCCACACATCTACCACTAGCGCAGTGGATGATATTCAAGAGGTAATGGTAGTCCAAATGCAGTTCGATATGGAGCATGCTCGTCAACTGGCTGATATCCTTGGCAAGTTTGACGTCTTTGCGAATACTGAGCGACGGTGCGTACTCTGCCGGTATTGACATACGCCAGTTTTCCAATTCTTCGTCAAGCTCTCGAATGGTGTGAAGAAGTTCGGCATCGGATTTACGCAGTGAGCCCACGGAGTAGAGTGCCCTGACAGCCTTCGATTTGAGTATACTTAACCGAAGGTCGTTGGGCAAGAACGGCTTTCGAATATTTTGTGGAATGGTAAGATCATTCGCGAAGCGATTCTTCAAGTAATCTTTGGGAAGCGTGAGATCACAAAACTCGTCGCTCATGATAGGAGGCTGGCCACTTCTCAAGGCTATGTCTTTGTCAAAGAGATAGCACAGCCAAAATAACAGCCGGATTTGACGCTCCTCGAGCTCCTTGACCGTAAGATCACGATCCTCTGGTGGATCACTTATTAGAGTATGTCCCCCCAGGGCATAGACTGTACGGCACGCAATGGCGTGGTACATGGACGATGATTCTAGGCGGCCACAGAGCGCTTCATTCATGAGCTGCAAAGTAAAGGCATTAGAAACAGCGTAATATATCAAATACTCGTGATCATGACATACCAATAGTACCATCACTTGTAACGTCGTGACACTGGCGTCCTCAATAAAGTCGGCTATCAAGATTTGCGCCTGCTTGGCACAGCCATCGCTGTCAACATGATTTGAGACGCTCAGGGCAGCAAAATGATGGCTGCTGAGGGACAGGAAAGCGAAAACGCATGCTTTACTGCTAATTTCCTCAATTGACGGGTTCGTCTCTGGCGATTCATAGGCTCTTCGTATTGTATCTTTGAATAGGTCACGATCGACAAGGGGAAAGGCAAGGCGGAATTCCGATTGCAAAAAAAGATCGAACAATGTGTTGGTGATCCATTTTTCTGGGAGTTGATCGGCTGGTGCTCGGTTCAACTGTCCCCTAGGAGAATATTGATTTGAAACACCAGAAGAGGCCTGGCCAGTAGACTCAAAGGCAAAGGTGCTTTCGTTGTGGAAATGAGGCCACTGCCCCGTCTGAGCGTATATATACTTCTCGCCAAGAGGAGTAAAACGGGGAATGCCATTCTGGTCGCATATAGCAGCAAACTTCTGTCCTGACATCCATATTTGTCCAAGCGGAGAAGCACCTAGCTGTCTAGAGCAAGCCTGCGAATTCTCACTGGAGCGACTAAGCGTGCGTGTTATGGATGTATTGGTGGGTATACTGCTGGGTGTACCAGTAGTTTTCTCTTGTTGGGCACTGGAGCCATCAGGCGAAGCAGCTGAAACAGGCGAGGCCGTCTGGTTGCTCTGTTTCAGTGCTTTAGCTCTAGCAATACCCTCTTCTATACGCTCCAGGCGTTTAACAATGCTCTCCCTGGAGCTCCTTTCCCACCGTCTTTGTCAGCGGACATGGCCAAACACACCACCACCACACAGAGGCGGCAGGTTAGTAGGGTACCTGTACTTACTTTGTTTTCTTCTTCCGGCCTCTAATCCGGTTAATAGTGCAGTGGAGACCATGGTGTAGACACCAGTTGCATTGTTCATCCGGATCGGATCGATCACATTGAATCTATACGAGCATCCATTGCCACGTGTAAGTGTATGTATCTCGGCAGACGCCTATCATGATGTGTGCTTGTAGGGCAGAGACAATGAGGAGGAATTCAAACAAAAGTTCCGCTTATGGAGAAACATAGCATTGAACACATGCAAGAGGCAGCTGGCCAAGACCCAGACAGTGGACGGGGATTATCAAAATACCTTACGCTTATAGCAGGCGTCGCAAGCACGTCGTTGCGCGGCCATCTTGTGCTGGGTCCTGTCTGCGATGGGCGAATTCCTAACTCTATCCATGGGAGAGGAAATATTTCTCGGAAGTTTCCCAGTAGATGCCCAGGTAGATAGCTGTCAGGCTCGGGCTTTGGCCTCGTCGCGCATAGGCTTTCGCCTCTCGTTGATATCCGAAGCAGCCCAAGCCCAAGCCCGGGAGCGATGAGTAAGCGGAAGTTTCGCTCAAGCAGCCCTGTCCGAACGGGCGTTTTTAGTGCTGCTGAGAAATAAAAGCGGGCTGGAACAACGGTTTAGCCGCAGGGAGTAAAGCCGAGCTGGCGAGTTGACGCATGGCGTCAGACGCTGCGGTCAGGCTGGTATCAAAAGTTGGGATGCCGATGGGGGGCTGCTCCTGAAGTATTGGGCGACAGCCGTCTGCTGTGTAATGCTTATCGGAGTTGATTTGCAATACGGAACGTGAAGCACTGACAGTTCTCCCGATGGACCGCGCAATCTCGTCATGTGCAGCAACTATCGGCGACAGACTTCACGACAAGATTTAAAAGGAGGCCTGGGGAAGACTGGAGGAGATTTGTTCCGCTTAGTCAACGGAACTTTGAATGTGGTGTATCGTGTAACCGATGAGGGAAGTGGCTTTTTCTATGTTCTACTCCTCGAGGATAGAATTTGATAGCACGGGTGGTGCTGCAAACAGGCGTCAACGACATCATCAAATAACTGCATATATTATAAACACGAAAACACTACGCCAGAGGATGGTGGTGATGTAGCAGCGTGCTTAAATGTTTAGTCGACTCATGCTATCGGTAGTTGTGCAGCCGTGCATTACACCCCTGAGGATGTGGCAGACAGTAAACACATCTGCATCGTCAATCGTTCACCAAGGTAATGTCCGATGCTCCCAAATAGGGAAAAGCAAAAAAAGCGAAATTCCCGGGCCCCATGTCACAAGCAAATTCTAGATTCACTGGTCAGATAACCGCAAACCAATGCTGGCCCAGAATCCTCCTCCGACGTCTTTTTGGAGCTCCAGCTGCCTGACTAAGCGGAACTACGAGCAAGTTCTTTGCTTCTGACAAGGTTCCCGCCGTGGAGCCGCGCCCAGGGGAAATTTTAAGCTCGTGGAGCCACTATCCGAGTGCGAGGTGGTTACACGGAGGAGGCGGTCCCATCTTCCAGCTTCCTGGCCACGCAAACACAGACGTTTGCCTTGCGCTTCAGACGTTATCCAGAATCCTACAGCCCCATGAGCTGAGTCACAATGGGGTTTTCATCCTGCTTTTGTGCCCCATAATGGCTATGGGTTTACGATAGACATCAACCCGGGGGTCCGTCTCGGCCTTCTTGCCAGTACCGAGTATCCACCGATTTGACATATTGCCGTATCTAGATAATCAAATGTGGGCTGAAGCTGAGGGCCTCCCAGCTGTTAAAAATGGCGGACTTTCGCTATCAAGAAAATGTCCTTCTTTCTTTTTTGCTCTGTAGATTTTCTATACCAATCTCTAAGCTCCTTTCGCCACAACTTGCCTTGGACCTTCAGTTCGTGGTCTCTTAACCACTAACACGGACCTGGCAACATGGAGTCCTCATACGGCGAGACGCTTACAGACCTCAACGCTTCAGTGGGGGAAAAAGAAGCTGTCGATAATAGCTGGTTTATGAAGCCAGAAATCACCGCCATCAATGACCGCGACAAAGCTTCCGGCTTCCAGGCCCGAGAGCTCGGAGTCACATTCCAGAATCTCACAGTCGAGGCTATCAGCGCCGATGCAGCCATCCACGAAAACGTCGTCTCCCAGTTCAACATCCCCAAACTGATAAAGGAATCTCGCCAAAAGCCGCCTTTGAAGAAGATCCTCGATAATGCTCATGGATGTGTCAAGCCCGGGGAGATGCTCCTCGTGCTGGGTCGACCAGGGTCCGGATGTACCACACTCCTCAACATGTTGGCCAACAGACGGAATGGATATGCTCAGATTTCCGGCGACGTTTCTTTTGGCTCCATGAAGGCCGAAGAGGCAAAACGTTATCGGGGCCAAATCATTATGAACACCGAAGAGGAAATCTTCTTCCCATCGTTAACCGTGGGACAGACTATGGACTTTGCAACACGATTAAAAGTCCCATACAACTTGCCCAACGGCATGACTAGCCAGGAGGAAATCCGCCTGGAGACCCGAAAGTTTCTTCTCAAGTCCATGGGTATTGAGCACACGGAAGATACCAAAGTCGGTGATGCTTTTGTCCGAGGTGTCTCTGGAGGAGAACGGAAGCGAGTGTCCATCATCGAGTGTCTCGCATCCAAGGGCAGTGTCTTCTGCTGGGATAACTCAACGCGTGGTCTTGATGCCAGCACGTAAGTGTCATTTTCTTACCAAAACCTTTTATTCATCGTCTAATCTGTTTCATATTATAGTGCTCTTGAGTGGGCAAAGGCCGTTCGAGCCATGACCGATGTCCTCGGCTTGGCTTCTATCGTTACTCTATACCAAGCTGGCAACGGCATCTATAACCTCTTCGACAAAGTTCTCGTTTTAGACGAAGGCAAAGAAATCTACTACGGCCCCATGCGCGAGGCTCGACCATTCATGGAGAGCCTGGGCTTCATCTGCGACGATGGAGCCAACGTGGCTGACTTCCTCACCGGTGTGACCGTCCCTACCGAGAGAAAGGTCCGAGATGAGATGAAACTCAAGTTCCCCCGAACTGCAGGCGCAATCCGCAGCGAATATGAGCAGACTGCTGTTCACGATCAAGCGATTACTGAATACAACTACCCGACAACAGAGGAGGCGCAGACCAAGACCAAGTTGTTCCAAGAGGGTATAGCCCATGAAAAGGACAAGGGCCTCCCGGCATCGAGCTCATTCACAGTGAGCTTTTGGACTCAAGTGCGGACGTGTATCAAGCGACAATACCAGATCATCTGGGGTGACAAGGCAACTTTCTTCATCAAGCAGTTTTCTACCATTGTTCAAGCACTCATTGCCGGTTCGCTTTTTTACAACGCTCCCGACACTACCGGAGGACTATTCGTAAAGTCCGGAGCTTGTTTCTTCGCCTTGCTTTTCAATGCGCTGCTGTCCATGTCTGAGGTCACCGAGTCATTCAAAGGCCGTCCTGTTCTGATTAAACACAAGTCGTTTGCATACTTCCACCCCGCAGCCTTTTGTATTGCGCAGATTGCGGCCGATATTCCCGTCATCCTGGTACAAGTCTCTGCCTTCTCTCTGATTCTGTATTTCATGGTTGGTTTGACAATGTCTGCGGGCCACTTCTTTACTTTCTGGATCATTGTTGTGGCTACCACCTTTGTAAGTGTCTACCTAATTCTTATCCATCGTCGATCTTCAAGCTAATTTATTTGCAAAGTGTATGACCGCTCTTTTCAGAGCTATTGGTGCAGCTTTCAGCACGTTTGATGGCGCATCCAAAGTTTCAGGTCTGATCATTTCTGCTACCATCATGTACAACGGCTACATGATTCAGAAGCCTCGCATGCACCCCTGGTTTGTCTGGCTCTTCTGGATCGACCCCATGGCTTATGGATTCGATGCCATTCTCTCAAATGAGTTTCACGGCAAGATCATCCCTTGTGTCGGCCCTAACATTGTTCCCAATGGCCCCGGCTTCACTGATTCAGGCGCTCAAGCTTGTGCTGGTGTGGGTGGTGCAGTGCCGGGACAGACTTTTGTCGATGGCGACTTGTACCTTGCGTCACTCTCTTACAGCCATTCTCATGTGTGGAGGAACTTTGGCATCATCTGGGCATGGTGGGCTCTGTTTGTGGCCATTACCATTTACTTCACCACAAAGTGGAAGCTGTCATCAGAGAACGGACCCAGCTTGCTTATTCCCCGAGAGCAGTCCAAGCTTGTCAATGCTGTCCGCCAAGTCGACGAAGAGGGCCAGGTGTCGTCAGAATCAGGTCACGTTTCAGAGAAGGATGATGCTACTGTCAACGCACAGTCCGATAACAACTCGACCGATGATACCGCCGCTCAGGGCAACCTCATTCGCAATTCCTCCGTTTTCACGTGGAAGAACCTCTGCTACACCGTCAAGACACCCTCAGGCGACCGTCTGTTGCTGGATAACGTTCAGGGTTGGGTTAAGCCTGGAAATTTGACTGCTTTGATGGGATCGTCCGGTGCGGGAAAGACTACCCTGCTTGATGTCCTTGCTCAGCGAAAGACTGAAGGCACTATTCGTGGCTCCATCCAGGTTGACGGTCGACCACTGCCCGTCTCTTTCCAACGATCCGCCGGTTACTGTGAACAGCTCGATGTGCACGAGGCCTATGCCACTGTCCGAGAGGCTTTGGAGTTCTCTGCCCTGCTTCGACAGAGCCGTGATACGCCGCGTGAGGAGAAGCTGGCCTACGTAAACACCATTATCGATCTCTTGGAACTTCACGACATTGCCGACACCTTGATTGGTGAAGTAGGCGCAGGATTGAGCGTTGAACAGCGCAAGCGTGTCACGATTGGTGTTGAACTTGTCTCTAAGCCTAGCATCTTGATCTTCCTGGACGAGCCCACTTCTGGTCTAGACGGCCAGTCTGCCTATCACACTGTCCGTTTCTTACGAAAGCTCGCTGCCGTTGGTCAAGCCGTTTTGGTCACCATCCACCAGCCTTCTGCTCAGCTGTTTGCTCAATTCGATACGCTTTTGTTGCTCGCAAAGGGTGGCAAGACTGTTTATTTCGGAGAGATTGGTGATCAGGCCAAGGTCGTCAAGGAATACTTTGCTCGCTACGATGCCGCGTGCCCAACAGAAGTGAACCCTGCCGAGCACATGATTGATGTGGTTTCAGGACAGCTCTCTCAGGGCAAGGATTGGAACGACGTCTGGCTCGCATCTCCCGAGTATGCCAACATGACCACAGAGCTTGATCGAATCATTGACGAGGCTGCATCCAAGCCTCCTGGCACTGTTGATGACGGTAACGAATTTGCTACAACCCTATGGGAGCAGACCAAGCTTGTCACACAACGCATGAATGTCAGCTTGTACCGCAACGCCGACTACGTCAACAACAAATTCGCGCTGCACATTTTCTCGGCTCTTTTCAACGGTTTCTCTTTCTGGATGGTTAAAGACTCCATCGGCGATTTGCAGTTGAAGCTTTTTACCATCTTCAACTTCATTTTCGTCGCGCCAGGTGTACTTGCCCAGCTGCAGCCTCTCTTCATCCACCGCCGAAACATCTTCGAGACTCGCGAGAAGAAGTCCAAGATGTACTCATGGATTGCTTTCGTAACTGCGCTTATTGTTTCGGAAATCCCCTACCTCATCGTCTGCGCCGTGCTCTACTTTGTGTGCTGGTATTACACTGTGGGTTTCCCTGGCGACTCTCACCGCGCCGGAGGAACCTTTTTTGTCATGCTCTGCTACGAGTTCCTCTACACTGGCATGGGTCAGTTCATTGCTGCATACGCGCCCAACGAGGTCTTTGCTGTCTTGGCGAACCCTGTCGTTATTGGAACTCTTGTTTCCTTCTGTGGTGTCTTGGTGCCTTACGCCCAGATTCAGGAGTTTTGGAGGTACTGGATTTACTACCTCAATCCTTTCAACTATCTCATGGGAAGCATGTTGGTTTTCAACCTGTGGGGAGCAGAAATCAAGTGTTCCGAGCACGAATTCGCCACTTTCAATCCTCCCAACGGCACAACTTGCGGAGACTATCTCAAGGACTACTTGGCAGCAGGCCCAGGTGCTGTAGCAGATCTCATCAACCCCAGCGCCACAGCCAACTGTCAAGTGTGCTCATACTCCAAGGGTCAAGACTATCTTCGCACATTGAACCTGAAAGAATACTACTACGGCTGGCGAGATGCTGGTATCGTGGTGCTGATGGTGTTTAGCTCGTACGCTTTGGTGTACCTGCTGATGAAGCTCCGAACAAAGATGTCCAAGAAGGCTGAGTAGGCGTGAAGAAGAAGAGAACTGAAAGAGTCATGCATATCTCTACTCTAGCGACTTTTTTTTACAACATTCATTTTTGCGATATCAACATATTTTAATAGATTGGAAAAGCCGGTTAGATGGTGTTAATAATAGGATAGATCCCTAACAAAGCAATTATTAGACGCATTATTAGGCATGGCGAGGATACGCATGACGTTTTCTTACGAGTTTATGGTGTGATAGATAGACAATAATAAATAGCATAAGTGTCAAGTCTGTCATTATTCTCAATTCCTTTTCTATAAAACCCCCTCGTTCTTTTCTATATCATCATGTGTCGTAAGCGATGAGCAGTAAATTCCATATGTAGCTGCGGCTTCTCTCATAATTCATGCCTCATAAAAGTGCTTCTTTGTTCGCTCGATATATCATCGAGTGATGCATTACTCCAAACATGTTCAACGGTCGTACAATCTCCCAACCAAACGCTTCATAGAGCGGTCGCCCCTGTGGCGTTGCCATGAGGTAGCAATCCCTGCCGGCCTTGGTGGCTTGCCGCATGCCCCATGTTAAGAGCGCCTTACCAATTCCCCTCCGCTGGTGAGGTGGGTCAACCGCAATCATGTCAAGATCTAATGGTTATTATCGGTTAGCTGCGTTGCTCAATATGTAAAGCAAAATGGGTGGCACATGTAGAGATATAGGAAGGGGAGACAAACGCCACACGTCTTTCAGTCCTCTATCGCCAAAGCTGGCTTTATGGTCCTCTTTCAAGATTGACTTGAGCTCCTCAAAAATCTTCATGTCCGTTACATCTGAAGGCAGCTCTGGGTCTGCAGGCGCAATTGGGGGCTTCTCATCTTCGACTGGCTGCTCCCACACAGCGAAGCCAACAATTTGGTCGTTCAAGGCGGTATCTATGGCTAATTTAATCGTGCAATTTGATGTATTGAAGCTCGCAGTCTTTCTTAGCTGGCGCCAGGGTAGAGATGCGTCGCCATCGGGGATATTCTTCGGCTGCAGATGCAGAGGAAAGACTTGGCGAGTGATCCAATCGGTTGTCGGGTGGAACGTGACGCCTGCAAGCCGTGCCACGGCGGGCATGTCTTCTTCTGTTGCGTCTCTTATCTGAATTGCCATTTCTTCCTCTGTATGCAAGGGAATTGGTTGAGGGGAGACTGTGATTCTTCAGCTAATTTTGGAAGAACATGGCAGCGGGGAAGATATATGACGGTATTCTCTTCTTCTATAATTAGCTTCAAAGACGCCTAGCTATTGAAAGGGACTTTCGTTTCCCTATGACCGAATCCCGTGTGTGCAACAACTTGCGATTTGGCATACTATTGTAACACGACACGGGCACGGGGTAGGCTAAATTGTTAATAGTTCGCCGACCACGATATAAAAGCGGAGTGGGCGAACAGTGAGGGGAATCTAGCTCATCGGCAAACTTCTGAGCGCGCACTCGATTTCAACATTCGCCCAGCGAAACTCCCCACAGTCAAGACTATGCCCCGAATGGTTATTTCCCGCTTTCTTTGACGCTTCTATTTTCCTTCTAGATTATAGGCATTAGCTCAGGTGAGCTTCTTATGCGTTTCATTATCAGGCTTGCGCTAGCACGTCTTCTCAATCAACAATCTAGACAGCCGTCAACTTGGACAGCGAAATGCATTCTTTGAACCTATATCGATATCTGTAACTATAGCATACTAACTATATCTACTTGCCTTAATAAAGGCGCTACTAGGAGCCCAGCTATAGACGAAAACACCTACATTCCCAGTAATAATGCAGCTTAAAGGCTCAATCTCATATCATGGGATTGCATACGTGGACGGAAATGCTTCAGGCCCACTTATCGCAAGTAACCTCGAATTGAGCTTTTGGGGAGGCGTTGATCCGCAAACGAGCGAAGTTATAGATCGCCACCACCCGCTGAGTGGCAAACACATCCAAGATGCAATTCTCGCTATTCCCGGCAGTCGCGGGTCTTGCTCTGGGAGTGGGGTGTTACTGGAGCTTATACTCAATGGCAAGGGCCCAAAAGGCTTTATATTTTCAAGAAAGGAAGATATTCTCACCCTTGGAGTCGTGGTTGCGGAAGAGATCTTCAATAAGTCTATTCCGGTAGTGGTTCTGGAGACGGACGAATTTCAAGACCTACAAAACGCTATTCATGTTACCATAAACGGAAATACAGTCTCAAGCGCACAACTAAAGAGTGTACCAGAAGTTTCTGAACCGGTTGCCGAAAAGGCTCTGGGCACAAGCTTGAACCACCATGTTGAGTTGTCCGATGGGGACAAAGATTTTCTAGAGGGCCTGCACGGTCGAGCAGCCCAGGCTGCTATGCGCATCATCTTACGCATGGCTGCTATAGAAGGAGCCGATAAGCTAATAGACATTACACAAGTTCATATAGATGGCTGTGTTTATACTGGGCCTGGGTCGCTCGACTTCGCAGAAAGATTACGCGACTGGGGAGGCAAGGTCTTGGTTCCCACTACTCTCAACTCCATATCCGTGGATCAAAAGCGCTGGCGCTCTCAAGGGGTTGCATCCACATTTGGCGAGGCGGCAGAAAAGCTGGCCACAGCGTATACCGACATGGGTGGCCGCCCAACCTTTACTTGTGCTCCTTATTTACTTTCGAGTGCGCCGAAAAAAGGAGACCAAGTAGCTTGGGCTGAATCGAATGCTGTGGTATACGCCAACAGTGTACTCGGCGCGAGGACCATGAAGTATCCGGATTTTCTGGACATATGCATTGCTTTAACTGGGCGTGCTCCACACGGAGGTCTTCATTTGAAGCACAACAGGCTTGCTTCACTTCGTGTAGAGATGCCTCTTCTTCAACCAGAGGATATTGATGATTCTCTTTATCCTTTATTAGGATATCATGTTGGTGGCCTCTCAGGAAGTCGAATACCTGTCATCACAGGATTTGAGAGGGTGCGCCCATCGACAGACGACTTGAAGGCATTCGGAGCGGCATTTGCCACCATGGCAAGCGCTCCAATGTTTCACATCGCTGGAGTAACTCCAGAAGCCGCCACATTACAAGATGCGATAGGCGAAAGAGATGATATAGAGACTGTTAGCCTTGATCTGAGGCAACTTGAGACAAGCTGGAGAACGCTCAACAGCGCACAGGATAGCTCGCCAGTTGACCTCGTCTCGCTTGGGAATCCGCATTTCTCCATTATGGAAATGAGAAATTTGGCAAACATTTGTCGAGGATGGACAAAAGACGATCGAGTTTCCATCATGGTGACTTGTGGAAGGGCAACGCATGGGCTAGCAAGTCAAGCGGGCTTGATTGAAGAATTGGAACGGTTTGGAGTTCAGTTTATTACCGATACGTGTTGGTGCATGATTGATGAGCCTGTGATTCCAACATCTGCGAAAACAATCATGACCAACTCTGCGAAATATGCTCATTATGGGCCAGGGCTTACTGGGAAGAAGTTTTATTTTGGAAGCTTGGAGAGATGTGTCGCTGCTGCGTGTAGCGGCACTTACGATAAAGGAATGCCCAAGTTCATTCAATAGATCAATATGGGAGCTTGCAGGGAGCTTTGACGTTGAAGTAAGAAGGTTTCATTTTAATGTTTATGAGGCTAGGCTTGAGAATTAACCACTAACGGCCACAATCAAACGTATGTTCTGCAGTGTTTTGTGTAAGGTCTTTATGTTTAATGAGACTTTGTTGTTCCTCTTGAATACCACTCAATATTATAATGCTCAATCCCCGTCCCTTTATCCATAACATCACATGTAGCTTCAAACTGGTCGGCGTCGCTGAATAGTATCAAGGCCTTTTTTGATGTATCCTCTGTGCAATCGCTAAATAGCGCCATTTCCGCTCCTTCAGTAGTTACGTGTCTCTTAAATACACTAGCCAGGAGTTCTTTGTTGGTTGCAGAAGAAGCTTTCAGTACCTGAGCGAAGTGGCTGTTGAAAGCGGACGGTTGTAAGCCATCCACATCATAATGCTCAACAGAGGGTGGTTCACGCATTAAAGGCATCGATGCTTCGAAGAAAGGACCTGCTGCTGGGCCGGTTACAAAACCAATATGCGAATCCACGTTCTTCCAAATGACCAGTGAAAGTACAGTAGCACCGTCTGCTTGCTTCTTTGAGTCTTGGCCATTGTCTGAAGTTATTACGCCGGCCATTGCTGCGATCATTCCCGGCTGAGCCATTAAGATGGGATGCATTCGTTTGTTGTATACATCTTTGTACTGTTCGGGGGTAACCTTGATGCGTGTTTGCACGAGTTCTGCAACCACCTTGTCATTTGCGTCCATTTCTAATAGAGACGCCTTGGCCTAGAATAATCTTGAAAGAATTAAAAAAAAAATCCAGTTTTTCTTTTACTTCTTTTTCTCTTTTTCAAGTTCGAAAACATCCTTCGCCTCTCTTTTGTATCCTACTTGGTGGATACCGGTCAGACTTGAAGATCAAATTTTCAGCCATCGTCTCTAGTTTGGCCGAGTATTCCGAAGAGCTGGATGCGGTTTAAATCTTATTGTTAAACTTAAATCTTATTGATACTTGAAGCACTTTACACTTTGACTTCTTTAGAGCCCTGGTACCTCTATTGGTATTGTCTCGTCTCACATAATCCTAAGCCGTCGCTCCACTAGTAGTAAAGCTCTCAGCGGAGAATCAACAACATTTGGATCGACCCGAGTCATGATGGACTCAATTTTGGGGAGAAGTCAGAAAAAGATTCATTTGTCACAGGAGAGCGGTCAATGACAAATAAATCGCGTCGCAAACCCTTTCTCTTATCGGTCGATATATTGATGTTTCGCAAGTACACGAGCACAGACGGATAACCACATACAGGTACATGTACCTATCCTATATGGAAACTGCCCTACCAACATACGTGTTTCAGACATTGTTTAAAGATGTGGAAACACACAAACATGCGATGCCCATGAAAGTGAACAAATCGGAAGCAAAAGGGATTAACGTGAAACAGTCGGGTATTGTCGCGAACTGGCCAGTTACACCCGTTCCACTGGATGAGCGCTTGCGCAGACATACATCAGCTTGGAAATATCAGCATCTCGTATATTCCCGTCAAGGGCTCCCTCCGCCGCTGATAGAACGAGATATGATCCGTACAGTACCTGAAATAAGTGGACCGCAAATCAGCCTCGTCAAGCGCGTGTGCCATGAATGACGAAAATGATGGCATCGCCACACTTGGCTAAAACCGATCGCGACACAGGCCATTTCAAGTTTCAAGGGCCGTAGCGCTGTGTCTTGGCGGCTGCTACCCCGCAAGCGCCCTGCAGATTGGAACTTTTGGCGGCGCTGTGGCGGGCCTGATAGGCTCGGACTGGCCCGCTCCAGCGCTCATAGCTGCCAAAAGCAGCTCGGGGTAGCGCAGCCGCCTTTAGCTGCGGTCTCCAGTCGTTATCTTTCGGCATCCACATCCGTTGTACAGACGAGCATCTATTATCGCTGCTCTGTTCCGATTGTAGCACAAGGCACGACGGGAGGCTCCTATTTTCCCTCTTCATCCTCCCTCGTCTGGCCCTTCTCGTGTGGTGACTACTTTCATCACGTCTACTGCGATGCGAGGCCTCATGATGGACGAAAAAGCTGGCCCTCCTGCCTACAGCGCCTCTGGCCTCCCATCACCAGCTTCTGGAGCTGCGCCTTTTCGCGGTCGGCGAGCTGGTTGGCGCCGATTCCGCCTCTTGAAGTTCTTCTCTGCGGCTATATCGCTGTTGGTGATTGGACAATGGATACAAATATGGCGAGAGGAGACGAAAGTTCCGGTGCTCTCGCGCGACAAGCTCTACGGTGACTTGCAGACTTGCAAAAAGCTCAAGCTCAAGCCCCAGGATCCAATAGGACTTGGGCGAGAGAAGAACGCCAGATGGATCGAAGGCAGCAAGCCTACTCTCATCAAGAACGCTGTCATTTGGGTTGGCGAGCCTCTTGAAGGCACAAGCGAGGCTGATGCCAGAGCGGGCAAGGGCTGGGAATGGATCCAAGGCGACGTGCTGCTCGAACATGGACTCATCAAACGAGTCGAACATCAGATTTCATCAAGCTCGCTACCGGAAGACACCCTGATCTTCGATGCTGCGGGCCGTCAACTCACCACCGGCATCATCGACATGCACAGTCATGCTGGCGTCGATTCTCTGCCCAGTCTTCTAGGCAACGACGACACCAATGAACTCTCGGATAACACGACTCCGTGGGCACGAGCTATTGATGCTCTCAATCCATTGGATCACCAGATTGAAGTCATCAAGTCAGGCGGAGTCACTACTTCCCTCATCCTCCCCGGCTCCGGCAACAATATGGGTGGCGAGGCTTACACTATCAAGCACGCTGTTGGCCCCAGAAGCGGCCGCAAAGAGATCAGCGCGCAAGACATGCTCGCAGACCCGGATCGCAACTGGCGATTCATGAAGATGGCATGCGGAGAGAATGCCAAGAGGGTCCATGGAGGCATCGACAAAAGGCCATTCAGCCGCATGGGCGAAAGCTTCGATTTTCGACACGCTTTTGAGCAAGCTAGAGCTTTGATCCAGCGCCAGGATGACTGGTGCAACAAGGCTCATGAGATTGGCGTGGAATTTATGAGCGAGTATCTGCCACAAGAGCTATTCTGGGAGTCGCTTGCCGCAGCCCTTCGCGGCCAGGTCCATATCAACACTCACTGTTACACCATCACGGATCTTGAAGCAATGGTGGATCATACCAACGAGTTCAAGTTCCCAATTCGGGCTTTCCATCACGCTCATCAAACGTATCTAGCCACTGAAGTAGGTTCCTTCAACCATTCAAGCTTAGTTGTGGCTAATCTAATCGTTACTTCTTTTAGATACTCAAGCGCACATACGGAGGCCGACCACCCGCGTCGGCCCTGTTCGCTGATAACATGTTTTACAAAGCCGAAGCCTACATAGGGTCTGAGTATGCTGGCAAATATCTCTACGATGCCAACCTCACGACTGTGTATGTGAGCGACAACCCTGTTCTCAATGCTCAACATGTCCTCTTTGAAGCCGCAAAAGGCTATCGCTATGGTCTTCCCTACCACGCTGCTCTCTCCGCTGTTACCAGCATTCCTGCTGAGCTGCTTGGTTTTGGTAAACGGCTAGGCAAGGTTAAGCCAGGGTTTGATGCCGATATCGTGGTTTGGGACAGCGATCCCTTGAGCGTTGGGGCTGCTCCCGTCCAAGTCTGGATCGACGGCACTGCGCAATTCGAAGACCCAGTTGAGCTCTCAAAGCCTAAACAAAGCCCTATTGTACCCGATACCGGGCTATCTTACATCGTCGAAGAGCCAACTGAGATGCAAGATGTTCTTTTCTATGGCATTAAAAAGGTTCTTCTGTCTGATGATGAGGTTTTCGAATCTGATGGCAAGCCTGTGTCTGTCTTCATCTCCAATGGGAAGATTGCTTGCATTGGTCCTTGCAGTCCGGAATATGAGGCAGCTGCCCAAAAGGTGAAGCGGCGAATCATCCTAAAGAATGGTTATCTCACCAACTCTTTTACTGGCGTCGGTCGAACCATTGGCTTGAACGATATCGACGCTGAGGATGTAACCGACAATGGGCCGAACCCAACCGCCTTCACTCGTGCTGTCGATGGACTTCGGCTGGATAGCAAGAAGCTACATGTTGCTGCCAAATATGGTGTTACCAAGGGCATCTCTGCTCCAAAGTTTGTAAGTGGCAGCTCCCATCACGGCACCAGTGTTGGCTTCCTCACCGCGGCCAAGACTGTCGCCGAGAAAGGTGCGGTATTTGATGACGATGTCGCCGTTCATTACACGCTTGACCTTAGCGCTCGCAGCACTGGCAGTTACTCTGAGTTATATGGCAAGTTGCGAAGTAAGCTCTTTGCAGCTGCTTCTACTAATAAGACAGCTGAGGATCCCTTCTCAGAAGATGCCTTTTTGCAAAAAGTGGTTGCTGGAAAGACGGTCTTGGCTCTTACTATCGATAATGCGGACGGCATTGCCATCGCGTTGAGGATCAAGTCAGAAGTCGAAGAGGCCACCAAGTCCAAGATAAAATTGGCCATTCTCGGCGGCGCAGAGTCTCATCTCGTTGCAGCAGAGCTAGGCGCCGCCGAGGTTGGCGTCATCTTGCTTCCTCTTCAGGTGCATGCGAATAACTGGGACCAACGCCGTTCTCTTCCCGGTGCGCCACTGACAAACGGTACGACAATTGATTACCTGCTTGATGCCAACGTTACGGTCGCCATTGGCCTGTTTGAAGACTGGTATGTGCGCGACTTGGGACTTGAAGCCGGCAAAGCGTACCACAATGGCAACGGACGGTTGGGAGAGAAGGCTGCCCTGGATCTTGTAAGTGGAAACGCACACAAGATCCTTGGAGCCAAGCTGCCAGAGGATCAAGCAAAGGGCCACTTCATCATCAGTGAGGGAAGTCCGTTAGATATTGGATCTCGAATCAAAGCCGTTGGCAGTGGCAGGGACAAAGTGGCGGTCTTTGTCAACGGCTCAACGGGTCCATCTTTGTTGGAAAGGCTGGAAAGGCTGGAAGAAAGTGGTCGTGTTCAGCGTGAGGCGGTATATGGGCAATTGTAGTCGATGTATTGAGGCTTAGTAAGTTTCGAGTATCTAGAGTAATTCACATAGTTGCTATGCCTTTTACCTTTTGCAAATTCAAAGGTCTGAATTAGTCTCAATTCAGCCTCCTATCCGTTCCTAGTTGCCGGCCTGAGTCGCCATCATCAACATAGTCCATTCTAGCCTTTTCTCTCCGCCAAATCTAGCGCGCACTACGGCATCTAAGTGGGAGCCGCCCTCCCACTGGCGCCCAGCTCCTTACTTGCCGCTCGGAGTCAGGCGGCTGAAGGCGGCTTTGCCCTCAATGATTGGCCACTTGGGATACAACGCTGTTAATAAGCACAGCCTGTTCGTCATCGTCGAAATCTGTTTGCTTGCGAAACGTTAATTCCTGCTGACAACTCAAATGATCAAACAGGGGCTAAGCCCAGTGAGGCAATTAGAGTACCGAAGTACAGTGAGATCGCGAGCGCCTATGTCGTAATTCCGACTTGCCAGTGAGACGGGTCTGAAGGCCCAATCCTGTCTCTGCGGTTAGTAAGAAACAGATAAAAAGAGAGAGAAACCCGTCCCGACGTTATCAGATTGAACTCTGTGTGAATCCTTACGGCTTTTGATGAGATTGATATTGAAACGACTTATTGCCTTGGTTACCAGGGTAGTTGTCTTGGTCACGCTGTTTCGCTTCGCTTCAACGTATTTTTTCAGCAAGAAAGCTGCAATGACTGTTGCTCCTGTGGTTGCGCTTTCACATGGCGGAGGTAAGATTGTTTTACCGCCCATTGCTCACTCACCCATATCGTCTCACCCTCATCGGCAATTATGCTCTATTGTCAATTACAAACAACTAACAATGAGACGCTGTAGGTCCTCTCCCCATCCTCGGCGATCCTGCCCACAAGGAAGTCACCAATTCCATGAAAACCCGAGTGCCCAAGATTCTCAAGCTCGGAACTCCTGAGCAGCCTCGCGCCATTGTTCTCGTTACAGCGCATTGGTCAACAGATAAGCCAGTCATCTCATCCGGGGCAGCGCACGAGCTCTTCTTTGACTACTACAACTTCCCTGCGGAAGCTTACGCGCTCAAGTACCCTGCACCTGGCCACCCGGAGGTTGCGCAGGAGGTGAAAGCCGCGCTGGAAGCAGAGGGCCTGCAATCTGAGCTGGATGGCAAGAGAGGATGGGACCACGGCGTTTTTATTCCAATGTTGTTGGTGAATCCCGCGGCCAATGTACCGATTGTTCAGCTTTCCGTGCTGGAATCAGAAGATCCAACTGAGCACTTGAAAATGGGAGCTGCGCTGGCAAAACTCCGTCAGAAAAACATTGCCGTCGTGGGCTCGGGTTTCGCCTCTGTTCACAACTTCCAGGTCTACCATGATCTACGTAACGGAGGACCTGGAAAAGTCAAGCAGTGGTCGGAGCGGATTGGTCGATGGAACAACGCGCTGGAACAGGCTGTGGGTGCGGAGAGCAAGGAGGAGCGGTGGAAGAGGGTGGCGGGCTGGAGGGAGTTTCCACATGCGAATGAGATGCATCCGCCGAGGAGGGGAGAGCATTTCATGCCGTTGATTGTGTGTGCTGGTGCGGCGTTGGAGGGGGAGAAGGCGGGATTGTATCAGGATAAGTATCTGGGAGCGGAGATTTCGACGTTTTATTGGGGGGCGGAGACGGTTGCGTGAGATTTTGGGAGTTAGGATTTGATCTCTGTGCATGATGTTTTGAGAAATAGTAGCCTTTGGTGCAAGATGAAAAGGAGGAAGGAATAAAATAGAAGAACTCCATGTTATGATTGATGCCCATAGTATGTTTTTGTGATTTAGGTACGATGTAAGACACGTGTACTTGGGTTTTGCGAGTGAAACAAAATAACTATGACATATGACTTCAATAACCTACAAGACTTGGACATTTCTTATCACCCTGTGCATGACGTACGTATTCGTTATAAGGCCTTTAGGGCGAAACAAAAATACACATGATGGGCGCTTTTATTCTCGAGACCCTTGGGGAAGGTTAAAAATGCTGTGAAGCTAGGGCTGGTGAGGGAGCGAGGCGCCAGAATGTTGTGAAGCCATGCTACAATTACAAAGCGTGCTAATCGCCTGGGTACATGTAATGTCATAAGATCCTTTGGGCGGATTAAAAATGCTGTGAAGCATCAAATTCCGCTTCCTTGACTAGCAACGATTTCGGCATGATATCAAGAATCCGAAATCATTAAACAAGAGGATTTAGTGAATAGTACCAATTTAGAAGAAAAAGGAGAGCTATATAACACTTAATCGATGTTCTTTTATCTGCTTGCGTATTACTCAATTTGATTGAGATTGCCCGCAGCTCAATACTTCCTTCGATGAATATCAAAGCACGAGCGAGGCAAATGTGAATTAGCCTCATCTCCGCTTGTTTTGTAAGGTCGTCTCGTAGATTTTCCTAGCTGCATGTCGGAGCCGTGAAATAGTGTGATACATGGAACTTTTTCATTTCCATTGCCCCTCACTGGCTGCTAACCATAGCCGACAATATGCTTAACAGCTGGGAGTCAGCACCTCATTTTACGTTGCCCGATCCCGTGGCGGAGCAGAGATCTGGAACAAAAAAAAAAAAAAAAAAAAAAAAAAAAAGTCGGGGGACGTCGTCTACCAGGACAGATCAACCCACACTGGTGCCTTGGCTTAGCGGCTCCGCATATACACGTACAGCGGCTTTGGCCCGCGGAGCCCGAAAGTCGCGGAGCCCGAGGACAGGGCATTGTCCGATACGAAATACGGGCGAGGCACTGAACAGGCAATCGATGGAGCAATCTTGACAATGATAAAGCAGACGTGGAATGAAAGATCTCGGGTAGCTTAACCGGCATCCCTCCTGATGGGGCTAAGACGTTAATAAGGACATTCCTACCATCCTCTAAGGCTGTTGAAAAAGGCTAGTCGTTCTGTCTCGTAAGACCTGCACTTTGCTACGACAACTTCAGCCGGTCGTTGGTTTTGGCGAGACAGACCAGCAGCCTGAATATGACCGTCTCAGAGAAGGGCCATGAGGGGCCTGTGAATCAAGCCTCAGATGCCGTTGAACAGGTGGATAGCAGCATAGAGGTTTCAATCGGCGATGAAACCCCAGCGAGCGAGAACAAGTCCCAGAGCCCGTATCTGGTAAGTGGGCAGCCTGTCCATATTTTGTGTGGCTCCGATTGGAGGTTGCTGATTACTTTTGTGTGATCAAACGTATAGAGAATCTTCACTTATACCGGGCGGCGTGAACGAATTATCCTCGCCATCTCGATTGTAGCTGCAATTGCGTCTGGAGCTGGCATAGCTCTCCAGAATCTGATCTTTGGCCAATTCGTCACAACCATCACCAATTTTATCAACGATCCATCAGCAAGCGGTGCAAAGTTTCGCAGTGATGCCGGCCGATTATCGTAAGTGATTTCTTCGTCGCATGCATTACACCTGTTCAGCTGTTGAAACCTTGGCACTCACTCTTCAAAGGCTCTATTTCGTCTATCTAGGCATCGGGAGGTTTGTCCTAGCATACGCATACAATGTGCTCCTGACCTACAACGCGTATCGAATCGTTCGAAACATTCGACATGCATACTTGAAAGCTGCTTTGAGCCAGGAGGTTGCATACTACGATCTCGGCACCAGTGGATCGATTGCCACTCAAGCAACTTCAAATGGAAAACTGATCCAGGGTGGCATTGCAGAGAAGCTTGGGCTTTCGTTCCAAGGAGTCTCGGCCTTTGTCACTGCCTTTATTGTGGCATTTGTCACCCAATGGAAGCTGACCCTTATCTGTCTTTGCATCGCCCCGAGTACAATGGCCGTAATGGCCTTTGTTGGTATCAACGAGGCAGCTGTCGAGACTAAAATCTTCGATATTCACGCTCAGGCCAATGGCTATGCGGAAGGAATCATTGGCAGTACTAGAACTGTACATGCGTTTGAGATGCGGTCTAGGCTTGTCAGCAAATTCAACGAATACCTCGAAGAGGCTCACAAATACGGTCGCCAGCTATCTCCTTGGTTCGCAGCTCTCTTTTCGGCCGAATATACAATCATGTACCTCGGCTTTGGGCTTGCTTTTTGGCAGGGAATTCATCTATACGCAAATGGGGAGATTAAGTCATCTGGCGAAATCTTCACAGTTTTGTTCTCTGTAACAATCGCAACTATCAGTATCACGTCGCTGGCGCCGTATTCCATCGACTTTTCGAGGGCTGCTTCGGGAGCCGCACAGCTGTTTGAGCTCATCGACCGAAAATCTGATATTAACCCATTCGACGAATCGGGGGAGAAGCCTACAGAAGTTGTCGGACATCTTGAGTTGGAGAATGTCAACTTTGCGTATCCTTCACGGCCGAGTGTAACTGTACTGGACGACTTTTCATTGTCTGTTCCCGCTGGAAAAGTGACAGCTTTGGTGGTAAGTAACTTCCATCCTTTTCTCGTCTCCATCGTTCCCTTGCAAAAACTGACATTTCCTGTATAGGGCCAAAGCGGTTCTGGAAAGAGCACCATTGTCGGTCTCGTTGAGCGATGGTACAACCCCGTGTCTGGAACCATCAAGTTGGATGGCAAACCAATTAACAAATTAAATCTCAATTGGCTCCGGAAGAACGTTCGACTTGTCCAACAAGAGCCTGTGCTTTTCCAAGGCTCAGCATTCGATAATATCGCGCACGGTCTTGTTGGCACGAAATGGGAACATGCTTCAAGAGAAGAAAAGATGACTCAAGTCCAAGAAGCTGCCAAAGTTGCCTTTGCTCATGATTTCATTTCAGAATTGCCAGATGGTTACGATACCGAGATTGGTCAGAGGGGTGGACTGTTATCTGGTGGTCAGAAGCAGCGCGTTGCCATTGCTCGGAGCATCGTTTCTCAACCAACAGTCCTACTGCTCGATGAAGCGACCAGTGCCCTTGATCCGCATGCTGAGGGCATTGTACAGCGCGCCCTAGACAGAGCTTCCGAGGGCCGTACCACAATTGTTATTGCTCACAAACTAGCAACAATCCGCAGAGCAGATAATATTGTCGTCATGAAGAAGGGAAAAATCATCGAACAAGGCACACATGAGGGCCTGATGAAGCAAGACGGAGCTTACGCTCAGCTAGTGCACGTCCAAGACCTATCTGTATCGAAAACTCAGTCTGATACCGAATCAGATGTGCCAGATGACGAGGAAGTGAAAGATCCAGCTGATCTCGTCAAGAGCTTGACCCGATACGCTACCGCGGATCGGATCCGCCTCGAGCAGCAGAAAGAGAGGGACAATTTCGAAAATTACAAGAAACAGGGGCTCCTAACAGTGATCTGGCGACTAGTCGCTGAGCATCCAGAATTGGGTTGGGCTTATTTCTTTGTTGTTATTTCCTGTCTTGCAGGTGGTGAGTACATGATCAAAATCTGAATGCGAATGGGTACATACATCTAACTATAACAGCGGCTGGTTATCCCGGTCAGGCCATTTTGCTTTCCAGCACTGTTGACGTCTTCACACTATCTCCCTCAGAAATGACGAAAAAGGGCAACTTTTTTGCTTCCATGTTTATTGTCCTTGCGGCTGGCAACTTGGTTATCTATAGTATAGCTGGATGGGCGACCAACATGATTGCTCAGGTATGGCATTCCTTTTCAACAGCCATGAATGCCCAATGCTAACTACCTCCACTAACAGACGTTATCGCACAAACTCCGTCGTCAAAGTTTAAACGACATGCTACGACAAGACCTCCAATTCTTCGATCGTCCCGAAAATAACATTGGAGCGCTAGCTAGCCGTGTTGATGCAAATCCACAAGCCATTTTGGAGCTCATGGGCTTTAATATTGCCTTAATCCTCGTAGCAGTATTCAACATTGCCGCATGCAGCGTTTTGGCCATCGTGTATAGCTGGAAACTGGGACTTGTGGTTGTCTTCGCCGGGCTGCCCCCCATGGTTGGTTCTGGATGGTTCAAGATTCGACTGGACGTCAGGCTTGATCATCATATCTCGGCACGCCAGTCCAAAAGTGCAGCAATTGCTTCAGAGGCCGTCACTGCGATACGTACTGTATCGTCTTTGGCCATTGAGGAATCGGTCCTCAAGAGCTACACCAACGAATTAGACCACGCGGTCAATGGATCTGTGAAGCCAATGTCGATTATGATGGTTTGCTTTGCCTTTACTCAATGCATTGAGTATTGGTTTATGGCTTTGGGTTTTTGGTAAGTGATTGTATGGCTCATAATGGGCGAGCTGGGGCTAACTATCGCTTCCAGGTATGGATGTCGTCTTGTCTCCTTTGGGGAGACATCAATGCATAGCTTTTACGTGGCGTTTTTGGCAGTCTTTTTTTCAGGTCAAGCGGCTTCTCAACTCTTTCAATTTTCAACAAGTATGTTCAAGGCGCATGTCTAGAGATGAATGTCCAAAGCTAACGTGGTTGCACAGGTATAACCAAAGGCAAGAACGCAGCGAATTACATCTTCTGGCTTCACGGACTCAAACCCACAATCCATGAAACACCAGAAAATAAGGATAAAGGCCCGGAATCTGGAGGCCCAGTTGCTGTTGACAGCGTTCACTTTTCATATCCTCTGCGGCCAGAGGCGCCTGTGTTGAGAGGAATCAATCTAGAGGTATGTTTACACCTGTCCAAAATTATTATCGCAAATTTCTCACAGCATCGTAGATTCAAAAAGGCCAGTTCTTTGCTCTAGTTGGTGCTTCTGGCTGCGGCAAATCCACCATGATTGCTATGCTCGAGCGGTTCTACGACCCTTCGACTGGAAAGATTAGCATTGCTGGTGATAAGCTGACGGAGCTGAATCCACGTCTATATCGCCGAGTCGTCTCTCTAGTGCAGCAAGAGCCAACTCTTTTCCAAGGTTCAATTCGCGAGAATATCGCCCTCGGCATCGACGATCCAACGATGTCTTCCGCAACAACTGCAGAGGTAACTGTTTCCGACGCTCAAATCGAAGCAGCATTACGCGCAGCTAATGCCTGGGACTTTGTGTCGTCTTTGCCTGACGGCTTCGCCACGGCTGCTGGACCAAACGGCACGCAGCTTTCTGGCGGTCAGCGCCAGCGTATTGCTATTGCTCGCTCACTGATTCGTAATCCTAAAGTCCTGCTACTTGACGAGGCAACCAGTGCCTTGGATACGGAGAGCGAAAAAATTGTACAAAGCGCACTGGCCGAGGCAGCAAAAGAAGGTGATCGAATCACTATTGCGGTAGCGCATAGACTGTCCACGATTAGAGACGCGGACATGATATGCGTCTTCTATGGGGGCAAGATTGTGGAGATGGGGAAGCACGCCGAATTGATAGCGCAAGGAGGGATGTATAGAAAGATGTGTGAAGCGCAAAACATAGAGTGATGGAATTTTCTTGGTATATACGGGATGTATAATTGTTAATGATACGCATAATATTTGGATGGTTAGCGGTTGGCCATATATATGTATATAGAACGACGTTAGGTCTATGGGGCTCGCCTTTGCTTGAGAAATGTTCCAGTAGTCGGAGGAATCTCTACTATAATACACATCACCACTTTATCATCAGCACTTTTGTCAATGGAGCGATAGCACGTCAGCGATTTGGCTTAAACAAATTATATGCAAATGCGCCTTGATACAAGACAGCACAAAACTATTTCACTATGTAAGAGAAAGATTCGGTGCATCACCATCAGACAGTGATGGAGTACTTCGTCCCCGAAGTCGTCTGAATAGACCCCGAGTAGGTAGCCCCATTGACCTTGAAGCTCTGTCCACCAGCCACCCTCAATGTTAACGATCCTCCACGCGTAGATGTTACGGTTGCACTTGTCAAACTTCCACCTGACCAGTTAATGTCTACCTCAAAGCCACCCCTGGCCATCAATCCCTGGGCACTTCCAGTGGGGATGTTAGATCCAGGCAGAGCTGGCAGAAGATGAACTGTACCAGTCTGGCTCTGCAGCAGCATCTCCGTCAATCCGCTTGTTAAGCCAAAGTTGCCATCGATCTGGAAAGTAGACCCATCATTTGTGTTCCAGAGATTAGGCGTGGGATACTCGGCGAACCAGGCGACAAGATGCTTCCACACGTCAGCTCCGGAGAAGAGACGAGCGTACTGGTTCATCAGCCATGTGCGGCTCCAACCTGTACTACCGGAGCCGCTGGCGACGCGATGATCGAGAAGGGCCTTGGCAGCTGCACTGAGCGTAGTATTGACAAGAGGTGAGAATTGGTTGGATGGATGAAGGCCGTACATGGGAGAAAGATGGCGGTGGCCAGGGTCGGTCTCGCCGTATTCATATCTCCACTCCAGGATCTGGCCATAAGAGCCAATGCGAGGAGTTCGAATCTGCGGGATGAAGTTGGTGGCGGCCTGGACATTACTGTCGCTGCTGGAGATGCCAAGAGCAGCGGCTGCTTCAATGATACCCTTCATGACGTCTCGCATAAGCTGGTTGTCCATCTCAGGGGCCAGATCCATGGGCTCCTGTTGGCCAGAGACAGTAGCGTTGCTGGGCACGACGTACGTATTCTCGGGAGAGAGAGACGGACCAGTGACGAGGTTCCCCTGCCAACTGAATGTGTAGCACTGGAGAAACTTAGAAATGTCAAGGAGATAAGGGTAGGTTGCACTTCGAAGGAGATTTAAGTCACCGCCGAAGCGGTACTGCTCAATCATATGCTGCACCAACCATGTTGCTCCCATTGGCCACATGGTGCTCGAAGTGTAATTATCCGTTGGCGCTGGGTCTCCCCAAACATCCAAGTTGTGGTGGAAGACAGTACCGTTGCAGCCATAGAGATCCTGAGCCATCTGCTGACCCCGGGGCTGAGCCACTTTCATGAGATCAAAGAGCGGCAGCTGAGTCTCAATGAGATTAGTCTGACCAGCAGGCCAGAGATTCATCTCGGTATTAATGTTAATTGTGAACTTTCCTCCCCAAGGTGCACTTGTCTGGTTATTCCAGACACCTTGCAAATTAGGAGGCATATCAATAGCAGCAGAAGTATTGCGAGAAGAGGCAACAAGCAAATGACGCCCATAGTTCCACGCAAGAACCGCAAGCTGCGGGTCATTGAAGCTGCTGCGAGCATTCTTGACACGCTGGTCTGTAGAAAGGCTGGCGAGGCCGTTGGGAGATGTGCCGAGGTTGATGTTGGCGCGGCCCAGGAGAGCGCTGGCGTCGGCGATGGCTCCGTCGTGGATTTTCTGGAAGCCCTGCGATACTGCTGCGCTGAGTTTGCTGTTGACTTGAGCGGCGAGATCGCTGGCTGAGGGGTAGCGATAGCTTGTCTCGACGTCGATAAAGACGTCGATGGTGGTTGCGCCGCTGATGGTGAGGGTGCCTCCAGATGTACTGAAAGTAGCTATTGATGTTGCGAATCAGCATTGAAATGATTGAGTTCACTGTCTTAGGATGAAAGATTACCTCCGCTGGCTACAAACTGAGCTGTGCCAGTAAACAGAATGGGGTTGTCTGAAGCAGCTTGCCCACTGGACCCTTGCAAGGTCAAAGTATTGGCACCCCCAGATGTTGATGCCACATTGCTCAGAATGTTTGAGATTCTCGAGAATGTAGCACTGACGCTCAAAGCACCGGCTTTGCTGGCTGTGAACCTAGCTGCGATGACACCAGCTGGGGTACTCGCAACGTATTCACGACTGAATGAGCAAGATGTTAGCATACAACACTTGGCTTTTCTTCTTTTGAAGTACATACGTGTACGTGACTCCGTTGTATGTATAAGACACGCTGGAGTTGCCCTGTCGCGTGTCAAGCGAGCGGATGTAATTCGATATCCCACCCGATGAATGCCCAAAGTTGAGATTCAGATTGCCAAAATAGCTAAATTGTCTCTCGCCCGAAATAGGAGGAGTCATCTGACTCAAAACGAGATTGCCCGCCGCAGTCAGGCTGTTAGCTTCCAGCATCTGGCGGACCTTTGGCAGAGCAGCAAGCCCATTTGCAGGGATGCGATTCTGCAGCGGGCCATCCCACAGGGTATCTTCGTTGATGGTGACGACTTCATTGGCGCCTCCGAAGATGGCCGCGCCGAGGCGACTGTTTCCAATGGGAAGAACGCCAGTCTCCCAGTCTGTGGCGGGAGAGGTATACCACAGATACCGGCTTCCGTCTAGAGCTGCGGAAGCATTTGTGGCGAGGAGCCCTACGAGGAGGGCTTGGAGGTTGAACTTGGCCATTGTTACGGTTGGCGCCAGAGGCCTGCCTCTATTCCCAAGAATCATTAAAAGATAGGGAAGTGGGTGGCCTATTTATACCGTTCTATATCGCGAATGATGGCTGGCTGTTTTATCCGCACTTTCCATTAGAAGTCATGATCGTCAATCCCTTGGGCTCTCCCGGCGGGAAATTGTCAGTAACAGGGTTGCCATGTCAAACTGCCCAATTCGTACTGCAGAGCTGCGTGTCACAGATAGTCTATAAAGCGTGAATGACGTTCAATATCGAATGACAGAGAACCTAGCTAGAGTTAAAAGGGCCTTTTTCTTCAACAGCAGCCCTTTTCTATGGGGTGCATAATGTAACACTGCACACATTCTATAGTTCTAATGGAACCTACCATGACTATTTCGGAGCTTGAAGCAAAACCGACGGTAAAATCACTATCCATGACAAAGGCGAGAAACTCAACTCATATTCACTATAAAGTCTACCGACGGATAATTTTTAGTCACCGTCTTTGGGCAGCCATCTTGTTGAGATCAAGAGTTGAGTTCGGCGAGATACAATAATTGCCGTCCTTCCCCGGATTTCCCCCGCAACACGACATGGCGACTAAACCATTACGAGGAAGCCAGAGAAGGTAAAAGTTTTGGTCACTGATGCAGAAAGGCCTTTATCCGTCACATTAGGCACATACCGAAAATGTGGGTAGAAGCGCTGCTGGTGCCTTGTTTTTGCCGCTATAATGCCAAGGGTCGGCAGTTTACTCGTCCTATCCGTCGGCACACCAGATCGTGGGCCGAGACGTAATTGCGATTCGATGAGGCCTCTCATGAGAATAGGCTTTGCTTTGTTTTGCTAGAGCATAGTGTAATGGTGGAAGTTTTGAGTTGTACATAGCGGCGAATGGAGGGGTTCAGAGGCACTAATAACTGGGCAACTGCAGACGCTTAGGATGACAACTCCAGACTAGTCACTTTAATAAAGGTGTTTCCTGTAACGAAAAGGATTACTACAACTATAACCGAAGCTTTAGTACATCCCACACAGTTTTTCTCAGAAATCATGCCGAGGTGCCCTTCAATTCCAGATTTACAAGGTAACAATGCGATTAATGCGTATCACCCAAGTTTCCTACCTAGGTATGTATTGTGTAGATCATCATATGATATTGGTCGGCAGCATGGTGGAGCAATCCTAATGCATACATATATACTTTATACTTTTAGAGATTCATAGACTTCAGCAATTGTTTCTCTTTCTGCTCTGGTCAGTCATTCCCACTCTCAATAACTTCTTATTACTTTTGCATCGTGATTCATAGTATTTGCAATACTTACTGACCCGTAGACTGGGCTAGCTGGTGGATCCCAAAGTGTTACTGTACATAACCCAAGAGCTTACACAATTACCTACCTCCCAGTAAGTTCCGCTAAAGTCAACGACATGTCCATTGTAGCTCCTCCGTGAAATTCAAAATGTTTTAGTTATCAGTTGATAGTATTTGTAGACATATAACTGACTAGCATAATTGATAGTTACAGATGTAAAATGTCGCGACAGCACGCAGCCTCGTGAATACAGTCTTTTCAACCCCGCAATCCACAAATGCAGGCATCTTCAATTGGACGCAGAGTAAATACTACATGCTTGGCTCTGACAGTCAGCCCTCTCGTCGCACAGGTGCGGGGTTTACAACTGGTAAGCGTGGTTTTCCGCCGACCTCGTAAACGCAGCTGTACTCGATCACCAACTCACTGGCCAACAACAACTATAAAGGACAAAAGGCACTGCAGAAAATTGTCTTGGTCAAATTATTTGCAACCGTTGGGGAATATGCCAACCTTAATGATAACTATAAGGCTGAGTATAAAATGGAAGTGCTTGGAGATTCCATGTCATGGATTTCCATTATTCTTATGTTGATAGCAACGATCTCTATCCCATTACTTATACAACACTTCCGAAACGGTGACATTGCTAAGACGAATGTCCAAACAACTAAGCCACGAGTATCCCCTCTAGATGCTACCCCTAGATCAGTGGTGTATAGACTACGAGGTATACCGTCTAGGCTTGAACAGCATGATGTGAAAAAGCTTGTTAAGGAAGCTTTACCGCTGGAGGACGATATCACAGTCCACATTGATTCTCTCGCAGACGACCCATCTCGGCACGGAGAGAAAATCGCAACTTTGGAATTCTCGAGGATTCCAAGAAGCTTGTCTAAACAGCCAAATCAGACTGAGTGGAGATTTTCAACCAATGAGAACCAATGGAACGACCGTGGAAAGATTACTCTCTTCTTTGATACGCATTTCAGGGGGCTAACTCCGTTACACTCAAGAAGCGACGCCGAGTGTACCATTGAGTCAGTGTGAACACTATTTCTTCGGAAGACCACAAGTTGACGAACCAATTCAGTCTAATTGCAGTATCTGGGCTTGGAAGTCACGCCTTTGAATCGTTCAAGGAAAACAATGGGTCACACATGTGGCTGCGTGACTCACTTTCTCACGACATTCCCAACATGAGAATTCTGATATACGGCTACGATACTCAAATCGATGGTAGTACATCTTTCGCCAATCTAGATGATCTAGCCAATGAGTTCCAGGAGAAGATCAAGAGTATGAGAAGCTATCCACGGCTTAAAAGATCCGAAATATCGACTACAAACCCTGAAAGGCCACTCATACTTATTGGACACAGCCTAGGCGGCATCATCATCAAAGCAGTGAGTTCGACCCTCTTATATAAGAACCTGTGAACTGACGTCATGATATGCACTGATTCGAATGAACGATGGTGATGATTCGGACAAGGCAAACTTCAAATCGATATATGGAATGCTCTTTTTCGGCGTGCCTAACCAGGGAATGCCAATCAGTCAATGGACCCCCAGAGTCGAAGGACGCCCCAATCGATTCTTTATCGAACAGCTGTGTGCTTCATCTGATATTCTGCGAGTTTATAGAAATGGTTTTCGCAAAGTTTTCATTTTTCGCGATTCAAAAATTTATTCTTTCTACGAAACGAAGGAATCACCAACTGCTCAAAGAGGAGTAGGTTACATATCCCTCGTTAGGAAAGCTACCACTAAGAGCATTTACAGAGTAATGGCCAGTGGAAATCAGCGGAGCCATGTATCAAACTAGTAGACACTGCGTCTGCTACCCACGGACGATCCTGGGAAGAAGAGGGAGGCTACATAAAGCCGATCCACCGGACTCACTTAGACCTCATCAAATTCTCTCAGATTGACGATGACTATACGACAGTTACCAACTGCCTTCTTAAATTTGCAGACACTGCTTGTGATGCCATCATGAAACGATTCTCATGTACGTCCTAAGGCTCTTATTTATTGCTTATACTCTTAGATAAAGAAGTGTACATGTCTATTGCACTCTCTCGGAGGGATGAGGTCTGTTGGATTGTTCAAGCCATGATCATTTCGAGCTATTTTGAACTGTTATGGTCCACGGTCCACTAGTTTTGAGGCCGGAAAATGGAAAATTGAGGCTAACATCTTAAAGCGGTACACAATACTCTCCAACTGTTCATAGAATCTGTTTCTGTAGAACAGATCTTACAGATACTGCAGTCAATTATTCAAGAGCAGCATGGTATCGCATTACCATCCAATGTACCGCTCCTGGACTATGATCGGCCGGAATTCAGCTGGATATTCAAAAGTCTGAACTTTCAGCATTGGGAATCTGCCTCCGACTCCCAGATTTTATCGTTATATGGACCGCCCGAATGCAACATACGTCATATCGCATCATATATTGTGAACAGAAGTTCTCCAAAGACGCAACGAACTATTCTATACTATTTCTGTTCCTCTCGAATGCGTAAAACCCCGATTGTCTCTCATTTCGTTCTCACTTTCCTCTATCAATTTATTCGCCATTCACCAAAAGACAAGCAAAAAGCAATTTTCAAAAGATTCCTTCGAGAACTTGTTCAGGTTATACATGGAGGAGAAAAAGACTACATTACAGAATCAGAGCGCTTCAAAGCCTCTACAGACATGTGGTTAAATAAAGTCATCGGTGCTCCAGCTGGCATACTTTGGGCTGCATTGATGACGGTCCTAACTAATGAGCCTGACAGACAGTTGTTGGTCATTGTTGATGGATTAGAAAACATCGAGGATGATACAGGCGAATTCATCAAGGGAATTCGTACATTTGTGGATCGTTTACGGCAGCGAAACTTAAACATGAAAGCTTTGCTGGCAAGTCAACCTCGGGATCACATCAAAGAAATTTTTGGTGGGTTACCATATATTGAACATGATGAGATGAGAGGTGCTACTTTTCCCTCACGCCACGTTATAAACTTAACTAACACTATTATTTATAGAGTCTCAAGCTACTCTTTGCTTCAATAACCCAAGTCACAGTAAAATTTCGAAAGAACATGAAAGTTCCGTGGAATGGGAGTAGGCGTATGACCAATGCAAAGAGTGGTTAAAGCCGAGCGCTTCTCGCGAGTTTTATATCTCCAAGGAAACTCTAGTGGCAGGAAAAGAGCTCTAGAGACTATCTTACGAAATAGAACTTTGGAGGCAAAATCTGCGATTGTGGTTCCTTCTTTTTTTTTTTTTTTTAACTGTGCAGAGACAGTCCACTACAACACTCTTCGATATATTCTCTGGGAGGACCTAGTCCAGCACGAGGCATCTTTTTATCGCTATTTCCAATCCGAGTATCGGCACCGGTACAAGAATAAACAAGCCCTGATGTTGCTAGGTTCGCTGCACTAGGTACAGATAATTGAGATTAAGGCATTGAACTCATCTTAATAATGATCATTCTCAAAAGAGAATTTTCTGAAAATTTTCCTGTACTACTTTTCTCAATCATTCCCAACCTAAGTATCAGTAGCGCCCAGCTACTCGTGATTATTGTTTCATATGGTCTATACCAGAGATTGTAAGACATCCAGTGGGGCTCGGAGTGTTCCGTGATCCACCTGGAGAAAGACATCTAAGAGCTCGATCGATTTGATCGTCCGCAAGATCCGATGAACTTTATGAACAAGGTACTATTACAGTACAGCTCACATTTACTACGGGGAATGATTTGATAAAATCGTGAGACATCGTGAGCGCGTGAAAACCTACGTTTAAGTGGATTTGAGTTCACTTCTAAGCTTACACAAACAAAAGGTAATCGAATTATGTAACAACGCTTTACACGAGAATGAATGGTATTGAGGGGTTTCTAGGCTACTCTGGTTCCTTTGACCCCATCGGTCTTTTACTTCATCTATGAATCGCCGACGGTGGAATGGGATCAGCCTCAACCTAGATGGATCCTCAGGTGAATCCCTCTAGCTTGGCTGTGTAACAAGAAAGGGGCAAAGAGATCGTCCGAGTCCGCGATTCCAGCCTTTCATTGTCTAAAAATGGTTCGGCCATGGAATTGTGGCAAGACGCGTGCTAACTTCGGACAATTGTTGTTTTTTAAGTGCTTTGATGGCTTCGATGGCTTCGCTCGTCGGCCCTTTTGACTGAAAAGTTAGCATTCCTGGAGAATCTCTCCCGTGAGACATCGCCACCTCTCCGCGAAAATGCTTCAAACTCAATGCCGTAGCTCCGGAGCCCCCTCAGGTTCTTGGAGCACAATGCGACTCCGCCTCCACAAACGGCAAGCAGATGGCGCCCACTAGAATCGGCCAATCATCTCCACACTCCGTCTCACCGACGAAAACAAGGGACTCCTCCAGGATCCGGCACGAATGGGGCCTAGACCTCCGGCCGATCGACCGACAAAGGCCAGCTCAGGCCATGTCATCCCCGCCTGTTGTCGTTCATCAATGCCTGTCTTACACCGCACTTTGGCAACTGAATCACACGACCGGCTTGGCATTGTAGGGCTGAGGAATTGTCGAGCTTCTATGACAGCGAGAAACTAAAAACCAACCGGCTTCGATCGTCTCATTGGTGCTAGCGACAACCGGCTAATGTTGCTTTTTTTAGGCTCCCATGGGGTTTTCTAAGAGGAGCTGCGCTATGGCGTTCAGCCGCACGCTCCTTGCTTGAACTAAACGAATCTTAGGACGCGAGACAGCTGGCATTTTCAATGGAGACATGGTGCTAGGGAGATGATGGCGCTGGTTAGGCCGCTGGCTGTGCGATGGATGCGCGGGAATTGCCACTTTCTAGAGCGGCGCCGTCACGGTCTAAGGCGTTGAATTGAGTGTTGGTGTTTTTCACATCGGGTGTCGCTGACGGGTAGCAAAGTAGGCTTTCTTACTGTTCCGCCGATCACTCGTATTGTAGCTTGGCAAACCTCGGAATGCTCATCCTTCAAGTGCTGATAGGTCGCTGCAGCAGGTTCAATCTCACTGTTCGCAAATAACAAGGCATTCGCCCGAGGTGCGACTTAGCTTTGACAGCTGGCACCGTATAATTGAGACGCTGAAGCTATTTCATGTATGTGATATGTAGCTAGCAATGGGCCTTGACTGTAAGTGGTTGAAAAGTAAGCGTCACTTCGTATTCGAGCATGAGGCTTCTCGTATAGCGTGGAGGATACGAAGGCATTCAGCAGCCACCTACGTCTCCCTTGCCTGAGACATACATGGCATGATCCTTCAAGGCGTTGGGACCTAAGACTCGACCGATGGTTTATTCCATCTCGAGATTCAATGGAGGATCTAGACTGAAATTTTGAGTATATAAAGGCCTGGATATCTGCCTCTAGATGCCCTCACTTCTATCTCATCATCAGCACAACAAGCATCCACATCTCTTCTACATCTTCAACTAAAAATCTACAAGACAAGTTTTCTTTTAAAAGTCTTTCATCATGAAGTTCACCACTCTCGCTATTGTTGCCATCGCTTCCGTGGCCACTGCCAGCCCCGGCTACAAGCCTCCTCCTCCTCCTCACGGCTGCAAGCCCGCCACCTACGCCTGCCTTCCCAATGATCAGGGATGGCAAGTGTGCAGCACTGCTGGTCAATGGGTCGTAAGTTTACCTTTTGAATAACTTTCAATTGATATCTTGACTAAATCCTCCAATAGTTTGCTGGAAACTGCCCTCCCAAGACCGTCTGCAAGTTCGATAACCAGAATGGCAGCCCCTACTGCGTTCCCCCCAACTTTACTATCCCATAAATCATTCGATTTATGACAAATGGGAATTTTGAGAAGACCAGTCGGATGAAAGACGGATATCAGAGTTTTTGATACAAAGAGTTTGTGCGGCTTGCATTGCTTGACAGCTCAATCTGAACATAAAGTTTATGACACAAATTATGGACACTCCTTAGGCCATTGGATATATACAAATAAAGTTAAATTATGAATTTCTTTTGCGACTTGGATTAACCAGTTATATACTTTTCATTGCCCAAGTGAATTATCGCTCCCCACCGTCATCACATCTAACAATCACATCTGTCCACTTCATACTTGCATGGAAACTTTAATCATGTTGTGATTTACAGTGGTTTGTAAGAATTCTGAATTAGAGTTAGTCAGTATAGTATTACGCATTACGGAGAATTAACTTGTACTAGCCAAGAGAAGAATGGAGATAAGCATGCAGACTAGATTCATCATACGATGATAAGAGAAATCCATCTTGGCCTATAATATTCAAGATTCTTTGGCTGCTAATCGTTTATTACCAATCACAGATTAAAACACTAGATCTCTGGGAAATTATCTAAATACACATTATGCGGTTTTCAACATCCTGCTTTAAAACGCAGGCAATTGCTAGTAGTACTGCCGGCATGCACCAACTCTTCAGTTAATTTTGTACTCGTTTGAAAGCTTATATAAGCCAAACCTACGTCCATGTAGTTTTACTCTAGCTGCTGCGATTGATAAACCTGAATCAGATGCGCGTTTCATCGGCATGCACGCCCTTACATTGTTTCGTATACAGTATCGATGAATACAGAAGATCATAGCCAATTCTCTATCCATTATAATTAAGATTTAAATACGTCATAACACTTTTTATTTCGTGAGCAAATTCGGTCAAAGACAAGTCTACCTGCACTAGTATTCTCCTCTCTCCAGGCGGCCCTATTATTGCTTTTTCTTCAATATCGGCTACTGCAGCTAGTTGTATTCTTTCGTTTTGTAGTCCATCATTATTATCTCGCTTCCTTTGTTCTGGAAGCCTTGTAAGCCTATGACTTCTGGTCTATGTAGTCTCACACGTGCATATGTTGGCACAATCTCACAATCTCCACTAGTGGTTTCTGATACTGCCTCCACTTTGTTTCGTATCAAATGACTAGCTGCGTCGCTCTTGTATCATTATATGCTTGAATCAATGAATGAAAAAAGATTTGCTCAAGCCGTAGTATTCAAAGCTTCAAGTCTTGGCTGCATGAATCGTTATTGGTTCTGTATAAGTGCAGCCGGCACGCTCGCAGTGACCTTTATGTGGAAACTAGCCAACGCCTCAGTTATCTGGCTGCATACTGTGGCGTATGACTGGTTTTCGGCTATCGAACGGCCAAGAATAGATCTGAGATCCAACAAACGTCATTTTATAGATAGTACGTAGAAAGTATTGCGCAATGGTTCATCCGTAGTTACAAAACCTGGCTTGCTCCCTCGCCTTGGCGCATGTCTCATACGAGATACTGGCGAACGTGTCTAGCACGTGTTAATTGAAGCCTCTTGAAGCCAACGCCACTTGCACCTACGACAGCCAGTCCTCCACGTTTAATTCAATACCACCCAATTACGTTGACAAGGCTACAAAGCGGAGCCAGCCTCTTCAATGACGCGGATCGGCGCCGTACTGGAGACGTCTAGTGAGCCACAGTAGCTGAGACAAGGATCACGGGCGCGGATATGCATGCACCGTGTTCTTGCCAAGACAACGGATCATTCCGAGGCCAATAACGGGTAGCTTCCTATTCCAGCCGTGGCGATGCTTCAACAACAGCCAGTTTCAGGCACTGCCACGATGCAGCTTCTCTCATAACATCAGAATCCCTCTTCCAGAGTCTTCTTCAACTGCTCTGAAGCCTCTGCCCAGTGCCAGGCTGTTAGATCCACACGGGGCCTTGCTCGATCGGAAACTCGGCGAGCCTAGCGACGTTCTGGGACACTCAAACGGCAATCCGGCAACTTCCAACCACTAAAGCCTGCTAAATCCATTCAACTTCAGACTCCAGGTTGACGGGATGCTGACGGGTTGAGAGCAGCATCAAGTTTTAGGGCGCCACGGCCGCTCGATGACGTTTCGATAACCCCACACAAGCATTGGAATGAAACAAGAGCATCAACTATCTCGAACAAAACCGTTGTACAGAGCGTCAACTCTTGTCTTTTCCATCTAATCGTCTGCATGTGTATAGCTACTCTTACAGATTAATCGCTCTCTCAGCCTCTCTTGTGCGATAACCCCGCACCGCAATAATGGTGTCTGAAAACGTGCTGAGGCTGTGCAAAGCTCCCGATACAGTCAGTTCGCTTCTCGCAGCAAATCCGACAGAACCGCCTGGAAAGTTCGTGGAGCAATTGTACGGGAATCTTGATAGAGATCTCCGCCGCAACCCAGACGATGATAGACCACTGCCAGATCCTGCGACACTGAACTTGGCCCTGCAATGTGGCCAATGGGGTCCTACAACACCGAGCCCTTTATTCCTCCAGGCATTTGCAGACTCTCTCCGATGCCTAGATGCGGATCCTCTGTCCAACGTGGTGTCTCCTCCGTTGATAGGCTCCCATGGGACGGTGCCATTGACTGCTATTGCGCCTCTGGTGGACATCATTCGCCATGTTTCCAATGTCATTGTGCGGGCTGAAACAGAGGTCATTTTTATAACGTGCAACTGGGCGCCTTCGGTTGCCCAGAGACTCATCAGAAACTCACTCATTGAGCTGTCCAGACGAGCCGGAGAGAGGAATCAACGGGTAGTTGTGAAGTTGATGTACGACAAAGCAACGCCGGCCAGTGCGCTTGATCCGCATCAGCGCGTGAAACCGTCCACTTATACTTCAAAGAATGTTCAACTACCTGCTCCTGAAGAGGTGCCAAACTTGGATATGGAGGTTGTAAGCCTGCACAAAATGGTGTTGGGCACCCTACATGCCAAGTTTTGCGTGGTCGATCGCAAACTTGCGGTAGTTATGAGCAACAACATGGAGGACAACGCCAACGTGGAGATGATGACGCATCTGGAGGGACCAATTGTCGACAGCATATACGACTCGGCATTGATCACCTGGAAGCATCAGTTGGATCCTCCTCTCCCTTCACATAATTCTCCAGCGGCCGCAGGTGGACTACCAACGTCCAGTCCAGAGCCTCTTTACCTGAATCGAGGAGCTGGTATAGATCAACAGCGCATCGCAGCAGCTGGCCAGGCGCAACCGGCTCTCCCAGAACATACACCGGAAGATCCTCACTATGATGCTGACTTGATCGGAGAAATCGCGCGAATGCAGTCATGCTATTCCACCAAAGAGGGCGAAACCCGACTTCAGGCTGCAAATCGCCAGCTTAATCTTGCCATCAAGAGCCCAATTCCACCCACAGGCCCTGAAATTCCTGACGGACACGAAATGACACCATATATAGCAACTTCCACGGAATACCCGGTCCCTATAGCCCTGGTGTCACGCCCCCCTTATGGAAACGTCGACTCTAAAAACGTCTTTGTGCCGCAAAATGAGGCCTGGCTCTCTCTTATACGCAATGCTCAAAAGAGCATTTTTATCCAAACACCAGATTTGAATGCTGCGCCGCTCATTCCAGCATTAGCTGCAGCGTTGAAACGCGGCGTTGAAGTCACGTATTATGTATGCTTTGGATACAACGATGCTGGGGAGATTATTCCTAGCCAAGGAGGAACAAATGAACAAGCTGCGCGAAGCCTCCTTTCTCTCCTTCCGAAAGATGGGCCCGAGCGCAAGTTATTACATATATTCGACTATGTTGGCAAAGATCAAGACCACCCAATTCATCAAAGCTTCCGAACTAGGACCTGTCACGTAAAGCTGCTTATTGCGGATGACAGCGTTGGAGTACAAGGAAGCGGTAACCAGGATACCCAATCTTGGTTCCATAGCCAAGAAATCAACGTCATGGTCGACAGTCCTGAAATATGTTTGAAGTGGAGAGATGGGATCGAAAGGAACCAAAACACAAGTATCTTTGGGCGAGTGTCCGGGGATGGAGTGTGGAGAGATCAAAGTGGAAATCCAGGTGAAGGATACATGGGAGATCCTAATGCGGTAGAGGGGTTGTTCAAAGGCGTATGGGGTATGTATCAGAAGATGCGGCGTGGTGGTTAAATTCGCAGGCTCTAAATACCAGTATATGATGTTTATAATTTTCGTAATTACAGTGTTATATAGTATTACTTTCTTAGCTTCTACGCATCTCACCTCTCATTGATCCCTAGAGTTTCGAACAGCCTCTACCGGTTCCTGCTTATACAGATCTACTCAATTTAAAGTTTTCAGAAAATTATTATTTTCAAACAAAAATGCTCTACAACAACATGGGTTAGGTGCTGCGATGAATGTGATTTTCTTGGAAATTGGTCAATATCATTTCCAAAGCTTATGACTTTGGTATAACTGCTCTTAGACAATCTTTCGCCGGCTTAGATGTTTTTGTGATTGAAATAAGTTAGCAGTTGTGGTCAAAAACCGCATCATTTCATGAACTAGGTCTGATCCTGCAGCAGATGATGTTAAAATTCACTGAGTGAATGGTTCGCTTTATGTTAGGACCACGGGGTCTAATTATGAACCTCCAAATGTACAGAGGTACAACGTCTTCACCTAACAAAAGAAGAGACTTCTGGTAGTTGTGATACTCTAAATTAGGGGCAATTCTCAGTGAATCCAAATAAATACTCTTATGGTAATTTAGATTGTGCTAGCAGCTCGACAACGGCCTGGTGCCCATTTGCAGCAGCCAGTGATAATGGAGTTTTACCACTGTTATCCCTTGCTTCTAGATCACTGCCCCTGTTCAACAGTAGCTGAACAATATCCCAATGTCCACGTATAGCAGCTAGTGATAATGGAGTTTGACCATTGTTATCCCTTGCTTCTATGTCACTGCCCCTATTCAACAATAGCTGAACAATATCCCAATGTTCATGTATAGCAGCTAGTGATAATGGAGTTTGACCACTGTTATCCCTTGCTTCTCGATCACTGCCCTTGCCTAACAGCATCAGAACAATACCCCAGTGCCCATTTGCAGCAGCCAGTGATAATGGAGTTTGACCATTGTTGTCCCTTGCTTCTAGATCACTGCCCCTGTTCAACAGCATCAGAACAATATCCTGATGCCCATGTATAGCAGCTAGTGATAATGGAGTTTGACCGCTGGTATCCCCTGCGTTGGGGTCACAGCCATGGATAATCATTAAATCCGTTGTATATTCGTATCCAGCTTCAACTTCATGGAACAACAAGTTTGGTAGAAGGGCCATCAAGATATTAGTCAGGTTGTTAGATTCAGTGCCTTCGGCTTGGGCTAGAACTGCATGTACACATGATCTCGTAATCATCTCGTCGACATCGATGTGCGACATTTTCGGAAAATTCGTCTTAGCCCACTGAGAAAGTAAGAGGCAAGCATAGGAATTCCGCCGATCTGAAAGACCCACGATGAAGCTTTCAAATTGAAGGTACACGTCTTTACCATTATCTTCCAAATGAACTAGATGCTTTGTAAAACTTGTCAATGCGTACACAAGAAGATGATGGCTTGAAAGATGCTCTGCCAACATTTTAGATTGTGAAAAGTCGTCGTCAATCTCAGTTTGAGGGACTGCTCCTGTGAAAACGATACGGATAAGTTGGCAACAAGTGCTTGCCATCTCCATATCCCCTAGAGATGGGATGAGATGGTACGGCTTAGCAGCTTCCTGTAGTAGAAACTCTCGAGCAGTTTGATGAATCAGCTGAACGATTCTGGTCGAATTTGAGTCTCGCACCTGCAAACATATTGTTTAGCTTAATAGCCAAAGGGCTAAGAAGAACAGCACTAACCTCGACAAGACCTCCGCAAGCCGACACTATTCCAAGATCTAGCTCATGAGGTCTGTTGTAGGCGAAATCATATTTGGATAAATCTGTTTCCTGTGAAAGAGGGGTTGCCAGCACCTCCTCAAGTTCGGCAATCGAAATAGGTCGCTTCGGAAAGGTTACCCAATAGAATATTCTTCGTGCTCGCTCTTCTTGATGCATGTCGTCTTCGCCGTTTGCGCTCAACGAGAATAACATTTGCTTATAGAAGCCATGCTGCCCGCCGAGTTCCTTGGGGAGGCGATGAACTCTCTCATCAAGGTCGCCTTCGCTATAACCGCCTTTTGCGAGGCATTTCTCCATGTCCCTTAAGACTAGGGTCACCCACAAGAAAACTCCTGAAGATTCCTTAATGACGTAGTCCCTAATATCTTTGAAAATACTTCTCTTGCAGCCGCGCCTGGACTCCATCTGTTCAATCCAGTTATCCACCACTAGCGATATGTCCTTTTCGTTTACGTCCTGAAGTCTAATGTGATGCGAGCATGCCTTTTTTAATCGATGACTAATATCGTTCTCAGGTCTGCTAGCAATTAAAATCTTCACGATGCAATTGCTATTAGAATCCACGAGATCAGGCAGAAAGTGGAGAATATCGTCTCGCCTATCGTTATCTGACTCATCCATTCCATCAACCACTATCACAACTGTGAGGGGAAAGTCAATCTTTTGTAGAGATCGCAGTACCAATTTGAGGTTCTCATAACTCCAGAATGGTTCGTTACTGTTTTCCCGCAATTCTCGGTAACGCTCTTTAAGTGGTTCATAAAGCCGACTGTTGCTATTCCAAATCTGATAGACAATCGATCGAAGCATAAGTTCGTGGCTAGTCTCTGTATTGCCGCCACGGAAGCTATAGTAGAATCTCGCAATAATAGTATTCTTGTCTTCGGGGTTGTTGAAGGTCCAAATATGATTTCCAGTCTGTGGACTTTTTGTCTGGACATTGATAGCGTCGTTTACGCTGTTAGAGTTGGTTTCTCTGTTCTCTAATTCGTGCACAATAAGCTTGGCTAGGGTCGATTTCCCGCTTCCAGGTTTTCCTTCTAGCCACAGCGCTGATGAGGTAGAGCCCTCACTCCACAGTTGGTATTTCTCGTGGGAAGCCATCCACTCCCCGCCGACCGCAACGTCTTCAACACGAGTTTCTCTCGCATTCCATTCTTCGAAAGCCAGTGTTTTTAGGATTTCTAGAGATATAGTCAGATGGTTCACTAAAACCTTTTTTCCAAACTCGTACCTCTTCGTTCTTTGTCTCTATCTATAACCGAATAATGGGCAAGCTCCTCCATTATATCGCCTCTGGTTTCTGAAGAGATTAGTACCCGCATAGGTACACTTTTGCCGTCGACTTCTTGCCCTATCTGGTGGAAGTTTCTCAAAAAAGATGATCGCTCGTGTTTATCAAGTTTGTCAATACCGTCAATGAGAAGGATAGTCTCAAGTTCAGTCGTCTCAATAAGAGACTTCAATAAATTCCATAGATCGCTCAAATGAACGCCATGCTCTGATTTAAGAATCCGAACAATCTGTCGCTCAACAGTCGTACGAATATTGTTTTTCTGAAGGAGTTGGCATGCAAGAGAGGACACCATCTCTAGTTCGGAGTTCTTAGAAGAGCAAAAAATGGATGCAATGTCTCGCTGCCGCCCAAATGGATGTTCCAGATCCAGACATTTGAGGACATAGGACATGGCGACCGTTTTCCCGTCCCCACGCTGACCATGGATCAAAAGTTTGGAAGAGTCTGCTCGCTTCCAAGCTCCATATTCCGAGCTATTCACGAACCATTCCAAAGACCCTTCAATATCAGATAGTGCAATCTGTGGCAAAAACTTGGAATAATCCAATGTTGGGCACCTCTCTCCGATTTTTTCTCGTAGCTGATTCACGTGCTGCGATTTTATCGAATCATCTATATCGCTTTCGTTAATTGGAAGGTTCGTATATTTATCTACGAATTTAAAGTGACTCCGTACCATCTTTGATTTCATCACCAATCCAACGCTTCAGCCTGTTCAGAAGTCTTTGATACCCTAGGTCGGACGCTGTGCTAAACTTTGTCATGTTCATGTGATTCGCCGGGATTGTGTCATAGTTGTAGCCGGGTATTTTCGCCGAATCAGGTTCCACGACGCGCTATCATATGTCAGCATATTGTTCATTGTATCTGTATAAACTTGCCTTACGCGTTTCAGAAAATCCACCGGTTGTTCCTCGATGAAGGCGTGAAGCTCGATGGGCCTGAGACTGTTCTGGCGATCTTGAAGTCGCCTCATAACCATGGTAAGAAATCCGTCTTTAATGTTTGCCAGAATCTCTGAATTTCTTCTAAGAACACCCAGAAGCTTTTTGTTTGGATTTTTAGCGATGCGGACAATGTTTATCACTGCCGTTGCGAACTTTTCCAGATCAGATCCTGCATGTGGCGTCCCGAGGAAAGCAACCCCACGTGTAGACGAAAGAAGATCACTTTGGGCTTCATCATTCGGATTAGTGCAGATTTGGAGAGCTTCCTGGATTACCAGCCCTCCAAGGCTATGCACCACAAAAATGATGGGCCGTCCAACAGTGTCCGTTCGAAGAGCGCTAAGATCATTGATGAGAGTCTTTGCGTGTTCTCGGATTGTGTTTTGGCCAGCAACACGGGTTAGATGGAGCACATCGGCATCATAGCCGTAAGTTATAATTCTAGCGGTCGGGAGGTCCTTTGGAAGAAGTGTTTTTAACCATGGCTCAGTTTCGCCTTCAGCAGTCCATGTTTTCTCTCTATGGCCGGTAAGACCATGGAGGAATACCACGCTTAATAACATGTCAGATTGCATCAACAGTTCAGTCTGCAACATCAGATACTTACTCGACTTTTGCGTGCTGCACAGATGTCACAACATAAGGCCCCAGTATCTCAGCCTTAGACCACGGAGTCACAGGGTCTTTGCTGGGGGAGCCGCCCATCTTAAGGGATTAAAAGTCTTTAAATTTTCTTCAAAATCTGCTATTTCGCAGGAAACAAGAGATTTGGGTATGCCATCCTGAACAGAAAAGGCCTCACATACGAGTTGGGTTCTCCGCTCGACATAAGGATATGCAGCGACACGTTGCAGATTTTCATTGGCCGTAATTGCAAAGACGCGCAGGCGTTGCCATCGACGGTATTGGTCCAGCCTCGCCCTATTGCAGCTGGTACTGATACTAAGGTATCAACCAAATACAGTAATACTTCAATGCTGAGAATATATACTGATTATGTAATTGGTTACACTCTATAGCTCACTGATACAAATGGTTATTAACGGCCAAGGGGTATTTCAAGCTATGCATTGGGTAGACTACGATGGTCAGATGCTATATCTTTTTTATGTATATCCATTACAAGAGTTTGATGAAAATTGTCGGCTGAGTTGGGTAAATTCCTTCCCCGCCCTTGGGTGTATCAGGTAGCCTGCTCCGTTTCTGCACATTCTCCAGTACACGCTCCGTAAGACTTTAGATGCTTATACCTCTCCTGTTCTTCTTCTTCATAAGAGCTATTCCATCCATTGGCGCATTTTCCATAAGCCTTATCTCTATTTTCACCATTAGCCTTGTGGAGTGACTTGGTGGCAAGGGCGAGCAAGGGCAAAGTTGTGCTCTGCAGTCTGCACTATGCGGTTTACCAGCCAAAGCCCACAACGGCGGCAGTTTTTGAGATTGAGAAACATCTATCTCGAGATTTCCCACATCCAGAGGTATATTTGTTTCGCATTTGTTGTCTATATTGCGCATAGAGACACATGAACTCCCACTTCTTCACTCCAATCCCGACATGACGCTACCATATGTCATTCTAGTTGTAGAATGTAGAGAAATCCACTATACGAACAACTCTAGATTGTTGAGCAAAGAATCGGATGCGTGATAATACAATGTACTATAGTAACTAAACTATCGCTTCTCAAATGGTAATACTTACAGCAAAGATGCAGTTGACCAATATGGATTTTTGTTTACAAGTAATGTGTAAATGAAGTAGAACCTATAGGCATCCATGCAACCTATACAATCTTCATGTTTACATTCGCATTTCTCAACATCAATAGCCTAGTTTAGCTCATTCGAAACAGCGATTTTAAGTAAGCAGTCCCTAAAGATCAAGCTTCATATGAAAAGGCAGCTTACTAAAGCTATAAACACTGCTGCTTGGATAGAAACAATACATGTGTTGCATCGAATGTGCACTCCCATCAAACTTTAGTCCAGGCGCTTAGAAATGAGATTATGCAACCACATCTTATTAATCACATCTAGCCAAGCATAGGGCGTAGAGGATGACGGCCTCGCTTCTCCAGCCCCCGCTCCTCGGAGTTCGTCTCGTCTCCCGCATCGACCCCACAGACGCTCCGGTGCCAGCTACTATTGACGCCGATACAAGTTGTGGGGGTGCCGAAGAGTCATAACACTCCCCATGGGGAAGAAGCTTTTTGAACTGCCCATGTCTTGTTATCTATTGCATGAAAGCGGTTAATATGGACGGTAGTTGAACTTTGAGATGACTCGTAGTCCAACTAAAGCCAACAACCTCGGTTCAGTCGAGTCGAGTTGCCCGTACATCGTTGCCCATCAGCCCACAGCTCATCAGCCCAAGATTCTGAGGATCAGCCGATACAAGATAGACGCTAAAAGGAACAGGGCGACACTCGTGAAATCAATGACATAATATGGCTTGCATCGTCGTAGACTGCCTTGCTACTATTTTCTTAAAGTTGCCGGTTGCCGGCTAAATCTGATTAGGCAGTAAAGGCGCCCTCAATATCGCGCCGTAGCTTTAGCGTCTAAGTTATTCGAGTGTAACTGATCCTCTCCCAAAGGCCGACATCGCTTCGGTTGCTACAGACGGGAGTTCATAGCCTACTCGTGGAAAAGATGCCAGCCTTTATGGCCGTATTTCGAGTGACATGTGAGAACGCAGCGAAGTAGAACATCACATAGAGAAAGAAAGGCAACTGAAGAAGTAGAAGAGCGATGATAATTTTAATTAAATACTAAGCAATTATTTTTTTGCTGATATATTTCTATATAGCCCGCCGTTCATTGCGAACGCGATATGTAGCCAGTATCCTTCGCCCAAAACCCAAAACCCAAAACCCAAACATAAAAGAAAGAGGCCACTGTTTGGCCGAGTATATTCTCAGCTCGCCTGATTGTAGTTCATGATGTCGTAGAGATTAAAAACAGATGGAAGAAAAAATCAACAAAAGAAAAGAAAGTCCAAACAGATAGACAGTAATCGCCATATGTTGTCCTTCGCCGTTAAGGGGGTATATGTTTATGCTGAATGCATAGGTAGTAATATGTTGAAAAACAGCCCAGCCGCTCGAAAAGCAAGTTAAGCAAAAGCAATTCAGAAGAGGAAATGATATCGTCGTATGGTCGTTATAATTCTTGGCTGCCCCTTCGGCTGTTGGGTGCCGTGGTTCTAGCAGCAATGATTTCTTCCAGATCAACGTACTCAATGGGATGCGCGTCCTCAGCATACTCAGGGGGGCTTGGAGGAACATCCTCGTAGACAGGAGGAGCCTCGTTGTCCCAGCTAACACTCAGGCCACCGTTGTCAGTCAAGACGACGGCAAAGTGCATTCGCAGAATGCGGCCAGTGCCAGTCTGGTGTGAGATATGTGCCTTGCCCTCCTGTGCGTACTCCTTTGATACGACCAGCTCCAGCAACAGAGAGTGGGTAACCTCAGTGCCGTCCTGGGTCTTGGTATCGCAAGCGTACTTGAGTTCGCGCGAGTGCTGCTTGAGCTGGTTGACGCAGTATTCAAACTCCATGTCGACGATACCATCGCTGCCAGTGTAGTCAGACTTCCATCCGTCGACGAGACTCTTCTCGCCGATGACGCGGGTCTCGCTTCGGGGCAGGCCCTTGTTGGCTGACTCGGCCAGGCCAGGGTTGTGCTTCTCGCAGGCGGGAGCGACTGTCTTGATGGTCTCCTCGAGCTTCCAGGTGAGCTTCTTCAGCTTCCACAGGTCAACCGTCTTGACTCGTTCGTTGTGGGTCATGAGCCCGTCGAGCTTGAGGGTCATCTTGTTGGCGGCTGTGGGGTGAATGACGGAAATGTAGCTGGCAGCTGCCTTGATGTTTGTGGGAGGGAAGACTCGAACGGAGTTGTGAGGGTAGAGAGGCTCGGGAAGGGTTCGCTTAACGTCGATGATTCGATCAAACTTGGCGGTTGAGATTGAGCTTGGGGTTTCGGAGTCTGTAGGAGCAGTGAGGTATTGGGCCTCAGCGTTGAGGACGTAGGAGATGGAAACAACAGGAGTGTCCATGGAAGCTGGCAGGTGGCCCGGCAGCAGAATGGAGAAGGGGAATTGGTGCTTTCCCTTTCGCAGGGGAATAGGGTGAGCCAGAAGCTCCAGCTTCTCCAGCTGGGTTGTCTGCGTCTGGCACTCGTTGCAGTTGTTCTGGAATGGCCTCTTGTGAGTGACGACCATCTTGAGGGTTGCTGCAAAGCTCTCGACATCCACCAATTCCTCCTTGATGTCCAAGAAGATCTGTCCTGACACCAGCGCACCGGTGCTCTCCTCCGTGTTGCCGTGGAAGACAACCGGCGGGCTCTCCACGCTCCACTCAATGACTACAGGAGAGTAGGGAACATGCTGCTGGCGTTCTTTGGAGTTTGACCGGCCAAAGTGCAGTGACAGGCGGTGGTGCTTCTTAATGGCTTCTGCGAGGTCGGGCATCTTGACAGCATGGCGGTCCTCGCTGTCAGAGGCATGCGGGCTGGTGTTGCGCGATGCACTCCTGGAGTTGCTCCGAGATGTGTTGCGAGACCTGGAGACGGCCTTGATGTGAGGAATGGGTCCTGTCGAGGACCGCAGGAAGTTGGCGACGAGGTGGGGCATTTTGGTAGTCTATGCAAGAAAAGAGGTGATGATTGCGTATAGTCGAGGTGTCGTGACGAAAACGTCGATTTTGGGAGACCAGGGCGGCGATGCTTTTTATTGCACCCTCAGCTCTTCTCAGCTTCTCCTCTCTCCCGCTTTCGCCTATTGCTTATTTCGTTTGGACTTGCTATCCAAAACTCTGTCTCAGCAGCTCTTCAGCCCTAGCGCCGCTCTGACGAATGGTGAACAAAGGGTCCCCTCCAGAATAGATGCGGGCGCTGTGCCAAGGAGGGGCTGCGTCTGGGGGGCGTTCTTAGGTCGAGATCTGGTGATCGGTTTGCAAGGGCGCCGATGACTTGGAATGAATCGAGTTGAACCCCAGCCTGGTAAGCAAATGCCGAAACTTGCTGTTCTGCAGAATAATGTGATTCTTGTATAATGAATAATCTTGCTGAATGTATTTGTATGTTGCGAGTCAAGAAGCTTAGATGAGCAGGTCCTGTAAATGGCTAGCTGTGTAAGTCGCCTAGGAAGGTTTCGATGGCTTGACGGTCCGGCTTGTGTGAGATGTAGTAAGCTGATGGAGGTGATGTAGATTTAAATTCAAACTGTAATTGCAGCTGCGAGTAAACAAACATCCAAAAAAGGTAACCAGCAGTAGCATTGCCAAAAGCCGAGGGCATCGCCAACATCTTATATACGCCGGCCATTGTCTCGCCCTGGCTCGGCATGCACCGGTCTGGCAAATTATGTGTCATGACACAGCTACCTACTACCTAGACTACATACCTGCTCCCAAGCCAGACCATACAAAAAAAAAAAAAAAAATCCGGCCTGGTCTTTCCAGGCTCTCGGCCGCCAACCGATGGCCGATGGATCTCCGGTGGGGACGCCGCCGTGACATGAAGAAGCGCCTTTCGATTGATTCTGCGGGTCTCGTCCTCTTTTTTTTTTTTCTTCGCCATTCTCTCTCCCCTTTTCCCGATTAGGCACTTAAGTGTCAAAAAGGGCAGGCACGTGTGTACATGGACGGTACAGCAGATCCACGTGCAAGAATGGAAATTGCACAGTCTTTTTGGCGTCGCTGGAGCATCTGCGCTCCATGCCGGAGAAGCTTCAGTCGCTCTCGCAAGTATCCGCAAAGTACCTCGTGCTCCCAATGCGGCCGTTTATTGTACTGCGCCAAAGATGAAAAATTCTTTTTTTTTTTGCCGTTTGCTCTGAAGAAAAGAGCACAGCATTAATATGGATCCTCGTACGGCCTTGACCGATGGACCACTATGAGCAGTTGGTTTCGTCTCGTCTCGATGTACCCCGTGGGTTTGGACGTGCACGCAAGTATACATCATCAGCCCATCATTGAAACTACGAATTCATCACGCAAGAAACACCCATCTGCTCCCTCCTTCTCCAGATCAACTAGAATCATTGCGCCGGTCAGACTAAAGCCGCAGACTCACTGCCGGCCATCAATTGAAGCGCCGGTACCGGCTCATGGCTCGTAATCGTTTGACATGGAACATTCTTGTCTTTGACTCCCTTTGACAAGACGTAGGGCGTCGCAGACATCATTACTAACCCGCCAATTGACATTGTGAGCAGCCAAAGGACAAGCCACAGCAGGCCTGCTGACCAAACGCACATTTTAGGCGAGGCGGGCTACCGCCTCCGTCAGAGCTGGTCCAACTCTGTGCTGGATCTATTACATGCGTGGTGCTTAGTCGAAGCTGGAGTCTCCACTCTCAAAAGACCCAGTTGAGAAGTTACTTGAGTCACTCGTGCTCGGTACAAAGGTAAGTGGGAGATTAAAGTACTATTACAGCCAGCTAGCCAGAGCCAGATACCTCCAAGCCTCGTACACAGTACTGGTGACAACCAGCTCCAGCTCGTACTCAGGCACGGCCTCGCGCCAGCGGACCCCTTTCTCGCGCCAGTCAGCAAGCAGAGCGAGTCGCCTGAAGAGGGCGCTGGAGGGCGCTAGAAGGCGCTGGCAAGTCACAAACCCACGCCCTAAACGTCGTGTTGTCAGTGGATGCTTCAGTGGCGTGATGGCCTGTGACGTTGCCCGCGGGCAAGTTGAGCCCTCCACGGCTCCAGTCAAGCGCAAGTCGCAGATTTCTGCGCCCTACCAGGCAGTAATACTCCATAGGGCGAAGGAATGCGAGAGGAGGTGGAAGCCCGTTCCGTTGCGGCATCACGATCCCTTCTACATGCGTGAATACTCCAGTTCAGGAGTTCTTACTTCGTATCTGCTAGGCACGGGGATCATTCATCTTAAAGCAGACAAGTTGTCCGTATTACCAATTGGCTGCTTTTATTAGAAACTTGAACAAGTTGTGCTTGTAGTCGATAGACGGCCATCCGGGTGTGTAAGAAGTCAACATACTGGCATCTCACGAGAGCGTTGCTTCAACGTCGGCTCGAATCACGCAGTAATTACATGTATATTGCGCCTTATACACCAATACTCTCAGTTCGCAAGTGGCTCTCCGGACAACCAAAAGTACCAACGTCGGACTTCTCCGCCAACTCAACCAACACCAAAAAACCACCCGACATAAAAACACAGCTCCATCCCCACGCAAACGCATCTCAAAACTCAGTCGCGGCATATCGGCATTTCATCTCACTCTCACTCTCATTTCTCCACGCGAAATTGTTTACAGCAGTACTGCTCGATTCGTGAGACTTGCCGCCACCTCCTCCACAACGGGTAAAGTAGTTCCCTGGGTCCAAGTCACCTGGTGACCACAAGTTTTTTTTCCTTCTCCTGGACCTAATCCGTATTTTTCAATTTTTTTTCCTCACGATGGAAACGAAATTTTCAGTTCGATGCAAAGAATAACTTGGCCCCATTGCAAAGTACTACCTCGATCCAGCCTAGGTGCCGCTGCTAAGTCGATGTACGGCAGGGCTACCGAATTTTGTTTGCTCCATAGTGGACCTCGTTGTGGACGGCATTCAAGTTTTTTTTCTGGGTCGTTGTATTGTGTTTGATTCATCTACTCGAAATTACTGCCACATACGGCTGAGCGTTTGACATTTGCTCGGTGTCATTACATAAAGGCGGATGCTTGTTTGCCCCTTTGAGGAAGCAGCCTGGAGTAAACCTGGAGTTGTTCCATTCTTTCAGCTGTTCCGTGTCGTCTTCAGGTCCCGTCGTCCTAGGTTACCCGATAGGGCCAACTGCCTACTACTCCTAGTAGGTAGTAGCCGCTATTAAAAAAAAAAAAATTTTTTATGCCCGTGCTCGATCGTGGCTTTGGCGATCGCAGCCTGCAGACACGTGTGCTGCTAAAAAGGTCTCGGGAGCCTCAGCCATGCCACTAACACGGCATGATCCCCTGGCAGCCAAGCAGCCTCAAGCGCCCATCAGGGTCCCTGCGAAGCTATTACGTACATGTATATGAGTGCGGTTGTTACCTGCAGGCAGAGCATGAGCATCAGCCTGTTGGATCATCAAACCGCAGTCCGTGTTGCATTGTGTGGAGCTTTCTCATTTACATGCTCCTGTGAATGAGTAGCAGCAAGACTCTGCGGCCCGGGGTCCCGCTCCCGCATGCTGCTTCTTAGATTCTCTTCTCAGTAGGCTACTAGAAGTCGGCTGCCCTCCCTTGGAGTCGGCTTCCAGAAACCCGTGGTGCCGCAAATCCAGCGGCTCGGCAGTCATTCACAGGCTGTTGTCTGCCTACTTACATACAAGCCGGCTTGCATTGATGGCACATGCAGCTCGAGTAACGTGGAGAGTTCTTCATGTAATATTGGTGATACTGCCTCTCTGCAGCCCCGTGTAAAATTTCCGCAACGTCCACTGGTCATTTCATCCCTCCGAGTCATTCCCACTGGCCGTTGTCATCAGCTCTCGCTTCATGTAAGAGACTGGCCAGCCTCAGCCGCTCGCTTATCCCATTGGGCATCGCCCCTTTTCCAGCTGAGGGTCTGAGAAATGCAAAAGTACGAATGACACTGATTAGCTCTCCCCGTGGCCCATACAAAATTTCGTGCCTCGTCGTTGAAAGCACGCGCTTCACAGGACCGGAGACGACCGGTAACTACCGGCTATGGAGGCTGGTGGCCGGGCGCCCTATGAGTGTAATACTGTAGGGGCTCTCCTGTCGTAGTTCACTAATACATACTACAGTACATCGTATGCCGGGTCATCAGAGCCGCCCACGGTACGTACCTCCTCCCAGTCTTAAGCCGAAATGCGACTCCATTTTGAGCCGAAATATATCACCACGACACGGAAAGGGGAATCGTGCCAGAGCTCGTCAATTGTGCCATTTTGACGATTCTGCTGCCTGCGCAGGAGACTCTGGGTGGAGTGCAGAGGTTCATTGCACCGCGGCTTAGGCATGAGTTTGTTTTGCCTTTGCCGGTGTGCATCCCGTCGTGCCATTCTGTGTCAACGTTTCCACATCTATCAGGCGACGTGCTCTTGTCGTGTACGCGGCATCGGCCAATACCGATGCGCAATTCGATCACGGTAGCCGACCGCTCCTTCAATCCGGGACCCTTTATGCTGCAACATTGGCATCGTGCCGCGCCTGGAATAGATCGCCAGGGCCATGTTCCAGAAGCTCGGCATGGGTTTCATGACATCAGCTTTGCCTACTTATTCATGCAAACCGTGAGCTGTTTTCTGTAAAACTGCTTCGTATTTAGGACTAGCATCACTTGGTACTCTTTCTATAAATAAAGAGCAAGAATGAGCTCTCCTTAATAAGACTCGCGGGACCCCCGCATCTCCGGAGCGGAAGGAGTGGATGCCAGGATCGGGAGCAGCGGGTTCAAAGGGGGTGGTTCCGGCGCACCCGCTGCCGATTCTCCAAGAATACCGGATTGCCGAGTCTTCTCCAATTTCATGACGTCTCTCCTTGAATCTCCAATCTGACGGTACGATAAATGCTTTCCGTTTGTTCGATTCCAAATATAGTGTAATGTATTAGTATACAATGACTGTTATTTCCACTCGAGACTTTGAACGATGCGCTATTTATATACCCTGGAGACGAAAAGTATGAGCCTTTATTCACAATACAGCGTATATGAAACAGATGGGCTTAAATTCACATTGTCGCTGTATTTTTACTTTCAACTATAATAGTATTGATAGAATTGATGTATGGAATAGGCAGTTGGAGCATCCTCCTAAATTGGCTTGAGGTTCGATATGTTCAGCAAAGACCACCTGCGCACGTATGTAGGCGGTATGCGCCTCACGTAATTTGCTGCCAATTACAGTGATAATTCACACCCAGTTAGTAGAGAATTTTGATTCTATATCGTGCAATCGCAGTGCCATGTATAGAGCAACTCAAGTTGTGCTCCACTTGGAATTTACTTTATAGCTGTTCGGATACACGCAAAGCCTATGAAGGAGAGTTCTCATAGTGTGCATCAGCTTGGAGAGGAATATACAGAAGAATATGCAGTAAAGTAACGTGAGACCACAAAATAGTGGCCATTTCTCTTTCCCTTGGGTTGAACCCGAGGTTAGAGCAATCCAGTAATTATATAGTTGACAGATGTAGGATTTGGACTCAAAGCCTTGGACCTATAGTTGTAATTCACTCCGAGCAGAGAGAGCTACTACCACTATCTTAATTTTTCCCTTTTTTATCAGCAATTGTTAAAGTGGCACTCCCTACAAAAGCGATTACACATAATGAGATGACATGCACCAATGTAGACGATTCCATTTAGCCACAAAACGTTACTACAGAACTGGCCTGTGGCAGTTGAGCGCTGACGACGCTGCTGCTTTTGATCTCTCCACGTCAGCTCTTTCAATTATACCAAATTAGAGGTCAGTGGGTATTAAAGTATTCCCCAAACGAGAGAGTTCAAGCTATTCCGTGGCAAAAAACGCTTTGATCGGTTAGTGTTGCCAGAGTGGTCAGAATATGGTCAGAAACATTACAAACCTGAACAGCAGCAACCGCATTGTAAAACCAAACAGTGGGCGAATACTCACCCTTTAATTACTATTCCTGTAATACCGCGTATTATAGATGCTGCAGATGAGTACAAAACGTGACCCAATTAGTGCGGCTGCTGAGTTAATATTTCCCAATTTGTAAAGTGCATGGATACCAGTGGCAGTTGCGGATCATTAGATCTGCGCCTCGTAGAACATGGCCAATATTAGATTGAGTGACAATATTACTGAAAGTAATACAGAAGGTATGCTCTGTATATTTTTATTACACTGGCATGTAAATTGACGGTGTTGGGGTCAGGAATATGAGCAGGGCTTCTAAGCGAACTCAAAAGAACGCAAGAGATAGAGGCCGCAATGCATGTAAAACAAGGAGTATTAGAGAAGTATAGCTATTACAAAGTTCTATATAGAGCAAATAATATGTTCTATTTTGTGTTATATAAATAGGTACCTACTTGGTCAGGTCGATGACCATAATACTTGTGCGATGAGCAATGTTTGTATTTGAGGCTGGCAGAGAGGGTAGTGATTGCCTGTAATGTTAACTTTACAAGTTTCCCGCGGTAAAACATGTATGAATAATCAGATTTATAAGATATGGGTCGTAAAAAGTCAACTCATCATCTTCTAATATGGTACTTACTAGCTGTGGAGTTGAGAGACTCCATACGCTGTCCTTGACTTGCTAGCGCTGTGTATTGCTTCATTGCAAACTAAAGAGCAAGCCGAATTTTGAGAGCATTTTGTCATGATTAGTTATTTACAACACTAGCTAAAATTCATGACAAGGCACACGGCATAGGTATATACATGACAGCCTGTACCACGAAGCTCATGTCCCCAAAACCATCAACACTTATGCTCTCCCTCTTATTCAGTGGCTTGATACACAACTAAAAATGGCTGCTCCACCTTGGCCCTCTCCAACAAAGACATGGCATGACGACACATATCCGGCCATCGATCCAACCCGCCCAGAGCTCAGCTTAGCTGGCAAGACGGCAGTTATCACTGGCGGCGGTATTGGCATCGGCGGAGCTATTGCCCAATCATTCGCTAAAGCAGGCATTTCTCATCTTGCCTTGATCGGGCGACGGCTCCAAGTTTTGGAAGAGAAGAAAGCCCAAATTGCCATTATTAATCCTCAAACAGAAGTTCTGCTGCTCCAAGCAGACATTGCCAACCAAGAGCAGATCCAAAGGGCCTTTGAAACCGTGAAATCCACGTTTGGAGAGCCAAAAATTCTCGTTAACAATGCTGCGTACTTTGATGGAACAGTTTCGGTGCTGAAGGATAGTGTCGATGACTGGTATCAAGCCTTCGACATCAACGTCAAAGGCAGCCTTCACGTCGCCAGATCTTTCTTATCTGTCGCAGCACCGTCACCTAGAATACTTAATGTTTCTAGCGGACAGGCTCATCTAGACGCCAAACTGTTCCCAGGAATGTCAGCCTATCTGTCGTCCAAGATGGCGCAGCTCCGTATGTTTGAGGCCATACAAGTCGAGCGGCCGGATGTGGTGATTGTGAGCTGCCATCCAGGGCGAGTGATGAGCGAAATGTCAGCTAAGATTGGTAGGAAGAAGGGCATTGATACTCGTAAGTGAAATTGCTTTGCCATATGTTCAATAGAAAATTAAACTTGACTGAGAGCGTATAATTGTGCCAGATTGCTAATTGCTGCGTTAGTTGACCTTTCGGGCGATTTCGGTGTTTGGGCCGTCAGTGACGAGGCTACATTTCTCAAGGGTAGAATGGCGTGGGTCAATTGGGACGTCACCGAGCTCAAGGAGAAGAAGGATGAGATTATAAATGATAACTTGCTCATAGTTTCTCTTGGTGGCTGGCCGTTCAAGGAGTAGGTCAATCTGATAAGATAGCTGGGAAAGCAGGATTGTCAATAGAGAATGAGGGCTACATATGAGAAATAGTGCAATTATCAGAGGAAGCTAGTCTTTGTGACAGAGAAACTCATTCAATAACGTTATTGACAGTCAGTATGCATGAAGGAAAATATGTTTTTTTTTCCTGTAGAAGAATTCGCAGTTTTCGTTTAATACATGGTGGAGGCTCACCGGGGACTTACACGAGACGCTCACTATGCCCATACACCTTATGCTCTATACCAGATATCAGCTGAAGCTCCATGCTCACAGCCTTTTCGAATAATAGAATAAACAAAACAAACAAAAATGCAATAAATTGCCTTGTACACCACTTTGCAATCCAAATTATCTTTTTTTCTCCCCTTAGCCATTAAGTGTTATTCGTCTCTTTACGCCGAATGCATCCAGGATGAGAAGTGGGGCTCGCTCACCGCGGCAGATTGTATCTCCGCTCCGCCCAGTTTTCCAGACATCACTCTCAACACCAGCCTAGCTAAGCTTCTGCAGCAGCGCGACAGAATTGCACGACGAGCCTGTCGCTGTTTCTCCCGCCACTTACGACCGACGAGTTCCTTTTCAACATTCAACAGAAATCATGACTGGTCGAGGTGGAGGCGGCGGTCGCCGCGTTTTGCTGCCCCCCATGTGAGCTTCTCCCAGATAACAGCCGGTTCTGCCCCACGGCGGACAACGAAAGCTGACTCTTTGCAGTAACATGATCTTCAAGCTGCTTCAGAGCGTGAGTTAACGATTGCCCATTCCTTCCCTTTTATTCGAACACGACAATATCCCGACACGTTGTATGGCGACCGGGGGCGGGCACAATGGCAGGGATGCGATGCGATGGGCGACTGAGACGATGCTCTGCGAAAGATGGGCGAGATATCTCATTGCTCGATCTCTGTGGCTTCTACATGCAAATTGGGAGTCCTAATGCTAAATGGATGAGGCAATGAGGATTGACAATCGCTCTCGCCTCCCAACTGAAGTGCTGTGCAAAAGCAGGGATAGCTGGAGGACTATAGTTGCGTTACACGTTGGCTGGTTCAATATCTAACTTTGAATCTTTATAGAATGCTACTGTCAGCGTCTGGTTGTACGAGCAGCTTTCAATCCGCATTGAGGGCAAGATCCGGGTTAGTCACATCAAGTTGGAGCATGACTTGGGGTCCACAAAAGCTAAAACCACAGTAGGGCTTCGACGAATTCATGAACCTGGTTATCGACGACGCCGTGGAGGTCAAGCAAATCACAAAAACCAATGACAAGGAGTCAAGGAAACCCCTGGGTAAGCCAAGTGGAATGCTGGATTTGTGATCTGATTTGATCAAGCTGACACGATGACAGGCCAAATCTTGCTCAAGGGCGACAACGTCTCTCTAATCCAGAACCTGTCGAGCTAGACTGGGTTTTCTAAATAATACACACTGACATGTGAGGATGGGAGTTGCTTATATTTTGACAAGATACCATATTCAAATGGCACGCACGGGATATTCTTATTATTTACCATGTATCACACCTGGGTAGCAAACAAACAACGGGATCGGGACAATAGAAATTGATTCATTCAAAAAATACCAGATGAAGTGATATTGTGCTGCATATGCACTTGTCTTTGCCTGACTCTTGACTGCAGAATTGCACATGTAAATCGCTGCCGAGGTTGTGCCGATCGCAGTAGTGGCCGCAGCTAAATCTCCAGCCCTCCGAGGTGACGATTCTCTGAGCTCACAACCTCGTAGCGACCAATTCAGCCAGGCATGAGCAACGGGCGCTGAGATGCGCTCGTTCATGGACTATGTCCACAGTGCTTTCTACGAGGCGACCGGGTGGAGGCGTGACAACTCGTATGCTGCGCTGAATTCGACAACTGACGGTGATTCATCTCTTCGCATTCTTTCTAGCCCTCTGCTAACTTGATGCGTAGCTCTCTTGAACTTCAGCACTCCCCGAGGTCTGCGCCTCTCCCTCTCAGCTCTCGCCAGCTCAAACTTCGCCACGTCCTACCAATTGGGCTCCGTCGGCGTGGTCGATGGCTCCATCAGCTACTTGTTCTCCTCTGTCCCTCTCCGAGTCCTCTTGACGCCGCAGTCCGAAAACGTCCCGCTCCCCGATCTCCTTCGATCCTACCGCCATCTAACGCCCGTCGCCCGACGAGACGACCCTTCACTGAGACCCCCAGACGACAAGGACAAGGTCAGCGAGTCGCTTCTGTACGGCCGGCTCTATCTCCCGCAGTCGCAGCTAGAGGCCCTGCTGGTACGGCGGTTATCCCCCGCTTTCCAGGCACAGTTCAGCGCTGTGTCGGGCCAACACCTCAGAAATGGGGGCACGGCTCTGGGATTGCTCCAGTACGATGTCGGAAGATATGCGCTTGAAGGATTGGCGTCTACGGACGGCGGATTGCTTGGCTTCAGAGGAGTCTACAACTTTGGAGGCGACTTGAGCAGCAAGAAACATACTCCATCGTCCACTGCGGAGAATGGCAATGGCCAGGGGAGTGGTAATGGTGATCGGGAGAGGATATACGGGCGCTTCAGCACCGGGGGGGAAATCTACTACGGCACACTCAACAAGTCTGGAGGCATCAGCATCGGGGCGAGATTCGCGACGTTGCCGGACCACAAGGGAACGCCATTGTCCGCCACGCTCACGATGAATCCTCTCATGGGCAACATTGCAGCCAGCTATGCGGTCATGGCCGGAAAAGATTGCAGTCTCGCGACGCGAATGGAGTTTAACATCTTCAGCTATGAGAGCTCATGGGCTGTGGGCATGGAGCTGTGGAGGAAGCCATTTGCACGGACCGTTGCGGAAGCAGATAATACTCTTGCCGATACTGCCGCTGCGAAGAAGACGGCTCAAAAGCTACACTTTGCTGCCAAGGCAGCTACCATTCAACCTGATGGAAAGGCAACCGATAAAAATACGACGGGAGCTGCGCCAAAGCCAACTCCTACACCAACACCAGCCGAACGTAGTTTCAACGCAAAACTAGAGTGGAGGCTGGATGAGCCAGAGAAATCGGCGGAAAAATCGGCGGAAAAGAAGACGGCGCCGAAAGCAAACGGGGCAAACATCGGTCCCAAGTCCAAAACCAAGAAGACAACTCTCCCTAAAGCAGTGCAGCCCGTAAAGAAGGTAGAAACGGTAGCTGTGGAGGAGACTGAGGGGAAAGAAGAGTATGCCGGTGTGGTGAAAGCGAGGCTGGACCAGAATCTCCGACTTGGAGTATTGTGGGAAGGACGCGTGAAGTCGCTGCTGTTTAGTCTTGGTAGTGGAATTGATCTGAGGATGATGAACAAGCCGTTTCGAACTCTGGGTCTGGAGATTCAGTTTTCATCATGATGGGTTGTGCTGCAAAGTGTCATGAGATGGACGGCTATTGTACTGATCCCGGAGGCCCAACTCCGCTTGAAGAACTTGATTTAAAAAAAAAATCACAAATACTTATCTATTGTTTACTTTGACCAAGAATCAAATTCCTTCTTGGTCCAGTATGTTGGCGATTGTCTGTATTGAGCTTCACAATTAATAATCGCGACTCCCGTTCTTAACTCCGCTGTCTCCGTAGCTTGACAAACCAGCATTTTCCTGCTTCTCCGATGCAATACTCTCCTGTCAAGTATTGATAACCATAACCGCTTGCAGTTGACAAAGACAAAGAGAGACAAGAGAAGAAACCGAAACTCAACTGACAGAATCCTTCAGCTCGCTAGACTGCATGGGTTGCCAGCCCCGGCGGCGGCCACCGGCATGCTCGCTTTGCCGGATCCGAAAGCTGCGCTGCAACCGCCAGTCGCCGTGCTCCAACTGCTCGATCCGCGGCATTCCTTGTCACCGCGATAATCCTCGCTGTGGGCCAAAGCTCCACGATAATGCATCGCAAGAAGCGCTCGACCGGAACCACTTGGCGCCGGCCTCACTGGCATCGACTCAGCTGCAGCTCATCTCGGCGGATGTACTAGATATGCAGAATAGTTGCGCTAACCAGAAATTACTGGTAAGTTCTTTTGACTCTTGGATGCTTGGATGCTTAGATGCTTGACAGGGTTTCGTGAAAGCTAAAGATGGACTTGTGGTTCTGTAGGATTCGTTGGCGCCGAGCCCATTCACTCTCCGCACTCGTTCTATTCGCACCATCACCAAGCCGTCTTATTTTGTTCATCATCCTGATACGTCGTCTGAAACTCTGTCTGAAGAAGTGAGAGTCATCAAATGCATATGTCTCCCTTTACGAGAGGATGCTCATGTCCTTTTGGAAAAATTCATCGACGATGTGCTTCACTTTCACCACATCTTTCACACGCCTTCTCTACCATCAACTGTGGATCAGTTCTATGATGCCGTGGAACAGAATGAGCATGTTGACTTGGGCCAGCTGATGCTTATTCTGGCAATATGCTGCAGCACTACGCACACATGGACTCGTTATGACGACGCCAAAGGCCTATTTGACTGCGCAGAAGATGCAAACTCGCAGACTTCGGGGTGGCTTAAAACGGCCTTGGACATGATTCACCATGCCCATGTCGCTGTACATGCATCATTAACCTGCATACAAGGAATCATGGTGGTGTTTTTCATGATATGTAGCTTGGAAGGCATCTCGCCGCGGGCTCGAGTGCTTCACACCCAAGCAGTTGCAATGGCCCAGACGATTGGGCTGCATGCCATTGACTCTCCAAACGCCGCTATTCATTTGAACTGGCTCAATAATTCTCATGTTCTAGCGGAGGTTGGACGCAGGACATGGTGGAACCTTACAGATACAGACTGGTAAGCCAATCATGTATGAATCGGTCTGGTTGTGGCTCTTTCTGACTTGACTCGGTGACAGGATGATTTCGAGATTATCAGTTCCTCAAGGGGGTTCATATATAATTCAGGCGAGTCAAATGGCGGTACGGCGGCCTTGTAACGCAAACGACGAGGACATCATCGACGGACAAGAAATTGTCGATCGCCCACTCGAGGAAGCAACATCTGTCTCGTATCTTCTCCAACGCAGTCGTCTTGCGGTGCTATTTTACAACCTCGGAGACTTTGACAAGCCCATCAACTCCACGTCAGAAGAAGCAGAGTATCTCAAAGTCATGGAAGTAGACATGAAGCTGCGGCAGTTTATGAGAGAATTGCCCTCATATTTCCGCCTTGAAAACAGCGACTACGTTTCCAAAAAGCCTAACCAAGATACTCGACAATCATCCAACATCACCACTCAAAGATACCTGCTCAACATGATTTTCTACGGCCAAATCTGCAAGCTTCACTTGCCATACATGGCACGAGGCACAGTAAACCCCGGGTTTGCCTATTCCCACGACTCTTGCCTAAAAGCAGCCCAGCAAATCATCTACATAGAGCACCAGATGAGGGCCGAACCCTCAACCTTTATCCTATTCCGCCAGCGCATGAACATCAAGTTTCGCAGCATCTTCATTGCCTGTGTAGTCTTTGTTCTAGACGGATGCCTAGCCAGTAGTGTCGAGGGCGGGACAATGGAGGCCGACGCAACAATGGCCGACGCATGGAAGATTCTGCACGAAGCAGAGGGGCAATCGCCGATGGCGTCTGAGCTGCTGCAGCTCTCGGTGGGGATTTTGAAAAAGTATAAAGCGACGCATCCTGCTTTGGAGATGATGAAGGAGAATCTCAGCGAGGAAACTTCATTGTTGATGGAAGAGAGGATGATGGATGTAGGAGATGTTGAGAGCAGCAACAAGCAAGATGAGGAGCTCATGGGAGCAGGAATCGCAATGGACGATGCTGGATTGGAGAAGCTGTGGCTGGCGCTGCAAGGTCGTGGGAGGGAATGGAGTAATTTGTTTTATGGATTCGGTCCTTTCCACGTATAAAGCAGGCGAAAGGACAAGTTGGAGCAACGCCGTATATCCCAGGAGTAATCGAGATTGTATATATAGTGCACATTAATAAAGCATAAATAAATGAATACATGCTGTTTCATTATTTCTTAAAACTCGGACAATAAAGATGCAACAAAGCATAACCAGGCCGGCACATCAGTTGTCAGCGTCCTCACGGTATGTAGCTTGATCCAACCCGCCATTTCTCCCTGAGCCAATTCCGGATTGGCAAGAATCCGATCCATGAAACCGAGCACCTACAGAAAAATATGAGATGATCAATTCCTTTAAAACAAGATTTCCAAACAGTCTACATACCGAATTTCCAAACCCGAAATGAATCAGAGTAAACACCAATCCCGCAATCGCCCACCGTGAGGCTGTCTTGGCCTTTGCCTGGCCCTCCGCCGTTCCCGAAACATCCCGAGCACGAGCTGCTCGAATTCCCGAAGCAATCGTCACTGCGCTGAGCGACGTGATCCCAATAAAGCCCGGCTTGAAAAAGTCCTGGAACCACACGGCAATCGCAGGCCCTGGATACGTGACGTTTGTAAACGGAATCACTGTGATCCAGGCACCAAGCGCCATGCCGACATTGAGAGACGTCGACACCACTGGAATCAAGGCCGATGGGATTCTCCGGCCCGTGGATGAGGATTTCGCCGTGCTGGATGCCATTTTGACGTGAATAAAGAGAAGACGCTGGGTATTCTTGTTAGTGCTGATTATACAGCGAAGGGCGAGCTCATTTATAGTCGTGCTGGACACCAAGAAGTGGGACGGCGTAATAGTTTAGCGGGCCGACGAATCTCACTCAACCTATCGCCAGAGCTGTGTATCGCCAGGAGCTATTGACTTGTTCGGATCGTCCCGATGTAGGTGCAGCTTGCGACGAAGATGAGAGTGGTTTGCATAGTGGACTATGTGTAAGCGACTGTCAATAGTATACCGACTGACCCGCATGAGAATATTGTCCAGTCAATCTGCCAAGGATGTATAGGCGCTGGTGTTTTGTATATGACAAATACTATCGTTTAGGCTCTCCATGTTGGGCATGACGAGGCTCCAGCCTTAAAATTGGTCTTGCAACTCTTCTTATACTAGCAATGCGAATTCAAATAATTATTTGCGTCTAGCTTTGATCTTTTACAGACTTGAAAACTAATTACTAATGTTCTGTTAAACATGGAGCAGCTTGCTCAGCGGTATGTAATGAAACATTATACGTCAAGTGTTCATGATGAGGGCATTCAATATCCCACACCAAGACGACTTATCCATGGAATTTTATAATTCGCTACTTTGCCTTCTCCTTCCAGCCTTTTTCTACCTCCCTGCCTTACTCCTGCATTTAGCACACGTGATGTCTTACATGCATGCATCTCACATCCGGTGCCCAATCTTTCCGCCAGCCTCGTTTCGGCGAGCGCAAGCTTTTTGGGCCGTCATCGATTATGCGCAACAAACTCAACCTTTGCCCTAATCAATGCCCTTTACCTCTTAAAGATCATCATCATCAGTATTCATTAGCCATGGAGCAGCTAAGATGGCTCATCGGGATGAGCGAAAACGAGGATTCGCCAGAATGGGACAGCCCATCACCTACAACTCCAACAGCGTGCTCTTATGGGCACGCCAGTTCAACAGCATATTTTGAGAAAGCAGACGCCCTCAAACATGATGCTGGCGCCAATACATGTACCAAATACGACCCAATGGCAGACCCTCACAATCGAAGCTGTCTGAAAGCCCTCCGCACGACGGACCCCCGCGAACACAAGGAGCGCATTGAGAAATCTAGCGGTGGCTTGTTTCTTGACTCTTGCTCATGGATTCTGGACAATGCCGAGTTTAAGCAGTGGTACAGTCATCCAAGGAGCAATCTGCTCTGGATAAAAGGCAATCCCGGCAAAGGAAAGACCATGTTGCTATGCAGTATCATCGATGGAATGAGTTCAACAGCAGAGCCAAACAACCAAGACGCTTGCACGCCATCCTATTTTTTCTGCCAGGCTTCAGATCTACGCACCAATAATGCTACAGCCGTGCTGCGCGGTCTGATTTACATGATAGTTGACCGTCAGCCTATACTTGTGTCACATGCGCGAAATAGGTACGACCGCGCTGGGGATCAGATCTTGACGGATTCAAATTCTTGGGAGACCTTGTCCAAGATATTTTCTGCCATTGTACAAGACAGGCGCTTAATCGATAGCTATATCATTATCGACGCCTTGGATCAATGTACTACAGACAGAGATTTGCTTATTGGCCTAATTGCTCGGCTATCAGCAGCGACTTCAAAGATCAAATGGCTCGTGTCCAGCCGCAACATGTCGGATATTGAAGAAGACTTCACCATGGTCCACAAACTGGAAATCTCTCTCGAATTGAACGACAGATCCATTTCCCAAGCTGTTGGTCTATACACCTGGCACAAGGTTGGCGAATTAGCAAAGGCGAAAGGGTATAGCGACGAGTTACAAAATGCGGTTTATCGCCACATATGTTTAAACGCAAGGAGCTCTTTCCTCTGGGTAGCCTTGGTTTGCCAAGATATTGCCAACATCCCAACGCAATCATGTATTCTCTCAAGGCTCGCTGGGTTTCCGACTGAGCTCAACGCCTTGTACGCCTGTATGCTATACCAGGTCTGCGGTTTAGGTGTTTCCAAGCTCTGTTTACAGATCTTGGCTATTGTATCAGTTGTATACCGGCCAATCACAACAGATGAGTTATCGTCTTTGGTCGATATGCCTGATGGTGCGTTAGATGAGGAGACTCTGGCACAGGCTCTAGAGATCTGTAGCTCTTTTTTAACTATTCATCAACGAACCATCTTCTTCGTACATCCATCTGCGAAAGATTTCTTGATTGGAAAAGCGACTAATACAGTATTTGCACCTGGGATGGAACACATACACTACACCATCTTCTCGCAATCGCTTCAAGTTTTGCAAAAATCACTGCGGCGTGACATTTACGGTCTCAACGCCCCCGGATTTCCAATTGATCAGGTAAAACAACCTGACCCAGATCCACTAGCAGCAGCGAGGTACCCATGCGTGTATTGGGCCAGGCATCTTATAGACTCTGTTAAACTTGTCAAACAGCATGGCCATCTCCACGACGGCGTCAAAGTGGACGTATTCCTGAGAACCAAGTTTCTATACTGGCTTGAGTCTCTAAGTCTTCTTGGTAGCTTGCCCGAGGGAGCCTTGTCAATATCTCGGCTACACCATGTCCTCCGACAAAAGGCTAATCCGTCCTGTTTTTTTGAGGCTCGCTTTGACAATGGCTACACAGAGCCAAGTAATAGCCAGCTTGCAGACCTAGTACGAGATGCGCACATATTTATTACACATCACATGGCACCGATCCAAAGCAGCCCGCTCCAGGTATATGCTTCAGCGCTTGTCTTCAATCCGGCCAATTTTCTTGTAAAGAACCTTTTCAGTCATGAGGAACCAGGATGGATTGTCCCAAAACCTAGAGCAGGCGATAAAGAACGGATGCCGGGCGGCGTACAAACACTCAAAGCGATTAGCGAACAAATTGACAGCATGGTCTTCTCACCAGATGGCACATTACTCGCGTCGGTATCCATTGACGGCGCTGTCCAGATATGGAATCTTGAAACCGGCCGTTGTACGCAAACGCTCCACGTTCACCCAGCTTCTGTCTATTCCGTTACTTTTCGGCCAAACAGCAGCAATTTGATCATCTCCGGGAGAGAAGATGATTCCATCCACGTCTGGGATACAAGTACAAACCAGATGCTGCAAACCCTCAAGGGCCATGGCGATGCCATCTGTGCCATTGTCTTTTCACCAAATAACAACGACTTACTTGCGTCCGGATCGTGGGACCAAACCGTCAGAATCTGGGACCTCGCAGCAAGCAGCTGCGTGCAAACGCTCAACGGTCACGATGGTGATGTCTGCACCATTGCCTTTTCGCCAGATGGCGTCCGGCTTGCATCGGGGTCATCCGACTGCACCATCAAGATCTGGGACCCGGTCAATGGCCTTTGCCTGCAGACGCTCCATCGGTATAACGTGGTCTCTACTGCCATCATCTTTACCCCCGATGGAACCAAGCTCGTATCAGCGCTAAACCGGGATAGTGTTGCAATCTGGGACGTGGCAACAGGCCAATGCCTGCATACAGCATTTGTTGGCGCTCCGCTTCGACAATTACGTTTTGACATGACAGGATCTTGTCTCCATACGGATAGGGGGACGATCAGTGTCGACTTTGTCTCAAGTCGAGCAGCCAGTTTGGAGCCGTATATGCGAGGTTACTGGATAAGTGCAGACAATCGGTGGATCAAAGAGAACTCGGAGAAGCTGCTGTGGCTACCATCCGATTATCGGGCTTGTACTGCTTTAATACGGATATCATCAATGTCACTTGTTGCTCTAGGCTCGTCGTCAGGACGTATAGCGATACTGCGACTCTTGGACTCAAGTGACACTATATCCTAGTCTAGCGTTACCTAGGTATACAGAGTATGAAAAGATGATTGTATTTTATGTTATATCTTTCTCCAAAGTCGAATGAAACATGGAATTATATATCCCTGTATTCTCTCTTAAGCGAGAATGTGGTGATGGACCGTATGTCGCCTCTTCATTTGTTGGTGTGCAAGTTAGTGGGACGAGTACCATCTAGTTGACGCTTTCTCATGACAGGATAACACCTTCTCCTAAAATTAGTTATTATGACATGTTACTTAGCTTTTTGATGCTGATAGGTCGTGTTGCTCATTTTTCGGATGGTAAAAGCATGTACAGCGATAAGGGCAATGTATTGCACCGTGTGACACACTGTCTCCAAGCCAACCAAAATGTCGCTTCACAGAAAAAGCCGCCCCACTGGTACTAACATCTACCCAGACCACAGTGCTAGAATCGCCCAGAAGCTTCTAGCACCCCCCAGCATCTTGTAGTTGCTGCCAGCAATTTCGCGATGGTGCATGATTCATCGTGCAGAGTCTCAATCACATCACACTGACTTCAATCTCACCCTATCCATATTGAAGCGATGATGGAAACGTCACAATCGGGTGACTTTAACCTCGGTGCTATTCTAGAAATGTCCATGTCACGCAAGCCAAGATGTTTCGCGAACTTTGGAGAAAAGTCTCCGCATGCACCTCTCCATGTATAAAGAAGTCCTTTGCAAACTCTTCAAGTTGGACTCTTCTCTCACCATCAGTCATCACAACAATCGACGCAACAGCAACAGCTTCATGCAAACCTGCAAAGCACCTCTTCGCAACATACTTTCTCGCAACAGCCGCACTCTAAAGCCCTCTTCTCTAAGACCACTCGCAACCACACCAACTCGCAAAATGTCTCTCTTCCAGCGCAACTTTTACTCTCCCGAGGCTTCCTTCACGCCTCTCTTCCGCCTCCTCGAGGATTTTGACAACTACTCCCGACAAGATAATGGCACCGCCCAAGGTCGCCGCACTGGCCTCGCCCACTGGCAGCCCAAGTTTGACGTGCGCGAGACCGACTCTGCCTACGAGCTCCACGGCGAACTGCCCGGCATGAGCAAAGAAAACGTGAGCATTGAATTCACAGACTCTCAGACCCTGCACGTCAAGGGCAAAGTCGAGAGGACCTACACCTCCGGCACTCCTCCCGCCGGTGCCCTAGAGGGCAGCTCCAACGCCGGCACCATCACCGACGGCAAGGAAGAGTCAAAGGCGGCTTCTCACAAGCCCACCGTCCAAGACGCAAACGAAGACGGCACCCCCAAAGAAGGCGAGGGCCAAGTCGCAACGACCTCTGAGGAGAAGAAACCCGCCGACTCTGCCAAGTACTGGCTCACCGAGCGCAGCGTTGGCCAGTTTTCACGCACCTTCAACTTCCCTTCTCGTGTCGACCAGGATAACGTCTCGGCCAATTTCAAGGACGGCATCCTGAGCATCACTGTTCCCAAGGCTGCCAAGCACGAGCCGCGACGCATTGCTGTCAACTAAATTCACTCATTAAAAAGCAACGGATTCTATCAAACGACAAAATTTTGATGTTATGATGCATGGGCTAGGAGTTTTGGAGTCGAATTGAAGAGCGATGGAGGTGGAAGATAATAGCCACTCATTTACAGTATAATAGCTGTCATTACATATAGTTTTTAATTAAAAAAACACATTCGTTAAACCATATGATTTGCATAGTCCTGTGATACAAAAGGCGTAGATTCCATGGTATTTAATTGTGTTGCGCATTTCCAATTACTTTGCATCTATTCTACTTATAATGTGATTTTTTTTGCAAGTATTTGGACTAATACCGCGGATTTCCCACGATGAGACGTAGACTTGTCCCTCTCACCACCAAAGCTGATTGAAGCGTAACACTCTCGCTTTTAAAACGACCACTGATAAGCCGCAAGCTTCTTGTGGTATTGTCTAGATGAGTCGTCGTCGAAGATTGTATTCTGATTATTGCAAATTTCAGTTTGTCCCGAGGAAACCATACGCATCGGCCTGCACGTTATTTCTAGTGATGTGTGTATTTTAGGTAAGCTATGAATGAAGCTGAGGGACAACAATTACCGGTGATGGTGACACGCAAGCTGCATCTTAGATTCGGTTACCCCTGTATATTAGCAGCACCTAATACCTACTAGTATTTCAAATAACCTTGCATCAATATTCTACCTAGGTATGCCTGTAACAATAAATCGTGGCTGAGTAGCTAGCACCGAGAGCAAAGGGAGCAACGTCAAGGCGTCTGTACATGACACTAATGCGTAATTGCCTTGCAGATACATTTCACTTCCATAGAGCATCACAACAGAGCATCAAGCTAGACAGCTGAATACCTACCCTATACAGAGTAAATATCGTGAGAACCTTGATGTCCCAGCCAAGCTTGATTTTTCAGCAGCGGTCCCTCGGGTCGCTTGTGGAGTCGCGCTAGCAGCTACAGCGAATCAGGGCGCAGGTAATTTGAGAGCGCCCGTCATCGCTAGCCTCGTGCCTCGCCTGAAGCGCCCAAAAAGGACATTCACCCGCCTCTGCGTTCATTGCGTTGCGGCCTGGACCGCATGACTCGGATCGCGATGCCGCTCTGCAGCGATTTGGCGCAGGCGTGCCATTTGTCGAGTGTAGAGGCTGCTGTACTGGGCTCTATTTCATCTTGCAGGATGCCTTAGTGAAGAGAAGAGTGTCGATTTTCTTGTGACTTGATGCCGCCCCCTTTCCTGCTATTTTCACAGCATCAGACCAAGTGCGGTGATTCAGCCTCGCCATATGCAACACCGTAGTTCCAATGGCAATAATGAGCGTATAAATAGCACTCGTATAAAACACCATTTTGGAACCAACCGTATCTTCATCGTGGCCCCGGAAGAAGCCGCAGTGCTAAAGAACAGCAAATTTGGTGGAGTTCGCCGGGCGTAGAACCCAGGACGGCGGCCATCAAGGTTCTCATCACGTCTTGACGTATGCGGGGCGGAAAATTGAGCAGCCTTTTCTGCCTCCCACAGCCCCCAGAGCCGAATCGCTTCTCATTTTTGCACCAAACCCGCGTAACAAAGCTCAAAATCTATTCTTTCACATGCCATTTACATAGCCTGTACTATATTCTATACGACACTATCCTGAAGCTCAGATCAAGCTTGCTTAATCCCCGCAGCATCGGTTTTCCCCCTTTGCGATTCCTCCGGCAACTGGTCAAATCCATTCTCCGACGGGTGTGACTCGAACTCGGCCTCCAATTGTCGAAAAGAGAAGAAAACAAGCACAGAATCGTGTGACAGTTCGAAAAGGATTTAGCAGAAGCTTCACCGCAAATAATCGGCCAGTGTTGTCCGGTTACCGAGGCGTGTTTCTCCTCTGAGAGCTCGGCATCTTCGTTCTTGCCTCCTCCTTAAAGCCAAGACTATCGAAACTCCGCTCTGTTTGCGCAGCGTTTGGCAATAATTGAGTAGCTCGCCGTTTCTCGATCTGCTTGTTATTCCACTTTCAAGCCACAAAGCAGAATATCGCCTATACCGCCCTCGACGACGACAGCCACTGGCAAACTGACGGTGTGGCACGCGTCTCCTTGAGAAAAGGCACTCATTGTCTCTTCTCTCCCACATCCGGCATATTTTTAACATAGCCCCGTCTTGATAATTTATGCCGTGAAAGAGTGCACTCATCAGTGGGCATTTTTGGCTCACGCGGCGTCTCCGGCCTACCAAGTAGTCACATCGAGCAAGACTACACCTTCATTTTTGCGACAGCCGTGCCAACAAACACACTTACATCATGGCAGACACATTGGATAGCTGCAATGGAGACGTTGTCGATCTCAAAAACCGCGGGCTGCGCATCGGCGCCATCTTCATCGTCATGGCAGCTGCAACGTTTGGCGCATTCGCACCAATCCTCCTTGCTCGGCAAACAAAAATGCACGTTCCCAAATTCACATTCTTCATCTGCAAATACGTCGGTACCGGCGTGATTATCGCAACCGCATGGATGCACCTGCTAGACCCGGCAATAGACAATCTGTCAGATCCCTGCCTTGCTCCTCGGCTAGGGGATTACCCTTGGGCTCTGTGCATCAGTTTAATGACCGTCATGGTCATGTTCTTTGTTGAGCTTCTCGCTGCAAGAATTGGAGGGGACGAGGATGAACACAGCCACTCGATTGGCTCCGACAGCGATTCCGGGCCGACTATCAAAGCACTGGCTCACAAGAAATCAACCGAAAAAGAAGCCATCGCTGAAGCCTGCCCGCACGATCTTGAGAGGGGCGTCCTTCGTGGGCCGAACTCGACAACGATTCCCGGCCTCCCCGACGACGTGAGTTATCCTCCTGGGGGAGAGGATCATCTCGCCCATGGCCATGAGCATGAAGACGGCGACTCACATGGTGGCCTGGCGGGTCAGCTCACAGCCATCTTCATTCTTGAATTTGGTGTCGTTTTCCATAGCGTATTCATCGGACTTACGCTCGGTACTACAAATGACCTCGTTGTCCTTCTTGTCGTACTAGTGTTCCATCAGATGTTCGAGGGCCTCGGTCTGGGATCTCGACTGGCAACAGCCCCCTGGCCCAAAGATAAATGGTGGCTGCCATACGTGCTCGGCTTCGCGTTTGCCATTTCAACCCCAATTGGAACGGCCGCCGGGATCGGCGCGAGGCCCAACAATGCCAACACTCAGAAGCTTGTTAATGGCATCTTCGACTCCATCAGCGCTGGCATCCTCATGTACACGGGCCTGGTTGAGCTCCTGGCACACGAATTCATGTTCAACCCTCACATGCGAAAGGCGCCATTGAAGATTCAGTTGTTTGCATTTGGCTGCGTAGCATTTGGAGTGGCCATCATGTCTCTATTAGCGAAATGGGCGTAATGGGAAAGCCGTGTTTGATTACTGCGATTTGGCTTTTCGGTATGATCTGTACGATATTTAAACTCGGCGAACTGGCATTTTGGATGATTGGGTTTACTAGAAGCGCGTCGGTCACTGCATTTGGGATGGGCGAGACTAAAAGAAGGCATTGTTGTATTATAGACTTTTCAATCATGATATGCATCTGGACTGCCATAGAGCTGTGATTCTTTGCAATGCTTGGCCAAGTTCGTGCTTGAATTGGCGCCATCTCCTGTATCCACATGCCGCTCAAAATTCAACGCATTTAGCCGATATTTCTCCGCCACTAGACTCCTTCATTCTTAGTCATCACAGCACACGCGCTATGCATTTTCACTCATGTGCGCTAGGGTCGCAAGCCCTACTTGGCGCCAACCCTCACAGTTTGACGTCCCGCGTTCAATCTCGAACTTTTCTCGACCTTCAAGCCAAGTCAATTGCCCACCAGCTTCACCGTCCTCTCCCCCCAAACCACCATCCAACACCGTTAAAATGGCCGGCGGAATCACCGTTCGCGATGTCGATGTAGGTCTACCCTGAAAAACAATGAAAAAATGAATCTATAGGATTTTTCTCCCCCAACGAACGACCTCGACGATCTCGCAACTTGCCCCCGAAGAAGAAGAAAAAATATCATCGAAGCCTCCGATACTGCGATGTTATGATCGGCGCCGCAGAGCCACAGCGGCTTGAGTTGAGAAATACCCAGCTGTCTGCGCCTCGGGGCCGACGACATATACATTTGCTGTGAACGAGCGTGGGAATGTAGAGATATATGAAGAAAAAAAGAGATACAAAATTCTTTGAGGGATCTAGGAGCAGGCGCGAGGGAGTCGAAAGACTTCTGACGACGGAATATTTGCTAATGGGGTCTTTTTTGTAAATCAGGCGCAAAAGTTCATCGTCGCCTATGCTGCGTTCTTGAAGCGTCAGGGCAAGCTGCCCATCCCCGGTATGTCGCCGCTTGACAAGGCTGAAATCCCTGTACATGTCGTTTACTAACATGCTCTCTCAGGATGGGTCGACACCGTCAAGACCGGTGCCGCCAAGGAGCTCCCTCCCCAGGACATTGACTGGTTCTACGTCCGCGCCGCCTCCGTCGCCCGCCACGTCTACCTCCGCAAGACCGTCGGTGTTGGCCGCCTCCGCAAGGTCCACGGTACTGCCAAGAACCGCGGCAACGCCCCCTCCCACCACGTTGATGCCTCCGGCTCCGTCGACCGCAAGGTCCTCCAGTCCCTCGAGAAGATTGGCGTCGTTGAGCAGGACGAGGACAAGGGTGGCCGCCGCATCACCCAGTCCGGCCAGCGTGATTTGGACCGTATTGCCCAGACCACCGCTGAGGCCGAGGAGGAGGAGGATGAGGAGTAAATTTTACCAATAAAAAAAAGTTGAAATTTTTCTAATTCCTTTTTTTTTCTTCAATTGTCATGGATGGGCGGCATTTAAAATGGGCGTACGGACTTATAGTTTGAGGTGTATGAACAAGATTCCCTCTGGTTTTTGGGCTTTCGGTTATCAAACTGGACGTGTCGCAGCCGTCTCTTCATGATCAATTTGCGTTTCCATATGAATGTGACTATGTGATTGTGTGAGCCAACGCAGATGCCCACTGTATATCGTAATAATGCTTATGGTATGTCAAGATGGCGTATTGAAGGGGACATGCAATTAGTTCTGTGCTTCTTATTTTGTTGCTGGGACAGCTCATGTCCAATTAGTATCCCAACTGAAAAATTTCGGCATACTCCCAGCAGCTGACAGGTGTATAGGCGTATGTTGAAGAGCATGTAGAAATAGAACCCACCTCAGCCATCTTGGTTCCATACTGGTACTTGTAGCATCTTGATTTCATCGCTACGAACACATAAATACTAAACTACTCTGCATTGTAGGTACCTAAGTATTATCACATTCTCAGATATCTCTGAAAAAAAAAAAAAGAAAAACGCAAATATTCTTGATGCTGGGTAGCGAGTAGATGTGGGAAAGATTAGCTGCGTATCAGAGTGCTGTAATTAACAAGTGGTAGGCATTCAATCGACAGGGAAAAAAAGGAACATTAATAGGCATCAAGTTCAAGTAACATGGAAGAGTGAAATTGCAATCACATATACTTGAATATTTGAGCGTCATCTTTGTGTCCAAAGCTTAGATGGATTTTTTCTGTAGACGCATGGCTACTCGCGAACGATTACGTAATCACACATTGTCTACTCGGACTACAACACCACGTTCTACTGTGGCAGAGTTGGTGATGTTTTCGTCACTACTTTCATCTTGTGGACATTGCAGCAGCCAAACATTCGACTTTCAATTGATCCCAAACAAGTATGTTCAAGATGTATGAATTACAGGATGGCATCGTACCATCCAAAGACCGGCCTCATTTGCCTATGTCGCGCGAATTTCTTCACATCGCCCCTGATATCCCTTGTGTTATCTGAAGAATGGCACATATAGCCGCAACGTATGACCTATTAACACTGAGCAAGAAGTCAATGCACTATGAAACGTGCAAATCTACAGGAGAGCTATTTGAGGGATGCCATCGTGGACTTTCTCTACGCTCTGATTCTTACCAGAACATGACCTCTTCTGTTAGGCGGACAGAAAGGGTATACCTTTCACCGCCTGCGAGGCCACATCACCACAAACCACCACACGTGCCGAGTACCTGTCAGTCGACGCTGGCTTTCCAACAAGTGTGCTTCCAAGGAGGTGTCAGCCAAGTCAACCTCTTGGAAGCTCTCCCAAACTCGGAGAGATAGCTAAAGTAAGCACGAATTCCTCTCCATCACATGCGCGTTTCGCTTGCTAATTACTGCGCAATAGGAGTCACCAAGCAGCGCTGATCTGGAATTCAAAGCTTTACAACCAGCCCTGTGAATGACAAGCTGCACTCACCCCTCAACATCAACATCTCGCGCCATCAGCGGGCAGCCATGGAGGCCGCCGCCGAGCAAGAGTCTCTCCAACCAAGACCGCTGCCAGAGTTTGACGTATCTTTTCGAGATACACTGCCATCCTTCTATTTCCACCACATCATCGACCCCATCGCCGCAACCCTCCGCGTCGAAGTGCTAGGCCCCAACCTCGCATACACCTTTCGCCACGACCGCGCAAAAGAGAAGCGCCTGCCAGCCTCCAACATCTTCAGACGCCTGAGCTGCAAAACCACAGGCTTCCTCGCGCTTCGGACCGATGCCGGCAAGAAGCGCATCGTGCTCGCCTGGGCAGAGAGCGGCCACGGAATTGGCACAAACGGCGACTTGCTCGATCCCGAGCCAAGCGCCCTTCCCAACGACGTGTGGGCACAAAGAGTGGTTTCTGTAGGCAAAATGTTTGGCTTGCGAATGAACCGCCCATATGACGGCAGAATCTCCGAGGTCGTGGGTCGAGACATGTCGGGCATATTCCAGGGCGGCCACGTAGAGGTGAAGCTCGCGCTGCACGCCGTCTTTGTCCTGCTCAACAAGTTTGGCATCACGCAAGACCTGGACAACGTTTCGCTCAGACACTTGAAGAGGCTGCGCGCCGCACGATGGGAGGACGGCTCGAAACCCGCCTTTGAGATTTACTTTTCGCGCAAAAACTGCCCCTCTTGCGGCAAGTTCGTCAAGACGCTCCAAAAGGCCACGGGAATCAGGCTCAAGCTCATATGGAGAGATCGTCTCGTCAAGATAGTATACGAATCGAAGCAGATAACCAAGACGGGCCCGACGAACCGGCCGCGGCAGCCGCAGCAATCGCAGCCACAAGAGGTTATTGACATTGACATGGACGACTGCGTGACAATCATCACCGAGATGACAGAGGAGGTCCGCGCTATTGACCTAATCGACCTCTCCCGCGACCAGCGCTCTGCCGCCGAGATTATCAACCTCACCGGCGATAGCTGCAACGGTGACACCGCCATCAACCAAACCAACGCCGACCCCTCCACTCCCACCGAACACGCACCAGGATCACTGCCCTCTGCAGCAGACGCTTACATCGACGGCCTGGCATATTGTGTCGGCCAAATCGAGCAGTGCCCTGCAGGCGCCCAAACCGCCATCCTGGAACTCGCCGCGAAACTCCACCAACGCAGTGCAGCAGCAGCAGCCCGTGCCAACATCAACAAGCCGCTCCCTGCCACGCCTCAGGTAGCACCGCCAGACTTTGGTGCCGAGGCCGCTTTGCCGACTCCGCCATCCAGCGATGATAGACGTGACGACGAAGTGAATGGCGATGCGCTAAGAGCGTTACTAGAGAATTCTCAAAACGAACAAGACGCCTCGAGTCCCGTTCGTCAAACGACAACTCGCATTGAGATTTACAGCGCTGGGGATGCCGGAGCAGAAATGCCTGCGTCCGCCAGTGGAAGGCAGCATCAAGGCCACAAAAGGGCTTCCTTCTACATTGAGATTCCATCTCGCCGATGGGCCAGCTCTCCGGACCCGTTTTGAGTGCTGAATTGGAGGATGACCCTTTTTGTAAAAAGTAGTGGCGGCTATTGTTATCATGTTTAAGAGCTCAGATCTCATGTATGAACGCTACCAAGAGCATCCTTAACATTTCATCTTCATATTTGGGCTTGCTATTATACATGCCACATTATTACCACCTACATATCTTTTACACAATACACGCAGTATTTAACATCTCTCTCTCTCTGCCATGTGATGCCATACTATTATCCAAAATCAACCCTCCCTCGCCCTCCCCCTCACAACCCCCCTAAACTTCTCCCCCAACACCTCCACCACAACACTCACATCCGGCGCCTTCAGCTCCTCCTCACCATCCCCCCTACTCCCCGCCAACTTCCTCCCCCCCAGCCCCAACTTGCCCATCGTCGTAACAAACTTTACATCCTCGCCATGGCGCGGGGGGCCCTCCCTTGACGCCGGCGTAATGACCGTCGTGTCGAGCAGGGACTGCCACTGCGAGAGATAGACGCCCGGCCCAGACGTCATGGACCCATGAGCAGCAGCAGAAGAAGCAGTAGCGTTGATAACCATCTGCAAGCGCCGTTGCGAAAGCCGCGTCACGGAATCGAGATAGCGCGCGTGTGAATCAATCGCCTCAAGCACCTTTTCTCTCGTGGCCTCGTCAAGAGAAGCAAACAACCCATTCAACAGCTCCTTCATACTCTTCCTCCCTTCATCACCACGAGGCTGTCTAAACCGCACAGCCACATCCTTGGCCCACCGCCGAAACTCCTCCCACACCTCGGGGCAATTCTCCGCAAAGTCATGAATCCACCGATACAGCAGCCCGCGATTATTCCTCAACAGCACCACGTAATCCTCCACGCTCGCCATCCTATCCCCTTGACCCTCGCTCCTCTTCTTCGGCCTGCTCGCCCGTATGAAATCCGTAATGAACCCCTGCGTCGCCTCCAAGTAGAACCGCAAATCCACCCGCGAATGCACGCTCCGAATAATCGGCTCGTACGCACCCACCACGTCCTTGACCGCCTGCGTAAACAGATCCGGCGGCGTGCGGCACAAGACGGCCGTAATCGCCTCGCGGTCATGCACCGACAGCAGCGCCGAGTAGTACTCCAGACACAGCCTATGCTGAGCATCCGTCATGCCCGCCGCAAGCCGCCCATCCGACGCCTCAAGAATCGTCACGATGATGGATCTCCCGCTCTTGACGCTCTCCTCTCTTGCAGCAACATGCTCGCTCCTCGGCAGCGAGACATACACCCGAATCGCCTCGAGCATCTCCTCCGTCGGCGCCGCATCGCTCTTTGACTTTTCAACCTTTTCCGCGCTCTTCCTAAACTCCGACGCGTCCCACGACAAAACAAGCGAGATGATGCGCTGCAGCAGATTCATGCCGTCGTCAGCGTTCGCCGTCAACCCAACCCAATTCGTCAGGCTCGTGACGCTCAGCTTGGCCAGCATCAGCCGCATCATGCCGCTAATCATGGTGGCGGCGTTGCCAATGCGCAGCGTCTGCTTGATCATCTTGTAGGGGATCAGGCTGTTGATGTTTTCGATGAGCTTGAGGAGGTACTGGCCCTCTGGCGAGAGGATGAAGATGTGGTGGGCAAACGTGGCCAAACTACACACTGTCAGGGCATTCCTTCATCACCGACTTGATCAAACACTCACTGGATAATGGCATAGTCCAACGCAGCCTTCATCATCGGCGAATGGCCCTCTACGTCCTCCGTCCCCTTGACATGATCAAACACCTCCTCCACCAGCCCCCCATACGCCCACTCCCGCCACGCATCCTCAAACGCCCTCGCCAGATCCTCCGCCTTGCCCTCATCATAACTCTTCTCCTTGTCCTTCTTCTCTTCATACAAATCTCCATCAACTCCCCCCAGCAACCCCCTCGCCACCATCTCCATCACGCTGCTCGCCCCCGTCGCCAGCGTCTTCCTCGTCCCCATGGCCCCCTTGTCGAAACTCTCCGACAGATCCGCCTCCGCAAACCTCGCCAGCAGGCCCTGCATCCGCACATCCCAAAACTCGCCCGGCAGGTCCCTCACGCCGGGAAACGGCAGCACCAGCCTCGTCAGCAGCATCTGCAGCACCGGCGACGTCGATTCCACCTCGCCATCATCATCACCACCATCATCACCATTCTCCTCCTCCTCAGCAGCAACAGCACCCTTCCCCCTCCCCCCAAGCCAAAACGACGACACCGGCGTCCTCGACCTCGTCGGCGTCCCCGGCCCCGATCCCGACTTGGGCGTCCCTCCCACCGACTGCGACTGCGTCTGCGTCGCCGCCACCTTCATCGTCCTCGCAAAGGGATATCCATAGCCCGTCACCGCATCCGGCGCCTTGAAGCCCTCAATCTCGCCATACGTCTCGTGGTGCGTGAGAATGTCAAACAGCGCCCGCGTCTGGGCCTCGCTGAGTCTGAGCGCTTCTGTCGTCGTTGAAGGCGGCGGTGCCTCTGAAGCCGCCTCTTTTGCATCCATCGCGTATGATATCCTGCTTGCTTCCTTGTATTACACTTCTTCTCCTTCCTTTCCCTTCTCTCTTCGAAAATATATATAAAAAAAAAGGCACAGCTACTATAGAGCCGACCCTACTGATGATCAAGGTAGCAAGTAAGCTTATCGCATCATCCCAAAACTAGCGCAATCTCTAATTCATCGAAAACATATAAAGGCTTCTAGAAAGCGCAGAAAGGCTTATATATAAGTAGGTATCCGTAGATGGCAACGGGTTCAATCAAGACACGAGTGGCGGTCAATGAAAAAAAGATAAAACATGGAACAGACGGAAGAGGCGAGTTCGTTGAGTAAGCCGCAGGGAACAAGCCAAATCTTCGGTTACCTGTTCGGGCGCACCACGGGCGACTTTATTTGATCGGCACAAGCTCAAGAAGCGGCCACCAGAAAGCCATTTCAACTCTCATGGATACGTAAGTCTAGAGGTGAGGCCAATTGCGGGTTAGCTTCACGCCACCGAGATCATCTTTTTTCGTCTCTACAAGACCCACTTCAACCTCAGTCCGGAGACGTCATACTCAATACTAGTAGCACATGCTTAGCAGTGACATCAAACGGTCAATTTACCAAGCACAAGGACAAAGATAGTCACAATTTCAATCTCATCAAATCAATTACTACAACACTAATAGCTATATTACCACCGTGGTATCAGGTAGGCGTACGCCAAGAAAGGAGCGATGAGGATATCGTAACGGGATATAATAGGTGCGGCATACAGAACAGAAAAGAAACATGAGCATCTTCGACTGATAACAAGTAATTCAGGCTCCAGTAAGCTGGAAACCAGTAAACAAAGGAAATGCAATATAGTTCAAGGGAGAAGCAACCTCACGCTTGTCCCAACGGGTATAGAACTTCCACATCTGCACTCCCAACTGATCGTTCACTGCCCTTTTTCTTCAACATTGAAATAAGTCCACCGCTGCATCCCTAGTAAGCAGCGGGAACATGTCCGCCGAGAGGGCCGCCGTTTGAGCCTTCGCCAGCCACAGCCAGGCCCTTGCCGTTGGCCAAGCCACTGCCATTGATGTTGCCATGGATGTTGCCATTGAGAGAGCCAACATTGCCATTCACATTGCCATTGGTGTGTCCACCAGAGACTGTATGAGCCTTTCTCTCGATTCGGGGCACGCTGGGAATGTCGGTGCTCTTCTTGGCGTCGCCAATGGAAAAGACGGGGCTCTCCCACTTGTTGCCCTTGGCAGCGAGCTCCTTGTATTCAGTCGCCTTGGAGCTGATGCCGCCAGGCAAGTGAATGTCGGGGAAAATGCTGTCCTGCTTAGTCACGGCGATGTTGACCTTCTTGTCCGAAACAAAAGCCTCTGCCTTCTCCTTGCCTTGCAGGATTCTCTTTTGCATGGCATTGTAGTATCGCATGTAAATGTTGGGGGCCTCCTCAGGGTTGGCCTTGGCCTCTTCGGCGGCACGATCGGCCTCCTGCTTGACCTGGTAGAGGAATTCGTCGGCCTGGTTGCACTGGTCCTTGATGGCCTTCTCGATTGCCTTTTGTAGCCCTGGGCGGATAGCCTTGAGCGCAAGTGGCTTAAAGAGGCCGAATAGGAGCTTGTGGTTCGACTTCTTAACTTTGAGTTTCAGGCCCTGGACGTTGACGTCTACCTTTTCCACCTTGAACACGTGCTGGGCATCCTTCTTGCTTGGGGTGGATACCTTGAGCCTGAAAGAGAAGCCGTCGCCGGGGAGCACCATGTCGAGCACTCCAGTATCGGTGATGGAAGGAAATCCGCTCTTGCGGTTGATGTGATAGCTGACATCTCGGAGATCCATCTGAATACCAGTAACCTTGACATCCAAGCTATGCGTGTGCTTGTTTGCAAACTTCTTGCGTCCCCAGCGCATATAGTTGTCGCTGGCAATCTCAATAATGTTGGGCATGAAGTTGTCGCTCTCAAGCACCAGATTTTCAATAATGGCATCGACTTTGGGGTCAGAGTACTCAATGCGTGGGATCGGAACATACGCAATGTTCTCAAGGATGGCAGGGATGATGACTTCTGTCAGATCCTTGACGAGATGAGGCTTGAACGCAGGCTTTCCGTCCTCGTCATTGCCCAAATCGTTGAAAAGCTTCTGGATGGCAAGACCGAATGCCTTGTTTTGGGGATCTTGGTCGAACTGATCCGCAATAAATCTGACCTCGTCAATGACACGGTCAGTGTGGCTGCGGTATTTCTCACGAAGTAAGTATCGGCCGTGGTCGTAGAGTTGATTCCAATCGTCGGTAGACTGCTCCTCGAGAACATAGCCCTGCTCCAAGAGGCATTTGCGGATGTAGGTGTCGACCTGCTTGAACCAATCGTTGAGCTCTCGGTCTTGATCGGCATCCTTGTAGATCTGGCTGATTGACTGCCACAAATCTTCGGTCGAGGTGCCATTGGCGAAGCGCTCAATCAACGTGCGCAAATCTTCCTCGGCCGCAGACAGCCCAGTTCGCACGTCCTTGGCGGAATCGGCAGAGCCTCTTCCATAGTTGCGTCCATGTCGACCGTATTCCTCGGCCAGCCGAAGAAGAGTCTGCACGGCCTGCATGTAATCGGGGTGCTGCTGGCATTCAAGCACAATCTTTTTGAGACGGAAGACTACCTGATCTCTGCGCTCTTGAGGCATCTTCTTCTTCAGGTATTCTCTGGTTCTGCGACGGTACTCTTCATTCCGCGTCTGAGCCTTCTCCTGAAGATCATTGTCTAGGTTTTTATCCAACTTCTCGTTCACCACTGCCTTGGCTGCGTCGGCAGATGTGTTTTGGCTGAGCTGAGTAGTGTTAATGGCACCGCCCTGAGGCACCGTTCCCACAGGAGGCAGTGCTCCAATTTGAGGCGCCGCATCCGCTGGAGTTGTCACTGGAGGCACGACTCCCGGTGGATGCAAAGATCCCGCCTGGTCCATCCTCGCTTGAGGAGTCGCACCCCCAAGGGCAGTAGCAGCGACAGCATCGTGTGCATCCTGCTTGACATCTCCCTTGTAGAGCGTTCGCGCCTGGTTCTTGAACCCTTCCTTGGAAAGATCAGGCTTCTCATGCCATGTGTTGTCGGGAGCAGCTTCGTCCATCTGGCTGAGTTGTTCATCAGAGGGACGAATCTTGTTCGCAGCGTTCATAGCGCCGTCTCCAACCATGTCACGGAGTAGAACAGAAGCATCCTTGACTATAAAAATGGTCAGTCTCGGCGATTCTTCGCCCGGGATTAGAGGGGGAAAGTCGTAACGTACGCAGTTTCCGGAACTGGCCATTTGTTATGAGCAAAGTGCCCAAAGTTCGCAGCCCCTCGAGAGCTTCATCCTTGTCCCGCGTCGCAGTGTCCTTGGTCAACGGAGCGTTTGGAGACTTGAGGCCCTTGGTATCGTAATGCGTAGTCTGCCAAATAAAGTCCTGAATCAGGTTGCCGTGATTCTTGGACAGCAGAAGCTGCTTCGCGAGCTTCACAACTTCTCTCGCGTCCTCCACTAGCACCTTTCCATCGGCGGAGAGCTTGTTGGAAGGGCTGTTGAGGGCCTTGGACTCTAGAAAGCTGTTCAAGGCAATGTCGATTTGTTCGTTCTACAAGCCTGGAGTCAGCAAATCGCCGCGAGAAACAGCATTTTGTATACTCAAGTACATACAGAAGGCGTTTTGCCATTCTTGAAGGCATTGAAAATGCCGTAGATCTGGAGCTTGCGGTTGATGTCATTCTCCTTCTGCTTGATGTCGACGGGTTTGTTGACATTAGCAGACATGGTGAAGGTAGTCGCGATTCTTGGTCTTGATCAATTCGAAGGTGAATTCGGCAAAAAGAGAAACAAGATTGAATTAAAAAAAAAAAAGACAAAAGAAGCGTGCTCAGTCAGGTGAGAGGCACGTAGAATTTGGTATGGGTCGAAGACGAGCGGAAGAACAGATCAGGAGCGGAAAAAAAGAAGAAACAATTGGTATTTGGTGAGTGGTCGTTTGGAGATTAGACTGGGGGCGAAAAGCAGCAACTTTGGGGGGTATCTCAGAAATTACTAGTAGGTACGGGTTGTAGCTGATGGATGGAAGAGAAAAGCAGAAGCACAGGGCAAGAGCTGCAAGCGGCAACCGCAGTTTATAACACCCAGTAGCAGCTGCCGTGAACTGACACGCGCCGAGAAAGCTAGACGAGCTGCTCCTTCCACTGACCCTCAATTACATCAATTAATTCCTGCTAGTGGCATCGAGAATCCAGAAAGCAACGAAATCAACAAACAGCAGTCGCGGAGCTTGATGCCCATGCCAGGGCAGTGACGTTGAGTTCGGTAACAAGTACGTCATCGCGTTGGACAGTCTCAGGACGGCAGCGAATGGGAGGAGACCGCCCGAACTGAGCTGTACCTTGACCGTTGGACAGGGCGTGCTGTAAGTTGGAGGCCCTTGTTTTGCCCACGGTGTGCCTGTAGGCGTCTCAGCTGCCAAGTCCCGGAGCTGTTTTACTTTGTTCTGCAGCACGGACTCGGGGATTAAATTTGAAAGAAGTACATAAACAAGAGAGGCGTATGCGCATTGAGGCATCGTCGGGCATCTGTCCAATGAGATGGCAGAAGAGCAAAGAGTAGCGCAAGTAGCTCAGGACAGGGGCGTGTGCTTTCCGGCGCACAGACGATCTGCAGCCTAAGCAAAAGCCGGAAATTGCCCACGATCGTTAGCATGTGCTGCGATGCATGAGTGAGACGTCTTCATCATGGCATGTTCTGGTTCTATGATCCGTTCTGCACCTGTTCTTTTCTTCGATTTAATGGTGTGTATTCCATCATATGACAAAACACATTGTGCCTGAAGCCCAACTTAAACTTTGCGCCCTACTATCAAATACGAGTATCGCTCCGCAAAAGCTTTTTTTCTGGCACAGCCCGGGGAATCCCCACCTCCATCTACCGCCGACCCGCTGTGGCGACGACCAAGGGGGCACCCGAAAATTGAATGCACGGCTGCAGAATGTAAGCGTCATCGAAACGAAAGATGCCTGCATCTCAGCCATGACGAATGCATTGCTTGCTGTACAACTGTGCAAGGATAAACATCAATGACAGAATAGTCATCTCTCGTAGGGTAAAAAGGTTTACGGGAACAATTGCCGGTATCGATGGCCAGAAGCAGTAACGACAGTAGCGGGTATTCTCACGTCTTTCTACTTGGAGTAGGAAATCATGTCAATTCATATCCCGCGTGTCTGTCCGGCTAACACGGCCAATATATCACATTGACATGGTTATTGAATGTGCTGGTTTATAGAACATCTCCATCAGTCTCCACTCTGCCATCTGAGACAAAGTGCTTCCCAAAGCAACCCTCGCAAGTCAAGCCGGTTTAAATGAGGTGGCACAACAAGGCTAGAAACAGTTAGCACAGGTACCTAGCAGCAGCAAAATACCCGAAGCAAGCCAATCTACACGGTCGTTTTAAGAACAAAAGAACAAGCAATCCATTGTTTGCAGCTCAAATAACGCCGTTGCAGTGTATCTATCATAACGTAAAACGTGACCATAGCAATAATCCCCTAAACCATCAATTGGCTTCACCAGTCGGTGCTGTTCTTGACGCGGTGCCCAAATCATTAAAGACTTTTGCCTTGATCTGAGCCGCCATCAGCCCAGACATCTCCTTGGTCGCAATCAGATTTGCATCCTGAGCAAGCTTCTCCACCGCTTTATCCGAGCCTCTCGCACCAGGTATCATTGCAGACGCAACCCTCGAGCGCATAATGTTGGACGTGGCCTCTTTAATCTTGGAGCTCAAATCCAGCATTTGCTTGTTGCCGTAGTCGCGGTTTGTCAGCAGCGGGTCCTGGCTAAGTGTCTGCACCCAGTATTTGTGCCACAGAAGCTCCAGGAGGTGCGAGTCCAGGGAGCTCTTGAAATGCGAAACCTCGAGGCTGTAGTATCGGCTTGAGTGGGCGCCAAACTCGGCAGCCTTGTCGAGAGGGATGGCTTGGAACCCGTCAGACGTCTGCCCGCCACCACCGTCGGCCTTGTGATTAGCAGGATAGGTTCGGAAGGCTCCAATCTCGACTTTGCCAGCGCTGATGGTGCGATCGGGGTCGATAACTACCGCCAAGAACGGATCCTGGAACTGCTGTTGTAATGCCTCCGTCTCCACGTCAATGCCGCTGAGCCAGCAGCCGTAGCCTGGGTGGCTGTGATACCATCCAACGACGTTCTCTGCCCTGCCCTGTTTGCGGCACAGGTCCAAGTATTCAATCAGATATTCGTTCGCTTCGTTCTGTGCGTTGACTCGGGTCTCGGTTCCTTCGACAGGCAGTCGGAAAGCGTCCGTCACCACAAAGGTCTCTCCATCGATGTGGCCCTGCATCAGGCCCATGACTTCAAGCGATCCTCCAGACCGGGCGTGCATGGTCATCTTGATCAGGGCAACGGCGCTAATCCTCACGTGTTTGAAATGGTTGGGATCCGGCTTCCATGCTTGAGCACTTACGATGGCCTTTTGGGCCTCGGCATCGAAGTTGTATAGCGCATCTCGCTTGGCGTCGACCAGCTGGACATTGTTGTCCAGCTCTATCGCGTCACGTTCGTCAGCTAGAATTCATAAAATCGATCCCAGGCGTCTTCATGATTGCTTACCCCACGCTGTACGTGCTGCGGCCTCCATCTTGAACTGCCGGGCTGGTGTTTGGCAGAGCGAAGATGGATGGGCTTGACGAAGCTCTAGAGGGAAGCTGTCACGGTTGATCTGCCCCGCCTGGAGACATCGCACGGCTTTATCGATTAGCGATAAGACTAAAGTGGGGACCTATCATCCAGCTCCAGCATGTCTGTTCTCGCAAGAATCAATTATGTCTATCTCTTTATTTCCGCCCATTCCGACTGCGTACACGTAGTAATAAATGGCTTCTTACAGTGCAGCTAGGGCTACCGATATTTGTATATTTTCGACTTAGTGTCTTGCCGCTTCGAATGCCCCTATGCACATGTTCCTCGTTAATAGCGCAGGCTCATGCTGGCAACAATTGGACATTCTGCTCTATGAGCACTTTAAGCTATATGCAACACCTTGTTGAATTTTCTTATGATTAAATTAGTTGGTCACTTCAATTCTGGTTCTAAGCATGCCAATCCCCGAGCAAATGGGATACAACCACTGCTTGAGATAGAAACGCATCATGGCATCCAACGTCGCCATGAGAACCTGCGACATCCGTCAGTGGGTTATTTTGATCACGGTTGTGGCTAGCAATCGGAATTCCAATATAAACCCCGTTTTGCAACGGCTCCACCACCTGTGTGGCACCTCCTGACCGCTTCGTCGATATCGATGGCATTTACGCATAATCACAAGACAAGATGGACGCAAAGGCAATCTGGCTTCAATCACATGCATTCTACAACAGATACAATCCAAGCAACAGAACAAAGATGTCAAAAACGATACAAGTACATGGTCAATACCATCAATCAGTCTCATATCCCAACGGCCACCACCTTGTCCACATTTGGGAGTTGATCCGTCCATGCATGACACTTCTTCTCGGCATATCTGCACTTTTAATAGCTGCAACGGAACGACGTTAGCTTATACCCCGAAAATAGCAACGAGAGGCAAGGAAGAATTACTTGAACACGAGAACCCCGTCTTGATTCCCAATGTAGTCGTCCAGGTTGATGACTTGCTCCTCCGCCAAGGAGCCATCCAGCCTGTACAGCGAAGTGATGAGCAGCGGTCCCTCCAGTCTCCACGACTCCACGTCAACAGAGTCAAAGATGCCGCTGCCTCCAAACTCGAAGAAGCCGTCATTGTTGCCGATGTACTCGTTAATGTCAAGCACGCTCTCAACCCAGTCACCGGCCTCGGTGGCGACGGTGGCAACGAGCAACGAGCCGTCAAGGCGGAAATCCTGTGCAGTCTGAGAAAAAGCCATGTTGTAGTGATGGGATGTGATGATTCAAGCAGATGATTGTAAAGTTCAAAAGAGTTATCAGGAAGACGAAATGGGTAGAGGCTCCTTAATATATGCCTCCTTGTTAGAGGCCTCCCTATTAAAAGCCTCCCTATTACAGGCAACGTGGTGCTATCCAGGCTTTCACATTTTGGGCTCAGCCGTCCAGGGTCCTGCAGCAGCAGTGTGCTCGAGTTTCACGCTGTGAGTGGAGGCGCGTTGCAGATGATTGCCGTGAAGCCGAACTGATGCCCTGAAGCTGAGCGAATTTGCAGTGTATGCCAACACAGCCCCATAGGGAATCCTGGCTAATGAGGGGTAACATCGTTCCATGAGAGATAAAAACGAAGGTTTCTGAACAGAGCCGCAGAGGCCGAGTTGATGGAAGCCATGGAAATGTATTGTTTTATGCCTTTTGTTCTAGTGGCTTGGCGCCTTCTATGAGACTGCAATAATTGGACACGAAAGAACTGCTAGTGCTAACAATCTTAGATCGATCGCTTTCTTGGCTCTGCTGGCGGTTTGCATCCAACGGCGGAATCTTGGCGATCAGTACTACCCCGAAACCCCCGCCCAGTTTGCAGGATTCGACCCCTCGGTTGGCGGGATTCAATATATACGAAGCTGCAGTGATACATGGGGATAAACAGGTGGGGTTCTAAGCTCTGTAACTCGTAGTATTGGCGGACATGGATCGTTGCTAACAGGAGGTCATAATAGAAGTCAGCATTATAGATTGTAAATCTTCCGTCTACCATGACTACCGTATATACTCATTGAAAGCTCATAGCTGATCTGTGGTGTTTCGATCATGTAGCAGAATTCTGGAAGCATTTTCGACCCCAAATATGAGTGTTTTTGCTACAACCGGCCCCAGTAAGAGCATTCGTGTTCTTTTTGGGCTTTGTTGAGATTACCGCACTAATACCGAGCATATTAGCCAACAATGGGGAGTTTTTTTTTTTCTTTTTTCCCTTTTTTTCTCATCTTTTCTCTTTCCTTCTTACTCTTTAAGCAATTTATTTCGTATTTACCGTCGCTTCGTAAGGAATCGTACTCCAAGCGCATAGCTGCCATCGCTACGGTTCAGGAGACGGACAGTCTCCACTGATCGGACCCAACTCTGGTATCAAATACGCGGGCCTATTTCCCAATTCTACCTCTGAGCCCGAATCACCACCCCGTTTATTTCTCAACCTTCACGGCCATGCTTAATTGAACGCAGAGATTGCCATTTCGATAATCTCGATTGTTCCGGCGCTACTAAACACGCGACGAGCCGTACCCGCAGATTCAGCATGTAGATCGTGGAAAAGACAGATCAACAGTAGGATAGTGGATTCTCCCACAACTAAAAGATCAAGTTGCATTTTTTTCTCCGAAGCCCACATAAGTTGACGTTTCACGAAAAGTAGATGGCGGGAGCGTGAGAATGGTATATAGATAAGAATAGATGTGGTACAAGTACATGCAAAAAATAGCTAGGAGATTCCAATGAATCGTCACAAGCTGGCTCCCAGTTTGATATATCCAACGCCGTGCTCAACACACAAAAACACATTGTAAAAAATGTCCCTAGTTATTAAAATTTTCTCTCTCAGAAAGTCGGCTAGAAACAGAATTCGCCTCCTTCCTCGGAACAAGCACCCAATCTTTCCCATCAAAAAGCCACACAAAGCTTTACAAGTCCCTCTCTCTCATCATTTTGATTTTGAGACGAGCAGAGCAGTGTGGACCTCGCCACCGCCAATGTTGGGATCCGTCAGGTTGGCCGTTGATAAGGGAGCAGGCTTGAGGTAGCAGTCTCCGGGGGCGCCTCCTTGCAGCGCAGTGGCCAAGACGCTCCATGAGGGAATGAAGGAAACGCCGACGCATTTCCCTTTTGTCGTGTTGTAGTGGTTCCATCCGGCGCAGGCGTCCATGCAGCCGTCGAAGTTGTTGGCGAAGAGAGAATACACGGGCGAGAGGCTGTGAGTGTCCTTGTCGCAGTACATGGTAAAGTTGGTGTTGTCGAAAGCTAAGGAGAATTAGAATCACTTTTTTCTTTTCTTTTCTTTTCGTTTCCTCCGAGACAAAGACACTTACATTGAGATGTGTACCTGGTTCCGTTGACGTCTCCCGGATTATCGGAGCAACCATTGGTGATGCTGTTCCAGTCTGTTGGAGCAGAGGTTTTAGAACTGCTGCTGCCAGATGAAGTGGGTGTGCCTCTGGCTTGGGCTTCGGCTGCGGCCAGTGCAGAGTTCAACGATCGCACACGGGCCTGTGCATCGTTGTAATTGCTGGCTGCGACTCCGGTACCAGCTGCTAATCCAATAACCGCGGCAGACAGGATGGCGATGATGATTGATAGGAGAAGAACGAGGGAGATTCCGCAGACAGTAGCAGCCGCAGCAGGAGTCGCCTTTTCCGGGTCGGCGGACCCTGGAGCTGCATATGAGGCATCGTGAGACATGGCACCTCCTACAGGCACTCCAGCTCCAGGTCCAGCCGCTGAGCCGGGCTTCACAGCATCGGTGTACTGCCCATTCTGTCCATAGGCACTGGGCGGATAGGCGCTGTGAGGCTGAGAGACATATGTCGGCGCGATAGATGGCTGAGGCGACCAAACTGGCTCTGGATGCGGCTGGACATAGGCCTCAGGCAAGTCGTGACCGACTGCCACCTCGGGGAAATCGTCGTGCTGAGAAGACATGTTTATTAGTCTCGGCAAGATCTTTACAGGTCTGTGTTGCTTTGCAAACTTACAGTCGGAGTCATCTTGTAGGCGTACGGATACGTCTTATTCGACATTCGAGCAGAGCCCCAAGACCTAAAAGACCACCCGGGGGGGCAGTTTGGGGGCCTGCGGAGCTTATGAACGATTTTCGATTTATTTTGGGCCTTGCCGACTCTTTCTCCATGGAGCGAGGGTATCGATCAGGAGAATGGGAGGAGAGGATCGGGGGGACCCTCTACCTTGCCCAGTCCACCTGGCTCTCGCAGGGATCAACTGCATACAGAACCCATTTGGCATCCAAACAGCAGGTGGAGTCTCTTGCTCAGCCCTACATCTACAGGCCATGGCAGGCATGTACTGCCACAATGTTCAATAGCGGCCATGCAGTGTAAAAACATGCATACTTGTACATGGAAGTTTAGAAGCCATGAGGTACCTATAACATGTTCCATCATGAAAGCAGCATTAGGGATGCATCCTCATCGCGTGTCATCCCCCCTCAACGCAACTGCAAATCCTGGGATCGGCTCTCCTCTGCATGGACAAGATTGCCACGGCAAAGCAGGCAACAGAGGATTCACGCGACTTGAATACAAAACAGCCCAAAGGGACCCTCAACACTAGCGCTGACGTTGCCAACATCAACATACGAGGGAGGTCCCATGTAAGCCACGCAAAAAAGTTGGCGGCGGCGCAGATTGTTTCCCCCCGGGATCACCCTTAGCTCAGGTGGACTTGAACCATCCCGCCGGTTATCCGCGCTTGGCCAAGCTGCTGGCCACTGTTTCCGGCAATTGAGTGATTAGTCGAGGCCCTCTCGTCTCATCATCGTCGCTATGTTTAGCCGCCTGCAGAACCGCGCCAACCAGTCAGGACGGCGGACAGGCCAAAAACCTGAAATGAACCAGGTCACCGCCCGCGTGGGAAAATATGCTTGGCTCATAAGCTAGCCCGCTGCTACATTGGCTGGGGTCTGTTTCTACAAAGCCCGAATACAGGAGTAGCTGGGTTCTAGCGCTGAACATTACTCGGCACATCATATTGGCCCGAATCAAGTTGTGAAGCAATAGCCTGATATATGTAACGGCCTTGGGTTGCGAAGCAATCATTCTCATTCTCGTTGTCGTAAACAGTTCAAGGGCCAAAAACGCCTGGCAGGCCCTATCGCTTTTCTCGTTCAAATGGCATCAACCCATGTAATAGGGGGGTGGAGTCACAGGCCCTGTAATCAACTAGGTAACGGCGCAGGGGAAGAAAAAAAATAAGTGGATAGTAGTTGAGCCTCTTTTTAACAAGAAAGAGAGCGAGAACAAGAAAGAGAAGAAAAAAACGGTTGATGGGTTTTGGGGAACACCCGGGGCGAGCAACCCTGGCTTCGGCGACTTGAATCTTGGCTAACCCTACCACTTGGATGCTTCTGAACTAGCTACACGACAGAATGGACCATCTAGGAAATTACTGATACCCGACACTATGCCCAGGCTGATTACTATTTTGATTAGCTAAACGCAAGGCTTGTGCGTTTATTTTTATACGTACTTGTATGCTTGGCGTCCCATTCTCTGCCATTTATATAGCTGCGCCTGTAGAAGCGCGGCTCAGCCTACCAGTGGCCACCAGCAACTAGGCTAATGCAAAGGTGTGTATGAAATGGGAATATGCAGAATTCCTCTTCATTTTATCAAGTCGCAGCACAGTTTGTCCAGAGCCAATCGGTTGAGCGATTCTTGAAAGGCCGTGCAATAACAGAAGGAGAGTGAAACAAGCCTCGGCGCACTTATAGCCATTATGGCTGTTATAATTACAGACTGTAAAAGCCCGCAGCCGCGATTAGGTATTTGTGTATAGACTCGGACTCATTTCGCCGATTTCAGTGGACAGAAGAGCGTACAAGGTTAAACAGGGAAGAGTGCTCGAAACAGTAAGGCTTTTTGAATCAATACAACTGACTATTCTTAATTTGTCAAGGGGAGACCTTAGAGCTAGACAAACATCGGACGAAAGTCGGATTTAGATCCGGCGAAGTACCTTTCAACACCAAACTTTCCCGCTCGGCTGTTGAAGCCCTGTTTTTTTATACAACATGTCACCTCTACCTCGCTGTAGAATCGGGGTATTCTCTCCAGCATAAATATACGTCAACACAGCGATTATCATTTCGCGAGGTAGGAGGAACCTGTCGGCTGTCACTTATTCTGTTGTCTCCATCGAACCTTGCATCAAGAAAATCTCAGTCGACATCTAGATTTAATTTTGTCATCTCTTACAAACAGCTCAAGCATACCATGACATATAAAAATACAAAAAAATCAAAGCGTCTTTATAATCCGTACTTTCAACCCTCCCAACTTGCTTCAGACATGTGCTGTGATCAAAGAGATGAGTTTGCCCCTGAACGCGTAGGGGCAGAAACGCAAATCGGCTGAATGTCCGGACAGCCTCTTTACCGTATTAGGTATTATAGGTAGTATCATGAAACACTCAACTGAAATTGAACAAGAAAAGAAGGTTCAAGGATAAACTCGAAGAGAAGAAAAGTCCAGGATCCGTGAGCTCGGCATAGCCGCCCGGTGATAAGGCCGAATCTGCTACACCCGCCAACTCGGCAATATCTTGAAAATGCTCTAGTCTGCCATCAGACGCATAAATCGCTTTCAAGATACATGACCAATCCTATGAGTTCATCATTACGGGCCACAATGGGCTTCTGGAATGCTACCTGTTAAGGGGTAGCAATCTCTTTGGTTGTAGATCATCTTCCAGCCAAGGCTACAGCCAGATCTCCAGAGTAGTCGAGCTGAAATATACCTTGGCCTATCACAGTCTCTTGCCATGTGAGCTCGAAACATGCCGCCCGAAGTAGCTGAGACCCACAAGAATCCTATGTAACACTATAAGCTGACACGGCATCGAGTAATGCCCCTTTTCTAACCATCCGTGGCATATGTGGAGTAGTTTAGAGCCGCATCCGTCGGCGAATCTGTACGCTGCAGAAGAGATGACTGTCTCTCAAGTGCCCAAAAGAGTTGATGTCAGGCAAGCCAAAGCATTTATTGCAAAGAGCTTGAAACAGTGAAGAGGAATGTACTGAATAGCTTTAGCCATAAAACATCAAGAATAAGCAATCAGAGCCAAGTGCTACTTTGCTAATGAAATGATTACGCCGCATTTTGCAGTGAGATTGACAAATGTAACTACAATCTCATTCTTTTTGTGAATCCTTGGCGTACTTACCGTTCCTAGGGATAGGTGCATTCGCTCGGCCCGGCGTTCGCATGCCAAGAATTGATAATCACTGCCGATTGAGATATCAATTGCAACACTAGCCCATCCGTACAGCCGAGGTCATCTTGATAAAATCATGGCAGATTATATAATACCATTCACCAGTCCCCAGCAAATTCGTCAGACTATGACTGAGTTTCAATTACTGTTTACTGTAATCTTGGAAAGAATTAGTGATTCCCTTGTGTGTCCATGCAAAGCAACGTCTGGATTATTATGGGATATGCGAGGGACGATATCGTGAAGCTCACCCGGGGTGCGGTCCTTACGATCAGAAACGTAGGAACGCATATGTAGGGTCAAAAAAGCTTACTCCATCTATGATACGGGATCTGTGGCTACTACATAGGTATGGATGACCTCATCCATCCTTCCTTGCCCGGGGATGTCAGGGCAAGCGTCCCCCAACATGGATGATTAAATCATGATTTGCATTCCGTACTGTAGACTATGATAGGGGCTTGTAAAGACCACCTCTTACGAGCTAAAGTAAAAGAAGAGCAATAGGCAGAGGCTTCAATAGACTCCCGATATATCTCTTTACTAGTATTTGTTTTTGTTCACCGAGACTGAAGCTGTCCCTGTGTCGATTTGATTGAGTCTAGGCCTATCAAAGCAGCCCATAGCATGTTTGAGAGACGTCATTGCGGTAAGATATTTTCTCTTGGAGTGATGATGATAATGACGAACGGCAAGGGAAAACTGTATGAAAACATTGTCACACGGTCAGCTTAAGCAGTTAAACTACGCGGTTCCTCATAGCATATCCCCAGCAGTTTCTATGATGGACAATGGAATAAAACCGGAAAAGAGAGGCAGAGGCGGAGGGAGGACGAAGAAAGGATGAGGGGAAACAATAAAACACCATACTAAGTTTGGAGCGAAAAGTTCACAATATGTGTTCCTTGTCGTCGCTTGATCAATTCAAAATTATCCTGAAAGATTAAGATCATCTAGTTATAATGCCAAAGTTAGGCCAATAGATCCAGGGTAGATGGATTGATCAAGGTGCAACATCCGATCAGATTGATCTCGGAAGAGTCACCGGGTATGACGATCCGCCCCTCTTCCATGCAGTAGATCAGATACGTGTGCATGAGCGGGGGGGATGGCTCGCTTAGTCTCGATCTCGTTCATAACCGCTTGCCAACTCTTTTCATTCTCCACGATCTTCTCTGAAATCGACGAGGATTGAAGCTTCTGTACCAGGGCAGAATGAATCACCAAAGCAAATGCATTCCAGTGGAGATATTTGGCCTTGTATGACTCCCCCAATTCAAGCTGACTGTTCTACATTGACGATTTCAAGATTGCGGCCGAGAGCTCGGATGATGTCCTCAAGAACATTCGCCTCACCTGCCGCGCTGGTCGAGAAATAGCAACCCCACTGCTGTTCAAATGCTTCAAAGTTCAAGCCATCAATCATCATGCATTGAAGAGGCTGCAAGAGGTGGCGAGGCGCCCGCAGCTTGCTTCCTTTGTCAAGAAGTTCGAGTATCAACCTCGTATTCGCACGAGTTCACATAGTAATGAAATCTGCGTCCTAATATTGGAACGGTGATTGACATCTTTAGACGACGATGAGCGTGGACAGCTGACGGAACAAAACAACCTCCTTGCATCAAGTGCTCTCGCTGGAGCCCTCGTTGCCGCGCTCAAATCCTTCACCCAGCTCCGCCATGTTGAGCTCCAGTATCCGCCTTTTGGGATGCGCAGGCTATGCAACAGCCGTAGCCTCTGCGTCTTGGCAGATGTGATTCAGAACATCTATAGCAACACGTGCCCTCGATTGGTCTCGCTCAGCATTGCAGGCCTTTTACTGGCTGATATACCTCAAAATCTTCTCCAAGATACGGGCGATGGCATGGGAGCTGCCCTCACCACTGTTGAGCGACTCGATCTAGACTTTCATCCTGGCGACATGCCCAGCGGCGAGATGACGCGCATCAAGCCCGATGGGTTACGCCGAATGCTCAGTCTGGTGACAAATCTTACTTGTCTTCGCATCAAGTTCCATTTATTGGACAGGAGCATGAGATTGTTTGACTGGTCAGCGCTGCAATGTACAAAATTGCATACACTAGAGTTGGTTCAGCTAGAGATGTCAGAAGCGTCTCTAACGAACATCATGACTCAAATTGCCCATTCGATCCGAAAACTCATCCTTGAAGGTGTATACCTCTTTGACGGCACGTGGGCAGCGATTTACGACAGGATTGCCAATACCGAGGGCATCAATGACATATCCGAGATTCAAGGCAGGAGATATTCGGATGGCCATGGCTCTCACACAGAGCTTGACGCTGCCAGTTATCGTCGGCTGTTCACGACGGTGGAAAAACGGCGAGAGAGCCAAGGTTTACCGTCAACGAGATGGCCAGTCTCGCCATTGGGGTTCGTCATGTCATCGAGATTTTTTGTATATGGAAACTAGCTGATTCGAGCATTGACGGCCTCTGGGTACAGCTCCATTTCGCGGTAACAAGAACGCAGGCGACCATTTCATAGATGCTAGAAAGCAACATTATTCTTTGATAAATCATTCTATTTTGTCATTATTCATGTGAAACTGTGATGTAGAGTTTGTGATTCATGATGTCGTGACGTGTGCCGTGTAGCAGTCGTTCCCTTCCTCTAAAAGGCTCCCTTATCTGGGAATCATCCGTTCAATAATATCTCCAATCTTGTACGACAAATATTGTCCCTTTTCCAGCATAAAATGTGAGCAGCCGCCTTGTTCCTCGCATTCGCCCAGCATCATTGACCAGTCCTTTTGAACAATGTTGATTAGACCTGGAGGAGATTTTCTCAATTCCAAACGCTTTATCCACTCCTCCTTCAAGTCGCGAAGCGGATAAACCAGTGCAAAAGGGAGTCCTTCTTCAGCCAGAGCCGATCGTATTTCCTCATGCGTTGATATCAAGATGATTGTGTTTGGCGCTATTGACCCCCTCACTTTTGCCATGTACAGCTCTTTAAAGTTGCTTGCGCGCTGCCCATTCTCTTTGGGTATCACTGAGGAATCCAGATCCAAGATGTTAAATCCGGATAGATCGAGGCGTTTTGAATTTAGAGTGAGCCACGTTTTCCCGCTGGCAATAAAGGCAGATATGATGACGCATCGCTCTGGTAAAAGGCGTCGTGGTGGAGGTTCCATGGTCGGATGGTGGGGTATCTTTTCCGTCTAAACAGCTTTCTGCAGCTCCTGTGAGTCGAATCCGACGAGATATATCATGTATTCCTCGTTTAGAGGCCTCTGGACTGTGTTCCAAGAGCAAGGCGAGGCGATTTCATGGGCGCGACCAATTATTGTGCGTGCAGCGAACAGCTTTCCAAGCCTCGCTATCAGTAAAGATTTGCCTGCACAGCCACCCGCTCGCTGCCTGATGCTCTAGCAAAGGGGGCTTCTAGGCGAATAGCAGGGCTTATTTCCCCAACCTACTGCGCGCAGCCGTGAGACCCAACGGCCAGCGACAAAATGCCTCGTGAGTGGCCTTGTCTTTGCTGGAGGCTGGCGCGATTCCTCGCTGGAGTTGTCGCACCGCTTTTTGCACCGCAATAGCAACGTGATAGAGATGCAAGGCTGGATCCGCAGTTTTCGCTGCTTTAGAAACGGACAAAGTGTGGAGTGACCAGGTAGTGGCCTTGAGAGAAAACGTGTAGGCAGCGGGGCTGTGTGAACAACAGCAGAATCTCCGACTTACATGCGAAGCTACGTATAAGTGAACGGCTATTACACCGCAACGGAAAGAGAAGGAGTACCACGTAATCATTTCCGCTCAACAAGCCATAAAGATTATAAAAATTATTACCGGTACCGATATAAATAACCCCTTCTAATGGTCTATTGTTATTATCCCACAGCCTTTGTTTAAGAATGCGAGTTAGCATGAGACGATGTGCAGCCTTGCCCAACGCGCCATAATGAACGCCCCCGATCCGTAGGTACTTATGCTACCTGGATGCCCCTTGGAGAGCCTGAAATCAATTACAGCTCAGCGCTGTTGTTTTCGCAGGCTTCGGCCTTCTCTCCGTTTATCTCGTTCCCCTGGCTTATCTTCGATGACTTATCCCCCTCGATCTCGCCTCCAAATTCCGACCCATATTGCTTGATGCCTTCGGATGGAACGCCGTGGATTTTATTTCCCTGGTCCAGCCAAGAGTTCTCGCCAATCTTCAACTTTGTGGTGAACGTGGAGCCGTCCTGCACAATCCTGCCATCCGAATGCTGGCCCTGAGTTTGGCAATTTGCCAACTGGGTGATAACCTTCGTTCTGCAACGGCCAATTAGAATGAAATGGGAACAATAATTCATAGGGCTGGTACTTGCGCCAAGCCATCAGCCAGCCGCCGGCCGGGATGATTCATTGGATTCGAGAACTTGACTGTGTTAACAATTCACCAATAAATCAAAATCAAATGATCAAAGATGGCAGCATACCATAGCTTTTGATATTTGTATTGCTCACTGGCCGATATACCGGTAGCAGAGACTTGTCTTTTTTCCTTTTTTCTTTCTTTTCTTTCAGAGCAGCAATAGAAGCGCGAACACCCAGGAAAATAACAACAGTGTACGGGCCAGAAACGTAATACTGCCCCCTGATGCTCGGATGAGAGAATGGCAAGATATTTATATGTTCGCTCGGACTATCAAACTTGAAAGGCACCGATAGGCACGTATGCACACGCACGGGAGGAAATTGGATTTTAAGCCCTCTGCCAATCAATCGCAAACCAGCTTGGGCAAAGCTTGGCACCTACCAATAGGACAGAGTAAACGTATGCCTACTGCGGCCGTTGTTAGCCGAGCATCCAATCTGAAGTGAGTAGGGAAATTGCCTGAGAACTCTGGTATCAATGTTAACAACCGCCGGAAGTGAACCGTAACATAGCAAAGCACGCATCCAGCCACTTCAGTTTAGGTAGCTTGTACTTCTAGGAATCGCCGTTTCGGGGACCGGAGGTGAGGAGGGTATTACTTGCGCGGGTACAGCCGTGCCGAAACTGCCTAGCATGCAATACTTCGTAAAGTTATAGATATATGCATGCAGCTATTTTTAGAGAATGAGATGAATACATACAAATGTGATGATAATTAGAGCACTTTCCTGAATGTTTCGGCGCTGGTTGTACGCGTGGTGTGTTGCTTTCTCCATTGATAATAGTATCTCAGCCTACCTCCTTTCTCTTTTCTCTCTTCATTTATAAAGGAAGAAAGAGGGAAACAAAGAGACAAAGAAACAAAGAAAGCAATGATACTTCCGGTGGTCTTTGCATCATGCGCCCCTACATCCTAGTTGCCACTCCCTCAATCAAGCCTTTTCACAGCCACCCTTCAGGCACACAATCAATCATGAATCCTCATTGAGAAATACCTGAGCGAGACACCGCTCTTTCGAGACCGCCTGTTTGCGCCTCTTATAATAAAAGCGATCGCCGTCGCCCAGACTCGTTCTCGCACACCGCATCTCCAACCTCCGAGTCACCGAAACGACGCGCGCGCCAACCACACGCAAAGGACGCCCAGCCACTTCACTTTTCCGACTTGGCTCTTTTCCCTGCCGGAACAAGTCATCACTCGTTGGTGGGCTTTTGCCTGAGTGGACTAGAGCTATACGGCAGACCATGTCGCAATCATGTGAGTGATAATGCCCGTTTGCCCGCTGTCTCCCGTTATTTACTATCCATGGACCTCGAGTTCTGCCGATTCAAATTTTCCGTCTCAAAAGCCTCCCGCTGACTGAACAATGCTACAAGATAGAATGCTAAGCTACCATGTCGCATCTAAAAAGGTTTCTGAAGCTTGGGGGCAATTCTAGGCATGTGCCTTTGCCTTGTCAATACTCATTTATTCCCGATCAGGGCGAGGAAGGCTGCGTTCATATCAACGCAGCCGATTTCACATATGAATACTTTCAGCGTCTAATCCATAGACCGGAACAAGCATACAAGGAGTTTTACAACCTAAAAGTGGCCTATGATAAGTGCCTAATACTTAACGCAGAAGCGCAAGCCAAATACACTGCCGACCTAAGTCACAAAAACCAGGAAATCGCCAATCTTGAGACGCATATTGAAGAGATGGCGCGTTCTGATGGTCAAGAAGCCATCATTAGCAGCAGCATGCTCTGCGACGCGAGTTCTACCGGAGTGGCTCAATCGGGCGGTACCTACGGAGGTACCATTGCTACGTCGAGTGGGCATGTCAGGCAGGGCAATGATTTCGCTGGTAAGCTACTTATATCTGTACGGCATTGGGACAATAGCTAAATACTAGGTATTAAGGAGATATAAGCAACCAGCATCCATTCAGCTTTGTATTTTATGGAAGTGCAAATGTGGAAATACAAGTTTACACCCCAGCCGGCTAAGATGAGAGGTTCGAAATACATGACGAGCAGTTCATAAGATCCGATAAAGTGCATGCATGTGGCCAGGAGCGAGCACTAAAAGGCTCATCCTCAGTTGATTTCATGTATATAATTACCTCTTGAGTTGTATACCTAGAGCCTACCTAGGCCGAGCATCCCCTCCGACAATCGCACCAAGGAGGAGGCAGGTACCTATAATACACTCATTTCACTTTTTTTGTTCCTTGGTCAACAGTCCAAATTCCAGTACTCGTTATGATAAGAGACATGTAACGGTTCAAAAAAATATCCACACAAAGTCAGACTATCATCGCCAAATGTGAAAATTAAAGACATGCTCATATGCTGATTTTATTCCCTTGGACCACAGAACCTGCTGCTTGAATGACTCCTCCAAAATACGATCCTTCTTGTACTATATAATGCCGAGATGACTGAGACGATGAAACTTGCAGCTCATTACCTTGCCTGACATCCTCACCTCTCACTTCGCAACTGTACGTAGACGCACCTTGAGTGATCAACTCTCTCTCCAATGGATCCATACTTCCTTTCAACATTTTGTCTGTCTGAATGTAGCGTTCCAAAATAGCCTTCAACGTGGACGCGGCTGTTGCAGCTGCGAAATTCTGCCACCTTTTATTCTTATGGCAGTCGGCATAATCGCACACTCCTTTAACAACGATGCAAGGCAGCTCTTCCCAAATACCAGCCCCCTCCATCTCAAACGCAATCACCCCTTCCTTCTTTGCAATCCTGTCCCGCTCATCTGCAGACTTCATCACTACATCGCCTGATGCAATCGACCCAACATGAACAGCGGGCTCTTGAGCCTTGTCGCTCTCGTCTTGCTCCAACTGCCGTCTCGCTTCAAGCTGTCCTCTAGGCTCCAGGTATATGTTGTCGCATCCAAGCTCTTCGCAAGACGAATTCAGAGCCTCGTCACAGACAGGGTCAGAAATGCTGTTGCAGTCGCGACAGATACAGGTGCACGGTACGTGGTGTTTATGCCGATATATTGCCTGGAAAAGCTTGTCCTCCGCTGTCCCAGGGTAGCTATATCTACCGTGACGCTTTCTTCCAGTAGCATTGGCCTGGAGTTGCTTAAGGAAGTATGCAGTCCTTCGTTGCAGTCGTTCCAAACCAATGTCAGTCTCAAATGTGATTAATAAATTGCGGATATCCTTGCTTGGTGTACCAAGGCTGCCTTCAAAAGTATTCTTGCGTACAAACTTGTCAGGATATAGCCTGCCAAAGTCATATTGCACTACGGTCTTGCTGATCACAACATCGCCCAGCAAGATCTCATCGTCTTCATCATTTGCCGCCTGCGGGGCTCCGCCACAGATGCCAACAAGCAAAGCCAGCCGTACGCCGCCATAGCTTGAACGAATGCTGGCTGCGGCGCTGGCTGTATGCACTTTACCCATGTGTGAGAGCAGAGCCAAGACAACATTGTACCTGCCAATGCGGCCCGTTATGTAGTGGTTGACATCTCCGGGGGATCGTCCAAAGTGATCACCGTCCTCGTCCCAGAATTCGTCGAGCACAAGGGAAACGGCGTTGAACTCGAGTGGTAATCCGCAGATTATGACAATTTCGAAGTCTTCGCGCCGAGAAGGTTTTATATAGTCCATGGTAGCAGTTACCGGCACGTTTTTTGTCATAATAAATCAGCCATTGGTACGTTTGTAAGAGCATTATGACTGCACATACTGCCTCATATATAGAAGACATCTCCGGGCGGGGTCTTTATCAGCCGCGCTGAGTATCACGTGATCCTGGATAAGTGATACTGCATGTACCCAATAATAAATAGTTTATGAAATAGAGGATTAAGATTGAAGGAGTTGGGTAGGTAGCGAGTCTGGATACCCTTGATGGTTGCAGGAATGTTGCGAATGCTTGTGAATTTGCGAGTCTGTGCACTACCAGGTAGGCGATTTATGAAAGCTACATGTATTGATGAGCCCACTACCTAGTTCAACAGGCGAATTTCTAGATGTAAACATCATTATGTTTTCTCACAAAAGGTGAAACGGCGAATGTCGTCTCTTTATAAACTACACCAAGCTCATCTACCTTTGTCTTTCTTAAGGTTGTCTCTTTAAAAAATTACAAACTAGACTCGTTTACCCCTGCTCCCCTTAATCCACTAAGAAGTTCAGGTCAGAGTCGCGTTGTAACAGCAAATAAAACATTGAGCTTCTAACAGTTATTACGCTTTCTCCTGCTACATTGATTTAAACATTCAGTATTCCTCAGCTACTTGTTCGCATCAAACTTTCATATGCTCAGTCTTCATGGTATTACCACAGAGGAGACCTCCATACTTATATATCCGCATGTTCACATAATAAGTGCGTACACTCTCGCTCTTATGCATTCCTCTGCATGTCTAGCTATCAACTAACATCTCTTTCGCTCTCTAGGAATTACGGCTTAGGACTTGGGCAAACAGCTTACACGGGTGCTCTACTTTCAGGCCTAGAATGGGCGAGAAGTTACAATCAAAGCCCAGCTTTTGACAAATCGACTTTATCAGCCACATTTTCTATCGGCCAGCATGCAATGATACTCTGGTTTCCCATTGTATCTAATTCAGGTCACAAGTAGAGCAGATGTAAGCACCTGTGTCTGGCTGCTGCGCATATCCTCTCGGCTTTCTTGGTTTCTTGGTACCCAAGTAGCATTATCTTCAACAAACCTCCGAAATGTTCTCCAGTGTTCGCACTAATATATGATACCCGATTGACAGTGCGAATGGAAAATGTCGTTGTCCAATGACGAAGGTCCTAAGACGGTTAATGTGCCATTTAATGAGGTGCCGCATCGAGCTGCAATGTTGGCTGTGACGGGGAGATAATTAGCCCGATTAGCATAGAGTAGATATTTGTATGATATGAGGAGAGAGGGATTATCATCTTTTATGGAGTCACAGGAGATGAATGACAGGCCAAAGAGTGTGGGTGAGTGGCAATATATTGATGAGCGCAGCGAAATGAAATTCGCTGTAAACTGCCTGTGTGAGGTTAAGCACGTGGATGGATGGGTGGGCGTCAAGCGTTAAGAAAGGGCCAATTCGCCATTATAAATCGGTATAAAGACTTGGAGATGATCTGGAAATCGCAGGATAGACGAAGGGATCGTCCCACGGCATAATCTCAGCGCCATTCAAGCACAAGCACAGAACGATGTTTGAGCACAGGACCCTGGCATCATAAAGTGGGAGAAGCGGAGCATCCATGGAGACCTTTAGCAGCACCCCGCATTCTATGGTACGTACCATCCATGAAATCCTAGCCCAGACCAACCTGCGTCCAGGTATATCGTGAAGGGACGCAGGCGTTGAGAGCAGGCAATGTTGGTGGGGGTGATGAATGTTAGGGTATGACGGTGACTGCATAATCGCAGTCGCAAAGCTAAAGCGAATCCCAGCGAATAGGACGGCGCTGATAAGACGGCTTGAGAAGGTGAGACAGCAGCGAGGTACCCGCGTTAGGACAGAGTAACACGCCACAACTCAAAGAGACTGTTGCTCAACAAGCGGATGATAATATGCTTTGCCGTCTGTATTAGGTTTCACAGCAACGGGTGCAGCCCAGGGGCTGGCCGGGCGATGCTGTGCGCGCAAGTTGTGAAGAATGAAAACTTTTTTCTGCTCCCCTCTCGTTTTCCCAATAAAGAGGGTGTGATGCCGCTGCTGATGCTGCACAGCGCATGTACGTCCGGACCTGGTCTTGCGCTTGGGACTAGCCATGTCGATGCAGGGAAAGATAATAAGGGTCCACTAGAAAACTGCGCATGAGACAATCAGCCAGCAAAGCAAGCCATGGCTGAGCACGCGCACTTGCACGAGCGCTCGCACGTGTGCCGCTGGCTGACCCTCTGACTGCGAGTGTGTCTGGCTATTATTGGGCATCGCCGGTGGTCCGCCTGGCTGCTCGGCTGCGGATTTGAAAGCATGCTTGGGGTAGTACGGCGATTCCTTTCGCTGCCTGCAATCGCGATCATGTACGGCGGCACAGTGCTGGTCAATGGCCATTGGTGCTGGGTAGCTGTGACAGTGCAAGCTTTGGAGACTTGAATGGCCAAGGATGAGTCAGAGACAGCATCAGAATCAGAACCTCGGACGAGATAGGCAGCAAGACATGTACGAGTATCCAACTTGCAAGGGTTAGATAGATGCAAAGACAAAGGCTCAAAGAATACTTACTTGCTCTCGAAGTACATCGTACGGGATTGAAGACGCCGAAGCGTCCGAGATTGTGGTACAAAGCGAATACTCACATCCCGGCCTCTGATCCAACGCAAGCCATCTGTGGTCAGCTAGCCAACCAAAACATGACGCCGCAGAAATTGTCATATGATAATTCTCGTTCAAAGGAATAGAATTGGCATCTCATTTGACCACCATCCTCGCGGCCCCGTTTGTTGGCCGACGAGGCGCCCTACAAGCCCCGACTGCTGCTTATAGCTGCCCGACAAAGAGACACATCAAGAACGAGCAGCGGTGCTAGCTCTATCAATGGCTGCGCTGGGCGATCCCGTTTGTGCCCATCCAGCCATCCCAGACCCAGCATGCACATGCTAGTACCGTTCGACTCCTCGGACTCGAGCTTCGTACATGCCTCAAGCGTCCAGATGGGGCCGGGTACCACGTCGAGGCCAGGATTGGCGGGAGCAGGAACGTCGGGAATGGGGGTCCAGGGAACTTTGTTGAGATGTGCGGCCACTAGATACGTGTTGATGCCTCATATCGCGGCTTTAATCTTGGTTTGTGCTGGACCCCCGCTTGCAGCTCGCGCATGCGTTTCTCGCAAAACGTACAAAGAAGGCCGATCATCTTCTTTCCCCCCTTCTCCCTCTTGCTGCTTGATCTCGATCTCTCCTCCTGCCTCGCTCAGCTCCAGCCGGTTTTTCTCACCATCCCGGGACGCATCACTCGCCAATCCTCTCTGACGCATCATCGCTTGGCTCTTGTGTGCCACCAAGCTGGTTTTGGTCATAGGCGCAGACGGTCCCGGCTGATCGAGGCACGCCGTCGCGACTCGCATCGTCATTACCCCGTACCCCATCTTTTAATCGAGGCAGAGATTGCGCCGCTGAACTCCGTGCTATCTCGACAAGGAGACAAAGAGAGAGACAGAAGCCAAGGCGCCGTTTTCGTTTTGAGCTTTATTCATCCGTGTTACTTGGACGTCGTGTTATCTGATAACAATTCTGCCTCTCTTGGACCCTTCTTTCCTCGCTCTTGTCTCTCTTCCCCCATCGTATCAGCGAATGATACACCGCCGATAAGGACGAGTCAGCTAATCGATCGCACCTGACCGGCGTTTCCGTAACTTTGCTTCACTTTAGCAGAGTAGGTGCCACCGCGGCAAACACTGTGCTCTGCAACGGACGCTGCCGACCCAAGTCGTGGCTACCGCGCGCCGCTGCCATCTGATACGCACCTGACGTGTACTATCGACTCTGCAAGGCACCATTGGCCGACCGGGCGCCAATCGCAGTTGCGCCTGACAGTTGGGACTCCTTGGCTCCCCAACTCCGCCCCAGCCGTTAGCCCTAATCGCACGCCGCTCATTGGCCCGCTGCCTGCTCTGGCCCTTCCCCTTCAGGCCAGTTTTTTTTCCAGTCGCCCGCTTGGGTCTCGATACCGCCGCGGAAGCGTCTGCCTTAGTACTGCGGAGTACTGCGCGTGCAGCAGCAAGTACCCCTGTGGGCGCCCGCCGTCCTTATCGCGCACCCTGCGCCGCCAAGTACACGCGCGACCGCTCCCGCCACCTCGCAGTACGCAGCGCCGAGTACGGGGTACTTGCGCCAAAGCCTCCCGTATTCCAGAAGGCCTCGCCTTTGGGGCAGCACAGCGCTGTCGGTCCCCTGAGGCCCACCCCAACACCGCTGCCACTGGCATGTCTCCACTGTGTCGTGCGCTGTCCCGATCCCTGTCTGCTCTGGGAACTAGATTAGGCCATGATGCTATACACTTCTCGTCCGAGGCTCCCACAGCCTCCAACTCCTGCTCTCTTCCCTCCCTCCATCGCCTCTAATCCCATCCGCCCTGCAGCACCGAAGCCATCTCACCCATCAAAGCCAGCCGTAGTCGAAATCGAAACACTCCTCGTCGCCTCCGAATCTACCAAACCAACCGTCGCCAACATTCCACCACACGCGAGTGATCCAAAGCATGCACAGAGCAACAAGAGATTATCCGCAATCACAGTTACCGTCACGCCTATCCGATCTGAGACGCCGTCTCCATCCGAAATCGATGCAGACATGGGGAAACAAGTCTCTCCGGCTGTGTCTACCGTCCCGGATGGCTTGAGCTTGACCATCAGGCCAGCAACTCCGACCAGCCCAGTCCAGATTCCCACGACCAATGGCCGCAACAAGCACTTCGACGCTGCTCGCCCTGTGAGACGACAAAACGCCCCCCGGCGCAAGGTTCCGAATCATGTTCGCTCGCCAGTGTCTCTGTCCCCGTCGGTGGCCGCTCTCTTGGCTGTCACTGACATCCCACGACCCCGACGGACGCAAAGGAAACTCCGGGGACCGGACAGGCTGCTAACCGTCGATGCCATTATCGACAATGAGCGTCAACTTTCAGAGAAGGAGATCAGCTGGTCGTTGAGTCGCGGTAGCCCCATGG